GAGAAGATCCATGGCGATGTTCAAAATCGCAATAGTCCCTCGTTTGATATCCTTGAAGCGAACCCACGTTCTCCAGTCGGCTCAGCTCATCCCAAGGTTCAGTAGTCGAAAAGTGGCCTCTCGCCCGCGCAACAAAGGCAGGATTCAGTGCTGAGATTTTATGCACTGTTTATCGATATCAGCGTGCATACACGCTTGCATACAACTAACTGACAATAAGCTGTGGCGGTATAACCGACCACTGGCTCGTGTGGCCTTGCAGCAAATGAAACGAGCACTGCCCAAAAAAAACCTTTAAATACCAAAGAAGGCTAGCATTCTTATGCTAGTAAACGTTTTTTTTCCGTCTCACACCATAAAGAGTGTCTACAACCTCTGATACGGTTAGAACAAGCGAATATTTGAGCCACCTCTTTGCCTCTTTCATCATTGTCACATCCATGGTGTTATGGTCACGCTTTTGCTCTGCTCAAGAATTTGCGAAAAACATTTTTGTATCCGCGCCACAACTTTTGAGAGGACCAGGGAACAGATTCTAGCGTCTTTCTGGAAGATCTGGCATATTAAGACATCGCGTTTCAGAAAAAATGTACCCGGCACAGGGGAACGCGGATTCAATCACACCCCGAAGTGGATATTGAATGGATAAACCACTCGGGCACAAAACCGCAGGAACGGTATCCTTGCAAAGGGAGATCTCGCTGAGAGACAGCAATGAGTGTTAGGGGATGATATCCTTCGCCAAGAACTCGGAACCCTTAATCTCTCGTCAACAAAAGTTCGCGTTCGTGGCCTTTTCGCTTCCCAACGAGTGATTTTTCGACGACGATGCAGTTGTGGAGAAACCACCATCAGCTCCCTAGCTTTTCAGGACCAAAGCTTGACAATTTTAAATGTCTGAGAAGAAAAACTCAAAAGCTCGACGCGAAGCTAATGATGCGAGCTGCCTGTGAAAGCACAAGTCTGCGAGACAAGGTCGATTTACAGAGAGTACTTTCCCAATGGTGGGCCGGGACCGAAAACCTTTCTCATTGAAAGGGGGAAGCTCGGGTGGCAATGAAGGGGTCATCTCCTGGGATGGCCCAGGCTCCTAAATCCGCCCTCGAGTCAGCTTCGCGAGAAAGGGGGACTTTTGTACCTGCATTAGCTCCAATTTGCAAGCAGAGGGATTGGCCTGTCTGCCTCCGTCACGCTGCATTGCAGTTACCGATGGGCCGGTTTACCCTTGATAGGAAGAAAATTATTAGTCCGAGGTTACAAGAACAAACACTCCTGCTCTGGAATGAACACCCGCCCTTTGTCCACTTCCGTGGAATGCTTGATGATCATCGAGAGATAGGAATTTGTTTCCTAGTTCCGAAGGGTAGTTGCTTGGAGATCAGATAATCATCATCACAACAGACGGTCGGGCGCCTCTAAAATTATCATATCTTGATCAACATGTTCCGTCGCATAAAGGTGACTTTACTCACCGGCTTCGCGTCACCAAAAGGTGGATTTCCAACCGTTTTCTCTACGCCGTCTGTACCACGGCAACATGTACATGCAACATCTCTCTCTTCTGAAACTCGAAAGAGGATGGCGGACGCTACGGGCCTTTCCAGGAACTTGGAACCCGCAGAGTACATAGTACATGTACACAGCCTTACCATTTCTCGCCATGTCACACAACGTGTTTCGTCATGCCAGAAGCCGGAATCCGCGTCCCCATCTATCTTTGAACCGGCGCCTGTGGATTGATCAATTGACTTGTACCCAATGCATGCCGACGAGATTACGCCGGGCAGTCGCACAGACGAGTGATTCGGCAAGACTCATCCAATCTTACCTGTCAGTGCGACCCAAATTAATCGTGAGTTGTGCAACATTTGATTCCAATTTCGTCAATGATATCCAGAAACAGGGCGTGCGAAATTACATGTCTACGAGACAGATCCGGTGGTATACCTATTTTAGGAGCCCCGGCGAGCGGCCGCTCGTATCCCCTACGCCAGGCCAGGGCTAATTTTTCCGCATCATGAGCCGGAGCTTTATGGTACGACACTGTAACCATTATGTTCGCAGTATAGTAACATGACATGCTCCAAGCAAGCCGGTAAAAAACAGCTAAAGTGCCCGAGCTATAAGGTTGGTTTTGCACTGAACCCCAGTATGCAACAAATGAAGCTGTGGTCCCGGTTCCTAGTTAATTGACCAACCACCCCCCAAGTTACATATACAACTGGGGAGGTTTGAAAAAAAAAAAAGTCTCTACTGTGTAAGTGCATCGGAAGGAATAATCTCCACAGTAAATCCTATAATTCGACAGTGCACTGGCCTGGCAGCATAACGCAGTCTGGGCGCTAGACAGCCTGTGAGCATAAGGAGCACAGGGAGGGCATGTAAAAGACAACACACAACAATGACCACGTCACTTTGCGTTGGAGAATCTGGCAGCTCCAGCAGTCCAGCAGCTTAACCCTAACTCTCACAACCAATCGTCAGTCTCGAGTCCACCAGTTGTAGTCTGCAGGACGAAAATGGGGTTAATGTATGATTACGATTGACATGTTCAATAACCTGATATTGAAGCGATTGCTCCCAGCTATTCCTTTCGTCGGAACTCTCGTGCTTTATCAGATAGCGCGGAGCTCTGGAACATGCATATATAGGTAGTTTCTTCATATGCGGCAGTTGCATATGCAATACTTTAATGATGTTCATCCCGGGGATTAATGGCTGAAGATGGACATATCCGATGCTCTTCGGGGAGGATCGTGAAAAGTCTCCCTCTTTTTTTTTTTTTTTTTTGGGATAGTATCTATATATACATGACATGTTGACAAATTCGCAAAAGGTATCTTGTTACGCCGTAGCTAACTAACTTCATGGATCATGGCTTACCTTGCCATTGAGAGTTAGCCAGGGCCTCCTTGCTCCATTTTTTAACATCTTAGATGATATGATGTAGATGACACGTATATGGGTGGCTGGGGGTGTGCAATTACGACCGACACTGCCCATTATCAGGACCTTACAGGAAAGTAGGGGTGGTGGTTGTGAGTTGGACTTGGATCCTCACATTCCTGTTGAAAGGAAGAAAGAAACAAAGAAAGAAAGAAACAAAGGAAATAGGTACGTGAGGTATGTAGTTCAGCTGTGTTCAACTGTTGGATATCCGATCCTGCATGATTAGACGTTAGAGCTTGGTTACACAGACTATAGACGGTTCGCTCCGATTTCGCCCTGGATTAAGTCGGTGCGCGATATGACCCGGTGAAGATACGGCATGTCGACATACATGCATATGCCGTAGAGTAGTTGCAGCCGTGAACCGGCGCGTAGTTAGAACTAAGGATACGGTATGTCTCAATGACTGGTTGAGAAAGGGTCGAAATATACCTTTAAGGGAGTTAGCAGGTCTTTCGACTGCCTTATCATATGCATGCACATTGCATTCCGAATGCAAGTACGGGACCGAGATACCCGTTCATCCTGTCATTCGAGTTCCAAATGTTGCAGATGCTGCAGGTATATTGCAAATGCATGTTGTCCGGAAAAGGCCAGTTTAGTTCGAAGACAAGTGTATCGCGCTCCGATCAGATTTCTAAAATTTCAATTGATCGAGTTTCGATTCTAGGTTCTAGTCATGTCTTATCTGATGTAAAGAAATATTGATCATGCCATAGCTGCATTACAAAGTTTACTGTGCCAGAGAAGCACAATCTTCAGTGGTAAAATTTTTTTCTTCCAACTGCCGTGTCGTATACGTACTGTTTTATTTTGAATCCTAAGGAATTTTTTGGTTCTCAATCACATTTCTGATGTCGCCCCAAGCTCTGCCTTGTTGGTATCATTTTTGATACGTATAAAATTTTGGGATACTATCTTGAGCCCACGCGCGATAGGAAGCCCGGATTGATATCCTATTGACGAACTGGACAGCGAGGGCGGTATCCTTAAATTACACAAAAATTATCATATACTATTCGATGTTGAATCTAAATTCTATGTAAAGAGAAAAGGTGTATACGTACTATAAATAACGCCGCTTTGATGAATCTCAATGGTAAGTATTACTAGTTAATGTACAGTATACATTTGATCTTAATATATTAGTACCATATGTATACGTAGATGTACTGCCCCAAATGGAGCACAGTATGATACCATGTGGGTAGATACTTGATTAAACACGTTCCATAGTACGAAAGGACAGTGAATGGTAGATATAATCTGTAGATATCATATGTAGCTGCATTAGGTATTTATAAAATACCGTGCCGGAAAGGGTTGTATTTTGAATACCAGTGGGATAAATCATTGGCAATGTATAGGTTTGAATATCATTCTAATGCCTACTGAGGCCTAAAATACAGGTTTATTTCAGTAGTACTACGATTAATCGTGTTAATACCGTAGTCCTGCCGTAATAATAACACCCCATTTGTCGGCATAGTACCCAATATAGAAGTTAGAATAAAACATTTACAATACATGTGCGTAGGCCGTATGGGACCGGATAGGGGCCTATGGAGGCCGCACGTGCGAGTCACGTTACTAAGCCTGGGCGCCTGGCCAGCTGGTGACAGAGGAAATACTCTGTACACAACTGTTCAAGGTGCTGATTTATACTATGTTACCAATTGCTTAGCCTCAGAAACAGACCATATGGCCATAGAAGGTGTCCCCTGAGGACCCGAGTCGGCCGGTTGTATAGTTGGTAGATCGACATCGCGAGAGTAAAACACAGATCGGTGAAAATGCAACAAATATAAGAATAAATCAATAATCGTCTACATATATATACGCCCAGGAGAAGCTAATTTATATGTAATAAATCTAAGGATTTTGAAAGCAACGAGCACCTTAGCTTAGCCATTGAAGTACACATACCGACTTATATCAATACCAGCCCGTCTATTCATCGTCTCCAAGAAACGTGAAAAGTTAGAGCCGGTCCACAAGTGCATACACGGCAGTAAACAAGATTCCAAGGCTGTCAGCCCAAAGATATCGAGATGGTACAGCATGACGATGACGCCGTAATAACATTTTCCGAACGATCTCTTAGTCTGCGCCAAATGGCAGCCGCAATTTCAGATGACAAAAGTGGCCTCCCTCCGGATGACTGGGTTGTGCCACCATGTGTACATCTAGACCCAGTAGAATGGAAATATTATGTGCGTGAAGGTAGATTACAACGGTCAGAAACTAATATATTCTGGAGCGAACGGAAGCAAGATTTTCCTCATCTCCTATTCGAAAGGACATCCAACAGGGAACCTGGCACTTGGATCTGTGGGTATTATATACTGAAGGCAGAACTTGGCTTCGAGATTGGAGCTGCCTCACGATCAGATCCACTCTGGGGTTGTGTCATCGGATTGATAACAGGGTTTCACGGTCTGAGAAGGAGGCTAGCTAGAGACTATAGGCGCTGTCAGGTCGACGTCAATAATATTACTTATGAAGGCACCGGAAATATATTGTACGACGTGATATTATCCCCTACGGACGGATTGTTCATCGTCTACAAATCGAATAGGCCCCATGATCCTGCGCCAATTCAGCAACAATACACCCCGGAAGGCCGTCTCATACGAAGCGAAGCTTCTCGGACTGCTACTTGGGGCGATATGATGTATTCTATCTGGTTCACCCAAGTTTTCGCCCATGACCAACCTCCCGAGGGAAGTGACCCCGGTCCGCGAAGTAGACTGCAGCTTCCCCCACGGCCTGATGTTGGATCACAGACACCCTCGTCTCATGAACCTCATTCTGGAAACTCGACTTCGGAGAGCCCTCTGGCACCCCGACTTGATGGACTATCGGTCATCATCTTTCGAGGTATGGACAATGTTAAGGGACTTCGAATTATCGACGAAGGGTACAACAAATTGAAATTGTGTCGCGAACTCGATACATTGCGTGTTACGCATTTAGACAAGCGTATTAAGTCACTGGTTTTCGATACTTTATTGATGGTTCCAGGGGTCTGTGGTATGCATGAAATGCTTTCTAGGCATTGCAATGCGCTCAAGTTCAAGTTTATCGAGGAGATAATAGTTAAATATTCGAGGGATGGAGGAGTCGAGGGTAGGATACTCCCTACAATCATGCTAAAGTTGGGGAAAACGAAACTACCACTTGAAGGTCATGGGCATACGTTAATGTAAAAAGGAGGAATGAGTCGGTCTGTTACTCGCTCCCTAGGGATTATAAGTCTCACATGAGGTCTTATCACTATCAGTATTTGCATTACTAAAGGCTTTAAGGATGTCCGAATATGAAATATTAAAACTTATGAAGCTTGGATCCATGTATACCCTAATTTGAAGTTCATGAATTCAATTCGCGATATCTTTTTTAGACACAAGATTGAAGCTGTCATTGGGTGTACACACATGGCCAATTCTTGAGGATTCGATGGCTTTCCAAAGAAAATTTGCCCCCATAACTCTTTCTGACGTTAGCTAGTTCGTTCCGCTAGCCAACTCTATAGCTTATATTTTAAATTTTCAAAGCTAGGGTTTTCAAAGATAAGTATGCGAGCGTCTGGCTCCGAGACTAGGTTTAATGTGACTACAATCCTATGGATGAGACCATTTCGTTTCTAGAATATAAGTATATATACGTATATATACGACTTCGAAGCCTTTGGCCCGTTCGTTTCGTTTAAATTTAGATGCGGATTAAAAGCTAGTAAGATTGAGGCAACAGGAATGACGAATCTAAAAAGCAATAATTCAAAAGGATCGCCGATTTTTATTATTGCATAATATCAAATCCGATAATAGCCATATGCTATGCTTGAGCTCTAGGAAGATATTGTCCTCGACATCGCATGCGCGCAGCGGCCAGCCGTGAGTGATCTGGTAGGTGACAAATATCTGTTGTGTTGCCGGCTGTTGGATATTATTCGCTGGGTATCGATCCGGTCAGTCAACCGGGCCGGTAAGTAAATCTAGTTACGGACCATCTTCCATATCTAATCAATGGCCCCTTGCAAGTTGGGATTCTATAAATCAGAGGGGCCGACTGTGGGGGATATGGTTGAGCATCCGCCAGATGGTCGTATATTGTCTTATTTAACGGTAGAAGTTAAGAAATTTGGTTTCACTCAACAATGGGAAAACTACCTGTAGTTGCTGTAGCGGGCGGAACTGGAGTTCTTGGGAAGGAGATTGTCAGGTTTGTATAATTTAAAATTGGATCCAATTTGGAGACGGGTGTGTCTTTCGTTTCTACCTTTCTAACTTCGTGGTGTAATAATAAAGAGCTTTGCTTGATCCACAGTTCCGAAGCAAGTACCAGGATGTTATCCTTCTCACTCGAAATGCCAACTCTCCTAGCGCTCTAGAGGGGATTAGCAAAGGTGCAATTGCCCGGGAATACTCTACGGACAATAGCCAGTCCATTGCAAATGCACTCAACGGTGTTGATATTCTTGTCAATGTGTAGGCGACAAAAACTCCGGATCTCCCAAATAGTCAGGTCGAATGATCCGATCTAACCGTGGCTATTAATATAAATTTAGGGTTGCTCCCGTTGACAAAGAATTCGAAAACAAAATTGCCGCCGCCGTCACGTCACCCTCGTCCAATGTCAAGCTTTACCTTCCTTCGGAATTTGGAGTGGAGCATTACCTCCATGACTTCAAACACGCGGTATGGGGTAAAAAGAAAGCACACGTTGAAGCCGTAAGCGGGCGGAAAGATCTGAAGCTATGCCTAGTTTTCCCAGGTCTATTTACGGAATACTCAATCGGCCCATGGCTCGGATTCAACACCAAGGAAGGGAAATATGAATTCATTGGATCCGGAGACACGCCTGTTTCATTCACATCGATTGTGGATATCGGCAACGCGGTTGCGAGCGCTCTCGCAAATATTCCAATCCAAAGTTTTCCTGAGAAGTTGTATTTCTCGGGTGATCCGGTTACTTTGAGACAAGTAGCTGAGCTTATGAAAGCCGCTGGTGCAAATGAGGTTGAGGTTTCGAACCTAGATCTGGTGGAGTATAAAGCCAAGACTATCTCGACTGAATCGGATCCTGCGGCGTGCTTGCGGTTCCTTATGGCGGAAGGGAAGATTAATAATGAGAAAAATGATAATGAGCTTGTTAATCCGGGCGGGAAGCTATGGAAATGGAGAACAATGAAGGAGTATGCTCAGGAAACTCGAGGCCGGCCTTGGGCAAACCTCTGACTGAATGAAATAGAAGGCTCTTTGATTGTTAGAAGCAAGGCAGTCTCAAAGGCGAGAATGAATACTAATGTTATGTTTGTTCAGAATTTGTAATTCTTTGAGATAGCAGTTTTGTCTTGATCAATATATCACCTAAAGCGTGTCCATAGCGAACGTCAGGTTTCGGCAAATCCCTTGATTTTATCGATATCAAACTTGATCCATGGATCCATTATTAAGCTTGGCAAATGAATATAACATAACCCGTAGGCTGGCAGCCGCATACATTTCGTATCGAGTTTGCCACAATTGCAAGTGGGATATCGTATCTGCGATAGGCATGCTTAGTTGTTCCTGCGGCTGAAGGCCGTTCTCCGCAAGTGTGTCGCGTAATATCTCCAGATTTAATATTTCGAAATTTCGGCTTATCGAATCGATCTAGAACAAGGCCAACATTGATACTATCTTCTTAAGCAGTAACTTGTCAATTTGTTTGTTCCAGCCTCCAACATATGAAGTTCTTCGAATCGAGTTTGTTAGTTGTCTGATCCGCTAGGAAATCGATTGATTGCACCTGGAAAACTTCAATGAAATTGCAAGCAAACAAGCTCTGAATGGAATCTGACGCTGCACTGGACCGGTTACGATCAAAAACATTAGGTACGGCAAAATCAGACGGGTTCTGGCAGCAGAATCCCAGGTTTTGAAGGATCAAAATCTGCAAGCCGGCTTGTCTTGGCGCACGTATTTTCAACTGATTGATCCCGAAGTTTTTATGGCCTGGATGGGTCAATCCTACACATGAGGTATATTCTGTGGCTACGATGTAATACCGACCAAGGTCCTTGAATCGATCTCAACCTAGGCCGTCGGTTTTCGCTTGTGCTACCTATAAAATTGATGGTATGATAGCCCTGGTCCGCCAAGCTTAGAAAGGCACAGATGTGGGCTTTTGGCTGCATGGTCGGTTTACCTTTGGCGCCCGCTGCAGCTGAATTAATCAAAGTTGGGAAGCTGTGAGCACCGAAGCTGGGTATCCGGATATCGAGTCGGCGCACCTATTTAAACCAGCGCTTCTCTTCAAAGCCTAAAATATTGCCAGCAGTAGTCTCAACGAGCAGGATTCTCGTGATATTCAGTCTAGAATTCCGAGGGTTTAATTGGACTTTTTCTTTCTCAATCATCTCAATTGCAATTTTTTTTTTCTTTGACAAAATTGGTGCAAAATGGGTGTTTTATCAGCCCTTCGAGTTGCATTAACGGTTAGTGCCTTTGTAGTACAGTGTGCAACCATTCCACTGGAACACTCGCAGCACGCGGAGAAGATAAAGCTTGCTACAAAATTACTATTTTCGCGACAAGCAGATCCTATCACAGAATATGATTTTCGTTTTGAAACATTAACGCCGTCAGAGACACTTCAATGGGTGGATTGTTATGGATCCTTCAAGTGTTCTAGGCTCAAGGTTCGTTCTTTGTGTGATTCATGTCTCCAACGGGGGGGGGGTTTCCAGGAGGGTTTCCGGATTATTTGTAAGGAATCATGAGTTAATATGGGCTATGAATATAGGTCCCGTTGGACTACCAAGATCCCTCCAAAGGCAGCGCCGCAGTTGCCGCAATGATGTTGCCTGCGGACCCTACTGTGCCTTTTCGAGGAACGATCTATTCCCATCCAGGGGGTGCAGGCAATCCGAGTGAGCCGTTCTTCATCGGAGTGGCTCAGATATTCCGAGACTATATCCTCGAACCCGGTTGGAACTTTGTGACATGGGACGCAAGAGGTGCTGGTCAGACTACACCAACTCTCACATGCTTTGAGACCCAAGAAGAACGATATGCATTCCAACAGCGCCAGCGGGCACTGCCGGCCCTCACTAAGGCCACCTGGCCAGAGTATCAAGCATATTACCGCGACTATAACGCTAAGTGTCAGGCTCTAAGCGGAGATGTGATTCCATACATCGGCTTCATCCAGACAACTCGAGACTTGGTTAGCCTTGCTACTGCAATGGGTCAAGATAAGATAAACCTTTGGGGGTTCTCGTATGGTGCCAATATCGGCGCGTTGTTGGTCGCCTTGTATCCCCAGAAGGTTGGAAAGTTGGTTCTTGATTGTGAGTTATCTCAAGTTCCTTCGATATATCATTTATGATTGTTTAACATGACTGACATTCGTAATCGGTACTAGCCGTCGGCAAGATCCATGAACGTTTCGCCCCAGGCACAAGCGTTGAGTTTGAGCTTCGAGATCATTGCAAGATGGTTGAATATTTCCTTCAGGCTTGCCACTCCACAGGAAGCACCGACGGTTGTGCCTTCTATTCTCCCAACATTGCTATCATGCGCACTCGCCTCGAAAACATCCAGAAGAAGCTAGTCACAAATCCAATCACAATGACCAGCCCACCAGGCAAATATAGCTCTGAAAACTTCAAACAAAATATGTTTGCTTCACTACCTGGTCTCGCTGGAGGTGCAGCATATTTGTGGCCAGCGCTAGGGTACCTCCTTGCCGATGTTGAAACTGCACTGGCGGGAGGAGCCATCGGTGGTACTCTGGCAAGTTTCTATCAAGGTGGATTTGCCGCCATTGAGCCTAGCCCACCCGTCGACGGCAGACAGCAGGGTTCAACGGATTCGCAACTCGGAATTCCGTGTACAGATTCGGGACCTCTCGGTAGCATCACACAGAAGGAGTTCGAAGCGCTACTTTCGAAGTTCAATAGGAAGGATCCGAACTTTGGTACTTTGTTTTTGCAGAACTACCTTGTCTGCACCGGTAAGTTGAAACATTCTTTGTTGCATTTTTTAGTGGTTAGTGCGTTGTTGGATTGTGAAAAGCTAATCGTACATATGTATATCCGCGTTTTGGTAGAATGGACTGGTGATAATGTCGAGAAGTTGGACTGTAAGCATCCCAAATTGAATGTTTTATCGAATGGGGTTTATTTGTTCTAATGATTTGGCTTATATAATCAGTTGCCCTACTGGACCAAAAAACCGACAATACTATTACTTTCATTTCTCATAACATCGATCCGCTTGGACCAGTTGAAGGGTAAGCCAGACATCCCGATCGATATTGATGATGTAGCCGCGCATATCTTCTAACCCTAATCCAAAAACCTAGTGCGAAGAGCATGAGCAGGAAATTCAGGAATTCGAGAGTAGTCACAATCGACGCGGTCGGGGTAAGTTCACCAAACGCCCAATGAGACTATCAAAAGGAACACGTGCTAATACCCTCCCTTATCAAATACAGCACACGCAACTGCTCGGCCCTAACTCCACGCCAGCATATATGATTGTTCACGATGTCTTCAATGTCCCAAATTATAAGGCACCGAGAGACCTTGTGTTAAAACCTGATGCAGGGACACGAGGCTTTGGCTATGATGCCTCCACTTTCAACCTATAGCTTAGGCGCGGTTCGTGAGTTGGGGGGCTCCGAGACCCCAAAAAGTGGGGGTGAATCTACGAAATGTCTATACGCAGCCTTGTTTTAGGAAATACTTAAGTAATATCGGCGATTGTAATAGTAATTTAATGATAAAGAACTAGTAATTGGATACTTAAAAGTGAGGTTTGAATGATACCGAGTGTGCATCGAATTTTCGAGTTTTAGTTTTCTTAATTTAAAGACGGGATCGGGGAGTCTTCCTTGATCTTGGATCTAGGAGCGTGTATCCGCCCCCTCGAATTCGTTTGGTTGGCCGGACGATTGTAAAACCTGCGTCTCAAAGGCACAGCATTCAAGCGGATTTTAGAAATATAAGTCGCAAAACTCGGCGCTAGAAAAAGGAGAGCAAAACCACAAGGGCCTATGATTCCGTTCACTCAATACGATTCTACGGTGAGTGGCTATAGGTGAAGGTGAAGGTGATTCAGTTTTCTACATGTAAAAAAAAACTCCATAGATTGATTGCCGCACGCTAACACTACGCCATGATTACTTGGTGGGAGGCGTGCCGGCACATACCCATGTAATTGCATATGCAGCACTTGCCCCTTCGATTCCAGCCCCATACAGTACAGAAATACGGCCACAGCTAGCTGCAAGTCCAGTTCTCATTACGGAGCTCTCGGACCTAAGCCCTCGTTGTTTCGGACACCCCGATTTCAGACAGAGAAAAAAAACTTCGTATACCCGCTTAACGCCGATTAAGAAACTTCTGAATGATATTATTTATCTGGGGAAATACCTGGGAAATATAATGCAGAATTTACGTCATTATGTGTATGGTATTGAGGCAAAATTTGACTGTCTATCCCCGCACCCACGAACCAAAATCTTTGTTCCTCTATGTAGATAAGACATACATGTAAATTTGCGCATCAATCGAAGGGAACCCTGTAATGTAATCATGCGGGGGATAGATTGCGGATCTGAGATCAAGGTCGCACAATAGATGATCATCTCAGCTCTGCATGGTCACTGAATCTAGCCCGATGGGGTGGATAGTTTTGTGGGAGCTAGCGGGGCTATCCCTGGAAGGATATTGGCCGCAAGCGCCCTTTCTTATTGGCTTAAGCTTGTTCTATAGATCGACCGCATTCCATAGTTGTTTTTTACCTTGAAAATGCAAGTATTATGATATATATTAACCTGCGAGATTCCCCCCCCAAAAAAAAAGTGAGGTCATAGATTTCAGGATCTAAGATTTCGATTCTCAATCTGCGGAGGGCGTATACGTATAGTACAACTCAATTATATGGAACATCAATTGTTCTCCGTTGCACTGGATGTATTGCATTGGTGTCGCCGCAGTTTCGAACGAACGTACTTGATTGTAGAGTGGTGTTGGTGTGTTATATTTTCGACAATTTTGTGTAACAGGATTCCTGGTTGATTGTAGCCTTTTAGCCTTGCTTTGCTTCTGTATGGTATTGATAGGCGGCATATTTTGCCGCTACAGTCACAAAATACTAGGTACCTAGTCCGTCAAACGATTGAGGTATTACGACTACGAAGTTCTAGAGTCTTCTAACAGTGCGATTCCAACCGTGAGCTGGTCACAGCCTCGTTTCCTAGCCTGGCTGTCGCGCGGGGTATTTATACATGTTGCATTTTTCATGATTGCTATTGGATATTCGGTAATTTGCACCCACGATTCGATAGCCTAGGTCTCACATTGCTATAGTTCTCTTAACATCTTAGGAACCCGAGACCCAGTCTCAAACCCTCTTGCCACTATTTTATCCGGCTCGGAAACTCGGTTGATCTCATCGAGAAGCTTGATCCATGGCAGCGTTTAAGTGTAATGGGGTGACTCATCAATTAGGAATCACTCAGCTGAAGAGATTTTCAAAAAGGGAGAGCCATCTTCAAAAGTCCATCAACTTGGGGCGGAATGGGTCTCAGGTTCTTCCCATGAAGCGGTGTTGGCACTTTTCGGACAGACTATTGATCGAGAAGAAAAAAAAAGAATAGATGTTGTCCGGCTAAGTTGGTGTCAACAAGTTTGTCAAGTATCCAAGAGTGGATAGTTATTCTTGATGTCTTTCGTGTGCCTTAGTGATTGGTTAGGTAAGTGAACTTGAATAGTTGTTTGTGGAGGCCTCTTACCTATGGTGAGGTGGCAGATCCTGAGTATGTTGGCTTCCTGCAAGCCGAAATTTCGAAATCCTATGTTAGGTAGACTTAGGAAACAAGCCGCATATATCTTGTTGTCACATCCACTTCCCCAATCGACGGTTCTTTTGATGTGGCAGATAGAAGTCAGTGGGTCTCTAATTGTGCCCAAATTTCAATATGATCTCGGATAGAGCGTTTGGAATTGATATATTGGTTGAGTTTATACGTCGCGGATGCAGCTGGCGGGCGGCACATATGAACACTGGGTGAGGCTAGCTAGTTTATACGCATATTTAGTTAGCTAATTACATCATTTTCGAGATCGGAATGGGATTTTTATGCATTAACTAACGGCAACAAAACTTTACTAGCATAAAAGCTAGATTAGTTGTACAATTGTACAACCTTAGTTTTCCCTGCATGCTGTGCATGCGCATGTATATATTAAGGGGTTCACGAACTACCTCGGGACCATGTCTGGCTCCACACCAGGAAGCGACCCCCAGACTATCAGTAGGACCTACGTCGTCACGTCGTACGTTAGCCTATTTCTTCCAGTGGAATAACTCGTAATTTTCGGGGAAGTTCGAATTGCTGCCGGAGTTACCTTCTCATTCGATTCTATGACCTTATTCGTAGCCAACATGCGCATGCATATGTATCCTACATATGATATCGTAGATGCAAACTTGTTGATTTATCCAGTCCGGATCTCGGTGAACTCATGAAACTTTGCATGATCCTAGGATCCTAGGAATGAGGCCTTGTTTCTGCAAGACATCAGCAAGAGCCCTGCAGTCCTAATATGAGAAGGTATTCAAACCTTTAGGTATTGCCACGTCCTCCCTGTTGTACTGAAGTCCAAAGCCCCACGGGCTCGAATTCGAGTTCCAAAGATGCATTTGATTCTCCACTATATCTGATCGAAAATCTCGGTGGCTGGGTATCTATAATTTGAAACTCCGGAAAGTTGCTAGCTAAGCTACGTTTGGTCAGCCTTTTTTTGTCTCAATTCCTATGTTTCGTTGGAAGAAGTTAACTGAAGTCATTTGAATCTCAGATTGACGAGCGCTAAAAGCTTCGCTAGAGGTACTTACGGTTAAAACCAGTACGGATTCGGTGTGTCCTTCCGATGATAAGGTGGTGCAAGACCTTGGAATGTTCGAATATCGATATATATATATATATATACCTATATATCTCCCGAGGCTGAGATAGAGAATATCGCAATTCCTATGCGCGAGATAGGCCGGCAGGGTAGCTAGTTAAAGTGATAGTATATAGTATACGTATATACAGGCATGTTTGATGATATCCTTCGGATATCTAGTAAAAATTCTAGGTAGAATGAGATCTAGAGGAAGGAACTCCGGAAATGCCCCGGCTGGGTCGACGAAATTAGTGTCTGTTGGATGTTAACATGTTTAGATTGATGAAGTGTAGGTCTGAAGGGGTTAAGGTCAAGACTAGGCCATAGCTAGCGTGGGTGACTTAGTTAAGGAATTTGAAAAAGTAGTCCGATTGCATTGTGGGGGGTGCACTGGTGAGGCCAAGCTAGGTGTACATATTGGTATGTTAAGCTAAGAGGAAGGGGGAATGATCAATGAATCGATCAAGCTTGTCGAGAACTATCATGTCAGACGTAACTACCTACTTAGGTAATGTTAGTCTGGTGGATGGACACTTCAAAAGATGCACCATGGCCATGTACATAGCGCGCTGCATGCATGGAACATACTTTACTTACACATGTACGTACACTCGCGTCGATGCATATGCGATGTACATCGATGAGGTACGTATACAAATTTTTAGGACGAGAAGAAGAAAATTAATTAGTTACTAAATAGGTAATTTACATATCACCGGTAGGATATGCACATATGTACGGTCTCTCATGCGTTGATTTAACTCATCCTCGATCGAATTCGAATGGAGTGAGAAATTCTTTCTTTTTAAATTTAGGTAGATATCCTGGAGAGGATAACCCCCCCGCCCGAATACAGTCAGGCTCAACCGTTGCATTATTCATAAGATTGGTGTCCGTTAATGATGACCTGACTGACACATATGCGGGTTCAGAATGTGCACAGTGTCCACTGATCGATTATCCGGGATATCCCCGAGCGGATAGGCACACGGCTTTCAACATACGTTCCGAGCAATTTCGAACTGGATTTCCATGATCATATGAAACTAAGGAAAAATAAAACAGAAAAAAATGATTTATTCATTTAACCCTTTTTTCTTTTTTTTTTTCTTCTTTCCCCCCCGTTCCAAGGCAGAGCTGAGCATCCCCAGATTAATTCTTTCCTAATTTTTGGGATTTTACTTATTGTGTCCATCACGTGACAAAAATACGTGAACAAAACTGTTTCGTGGCGTGGGAGGCATATGGGAGCTCATGCTCAAGTTAAGAGGTACTAAGAGGCATGCGCGCTCTGAGGCATCCTATTGTATATATAAAGGCCAGCGAAACCGCTCTCCCATCCAAATACTAAAATTCACTTGCAATTCACAGTCCATACCTTCACAGTTCAGTCCACCAGGATTACATTTGATATTTATGGAAAATTTGCCCCCGTAAATTCAAATCTAGGGCGTAACTCCCTGTGTAATAATCCTAAGCCTTTGATCCAGCTGGTTCAGCCTATTGTAAGTGTTCTTTTGAGCCTCACAATCAATCCTGCCAGTTAGGTTCCTGGGGTGCCCAACTGAAGGAGCTAGTGTGTGCCCTGTTTTCGGCGAAATGACTTCGAATCCTTGATCCACATATACAGGACTCGAGCTTATATTATTTCATCATCATCATTCAGGATCCACGATACCCACCTATAAAACCGTCTCTTCCCCCGAGCTGGCAGAACGTACGTACCTAAGAAACTTTCCGTTCCTCTCTTTCGCTCTCTCTCTCTCTCCGACCGAGTCCGCTCACGATCTTCCGGTTCTCCCCCGCGTTAAAGCCCAAATATGACAAGCCGTGTGCCTCCTTCATCCGCATCACATGTGCAAATGATGCTACTGTCTCTCCAGCGGGATTCCGATTTAACCTGGAACAAGCCGAGACTTCTCTTTCTTAAAATCACAGGGAACGAGGAGCCGGCAACTACACCAATCGAAATAGCAAAAACCCTGACACGGCTGCCCTATAACGTACGAGAGTTAATGCTCAACGCTATTGATACGAAAAACCGAACACGAACCGACTCTCAAATTTGGACGATAGCAAATCTCTGGACTTGGTCTAAGAAAAGCTCCGGTGAGAACAGCAACGAGGATCCGGCGGAGACCCTGCAGGATGTTATTGCCTATCTTACCCTGGTTCAAAGTGAGGAACTTCCAGGGTACGCCGAAACCAAATAGATGGGCTAGGGGGTCGTCGGCATCCTCTATAAGATGGAAAATTAGTGGTATCTTGTTTGCAGCGCTTTTGTTTTGTATTTTCAAAAAATATATGATTCCTTCAATGGGATTCGTTTCCTTAAATTGTCAAGTTTGTTTTGAAATCATTCTTGTAGCGTGGTTCTCCCCTCATCCACCTAATTATGGACCTCGCAATCGCTACTTCGCCACCTGTCAGCCTATTCCTGCAGAAACTCAGCCATTCATTTCGCGTCTCAGTAAATTGATATTTATGCTATGGGGCGGCTTGTTTGTTTCACTGATGATATCTAGCTGCACTTCTGGTAGCTATGTGTACATAAATTTCTGTCCTCGGGTTTTGAAGAGGCAGGGAGGTGTATTTTCGCACAAGTCAATTGTAGCATGCGTTTTTCATGATACCCAGGGGCGAGACCAACTGAGTCTGGTAGATCAATCAAAATATCAAAATTCACAAGGAATTCGAATCCTAAAAAGATATATAGAGAGCTCGTAAGGACTCAAATAGGAGCTGTGTAAACCCCTTCCGACGATTAGGCAACATCCCACTGTGAGATACGCATGTATATACGATTTACAAGGTCATATGTCGTTTTTTAAAACGCGTGAAATAAATATTAAATGCCAAAAGCGCAGAATAGTTAACGTTATTTTAAACTCCCAAGTATGCACTTTAATATGGCATGCTCTAATATGCATATGTCCAAAAATGTCAATATCGTTATACACGTTTCCCACGCTTCATCCCACGTGAAACCCTTGCTCGCTGCACGATCGCAATTAGTTTTGAATATTCTGGGGCACTAGCTCGACTAAATAGCCATCAGGATCTGAAACAAATGCGATTTGATCCAAAATTCTTCGGTAACTTGGATGGATTGCCCCCTTCCCTATGCCCTTCTCTTCTTCGTATGAACTGAGTGGTATGCTTTCTCTAGTGGAAATACCAAGCTCTTTTAAAACTTTCACGCCTGCCCCCTTTAGTCTTTCTAACGCAGATTTTACATCAGGAATGGTAAACCCAATCTGCCCGAATCCTAAGTGTGGGGCATCGTTCCCTGTCGAATAATGTCCGTGGGGCTGCTTCTCGGAACCGTGAATATGGTAAAGTTCGAGTAAGCCTAGTGTATGTGGTAGGACGCTACAGGTTTTCTCTCCCCAGGCTTGCAAATCAGATCGATCTGTGTCTGTCTGTGGATATCCGAGATAGTAGATTGTAAAAGGACCGGTGTTCATGGTGAAAACTGTGCGCATCCCCATTAAATTGACGTAGAAGTTGAGGGAGGCTTCAGGATCACGGATTCTAAGCATCAGGTGATTAAGTTTATACCCTATTGTGGGGTCTGAAGGTGGTAATGGAGGGTCTGTCCGATAAGTGCTGCCATTTGGCAGGAATTCGCCTGCAGGAAATGGAGACGGAGAGTCGGTCATGATTGTTCCGTTTGGGGATAGCTATAGCTGTAGGTTCGGGTGGAGAATAGTCTTGTGATTGAATTCCTTTTCTCTTCTTTTTTTTACTATATCTTCAAGATTCCATGGATGCCGATGCGATGCGATGCGATGAGGCGGTGGTTTGAAAATTGGCAGCCTAGTCTGCGCAGGCGGCACGTCGCGGCGGCGATGACAGAAGTGTAGTAAATTATGAATAGACGTGTGGATATCCGTGGGGGTCGACAGTTCTAACGTAAATATTAAGCCGACCGGCTTATTTAACTGACAAATCTATCAAATCCTACTACTTCAAAGCTTCGTAAACTCGTATCGCAATGTGTAGTTTTAATTGTAGAAGTATTGTGGCTTATATGGGGTATGTATATATGTGCTTGTGATATAGATGGAGATTCTGAAGTTCTCGCTTGAAATGCGCAATGCAATGCAGAATTGTCAATTGCAGAAGGATTGGATTATAAACAAATTGTAGAATCCGAACGCGAAAGTTATACAAATAGTGTATTCCCAAACCTTCAATCTGGGGCAGTGGGGCTATCCCGACAGCTAAGCTCCAAACATGGTGTAGCGGCTTTCGGATAAGAAAGTTCTTCGGATCGAGAAACACGGTTATCAACTACATCATCTGTGTTGCTGTTGTGTTTTTTTTGCGTGTAACACCGGACCCAACACAAATCGAAGGGAATTGTGGCGCGGGTGGCTATTACATGGAAGTAATTACATCTTCGAGGCCCATTGCATTGTCATACGAGCTACAGTTACGGGATCAAGGGAATTTACTTGAAAATGCCTCGTCGATAGCCTTACTTACCTTCAATATCATGTCCAACATACAGCTAGCTTCAACCCGCGGGCCCGACGCCTAGCCTCATAATATCTCTCATATGGACCGGTATGGCTCTAGCTAAGAGCTCTGTGTTGTTCTACAAGGCGGCTACCTCTTTACGATTCGATTGCAATTGGTAAGAGATCTAGGTAATAACTTAAGACGGTGCAGTGGCGGTGACACATATGCCTGGGAAACGGGAGGATTTGAATGAGGCAAAAAAAAAAAAAAAACGAGGATTCGAGGCTGGGTTACGAGACTGAGGCGATATATTTCTGGATTCATGGATGTATAATCGCGCACACAGATTCATATGATATCGATTCGGACTCGGGCTCGTCTCCCATGACCAATGGTATTGTTTATCATGTGTCTTAGTCCGGCTTGGCCCCGCGGCCCTAAGTTAGATTCTAGAACTATCGATCATATCCTGCAGCAGCTATATACCCCGCCGCCGCCACCATGGCTGCCCTGCGGGCAAAAATACCCCTCTTTCGTATGATCATCTACGTGTAGATAATCAATGATTCTTTGGTAGATATGTGGTAGGCCGATAGGAAGATAGAATTATTTTTCATATATAATATACTCAGCTGATATCGATATCTATAGTCTCGGCGGCTAAGTCGGGTTCGGTTTTGGACTTAGTATCCTCTCAAAGCTAGCCATCCTAACTCAAATATTTTGAAAACTCCACTCGAGTGTGCGCCAGCACATAAAATATATTCCTCAAGTAAACAGGCCCGTTAACCGGCTGTTTATTTGTTCTATATACTGATAACAACGGTTTATTTCTAAATACCCCGTGCCTCGAATTCAGCTGCTCTTGAGCTCAGCCAACGCCACCATGCATTGGAGACCGCCTGAAATATAGCCGGTATCGTAGACGACATAGATCATCAAAAAGAGGATTCAACATACTGTACACCAAGCTACCCTTGCAAGTTAACTGCAGACTAGCTTTTCGTATGTATGCCGTGCCAATTTTTTCCCACTTATTAGATATTCAGATTCACTAATGAGATTAGTCACATTTGCCTTCAATTCAACTGCTCATGTAGGATCAATCAATTGAACGTAGACTATGAGATCATGATATCATCGTACATAGACATAGCCCAATCGCAACTGCAATATTCTATGCATACTTCCGATTCATTCGCCCTAATCTATGCACGCAAGAAGAGTCGACTCGGCATGCATAGCTTAGGTTAGTCTCAATACCAACTGACCTATTAATTCTGAACAGCCTTATGTTATCATGATCATGATATATCGATAAGAAACTGCGGCTGCGGGTTCTTCCGGATGATAAATCTACCATATATATATGCGCATATGCATGTACGAGAATGCATGGATCCATGGAGTACGAAGTTGTGGCTTTGTCTCACTCCAGTCAATTAGTACACGGCACGTTAGCGTTAGCCCCGAGGCTGGTCAATTAGGATCTTAGAATCATTGGTCCTGAATTTTTTGATTACCGCGATATCATGCATGCGATGTGGGAGGTTTGAAATTTCTTCACAAACTTTGTTACATATATATAATCATTATGTTAGGTGTGCTAGAGTCGAGTCGATTACTCCATATCACGATCGTTTGCATATCAGTAGAGCTCTTCATCAAGATGTGAGAATTGATTCGCTGAATTAGGTAAATCTGAGTTGAAAAAATGCGTGAGATTTATCGTTAGGCAAAATTCAGACTTACGCGAATATGCACTAGTATATTAATATTCAACAAGTATCCAGCTGCGCAAGGAATTGTCTAAAACAGGAACCCACCCCAACTATATTCGAGATCTGTCCGATCGATCGTGATTGAATGATTCCTTTTGAGCTTTCCTAGCAATCCTAAGCAATCCTAGCGAACTTAGCTGCAAATCCTAATTAATAATTATCAGGATCTAAAAACCCTAGCGTAAATATAGTCTGGTGGAGCTCTATGTGAACGCTAGGAAGCGATCCCTAGACTAAGGTAAATACTATGAGACCTCCGGTTTAGCTAAAGTTACACAGACACAACTGGCTCGCGGTCGGTATCCAATAGGACATCGTGCTGCATACGATCACGATATGATCATACGTTATACACGGGATACTGATCCTTTTTCTAGCATGCATGACCGCGCGACGTATACATGAAAGCAACCAGTCTTTAATTTAGAGGCCTCGGCCGAGGAACTTCAGGGCTGGGTAGCATCTGACTAGGGTAAACGAGGTCGCGGGGTATACTAAGTTCCTATTGACATCGCACAAGGAGGGGGTCGCGGAAATCTTAAGAGCTAGCTGGAGCATCTACAACCTATATCAAAAATGCAACATCGTGATAACAAAAAACCGTTAGATGTCAATTCCGAAATGCCGGTTCTCATGCATAGTTTGAGTATTAATTGTAGGACATATAATATACATAACCATTTTTGTACCGATACTGAATCATTAAATGTGATACTTCTGATTTGCTTCCAATTTGAGTACACTGAGTTCGTGAATATTGGTAGGCAGTCGTGTACAGTTACATGCATGTGCGGGCTATAGCGCTATTCTTTTGTAGTGTTATCTGATTGGCCAATTAACTAACGGTATCCCAACATCAGAATTAAAACCCGGCCAATAATATATACGAGAAGGCTATATTCGAGCAGATATATATATAGGATAGCTGTAGATGCTATATTGGACTTTCAGGCTTGAGTGCCGGAACAAACTATTGGGTCTTATCCATCAATTACGCGACGCGACAGAGAGAATTAGGTATGTGGGGTAAAAGTGTACGTCTAGGCTCTAAAATAAGGGTTTTACTGCATTTTAATGGGGTAGACCACATATTTGGAGGTTATTATTACTTCTTGGGCTAGCTAACTATAGTACTACTCGCCAACGGTTTGACGAAGACAACGACTACATGTGAGGCCACGATTCGAAGCAGAATGATATTAGTCAGAGAGAATACTCTTTTGGACTATAAAATCTTGATCAACTATTCAGAGGAGTATACTAACCTCCAACACAGTACAACCAGCTCTAAATCTAGAGATACATAGGATTTGATTAAGAGCTCGAGCTTGAAGCACGCCGTCTACGAAATCCATCCACGCATGGCAAACAGTCAACGGTTACATTTTCGATGTAGGGAAAAGCAGCAGTGCGGTTGTAAAAGGAAAGAAGGAAGGCATGATAGCCTTGGCTCCCTAGATATGAGTCTAGAGTAGAATATTCGAATTGTGAGTGTTTTATCATGATTCGCGTACTATCAATCATTCCCTAGAATCTATAGATCTGGGAACGAAGGACTTACCACTGGGTTGTGTTGGTAGTGTGGCAGAATGTGATGAGGCTCGACGCCTCGTAAACTCGCCTGATATGTGGCCCTGTGGCGTGCGAAAGATGTACATATAGCTTGCAGCCTTGAGCCCTTGACTTTTCAATGTTATAGGATCCCGGCAGTGTGCGGAAAGGTTTACATGCACTTACGAGCCTGCGGCCGCGGCGGATTCGGAAGTGCCCCTGTGCTTTCTGTATTATTAATCATTTTAGACAGCGACTTCCGGTTAGTTGGAGCAAGATCTTGTCCAGATCCGTTGCCCTGCATGCAACGTCGCTGCCCTTTGAACACTAACTAGGCCAGCTTATAAGCCTAGTTATATATATATGTTATCGATGCCATGTATGGTTTTAGTATTCTGGAGTCGCTCATTTGTATGCGGTTCAGGCTATTAATGTCTGTTAGCAGACGTTTCTTTGTATGGGATGATACTGGAGACAAAGTTCGCAACTATCTCGGATCCGGAAACTGAGTTTTCCGACGGATTCAACTATCGATACAGGGATTTGGACCCTTCTTCTATACTTCTCCTACCAGGCGCCATTTTAGTTCTTACTGTTAGATAGGCGGCTCCAAGTGCCGTATTGTGGGAGAATATCGTGATATATTGACATGACAAGACTTAGCATACGTCAAGCCAACAGATATTCAATCAAGACGGAGGAGAAAGCCGAATTAATCGGTGATAGCATGGTGATAACAGCCAAGGGAATAGTGCCAGGGAATTTCAAAAAAAACGTCAGTTAAGAAATGCTTGTCATGAATCCGGGCGCTAGGGTAAGTTGACGTCATGTGGAAATGTTTGCTTGGTCGCTGACCAACCATATTGCAATTGCGCCAGGCGAACGGTAATGACCGGAATACCTTCATCCTAAAAAGAATCATATCGTGCTAACTAATTGATTAGTCTGCAGGCAGCTGAGTTATCATATCTGAGATGTCTGGGGAGCAAGGAGGGGTTCTGATTCTGGATTCAGAATTTTTCCATTGATTTATATAGTAATCCACTAGGTCCTGTAACTTTGTCGCTTTCAGACATCTATTTTTCTCTCACTCTCTAGATTTCTCTCCCTCGCCGCGCCATGCTTTCGTGATCTTGCTCCCACCTCTTTCGCTATCATATCTTTTCTCCGTTCGGCTTCGAAGCTTAGAATTTGAGATTTGAGACTCGAAATTTAGACGTCATCATGGCTAGTCCGAGTAATAGGCGACCATCAGAGCCAAGCCCCAGCCGATACAGTTCTAACAGCCCGGCCCATGGATACAGCTTTGCTGGGAGCAGCGCCTCTGGTGGCAACGCAGGTCTAGGTCTAGGTCCAAGTTCACCACACACTCAACACATCGACAACGCAGCAAGCACAGACAGCACTTTCCCCGTCGATAACCTCAACATTGAGCCTGTAAACACCTCCAGGCGGTTCTTTCCTCGTCGGCCGGTTGGTTCCAGGCCGAATAGACTCGAACTTACACAGTCAATTCCTTCGGTTGTCTCTTCGACAGGTGGTGTTCGAAATAGTAGAGCGAGCACTGTATCTGCGGCTAGTCGCCCACCGACAATTAGACTTCGTCGACTCCCTTCCAATCCCGATCTTAACAATGCTTATGGCCACGATCAAGCCCAGACTGCTCACCAAGCAGCTATGGCTCCTCAATCTTCAATGCACTTGAATGTTCCACTTCCTACACATACTAGGCCTAGGAGTCTGTCGGACCCGGCTCGGCACTCGTGGCTTAATGATCCTGGGCCGATCCGTTCATCCCAGATTATGTCTCCAGTGCAGGAAGTGCCTCCAGATTTCCCACCTACTCCTCCTCCGAAGATCCCATTTGCGAGCAACGGCCCTCCAGTTCCACCAAAAGAAGCACTGGAGGACGCTCCTATCCTACCTCTTGCACCAACACAAAGGCCGGCGCCGACTAGTCGTTTTAGTAGTGGGTTTTCCGTGGCAGGTGCAAGAAATTTACTAGGTATGAAGCAGAGGATGGACGATGTTGATCGCATGATGCAACCGCCTCCGAGGCTTCCTCAGTCTAGGAGGGAATATAATCAAGATGTCGTCGATTTGCTTGATGTAATTGGTACGTTACGAGTTACAACAAGCCCTATTTTTCATAGAGAGATGATATTAATATCAGAAATAGATCCCGAAGTCTCAACATTATCAACCCTTACAAACGTCCAAAATTCGCTTTTTATACCAAATCTAGGCAGTTTTATAAATAGACACCCAACTTATGACCTTTCATCCATCGCTGGTCGGGAATCCCGGAGAGGTTCCCGAGCCGAACAGCCAACCACCTCAATGATCGAAGATATACAAGTACCCCCGGAAGAAGAAGTTCCGCCCGAAGATAATGGAGCTCCTGTTTCGCCGGCTCTGCAGCGGCAGCGGAGTCGCGCTCTAAGTATAACATCGAATTTGACGGATTCCCATTATGCGGTTTTGCCACATGGAGTAACGATTGATGACTGGACGGAGGAAGAGAGAGCTATGCTTGACGACCACGTGCGACACCTTCTACATTCGAAACGTGAGAAATTCAAGCGAGGATGGCGAGGATTCAAACAATACGTAAAGCGACGTAAGTTATGCTTTCTATCCGAACTTATCAGACTGTTGCCCCTAACAGCATACATTTCTTTTAGCGTTGGGATTGTTCGTAACGATATATGCAACATTAATCACTCTTTTCGGTCTCGCCTGGGTTCTTTTCTTGATCGGTTGGATCTATGTTGGCGAAAAACAGCTTTACGTCATCAACATCATCGACAATGTCCTCGTCGCTCTCTTCGCTATTGTTGGTGACGGGTTGGCACCTTTCCGTGTCGTCGATACTTACCACATGATATTTATCGCCCGCTATCACTTCTTAACTTGGAAATTACGTCGGAAGCGGAAACTCCCCGAACTTCAAGATCACAACGACCTGCCCACTCGCCAATTCGTCTCGATGGAAGTTGACAGAGCCTCTGTAATAAGAGATCTTGAGGCTTCATGGGAGGAGCGTGATGAGTCGCCTGTGCTTGATGAAAAGCAACAGGAGCGATTTGAGCACCACTCAATGAAGTTTGCAAAATCGCATACCTATTATCGGCCACACGAGACACGTACTCATTTTGCCTTCCCTGTCAAGCTGTTGATTACGGTAACAATTCTTCTTGATTTCCATTCTATGTTCCAGATTACTCTTGGAGGTGTTACATGGGGTATTAGCTACCATCACCGACCTGCTGCTCTTACTGCAACTATACTCTCATGCTCTATTGCTTGTAATATTGCCGCCGGTATCACAATATCTATCGGGGATCGGATGACAAGGAAAAAGCGAATTATTGAGCAGGAGTTTAGGCAGGGTTTGACGGAGGAGGCTATTGGGCATGTGAAGAAAAAGGTACGGAAGGAGAAAGAGAAGGCGGCCATGGAAGAGTTAGCAGGTACGGCTAGTACGAGCGCTGATGCATTGGGAGGATCTAATGAGAGTTCGAGGTTGAGCTTATTGGCAGATGAGAAGGAGAAGGAGAAGGAGAAGGAGAAGGAGAAAGACAAATCCCGTTCTCGCTCGAAGTAGATGTCGCAAGATAGACCCACATTCCCTTTCCCTTTCTTTTCTTTCAAAAAACGGCAGCACGAACTTGATCTTCTTGACTTGCCTGACACGAATGGTATACCTGTTTTAAGTATATTATTTTAATATCCCGTCTGCTGCATGAGGGGTCCGATTCTGATATTGAAGAGCTTTGCTTGATGAAATTTGCACGAACTTAGCGCGCGTGGGTTTTTTTTAATGCTGGATCATGATTTACAAATGGGAGCTTCTTTTACATGTAAACGGTTTACAGGTTTGAAGCCACGATTATAATACGATAAGAAGTTTTCGGTACGAAGAATACATAAAAAATAAATTAATTACATGACGAAATCGATCAAGTTCAGCTCAAAGAGCGACGTACAAGTGTAGACTGCTGTTCATGACAAGCTCTTATAAACTGCAGGTTCTCCTCTTCGCTCGCCCCCTCAAAGGTTCCAATGGGTTCCCGAATGAGCCTAAAAACCGTCCCCTCTACCATTGTTATTTCTCTCCCCGCATAAGGGTATTCACAATTTGTGAAAAACCTCCCTCTTTCGTTAACTTCATCCTCGTCGACCGTTTGAACTTTCCATTTCCAAGCTGGTGGTCTATCTTCAAATGTAAACTCCCACAAGAGTTCGTAACAATCCTCGACAGTAGCTTCGTCTTTGAACTGGTAACCATTGTATAGCCACCCCCATGCCTCCCCTGCTGCGTCCCTCCTCTTACGCTGATAAACTAGCTCCAGCTGTTTAATCTTTCCAGTATCATACCAATCCATCACCTGGGCCAAACAACCCAGATCCCTCCGCGCCTGACGAACCTCCACGGCCACCTTTTCCAAATTTGGAAAGTTATCTTGAAAGAGTTTACCATATTCTGAAAATGGTGGAAGTGACCATTTATGGAGGTTTCCTGGCATTATGGAAGATATCATCGACTGAGTGATGAATATGTCATGAATATTATTTTTAATGCGTTTGTCTAGTTTTTCGATGATGTTTTTGGTGGTATGTCCGAAGCTGGCGAATATGAATCTACTTCTGGAAATTAATTCCAACAGCTTTGGAGTTATTTTCGTTCCATCGAAGTCGGTGTCCCAGGCTGCAGTGCCGGAAGTACAATCTTCCAAGGCCTTGAGAACACGATGACGTTGACGGTCGAGACTGTCAGAAAGTTCAGCCCCAAAGCGGCTGGATACTTGGGAATAATACTGTATTGCTGGTTCTGGGAAAGGGGAGAACTCGAAGCTTATTCCACCAGGGAACTATAAAAACATTGCCACTCTGTGAGTATACGTTTGCACTTAACCAGTCCGATTTTTGGGACTAACAGTACTAGTTTCTAGAGATGGGGATAGCAAGACTAACCATTTTCATAGCCTTGTAACTATGATTATAGTCAGGGAAAACCCATGGCGAATTATACACAAAGTTGACCTCGAAGGGGAGGAGGGTTTCATATATCTGGTCGCGAATTTCGCCGGGAAGAGAGAACCAGCTGTGATTTTGTTAATGCCATGGACCGAGTCATAGACCTTATATGTAATATAGTTGATAACTTTTAAACGGAGCGGATTGGTTACATACTCGAAATCTTTGTCATTGTCTGTACTTAAATTCTCTCCAGCAGCATCCGATGCTATTGTGATCTTCGGCTCTGAAACCTCAGACATTTTGAATCTTTGGATCGTTATATCTTTGTCCGTACAATTGGTCGTTCGATGGGAGACAATGAATACAGACTCTAAACCACAAAGAATTATCCCCAATAAAAAAAACGATACTTCCCTACACTTATATATCTATAGTTTCTTTCAAACACCAAGCTCATACCATAAGATAAGATTACTGTTCTCATAAACATAAGCCCTTAAATTTGTCATGGATTCGAAATGCGTTGCGTGAGGCTCCAGGAGGAGGTTGGGTTAACCATTTCGCTTACCCTGCTACCGGCCGACATCCATGTCCTGTGGGACACAAACGCATTTCCAAGCTACTTTCTTGACTCATCTTCTGGAACAAGAGGAGATTGATTGGGGATAGTGCTGAGAGGGGTTGGTAAATATGAGTCTCTGAAGACTAAACTGGTAGTCATCCTGACTCGGTGTGGTAATTCGATTAACTTGAAGCATTGAATATCGTGATCGCGCGTGCGCGCGTGATGCATGGTGTTTGGGGTTTCGAGTTTGCGCTGGCAACTCGCAAGGTGGATTCTTGTATCTGGACATGATAAAGAGGGTCCAATTGATTAAACTCTTAGATGACTAAATCTAACTATAAAATTTAATTCTTTTTTTTAACTTAAACATTGCGCTTTGATATCAAGGCCGAGTCTCGAGATCTCTTCAGAAAATGTCAAATTGATACAGGAATTTGAGCGGTGTATGCAACAAAAACAACACAGGCCTGCTGTCGACTTAAAGGAAAACCATGCTAACACTATTGTCTAAGCTTTGTTAGAAAAGGGAGATGCCCCACACATACTTTGGGGGGTATTGCCTATGTGATGGCGTATACACGTGGATAAATTGCACGAGATGTGGTTCTTTAAAAATGGGGGGGTAGTATTGTCTTTCCCAGAAACTCTGCAGAGAGAACAGCGCACCTCACTTGGTTTCTTAATCCTTCTTAGGAGAGTTCTTAGGAGTCTTCTTCGGGGAAACCCTTTTCCCTGGTCGCTCATCATCCTTAAATATCCTCGGATCGCCTGGAATTCTTCCATACGCAATATCGTAAAATGGTGACTCGTCCCAAGGTAATACTGAAGCCACGGGTGCACGGTCCTGAAAACACCCAGTTTCTCGACGAGCAGACGTGCCCTGGGTCGGTGCCGAATTCTTCTTTACCCTCTCGGGAGGTGGGTCGTCGTCGGTCTTTATCTCCCATGCTTCTTTCCAAGTTTTGATTTCAGATTTGCCGACGGATGGGGTGTAAGGTAGTAGTCCGTATTTTCCATATACGTTCTCCTTTCGGGTTCCCGGAGTGTCAGTGGGTTTATCTTGAGGATTGTCTGACATTATGAAGGTATTGTGATAGAGATTTAATATGAGATTTTTATAGATTCTTTGGATCTTATGGATGAGGTTTGGAGGATGTAGCACTAATATCTTGTATTTAGACTGCTGATTCTTAGGAAATCTTGGGACATTCAAGCAGTCTGCATTAATCTACGGCCGGCATTTTATATCCAGAGGTCTGATCCGTGAGAGATCTGTCAGGTGTTTAAAGTGGCACTAGTGTATTTACATATACGTGTATTCAAGAGATATCGAAGTCATCGAAATCATTAATATTGGTATCATGATCGCAGCTGGTCACAGTACTAAAGTTTGACCTAACCAATTACCCAAATATTGGTTCCGATTTGCGAAGCTTGGGCGCACTGTAGCACAAGATTCCCTATGTTTTCGAATTATGCAATGCTGATCCATCATACTTTATCCAGCTGCTACTCTATTCCCTCGTGTGATTCTATAACGTAATCCAATTCTAAGTGGGTACGGTATACATGCAAATATATATGCACCTGTCGCGAAACCGTTTGCGGTCATAGGGGTTCGTGACATTAAGCCCATGGTAAATTCTAGAAGCGATGATATATACGTTCAAGGATATGTCAACCGTCTCGCTATTGGTAGAATTGAACATGATTTTGTAATTCTTTACAAATTGTATCTCCATAGAATATGACTGAGAGTAAAACTTTTTGACTTTTGATGCTCTTGTAGACGCCGAAGTCTATATTAGGAATACATACAAAGAAATCCATCCAGAGACACCTCCACATGCTTGCTTGCCCAAAAATACAGATACTCAAAAACTTTAAATATATATACAATAGAAGTGTCTTGATATGAATGGTGACGATGCTTAATCACGCCATCAATTGCCATCCTCCGGCTTCTTGGTCGCAGGCGTAACATGAACTTCCACGTCGTCAATCTCGCCATCTGCTAGCTCAACAAACTCATCATCTGAATCGCTAGAGTCACTAGAATCACTATCATCTGATTCGTCGGATTCATCAGAAGATTCGATACCTTCTTGTTCCTCCTGTGCTTGACGAATCTTCTCTTGGATCGAATTAAGCTCCAGGAAAGCGGAAAAGATGTCATCTTGGGCTTCTTGGAACTCCTTTCCTTCTTCCTCCGTAATACCTTCGCCTAGTTCGAGAGGGGTGTCCTCAACACCCGAAAGTTCTGGGGGTATAGCTGTAGATTCTGTGTGTGCCCGGATAGGATGCTCTGGGTCTGGTGCGTCTTCAGGAATGAAATAGGGACCGTCTTTGAGCTCTAAAGGCTCATAAATGGACGGTGAATCTTCTGGGTCGTTCTCATCTTCTCTCGTCTCTGATTCGATTTTCTCTTCTTCGGGTGAAGGTTCCTCGACCGCAGATGTTTCGGATTCTGTGATGGATTCCTGGCCCTCTGAAGCAACTGGCTCAGTATTGGCTGGGGTGCTGCTGCTGTCATCTTGCTTCAAGGTTATTGGCTCAAAGGAATCTTCGTATTCCGGTTCTGCTTCCACTTCAGTTGAGCGTACGTTATCTTGCTCAGTGGGAGCCTGTGCGGTATCATGGGAAGCACCGCCTTCGAACGGTAGGAATTCGAATGCTGCGTCTTCCTCTGCTACTTCTTCTGGAAGCTTGGGAGCCTCAGACGATGTGTTTGTTCCATCTTCCCACGGTAACTCATCCTCCATTCCAGGGAATCGTGCGGTATGGGTGTCTACGGTCCTTAACATAACACCACTTTCCTCCCCAGGGCCAAAGTATCGACCTAAAGTCGCACCGCAAACACCGTACATGCGATAGATCCGTCTCCAGGCAAGGCCTTCGACAGGACTATCCACTTGAATAACACCGTCAATCATTGGAGCATACCTATGGTCTCCAACGGTCTCCTCAAGGAATATTGTTGTGACCTGGCCCTTTGGCTCCACGAACTTCCCTTTTTCGTTTTGGAATGGGTATCTAGCGACACGACCGGCCATTTGTGCGTATCTTTGGTACCCGGTTGTTGGGGCCATAATGTACGCGTGAGTAAAGTGCGGCGTATCCATGCCCCTTGCGGCCACACCTGAGGTGACCCAGATTGTAGTATCTGCCTTGGTTCGGACTCTTCCATCAGCAGATGGAGGGGGTCCGGGGAGGTCCGAGCGGCCGAGTGGTATATTTTTCGCAGCGCAAGTATCAGCCCTTAGGACCTCGGCGTTAAAACCTGCGTTCTCGAGGGCTTCGATATATTGTGCTCTTGAGGCAGTCGGAGTAAGGAATACGAGGACTCGCTCAGGATAATTATCCCGTTTCAGCAAAACATCCAGAATTTCAACGACTATTTTCTTCGGGATACTGGTATGTCTGAAGTCGTTTGCAAGCTCTGTGATCACATCCCTGACTTCAAGGTTTCCACCAACTATCCCCGTGGGGTACTTGTATTTGTCTATACTGCCTTCTTCTTCCTTTAGGAGATTTTCTTGGGCTGCTTCAACAGCTAAAGCTTCCTTGCTCATCAAATCTGATCGGGGATCTTCGTGTATTTTCAGCACATTGATATACTTCTCGATCTCGGCTTGTTCATCAGATGATCGAATCAGTGGATCTTGTTTGAACATGGGAATATCTCTCATCAGACCCGTGTTGATATCCACGCTCAGCGCATAATGCTTGATTCTTTCCGGAAGTCTCACAATGGGGCCGATCTTTTCATGGTCGAATAGCTTTGAGAAGTCTTGTATCCCAAGGTTTACCATTTGGTTTGCCTTGCTGTCGGTCTTAGAAAACCCAATCCAGTTTTTCGAGTAGACGAGTTTGGATCTCAGAATTGGCGATAGGTTTGGAGAAATGCAACAGAATTGTATGGGGTCTGGAGTTTGCTCTTGCTGATGAGCTAGCAATTCTCGCCGTGCAATCAAGAAATCGACACAAGTTTCCAGTGGGGTTGGTTTGGCCCATCTAGCCTCCTGCCTGATTCTCTTCTGTTGTATCATGTCTCCAAGTGCCTTGGGGGGCGGTCTCTGATTGACCATAGCATCTACTTCGTCTGCTACGATAACTTTCACGTTATCTAGATTAACGTAGTTCTTAGACTGTGGATCGTTCAGAATATCGAGAAATCTAGTGGGTGTAGTGACGATAATATGCGGGCTAGGGTTCTTTTTCAGCCTTTCGATTTGTTCATTCTCCCCAACTTCATCGCTAAGACGAGTAAATCCTTGGAAGATGGTATCTTTGGGAGGAGCAGACTGCCCAGACTGGGTGAGGGCACCGACGAGGTTATCTAGGGTGTCCATATACTGTTTCATGAGGTCGATAGTCGGAACGAAGATAATACCGGTGGTACTTGGTACCTTTTTAGAGGTACCATCGGGCTTCGTAACCACGCTCAAACTCCTTGCTAGCTGAAGTAGCCACAGAGTAGTAATAAAACTCTTTCCTGACGCAGCTGGACCAGTAGCGCACAAGCTATAGCCTTCCTGCAACAGCACAAGCATATTCCTTTGTGTGAATGATAGTGATTTGATGTTTGGATATGCCTTTGCCAGTGCTTTCTTCACAACCGGTCGTAGTGATGATTCTTCAAATGTAGTCGGTTTCACTAGATTGTCTAAAATCCGCTGAGCCGGATCCCGCTTTTCAGCTTCCTCACGTTGCAACTTGTGCAACTTTCTAGAGAAATCCGCATCTCGTGCGTTGGCCATGATTGCCTGCAGGTCTGGGAGGTTCTCCTGTGCAGCTCTGCCTACTACACCTCCATCGATTTGATACCGAGATTGCTCGAACTCGACTCCGTCGCTTACTTCATCAGGATATTCGTCTTCAGCCGGTTTGTATTTCCGAGGACCTCCATATCGCTTTTTCGAGATGTATGCATCAGCTTCGTCTCTTTCGTCATATCGTCGATTCTGGGGACGCCGTGGCTGTCCTCCCCGATGACCCCATCCATCTCCCCGGTCGTAGCTTTTTCCTCCCTGTCGTTCTCCTCCATATCCTTTACCCCCACCCCGTTGTTCATAGCGTTGGCGTTGTAACGAGGCAGCTGTCGTGTGATAATCTCGAGAGCATAACGGATTGCGCAAAGGACTGGACGGCGACGAAGACCACCTAGCAGACTGGAAGCAACGTTGACATATGTAATTCGTCGGCGAGGTGGCTTGTTTGCCTAGAAGTCGGCTGTTGAGACGAAGCATTGCATATGCGGCGTGCAAGGTTTTGGAGAGTTAAGTTCTTCACTCTCTCGTTTTTCTTGGAGGCCTGTCGCTTAAAAAATTATTGTAGTTCGCTTTGGGCTGGCGAACATTTTTGGGGCTGTGGCTTGGCATGTGCAGGGTTTCCGGAAAGGGGCTCAACACGCAAATTGCAACAAAGTGACCTCGATTTTGGTTGACATGCACGACCAGCACTTGCAGAAAGCCTCGTCTTGTCTCTTTCGCAATACTTATTGGTATTTAAATTTAATAGGGGCGTAGTGCACTGACTTATAATAGGCTCTAGCAGAGCTAATGCATATTTTCTCTCAGGACTGTATCCTATGTAGTATACGGTGTGTATCTAGCGCCCTTCAATAGAATCAAGAACATGCTAAAGGGGTCGACCGGTCGCAACGTTCCATAACGAAACTTCCCTTCGAAAGTACTAGTTTAAGTTGTTGCTATACGATGAGAGGGTGTAAAGAGCCCCTATAGAAACTCAATAAGTCTACGCAGGCAAATATTTCGTGCCCGTATGTAGACATGTACATTTTGACGTTTCCGATAATGACCCAGCGCGCAATACCCATGGAAGAACTAGAGTACTCGGCGAGATACGAAGGGCCCCAAAACAAGATTGGCTTACAATCAATCTAGGCATTCACTATGGCGCGGACTCTGATTAATTAAACTTGGATTTAAGGTTAAACACTAAAACGTTAATCGGTTCAGATCATTGTCCATGCAGGGCATCTGTAATATATTGATGCGATTTTCATATCCTAAAAGGGAAGGAGAGTGTATCCAATAGGCGAAACGATATTTGCTTGTAATATGCGTCTAATAGCGGTTTAGATTGCAGCCTAACATATAAAAATATTGTTGTCATAGCAATGATTTCATTTGATTGAGATCCTCCTTATCATTCTCGATAATACCATATATATGCATAGCCATGGCACAATTGTGCTGGGTGGCCCGTTTGACGCAACTGTAGACTCCAATTGCCAATAAGGTCATTTAATAGATCGATCATGGAACCTCGATACACATAGTCTTCTCAGATCATCTAGTCATTTGGCAAAAATCAAGGATAGAGGCGGCTTTCCAACTGCGAATGAGCTCTTGGGACCTTTGCCACCACAAAACTGAAGCTTTGGGAAAAATTCAATGCCGGACTATTATCGTAGCACAGCCTCCCATAGTTGTGATATAGTATCGGAGGGTGTATGCGAGACCTCTACGAGATACTTTTGTAGAACAGTATTTGAAGTCAGGATTTGAAGTTAGCAGAGCATTAAAAAGACCGAGTAGTGCCCGAGGTCTCACTTTCGATTGGTCGGTAGGATTGATAGCTTCGTAGTACTAACCCTACATGTTAGTTTTGTCTTTAATAGTTAGTACTTGAAGTAAAATCCTAATTTACCTAAAACGAACATACAGGGTGGAGTCTATGCCGATAGTTGATTCACTTGGCTGATTGCGGGCATCTTCACGAATATTGAAAATCGCGCGCGAATACTTGCTGCTTGAAAAAAAGTACACTAACTGCGGGGTCCAAAACGAGGGAGGGAGGGTTTGCGACCCCGCTCGATGTTGAGCAGAACAGACTCAGTGGGACCTCATAGCAAGCTATCGATATCGATATGGTCAAGGCATTTGATATGGCTCCAACGAAGGCTCAACCTTCCCATATCCCCCACTAGTACCCCCAAGAGGGATTGTACTTCGGGATGGCTTACCACTATATTATCGATTGGTCGAGTCCCCTCCGAGAGGGTCCGGACTTACCAAACCATCTACATAGATAGGAAGCATGTATTCGCGTGCGGGAGGGGGGGTGTGCGGAGTTCGGCCAACTTGTTCTCAACAGATGCATCTGCGCCAAGATGCACGAGCTTCGAGCTTGTCAATTAAAGCCGGGGTGCATACAAGTAGTTAGTAGATTAGGATCTGACTTTTAAAATTTTAGGTTCCGCAGATGGGTCTAGCATTGATATCGGATGCTGATCGATAATGTACAATGTTGCATATAGTCTTAGCTATTTTGAGGCGAAAGAGCCCTTGTATCGATAGGATTCGCGTAGACTGTAATGTAGAGAGCCCCAGTGCATAATAAGACAGACGGATATGATAGTTGTGGCTGTTAGCCCGTCTTAACTGTGAATGGACCTCATGGCTAGAAACATGACAGGCGCATGCGTGACACCGCCGCGAGCGAACGGAGGATTCTGAATCTGGACAGCTTCCAGACGTATTTGGGGGCCCGGTGGCGTGGTTGGAGGGCATTGAGCCAGGCGAGAGTAATTTCAACCGGCCAAACCCCAACTCGCCCGGGTACACCATCCTCCACATAGTGAAAACACCACCTTTGGCAAACCAGATAGACGTCTACAGACGAGGTATCTTATCGACAGACACCCGCATCTATCTTTCCTCGCATCTACAGGACGCCGCATCTACCTGCACCCCGGAGGAAACTTGTATGTAATCCTATCCAAGATGCAAGAACTTCGAACTGCACTGGCAAGGTGTACCGAAAGTCGACTCGCTACGATCTGGCTTGGCAAACGGAAATTTCCCAAAACTCATGCTTTTGCGACTTGTCCAAGTCTGGTTAGCCCTCCTAACGTCTGAAAGACGCAAAAGCTTGACATCACAGTCCGGGGTCCTGAAACAGCAAGTCACAGGGCCGTTGGGAGCCTTTGGAACCTTTTCGTTCGATCTTCTCAGGCGGATGCTTCATTCGTCAGTTCGAATTCGTCTGCCCTCGACTACAACGGACAAAGCAGGTCGCCTAACATACACGACATTACCTCCTAGCACTTCGATCTAATCTTCTAGTCGAGGGGGAAACATGCACGAATTCGAACCAGCCAATGGCCACATGCTTAAGTCGCACATGTGCGTTTTCTAATTAAAGAGCCAAAAAGTATGTGAACCCCCTTCATATTCATATCGTGAGAATTCTGTGACATAATACAGTCATGATCAGGATGCCCTGCAAATTCCAGATTCTTGGCGAGAAATGCTTGTTTGTGTGATCCACTGCCGCACCAAAATGCTGAACTCCTCTCTGTCTCCGATGCACAGTCCTAGGTTGACGAACTATCGAAAGGGCCGCTGGCCAATGGTAGCCGATGTTGTCGAAGCTCGGTGAGAGGTGGGTTGTGCTTACCGAATTCAGGCGGCCGCCTGCCTCAAGGCATCCACATCCGACACTTGACATGTTGAACCTCACAACTGTTCTGGCCGACCGAGCTGCTGTCGAGACCCCGGGCCGGCAGCAGCACAGGAATCAAGTTGCTGGTTCTGGCTAGGTGGCTCTCGCTCGCTCAGAGTTGACGTCTAGGAAACAGTCCACTGAAAACCTATTTCTTTTGGGCAACTTCCATTAAGGGAATTGGTCCCATAAGTTCCTTGCTTGGACAAGCAACCCTGGCATGCTGGCTTGGTCTGCACCAGCTCCTTCTGATGGTCCAATTCCAGGCAGGTTGAACCAAAATTTCAACTTGAAACTGGTCGAATGTCTATGCCTGCGCTATCTACATACCCCTTCGATACGGTCAGTCATGGAAACTGATCGCAGAGAAATCCTTTATGCGAACCAAAAAAAGAATCCGCGATCGATTACCTCAGAAACTATCCCACCAAATTACCCCAGTACCTTTTTTTTTTCTTTCCGAGCGCCCGTTTTCGAACGGTGCATCAACGGTGGAAGGGTTTTATGCACCATCCTTCAATGTCTTGTGGAAGAAGAAAATAAATAGCACATTGCAGATGTATGCAGCATCGACAGGGATGTGAATTCCACACTGATATTTTGGAAAAATAAAATATACCCGGGTTCTTCTCCAGAGATTTGGGCTGCGCGAATATAATACTTAAGTATCATCCCGGATACTTCAATCTTTCTCTTATCCTCATCATCACCGATCTGCCAGTGCAAGTGTTAGCCAGAGAGATCTGACTTCATTTGATATATTTCCGTCGCAACACTTCTATCCCTCCCTTCCTCTCCACATCTACACATCCGCAATGGCTTCAGCGACATACTGTGACATGCCCGTCGTAATTGACGGGTATGAAGCTGCCAAGGAAAGGCAAAGATACTTGATCGAAAAGATGGAGGCTTTGGACATGACATTATGGTTGGCAAGAATACCATCCGACCAGAGGTTCTACTATCCTGGTAAACTCATCCGGGACGACGACGACAACATGGAAACCGAAATTTTGGACATCATGCGTGAGATTGAAGATTTACAGGAGATCGTTGACATCTACGAAGATGTCGATGAGGATCTCGAGTGGGAAGTTGACGAGGAGGCACTAAGAGAATTCGAAAGGTTAACAAGAGGAAGGAAAGCCGAACTTACCATTCCAATTCCAGAGGGTGCTCTCTCGAGGAATCCCTCTCCATGCTCAAGGACTTGGGTTCCAAGGCCTGCCGAGCCCGACTTCGAGAAGCCATTCAACCCATTCCGAGAAGAATACTTCCTCGGACTGGAAGACGCTATTACCGATGAAACAGAATTCATCACAATTCCTGGCGCCGCGCCACATTCTTTGTCCACCATCTCCCACAATTCACTCTTTGGAGATTTGGTCGATTACGTCAGAGAATGGAACCCCTTCGATGTTGGAAGCTCGTGCACTTCCCGATCCTCCTCCATGGACTCTACATTCTCCTTCAATGAGATGGTTTCTGATTCGTCAGTATCAAGCGATGCTGGTGATGACTGCTCTGTCAGAAAGACTTCTGATGAAAACACCAAGACAACTATCATGGAGACAGAGACAATGACTGTCCCATTAGTACTTGATGATGGTCGCTTCAATACCGCAGGATCAAGAAGATCATCAGAAGACTCCCAGGGCCCATGGCCTGAGTACCTCGAGTACGAGATGGACGTCGATGAAGAGATGGACTACGATGATTACTATGAGTACGAGGAGATGGCACACCAAACTCTCGTCCATACTACAGCCAAGTACGCAGACCTTGGGTCTAGTCTACTCAACAGCACTTTCGATAAACTCCCCACCAACCATATCATCTACACTGAGCGTGCACTATCGGAATGTTCGACAATATCGGATTCCGAACCCTGCACTCCAACCACTATCAACCCACATATGATTCACATCGAACTACCAGCATACAAGGTCGACTACTACCTTGCATTCGAAGATGCGGAAGACCAATTCATCAGAACCAAGTTTTTAGGTAAGAATCCACTGTTTTTATGTAGATCAACACCATCCCATCCCGAAAATAAACCCTGCAACTTGAAACCCTTCCGCTGGATAAAAAGCCTCACACCCACACATGATTGATTCCACCCCTCCATTCCCGCAATCTCCACAGTTTGTTTCCGTGAGAACATTTCCTCCGCATTTCTGTTCCGGCTAAACCGACGCACGGACTTCTGAACCCCGCGTGGTCTTTTATAATTTCAACCTGCATGCATGAGGATGATGTGTTGAAAACTTGGAATATTGATGCTAACGGATAATTTCGTAGATTCTGCCGTCGAGTTGGATCAGGCGTTTCCTTCCTTCGAGTCGGTACTATCGACTTTTGACCCATCATTCGAGAATAAAACATTCCAGCCAATGATGTTCCAGCACAATGCATCCATGGAGACACTCGACCTTGACGACCCAATGGACGTTCTCGAGGCCCAAAGGTTAGCTGGCTCCTTCGCTAGGATGTCCTCGCTATAACTTTCCCTCACGATCCGGATCAAGTGATACCGGATCTACCTCCCTGGCCGTTTCATATCTTATCTTCCGACATTTTACCCTCATATACATCTACCACATCTACATACATCTCCTTTTCTCTTCTACCATATCCTTTTCTCTTTCACTTCGCTGTATATACCCTTTTTGGCCTAGCAGGTCGCTGTACATATTAACTTTTATTTCCTTACCTCTTGGGGGGGCATCGACATTTGGGATGGCTCATGCTTTTCGGGTTTGTTTCACTGGTGTTCACGGCGTCACTGGTTAAAAGGCGTTCAGATGGACTGGGTGGGAATATTCTTTTCCAAGCTTCCTCTACCTTTTTCTTCTCAGTCTTTTTTCTTCTTTTTTTTCAATTTCTTTTTTTTTTTTTTTTTTTGTTTCTCACAGTTTTCTTCTTCGATGCTGGTCTTTTACGGTTGGACACCCTCAATCGTTCACACTCACTTCTTTTTTTATATGCATGATACCCCGACCCACTTACACTCATTCGAGAATTGTTTTTTTGTTTTTTTTTTTGCCCTGTATAATCGGGCCTGACACTCCTTGCACACCAAAAAGAGATACCAAAAGTCTTCTTCCATTCGTTTTTTTTGTTTTCAAGATACCCGCCTCCTGTCCAGGCGACCTGACATTCATTTCCCCACAAGGATATACCCATCTACACTCTTTCAGATACGGGATTTCCACACATTCATTCAGTTGGTTTTTTTTTCTTTAATTTCTATTTTCGTCGCAAGACTTTGGATCTTCATCATCTGCACACACATGCACTCAAGAGAACTTTCATTCAACCCCGACCTTTCCTTCTTTATGCTAGCCTCTCTTTTTTCTTGTAGCTTTTCAAAACAAAAAAAAGCACTACATTCATTCATTCACATGCACGCAGGCGCACACACTCTCTCACTTCATGGTCACTTCGACAGCTTTGAAACATTCTCTCTCTTTTTTTTTCTGCCTGTTTACTTTTCTAGCTAGCTACGTAACGCTGCGAGCGTCAGGGGGTTGATGTGATTAGCACATTCACTACATGTCTGTTTACTTAGTACTTATCTATCGAAGATACAAAACTTTGCTTTAACAAAAAAAATGGAAAAATGAAATTAAAAAATGGAATAAAAGATTTACTCGAAACATTACTCTTTCTCTCCCAATTGTAAGAATCATCGTGAGGAATTAATTGTTCAAGTAGTATTATAAACAAGTTGAAAGACACCGATGGTGTTCTAGTTCGAAGTGAGCTAGCTATAGCTAGCTGTAGCTGTCATATGCCTAGTCTAGCTTAACCCGCCACAACCGCCACAGAGAGTCTAGAAATTCAAACCCTCCTAGCCACAACGGGGAGTTCCAATTGTCGCGCTTTGGTGATACGTACTGCAGCCCATACATACATACATGCATCTGACACATGCATAATTCCCCCATCATCACCATCGGATTCACCTAGTATTAAATTCCCGAGAAATGGATCGCTGCAGCTTGCAGCTACTCGATATTAAACAGACACACAAACCTGCAGAGTTTAAAACTTGTGAAAGAGCTTCCTTGGGGCAGTGCAAAAAAACAATCAACATTGCATTGTATCACATACCAGACGTCAACGTCAGACACGTACTATGTATTTGTATCGCAGATCGGTTTTTCTAGCTATGTAGCTAGCTACCTAGCTACCTAGCTACCGATGACTTTCTTGCAATGCAGTTGGTTGTAATGCATGGGCTTATGTCTGTCTTAAGCAAGTTACTTAGTACAGTTTTTTTTTTTTTTTTGGGTCTTACTATATTCAGCTTCGAGGTAGTATAGCATGGTAGTCGAGCGCCTGGATTCGAGGCTAGGTAATGGTGACAATTCTCACGCGAAGTAGCTTATGCATCTGCAACTGGCGTCCACACTCCATAGCTCCACAGAAATTCTGGCAAAGCCCAACTTAACTAGTATGACCACCCTTTTACCCGAAAAAGGCTTAAAAGCTTAAAAGCTAAGAAGTAAGTACTTATGCAAGCTTGAATTTTTGAGCTTTGAGCTTTTTTGCCTTGCATTATATTATATTAAACGGTATCACCGAAATTCCTCGAAATTTCCACGAATGCAACATTATATACCCTTGCACATAAAATCAATGCATGCCATTCCACCAGGTAAAACATCGGATCCGCTTAGGAATTCAAAAAAAAAAAAGGAAAAAAAAGAAAAATAAAAAAGAAAAGAAAGTTAAGCTTGACGAAAAAAAAAGACATGCGGTTTCAAGTCCTAGCTCTGTGAAGAAAGATGACGAGCTTTTTTATTTCGCATGATTTTTTTATAGTTGCAGGTTTGATATTGATATGATCTTCGCTATCTTTAGACCCATATGTAGTTTTATCGATTTTCAAAGTCGACTCGCGCGCGGATTAGCGGTAATGATAAAATTTTAAATTGGGATATACCGTGATATCGATTACGAGCCTACGAGGATCAAGCGATCCTTGAAACTACGGGACGAGACGAGATCACGCCTACGAAATGTTTCAATTTGGAACTGAAGTTTTGTGAGATTGGCCCAATCTATCGGCCAGTAGAGAGGGAGTGGTGTTTCATTCATCGTTACTAACCCCACCCACCACTAAGCTTTCATCTCCGCCTCTAACCTCTCCATCTCACTGGCACTTATGGGTGCCAAACCATATTGAGCCCCATCGGACTCCCTCGACCCCCCCTTCTGAGGGCGAGCAACATCCTTCTTCTCCCCCTCCTCCACCACTTCCTCCAACCCGCTCTTGTTCCTCTTCGCCTTCTGCTCCTCCCACCCCCCACCTCCCTCCTTCTCTCTCTCCAACTGCCTCCTTGCCCTCTCCTCCCTCCTCCTCTTATCCTTCTCCGCATTTCCCAGCTTACTCGACTCCTCGGCCGTCAGTCCCTTCTTCGAGGCCTTGGCCATGGGGCCCCAATAGGCCCCCGGGTTCTGCTGGTACAGAACATCCCCCTTCCCCTTCTCCCTATCCTTCCCCAACATCTCATCAAACCTAACATCTCCAAAGTCTTCTTCTTCTTTTTCCTCTTCTTCACCACCGGTTACGGCTGGGTACAATATCTTGTACCCGGCCATACCCGGGGTGACGCTCCCCTCCTTCACGGGATTCAACTTCTCCCAGGCCCTCATAACCCTCCAAATCTGGTCCCAGGGAGCATTGGTCTTCAAGCTCCCAGCACGGCAGTGGGATTTTGTAACATGGTATCCCAATCCCAACAGTGCCCCCCGGAAGGCGGACACCGATGGGGCCGTGCAATGTAGGACCCTTGCCAATTGTGTCGGCATTATGAATAATGCCAACGGATCGGCCGTTGGGTTCCGGGTTTTGGGATAAGATGTTGACCCTGAGGTCTTGCTGACCTCATCTTCATCTTCATCCTTTTCTCCTTTTTCCGCCGCTTCCTCCCTCTGCTTTAACTTCCTCTTTAACGAGGGCTGGTGGTTCGGCTTTTCACCTCCCTCAGGGTTAATTACCGCCATAACAGGCTGTCCATTGGCCGGCGTTGGCTCAGTCGCCGCTGGTTGGACCTCAGAGGTGGGAGCGTCATCTCCCCGTGGTGAGGGAGGCATCAACTCTCCCAGGGCAAGTTTGAGCATCCCACTAACCCTCCCGAGGGTTTCATACTCCTTCACCGTCTCTTGTCCCAATACATTCGACAGTAAGTGGTTGATAAACCCGGCATTGTGGATTTCATCCGACCACATCGGTCCCGCCAGATGCATCTTAAACCCGCAGTGATCACACCTCCCATTCTCCACTGCTTGTGAGACACCATATTTATACGAAGGTATATCATTCGTATTATGCTGCTTGTTTTTCCTCTTGTCTTGCTGTCGAACCCTTAACGTCCCCAGCTCTTGAGCTTTCCATGCTCCGCATCCAGCACCACAATTGAGCAGGACCATCCCTTTGCTCGACAGCTTCTTAACATTCTCCGCACTTTTCCTAACCCTTACGAAGACTCTGCAATAATAGTCAATGCTCAAGCTTAGCAAAGGTTCGATATACAGCCCGTACTTTGCCGCTGTAGTAGCAATGCTCATCAATACCATCCTCAACCCTGTTTCGTGACTAAAGTCTCCTTTAGCGGGTAGCCCACCATAAGTAGCAAATGTCTTCTCGGGATAACTGGTACTGGCAAAGATGGCAGCGTCGGTGCAAGTAACGCTTAATAATCCACCATCTTCTAGAGCCTGTACTGCCGAGTCTATGAATTGAGTAGCAGAGCCGTAGGGATCGAGATCGATAACGTGGTACTTCTGGGGTGCTACTAATCTCATCTTGAATGGATTTTCGGGTGTCGGAGAAGGAATGTAATTTGGAAAAGCGGTACGGTACATATGTCCTGTTGCATTATCGTGGTTTGGAGTGATGATGTGGGTGAGGTCGTTGAATTGGATGTTTCGATATATGTATTCGACGGCTGTGGGGGACATGTCGTTCGCTGTGACATGGGTAACGAACGGTAGTTCCTTGGCGTATCGAAGTGCTCTGAGACCGGTGGCTGATAGAGCATCTAGGACGGCGAATCTTGGTTTTCCTTTATTGTCATTGTCCGGTTGTTGTGGCTGTGGTGGGGGGATAGTTTCGTCTGCCTGGGGTGCGGGTTCGGCCATATCAATATCTTCCTGTTCGACACCATTGCCTTGCTCGCCAACTCCACCCTCGAGATTCGTATCAACAACCTGCTGTCGTTTTTTATGCTTACCACCGCCTCTATGTTGTCTCCTGGGAGTCTTCCTCTCTGATTCAACTATCTCTCCAAACCCTCGAGTAACCGTCATTGTCAAATCGCGGTTAAACTTTTGAATGTAATTATAGAACACTTCGGTCGTATTCCCTCCTTCGACAGGTGGTAACAAAATCTTTGCTTGACCTTCCGGTTGAATTTTGTAGGTTATCCCATTGATGATTGTGGTTTCTAGTGTAGGGGCAGATTGTGCATCTGATGATTTGCGCTTTTTGGAATTAATTGTCGCTTGCGCTTGTGCTTCTTGTTTGGCTTGTGCTTGGCCGCCTGGTGGTGGGGGTTCCGAGGCTATTAGTTGAGGTGCGGTGGGAGGAAGAGATGTTGTTAGGTCCGTTTTGTTGGATGTTGTCGCTGTGGGAGCATCGGGGATTGAGATATCAGCTGCACCGTCGGAATTGGTGTGTAAAGCTGCAGCTGCACGACGAGCGGCTCGAGCTTTTCGTCGAGCCATTGTGAATGATGTGAGTGAGGTATTGATGAGTAAGGGAGATGATGACAATGGCGATGATACTGGTAATGATGGTATCGATAGGATTGGTGGTGAAGCACTAGAACGCGTGGAAAAAAAGGACGTCCGTTGCTGAAGGTTGATGGAGGATGAGATGATGATGGTGGGAGTGTGAGTCGAAGGGGAGGTTGATATGACTGGGTTAACGGTGCTGCGACTTCTCAGCTGTGTTGTGGCGAAAGAGAGGAATTTCTGGTGGAAAGGCCAATTTATAGCCGGCCGTCCGCTGAGGACACCGAGAAGATACCGCGCCGACAACTTGGCGGGTAAATAATCAGATGCCGTAGATATTATATCGTACAAGGTCGAGTCGGTCGAATTGAAGTTGAAGAAGTAAACGTTCTAGATCGAGATTTTGGCTCGTGTGGGAATTAAAAATGTCTGCATCCATGTGTATTGCCAAGAATTCGAGCTTGCCGCAGAGCCTCAATCTCGATATCTCTCTTCAATAGTACCACACACGCGAACTATACTACCAGCTGGGTTACGAATCTCCTCTAATTATAAGTACCATAATTGATATCGAACTTCAAGGTCAAGGAAGTGATCGAATCCGATTCATTAACGCTTTTATATACAGGATCCCTCGAATGGTTCATAAAGCAAAACAGAAAGAGCAAAGCAAACCTCGCAGAAATTTAAAAGCAAGTATTATAAACCCTGATCGTGAATCTCTCTTCCATTCGTAGGACGAGTGCATGCAAAGAATTGACAAAGAATGAAATATAATAAAAGGAAAGAAAACCAACAAGAGCGAATGAACGATCCCATTACAAAATTCTCTATAAGAAAAAGGAAAAGAAAAGGTTACCGAATCCATGAAAAAGTTCCTGTGTAATTCTATCTTTCATGCTTCATTATGAACTGCCTCCGCTGAGCTCTCTATTGTAAATGACGCATCTATGCATGTATCATGTTTAAAAAGTAGACACTGCAACTGCAATCGCTTGAACATCGCTATGGCTGATTGTCACCTGGACGTCCTTGATTCCATTCTTCTCTGCTGCTGCCAATGCATCTCCATGGAGCTGTACAATATGTTAGCATATATTCTCATAAGGGGTACTGTATTAAATGCGTAGGGAAGAAGTATATATCGTACCTTAACAACTGGCGCACCCTTCTCATCCCTCTCAATTTCAATCTCTACCAAAGGCGCCCCAGCACCTTTGCTTTCAACCCCCAAGGTCTTCCAAACTGCCTCCTTGGCACTCCACCTACCCGCAAAGCTGGCTTGTGGATTAGGGGCCTGTCGGCAATACTCCTGCTCTCCCTTTGTGAAGTTCCTCTCAATGAAATTCTCATTCTCAATATTGATCGAAGATAACAACTCAACGTCTACTCCAATCTTACTATTGCTCCCCTTCACGCTCGCCAAAGCCAACTGTTCGACAACTTTCCTAGTGTCATCAGGGTCAGCGGCCTTCTTTGGCGGTCGGTCCGAGAAACTGTAAGATCCGTTCTTCTTGTCAGGTGTAACTCTGGCAAGAGGATCGAGGTAGACTGATGTCTCCAACTCAGGGGTATACGGAGCGCTATTCTTGGCAACAAACATATTGTTATTGCAAAGCGAAGAGTGGAAGTATCGGTATGCCTTCTTGTGGCGCGCATCCACCTTGGCCTTGTAGATCTCGTATGTTTGCTCGTCAAGAGTGGCGAAGAGGTATTTGGGATGGATACCGACAGCTTGAGCACCCTTCTGTCCGAAGCCGAACGAAGTGACCGAGAAAGCTTTGATACCATCTGTCTGGAGGGAACGGCTGGGGAAAAGGAGGTATGAAAACTGCTCGAAGACCTTGTCCACATTGTCTGCGTTTCTGTTGCCGGGGACGAGACCGGAATTGAGGACCTGAATAGCACCGTTCATCATCCATGCACCGGCTGCACCCTTGGGATGACCAGTAAGGAACTTCTGACAAACAACGAGCAAAGCGTTACCCTTCGATCTACCCAAGTGGCCGAGCATATCATTGAGCGACTTGGACTCATTCTTGTCGTTGGCAACGGTGGAGGTTCCGTGCAAACTAGCGACATCGAGGTCATCGATGGTAAGACCCCAAGTGGCTAAGGCACCACGGAGAGGAGCAATCTTGGGATCGTTCTTCCAGAACTCATTACCCCAAGAGTTAAGAGCCTCGGACTCTTGACGCTTGGCCTCGCGTTCAATGTGCTTAGCACGGTCATCCACATACTCTCGCTCGGCAATACCTTCAAGCTCACCGGATGCCTTGAGAGCGGCGACCTCATCTTGCAAGTACATGATCTCGGCTTCGGTCCACGACTTGATCTGCTGCTTGCGGGCTTCGAGCTGCCTCTTCCTGTACTTGATATCAAGAAGCGGCGACGGGAAGCGGCTTGCGGTTTCACGAGCAGTGGTCATGATACCACGACCAGGAGCGGGAATGCTGCGGCCAGTCTTGTCAGTAGCGGTGGCAGTCAAAGCGACAATACTATAGATGGGAACACCCATCTCCAATGCTAATTTGGCGCTCATCAAGACCTGAATACCGCAACCTTGGGCTTCCATGAAACCGGCACGAGTGGTAGTAGTTGGTCTAGACATCTCTCCAGGTGTTCTACCGTGCGCGAACTCCTCTTCGGCGTTGCTGGTAGCCTTCATGTTTGCGAATTCGTATGAGGCTTCTTCCTGGAAGTCATCGAAACCACCAACGAGGACGCACTTGGCCTTTCCGCTGACGATGGTATCATAACCAATGTCAACTGATTCAATGGCGGTAGCACAAGCACCTGATGGCGATTTGATAGGACCAGAGGAAGAAAGGAGCAACATGTTGACCCAAGCACTCATGGTATTGATAAAGGACTCTTGGAGAATGTCCTTTTGGACTGGCTTGTCGGCCCATCTATCTTTGTACATCGCTTTGAGGGCATTGACACCACCGACACCAGATCCGACACAGTTGCCGAGTTCAGAAACATGGACATACTTGTAGAATTCGTAAGGATCGGTGATACCAGAGCTCAAGAGACCCTCAACCACACAGACGAGAAGATAGAGAGTGACACGGTCGACTTGGCCAATAATATCATCGGGGATACCGTATTGCTTAGCATTCCAGCCAGCTGGGATCTGACCAGCGACCAATCGGTCGAACTTGAGAGCCTTGGGGACGAGCAGGGTAGCACCCTTCTTGATGCGGATGGTCCATTCTCCGGTCTCAACAATCTCGAATGTCTCAACGAACTCATTGTGTCGTCGTCGGAATTCTTCAGCTGTCTCCTTAGAAGCCTCAAAGGGATCGAGATCCTCCTGGATAACGATTTCTTGGAGAATCTCCTTCTTGTTTGGATCGTACCCTCCGAAAAGCTCTGGCTCAATCAAACGGATACCGGAGTGCTCCAAAATCTGTGACTCGTATTTCGCCTTGATGTCCTTGTCGTCGACTGGCTCGCTCGTCTTGGAGTCAACCCACCCGGAGTAGTGCTTGCCCTTCAAGGGACCGTTGTGATTCTTGATGAGACCCATGATCCAGGCCATCTCGACGCATCCCTCCAAGGAGAACTTTCCGTAAGCTTCCATTTCCCAACGAGTTCTCGAGTTACCCCATGGTCCAATTTCAGCGAAACCAGTGACGACGACGACCTTTTCAAGGTCAACCATGCCACGGAGATCTTGGGCGAGGGGCTCGAGCGACTTGTACTCTGGAAGCTCAGGGAACTCGAACTTCATGTTGGCACGAGGAGCAACAGTGATCTTCTTGTAAAGCTCAGCAGAGCCATCGCCGTTTATGACTTTGTGTTCGATGGAAGTCTCACGAGTAACAGCCTGTCGAACTTCAGAAGTGGCCATGATCTCAGCGCGACGAGAGCTCATGATATCCTTCAAGTTGGGCAAGAAGTGAAGAGCACCGTTGAGATCGGCGAAGACGGGCTCGACTTGGCAAAGGTTGACGATAGTTGGTGCCATCAATCCCAAAAGATTGAAAGCCATCTCTTGGCCAGAGAAAGTACGAACACCGAGCTTCTCAACAGCTTCAGCGGTAATGTTGTTCATGTTCATAAGACCAGTTCCACGGGTCCAGCCAATGACGGCACCGCAGATAGTAAGGTAGCTGGCCCAGGATTCAGAATGCCATCTGTTGAAAAGAGTCTCAAGACCCAACTTGGATTCAGAGTAGAGACCATCATTACCGAAGGTACCATGGTTGGGAGACAACGGAAGAACGACCTGAGCGGGTCTGGTTTGAATGCCAGCTGCGTGCTTCTGGGCCTTGACAGCACCGATGAGACGGATAACGTTGGTCAATTCGATACGGTGAGCAAGCTCGGATTTAGAGTCAATACCATCAATTTCACGGCCATTTTCTGGAATGGCAGCGAATGGGATGATATGATCGAGATCCCAGCCGAGGCCCTTCTTGGCGTCGTAGATGTAGTTAACCAAGGCTTCAATATCTTGCTTGCTACCCTGGTTAAATGGAACAACAACGAGACAGGATCCCTTGGCTCCGTATCTAGAGTAGGTTGCCTGGTAGTATTCAGTAGTCTCACGGGAGAAGCGGCTGGTCGTAACAATGACGCGGGCACCACCGGAAAGCAATCCCTCAAGGACCCGAGAACCGATGGAACCGGCACCGGCACCAGTAATCAAGACATTTCTGCCAGCGAAAGATATACCGTTGACCGCGGCCTTCTCCAATGTATCGAGGTAGACACCAGTCAGTTTCTTGCTGTAGCCCCATTCCTGACCGGATCTGCTCTTCAAATGCAAGAAAGGAATGCTTCGCATCTTTGCGTCACCGCTCTTTCCAACGGCAGCAGCGATGCTTCTGGCGCCCTTCTTTGTCTTTTTATCGTTGAACAGCTGACCCTCGTTCATCGCCAAAGCCCTATAAACGTTGGAATAGAGTTGCTTGATTTGAAGTTGGTCGGTCTTGGAAAGCTTGTGCTGCTGACGGATTATCTTATAAACCTTCTGCAGGTCTTGCTGAACCTTTGTCTTGTTGCCGTATTCTGAAACCTTTCCTCCCGCGGCCATCTCCTTGACGTAGTGCTCCAATTTTCGGACTGAAGGTCGTGTGACTTCGGCGTAGGATAGATTTCCCTGGTTGTCGATCGTGGTCTGTGGGCCAGTTGGATAGTCGACATCCTTGTAGACCGGGTTGGCGTTTAGAGCTTCGATACAGTTGCTAAGGAGCTGACCGGCTAGTTCTTTGGCAAGTTTATAGGTCTCACCGCGCTCTGTTGGGGTATGGTCAATATTGTACTGCATGAATTCCAACAATGTGGGATTGCTTCTGTTCATGATTCGGATGCAGTGGCTGACAATGTCACGATCAACGAGCTTGAGCCTGCCGAAAACAACATCGTAGTACATTGTGAGAGCGTCCTGGCGGACCCAATTCCACGAGGAGTCGTAAACGCGGGCTTTCAGGCTGGAGAATATCGGAGCAATGCCTTCAGCGTAGTAATCACCGTGTTCAGCATTCCAGAGATCGAGTTGGGCCTGTAAGACGGCCTGGGACTCTTTCGAACCGATGTGAGCCTTGTCACCGGCTGTGAGGTCCATCTTGAGGTACCTGGCTAGGATCTCGAGCTGTTGTTTGAACAAAGCCTTTTGATCCTTTGTAAGGGCATCGAGTGCAGCAGAGTCAACCATCATGCCGGCACCAGCGGCGGCAGCACCTCCCGCAGCAGGCGAGGATAGTGATACACCAGATGCTGCGGCATATTTCTGTGTGATGTCGTCGAAGAACGCTTTGGCATCGTTATCAGATCCCAATCTAGCAGCAGGTTCTGCGGTGATGGCCATCAATAGAACACCATCTTGTCGACCAGGACCAAGTCCCCACCTTGTTTCCAGGTATTTTCTGGCAGATGTCATGTTGAAACCACCAGGCATCTTGGAACTGATCATGCGGGCAATAAGGGAAGAACTGTGCTTTCCAAGCTGGCCGTTGAATGTGGCCTGCATTGCTGCACCGAGTTCGTCTAGAGGGGTATCTTCTGGCTTTTCGGGTGTCGAACCGAACTCCTTCTGCAGGTCACCAAGAATTTCATTTTGTAGTGTCGATTTACCTCCAACCAAGTCTTTGATGGCTTTGGAGAGAGGGATATCCGAGAGACCTTTCTTGAGCTTCTGAGCAATCAAGCTTCGTACAACGTCTGTAGCTGAAACCGGAGCATCTGGGACGGAAGCAGCTGGACCTGCAGATGGTGGTGGAGGGGCGGCAACAGCAGCAGCAGTTGGCGCAGCTGATGAAGAAGAGGAAGAAGCAGCTGGCGCCGAAGAAGCGGCAGTTGGTTCTGGTTCTTCGGCCTCTGGTTCGGCCTGGTAGTAGATTTCTTTGCCATCTTTGTTGTAGCTGAGAACCTGGCGCTGCAGCGATAAGGCAGCATCGTATGCTTCATATTTTGCGGCTAGGGTCCGTCGGGCCATACCAGCTAGTGTGTCCTATATGTAGATAGATAGAGGAAGAGGTTAGATCCCAATGCCCATTCTGGAAGTTGGAGGGAGTAAGAAAGGGAGGAACGGTATAACGTACTGCTGGGCCGACTTCAACGATTCTCTCGGCTCGTTGCTCGCTAAGGATGACATCCTGGGTTTCAATCCTACGAATTGATTAGTATATGATGAGTGAATGATTGATTGATAGATTGATTGATAGGATAGTAAGGAAGAAAGGGGAAGTACCATCTGACAGGGGAGGCGAATTGGTATGCGAGAAGTTCGATGAGGAGCAAGTGGGAGAGCTCCTGCTCCTGTTCGTGGGTCGGCATGACGAGAGAACTTCAATGGGATTCTGTATTTTGATATATATTCCGTTAGCTTTGATGGATTTAGTCTCGATGCTCTTTCAGGATGTCTAACGTACGTAGGTCAATTGGATGAAGTCGAGGTAATTTGGTCGTGTAACGTATCGGTGGTGGAGTGGTACGAATGAACACGAAAGGGACAATTCACACCAACTGTGGAAGATTCTACTGATCTAATAGCTGTTTGTGAATTGATATTACACACAACAAACAAACACTATAGTTTAGTGTATTTGTAGTATATTGTGTAGAAGAGTATGATGATGATGATGGTGATAAAGAAGATGAGGATGATTTTTGGGGGGGGTGGAGTGAGTGAAGTGAGTGGGTGAGGGAGAAAGGAGCGGAGGTGTAGTAGTAGTAGTAAAGGTAGTAAGTAGTGTACTTGATAGCTTCGAAGCTGCGACAACACAGAGACACACACAGACCAGCCCACCAATGGAGAAGAAGAAGATGTTGATGATGATGATGATGATAGTAGAGAAGTAGAGAGAAAAGAAGAAGAAGAATGAGAAGGAGAATGAGAAGGGGACAGAGATGTTTAGAATGAAGATTCGAATCAGCCTCCTTCTGTCCGAGATCTATTCTATTTGACTGTACTCTACTGTAGGTACCGTGCCTATATTGTAACAGGTATGAAGCCGAAGAATCAAATCAATCTAGAAAAAAAGCGTGTCCCCAATGCAATGTAATGTAATATACCGGGGACATAGTATTATCAACGTGAGTGGGGTACGGAGGACTATCGACAAGCTATCCGACCCTCCCCCGGGGTTATTCTCTAGTTTAACAATCCCTCCCGGGGTACAGAAACAGGGACAGGACAGGGGGGAAGCTCTAGCTTTGGTAACAAGCGGACCAGTCAGCCAGCTGCCCCAGCTGTTTTCCGTTGGGATGGAAAATTAAATTGAATCTCAGTCAGTTCAAACATCCCCAATTCAATTCAATCTGATTCAACAACCTCTCTCTTTCCCTCTCTCTCTCTGTACGGAGTATAAATTCGATTGCGTATGTATAAATTTAATATCTCGATGAAAGGTTGAGATGAATTCAATGTTCGGCTCAGCCGAGATCCGATGTGATCCGTCATTTATATGTTGGATTGTCCACGTAACTATACTATACTATACTATACTGTACTATACTATACTATATCTCTGACTCTCTCTCTCTTCAACTCGAGTGTCTACCTGTAAGTGCCCCACGTATGTCCGTTACGTATGTTTCTACAGAACTACAACCGTTATCGATATCCCATTTCTCGAAAAGAAAATAAAAAAGAAAAAGAAAAAGAAAAGAAAAACAGCGGCGGCGAAAAAGTCGGCGGTTTGTTTCAGGAACGAGTCTTTTTTTTTTTGAATTTTCGTCTGGTCGTTTCCCAACCCCAACGAGATTTTGTATGTGTATCAATCAATATACCTATTTTTGCCTCTCTGGTAACTACCAGTTATCTAAAACTAACTGGATCGCGCCGTGAGAAACCTCGCTTCCCTTAATTCCCCGGGTATCTTGATACATACGTAGAATAGATATGTTCCCCGGGATGCAGATAGCACTCACATTCGGGAAGCAGGAAGCGTATGCAGGGATTCGGAAACCCACCTTTCTAGCGTGGCCCGTTTTTCTCGTTGGCAACTTTTTGCTGCACCTCAACAATTAACCCGCCCACACGCAGACGCCAAATTGCAAATTGCAAATTGCAAATTGCAAATTGTATATTGCAAATTGAGCTTCATATTACTGACTGACGGACGTATTTTATTCCCAAGTAAGTTCTATCGTGTTCTGTTCTGTACGAATCGCGGGTTCTGGGTACTCCGGAGCTAAACAAAGTAGCTTCCTTTCTGCCGGGCGAGACAATTATACTATCCTGTCCTGTCCTGTCCTGTCTTGTCCTATAACTCGGTGTAAAAAGAAGAACACTGTCTTGAGAGCTTCTCTTTCACCATTATCATCATCATCATCATCCTCTCCTTCTTCTTCTTCTTCTTCTTCCCGACTATCGCCACTTTCATCTCTCCTTCATTCTATTCCCAATAGATAAAAATATACCATACACGATAGATTGTATTGTTCAATTGGTGTGGTTTTTAATCATATAGTCTTGTTCACTCAATTGACTCTTATCTGCTTCTCCACGTCCCCCTCATTATTTCACACAAACCAGAGGAACATCACGGACGCTAAAGCAAAGAAACTCTCTAATAACAATCACAGCTTCACGATAACTTCTTCTCCTTCCTTCTCCTCTTTCTCCTCCCCCTCCTCCTCTTCTTCTTCTTCTTCCTCGTTTTCTTCTTCTTCACAATGTACGGGACTGGAATCGTTACCGGAGTTTCGACTCCTCATACCGCCTCGTCTCTCCGACCCCTCGTTCTCTCACACGGCTCTCTGGAGCATACTCTCCTTATCCCCACCAGCTCCCACTTCCACGCCACACAGCTACGGGACCATTTCAATGCTACACTACCAGTTGCTACAGAGGAATTGGCACAGGACGACGAACCTTCGTCCGTTCCGGAGCTTGTAGCTCGCTTCTTGGGCTATGTCGCGACCCAGGTCAACGAGGGTGAAGACGACGAGCAGGGGTCTTACGAAGACGTCCTGAGACTCGTTCTCTCCGAATTCGAAAGCCGCTTCCTACGAGGCAATGAAGTCCATGCCATAGCTTCTACTTTACCTGGAATCCCATCAAAACACCAGGTCACCATCAGATCTTACTATGCTGCCAGGCTGGCTGCAAACCGTCCCATCAAAACCCATGCATCTGCTCTCCTACGAGCTGCTGAGTCTGGAAATGCCAAACTATTTGCGGTTTTCGGTGGACAGGGAAACATTGAAGAATACTTTGACGAATTACGCGAGATCTGGACCACGTACAATGGCCTGATTGAGGATTTCATCTCCAGAACCGCATCTCTCCTGCTAAAACTGTCAAGCGACCCCAGAGCTGGCAAGGTTTATAGCAAGGGTATTGATATCATGAGATGGCTGCAGAACCCTGACGTTACACCAGATCTCACCTACTTGGTTTCTGCGCCGGTATCTTTCCCATTGATCGGTCTCATCCAGCTATGCCACTATGCCGTCGCTTGCAAAATCCTCGGTCTGGAACCGGGCCAGGTCAGAAGCCTCATCAAGGGTACCACGGGTCACTCGCAGGGTATAGTAACCGCTGCAGCTATCGCCCTGGCATCCTCGTGGGAATCATTCGAAAAGGTCGCCAAAGACACAATCGAATTGCTTTTCTGGATCGGATGTCGTTCTCAGCAGACTTACCCGGTCACGGCTCTCGCCCCCTCCACTTTCCAGGACTCGATAGCTCAGGGAGAGGGTTCACCCACCCCCATGTTGTCCGTGAGAGACATGCCAAAGTCGGCGGTACAGACTTATGTCGATAAGACGAACCAGCACTTGCCTGCCGACAGGCACATCCACATTTCCTTGGTCAACGGCGCCAGAAATGTCGTCGTGACCGGCCCACCTCAGTCGCTTTACGGTCTCAACTTGACTCTCCGCAAGGTTAAGGCTCCAACCGGTCTCGACCAGTCCAAGATTCCCTTCACCCAGCGTAAATCTCGCTTCGTCAACCGATTCCTTCCGATTTCTGCCCCCTTCCACTCGCCATACCTCCAACCGGCTGCCGCTACCATCGAAGCCGATGTCAAGCACATCGTTTTCTCGAGGGGTGATTTCGGAATCCCAGTTTACGAAACCCACGAGGGCAAGGACCTAAGGACTGCCGAGGGGAGCGACAATGTCGTACCCGAGCTCATTCGCATGATTACCCATTACCAGGTTCAATGGGAGAAGGCGACCCAATTCCAAGGCGCCACCCATATCCTCGATCTCGGTCCCGGTGGTATTTCCGGTATCGGTGCTCTTACCCACCGAAACAAGGACGGTACAGGTGTCAGGGTTATTCTCGCTGGGACCATCGAAGGGTCCAACGTCGAATTGGGCTTCAAGCCAGAGCTTTTCGATAGAGACGATGCTCATGCTGTGAAGTACAACGTTGACTGGGTCCGAGAACACGGCCCCAAGCTTATCAAGACAAAGACCGGTGAGACCTACGTTGATACGAAGTTCAGTCGTCTTTTGGGTATGCCACCGATTGTCGTTGCTGGTATGACACCAGCCACGGTTCCTTGGGACTTTGTCGCTGCGACTATGAATGCTGGATACCATATTGAGCTTGGTGGTGGTGGCTACTATAGTGCCAAGGGTATGACGGAGGCGCTTCGAAAAGTGGAGGCCGGGACGACGCCTGGTGCAGGTATCACTATTAACTGTATCTACGTCAATCCTCGGGCTATGGCATGGCAGATTCCATTGATCCAGAGTCTCCGCGCCGAGGGTGTTCCGATCAATGGTCTAACCATTGGAGCCGGTGTTCCATCCCTAGAAGTCGCCAATGAGTACATCGAGACATTGGGATTGAAGCACATCGCTTTCAAACCTGGCTCCCTTGACAGCATCCAGCAGGTTATCAACATTGCCCAGGCAAACCCCAATTTCCCAGTCATTTTGCAATGGACCGGTGGCCGTGGTGGTGGCCATCACAGCTACGAAGATTTCCACCAGCCAATCCTCGCTATGTATGGTAGAATCAGAAGATGCTCAAATATCATCTTGATTGCCGGTTCCGGGTTCGGTGGTAGCGAAGACACTTACCCATACTTGACCGGTAAGTGGGCTGAGAAATACGCATACCCACCAATGCCATTCGATGGTATTCTCTTTGGTAGCAGATTGATGGTTGCGAGGGAAGCACATACCAGCAAGAACGTAAGTACATATTCATGTCGCAACGAAAGCGAGATCACACGACTAATTCAGTAATATAGGCCAAGAAAGCGATTTGTGATGCTCCTGGATTGGAAGACCAGGACTGGGAAAAGACTTACAAGGGAGCAGCCGGAGGTGTTATTACTGTCAAATCAGAGATGGGTGAGCCGATTCACAAGCTTGCGACCCGTGGTGTTCTCTTCTGGCACGAGATGGACCAGACCATCTTCAACCTTGACAAGGCCAAGAGAATCCCTGAACTCAAAAAACGACGTGACCACATTATTAAGAAGCTCAATGCCGATTTCCAGAAGACATGGTTCGGCCGTAACGCCGCTGGCGAAGCCGTTGACCTTGAAGACATGACCTATGCTGAGGTCATTAACCGTATGGTCGAGCTCATGTACGTCAAGCACGAGAGTCGATGGATCGATAAGTCTCTTAAGAGCCTTACCGGAGACTTCATTCGCCGCGTGGAAGAACGTTTCACCACCGGTGAGGGCAATCCATCGCTTCTCCAGAACTACGCCGACCTTGATGACCCATTCCCTACCGCCGTCAGAATAATTGAAGCCTACCCTGAAGCGAAGACCCAGTTGATCAATGCCCAGGATATGCAACATTTCCTCATGCTCTGCCAGCGTCGTGGACAGAAGCCAGTCCCCTTCGTCCCCGCTTTGGATGAGAACTTTGAGTTCTGGTTCAAGAAGGATTCTCTTTGGCAGTCTGAGGACCTGGAAGCTGTCGTAGACCAGGACGTTGGCAGAACATGTATCTTGCAGGGCCCAATGTCTGTTCGATTCTCAACCACTGCTGACGAACCTGTCAAGGACATCCTGGATGGCGTTCACAATGGACACATCAAATCATTGATCGCGGACTTGTACGATGGCAAGGAAGCGTCCATTCCTGTTGTTGAGTACTTTGGTGGAAAAGCTATTGAAGAAGTTGACGAGCCCGATGTTGACGGCCTGACCATCATCAAGGATGGTAACAAGCTTGTCTATAGGCTCTCTACCTCCCCCTCCTCTCTCCCAGATACCGATAATTGGTTGCGTCTCCTTGCCGGAGACTCTCACAGCTGGCGCCATGCACTCTTTACCACAGATGTTTTGGTTCAAGGCAGCAAATATCAAGATAACCCGATCAAACGTATCTTCGCCCCTGCTGCTGGCTCTCTGATCCACATTGTCAACCCTGATGACCCTGAAAACACCGTCATCACTCTTCAAGAGGCTAGCCAAGGGCAATGGACCAAGACAATTGAAGCCAAGAAAGAGGGTAACATCGTCAAGCTCGAACTTATCGAACATCGTACTGCGGATGGAAAATCATGCGTCATGTCCCTTCTCTTCCAATACCACCCAGAGTCCGGGTATGCCCCTCTTCGCGAAGTCATGGAGGGACGAAACGATCGCATTAAAGATTTCTACTACAAACTGTGGTTCGGCTCGGATGAGAAGTTTGACTCGTCTACTTCCGTTGAAGACGTCTTCGATGGTGGTGAGGCTAGCGTGACTGGCCAAGCTATCGCTGAGTTTGTTGACGCTGTAGGCAACCGTGGTGAAGCCTTCGTCGAGCGTTCTGGTTCTGAGAAGCAGATCTCCGCGCCAATGGACTTTGCCATCGTCGTTGGCTGGAAGGCTATCATCAAGGCCATCTTCCCTAAAGCCATTGATGGGGACTTGCTCAAACTTGTCCACTTGTCCAATGGCTTCAGGATGCTCCCAGGTGCTGAACCCCTCCAGAAGGGAGATACCGTTACAACCACTGCCCAGATCAATGCTGTTATGAACCAAGACTCTGGCAAGATGGTCGAAGTCACCGGTACTATCTCTCGCGAAGGAAAGCCGGTCATGGAGGTCACCAGCCAGTTCTTATACCGAGGTGTCTACAATGATTTCGAGAATACGTTCCAGCGGAAACAGGAGACTCCAATGCAAGTTTATCTCGCCACTACCAAGGATGTTGCGGTTTTGAGATCCAAGGAATGGTTCTGTCTCGATGACCAAGACGTTGATCTCCTCAATAAGAATCTTACGTTCCGTCTCTCTACACTTCTCCGTTACAAGGACAAGGAGACCTTCAGCAGTGTTCGCACTCTCGGCCAAGTTCTATATGAGCTCCCAACTAAGGAAATTATCACAGTTGCCACCGTCGAGTACGAAGCTGGTACCTCACATGGCAACCCAGTTATCGACTACCTCCAACGTAACGGAACCTCCATCGAGCAACCAGTCTTGTTTGAGAACGCTATTCCGTTACATTCCAAGACTCCTTTGGAGATCCGTGCACCAGCATCAAACGAGGCCTACGCCAGAGTTTCGGGTGATTACAATCCTATCCACGTCTCGAGGACATTCTCGAACTATGCCAACTTGAAGGGAACAATCACACATGGAATGTACAGCAGCGCGGCTGTCAGGGCATTCGTTGAGACATGGGCGGCTGAGAACAACATTGGTCGTGTCAGGAGCTACACGGTCAACTTCGTAGGAATGGTGTTGCCTAATGACGACATTTCGATCAGTTTGAAGCACTCGGGTATGGTTGGAGGTAGGAAAATTATCAGCGTGGAGGTTATCAATAAGGAAACAGAAGATAAGGTTTTGATCGGTGAGGCGGAGGTCGAGCAGCCGGTCTCAGCGTACGTTTTCACTGGTCAAGGTTCGCAGGAGCAGGGTATGGGTATGGAGCTCTACGATAGCTCTCCAGTAGCTAGAGAGGTTTGGAATAGGGCTGATAAACACTTTATGGACAACTATGGTGAGTTTTATCCAATATTACCAATCCACGGGAACATTTTACTAATTAAATTTTCACGATAGGTTTCTCGATCGTTGATATTGTCCGACATAACCCTAAGGAACTCACTGTTCACTTCGGAGGACCTATCGGAAAGGCAATTCGTCAAAACTATATGGCTATGACATTCGAGACGGTCAATGCCGATGGTAGCACCAAGTCGGAGAGAATGTTCAAGGAAATTGATGAGAACACAGCTTCTTACACTTACCGTTCGCCGACTGGGCTGCTTTCGGCTACTCAGTTCACACAGCCAGCTCTTACATTGATGGAGAAGGCTAGCTTTGAGGATATGAGGAGCCGAGGTCTTGTTCAGCGTGACAGCATGTTTGCAGGTCACTCCCTCGGAGAGTACTCCGCTCTTGCTGCATTGGCTGAGGTCATGCCGATTGAGTCATTGGTTTCCGTCGTGTTCTACCGTGGGTTGACCATGCAAGTTGCTGTCGAACGTGACGAGCAAGGACGATCCAACTACAGCATGTGCGCTGTCAACCCATCCCGTGTGTCCAGGAACTTCAGTGAGCAAGCGCTGCAGTTTGTTGTGGACAACATTTCAACCGAGACGGGTTGGTTGTTGGAAATTGTCAACTTGAACGTTTACAACCAGCAGTACGTTTGTGCTGGAGACCTTCGTGCATTGGATACTCTTACATCGGTGTTGAACTTCTTGAAGCACCAGAATATCGATATCCAGAGCTTGATGCAAAAGTTATCTCTGGATGATGTCAAGGAGAAACTACTTGAGATTGTGCGAGAGTGCAAGAAGCAGACTGAGTCCAAGCCACGACCACTAGAGTTGCAGCGCGGGTTGGCGACTATCCCACTGCGAGGAATCGATGTCCCCTTCCATTCTACTTTCCTGAGAAGCGGGGTTAAGCCCTTCCGCAACTTTTTGATGAAGAAGATTAACAAGAGTTCGATCGATCCAAGCAAGTTGATTGGGAAGTATATTCCTAATGTAACAGCTAGACCATTCGCGATTACAAAGGAATACTTTGAGGATGTATATAGGTTGACGAATAGTCCGAGAATTGGGAATGTTCTGGCGAATTGGGAGAAGTATGCTGGGGAGGATGGGACCGTCAATGGTATTCCTGAGGTTGTTACTGCCTAGACATTTTATTATCACTAATGCCGTTTCCGCTTTCTTTCTTTTTGTTATTCTACACTGTATAGCTTCTTCTTCTTGATAGCACCAGGGCGCATGCATCAAATTTTTTTTTTTTTTTTTCTCCTGTTTTTTGCTCTGTCCGTTCGCAACGTTCAGTCGATTACTTGGCTAGATAGACTCTATGTAATACGTGCTTCCTTCGAAGTGTATAAATTCGAATTATACAACTTTATTTTTCCTTTCGAAAGGTTCGGTGATTCGGTGAGATTGAACCCATGATTACGAGTCTAAGCTACGTAACCTTGCAAGCATAGCATACTCGAGTCAGTGATCATGTAACGGAGGCGAAGGGAGTGAAACAAGCCTTTTGGCAGGTGCCGTGGAACCGAGAGTTAGGCGTGTTGTCGGAGCAAAACGGCATCAGATCTGATCTGATTCGGAAATGCAACGTGGAGATGGTCTGGATAGTGTGTTGTTATGTTTGACCGCGCATTCGCCGGCCGATTTTGCGGGTGTTCCTGGAGTCTTGGCGATCTTGGCAGATTTAAAGCTCGGAACCCGTCCAGCCGAATTGTAACTTGGACGAAAAAAAAAAGATCGAGAAGAGCCAATCTCAGGCCACTGTCAGGAGCATTTGTCAGTTACTTCAGGGGGAATGTAGAAGAGATAGAAAGTATATATAAGGTATAGCTGTCCTGACACAGTTTTAATTTTTTCAATTTTCTATAGAAATCTACAAGGTCTTCGGTTCAATTGGTGGTGATATCTTTTTTTGGTGGTTGTGCTTGCTTGCTTTGCTTGCGCATTTTCGTTCCTCGTTTGGGTTATCCCTTTCAAGCTCTCGCTCTCTTGTTCTCTCTCCTTTCTTTTTAAAACTAAAAAAAAACATTTAATCTCCCCAACATCCAACAGTTTTTTTTCTTCCCTTTCGCTTTCACCTTCTACTCCTTCCTCTTCTTCTTCATCTTCATCTTCTTTCGGGTTTATTTTGTCATTGTCATTGTTCAAGAAGTTATTCTCAGTAGACAGCGATGTAAGTTTCATATTGTCATCTGCGCGATCAATTGGCGACACCTATATGCTAAGTTGAAAAAACAAAATCTAGGTCAAATTCTACCTTCGTCCCGGACGGGGCGACCTACTGGGCCCATTACGACCACATCAGCGAGATCAATGGCTCCTTCAACATCTTCGAGAAGATGTGGGCTGCCTGGTATGCTTGGATCGCAAATGATGTCCTCGCTACCGGTATCATGTCCTTCGTCATGCATGAGCTCGTCTACTTTGGTCGCAGCTTGCCGTGGATGATTTGTGATGCTATCCCTTACTTCCAGAAATGGAAGATTCAGGATGTATGTCTCTTTTTCTCTCCCCTCTCTCTCTTGATCTTTGGTTATCAAGATTTTATAGGAAGCATGAGAAGAAGAATGCTAACGCGTGTCTCCTTTGTTTCTAGCAAAAAATTCCAAACGCCGCCCAACAATGGCGCTGTATCAAATCGGTTCTCTTCACCCACTGCGTCATCGAACTGCCCCAAATCTGGCTTTTCCACCCCCTCGCCAAAGCCGCCGGAATGTCCACCGACGTCCCATTCCCAGCCTGGACCACCATGGCCTTCCAAATCGCCATCTTCTTCGTCCTCGAAGACGCATGGCATTACTGGCTCCACCGTCTCTTCCACTGGGGCCCACTCTACAAAAGCATCCACAAAATCCACCACGAACACTCCGCCCCCTTCGGTCTCGCCGCCGAATACGCCCATCCCCTAGAAGTCCTCACCTTGGGTATCGGCACCGTCTTCATCCCCATCGGCTACTGCTGGTTCGTACCGGACTTCCACGTCATGACTATGTACATCTGGATCTGCCTGCGATTGTTCCAAGCTATCGATGCCCATTCTGGTTACGATTTCCCGTGGTCTTTACACCATTTCATCCCCTTCTGGGCCGGTGCTTCGCATCATGATGTTCATCATGAGAAGTTTATTGGAAATTATGCTAGCAGCTTTAGATGGTGGGATTATATGCTTGATACTGAGGCTGGTCCTGAAGCTCAACAGAGGAGAAGGGATAAGAAGCGTGCGGAGAGGGATGCTAAGGCTCTTGCTGAACAGCAGAGATTGAGCATGGAGAGTATGGGTAAGGATGCGGCGGTTATGGGATCCCAAATCGCCGTGGAGAAGAAGACTTCTTAAAAAAGAGAAAGAAAATTTTGCCATTCGGATGAGAGTGGTTACTTTTTTTTTCTTTTCTAAGGAAAGAAAGAGAGGGGAGAGGGAGCTTGGATTGTAAAGTGGGAAAGATGCGGAGGATGTACATGATCACGAACGACCATTAGCGAAAAGAAAAAAAACCAACCTTCACTTTATTTTGCTGATATTACAACAATAAACTACTAACTACTAATAATCAACTTTTTTGGACAATGACACGAAAAGAAAGATGAAGGAGGTCAAGGGGGTGGGAAAAAAGGTCTAGACTTTTGTTTGCTTTTGGGCGGAGTTGTAATCCTGGATCTTGATATTGCGTTTTTTTGCTTTCTGTTTTTTTTACCACCACCAATTAACATTAATACTGGGGAGGAGAGCGAGAGAGAGCGAGAGAGATGAAGGGGGGTGAACTGGAGCTGTACATAATAAAGACATGTTTCCTCCGAAATATTAACTATAGCACGAAACGAGGCATTAGAACGAAATCACAACTACATTACCATATAATCTATCTATCCATCTATCTATCTATTATGTGCTCTTATGTAAACCGCTGAAAGTATATCTAGAGTACAAATCCAGGCTATATAGGTGTACGCTACATCTACAAAGTATTCCCATCAATCCCCAATCCCTCATATAGTGTCTCCACAATCACCCGTATAAGCTCTTGAACATCCTTATCCTCATGAAACCTCCTGTTATAACAAGCTGCCAACCGAATCTTCCCCGCAAAGGTATACAAAAACACAATAATCTTCGTATTCCCTTGTACCTGTCCCATCCAAAAATCTTTAACTCTCCCCCCGCTCTCCCCTCCTTCTTGAGCACTACTATCACCCTCCAAGTGGTTATTAGCCACAGTCAAGTACTTCTCCACAATTCCCAAACTAGATACCACCACCGTCGCCTTCCCCGCAGAATTACTAGGACTCAACCCAGCTTTTACCGCTTCTTCAAGCATTTTTAATTGTGGTTCATGATACCGAATGTTATCTTTATCATTCTTCCAATCGTCGAACTCTCTCTTAACATCCTTTGCAAGAGATATCAAAGTAGTCTCCGGCGTGATTGGCATAACCGGTAATGGGGTTGTAATACAAAACAACGCCGCATAAACCGGGGTGTTATACGGAGCTGGGAGGGTATCACGAAGACTTATCGGAAGGGTTGTGGAGAATACACCACTAGTTTGATTTGTGAGTTTTAGAATCGAAAAGGCGGTTGAGGCGGTTACGGCGTGGGTTATTGTTATTTCATGGGATTTGCAGGTTTTGAGGAGTAGTGAAGATTGTGAACTGGTGAAAGTGTAATCGTAACGATGGGATTCGTAAGGAAGGGTTGGGGAAGGGTTTGAAGAGAGGGAAATGGGAGGGGAGGCGAAGTAGGCTTGGACGAGTGAGGCGTTCTTTTGCACAATTTCGGGGCTTGCGGGTTGGGTTCCGGTTATTTTGAACGTAGACGGGCTTAGGAGGGACGGACTGTCTGTTAGGGTTGAAGATTGGGTAGGAGGGGAGAAGAGGGAGGTAAGGAAGTTGTTTAGGAGCATGAGGGATCCTACGCCGTCTATTATTTCGTGACGAATTTGGATGAATAGTTCGTTTGTGGAAGGGGAGTAGTAGAGTTCTGCAGTTTCGGGGTGGGGAGGGTTTGATGAGAGGAGTTTTATTGATTTTTGGGATTCTTGTCCCTGTTTCCCTTCTTCTTCTCCTTCTTTTGATTCTTGTGGGTGAATGATCTTTACGGTTGAATCGACCCATTCATCGATTTCAGCTGATGATTTTACATGGAAATCAAATCCAGTGGGGATGATTTTACATCCTAGAATTGGGTGGGCGTAACGGAGAGACCGCCAGGCGGCTTTTAGAGATAGAGACGAGAAAGGAGACGAAGAAGAGAGGGTTACGCCGACTACGACGGCTCGTTGGGAGATCGTGGGATTCATTGTTGCCATGTAGTATTCATACTTTTCGAGATGGTCGAATGGACGCTGGTAGTGGGTTGGGGACCCGGTGGGGGAAACCCAGTCTTGTATGTCGGCCATGTTTATTATTTTATCTTATATATATAATAGATATTAAATATATATAAGTATATTGGTGAAAGTATAAGTGCGATTTGATAAGATATCGAGATATGAACTCTAGAGTAGTTTAGTTAGCTTCGATTGTTCGTCAGTAGGTTGATATTGGGTTTTATATACTTGATATAGGAGGATATATCGGTCAACTGCCGGAGTGGATCTCTTTTGTCGTTTAGCTAAGGTCTTGGTTTCGTATTTTGTTCAACTAAACTAATTCGCACACGGCGATTTTTTAGATAGACTTATATCAAAAGAAGATATAAAATTAATCAAATCGTGATAGTTTTCCGTCGGCCGGCAGTTGATATGTTGTGATTTGGTGTAGGCAGGTTGGAAGATATTGATATCGACTCCTGCGCAGCAGGTTTATATACCCTCTTCTGAAATAGCTGAGTGAAGTATCATCCTAGCTCTAAGCAGCGCCAGCTGAAAGAGCCACCTCGGAAGTTTATTCTTCTTTTGAATAAGAGCATGACCATTCTTCGTAATTTGTGAAGGACAGTGGCGTGGGTCTGAACATTTCAGCCGGTCAGCGTTGTATATTAAACTTCAAAAATTCGTATACAACCAGTGAATTGAGTTGCGACTTACGAGAGACATCATACGGCTGGAACCTAACTGTGGAGACAGCTAGACAAACCCCTGTCGATTTTGGGGTTTTCTCGAACGAAGAAGACATCAAGATGATACCAATTGAGTCTTACAAAAGGTTGGAATTCTTATTATCTTTGACCAGGGATAGATTGTATAAGCTGCATTGCATATTGTCATGAATTCAAATGAATTCAAGCTGTTGTATTTTTTTTTATTGTGTATGGTAGGGCTGAGGTGCAGCATATCACCAAGCTCAAGACTTGGAGCTAGATCAATCCGGCGAATTGACGTGCAGATATTAGATGTTATATGATGTCATGGTCTATACCGACTGGTTAGTGAGAATCTTTCTCAATTTGAAATCATAATGGCTTACCATTGGGACCTTTGTTCATGATATCTTTGAATTAATGTGGTTACAGTGTAGTTGAGAGAGGATGTAGGTTGAAGGTTGAAGGTTGAAGGTGGAAGGTTGAAGTAGTCCTGAGGAGAGTGGCACTTGTTGGCTGTTAAAATTGCGGCTTAAAATGCGCCAACAAAAAAAACGCGACTTTTCTTTGTCCCATCTCCAAAAACCTTCTTTCTCCATCATCACCTTCACCAACCTCACTTCACCTCACCTCACCCTCATCAACCTCCTTCATCACGCTTCAAATCCCCACCCCAATCATCGCTTTGCAGATTCAATCGATCTATAGTTGTTCGATATAGAATCACCATATCCTAATCCTTCTCGTCAAACAAAAACGATCTTTACAAATGCCATCACCGACACCGCCCCCAAATCGCGGTCGGTCGTACAGCCGCTCTCGCTCTCCTCGTCCTGGAGCACGCGACTATTCTCGCAGCAAATCCCGGTCTCGTACTCCCAACAACGCTCCTCGAGGCCGTTCGTACACTCGTTCTCGCTCTCCCCGTTCCAGAAGCCCTCGCTCTAGATCCCGTTCTCGTTCGTACTCCAGATCTAGATCTCGCAGCGCAGGTCCTCGCAATGCTGCAGGCGCCGGAGGTCCTGCCGATAATGCTGGTAGTCCTAGGAACCGTGGAGGCGACAAGCGAGGCAGAAGTTATTCGAGGAGTTTGAGTCGTAGCCGGAGCAGGACTAGGAGCTATTCTAGGAGTCGCAGTCCCTATAATCGTCGTGGAGGTCCAGGAGGCGCACAAGGTGGCCGGTTTAACTCAAGAAGCTATAGTAGAAGCTTGAGTCCTGCAGGCCCATTAGGACTTCCCGGTGGGAAGAGCTCTAAGGTATGTATTTCCCCCTATTCGTCTCACTTTCCTTCTGATGGGTAGAAGCTAATAAATCGTCCTTTAAAAATAGATTGTGGTTGAAAAACTCACAAAGAACATAACGGTTCCACATATAACCGAGATTTTTGGCGTATACGGCACGATTAAAGATATCGACATGCCGATGAACAGAATGTTCAATACGAATCGTGGAGTGGTCTACGTCATATACACCTCCCCACAGTCAGCACAAAATGCGATAGCGCACATGCATGAAGGACAGATTGATGGAAGTGTCGTTAGCGTCTCATTGGTTATCCCTAAGAGACCAGTTGGTGGATATAAGGGCAGCGGAAGGAGAGGAAGATTTGGACCTGGTGGTGGCGGCGGAGGAGGAGGAGGAAGGAGCAGGAGCAGAAGCCCAAGAAGAGGTGGAGATAGTTATCGGCCGCCCGGAGGTGGCGGAGGTGGAAGCGGTACCGGCGGACGAGGAAGACGTAGCCCGAGCTACAGTAGTTATGGAAGTCGAAGCAGGTCAAGATCTAGGACCAGGAGCCGGTCTAGAAGCAGATCGAGGTCAGATAGCAGGAGCAGGAGCAGAAGCCGCAGCAGAAGCTACTCAAGCTCACCGAAGAGACGATCCGGAGGCGGTGGTGGAGCACGTAGAAGGTAATTGCGCTTACAGCTATAACCTATGAAACAATACGACAATGACGTTTGATTTTAAGAAAAGCGGTTGGAAGGTGCGGAATCTTTTTTATTTTTATTTTTTTGCTCCAACTTTTTTATACGAAAAACCCCCGTTGAAAACAAGCACAAATTATTTCGTTTTCTGATTCCTTCTCATTCTTTCCCCTGCCTTCTTCTCCTTTTCATGTATTATTAGTGGACCGCACGACCTATTCGGATTTCCCTTTCTTTTTCACAGTCTCAAATTCATATCTCAATAGAAAATATTAATAGAATTTTATTAAATATAGGTGAATGGTGCAATACGAGACTAACTGAATGGGTGGTATATGATCTGATGTACTGGTCTCTAAGGGGCGACAACTGGGCATAACGACAGTAGAATGCTGGGACCAATCGTAGATGTATTTCCACTGGTACTGGAGTCATTCTAATGCATATCGTTAATGCATTAATGTATGTATAACCATTGTATGACATATAACATCTATGAACTTATATAGATTTAGTTCCGGGGCTTACACCTGTAGAATCGTATATATCCAGACCCTCTGTTCGAAAAGGTCAGCCCGAAATCAATTGACCAATATACTACATATCCATAACCCCGGGCTCTAGACTAGCTACAGTGGTACATGTACTTGCATTGTGCGTCGACCTCTGACTTCCCGTTGAGAATGTATATGTGGTAGTAAGCCTGAGGTCACACAATGAGGTGGCGTTTAGCCCTTTCGAGTCAAGTCTCGGCCTTTTGGACTGCGAGATAACGTATATAACGAGATATCGAAGTATATTATATAGAAGAGCCATGGTAGTTATTTAAAAATATCATTCCTACATGCATCCGACATCCTAAAACATCCATCTGTTTCAACAGTAACGGCAATTAATTCTATCATACGCACTCTTTACTACCAGACCTCGCATTCAGCCTACCATTCAGACAATCACTGCCACCAATTTTGCAAATTTGCCATCTTCACTCAAGTGCTTGTATAGCTCGTACTTGTAAGTTTGTCTAGCTATTCTTTCATATAAAATTTACCTTGTGTAACTTGACCCAATTAAACGACGAGGAGAACATAATATTGTTTGTAATATATATCAGTATAGTAGCTAACAAGTTCAACTTCTTCAGGTATTCGATTTTAAACCGAGACTACTAGACCTAGTCTTGGGTAGGAGACCACTGCTAGGACACATCACAACCTTCCAACAATGCCCTCTCAATCACAATCTCCACGCTCGAATACAGGTGGTAACACCAATAGCTCTACCAAAGCCTCTTCGGGCAATAGCTTGCTGCCATTGGCAAAAGAACAAAAGGATTCTGGTTCCTTGAAGAAGTCCGGGGGAACCAATGGAGGTTGGGTTATGAAACCCGTCGAGTACGATCCTGATGGATATGGAGATCAATTCGCGTAGGTTTCTTCGTCTGTCTATCTATACTCGAGATTTTCTTCGGTCTCATAAAATTTGTGTCTAGCTGACAATTAGAGACGCCTTTTATTTTATAGATTTGAAATCATTGTTCGGAAATAGACTCTTTTCATTCGAGTTTATATCTATCTAGATTTATACCTAGGTATTTAGAGATATATTTGCAGCGAGAAGGATGTTTATAACGAAGACTCGCAACACAAAGACTTCAATAAAATACAACGTTTGAACCGGCCTGACTCTGAATTGTTTCTAAAAATATTAATTTAATACGTATTAATACTAAGCTAAGCTATTTTTGATACTATCCGCTTCAGAGTGGGTCGGAGTCTTGGGATATTTATATCGATATATACCCCTTTGGTTATCATCGCCCGCCGCCCACTTTTCGGCTACACCGGGGTTTTTCAAAGGAGGTCGTTTGTAGTTTTCCGGTCTCCGAGCTGTAGGCCACAAATCTGGCCATATACCATTGAATGCACGCTTCGGCTCACCCGGTTTCATTGGGTCTTTAGCGATTGCGAGGAGATAATCAAGCGGGTATTTGTAACCTTGTGATATGAAGGTCGCTAAAAGTCCAGCTACTACTGGTGTCGCTATGATTAAGTTCATTCGTGAGTTACAAAATTCATTCCGTACGTATAAAAGGGAATGAAAATATTTCGGTGAAGACGTCTAGACTTACAGTATGATGTCCCTTGGAAATACTGGTATGAGCCGGACCAATCGCCGTCAGGGGGGCCATCGCCAGGAAGATATGCTTTTACGGCGACTACTTTCCATGCTTGGGCGGAGATGCTAACAAATTTATTGAACGCAAACCTGTTGAACCCTTCATCGTTATGGCCGCCAACAACAAGGAGGTTTATGTCCACTTCGGGGTCTCCAGCAAGCAGTCGGGGGTACGTAGTGAGTGGGATAAAACCTTGATCATTTACCTTTTATTTGACTTGTTAGCGCATGTATATATATATGATGTATAAATATATATAATTGTTCAATCAGTGTAGAATTTCGGTCACTAGTCTCAATCTGCATATATATACCTATCTATAACTGTGGCTTTCCGTCCGAATTCCTGATTTATAATATATAGCAATAACGCTAGACATGTATCAATCGTAGCCGAAACGTACAATGCCAGCAGGAGTACTTCAGGGCCTGCAGTAGAGGTTCAAGTTATTTTATAAATAGTCTAGCTAGTTGTCTCAAACCAGACTTCGAAAAAAAAAAAGTGTTCTAGCTAGTGTAATTAAGTACTTACTTCTTGCTCGTTTCCAGCTGCTACCACTACATAGCAACCCATTTTCCGAAGAGATGTAATCCAGAGTTTGCAAATGTACCGATTGATAGGGCTCTCTTTGTCCCACAAGATCATCGCCGTTGAAGATACTACTACACAAGGTTTTTTCATTTTGGCCCTATTTTCGACAATATGGTCATATGTCATCATCATGGCATTGACCATTACACTCCCCGATATAGAACGTCCGTATATTGTCATTTCTAGTCGGACAAGGGTTACATCGACTTTCGGAGCAACCCCGATCGATTTTCCAAGAATTTTAGAAAGGGTAGTAGTGCCATGGGCGAAAATCGTCGACTTGTCGTGATAAAAATATCCAGGACTCTCCCCTGGCTCGTCAAGGCCATCACGGTTAGGATAGAGCCACTCAAGCTCCACACCTTCAAATTCCTATTGAAATTGGAAGTATAAAGTATTACCATATTAATAATTCAGAAGCCGTCAAGAATCTTTTGTCAAATATCCAATTATAATTATAAGTAGTGGAAGGTCACTTACAGCGTGACTTAGATCGCATCCCGTATCAAGGTAGTACATCTTAACACCCTCGCCGGCATTCTTCCAGCGCCAGGCTCGCCACGGGTTTTCTCCATTAAATTCAATGCCGGGTGGCAGAGAAAACTTTATCATATCCTCGTATTGCAGATCTGGTCTTTCAATTTCCGGACTCATCCCCCCTCGTCCTGGCTCATCTCCCCGCTTATGTAAGACTTTAGAGCTCGGCTTTTGACGATTTTGATATGTGCTGTTGCTAGTTGTATATGTACCACTGGTGGGGATATCTGTGTAATTATAATCGGGAAGCTCATGGGATGGAACGTGGATATCGTCGGCATCGATATCGTAGCTCCTTGAGTACCGAGGGTGTAGATTTTCGAAGTTTTGGTTATATCTTCGCTGCATATTTCCCTTTAATTCTGTTTCGTCAGATTTCAGCGGGGCACTGGTAATGAAGTAAGACTTAAGAAACTTATATCCAAAACGCCCAGCCCACAAGCTAGTCAGTTAGCGGACCATTGACAAAGGTTTAAATATTGATGGCTACAGAGCTGGTAGCTTGCAGAGTCTTACAATATTCCGATATCTTCTTATAATCCCAAGGATTTCACGCATTTCTTCTCCGGCTAATGTCGTTGGAAATTTGACATTGTAAAGAAATGTGCCTAGGTATTTGCTACGTACCGCGAGAACCGCATGTTTTCGAGGAGGGAGGGTGTATGGTTCGATCTCCTTTAGAAATGTTTTGGCGAGCTCTAAAACCATCCGCTTGTTACTAAAGCCAGAACCTAGAAGCTCACTTGGTGGCCTAATAACAAATTCATATTCTCCTGACTGCTTCTCCCATGTCCCTATCTTTGGGAACTTGTCATTTAGCACCGGTGGTTGTGATGGTCGGACGGCTTTGACACTGGGATCCCGAAGGACTGACAACTGAAATATGAATACGAATAGAATATTAAAGATTAGTGTCTGCATGTATCCCATCGTAGCTGCGTAAACGACCCCCAACTTTAAACCTTATTTTCTGCTTTGCAAAACCTCTGTATCTAATATATCAGGGTAAAAGTGGGCCAAAACGCTTCAGAAAGCGCCTTTTGGGGGACAATGAGCTCGCAAGTTCTGTACATACATAATCAAAAAAAACGATACTGGGCCTGTAGACCCAATTTATAGTTGACTGTTGGTCTGGAGGCGTTGACTGTAACATATTTCTATTAGAACTCCTTTGCTAGCGTCGCTTTTCGTGAAACTATATATACCGTGTATATGTACTACTACAGCTAGTAGGATATATCTTGGAGGCGCAGAGTTAGCTTTGGAATGTTGTCTTTGTATCGAATTTCATCACTGGAGTTCTCAACTGTGTTTTCTATATAGGCACATACCTAACATATCAATGTTGGCGGCATCTTGCAAGCGTATATAAATAGGACCAACATGCATTGGTAGAGATACACTAATTAATGCTATGGAACTACCTACATACCCGGGCCCTAGTATTATGACTTTGTTAAAGGATTATTTTCCCTCTAGCTAGATATACGAACCTCCCTGTTAGAAAATAAGAGAGAGAATACTAATGCTCATAATAATTAAAGTTTCTAATATTTCTATAGGCAAAAATAAATTTCATTTCAGAGCGAATCGCGAGGCTAACCAAGCGGACAAAAGCTGCCCCATGCAAGAAAAACCCCATAAGCATAAGACATTAGGGGAAAACATGTAATGCAAGAGTACAAACGGCACGGCTTTTCCAACCCTTATATAAAGTGGCGAAGTCGAACCGATTCTGAAGTTGGGAGACTGATTGAACCCCAGCCCTGAGCCGACAAGAATATCATAAATATCACCACAAATGCGCCTTAATTTCTGAGCCGCCTATAGGCCGTGTGATAAGTTCAAAGATCTATAAGTAGATCTGTTTCTTGTGTACCTTTGCTGCCTTCCATGGAGTGAGGGTTGTACTTCGGCATAGGCTCCGCCTTCATAATAGGTTTTGGTTTCTGGGTGGGCTCCTCTATCTTCTTGATCGGGATTGCCTTATTTTGTTTTGATGGCACCACGACTTCAAGAGTATGTCTAGAAGACTGTAACCCAGTCTGAAAACCCGCTTTTCCCTTTTCACTAATCTTTTGTGAAGCTTTCTTTGCGGCATAGTAAATGTTCTCTTTAGAGTTTAATTCGTCAAGGGCAAGATCAATTGAAGCTTCATCCCATGGACGTCTTCTAGTCGCTCGTTTCCCATTCTGCGTACCTGACTGCAGCTGGGATCCGCTTGGACGATAATCAATTAGCTGTTTTTGTGGGTCCCAAACGCATATATCAGGTGGAGCTGGGAGGTTGGAAATCTTCGCAATTGGTGTTTCGATATTATCAGTTGCCGCACGCGCACGCTGTTGTTTTGTGTTTTCGGAAGTATGGGGCGTAGGCCTTTCGATGATTGAAATGCTCTGAACACCATCCCCTCTTGCGTCCTCCAAGCCCGGGTACGAGACAGCACTCCCTTGGGAAAGTATAATTCCGCGAAGAGTTTCGGAGTCGAGTATAAAATGACGCTGGATTTCCTTTTCATCCTGACGGTATTTTTGAGTAACCAATTCTTCTTCAACTGCGAGTGCCTCCCTTTGATTGTTGATTCGTTCTAAAGTAGTGCGTATAGGGCCCTGGATCTTTTCGAATTTCTGCTTAATATCCGCCGTGAGAACTGAAGTGTATTTATTCAGAGCACGTTGCTTCTTGCTCCAGTTGGAAGCTCCAAGAGCATCTACCAAACTCAAAATATTCGTGAGTAGTGGATACAACCCGGAAATACTGATATTTCGGCGCCTAGAGACCAAATCGTATAATTCGCTTGCTGAGTTCAGGCAGTCGGTGTTTGAATCTATGTCTCGGAGACGCGCTAACTTAGCAAAGGTCTCCGCTGGAAACTGATTGTTATCCATGTTATTCATAGTATCCTGGACCATCAGAATTATTTGACCAAGAGAGCTATTGTCTGGAAATTCAAATACTCTGTGGTTGAGCTTCTCTGGAAGGTAATTTTTTGTAAACTCGTAGAATGCCGCTTTCAAAATGCGCCGAGTCTCTTTGAGGATAGCACGCAACGTTGGATATGGGAAGTATATGTTGTCGGGATCAATAGAACGGGGAGCTTCGCCTGAGGGGTCAAAACTCATGATACTGCCAGCTTCATCGTCTAAAACACTGTGTGTGTATGTGTTGACAATATTAAGGTTCTTGCTAGCCAATAACGTGTTAGGTGAAAACCTTTTATCCCAATCTATATTGCTCGGTCTTCCTTTCAATGTGGAGCTGGGTTGTATTTTATTTGACTGGTTGGTTTTATCCTGAGGCATAGTAGTCTCTATGGTGGCCTGTTCAGAGACATTTCCATTCAGGAGCCATGGCCACGTTTTCTTGATAGAGTCTGGAGTTGAAATGTAAATCTGCTTGGCATGCATCTCAACCATGGTTTCAACTAACTCATCCATCTTGTACTGTCGAAGGAGGAGCTCTAGATGGCTTGGATGAAGATGACGTTTGATTATGTCAATAGCGCTGTTGGCTGATAGACGGGTTATCAAGCTGAAAGGACTTTGCATAAAGATGTCTCGCGTCGTAAAGTAGACTAATCTTTCAAGTCTCTGCTGTGTGTCTGAAGAAGGATATGGAATCTGTATGCTCTTCTGGAGTTTTAGGCACTTCGCTCCAGCGGGTTGGGCCATATCTACGCCGTCCAAAAGGTTATCCCATACTGCCGTGGGAGTTTTGCTCGAAATACTTTGGGATTCGGTAGAATTGGTGGTAGGCGTCGTGGCTTCTACCTTGAGTTTAAAGAAACCTCTAGGACTGAAATTAGGGGCTGATGGGTTTAGCACAAGTCTGGTATGGGTTGATTGGTTTGCCATTATCGGAGGTTAACTCAGGACTTGTAGATTTAGAATATAAACTAATGAGCTCCTAACTCTGGTTATAGCGAGCCTTGTTCGTGGGTGCCTGTATGGTTACTTCTGGATGTTCTTGTTGCAGTGATGAAGATGGTGCCGTGATGTTGCTTGAAGAAAGGTGACTGGAGAAGAAGTTACTCGATCGAGTGCAAAGCAGCGAGCAAATATCTAGAAGTGACGAGAGGCTTATAAAGAGGAAATTTGGATAGTAAAATATAAAAACGGAACGATTTCGATAAATATTTCGCCGTTGCGGCGCCAATGGCCTGTTGACTCCGGTGAGCTGTTGCATTATGTACTGAGAACGCGTTGTCGGCTGTCTTCTGGAGCCATGGAGCTCCTAGCGCTAGCCCTCCATGGCCAATCACTATCCCAGGGCCTAAGCTCTACAAAGAGAGAAGCCCTTTCATCGTGCTTTCCCACTCTGATACCCGCCTCTGCTGCTCCTCTAGCTCCTTCTTCTGCTCTATTATCCAGTACATGGCTCCGGCCAATGCCTTTGCCTTTACCTCCTCCATAATTCCATGGAGTTGGTATCCCTCAAGTATGTCGAGATCTCGTTGACATTCTGATAATATCTGCGCAAGAACCAATGGCTCTATCCGGCCACGGTTTGCAGCCAGGTTTTCGGCCTGGAAAAATGCGTCAAATCGCATTTCAGGGGCGGTCTCTGACATCTCGGCCTTATATCTGGACATCGTAGCTTGAAGAGGGTCTTTGATATTCGTAGCACCCTCTTGACAACAGAGGTGTGCAAAGAATGTTTTTTTGGCAATTAAGATTGCCACCTCCACGGTTTGCCTTTGCTCTGTGCCCGAAAGGTGGTTGGGCTCGACGGTTGAAGCCGCCCCGTTTTCGGCTTTGTTTTGTTGTGGGTCGGCTGCCGTACGGCCGTCCGCCATTGTAGGTTCAAGAAGCCTCATATTCCAGTTCCCCACGGCTGGAACATTGGGCGGTAGACGGGGTCTTAGGGGAACGGTAGTCTTCGTTTTGGCTTTGGTGATCCTACTGGCGGACGGTCGTAGGACCTGGTCCTGCCGGTTCTCACGCTTTGACTTGCTCATGCCGGTCCTACCCCGAGGGGCATGGACCGAATCCTCAACACCGGAGAGCTTAACGCTTTCGGGTGGAGAACTAGAGCTGTTCTCGGCCTGAGAACCGGTGAGTCCCAAGGCTGTGGTCTATCGAAAGATATTAGCTTTAGCTACGCCTTCTTATAATAGTGATTAGTATACAATCCCTTACCGATACCAAGGTGGACCGCGCCTCGTCCCCCATAACAGGAAACGTAGGGGCGGTCACTTCCTCGGCTTTCGACCCAGTCTTGGGATCCACAGGCCATTTCACGTCCGGGAAGATCGTCGTGAACTCCGTACTCTTGCAAAAGGCCTTAGCCTTGAGCAGTTTTTGAAGGCACTGAAGGACGACCCTCAGACCGACCTTCTTGACGAGGAGGTTAGTATCATCGTCGCTTTCCTTCTGTCGTTCTACCACACGCCTAATGGAGGTCGTGTGGTCCGCTGTTCCTCCCCATTTTGCGAACGCTCGTTTGAAACGGCAGTAGACTTCGTAGTCTAGCTTGCCAAATTTCGTGGTGCTAGCTAGCCCCGTAGCCTTGGTTTTTTGATTGCTCTTACGAGCCATTGTATCGTCGGTTCTTGTGTGAAGGAAATTCGTAGGTGTAATGTGAGAAGGGGAGGGTTGAGCTGGTGATGGGAGGTGATAGTGGGGGGTTCGAAATATATTTTTTGCTCGGTCTCGGCTTTTATATTATGAACGGCCGAGCGGTACCATTACACGCGTTGAGGCGAAATCTTAACTGCTCGCAATTACGTTTCGAGATAATCACGATGTAGATAAAGATGTGCATATGTAAGTTCAGGATAGCCATCTTTTGGCAGGGGCGTACCGGCCCAACCTGAGAATCACCTCCTAAAATTCTGCTCACGAGGACACAATATTTCAGGTTTTCATGATCTCAATTTTTCGGGGTTTAATTTTGAGATTTACACAAAGACATATATCACATACAATGGCCAACGCAGTAGCCTTAGGAAATGAAATCTAAGCTAGACCAGGCCAGGCCGGGTATTCGAAAGCAGTCTCGAGATCTCGTAACCAGGCTTTTGTATTCGAAAGGGAGCGTTAAAATACACTAGTTAAAATGTGTTGCGTGTGGAGTTTAGGAGTGCCCGATTGGGATGGCGTTCTTGTCCAGATTAGGGTGAATACCAAAGTCTTGGCGTTAGCATGGGACAGGCAAGTTTACGGACAGCATTTGGTTTACGGGAGAATGCCTGGGCTCTAGCGATTGGATACTTTTGGCTGGTTCGTACTAATTATCTTGGCCTGGTATTAATGGATTCGTGATACCTGGCCAGGACCCTTTAGTTTTTTTCAAATTAATGCTACAGGCGCAATAATATCAAACTGGACGCATAGCAAAGCTGCAAAGTAACTATCTTGTCCATTAGAGACTTGAAAGAAAATTCCGGTATTAATATATTGTTTAGTCTCGTGTTCAACATATGCATTCCCAAACAAGTATAAATTTCCCTGAGATATATGGCCGAATGCTAGTAATGTACGTATATGTAGTTGATGACATCACGCCGCTAATCCCGAGCCTCTCGTGAAATATGAAATATGAAATGTCAATGCTATTGAATTGCTTGATTCTTTAGTCAACTCCAACTTGCGATCCTATAAGTGGGCCGGAATGTTCTATATCGATTATCTTGAGGTTCTTCTGTATGATGAATATGGGTTCTGGTATATATGTATGTAATTGACATCATTCGGTGGATGAGATTGCTTCGACCAGAAAGGTGGTAACTTGGAATTTGATATGAGATTGTCTTCTATGATAGCAATATATCCGATTCGAAGATACTTTAATCAGAGTCCGTCATAGATAGGGACCACAAACCTAAGAGATATAGTCTAATAGTCCTATGGTAGTCGAGATACAGATTTGACCTGTCTAGCTCTGCAAATGGATTGTTGGAATTCGTGTGTTGGCTATGTTACACCAGGACCCGGACTTAAGGCCCGAAGTCCCGAGTTTCGAGATATTCCGAAGCTTAAGCTCTGTGCGAAGCGAACGTGAACCCACCCAAGTTCTTCCAATCGAATTCTTCGGAAAGACACCACTCAAAAATACGGCTCCTCTAGCTTCTGGGCTACGCAGGCAATACGAGCATTTTCCACATCACGGGCTCACAGGCGGATGAATGTCGGGACGGTTGGTCTTTGACCGATGAGATCTCATCCGATCCTGTGCACGTGCACTAAGCAGGACCAAGACTAGCTCGCACTTGCGTGAATTTAGGCTGTTTATTTAGACTGTAAGGCCCCTCTTTCTACTGGTTCCCTCTCCGTGTTGTAGACACAGTTCATAGCGCGCCGAAATATTACATATTGCATACCATTACATACAAAAAAAAACAAGTCAATCTCATTACTAACGATGTCGCCTCAACAGATCTTTGTCGGAGGCTACGACGATGCAATCGACAGTTTTGTCTTCGACGAGGCTGCTGGAACTTTAATCAAGACCCATTCAACCCTTGAGAGCAAACCCGGTCCTTCGTGGCAACATATCATCCCAGAACACCGGTTGCTTCTGTCAGGATGTGAAGGACCTCTCGGGGAGATTGGATATCTGGATTCCTACAGATTCTCAGAAGATGGCGCTCTAACAAAGGTCGACCGTAAAGAATGTGTCCAAGGGTGTGTTAGTATGGACATGGGAAAGAATGGCTTTCTGATAACGGCCAGCTAGTATGAGAAAATAGGTTCTTATGTCCGAGTAGACAGCCCCAACTTAGCTAATTACCTATTATCATAGTGACGCTTCAGGAGTTAACACCTACTATATCAAAGAAACCGGCGAGATTGTTCCATTGCAAACACTCCTATTCACACTTCCTGACGGCCAAGCAGGTCATCCAGACATTGATCCAGTTCGTCAGGATGCCGCCCACCCCCATGAATCCCGCATCGACCCAACCGGAAAGTTCCTTCTCATTCCCGATCTCGGTTCGGATTATCTTCGAATCTTCGAAATTACATATGGCGAAAAAGGAGAGGATTCTAGAATCAAGGAGGTTGAACCGTTAGTATGCGATACTAGAGCTGGGCCTAGACATTGCTATTTTGACCGCACTGGAAAGTTCATGTATTTGGTTGAGGAACTTGCTAGCATGGTTAGAGTTTACCAAGTTGAATACACTGGGCCACGCGGAATCGACTTTAAACCGATCCAACGTATCAGCTCTTTGGGAATTGGCAAGGGGCCAGCCGACACCAGAGTTCAACGACTTAAGGCTGCTGAGGTTGCCATCAGTGTAAGTCCCTCTTCGGAATCCTAGTGAATTTGCTAAGAAATATAGTACTAATGGCATGGGATATAGCCTGATGACAAACATTTGTATATCTCCAACCGCTACGATAGGTCCATGCCAGATGGAACAGACTCTATTGCACATTTCCTGATCAATACAGACGATGGAACTCTGACATTTGTAGAGCTAACCAGCGCTGGTGGCATTAACCCCAGGCATATCAGATTGAGCCCGGATGGAAGTTGGATTTGTATTGCTACCCAAGATACTAATCGGGTTGCAATGTTTAAACGAGACCTTGAGACCGGAACGATATTGGAAGAAGTTGTCGCTGAGGGACAAAGCGGACAGCCAGTTTGCATTACCTGGTAGTCTTCACACAGCATATCTTAATTATTATTTTGTATATTGTGTGCGATCAATCGAAATTATCCACCCTCATGGCTCAACCCCCCTCAAGAGAGGCCCCTGTGAAGCAATATTCTCGTTGGCAATTAATGTTTGTATGCAGGCATGCAGGGTCCGGCATGCACATGCAGACTCTACCTAGCTTAGTATAAAGCTTTAAGTTGCGTTGTTTATCGATAAGACCACAAGTGTCGGTCTTGGCATGCAGGTACCCAAAAAAGTTATTTGGTCAACATCCAGAAATCTTAGACTGTTAATTTTACAAAGACGTTTAACTACTACTTACTTAATCACCACCACTTAACAAACAACCTCGCGACGATTTACTAAATCACTAGATCTGCCTATCAGCAATTTTAATAGAGCAGGGCGGATTCGGACTTCCATTTATTTGTCTTTGTTTCTTTCTTTCGCTATCTTGACCCATCAGCTTCGTTATGTGGTCGTAAAATATGCTATAGCTCTGGCTTGCAGATTGGTGGGGCGACATCGATACGGCGACATATAGTGGCACAAAATGCTTCCCAGGCGACGCATAGGCGTCAAAGCGCTCACATGGCAAAAGACCGGAATACACCCCTCGCACCAAGTGCGTCTTCTGGCCACACAAAAGCCTTCGTTACCCAAAAGTGTCGAAAATAACACTCGAGTAAACGCGATCCTGAAAGTACAAAATGCTGTCGCAATGACTTCTTCCAAATTGACATTGGACAGCTTAACGACAGATGACCAACGACGAGACTATCTATGGAGTAGAAAGGAGCAGATATCCAGGATCCTCCCTGGAAGGGAGTGGAAGAAGGTCTTCGCTATTGCTCGGAGGCTGTTCGAACACAATTATCTTATACGACCGCCGGCGGACAAGGAATTTAGGAAGAGAATGCTAGATAACTATGGCGAGTTATTAACCAAACTCGAACAAACTCCAGTATGGTTAACAGGCGAAATAAAAATGCTCGAAGCCCGAGATCTGGCAGAGAATCAGGATGCTGAAAAGGGATTGGATACGACAGAATTATCAAACGCAACGGAATCGGTCGATGAGGCTACGCCTGACTCTCTATCATCTGCTGAAGAGGTCTTGAAGGATGGAAGTGCGAACACGAAAACTTCCGATCAAGTTCTAGTGCTGCCTGATGCGAACATATCCGAGAAGGCCTCGGGAGCAGACGCAGAAGACATTTCACGCTATCGCAATTTGGTGATATCTCCGGAATCAGAGCCTGTCAAAGCGACAGTAAACCCTACCAAGAATACAGTCGAAAAACCAGTCTCAAAATCTTTCTTGAAACCTGTCGTCGAAGATTCCGTTGAAATGTCTGCCGAACGTTTCCTAGAAAAAAAAGCAACGGAATCCGCGAAAGAACAAGAGAAAGAGGTAAAATCCCCGTCTGACACTCCAAGCATCTTTAACCGCTAAATTTCATCTCTACAGGCCCCTCCCATCCAGATAATTTTCCCTGAGTATAACAAGGTCATTCGTAGTAGCGTTAGAGAAGAAGAGATGACGGTGGAAAAGCTAAACCAGCTACAAGTGCCTGAAGATAAAATTTCGGGGGCGTTTGAAATCCTCCAAAAACTGAGCCGAACACTTGTTACCGAGGGTGTTCGACCTGATCTCAAGCCTGTACTATACCCTAATCAAGCCACACACGCCTTGCTTACGGAGGCCACGACGCTCTTAGAGGAGGCCTGCTTTGAATTCGTTAAGAAGAGGGCACCCTCAGTGACCTCATGGCCGACATTCGATTGCCCCGAAGCGCAAGAATACAAGCGGTGGGTGGACTTAATCATCAAATTAGGTAAAGAGCATTCAAAAGATGGTTTCAAGCTCCCACCTAAGTTTATCGAAGGCACGAGTTACGGGGATATTATTCGGAACTCCGCCGCCCATAGGCTCCCAATCCACGCCCCGAAGTTGAGAGAATTACTCCGCCGCGCCCGACTGTGGATGCAATCCCTTGACGTCCCTGAAGTGCTACAGAAATTTGAAAGGTTAGAACAGTCCGCAGCTGAAATGCAAACCGAGCTTGAAGATGATCTAAGCCCTGTTGTTGAAGAATTACGAGGCGTTTTATCGAGAATCAAGGGTCGATGGGACAAAGTCAAACGTCTGGAAGATAAAATCCTTGAAATACAAAAGTCCATTCGCATGGAGAAGTCTGGGATTGAACTAGAGGAACAAAACATCCAAGATTCACTTCGAAAGGCTCAGGGTATTCGGCATGAGCGGGGACAAAAGTTCGAAAGACAGCGGTTCCAGGTTCATGTGCATGGGGCTCTGGTCGAATCGAGCGAATCTAAAGTGGAAGCAGAACAGCTTCCCGAGGAGTGGAGAGAGGATGAATTAATCATCGATGATTTACCGGTGGGGACAGAAACTAATTCGCACGCCACTGAAAAAGGAAGTGGAGTACCTGGTACGGAGACACCGAAGATTACGAGCAAAACGCTCTTCAAGCCCAAAGAAAAAACTAAAGCGGGACAAGCGCTTGGGGAAGCTGGCCGCACCAGTGAAAGTCAGCCAAAATTGGAACGTGATTACCAAGGCGGTCTCGTTTCTTTTGAGTCAGATGCGCTTCCTGATATTGAAGATGTCTCCCTGGTCAATTCGAAGCGGTTAAAACAGATATCCGCAAACAATAAATCTAAAGGAATGCCTGCAGAAGTTCTAGGAAAGGGCCCCTCGAAAGCAGATGATCAGAGTGTAAAAGAAGGGCCTCTGGGGGGAGAAGCCGGCCCTAAGAAGACAATCTCTAGCGAAAATGATTTGAAGAATCCAAAGGACGCTAAGAAGTTCGGCTTTGAAGGATCGAATCTATCTCGGGAATCAGATATAGAGTCGTCAAAGAACAGCCCGACTAAATGGTATAACCCCTTATCGTGGTTCAAATGAACCATCTTCTATGGAACACAACGAGTTTAAGAGTAAGACTCCACCATCTTCTCTGGAATCTTGTATAGATTGTATATATACTAGTTGTATTAGTCACTATTGGCCCCTCATGTACATATATAGATTTTGGGTTGTCGCTCAGCTCTTTGGGTCAGTAATTTATGGGTGCCATTGCGAAATCTGGCTCGAGACAATAATATCTCCGATATAACAAGGGGGGGAAAACTTCAGTGGGCGTTTGATTGCTGAAAGATACTTCGCAATTGAGTTTGGTTCCCGGATGTAGTTGTCATAATTGAAGCCGTTACATGTATGCACCCTAAAGATTCTATAAATACTAAGTAGGTATATAACCGTCCGCGCAAATTTGTGGAAACGGAGCCTATATCGATATATTCAACCAACTTTCTACCGGCCGGATCAACTAAATGATAGGTTAACTCATATTTGTCTCGTACCAGGTTCATATATAACACTATCAATCATGAATAAGCGTTTCAATAGTTTATCTTATCGTGCATTTAAATTATGGAAGTCTCTTGGATTACGAGTATCTACATCAGTTGACGAAGTAGAGTGTGGATCTTGACCGCATTCTGTATACATGTATGGACAACTAAACTAGACTAATGGACAACTTACCCTCACCATTAGAAACGGATTGATCGTGTTTACTTTTACTCTGCGAAAAGGTTATCGTCTTCGTCTTCCTCCTCCATTCTTTGTCCTTGTTGGCCTTGTGCTTGTGCTTGTGCCTGTGCCTGTGCTCGTGTCTGCATCTGTAATTCTTGTGCTTGTAACGCTTGTTTGGCTCTCAGCTCGGCTAAACGATTAGGGTTTACTGCTAGATAAAAACCTAGCGCATCATCCGGACTCAGTGAATTAATTTGCGCCCTAGTGAGGGACCTCGCCAAGTTGGGATCCATAGGGTCGATATTGTCTAGATTACGAGATAGCAAAACTCGCTCAATGTTTTTTTCTTGTTGGTCCCACAAAAGATACATATTCCCCATCTCCACAAGAGCTCTAGAGGTATCATCATCCAAAGTTGGGTCAGTAAGCGGTTGGTTGACTCTAGCCCTCAGCGCACGTAGCTGGGCTTCTTCTTTTTCAGCGAGAATGCGAGCTGCTTCCATTTCGTATTCGATTGTCCCAGGCGCGTATGGGATATTAGAAATCATTTTCTTGGCCGTCTCAATGATTTCGGTATCAGGTGTAGCTACTCTCTCTAGGTAGCTTTCTATAGTGTTTTGGATTAAACCAGGACGTTGCTGTAGTAGGCTAACCACTTGGTCGACCGGCTTACGTCCGGTAACCTTCCCAGCTGGTCTGCGCGCTTCGGGCACATGGAATTCGTTTTGTTCTGGAAAACTATCTACTGTGCCCTCTGGATGGATGCGTATTTTTGGCGGTTGAGGTTCAGTCTGAGTTCCTACTTCTGCAGTCGTCGGCCTGGCGTAGGGGTTCCTTTGTTGTTGCGCCTGAAGTACTGGTATATCAAGTTCGTCAGGGTTTAAGTTGTTATTTCCAGATTGGAAGACTGGGACCTGAACGTTCTCCTGCTGGTTAGGTTGGGGTGCTATATTTGCGCTCGGACGTTGATTGAAAGGAGGCTGGCTGACATCTTCGACCTTAACAAGCTCTTCCGCTTCTTGCTTAATCTGAATTTCATCTAAGTCTTCCTCTTTAATCTGCGGACTGTTGCCTGTTTGTCGAACAGCGGACTCAAAGCTAGACGGTGCGCTGTTGCTTTGTGGAAACTGGTCTAGATCTAGATCTAGGCGATCAGATGATTCAAGATTGAGACCCTGGTTTGCAATATCTCTTAAAGAATTAAAGTTCTGATTCTGTCCCTGGTTTCGAGGTTGATTATCTCCTTCCCTCAGTGCAGCGGCTGATTCTAGATACATCCATGCCTCCAAGTAACTGTCGAAGTCTCTCCACGAAACCAACATATTATTGTTATCATCGGTATATGCAGGTCTCCGATATCTTGATCCAGTGCGTATAAGCACGTATCCAGTGCCATAGTCTGGTACTACGGTTGGTACCCAATCCTGGTCAGCTGGAATAATAGGTTTCCAGAACCTATACCGACCCGCAAGTGGGGGATTTGTCTTCCCTAGATTTACATACTGCACAGAAGTTTGCCGTGGATCTTGCGAGTCATGAAAACGGATGATGGCATCCGGGTGCCCAATGCAATCAAAATTCTCGGCTCCCTGGTACAAAGCTATCGCTTGCAGATTTTCGGGGGCTTGTGCCTCGTACCCAGGGAGGTTGACAGTTTCTTGAACGAAGACCCCTGCTTTAGCTCCGTTTATCAAACCTACACCCTCAATATCGGGTATTGGGTGTTTGGAGGTGACATCGTAACAAACGTCCGGATGGCCGTCGACGACGTCATGAGTTTGGAAATTATCGGCTTCTAGATTATGTTCTCGGAAGAAGATAGTATATCCGTGACCAAATTCTGTCGCTATAGCAAAAAAGACGAAGATGAGATATATTGGTGACGACCGAGACGTCATTTTGGCTACCAAAATGATCGAGAGACTGTAGATATAATATTATTACTGCTCCCCTACCTCTATAGCTGAATGTGAAGATCTTTAATTCACGTTTAGAGAAGGCTAACATGCCCACACGCGGACTCCCTTGTGGTGGAATTTTGTTTTCAAAAGTGTGCTATTAATATGAGAAGTCAAGAGCAGGATATGATCCTTTTCGAGCTATATTTCAGTTTACATCGTAGCATTCTAAATTACCGAATTAACGACAACCATTTGCGTTGTTTTTACCAAATTACCACAATGCTAACATCCTAGGTCGACCAGCGCCATGCAGTCGAGTCATGGATATTATATCGATGGCAATTTGAATTTGTATTTGATGTTTAGAACACACAAGATTGGTATATACATGTATATATATATCGAGCACCATTAATGTGTGAAATTGAGTGCCCATTGTTTGTATTGCTTCTCCACGTACTGAATACCGGCCAGGCTGAGCTGAGCTGTATACAAGTAGATACCCAAATGATGTATTTATATTATGCATTAGATGGGGGAATAGCTAAGCAACATAATGACTAAACCTAAATATTAAATACAAGGCGATTTGTGGCATACTACTGGATGCAACAGTTGCAGGTGAAGCTTTGTATAGAGACATTGAATTCACATCTGTCAAAGTTGATACTCATTTTCATAGGCATCGGATTCATGGATCGGCCATATCCGAAGATAACGTTGATCAACAGTTGAAAAACCCGACCCGGCTACTAGCGAGGGAAGCCTGAAAGGCGATTTAATAATCCCTGAGGAGCGCCATATATGCATATTCGCTAAAGATCAACTAAATATCATGGGTAACTAGTCCGGATTTTGTACAGTGAGCTTGGAGTTTCCTGTATGTATGTCCGATATTCATGCCCAGACGCCGCCGCGCCAGTGTCTGCATATATGCCCAAAACTTAATTCTCGGCTTCAACAAAGTTTTTAGGTCTCATTGGGACATTTAGCGAGCTCAATACTGACTATATAGCGTTTACAAAAGCACACTAGGTAAGTTGCGCAACTATGCGGTCATATGGGTCGTTTAGAGACCCGGACATCCTATCCGATTCAAGGGATTCCTCCGAGAACCTCAAAGATTGCAATGGACCGTGTGTGTTTGTGGGTGCTTAGGGATGCCTTTTACAGATCTGAGTATATCGCTAAGTCTCCACGGCCCGAAGTATTACCATATTTATATGGAGATTTGTCGAAAATTTAAGGTTTCCCAACGCCACGAGCGAGTAGTGGATTTAGAATTCGAGGGTTTATGCAGTGCACCTCTTCCCCTCCCTTCAGCCCTCATAGCGGCCAATGCCACCGAACACGGCAGAGCTCTAACGTAGCTAACGGCAGCGGCGTTGCGCATTGATGCCGATCGATTGAGCCGGCTAACCGGAATCCATTTTGGCTAACTGTCAACTTAATTATGCGATTTCTTTCGAATCATTATTATACTGTTCTTATAGGTATGTATAGGAGGTATTTATACAGCGCAGAACACTTTCACGATATAGCATCAATATCGAAGCTTGATCTATAATACTAAAATATAATATACATGCATATGCATTTACGTACATAGTATGTGCAACTGGGCAGTTTTGTCACGACCCCACAATCTAGATCTTTGGGATATTTAGAGTTCGGGTGGGCCCACTGGCTTCGGCGCGTGTGGTATACTGGATAGTAGAATATTATATGTGTGTGGGGAATCCCATACTTACCGCTTACCGGAAGCTGGGACTAGTCAAGGGTAAGCTTACTTGAGTACCCACTTGATGGTCTGGCGGGGTCCTAGTTTCATGTCAATACAAGGTGGCTTTTTTCTGCTATATTGCTTCCATAGCATTTCTAGTTCGATTTAATATCTCGATCACGGATCTAAACCAGATTGACTATTTTAATCGGCATTTTTTAGGCAAAAATCTCATTTTGAATGAATGTTAATATCAATGTGAGAAATTTGAAGTATGCTCGATATGCATTGAAGCCGTGGGCCGTGAACCGGGAAGTGCATCCAACGCTCCTAGTATTAATATCTTGCAGATCGAGTTAACCTCAAGCCCAGACCAGATTCAGCCAACCACAAAATATATATCATGCATCAACGTGCATGCATATAAGACTTAGGTAGCGCTCTTGGCTCGAAGAATGGCACATTTTTAAATTCACATGCGGTACTGGTACTGGAGACCAACTGCTATATGGGCCCATGGGAAGCTATATATCCATGGATCCAAAGGGATTTATTCACTTCGTTATAGATCTGGAGTCAGGGTTAGGTTTGGGAGGGACTAACCGCTTGACTCCACAGATCTGCTCAGGCTAGGGGTATGATGATCCCGCTATATGCACGAGGTCGTCACCTCGACTAGCTTTTAGCTAGTCTTCGATCGAATATAGTTACGGCTCAATATATTAAATCTGCTTACCGAAACAACCAGTAGGGAACACGATCGGGTTAGGGCAATATGTTAGATGTATATATGCCCAAGAAAGGAAAACGTACGAGAATTGAAAGGGTCCTTTGCCAAGGGACTTATGATGGATGGGTTTGGAATGTAGGGTCAAAAGGTATAAAGAGGGCTTCAACTTTCCTATCAATTTCTCATCTTTCTCTCCATGCATCAGCAGATCATAATTTAGATCATACTACCTGTATACCTACTTATCTATCTTCTTTTAAATTTGGTACATACACCGAAGCCAATTTACGTATCAACCTTTCAGCAAAAATGTTCTTCAGCAAAATTTTCGTCTGCGCAATCGCATTGGCGGCTCCATCGTTGGCTGCTCTAAATACAGACCAAACCGCAATGACTACTAAACTGACCCAGATGTCAAACGCCGATTACAATACTAAAACCACTTATGTTGATCCCCTAACCTCCGTCCTCCTTGCGACCTACGGATCACCGATTATGAGTGCCTTGGCGGCTACCCCAAACGACCTGGTAATTGTCCGTTCAAAGGGAGCATCTGGAGGCCCGATCGCTACGGGTATGCCGACTGATGCTTCTTTCATTACTACCTCCTTTAGTCTTGTTAGTAACTCCAAACCTTGAACGTCGACATCCAGAATCTATCTTTCTGAGTTTATGCTAATTATATATGTAAACTTTGTCAACAGTGGGCGGGAGGCCATGCAAGTCTTATGATGAGCATCAAAGCTAAAAACGTTATCTTTGCGAGTTCGACATTACCGTTAGTCATGGTATCGGCAATGAATGCGCACATCGCTGGCATAATTGTTCGTATAGATTCTTCACTATAAAAATTAAAAGGGAAAAAGACTTAGTACTAATATAAATACTAGAGTGTTTCCAATCAACTACAGCTCATGCTGCCAGGGTCCGGGTATGCGTCTTCCCGCACCAGCGTCGTCACACAAGCCGACGCTGTTTGCAAAGCCATAAAGGAGGCTATCGTTTCCCTCGGATCATCAGCATCCGGTGGTGCTAATACCTGCGCCTAATTTCTCAAGATCTTAAGGTATCTAAGGCAGAATGTAATTAGATATCGTCTGGAGACATAATCACCTGTAACTATGGGAGCACCTGCGTGTTTGATTTGTACCTTTTTCTCAGGGCAAACCTGAAATTTGCTTGTTAATATGTATTACCGTACCTAGTCCTAGGTAGTCACAAACAATTTGGGGTATATGCTGTTCCTCGGGGCTTGTATGTATCAATATCTAGTATCTGTGGAGAGATTTGACAATATATATTGAGTGTAAGCCCATGATCAAACATTTAAAGCCACCCCCCATTGCTGTTTCATATATTGTTTCGATTAAAAGCTTTAGAATATACTATAAATAATAACATACAACTTTCTCAACTCGTCGCCATGCCGTGTTGTTAGTGTGTCATTTTTTTGCTGTCACTGCTGGATCGGATATGAATTTACGAGTCCGGTGCCCGATCCAGAAACGTCGAGACCCTGTCGGAAACAACTTACCGCGGCTCACATGTTGCAGGGTTAAGGATGTCGCACGTTGCTCACATGTTGCAAGGCTCAGGATGCCAACATCCTCCACACCTTCTCAATAGGTCAGCCAAGTGAGCGCCGGAAACTTTCACTCTTACAGGTTATCTTTTACGAGATCCGGCCAGGCCAGGCTTCAGCCCCAAGACTTCCATGGCCCCAGATTTTGAATGTTAACTGGTACCCCGGATTTTTAAAAAAGTTAGATGGGGGGAGCTCGCCTTTGCAATTGGGACCTCCGGAGTTATGGTTTCGCAGACTGCGTACGACCTACGACCTATGCTTTGATCCACAAATTTGCAAAACTTCAACCTTCCACATATCCTTTGAGCTCGCTATCGATAAACAATAGACCTGTGCAGTAGTCGTCTAGCTATACTTAAGTACTCAAGTTATAGTATAATCCCCAAATTCCTACAGTATACAACACAAATTATATACAACCGCCCTTGCAAAAATGTCGTCGGCTTCGAGTTCGCCCCCAGTTCCAACGTCGGCGATTGTCAACTGTGTGGTAAACATGGTTCTATTGGGGCTTAATGGTAAGATAGAATTTTGTCACTGACAGTTATATCTTCTTATACCGACACTTCCTAAATTTTATGAACTTGATATATAGCCTATAAAATGCTGTTCGACCCCCTCGGTGCTCTCTCAGATCCTCTTTATCCATACTTTGTCAAGATCTTTCGCCTTCCGAATTTCGCTATTCAGACACAAATCAATGAATTTGGAGTCGAAGAGCCTGTTTTAGACCCATTCACAATGCAACTTACAACGGTCATTGCCATTCTCTGCGCCCATTCTGCGGTTCTGTATGCCGTCATGTTGATTCACAGGCAATGGGAGTATATATATATGACGGCTTTGTCTAAGGCAGTTGGGGTTGTTGGGGTCGGTATTATGGCTTGGACTTTGTTCCCTGAAAGGGCGAGCCCGCCTATCGCCTTATTTGTGGTTTGGGATACCATGTGCGTGCTGCATTTGTGGTATGTTCTCGGAACGGCGAAGGGAAGTTCGAAGGGCATGGTCAAGGGAAAGACAGCTTGAGAGTTCGCAATTCATAAGATTAATTTTCAATGATAAAGAACCTAACTATGTGTCGAGTATTTAAATTAAGCTCTATTCCTTCTTTTGTATATCGATATCCTAAGGAGAAAACCTCGATCGTTTATGGTGCTGAATTCAAAGAAATATATACCCTCATCGATCACTCGTCTGAATAAACTAAATAAGCACATAATCCCAGCTCCCACGGACCCGGGAAGTCTCCATTATACGGGTCGTATACCTCCATCAACCCGTTTGAGCATTGCCTATCATTCGGTTCCGGGTTACTACTACTTTCCACGCGGATGATCCCACACTGCCCGGGACTTATCTCATCATCCTCCCTGCGAACGTAATATCCTATACAATTCCACGTATGGAAACAAATATTACAGCATTCTTGGATGTCAGTGGTGGGGAATCCAAAGTGCTGAAGGACAGCAAAGCGATCGACCCAATCCCCACGATAGTCAGGGCGTAAAAAGTATGGGTCAGTAGCCTGACAGACACTGACTGTTGCCGTTGCCGTTTTCTGAGTTACAGTTCGGGTGCTGGTCTATCTCGAGGTTAGCAATAATAATGAGATGCGTGAGGTTTGTATACGATAGGTATATATATCGATAAAGTAGCATACGGATCTTTCGGCCGTGTACCCAAGCAAGCAGGTACATGCACTCGATAGACGACCTGGGTCGCCAGTGCAAGACGACGCCCAAGTTGGTAACGCTTGACGAGGAGCAAGTGGAACGCCGGTCATGGGACTAGGGCCCCTAGCTTCGATTTCTGGAACTTCTCGCTTTTTCTTATTTGGGGCGATATAGGGTGCTCCCTTGCGTGTGATATACTCGACAGGTTTACCACTTGGTGAGAAAACGGCGAATACAGTCCGAGTGGCAGTAACGGTTATTGTCCTATGATACCCGATTTAGAAAGCTGATTTGCAAAACGCGTATACCTACTATGCATATTAAACGAAGAAGGTGGAGAACTAACGCTGGCACTGGTGTAATCACTGGGCGAGTCGTAGTCAAGTAACGGCTACAATACGGCCAAGCTGGCGCGGTACCTTTAATCTGACGAAGGCAGCTATCCGCATTGCAGATTGAGACTGCTTCCGTGAACGATAAGTAGAGCGCAGCAATAGTAAGAACTGTTAGCCTTCCAAACATATTGGGTGGGCTAATGAACTAGGCTAAAAGTATAATAAGGCAATCTGAGAAGGGAGCCCCCAAGGAGAGAGCTAAGAAAGCTTGAATAGCCAAGTATGTAGCTAACAATCAATCCCCCACACTTGGAGACAGGAAAGGGGGGTTATTTTATAAATTTACAATCCGTTATCACGATACGCTTGCAGGAAGGCTGAAGGATTCGATCCCGATTGCTCCACTCCAACAACCTTACGGCAGCCTTCGACTTACTACTTATGTAATTGATAAAAGATATAAAAGCCTTCGATTCATGTGGGCCGATAATAGTAGACTACTGAAAACCAAGGGATAGCACAGGTGCTCCAGTTTTGTGTAATCATGGACAGTTCGCTTCAGGGTTCAGCCGCAAGCCATAAAGCCACCGGTCTTCGGCACGCTGTTATCCATTATGTCTCGCCTAGGAGGAGTTCCAATAGGCCAAATTTCAGGTACATTGCATCGGAAGATGATGCGGGAAAGTCGATTTTTGTGATACTGCACATGTATTCGCTCTTTGCCGTCTATGAAACCAGGTCGCCAGCTAGTTCGATAGGTTAGATATATAGACGGCAAGTACCGACCTGCATATTAATTAAGTCGGTATCAGTTCATTCTGTGTTGGGGTTGCATTTGGGATGCATTGCATATATGCATATATGCATACTCAATTGCATTCAATGCTCTTTACTACGAGATATGAGATATGAGATATGGACGGGAAGTCAAAACTAGAGGGTGTAAATTTTGCGTCGGAAGAATGGTAGTTATGTGTAGTCGTTATATAATCATCTCTCGGATCATATCCGGATATATCCCCAGTATCGTTAATTCTAGTACGTTAAGCTGTAGAAGTACGCTGTTAACATTCGCAGGCTAAGTGGAGGTTGTATTTTAAACCAAGGCCAATGTGTTGTCGTGTTGTCGTGTTGCTGTGTTGTGGTATTAGAAATGTTTGTCGCCGCTTCCCAGCCCAGGCAAAACCGCCTTTGCGATTGATCGCAAGCATCCTCAACCACACAGACGCGTTCGAGTTCAAGCTTCAGTGTCAACGACGGAAACCCTGATTACCCGCCACCACTGTCCCGCGCACAGCTTCGCCACAATCCCTCCTACGGATTCACAGCGGCCTTGGTCGCTAGATTGCCACAACGATGGTGGGACCTGGATTTCGTGATGACCATATTCTCGTATGTGACCTACAAGCTTCCCCTCTAGCTCCAACAAAGGATATAGTTAATTTTATCTCCCTCTATAGTTGATCGCGCCTGGGTCAAAGTTTACATTGGCTCAATTGGGTCTACCCGAGTCGTTTACGCCTGCAAAATTGCGATTCCCGACGCGGATGTTCCCCGGGTTGGAGGAGGGGCAATATTTACCAAACAAAGTCCATGAGCTTAAGGAAGGAGAAGAGATGCTGCTTCGCAATGGCGAGGTCATGACAGCAGGACCAAATGGAAAGCCAGTCAAGAAGCGAAAAGTTGATTCCGCATCGAAACCGAGCACGACAACCCAGGCGGCTGCCGGTGAGGCCGCAAAGCCTACTGATGGTAAAGGCGACACTACTATGGCCGATGCTGCGGATGATCGCGAGGAGAACGAAGATGAAGGAGGAGATGACGACGAGGAGATGAATGGAACAAAGGAGGAAGGCACAAACTCGAAACTGTTCTACGAAGATGATGACGACGAGGAAGGAGCGGTATGGTGCCTAGAACAGGGCCGTATTGCTAATTGGGAGGCTTTCTTTGCTTTGTTGTAAGTTGCGCACCATTCTATAGCGTATTGACTCGGTCTGATCTTTGGAATATAGGTTACATATTCACGAGACGCTCAACCCGACCTTCCATACACCCATCCTCATGATCTCGCAGCCCTGTTGGACTTGTACAGATAAAGAAAGAATCTGCCAGTTCATCTTTGAAAAGCTGAAGACACCGGGTTTCGGGATGATGGACGCTGCAGCTGCAATTAATGCCGCTTACAATGTCCAGCATTCACTCGTCATTGATGTCGGATATGATAAAACCGACATCACAGCCCTAATAGATTGGAACATTCAGGAAGTCAACCGAACAACGATTCCGTTTGGGGGGAACTCAATGAACAAACATCTCCACAAGCTACTACCAGACCTGACAGAAGAAGAAATCGATCAGTTGAAGCGAAGCAATATCTGCGAAATACTCCCACACGGAGTTCCTATTCCTGGAGAAGAAGATATAGATAAGGATGAAGTTTTGCGGCCAGTTGAACCTACTACAATCGGGATGGGTGGCATCGCACAACCTAAGGCGTTGGACGAGGAAGGGGATGAAGAGGAGGAAGAGGGTGTTACAAACATCGCTGCAATCGTTGCTAGTGGTAAAACACAAGAGTATCTCGCTAAGAAAGAGAAAGAAAAGGCAGACAAGAGAGCAGGACTTGCTGCTGGTGAAAAAAGGCTCCCTAACTATAAAAGAGAAAAGAATTCGTTCTTATATGTCGAGAAGGTCCATGATTCAGTTATGGAAGACGGTAAAACTGATCATCCAACCGAGATACTTGATGGTGAACGAATGGATGTTGATGTCGCTCCTCCTACAACGGAAGAGCCAAAGCCCGTTGAAGAATCCTCTGTCACGAGTGGAATTGATGGTCCTCTGCCAGCTTCTTCTGAAGAGAAGCAACCCGAGGCCACAAAATTAGATACGGAGAGCTCAAAAGTCGCACCCGACGCAGACCCAAGCAAAGGAGGGCCGTCGCTCATGGAATCTATGTTCTCAGGCACAAAAGACGATGATGATGCTAAGCGAGCCCAGGAAAAGGCTCTGCGAAGAGAGGAGAAAAAGAGACAAGAGGCAGCCCAGTCTGGAGAGAGGAGAAAGGAAATCGAGGTCGGAACTGAACGATTCAAGGCAGCGGAAGGCGGTATTTTAGAAGCTATTGCCGACGCTGCACATCGCGTAGTTAGCAGCGCCGACAACTACAACCTGCGTTCTGAATGCTGGAATTCTGTCATCATCGCAGGTGGCGGATGTCGTGTTAAAGGCTTCAAAGATGCCCTGCTCAACACCATAGTCACGAAATACCAAGTTTCACCCTCTTCTGGGACCATCTTCACATCTGAGCTTCCTTCCAACATTCCCACGCCGTCTGGAACTGGCACTAATACGCCCCAGCCGTCCGCATTCAACTCACAGCAACCGAATGCCCTCCTGCTACAGGCCGCAGCCAATAACGCAGCGCTCGCCGCGGCCGGCCAACACCACTTATCCATTCCTCAGCCTAATCAAGGCCCCACCTCGATCAAAATCGCAAAGATTCCGGAATATTTCCCCGAGTGGAAAGATCATGGATTCGATGAGTGTATGTTCCTTGGCGCACAACTGGGCGCTAAGATATACTTTGTCACAGATCAAGGAGCCAATAAAGGTTTTGTCACACGCGCAGATTACAACTCCCAAGGACCTCAAGCCATCCACAATATTTAGCAAACTTGTACTTGGCGTGGTGGTTGGGTTTTACGCAGAAACTCTCGGTTAGGTAGGCTAAGGAAGATCACAAGGCTTAAGATCATAAGGCTTGTAACGAAGGAGAGTAAAAGTAGCCCGCCCGCAATGGTGATTGGGAAGAAGAGGAAAGCCGATGGGATTGTACCCCGACAACAACCTCCTCGTGCGGCCAAGAGGCAGAAGCTTCAGCCTGTATGATCTAATAACTATGTTGAGGTGTTCCTTACCATCTTTCTTCTACAGCGATGACATGTATTTCTTTAGTCACAACTGAATCAAGAATCTAATGGTAATAAAATCAATCCGCCGTCCTGTGGGGATTTCTAGCAGTCAAAACAGAGGCTAGATCTCATAAGCAGGTCGTCCCGACTCCCTAGTAGCTCGATAGCCTAGTATATTCTGTGTGCAGTGACAAACTTGGTTTTTTTTTTCTCCTCTAACTAATTGACATATGTGTTGGCACCGCCTTTAAACTTAAAATTTATGCATGTATCCTATGAACTTGATCTTGAGCGCTCTGTAAAAACCATACCATCACAATGTCGGGTCCAAAGACACCCTCCCGGAATACAGCCAACCTAAACTCGCCTTCGAAGGGTTCTTCACCGACTCACATATCGCAGCTTCTCACAATCCGACCCCCAATATCACAAGCTGTTTCCGGAAAAACTGTGCGCCGGGTTACACTTCATCCATCAATATACAACCTTCTATCGCTTTCCGTCACCAGTCCACAGCATAACAATCTAGTTGAACTCAAGGTTGATGACTCTACAAGCTCAGTCATCGCGGTAGCTTGGTCTGGGAGCCAAGGTGGCGATCCCAAATGCATCCAAATACCGACTTCCGTAGGCGATGATCTTAGGGATCTAGCGCGAGAAGCGCAAGTAAATTTAGATTTTTCTGAAAAGTCTAAATCGAAAGTGGAGGTGAAGAAGTATTTGGGGTTGATAGGCAATGTTGCAACTGTGGAGATAGAAGATTTTCTACAGCAGATCCCGGTGGGTGATAGCGAAGGGTGGAAATACTATTTAGAGCACTATCTTAGTATGTTGATTTCTCCAGAACATTATTGCTTGGAAGCAAAGAAGAGGTTTACTAATTATTTCCACTTTTCATAGTCGATGTGAGATATATTAGTGAGGGCACGATATTTTCTTGCGATTATAAGGGAACATCAGTATCCCTAAGAGTTAAATCTGTGTCTCCGAGCGAAAGGCCTTTCGGCGGCTATGGGAGCCCAGTAAACGCTCTTGAAGGTCGACTGGGCGGACTGAGTATCAAGGAAACCCGAGTCTATGAATTTGATAAGTTGTCGACTGTAGCATTCAAGGGATTGCAGGATGGACCTGCGCCATCTACGCCTCGACCTAAAGCCGTAGTACCGACAACGCCACGGAAATCGGGTATATCTAAAGAAAAGCCACAGGAAGTTCCTCGAGAAGTAAAATCATTCCCTGTCACTAAGTCATCTTCAATAGGTGGCCTTGAGCGTCAGTTAGAGATTTTGCGAACCCATATCGCGTCCTCGCTTCTTCATTTCAAGCGGTTCACTCGCAGCAATCTTACACCTCCGCTGGGGATTTTACTCTATGGACCGCCTGGTACGGGGAAAACAATGCTTCTCAGAAGTATAGCTACCGAAGCTGGGGCGAATAACTTCATTATAGATTCTTCCCTCATTGGAAAATTCCTTGGCGAGAGCGAAGCTAGCATTCGTAAAGTCTTTGCAGAGGCGAAGAAATCCGTGGACGGGAAGAATCGAAGTATCATTTTCATTGATGAAATTGACGCATTTGCGCCAAAACGGGGGGGTACGGATACCACTAGCGATTCGAGGCTAGTAACGACTCTTCTTACAGAGATGGATGCACTGGCCGCCGTTGGTGAGGACGACGGGAAAAAAGATAGTAGCAGGGTTATAGTCATAGCGGCAACAAATCGGCCTAACGGAATTGACCCGGCATTAAGGAGACCAGGGAGATTCGATCTTGAGATTGAAATTCCGATACCAGATGCCAAATCACGGCTAGAGATTTTGAAGTTACTATTAAAAGATGTAGAGACAGAGTTCGATAAGTCGGTTGATGCAGGGCATATCACTAGCTGGGCGAACAGAGCTCATGGATTTGTCGGGGCTGACCTCGAGACGGTAGTGAAAAAAGCAGCAACAAGGAGTGTGCATCGCTCTCTTAAACAGAAAGAGCAAGGAACATCCTTATTCCCGGGGTTCTTTCTAGATGATGTCGAAGTTAGTGAAAGCTCCTTGTCGATATCAGCTGAAGACTTCGAGACGGCATTGAAAGAAACCAAGCCTTCCGCAATAAAAGATATTGTGCTTGAGTTGCCGGAAACAAAATGGACGGATATTGGCGGCCAGAAAGATGTCAAGCAGAAATTAAAAGAGGCGGTTGAGTGGCCACTACGAGTAAGTGTATAACTTCTTACTTATCGGGAAAATATGCTAACGAATCTCGAAATAGCATCCAGAGGTTTTCCAAAGATTGGGCGGACAACCACGCAAAGGATTGTTACTTTACGGGCCCCCTGGTTGCTCCAAAACCTTGACGGCTAAAGCCCTCGCAACTGAAGCCGGGCTAAACTTTATAGCCGTCAAGGGTCCCGAATTGCTAAATAAGTATGTCGGAGAATCTGAACGCGGTGTTCGTGAACTTTTCCGGAAAGCTAGAGCTGCAAGTCCATCTATCGTATTTTTTGATGAAGTCGATGCACTGGGTCTTAACCGAGAAGGGGAAGGGAACAATGGGGGTGGGGGGAACAGTACAGGTGTGCTAACGGCGTTATTGAATGAGATGGACGGTATCGAGGAACTAGGAAATGTTATGATCCTAGCCGCGACGAACAAGCCAGAGGTCATTGACCCGGCGCTTTTAAGACCGGGTCGGTTGGATTATATCCTTTATGTTGGCCCGCCAGACTTAGAATCGAGAACAGAGATCCTAAGTATCAAGTTCCGGAAGATGAAACTTGGTGAGGACGTCGATATTCAAGTCCTAGCTGGGAAGACGGATGGATATTCTGGCGCCGATTTAGTTAAGATCTGTGACGAAGCAGTTTTAGCAGCCATGAGAGAAGATTTGGGGATCGATAGTGTCAAGTGGAGACACTTTGAAGAGGCTCTTAGAGGGGTAAAGAGTGTTATAACGATGGAGATGATAAGAAGATATGAAGGCTGGACTGTAGGAGGGGTGAAGAAATTCTGAGACCTAATTCACTAAGGTATGATGTATCAATACTAGTCTATCATCTCATTACCCTGGTTTGCTTGTTATGGGTGCACTGGTTCTGCATTCCCATATATCTGTGGATCTAAATGCGGGCCGGGTCTCGATCCATATAGAAGCATTACGATATAATTGTTCAAAACGATCACGCAACTGAACTCGGTTAGGAACTAATACTTCAAGACAGCAATATCGTAGATAGTTCTTTGTTATTAGACTAGCTCTGAGCATACATGACGCGTCCAGCCTCAAACCATAGTGAACAAATGAATAATATCAATAGTTCGAATACACGGTGGTTTTCAATGATCAGTAGCTGTCAGCAGTAAACACGGATTCAAGAGGAGATATGTAATCCACGGGAACAAGGCTTAAAACTCAGATGGTTCCACAGAATATTCTGCAAGCTCCGAACCTTCACTCTCAGATCCGAAATCAGCGGCTTCAAGACCTGGAAGAGACCTTGGATCATTAAGAAAAAGTCCGAGCACATCAGAGCGCACCTCCTCATCAACCTTTTCCAAGATATCCAAGACCTTCACACCTGCAACTGACCATGTGTCCCTTGCGATATATTTCCCATTAACCTTCTTCTTCTTGAAGAGGAGGCAGCGGAGTTTTTCGATACGGTCCTTGGCAAAAAAATAACGCTTGGGATTTGGATGGCCATTGAATGCAATCCTTAAGGCACCAATATCAACTTCAAATCGGAGAGCCAAATAGTTCTGGTCCCCGGTTTGAATGCAATGTGAGATGAAGCTCTCCCCGGTGGCCATTTCTTCCGCTAGAAACAAAACTTCTTTAGCAAAAAATTCGTGCGTGATTCCGGTGTCATGACTGGCACTGATGATGTCGTCGATGTAAGGAGTGTACGGCTTTCGGGGTGGAAGGAATGTTTCAACCGCATGTCCGTAGCTTTTCATAATACGCATTTCCGCAATGTCCTGGTAGTATTCCTCGAACTCTTTCACATATTCGACAAGAAGCTTTCGCTCCTCTCCAACTTCGTACCAGACCTGGGTCCAATTCGTCTTGTCTCTCATCTCCAGGTATTTCCCGAGTTTCTCCTTGCCGAATTTTGCAAGTTCTTCAGACGTCCAAATGTGATAGGACTCCATAATTCGATATTCGGCTAAGGCGAGCCTGGTAGCAACCAAGAACTCGTAGAGTTCTCCATATTGGTGAGTTTTGCTGATATTCGTGACAAAGAAACCCTACGATATTCACGACGTTATTATCTTCGCTGTCGACGGTAACTAATTTGAAACTCACCTCATCTAGATCAAGCTCATCGACCATACTACCCCAGCTTCTATCGTAGTCATAGTGTTGCACTGAGAGAAGTTTGTTGATATGCTTGAGAATTTGCTGGATGTAGTCAAGAATTAAGTCTTCGGATTTCTCAGGCCCATCGGGTCCCTTCCCAATAGTTTGAGAAGCAGGTGCATTGATTGCAAGAAGTCTCTCCCGGGTTTGAACATTGTTCTCGTAGATTCTTCTCGCTTTTTCGTAGTATTTGAGGCTATCTTGGAGGATAGAAACAGATGCCATGTCGTTTCCACCGTCTACGACTCGTTTGACATCTTGTCGTGGAGGGAATTCCGTTGGCGGGGCCCTTTTCAGAAGATAGGTATGCTTCGATCCACTATTTCCGGGTTCGACTAGAGCGAGCAGGCCTTCTGGTTGATCATTGTCGGATCCTGACTCGGAATCTCCAGCTCTGGTCTCGAGATCGAGGCTCGTGGCTCTTGAAACAGCGAGGCTTCTAAGAGACTCGGTGATCCTAACGATCTCGGAATGGATATCATCCCAAGGGACGTTACACCTAGACATCGTGAATATTGATGGGGTAAGCTTTTCAAGTTGATAGAAGTTATGAGGGAAGAAGGTGAATATTTTGGAGATCGTGGAGGTTGGTGGGGCCAATATTGATGCTTAATCATATAAGTCTGAGGAGCGGGTCTCGTGTTAACGTTTTGACAATTAATCAACGAAGATAAGTGATATTTTGAGATCATTAATACCGTATAACGGGTGTATATTGCTTAGCCTTGTTGCGAGGCTCCTCAACTATGTATATACCCCCCCAAGGATATTCTATGACTGTACCAACTTAACCTAAGCTACTCAACTCCACTAACTCAAAATCGGTATCAATCGTCAACAATCTGCAAATTCACATTTTAACCTAATTATAAATGTCACTTGCTATCGTAGTTTGGACCACGTCTGCGATATGGGACTATGTTTTGGTATACTTATCGGCAATTTGGGGTATGTATGGTTCTATAATATTGCGATACTTAATATTTTTAACTCTTAAGGGGAGCATATTGATCCATGTTTCCAAATCCCTAAGATTGGAGGATAATATCCCGAAGCTATAAGATCTATGAACTCGCACCCGTCTTGCCTCCAGACCAAAGATCTATTTAGCTAGTAAATTTGACTTTAAGACTCAGATTGTCACTAAACTTCACAGAGGAATTCTTTTAGGCTTCAGTTAATATACAGCGTGGAATTTTGAGATTACTTATGCGCTAAGTCAACTATGAAGTAAAACTGATAGCTGCCAGATAATCACTAGCAGTTCAAGAACTTCCTAGAACTTTCAGAAGAGTATAGTATCCCTTGTTAGGGTATGTTAAAGAATTGTAGCTAAACCACTAAGTAGCGCTAGCTCTTGGACTAAATCACTTTGAGACCTGGTTCCAAGAAACGCCGGGAAGGGCCTGCATGGATATGATGCCATAATTTGTCTCGTCGCCAGACTCCTCGAGCCTCAGCTGCCCATATCCGTCTCAGATAAGAGTATTGCTTGGCTGAAAGGAATATACTCCAGAAACATCTCTTCAAAATCGCAAAACAGATGTCAATCATACTCTATACAGGTAATATTTTAGAAGGGGCCTAAAGACTAGGTGGGCCATGGGATGATTCCTCTAGCTACACCCGATGTGCAAACCGTTACCTTCATGCCACAGATAGGTCCGGTACGGTCAATTAAATCTCATTGTGGTAACCCTTTGCGAAAAAAGATAAACGCACGCAATAAAATTCGTAAAAGTTCCGACTTTTAAACACCAAGATACGAACCAACGCTTATTCCCGGACTGGCGTGCTCGAGCTCTTGAAGTTACGAGATCGCGGGACTGGGCCTAGCGCCGAGGCAGTGTAAAAATTATTACGCACAACTTGTGCGTTGCCTGCTTAAAATACCACGATGTTGACGCGATACTGTGTAACACTATCCCGAAAGAGGGAATTGCGACCTGCCGAGCCGAGCAGAAAAAATCCCGGAATCTTTGGATGGCCGACGCTTTCCGGTTTAAACTTACACCTTTATCAAGAGGAAGAGAATGCATGTCGGCAAGTAGACCGATATGTTAGCTCTGGTCCTGAGACACGATACTGAAAGCTAACCTGAATAAGCCAATGTCGAGGATATAGTTAGCCTCGTGATACTTGGAGCCTCAGGCAACTGAGTTATATATACGGATTTCGGCATCTTTGGAAACTGCGCGAAGAATTCGAATTCCGGTAAATGACACATTGGTGGTATAATTGATATCAGAACAACAGTCTGGAAGAAACTGCTTTCAACTATATATTAAGATTGGCGTCCAAGCTCTTGGATGATCCCCAGTATCGCATATATCGATCGGAGTTCCTTTCTTACATTTCAGTCCTTAAAGATGACGAATGCGATCAAAACGGTTTGTGTAGTCGGTACGTTCATTACCACTTCCTTTATCTTCCTATAAAATTAATTTTCGAAAACATATTATATTACTTATTTAAAAATGAATATTAAGCATTGATATACTAAATCTTCGTCTTCTGACCTTGATCCTAGGCGCCGGTCCATCTGGTCTTGCGGCTGCCAAAACGCTTCTACACGATGCTCCTGACGATGTAAAATACAACGTCACCATTTTCGACAGCCAGTCTCGAGTCGGCGGCTTATGGCCCACACAAAAGACCGATGAGGCAGGTCTCGTACATCCCGCAATGGTTGCGAACCAGAGCAGACACACAATGCGCTTCAGCGACTTTGCGTGGTCCGACGGTGCTCCGCAAATCCCCCGTGCTTTCCAAGTGGGTGGGTATCTCGAACGTTATCGACAACGGTACTGTCAGGATGCTACCCTACGCCTCGCGTGTCGGGTCGAGAAAGCAGATTTGGTGTCAAACCCGTCCAGCCAATCAGGCCATTCGTGGCACGTGAGGACGCAATCTGAGGAGAATGGCACTGAAGAACATACATTCGATTATTTGGTTATAGCTAGTGGCTATTTTGGTGAACCGGCATTCCCTGCGTCTCTCGAAAACGCCAAACACAGCATCCCAGTGGTTCACAGCAGCAAGTATAGAGACCTCGAACAGCTACTCGGCGATCCAAAGGGGAAAAGCGGAAAGATACTCGTCGTAGGCGGCCAGTTTTCCGGAGTTGAAATTGCTGGGACAATCGCTACCCACGTATCAGATGCAGTAAACGCACCAGGCACCCGTAGAAATGATTTTATAGATCAGAATTGCCAAAGATCGAAGTTTTCCGTTCATCATCTAGTTCAAAGACCGACCTGGATCCTTCCTTTGGTGACCGCTTCCACGGTAAGATATCTTTATATAATTATTGTGACAAAAGATTTGGAGTCAAGGCCACTAATTAATGCATAGCCAGCCGACCCTGCGCCATGCTTTCTACCAATGGATTTGAATGCTCAAAATTTATCGAATCGTCCACCTGGACCACTTGTTAATACGCAAGGCCACATCAGTGTTGAGGCAGCTAGAGTTGTCAACTCTTACTTTCACAACTTGCTTAAAACTGACCAGTCAGAATTCTCGCCCCGACTTACAGTGCAGGAAAGCGACTATGACAACCAACCATTCATTGGAATCAGCGACACATACATGGATCATGTCCGTTCAGGTGGCATTGTTATATCTCAAGGCAAACTTAAATCCATATCCGGAAATATTGCGAATTTGACCCCATCTGGGGAGCAAATCGACGACATTGCGGCAGTTGTTCTAGCCACAGGATTCAAAGCATCAGCTTCGCTTTCCTTCCTGTCTGAGGATATTCAACAAAAATTATCAATTGCCCCAAACGATCTCAACAATACCGTCGCTCTGGCATTCCATAGCACGCACCATCCGGAAGTTCCCAATCTGGGGTTTGTTGGGTTTTACCGCTCTCCTTACTGGGGTGCGATCGAGATGCAAGCACGATTTGTGACCACTTTGTTCAGTTATGGTGGCCCATCATCCCCTTCATTACCTGCCAAACTGGCAGAATCCTTGAAGAATGATACATCAATCGAGAGGGTTTTCTCCTTAAGAACAGACCCAAGGGCCTCGCAGTTTCCAATGGGTGATTATGCATGGTTATCAGAGGAGTTTGGTAGAGCTCTGGATATTGAGAAAGTACCATCCCTAACCAAGATGCCCATCTTACCGCCTAAAAATAAAGAAATGAATATTTTAACAGCGGCAAGATATCCTGGCCGCAATCTTGACGAAACCCGAAGGAAACAAAATGAAAATAACTTGATCGTGACGGAAGAGGTTGTCACAGCAGGCCTGACACAGGGGAGATTTGTTGCACGCGCCGTGTTCCGCTCACTACTTGGAGAGTGGAAATTGGATCGCCAGCTCGTAAGCAAGAAACCTGAGCAGCCCAGTGGTAGGTTTATTGGAACTGCCACATTTTCATTAAGAAATGGTACATCACATGGAAGGGAGGAAGAGTTTGCAAACATTGAACAAGAAGGCGGTGATCAGGGATTCGAATATTTATACGTTGAGAATGGGGAGTTCGTAGATGACGCCAATGGATTGAGATTTAACGCAACAAGGCGATATATTTGGCGATATAACGAGAGGAAGGATAAGTTGAGTGTCTGGTTTGTTAAGACCGACGAAGATCGTACGGCAGATTATCTATTTCATGAGATAGATTTCATACCGCCGGGCGAGGGAGGGAAGGGAGAGGACGGGTGGAAGGCTATTGGGAGTCACTTGTGCATAGAAGACATGTATAATGTCCAGTACAAGTTTTCCTTTAGTTCTGTAAATCTGAAGCAGTGGAGACTAGGGTATAGCGTCAATGGACCTAGGAAGGACTACAGCATAGATGGAGTATATAGAAGATAGACTAGACCTAGATTATGAACTTAGATCTAAGAATATATGCCTATAGGGCAGAACTGCTCATTCAAAGCCTAGGACAGGAACGCAATGTCTATATATATCACTAGATCAAGATGTTCATTCAACACCGATTGCAATATATTAATAAAGTTTGGATGGAATCGATATTGAAAACTAGTGCCCTTGAGTTTAGGCATCCAGCTTCCGGTTTAGTAGTTCCCCGGACCAAATACTCCATAGATTGGAAACTTAATTATATAAGCGCGCCCTATTACCTAATATCGCCCCGAGACGAGACGTGGACCCACAGTGGGATCTAAGACCTCAAGCCACCGACGGGTGAGCTATTGACGGTATCAGGGGTATGTCTTACTAGAGATAGAAACCGAATTAGACTCTCCGAAATTCAATTAGTTCGTTAATATAATATAACTAAATTTATGCCTTAATCTAAATTACTCCGTATATTGTCGATTTCGATATCAACCGATTAACGGTCAACGGGCCGGTCTCACATTCCGGCAGCCAGGTGGCATATCACAATTACATATATTTATTTTAAGATTTCTTTTTTTGTCGGTATGCGTCATGCGACTTATGGTCCTCGGCCGCGGCCAAGTGGTCTCTTGATCTTTGTGTAATGAATAATTGAGATGGTTAGAACTTTATTCGAAGCTGGCACTTCATGGCGTCGGTATCTAGTAATTACAACGTCCCTCGAGGATCCGTGATACAAGGTGAGAGCTTCCCAAGAGGACAACAACCGGGATGCAATATAGACATAAGAAAGCTATGCGCTCGATCCGTGTAAAGAAGCATTGGTACGTGCTTGCGAATCAAAGGAAGAAACCCAGTGCATGCGAGGAAAACAAAAAGCAGAACTCCAGTGGTATAGAGACAGTAAATAGAGGAAAACAGAGAATGTGAAAAAGCACATGCTAGTCTAATCGATATAATAGAAACAAAACCGGAACGAAACAAGTCTATCTTTTTCTCTATACCCTCTTTATCCGTGGCTAAGGAGTAAAAAGCGAGGTCATTAAAAAATAGTACAGTTGAACTTGAGAAGAAGAAGAGGAGGAGGAGGAAGAAGAAAGAAAATAGTAGTAACCCTGGACGCCGGCATGAGAAGAATAAGAATCAGAATAGAAGAAACATAAATTAACCGCTGGTTGGGGCTGAGAGGAATATGTCGCGAACTCGAATAGTATGTCAGGTGGGGCGTCACACAAGTGCAGTGCATGTAATGTGCAGTGCAATGCGCGCAGTGCGGTGCGGTGCGGTGTCATGGCGATTGCATTACAATGCATTGTGGTAGGACGTAACGGTCGTAGTCATGGAAGCTGTGTTGTTGCTCAGAAGCCAGGGAATTCGAAACGCCCCTCCATCGTATCCCAGAGCTCCTCGACAACGGCGATTTGATCCTCTCGTGGAGCTGAGCGAACAGCGAGATATTTTCGGCCCTCGACTGATGGCTTCCAATTGCCAGGGTTGGCATCTGCGACGATACCACCGGCTTCGGTAAGGATGCACCATCCAGCAGCGACATCCCAGGCCCAACAGCCACCCTCCTAAACAAAAAATGTTAGTATCGAACCTTCACCGACATCTAGCTAAGCCAGCTATAGCCTTGTCACAAGAGAAAACTTACCCAGAAGACATCCAGGTATCCAGCCGCCACCCCACACATGTCAAGAGCGGCACTTCCTTGGCATCGAACGCTGTGGCACATTGTACCACCTTGGCTTGCAAGTTTGACCATGGTCTTTGTTCGAACGTCCCAATTGTTACCCTTTCGCTCGGATCCCCATTCAATGGCGACGAGGGCCTTGTTCAGACCTGGTAGTGGTTCATTGGGGTCTCGGAGTGGGAGGCGTTCGGTTCGGTTCAGGAAGGCACCCTTGCCTTTGATTGCTGTGAAGAGACGGTTCTGGAAAGGGTTGTAGACGACACCTACGACGGGAATTTTGTTGATGACGAGGGCCAAGGAGATGCAGACGTTCTGATTGCAAGAGAGACATGAGTAAATGCTTTGTAACAACGAGAGATACAGGGTGAGTGTGAGCAAATACTTACGGGAACCCCATGAACGAAGTTGATTGTTCCATCGATAGGATCGCAAATGAAAGTCGGATTGTCGCTGATTTTGCGTCCCGGAATATAAGACTCTTCTCCAAGAAGATCGAAGTTCGGGTATTTATATTTAAGGTTGGTAAGTACCATCTTTTCGATGGACTTGTCTGTATCAGTGACTAGATCGACAGCTATAGACCAGATTGTCAAGTCAGCCAAGACCTAGGAGCTTTATCATTTTGGTACCGAACCGTCACAATGCGTGCAGAGTATGCCCTGCATCGCAGATATTATATATAGACACTTGTACTTACATGTACAAGGTATCTTATATACGTATCACGCAAGGAAAGAAAGAAGGGAAGGAAGGAAGGAAAGAAGAAAGAAGGTGAACATGACATACAGTTCTTTTTCGATCCGGAGGTAGAAGCCGACGGATTTGCATCTAACATCATCTGGCCACCTCTAAGGGCCAGTTCAATTAGGAAATCGTGGATCTGTTGAAACTCCGCCAGAGTCATCTCGCCGACAGGTTGCTGTTGCTGGGAAGGAATTTTGCCGGTATTGCAAGTCCCAACACGATGGGGACTTCTCGGTTAGAGAACTGGATTTGGACTGGGAAAACTAAGGAAGGTGTGGTGGACAGGCGAATGGAACGACTGTTCGAGGATATCGATGGATTGGCTAATTGACTGATTGACTGGTTGATTGGTTGGTTGATTGAGAACTGGTGATGTCCTAGAATATAGGAAGGTTGCAACTGCGAGTTATTTCTGAGGGAAGTTGGTAGAAGGTTGAGACTGGGGAGAGCGTCGTCCAAAGGAAGGGCCCTGCGGCGGAATATATATTTTTTACTGGCTGGGGCAACTCGTGTTTCTGGCTGCTTAGATGGAGGAGAGGACCAGGTACAGGTACCAGCAGCTAGGCGCCAGGACAGTTCAGAAGAATGCCAATTGCAATTGAAGGTTTGCCTTATGAGACCCTTTAAGACACCGATAGGATGCTATTCGCCAGTGCTAGACAGTTTGGGTATTTTTTCTGGCTTTCGCGGGCTCACTTTTTGGCAAGTGAAAAATGACTGAGGGTGGAATCCGGGGAAATCGAGTTTGTGAGCGGAAAGAGGAAGGTCACAGGGCGACGACAATGCAATGCGGTGTCAGGCCTGCGAATTGACAACGAAGATGGAGACTTCGAGAACGCTGGAAATTGTCGGTTTTATGGAAGGTAAGGGTGATTTCTTTCCGGTTTCTTTTTTAAATTTCCAAAGAGGTTGAGGAACTAACTGAGAGTTCGAGCTTGCCAGTTTCGAAGCTAGGTTCGGGCCTATGGAAGGGATGAGATAGGGAATTAAGAATACAGGCGTGCGACCCGACAGTGACACACTGCACTATCGATGAAGTTTGCTCTGACGGAAAGGTATGTGAAGTCTAAAAGTTACTGGATTGACGATGATGATGATGGTGATGGTAATTATAATGACAATGACAACGACTATGACAAGACAGTGCAATGGCTATGGCTATGACTATTGGGTCATACAAGACTAGGTCCCTCGAACGAAAGTAAAAAAAAAAACGAAGAGATGATCCAACGGAGGCATCATCGACTTTATATCCATTCGTTGATGGCCCTGATATCGTCAATGCAATATGGAGACGGACCAGCTAAACCGGTCTGCCCACGGCCAGGCGCAATCCCGCAGTGAAACAGCTAGCTCCGTTCCATTGGCGTATCTGTACGAGAGTGGGATACATGCGCACCAATTTGCCGTCTATCTCCAGCCCGTCATCGCGAGCTCAAAGCTGTGCCAAATAAATACTAGGTGGACTGGGCCTTATCTGGATGAATGGAAAAAAACCGTGATGAGACGACGACGAACGAAATCACAAGCTCGAACCTAATGAAGTGGGGCCTCTGGGAGCACTAGCTCGACCCTATACAAGGCGGGGCGCTATTGCTGCGCAGGGTTATGGGTCGTCGCCCTGGCCTGGTCTGGTTCCTTGTCTGGGATTTTACTTTTTTTCTTCGAGGTTCTCATCTGCAACATGCGTTTATTATGTCGACATGCCTCCTCATTCTGAGATAAACCCAGGGCTGGCAAATACCGAAACGATGGCTTTATCGTTTGGCCGTGGCCCTACCAGACTGCTTAGGAAATCCGCATTCTTGTCGCCGGATTTTCTGGAAGCCTCTTTTTGTTTGTTTTCGTCTCTCTCCCTTGCCTGGCCGGGCTGGTTCGGGAGACCAGGGAGATCGAAGCCACGAGGAATCAAATCGAGGCCAAACTTGCTAGCAAAAATTTCAGCTTGGAACTTGAAATCTGTTGTTCCACTTGGACCCAGGCCGGCCAGGTACCCATCGAGGATGTTAGACACCGAACGACAAGTACCAGCGCTGTATCAGCCAAAAACAGCTTTGAACTGCTCCTGCATCGAAACTAGCCACGAAAATGGCACCGAGCCGTGATTGGACAAGGGTCCAGTCCGAAGCTGCTTTGGCCGGCTGTCCCTTCTCATTTCCTGTCGGATAAATAATAAAACTAAGGAGTAATTAACTGACGTGACCGCCAAAAGGAACATCAACCCCTCCCAAAACCTCTGGGTGCCTTTCCCGGTATGAAAGCAGGCTCGCCCCGGGTCCTATCTGACTATAGAGCAGAGGATTTGATAGTATAGTCAACATCGTCGAACCAGCCCTTGAGTTTGATGGGAGAAGATTATATATCGATATCGATACGTAGCTATCGTAGCTTCGGGCGCTGTCAACGAGACCAGGCGCTGTGCACTGTGTGCGTTGGTATCAATTTGTTACACCATCTGCCACCAAGAAAAAAAAAAAAAGTCAATTTGATCAAGATTGTATGAACCTTGTCGTTAGCTCGGCAGAGTGCAGTACAATTACAATCGATACATGCAATCCACCCTTTGAAAGAAAGCTTTTGGTCAATGCAACTCCTCAAATATCCTCTCCTCTTTTTTCCATTTTTTGTTACTCATTCTTACTAATAATACGAAGAATCTATGCATTTGGGCGATAAGAATCAAGCATAAGTTGGCCAACGGTGCAGCAGTACGGTCTTGGAAGAACCGGTGTCCTGGAAATTGTTCGTCGATGAACATTCGAAAGAAGATCTTTCATCCGAAAGCGCCTTCAGGCCCTGCTGTTTCTACAGTTTTTACTAATATACAATCGGTCTGCGGGTGGTCCCGTACGAGAACTACGCACAAGGACTCCGTCATCTACTCAGTGAGTGTTACAAAAACATTGGACTGCAGGCATACCATGCATGCCTCGAGGCAATGATTAGGTATGTCGGCGCATTGGGTTCTGCAGGAAACTGTACGTTGCCCCTCCAAGAACTGGTTGGTGGCCTTTATCGATAAGACATGCATCTACATGTCTACATTCCGTATAGTCTACCATTTTGAGAGTCTTGGAGCTTCAGAACCCCTCAGTATCGACCCTGGGTACGATTTGTAGCCTCAGGATCATCGCCATCATCATCGAGTTGGTGCGAAAAAGGCGTCCTCGTGGAAGCTGATCAGTTACATGTCAGGTCCTTGCCGAACCTCGGATTAATCGCCACAATTTTCGGCCTCGATCCCGCCCTTTTCTTTTTTGTTTTGAAGCTTCGGAAGCAGGCATCTCGGGCGAAAATGGCACCGAGGTACCTCTGGGAGCTGCGGGTGCCCCTCTATTGCCAAATTGTGCTTGCCGCATCCACACCACCTCCAAGGCCACAAATTTAAATCCAACGTCCCCAAATGAACTTGATTCACCAGTGGCCGAATGGATTAATCTGCATGAAAACATATGCAGAGCATAAACCAGACCCTTCAGGGATTGTTTCTCTCGATGACCGGGCGATCCCTCTTCAGCATTTTTCGAAAATCACCCCGCCGCAGCAGCAAGAACTGTAACCAATGTTTTTGATACCTTGATCATGAAGCCTCCAGCTCCTCCTTCACTCACCACGCTGGTTCGAAACTCATATTAAGGCGGGCCAATTACCCAAACTGATAGATTTTAGGTCGCTTGAGTAGGGCGAGTACTATGCCGCAATACGAAAAAGGAAGAGATCCTATCTCAATTCACCATAGTCAAAACGTTTAAAACAGACTATGGAACGAGAATACGAGCAGCCTCTGCAATATTACTGCAATAATTTAGTCAAGTCCAAACATATTTTATGCAACATGAAAGCAGAAGGGAGCTGACTCGAAGCGAATAATATCCTGCCCTTGAAAAGCATGCTACCAAGCGAGAGCAGTCGAAAAAAAAAAAAAAGGGCAAAACTGTTCTACGCAGAAACGTGAGATCCAGAGGATAAGAGTCCCACTCGATGGCCACCGGTGAACGGCCAGTGGTGGATCTCTGCATGCATTAATACGCCTAGTACAATCCTGGATCCTAGGAATACGGTGCATTTTGGTGAGGTGCCATCGTTAGATTTCCCCAACAAATAATTGAAATGAGATATAGATATCTCTAGACATCGTCGATGGGGTTCATGAAATACAAACTGCCGTTGCTACCGCTTGCTAATCCATTAGCAGGCAGCACGTCAAGATGCAACGATGACACCATGCTTCCCGGGGATCTTGTCGATTCTCCAAATGTATTCGATTCTCAATTTCTGTCCCTATACTTTACACCAACTTCCCTGATTCGATTGTTAAATCCCAGTCTAGAGTTGATAGTAGTTCAAAACGGCAGGGCAGCTCCACAACACCAAAACCTCTTCATCATGGGTTAATTCGAATGATCTCTTTTTTTTTATCTAGCGGCTGCCAAAATGGCGCAAATTTAGTGCCAACTTGTCGCGGCTCGGGTCATCACGGAGGCCAGAAATTGCACCAACACCATTCCCCTAGTTAGCCCTGCAAGTCTGTTGGATTCACTACGTTGGTTCTGGCATATCGCATGTGAAAGCATCTTCCTAGTTTTCTATTCTAGAATAGAACAAAATACTGACTCGGTTCCTTCTCCAGATAGATAGTGCCGGGATCATTTGCCAACTTGTTATCCAGGAACCGGAGAGACCGTCCTCATTTCTAAGAGCAGGATACTCTCCGCTCTATTGAAACAGCATCGAAGATCATATACTATCTGTGATCACAGGGATATCGATATCCCAATAATTATCAGTCTATCAGCATGTGGATATCAGGATACATACCGCCGTTATATCAGTGGATTTGATCGCCACAACGGCCCAGCGGCTCATGGATGGCACACTTATCGTTGCGTGCCGCCTATTATGCCAGATATTATACGCCATACTGGCCTGCCTTATGCTTTCTGTCCTGTTTCAGGATTGGTGAAGCCGACATCACTTTCAACCGGCTTGCATGCATCCAGCCAGACAGGAACTTCTGCAACACACCCACCGGATTAATTGTGCTGCTCTCGGATTAATTTCGACCACTAGGAGCCCTTACCTGGAATTTTGCCTGTGTCGTGCTGCTTGTTCGGTTCCACAATTCCATCAGGTTGCATACCTACAGAGTAGGCCTATAAAGCCGTCCCAGGTTACATATACACGCCGATGCCCCAGGTCACAGTCTTCAATCTTTGGAGGCAGCATGGGAATTTCTGATGACTGCTCATCTTGAAACGTGAATACCGGAGCTGCATATCTCCACCAGATAATTTGGTGATAGATAATGGTAATACACCTTTCCCAAAGCCTTTTTCGACTAGAACAAGTCCCTGGGTAAATTGATGGAATACCCCTGCTTGAGGCTACATTATGCATGCATTCGTTTTCGCCGCCCTACCAGCAGGCAGTTTTCGATCTGTGCGACGACTTGGTTGCGAACAAGCCCGCTTAAACTCGAACGAGCATATCATACCCCTTGTAGGTTTCGCAACGAATCATATCAAACTCCATTTTTATCCGGCACTTTACCCATGAAATCCACCAATGCAGGCCGGTTTCGATATCTCGGATTATATCTCACCGACCTTTTTCTTGCACCATTATCTTCGACTAGCGCCTTCATTCAAGAAAGAGCAAGGACTGGGGCTCTGACGGAATTCCACGGATACTCTCGTCTACTACGAATAGAAACACAGCATGGACAGCATGGGCAGCATGGGCATCACTTGGTGCTCACGAACCTGTTATCCTCGTACCTGTCATCTCGGATATTTCGCTTCCCCTGGCTTTCCTTCCCCTTGAGCTTCTGGAAGGATCGTGCCTGAAGCCATGACATAGAATCCCGTTCTTTGAACCCGAGCTTTCACTTTCAACGCTACATTGGCATCCCCAAAATCAAGATTGTAAACCTGGTTGACACTAATATTTTTGCCGTAAGATACCCCCTAGCTACAGATCTCATGGGCTTCCACGAATTGTCGAGGTAGACACCATGGGTATCACATTGTGAAGATGATTCGTCCGTTACCCGTGGAGTTCCAATAGCGTAAGTTAAGCTCCAGTACTCCGGAACTCAGATATTACCTTCCGGAACAATTTCCTTCTAGAATCTTGGCTTTTCTATCGTGGCGTTTTGTTCCGCACGATCCATAGATATTCCCTATTTCACATAATACTTATCTACCCAAGCATACCCGATACCAGGTTCAATCGGCACCCCTCGAGCCTGGTATCTTCGGAGTTTCAAGGTGGGAGATTTTGGGGGCTCCTTTCCTCATGACCCCCAACGCCTGGAACTGATTCGGTAGGACCCTGTCGATCCTAACTTCTAGAAGTTCAACGTCCGGATCAATGGGCCGGTGGGAAGTTCCAGGCCTCGTCTGATTCTACAAAGTCTCCCCTTTCTGGGCCGCACGAACACGGTACACACCTTCTCCTTTCTTACTTCGTCGCGCGATTGCGAATTGCAGAATACGAGTTGATATCCACAAGTGATGTTCGGATAATACCCAAGTAGCACGTCTCTTGATCCGATCATTTGATGTATAACATCGGACTATTTGCCTACCCCTAAAATTAACCCTGGTTGGATCATCATACAGGTACCCTCGTCGCGAACGAGTTTGCCGCACACACACACCCAACTCTGCAGAATCCCGTTTTGCCTCCTTCAGTATGTCAGTTGACATAAGTTGTGGAGGATAAAGCTGTCATCAGATGCTCTATGCGTATATATTTCGGATCTTGAATTTTTGCTCGAAATTATTCTTGATGGAATCAAACATACTAATATCTGAAGCTCAATATCACGACAATTTATCCGGATCTACTAGCTATAGTATAATGTTATTCCATTCGGAATGATTTTCGGGGTTCCATTAGGACATATATTATATTTACAACTATCCTTTTCTACCTTTGGGGTCAAGGTGGCTATCGTCAGGCGTGGCATGGGTAAGGATTATTTATTAACTTCAGATATAGATAGGTAGATGACCCCAGAGTTTGCGTGATGACACTCTCTGCTGAAGCTAACAAGCACATCAGCTCCTTGCAGTGTTCTCTCAGTTGACTTTCGCAATTCTAAGATCCTTTTTTTGAAATCATGGACTCCCCTAGCTTTGGTCACACTCCAGATATTACTCCGTATACGTCAAACCATAACGGTATCAATAGCAGGGCCTCAAACCAATGGTGATTGAGAATTATATCCCTAGAAAATTACCCTTCTTATCTGGTCTAATTACAATAATGGCTACTCCTTGCACTTCTATAATATATACATTAATTGTCCGTTCTATATGAAAACCAAATGGGCCCGGAAACCATTGAACCTTCAACGGTATATCCTCCAAATACTCAGTATCTCACCCCCTGCTCTCCTTTCGATCACACGTTCCATCTTCCATCCGCTTTCCATTGCCGTAACTCTCCCGAGAACCTCTGGCGGTCTATTTCCAGCACAGAGGAGAAGATAGAGGACGCCCCTCTCGCTTAGTACCTCATGAAGTTGATCCAACAACCTATCAGTAGTCTCCATGCCCTTATCACCACCAGCATAAGTCAAAGAGAACAGATAGTCTTCCATATCATAATCCTCTCGACTTTTCGAGTTCACAATGACCTTCTGTTGTTTCCCATCTCGTAATGTTGATAACGATGGATGTTCAGAAGTAGGGACGTATGGTGGGTTAAAAACCAATATATCCACGCAATTGGGTTTTAAACATGACGTAAGGTCCGATGTCATACAATCAAGAAATGTAGCTGAAGTTTCGGGATGCTCAGAACATGTATTTGATATTGTTGTAGATGTTACGGTATTGGCGGTATAACTGACATCAAGTCCCATCGTGATAACATCCTGTCGGCCGAAAAGTACACCAGCATGAGCGGCTAGAAAAGCAGAGACGATGCCGGAACCAGTACCTATTTCGACGAGAAGTGGGGATGGAGTTCCGGCTGGGAGACGGGAAGATATGAAAGCGATTTCGGAGGGGAGTGAGAAGGCATCAAGAAGGAGGTAGGAGTCTTCAGATGGCGGATAGACGGGCTGGGAGGTTATATGTGATGTCGATGGAGTTGGGAGTTTAAGAGGAGTACCTGGTGGGAGCGCTGGAGTTGAAGTCATCGTGGGCGTTTGGTGTACGGCATCGTCGACGGAGAAAAATGTCGAGGTTGTCTGGCTGTACTGTCTTTAGTTGATTCGACTGAAACTTTACTGAGTTGTTGTTGCCGACATCTAACTTAAGCTAGCTACACCGCACTGCACTGTCTTCCAATTATAACGTACTAGAAATCATGACATAACCAGCCAGCTTGGTACAAGGACTCCAGTGAGCAAGCGAGATATCATGGATTCAATTGATACTTCATCAAAGCCCGTAGAGGGTCCCGGATTCTCAATCCTAGCAATCGGTGCCCTCTACCGCGACGTCATCGTCAAGGTTCCCCAATTCCCGGCCGAGGATGCAAAGCAGTCTGCTACATCAGAGAAAGTGCGCGTGGGCGGGAACATCTCCAATACGCTCTCCGTTCTCTCGCAAGTAGTCGCACCGGGTACACAATTACTGTACGCGACGGCAGTCGGAGGGCCTGAAGCTATCTGGCGGTACGTATGTTTCGATTGATATCTGAAGATTTCGAATTCAAAGCTAGATTCAATTAACTTCAATCTCAATGCTGTTTCATTGATTACATAAGAATATCACGCTAACAACGCAATGGCGTAGACGATAGGCCGCTGATATCGACCCTTGAGGCGAAGGGGATTACTATGCTTTATGAGATTCGAGAAGGGGAAGGGCAGACGACTCCGACGGCATATATATTTGAGTCGGAGAGTACAGGTTCGAGAACGATAATATCACATCAACTGTCTGTCTCACCTTTCGTCTTCGTGGTAACTCGATCAGGCACTTTGTACTAACTCTACCGACCTCTTATAGAATAACCCAGTTGAAAACCTCAGAAGTCAAATCTCTTCTATTCACCCACTTCTTCCCAAAAACTACTTTTATGTCTCATGCGTACGATGACATGCTCTCGCGTGTCTATAACGCTCACTCGAGCTTCTATCCTTCTTGGATCCATTTCGAAGGTCGCGAGTGCTTTATGGTCGAAGGTGTTATAGACCATTTCATCAGCCGGAGGGAGTACAAACAAAATCCCTGCGTTATCAGTGTAGAATTCGAAGCCTACGGACGTCCCGGTTTAGATCGGTTAATGGGGATGTGCGATGTGGCGTTCATAGCTGAGGGATACATGAAAGCATTTCTGGAAGAAGCGAGCAAAGGCTCTTGGGATGGAAATGATAAAGAGCTTATGGTAAGATTATTTACGAACTATTTGAAGCGAACGGCAAAGAGACGGGCAACGGCATTTATAACGGTTGGTTCTAAAGGTGCGTATGCAGTACGGTTTGATGCCGGAACGGTGGAGATGAGATATATACCTGCTCCGGAGATTGCGTCTTCAGAGATCGTGGAGACTACGGGCGCTGGAGATACTTTTATTGCGGCAGCGATATATGCTTTGGGATATAGAAGGTTAGATGCGGTTAAGGCGGCTAAGATTGCAGTTAATGTAGCGAGTAAGAAGTGTATGTTGATTGGATATGATGGCCTTGGTAATCCGGGCGCTGGGTTTGGCGTTTTAGAGGGTGAAAATCCCTTTGCTACTCCAGCCGTGGGTATGAGTCCCGTACTGCCGCCGGCTAGGCCTACAGATGGCTTACTGTAATGAGCTACGATAAGGGACACAGGAAACTGAAGTTTTTTTTTTGCATTTCATGTGCAGTTTTATTGAATTCTTTTCTCAACAAATATGGGGACATGAACAGGGGATGAAAGGACAGGATAGAGTGATATCTATGATACAAGATGCTGTGATATTACCCACCACGGGGCCTCACAAACCAAGATACATGTATGCCCAATACACGCCGAGAGAGAGAAAAAAAGAAATTTGCCAATGAGGGTACAGTTGGCTTTAGAGAACCAGTTCTACTAAAGTAGCTCTAAGCACCAACCCCAACACCCATCCACCCATCCATCTATTCAGTACCATCATCTGAGCAAATCTCGCCATCTTCTGGTTCAGATTCTTCCCCATCTTTGATTTCGATCTCAGACGAAATCGTGACAGTGGAAGCCTCCGATAGGTGGCCGATAGTATTCGTAGAGGGAGTTCCTGAAAGTCCGTTGCCAGTGAATTGCTGAACACCTGGATAGAGCGGCTTCGCCAACAGATTGATCGGTGTAAATCTGGGATTCGTATGTACAACACCCATTTGAGCAATATTGTTTCCAAGAGCAGCTGCTAACATGAAAGGTTGTCCGAAGTTTGGCTTCAGTGGAGTCTTACCCGTCCTAAGGGGACCACCGTACGCAGTAGGCCCACCAAAGGCGCTGCTCCTCCGCAAAGCATCACCAAATAGATTGTTATTCTGGTGCGTGTTAATCGATTGACTGCCAGTCTGTTGCCGAACAGGTTGTTTTTCAACATTGTCGCGATGTCGATGTATTCGACTGAACGTACTAGTACGATAGTTCTGAGGATTACCCAACTCACCGGCATATTTGCTTGTGAGGGCCAAGGGTAGGGTAGGTAAAGAGACAGGATTTGGAGCTGGGAGAGCTGGGAGAGCTGGGAGAGCTGGGAGAGCTGGAACACGGACAGGCGGCGCCATAACAAGGTATGGAGAGGTTTGTGTTCCAAAGCTTTTAGTCTCTTTACCAGGTTGTGGCTTTGATTTATTTTTATTCCTTCTCTTTCTCTTCTTACTAACAGGTTTGACTGGCGGTGGCCCAAACTTCTCGAGGGCTTTCAGAACTTCTGGGCTGGCAGAAGCGGCGAAGCTTGGACCGGGAGATGGAAAGTCAAATTTCATCAATGGATATCGAGGGCTAGTCTCGACGTTAGACTCTTCAGATTCCCCAAGCTCGGTATCAGAATCTGACGTTTGGGAGGTTTGGGTAGCGGCCTCCTCAAAGGTACGTGCAACTGCGACTGTAGTATCAGGTCCCTCGAGAATCTTCTGTGAACCTGACTCTGACTCTGAAGCAGTTAGTTGAGGCCCAGTAGGCAACCACGCAGAGGGCTGCTCATATTCAGAGATTCGAGCAACAATCGTAGCTGCGGATGGAGCGCCGCGAGAACGGCCCTTGAAGGCTGGAGCGCAAATTCCAGGAGACGCGGGGGTAACTGTCAATGAGAACTTGGGGATATCTCCCTCTCGCGCATATCGCCTCTCAAGCTCCCTGTCAAAGAGTGCTTGTTGCAATTCTTCTCTGGTTTTCTCTCGCTCCTCTGCAGCTGCTCGAGCCTTCCAGGCTTCTAATCTCGCCGCGGCTTCTTTTTTAGCAACAGAGATGTCGTAGATGGTCCTCAGAAAGTTGCCGCTATTCTATTATGTATCCACCAATTTTTAGTAAGTCCTTCCGTTTCAGTGGTGCTTGGCTTATAGGGGGCAATGGGAGGGGCTTTTGAATGACGACATTATAATATAGACAAAAAAACTCACCTTAGCAAAGTGGCTCAGGATTCGAAGGCCGACATTCTCAGCGATATCCTCAGTGACTTGGCCTCGAGAAAGAAGCTCCTGTCCGATGATTTGAGGCCAAAAGTCAATATCTTCCGGAGTAGAAGATGTAACAATCAGCCCAATGACACCCTGGTAGCGATTTTCAGGAAATATGAGTACTTATGCAACATATAAAGTATGCAAGAGGTTTCAAAAAGAAAGGGAAGAAGTTCCCAGAATGGTCCTAACTTACCTGCTCAGTCAACCTGTGAGGATAACCTGCAGCCAAACGGTTGATTTCAGGAATAAAGTAATCCGGGGTTTTCTTTGGAGCTAGAGAAGGCTTGGTCTCAGAGCCCTGATCCGGCTCTTTCTCATCCAAGTCGTTGGGATTATCCATGTTGATGGAATTTTCAGCCATGTGTGGTAGTCGGCTCTACGCTATTTCGTAGATGGTTGAGGTGGTAGGAAAGAAAGATGGAATGGGAAACCAGGGAGAAGAAGAAGAAGGAGTGAACAAGAAGGGGAAGGGGAAGAAATTCTATTGTCCGGCTTTTATAACATTCATTCATGAATCTAACGCTTCCTAGATTGTTCATCACGATGCTCGCTCGTAGACGGTGAAACGAGCCGTGGGCTATGTCTAAGCATGAGCCATTGTTCCGAAAATTTCATTAAGCCAGTATGCATTCGCTGTCAGGTAGTATATTTACAATCTGTTTTCAATCATCTTTTTTAATATCAATATGCTAATCCAACTTCAACCGAACATAAGTCAAGTCCGCCTTTTTGCCCTGTACATGCGCCGAAGTCAGAAGAGTGGCGATATAATCCTTATCACACTGCAACTCTTCAAGAACTTCCTTCAATTCCCACAAGCTGGTACGTTGTACATGCGTGGTAGTACCTTTCTCGATACCATCATCCGCATAATCCAGATTGAAGCCGTTGTCCAGCCGTTCTCCTTCATTATTTATGTTGCGGTGATCTGTATAATCTTCTTGCTTCGGAGTACTAGGGCTAGAATCTTCGAGCTCCGATATAGAAGAAGTGTCTTCTTCTCCTTCTTCAGGAATCGTTGGGGGGTGTCTTAGCGGCGTACTAGTGTTCACCGTCAATCTATAATCTGAATATAGAAGATTGACATCGAAATCCCCATAGGATCCTGGAAGCTCCGGTAGCGGTTTATCCAACGGGTTTAGATGGTCGTCGTTTAGTGACGAACCTGATATGGACATCGCATCTGAAGATCTTGAACTCAGAGCCGAGAAGACCAATCGTGATATCGGCGGTGAGCCAGGAGGAGTAGAGGACTCAACTGCCGTTCTATGAAGGCTTTGGGTATATGGTGAGTTCTGTGTAAGTAATAGTTCGTTCGATTGTTAATTGATACTATCATTCAAACAGATACTCTTGATGGGAACTCTTACTTTAATCTTTATGTAGTAAATAGATAATTAAAATTGATATTGAATTTATTAGCTCCAGTTGATTTTATTCGGTATTTACTGGGTGGCATAATCGGGTGGTCTTACATCCGGGACCCGTTGAACACCCTCGTTATAACAGCGGGCCAAGTTCGCTGCCAGAATACGACCAGAGTTAGACTATCAAGCAATACACATACGCATGTTAGTCTTTGAGATCAAATATTAAATATCGAGGCTCACATAGATATAGAAGCCAAAATTTTATTTACTGAAACACTTACACTCCAATTAGTTGTTTCTAACATCGAGACGGCTTTATGGTGCATATGTAGTGGATCGACCCCGGTCTTCAGTAACTCGAAGGATAGAAGAGCAACTATGCGCTTTTTCTCTGGCCCATTAGATTGGACGATTTGGGCTACTTGCTATGAAAGTGTTAGTGTATAGTTTGTAGGAGCTAGATGTTATGGGTATGTAGTCAAATAGGCCGAACTTCTTGGGTTATAGTAGGAATCTTGAGATCCTGGGTTGTTCGTAAAGTTGAGGTCGTCATCTCTTTATCCTATAGGCCTAGCAAGAGCAGCTACAGGGAAAGGTCGTTAATAAAGTATTATAGTTAATTTTGAATTTGAAACCGATATATAGATTACTAGGATTGGTGACCTTGGAGGCTTAAATAGCTTGATGTTTTGACAAATTTCTTTTGTACGATATCCCAAGTGGTTATATAAGCTGAGGACTCTTTTTATAAAGTATATTCTACGGAAACCTGTTGGCTTTATCGATCAATTCAGTTGAGTTTTAACGTTCAGAGGTATTCGTTGCAGCATCGCTTTAGCTCTATAGACCTAAGTTTTACTACCATCAACTACCTAGATATATATAGAGAGAAAGAAGGCTATATTTTCGGTATCTTTTCGGTAAATACTATAGCGAGGGTACGCCTTAAGAAATATATTACTATTACTGGTCCGCACTAAATGACGAATAGAAAGGAACCCATTCGCTTTGTGGGTACACATTACCAAGTCTTGTTTAGAAACATTATAATATTAGCGAGCCTGCATTCATTCTAAAAGCAAGACTATTCGGTCACTCAGACAAGTAAAATACGTTATACGAAACCCGCTTGTAGGAGGATTGGTCGACTCTTAGGCTTTCCGGTTCACATGAAAACTTATCACAAGTCTAGTGTGCAATGTACTATAGGACCATATGAGTAAGGTGATTAGTCATATATAATGTATTTTATAATATAATTCGAAGCTAGTATTCTAAATGCTAATTAATCATCTTAAAAAGAAAAATGATAGCTACAATATTAATGCATTAAACCACAGATGCTCTAATATCCCATTAAAAATCTAACAGTCAAACGAGTTACCATTTTAACCGTTCAAAAAACTCCAAAAACTAGTGGTACTCTCAATTTAAGGAGCAACAACAGGCAAGTTGGAGAGGATGTCAAACGTCTTGGGGGACTCCAAGTAGTTATAGTTTCCATTAGGATTGATTTTATCCACGCGAGTCTTGATCTTATTGGGGAAAGAGATCGATCCAGAAAGTGTGTTACCACCGGTCCACTGAGTGACCGAAAGGAGGAAGGTATTGGTCTTCGGCTCGTACACGAATCCAAATCCGTTTTTCTTTCCAGGTTGGTTGGATTTGCATTCGGTGTAGTATTTGGGCGTGGCGACGTTAGCCTGTGGGCCCTTGGAACCGGCACTACCGGCACCGATTGGGTGAGTAGCAAAGCATTTAGCTGTGTATCCGAACGGATTGCTCTTCAAGTCGAAAGAGATGGAGACTTGAGCGGAGTGTGGAGAGCCAGAGTTGGAGAAGTTGGAGATAGTGAAGGTGGGGATAGAGGTAGATTTGCCGGGAACACCTGATTGGGGAGCTGGGGCGGCCTGGACGGCAGCGGCCATACCAATGATTGGGAGGATGATGGAAGTGAGTTGCATTTTTGCTGTTTGGATTTGTGGTAGATATATGTATATAAAAATATTAGATATCAAAAGATTGTAGGAGGTTTAACGAAAGTATTCTGAGAATGTATAGCGAAAGTGGATTGTAGATTGTTTGATATCGATGCTGAGAGCAGGATGAGGAAAAAAGGAAGAGCTTGAGGGCATCGTGATCGTTTATATATACACATTCTAGAACTGCGATACTAGTGCATTCGTGTAATATCCTCGTCTTAACGTTGAGTTCTCATGCTACGTCGGTATCGTGATATCAAAGTGCCTGCCTATACCGTAAGTTGTTTTATTCTTGGATCGGGTCTTCGCTTGCGGAATGGTACTGACGACAAACCCGGTGAATGAGAACTACAGTATAGTTCGAGAATGATCACAGCCACGGAATTTGGGTGCAAGGATTTACAGAATCTTTGATTCCCCAAATGGAATGCTGAAAACGGTAAACTGCAGGGAGGTGGTAGTAGCACATATGCACATGTGATGTCGACGCTACATCACCTTGTTCGTGCAACCTCAGCTTCCAAAAATACCGTTTGTCTTGGCCACATGAGACAGCTCGACCCCGGCGCCACTGCTGGTCGGAGTTTATGAGCCCTGCATCTTACGTCCGCCTGGCGCAACCGACGTCCATTCCGGATTCCAGGCCGGGTAGAATGCCGTATTGAGCTGGTCTCATTGCGCCAGCCTCTACAAAATGGAACTTACCCATCAATTAAGCCAATTCTTCGGTGTCAATTTCGATTATTTTGACACATCCAAGACTCAGCTAGCAGATCTTGAAGTTAACAAATGAGATCGGGAGGAAAATATGTCGACATCAGTGGAATCAACTTCCACGTTCGCCTATAATACTACTGCTTCAATACCACGAAACAATATGGTATACCGTTCTAGTTGAAGGCCTAAGCTCAGTTCTGCCAAAATAAAAAGTCGCCGTATTCAGAATTTTCTTTCCATTCAAGCTGCGGCGAGTGACGGTCGTTTCCGTTGTGCACAGTAAGTTCGGTGTAAAAATCACGCCACCCTTAAGAATTCTCCAGGGTAGATGAATGTCATCAGGCCGGGTAGAAATATTCCAGCGAGACCCCCGATATACTCGTTAGCTCGTTAGCTTAATGTTCCCAAGAATATCAAGATTTACAACTGCCCCCTGCTTGACAGAAAGTTCTCCCAGGGATTCCCTGAAGCTGATTTTGACAACACATTCCGTTGGACTCTTCTAACTGCCTGTTGTGCGAAGGCCGACCGGTCATGCTGCGGTCAGTGTCTCAATGTCAGGGTTGCAGCCGTTCTGACCTTCGCTTGCAAAAGGAAATATTGCGAAGAAGTTCTATCCTGAAAATATAGCAATCCCAATTTTCGATATTTTCATTCGAGAGTCGAAGTTACATGCCCATGGGGTTGACGTAGTTAGTGTTGGTCCGTGCGTTTAGACATGCCGTGTTGGGATCTGGCCAATTTGCGGAGCGACGGCCAACTCGTGGAGAAGGGCTGTCAATACTAAGATGAGACATGGGACTGCGCAGGGATATGCTTGGATTGAATAGCTATAGAAGAGCGATTACGTTTAGCGGATCTTCTAGTACATCTCTAAACCGGAATCTGTGGTGCTATTAATAAGTAGCGAATACCACCTCCCATGATGCACTAACCAGCCGTTCACTAACAAAGCTAATAATCGGCATAGTAGAAAGTCTTTAGATGTTCTAGCCGGGAGGAACATCACTTATTAGTGTCACCTACAACCTCGCTTTTTGCTGACTGAGTCGTTTTCTTCGATTGTAACTTCGCTTTCAGGAGTCTTTTCTTTTTCTTCTCTTGCCTGATGATAGCCACAAAGCCGGCTAGCGATGGATGCTCCTATCCAATATTAATGTCTTGAATTAGGCTGAGGGAATAAAGCGGCATGGTAAATAAGAATACGGGTCTCTTACTTTTCGAACACGACCAACTAGGCACTTTGCTTTGTTTACAGTTTCTTCGTTCTTCGGGGCACCCCGTCGGATAAACTCTTTTTCGATTATCCTATACCAATCACCCTTTCGGCCATGGTTTTCTGAGTTCATAATCAATTTGATTATATCCTGATTAAAATAGTTTAAAGGAGTTAGAGCATATCTTTTGATTAGAATGTAACGTAAATGTAGCTAGGGAGGGTGTATTCACGCAAACATACATTATTTGATATCCTGTATATGGCCGGAATGTGCCTTCGTGTCATGTTGGTAAGGCTAACGATTGAACCTGCTGACTTGCCCACTTGAAACTGAGGTTAGAGGATTGGTGCGGCGCAGATTATGCGAACTACCTAGCTGGTACCTAGCTGGAGATTTTGACGATGTTGAAGCCTTGAGATCATGATTCGAGGAGGATGTGGGAATACCGTAATAAAGCTAAGTAAACAGCATGCGCCGGGCAGCTACAGGAGTAGTATACCCTGATGTCCAGGAAACTTCGCGACTGAGTCCCCATCACTGTTTCCAGGACACCGAAATTTGTTTATGACGAGATAATAGACTCATTTATTGAGAGGAGATATTCGAGCTCAGCTCTTACTGGCTGAGAAGGAGGCGCGGAGATAGCCAGAAGTCTAGATCTGTGTTGTTCGTGCTAAGAGCTGTGATATTTTGAACCACCCAATTACAGGTGAGAGTTTCGCCGTTCTTTACTTTAAATGGCTAGCTTGATACCTCTTTGGGAAAATCCAACTTTTATAACACAAAGTCGACATCTACGGCTAGATGGGTTGGTCTTGGTAGCACGATGTTTATAGGATGTCTATGGCATGATTCCATAGGATGGACATCTAAATAGTATTATGGCATTAGCTTCGGTCCAAGACGCCAACTAGCCGCAAGTGTGTATGGTATAATGTCTAAAGCTAATATATAGCTATATAGCACGGTACAATATTAATTGGGATGATATTGTTGGAACGATAGGCATGGTCACGAGGTTAGGAGCTGTTACGAGGATCAGGACTGTGAGACACGATTACAAACAACATTTTATTATTGATATCTATTTACTTAGTATTTATCTAATATATATAGGCTGGTTCGGTGATGACAAGAGGTGACGTCAGTATGTAAACAGACAATGGTTAGGAGAGGTAGTTAAGACATACCTTGGATAGGTTAAGAAGACTAGAAAACTGTTGCTGGAGTATTAAATTATATTATGGAGTCTGTGTTGGGTACTAAAAGTTCGTTGCTGACCTAGAAAAGTAAAAGAAAAGAAGGTATGAAATCAGCTAAACCGAAATTTAACTGTGTATGTGGTCCATCTATCTTCAGGATTTCCACTTCGCTCGATATCCACTCCGATGTCAGAAATTGTTGAAATGCCGTTCACCAGAGTGGGTATAAGTAGTTCAAGATGGTTGCTGTTGAAGAAACTTCCCAAGAACTACTTTCCAAAACGCTGAACAACCCGTGAAGGTTCCTCAGTCGAATAATCGATGGCCATTTAAGGCAGCTACTAGGGCTTTAAGGAAGCAGGGTGGATATTTGGTCAATGATCGTGGGAAGCCACACCGATCAATGGGTAACTCCAATGCAAGCACTTTTCTATTTTATGAAGAAGATACATACCTTTTATTTAGTCTCGGAGGTGTGAGAGTGTGTGGATGTGAATGTTAAGAAGCTCGAGTGTAGGTGAAGAGCCTGTGTCAAATCTTATTATGAATGAGATGATGTTGTATAGCTGAGAGAATGAAGTGGTAGAAGTGACAAGAAGAGGGAAAGGAGGAAGAAAGGGTGTGGGAGGGAGGTCCTTATATACCCGAGAGATACTCGGCGAGGGAATCTTTCTCCAGGTTTGTGTTTCCCTGTTTGGGATTGTCGTCGACGTTGTGCGTTAAAGCCTGCGTATATTCTTTCGTCACTGTTACATCTACTTCTCTAATTATTGATCAAGATCCAGGACGTCAATCTTGATCCAGAGTCAAATATCGCTCTGCTGTCTACAACACCCTCTACCCACTTTGTGATAGCCTCGTATCAGGGGTCCAGATCTTCCGAGTGTCAAACACCTCGAGATTTCAAGCAAAATTCCTACATTGCCTTATATCTATAAAATACACGTATATTCCTGAGATTGATTACTTATGATCCATTTTGCAATGTAAAATCGACTAAAATCATCCGACACTGCTTTAAGAAGGGATATCTATATGTATTACCGGGAGCTGTGATCTACGATCAATACCTTGCAGCTAGACTAGTACTGAAGATCCGCTCCGCACAAAGCGTGGGCCGCGTCTGCCGTACGAGACTATGAAGATCCATGAGTTTATAAAAGCTATATTTTATATATTATAAGTTTACGGGAAACGACCAACTCTCTACCAAGTTTGCTTAAGCTTGTAATTAGACTTCGTTTGATAAAGGGGCTCCACAACAGAATAATATGTATCATCGGATAGGCAGGATGTTCTATGCAGGCAGAGTGATAGCCGGTACAGGGAGAAAAGAGGTCTGGGAACAAACATTTTTGAGAAGTAGAGCTAGACAGGTGAGGCTAGAGCTGTCGTGACAATGGAAGTAATGATAAAAACAGAACAAAACACTGGAAACAACATGAATACAAAACATATGATAGGCAGTTAATCAACCAAGATGGTTGTGGTTCCCTGCAAACTTGATGGTTGCAGACCCATAACGAGATATCCTGATCTCTCCTCCATATCGTGAGACAGTTGGAGCCCAGGAATTGATCATTTCAACAACGGCGGGAGCAGCTGCGAAAACCAACGTCGTGTTATATTAGCTTCGCGCACAATCTAGTTTGGGTGCTTCCAAGGGCAACTTACGCGAATTGTTCGTAACGACAGATTCACCTGTCACGGAGGTTACGGCGCGGCTTTCGGCGCGATCGATATCTGGGGTATCGTATTGATTGTTCTCCTCGTCTTGGTTGTAGTAGTACTGTTGGGCCCCGGTAGAACGACCGCGTGGGCCGTCAGTAATCAGACTCAAGTTACTCTCACTGCGAGGGTAGTTTCGACGGGACTCCGAATATCTAGTAGGGAGGGAAGGAGCAGGATTCGGAGTAGAGTCACCGGTAGGGTGGGCTGGGTTACTGTAGACCCCTTGGTATCCACCTTCCCCAGTTTCATCGTCAAAGTCTTCGTAATCTGCGTATTCCTCTTCCTCTTCGTATTGGTTGTACGCCATGCGCTCGTCGGTTTCATCTCCACCGTAATCGACGACCTCGCTGAGGGAACCTTCATCCTCATCGCCGGCAATGTCGGTGTAGTAGTCAAGTTCAGAGTCGTAGACACTGGTACGATCCCTATCTGAGGGGTTGACCAGGGTACAGCTCCGAGCCTCCGTAATTTCGCCATCCCTTAGAGCAGTGAAATTGGCCCTGGTAACTAATGAGTTCCTAGAGAGCTTTTTCTGATCATAGATATGCCAGCTTTCCTATGGATAAGAATTGAAGTTAGTCTCTGAGTTGATTTATTGTGGGACAAAGGGAAAGCTCACACCAGGGCGGAGGCCCATTATACGGGCACCATAATCGGACTAGAGAGTAGGAATTTTGTAATCAGCGATAGGTTTCAACAGATAAGATACAGTCATAGAAAGCTGTGTGTTTAACCTTATTGAAGCGTCCGAGGAGCGAGGAGAGCACGTTTCCGGCTCTGAAGTGATCACTATCACCCTCACATACGAAGTGATAGAGGATGGTATCCCTCCATTGGCAACGGTGTTCGGCAGGATTGTTGAAAACCGCACAGAGAATGTAGAAAATATCCTAATTACGCGCCATGTTAGAGCCTGAGCTAAGGGCTAGATTGCTACTGAAGATGGAATGTTTATGATATACGAACCTCAAGGCTGAACTTTGGCATTCGAATGCCGGGATGGACCTCGTGTTCCTTGTACTTGCAGATGCAAGCACGAGGACGACGTGGGTCGTTGGCGGCAAGGGAACAGGTGCACATGTTTGTAGCTCCTGGCTGGACTCCAGCAGCAGGAGCACCAACTTGGGAGGTGGACGGTGACGACATGATGTTAGAACTGCTGACAGGTCGTCGAGCAGTCTTTCGTGATCTTCGATGTTGACGGCAGCTGACTGTGATTGAAGAGTTCGTGTTTCTAACGCGAAGGAAGGTAGGTTTTCTGTGCTTGGGCGGGAGGTGACAGGAGGAGGGCGGACCCTCCCACTCGGAACAATCCGAGGGAAATTTATGACGGACCGTTTTCACGGTCGTCGTGAGACAAGCTACCACGTAGCTCATCTGGTAGTCTACCTTTTGCTCTCAAGCAAAAGCTGGGTCCTCTACTTGGTTCATTTCTTGCTATCTGCAGATTCTAGTATGTGCCTGCGCTATGCTTAAGTTTAGGGCTAAGCTAAGACAGCTATAGCCTAATGTGAAATTATTGGTGAAGATGTATTGATGGGAGAGAATAGGAAGAGAGGAGGAAGAGAGGAGGAAGAAATAGGGGGAAAGGAAGAACCGTCGAGCAGAAGGAGAGATGGAGGCAGCAGGAGTAGGCAAGTCTGGTTACAAGACTGAGTGTCATGTTCACGGCTTCAATGGGACACTTCTTTGTGTTGCCGCTTTCAAGAAATGTGTTGTAGCTCATTTTCCAACAAAGTCCTCAAAATGGACGGAATGCCAAGAATAGAAACTGGCAAGTTTAGCCTGGTCACCGTTTTGAGACGCAGATCTCCGGCTAGACTTGTCGTGACTGCCCCTTTGACGCACAGGTTGAACACGCCAACTGTCATTGGCTAGCCACCTTCAAATCTGTTTATCACAAGCTTAACACAGTCCAAGCTACTTTGCTACAACCTGCAACCATTCTTTCGCACTGCTCGGAGGGGTAAACTTTGGGATAAACCAAAAGTCACCGCATCGGCATCACCGTCTCTGTGTCTTTTCTCGCAGACTCTCCCGTTGACCAGGACCGCAGACCCGTACGCATCTTAAACTTCTAAGGATCGATCATTAACGAGATATGCAGGGGTCCTTGTTCTTCATGATATTACATCATAGCATACGAGCATGCCGAAGAACCTTCCTTGTACAGCATAACCCCAGGTGCTGAACTCCACTCTATCGACTACCCGGGAAAAGAACTCGCGGAATTCTCCTCGGGACATCTTATATCCATAATAAACTAGAATCACGGATTCTTCGAATAGCAGGTCGATCGTCCAAACTTGCTTGATTGCTTGACTTACCGCTAGCCGACTGGAACTCTAAAGCGTCATTCGAACGGGAACTCTCTCACCGCCCATAACATATATCTAGACGCCTCTATCTCGAGGCACCGTTTGTAAAAATGGCCTCACCTTCACCTTCTACCGTCGCACAGGCTGCTTTTAACGCCTCTTCCAACTTACCAGCCGCCATGTCTACCGTGCCGCCAACTCAAAATCTTAGTTTTGCCGGGATCTTAATTTATTACGGCTTGTGGATGGTTCAAGTCTTGCCATGGATCACATATTGGATCCTTAGTTTTACCACCTATACGGTTCCTGCCGTATTGTTCACTCTCTTTAGCACAAGCTTCTCGATAACCATGAACTTCACCACTCTGTAAGTCGCATACGGCTCCCTTCTATTCAAGATCTTTGGTCAATCTGACAAAATTTCTAGGCTAGCAATTGCTCTCATGTTCGCTACCTTGATATCCTACTTCGTACGTTATCGCTATCTGAATATGTACGCCCATTTGCCGCCTGAGCCGCAGAGGAAGGAACCTCAGATAGACCTATTCACCGACGGACCGGAGGCAGACGATGCAAAACCAGGCATAGCGAGTTATCTTGACGAATTCTTAAGCGCTATAAAGGTCTTTGGATATCTAGAGAGACCCATTTTTCACGAATTGACCAGACACATGCAGACAAGGAAATTAATTGCCGGCGAGACTTTGCTGCTCGAGGAGGAGAAAGGGTTTTGTGTAGTTGTTGATGGTCTCGTGCAGGTGTTCGTCAAGTCTACCGCCCCTGGTAACAACTTTTCCGGGGACGAAGAGGAAGACCTGGCCGGCGGGCAAGGTTATCAATTGTTAACTGAAGTCAAGAATGGAGCTCCGATGAGTAGCTTGTTCACTATATTAAGCTTGTTCACAGAAGATGTGCAGTTGCGGCATGACGATGACGACGATAGTAGCACCGCACCGACACCACCACAAACACAAGATAGTTTCTCCTCCGTCGGCAGTGATTTAAGAAAAGGGCCACGAGACTATCAACATGGTATAAGCCCTGCAATGCAGGAGCACCCATTCTCACAGAATGGGATGTCTAGACAGTATGTTACCCTCCCTGAGACCCAACAAACAACTCAGTTTTCTAACTAAGATGTTAGAATGTCAGAGGGTATCTCGCTACCTAAAGTTCCTACTTTCCCTATGCTAGCTGATGACCTCTCCGAATCGCCGTCTGCATTTACTCCAAGTTCCCGTCCCACAACCCCAGCTCCTAGCAAATCGCATGGAAGACCCGTCCGTCCTAAGCTATACAAGTCCAAATCTGTCCATCCCGATATTATTGCGCGTGCGACAGTTGATACGACTATAGCAGTTATCCCAGCAGCTGCGTTCAAGCGTCTCACACGAAGCTATCCTAAGGCATCGGCTCATATTGTATCTGTCATTCTGACAAGGTTCCTTCGTGTGACGTTTGCGACTGCACGGAATTATCTTGGGCTTACGGGCGAGGTCCTGCGTGCTGAGAAAAGCATGAATAACTATACTTCTTATGACCTTCCAAACCATCTTCGCGGTAGCGCGCTAGATAGACTGAAAGAGAAATTTGCCTCTGAAAAGTCCGCAGCGAAGGATGATGAGGAACTCAAGCGCGGGATGGTACTTCACAGTTCTTCGTCAGCTACTAGAAGGAGAAGACGATCTACATTCTCAATTCAAACGAGAATTGATGTTGCTTCCCGGGCTTCAAATATGCGGGGTATGGATAGCCCATGGGTAACCAACACCCACCCAGGAGATTTATTCAGCAACGTCCCTCTTCATAGACCAAGAACCAATTCAACTGGCCACTTTTCACCTCAGCTGGAAGCATCATTTGGCAGAGGATTTCCCATTCCGATCCAGCCAAGTATTGACAGCGCCCTTAACAGCCTGGGGCACGCACATTCCAATAGCCAAGATTCGTCATCCCCAACTTTGTCAATGGTAAACAGCCGAACCTCGCAGATGAGCGTTGTTCCTGAGGAAGAAGACGAAGGGACATTCGGAGAGGCCGTCCTTGAATGTATGTTCAAGGCAATTGGGCTTTCAAGCGCGAAGCTAGAAGGATTAAAGCGTCCTGGTGGTTCTGTGGAAGCTAGCCCTCGTCTTGTATCCTACGATGCTAGAAGACAAAAGGCAGTTTTCAACTCATTTGGGCATATTGACCCGTTCGAAGACGCAGAAACAGAATCTGTTGCTTCAACCGCTATTTCAACTAATAGTATATTAGGGCCCGGTGCTCCTACCCTTGAAAGCATGAAAGACGATGTGGACATAGTTTTTTTCCCGAAAGGAAGCGTGTTGGTTGAGGAAGGCGAGCGAAGCCCTGGACTATACTATGTCATCGACGGCTTCCTGGATATCACAATGGCCGTTGAAGATGAGAAAAAGACAGGTGTTCTCGGGAATAATGCATCAAGGAAGGGCAGCACTGTAAATTTGAACTCCGTTCTTCCAGCCTTGAGTCGAACAAACACCAGCAGTTCTATCAAAACCACCCCTTCGACACCAGCGCCGAAGAAGCCCGCTCGGAAATCTTTGTTCATGGTAAAACCCGGCGGTGTTGCAGGATACATTGGTTGCATTTCAGGCAGCCGAAGCTTCGTCGAGATTAGGGCAAAGACGGATGTATACGTTGGGTTCTTACCGCGAAATAGCTTCGAGAGAATCATGGACAAGAACCCTGTCGTTTTACTAACGATGGCGAAGAGAATCACGAGTCTGCTGCCGAGATTGATGTTGCATATTGATTTTGCTCTGGAATGGCTGCAGATCGATGCTGGGCAGGTTATTTATCGCGAAGGGGATGAAAGGTAAATATGCAAACACCAAACCCCTGATGATTCATTCTGCTAACTGGGTTTAGTGATGCTATATATATTATCTTGAATGGCCGTCTCAGAGCTATCAGAGGTAATCCAGATGAGGGCGACGTCCACGTTGCTGGTGAATATGGTCAGGGAGAATCTGTTGGAGAACTTGAGGTTCTGACAGAATCCACCCGACCCGTCACTCTTCACGCAATACGAGATACAGAAGTGGCCAGGTTCCCGAAAACATTGTTCAATAGCCTTGCACTCGAGCACCCTGGCATCACGATTCAGATCTCCAAAATAATTGCGACAAGAATGCGAGCACTGGTGGAACAGCCGCTTGATAGAAAAGATAATGCTGCTATTGGAACGACGAAGACAGCAAATAAGATGAATCTCAGGACTGTTTGCATCCTTCCTGTTGCAACTGGAGTTCCTGTCACAGAATTCAGCAACCGTTTGTCCACCGCTTTACAACAGATTGGTGTCCCAAATGGTGCTGTGACACTAAACCAAGCAGCTATATTAAAACACCTGGGCCGACATGCGTTCAGCAGGATTGGCCGGCTTAAACTCAGTCAATTCCTAGCTGATCAAGAAGAAAAGTACGGCATGGTGTTGTATGTCGCAGATACTAGCGTTAACGCTCGATGGACTCAGACTTGCATAACGCAAGCTGATTGTATCTTACTTGTGGCGTTGGCGGATAGTAATCCTGGTATTGGCGACTACGAAAGATACCTAGTTGGCATGAAAACTACAGCGAGAAAAGAGCTAGTTCTATTACACCCGGATCGATTTGTGAAGCCCGGTTTGACAAGGCAATGGTTGAAGGTTAGTATCCCTCATCATACTAAAGCTTATCTAGTACTAATTTTTTCCTATTAGACCCGCATCTGGATCAACGGTGGGCATCATCATATTCAAATGGCAGTCAATTTGAACAGCGTTCCCGAGCCTGTTCATGTGCAACAAAAACAATTTGGATCTGCTATCAGAAAGCGTGTTAAAATTCTCCATGACGAGATTTCGATTTATATATCAAAGAGGGCAAGACAGACGGTATATCCCTCAGAAGCGCCATTCAAGGGAGACTTCCACCGTTTAGCACGAAGGCTCTGTGGTAAGAGTGTGGGGTTGGTTTTAGGAGGAGGAGGCGCTCGCGGTATTGCCCATGTTGGTGTTATTAGAGCTCTTGAGGAAGAAGGTATCCCGATCGACTTAGTGGGCGGCACCAGTATCGGCAGCTTCGTTGGCGCCCTATATGCGCGAGACGCAGATATAGTGCCAGTGTATGGTTGGGCGAAGAAGTTCTCCGGCCGGATGGGGAGCTTATGGCGGATGGTGTTAGATTTGACATATCCAGCCGTCAGCTATACAACCGGTCACGAGTTCAATCGGGGTATTTTCAAGACTTTTGGGGATTCTCAAATCGAAGACTTTTGGCTAGAGTTCTACTGCAATACCACCGATATCAGCAGAAGCCGAATGGAGATCCATACCAGTGGATATGCGTGGCGCTACGTTCGAGCATCGATGAGTTTGGCGGGCCTACTACCACCGTTGTGTGACGAGGGTATCATGTTACTTGATGGCGGATACGTTGATAACTTGACGGTCTCGCACATGAAGAGTTTGGGGGCAGATACGATTTTTGCGATAGATGTGGGTAGTATTGACGATAATACACCACAAAACTATGGCGATACCCTCAGCGGTGGATGGACACTCTTTAACCGCTGGAATCCATTCAGTTATACACCTAATCCACCGACATTAGCAGAAATTCAGGCGAGATTAGCGTATGTTAGCAGTGTTGATGCGTTAGAGAGGGCGAAGCAGGCGCCCGGTTGTTATTATATGCGGCCACCGATTGATATGTATGGAACATTAGATTTTGGAAAGTTTGATGAGATTTATAATGTCGGCTATGTTTACGGAAAGAGGTTTTTGAGGGAGTTAAGGGAGGTTAAAGGAGGATTGAGGGTTTGGGGTGGGGATAATGGTGGGGAAGGGGTTGCTGGGAAGGGGATTAGATGGAGGAGAACGGGCCGAAGAGCTAGTATCTAGACTACAAGGTAGGAAGCCTAGCAAAAGACGACAGCTAGATGGTGGGCGGATTACATGTACATATTCCCATTTTAGATTTTGGGGTAGATGCATTGGCATTTCAAGCGGCGTTTCTTTTATTTTCAAATTTTCAGAATTAATCGTTACATAGTATAACATTTCGTTCTATAGGAATCAAGATTTGGGCATTATTACATGATGGTATGAGAAGGCTTGGATGTTTGTATCATTAGGAGGTTGATATTAAAAGCTTATAGAAGAAGGCGTGATATGCATGAAGACGAATGTGATGCTATAGATGCTTTTGATTTAATAGCGCTATACGGCAAGCAATGTAGCAAGAAATGAAACAAGTGCGACAAGTTGTATAAGGTATTGAGGCACCATATGTGTAATTGAAATGCTGGAATTGTTAGGCGGCTCTGTGCTTGGTGTACCGGTTACAGGACCGGTATTCCCCGCTCCCGGGGTTGTGGTAGCTGTGCTGGGGGACGAGGGGTCCTCGTTTCCAGGGCCTTGAGGAGACCCCGAGTCTGAAGGCCTTCCTGGTGTCGAATCCGATGTTGGATTCTGGGGGTTAGATCCCGATGATTGTGAGTTTGGTGGTTCGTCGACGGGTTGGTTATCTGATGGTGATCCTGATGTGGATGGGGGATTTGTTTCGACGGGCTGTCCGTCGGTAGGATTTGGTTGGGGGGGTTCTGAAGGGTCACCATTTGATGAAGGTGTGGTAGTTGTGTCTGCTTGAGCCGGTTCGCCTGTGTAATAAAAAAAATTAGTCTTGTTAAAACGTAAATACTGATGAGAATTTTCTATGGACTTACGAGTTCTCGAGCCCGACCCTCCAGTCGTAGGAAAGAATTCCGAGCCAATCGTGATAACCTCATCGTCATAAGACGTCAAAGTAACCCTAGGATCCAAAACCATTGGCATATCACAGAAAAACACCGTCCGCGGGAAAATCTGCGGTCCTCCCGCCAGGCATTTGGTAATATCAGGATATAACGATCTGTAAAATGGATCGGAAACTATATAATCGATAACATCTTGCGGGACGTAACCCCACATCTCCTGAGGCACATCGTTTGCAACAGTACAATCTGTATTGTTGAAAGTGATTGTTTCGGAGGCAGGTGGTATTCGGACGTAGGGTTTTGTTAACGTAATCTCTGTTACGACAGAAGGTCTTGCACTATCGGTTGGGGTGTATATGCAATCTATTGTGACGGCCCCAGTTGTTACGAACGTTTTGGTTGTTGTACCGGTGCCACCATTGTCGTCTTCCATTGTCTCTGTGAAAGAGATGATTTCTGGGGTACAGATCCCCAGTCCGCCGTAGTACGCTTGAGCGTAGGTATTCAGTCCTGTAAAGCTTCTGCTACCGGGTAAACCCATATCTGGTTGGTTTGGGTGTTGAGAGACGGTGACGCAGACAGCATTCCCACTGCCATCGATTACTGGTGGGACCGTTATGATTTTGAAGGATTTGTATACATTGAATGCTCTTGGGGAGAAACTATTCTCGAGACTCGTTAGAATCAAATTCATTGATCGATGTTATAGGTAAGTATGCATATATAGAACTTACATTGTCGTCCCAGCAGTGATAATCTTTGTCCCATCCTTGCTACCCAACTGCGTCGAACGTATTTTCACGCCCGGCGCCTTATTAGATATATAGCCTCCAGGCGGTCTTAGTGGGTCAGTGACACGATATATCGCATCAAAAAATGTCCCGGGCGGCGGTCGATATGTTGGGTTAACTCTCGTATATGTACTCGTATCAATGTTTGTGACCCTCCCGGTTGGGAAGACCGACACCTGCGTCTTCACCGCATATACAGTTTCAGTAACCGTAAATGTGTAAGTACGCCAGTAGTAGTCATCTATTTGGTCTTGAACGATGAAGCAGCACGAGTCGGCTGCAGCTGTTATAGGGGGTCGCGTGTCTGAAGTATTTCCTGGAATGGCTGGGCAGGAGTTAGTTCTTAGCATGTCAATTGAAAGTTGAAGAATCTTGTATTTTAAGATAAGATACTCACATATCGTCTCAGAGTCCGCTTCTGCCCCTCTTACCAGAATTAACCGTATGAATAGGCCAAGAAGAGCTTCGGGAAAAAACATCGCGAGGGCTTAACGTTATCTGGTGGACATATGGCTGGTTGACTTCGTCATCCATGCAGCAGCATCAACCCGTTGCCCCCAAAAAATAAAAAATAGGAACGAAAAAGGGAAAACTCGGGGACTTTTGACAGGTTTTGAGCCGCTTCTATATGTAAAATCTTACAACAATTTTCGGAGTCTTCCAAATATATGTTTTTTTTTCTAGAAGAAAAGATGCATGTATGCAATGTCGTCGACAAAGAGTAGGGAGCCTTCGTTTGGCTGCAGATAGGTTGTGCAACCATGAAATCTTGAGGCTCGTTTTTGAGTTCCCTTCGGGCCCCTTGGCCTTGTTTGATGGCTTCCAAGGGATGCACAGCCTCCCGTTAACGCGTTTTTTTTTTCCCTTCCTCCTCCAGTCGAATTGATTCGAATAGGGCTGGTCCTGCAACCTTCTATAGACTGTCACAGCGCGCTGTATTCCCAGCAATGTGCTGTGTACAGCCAGACCAGGAGGAGAAGATGATGTGCACGCCCAGGCAACATTGCAGGGTTACCTGCGACTGTTCACGGTGTTTGGACAAATTGGAAATTACCCGGCCAAGAGAAACGGCATATGTTTGCGGAGAAAGAAATCCCGTGCGCTGGGGAGATTGCATCTTGATAATCTTGGTCTTAGCTTTTTAAACTTCCACCGTTTCTGGAAAGTGTCAGAAAGCTCGAAGGAATCGGGGTTGAGGCTGGAAGGATTAAACAGTTTGGAATCCGTCGACGAGGCAAGACCGTTAAACCATTCGATAGTATATAATACAGGTGCCGGCGTCGACCATTGTACGCATGCCTATTACAATATTAATATTAATAGTAAGCTATAGACGCACCTGATGAAGCTATTCAAGTTGGATCCTATAGCGCCTGAACGCTAAATAATACATTCCATCCAGGGGTACGGATTATAACTTACAAGACAATACAAGACATTCCGCGGTCGCGAAAAAAGGGTCGTCTCCACAGATTCCAGGAAGCCAAAAACCCACCCTCTTTCGTCATAGGTTCGAAATAGCCATCTCATCCGGAACCGATAGAAAACTCTCGAGAGACCCGATGCGGGAATACATTACCGAAACGGCGGTGTTTATCTCGACGACGTCGCGAAACGACAGGCCACGAAGTTGACAAAAGCCTTCAACGCAAAATCCCTGTTGCAACTTATACCTAACTAGCCCCTATAAACCCACCTTATATTGATAACATATGTGATGGAAAGCATTGGTATCAGCGATTCTCTACGGCGGCGGGAAACCACCATCCCGTTTCCAGTCGAGGTTGATCCTTCGCAAGAATGGTATGGTTATCTCCTTGGTCTGCTCTACCTACGTGTGATTAGTCTTGTCTAATGTAAATTGTTCGCGGTGAACAGGGACGGCAAGGACGGACCTTGGTCAACTTTTGCTGTGCGGATCGGGACACCGCCACAAGTAGCCGGAATTCTCCCCGGCACAGGATCGAATCAACAGATGGTGGTCCTCCCCGAGGGATGCATGTCATCGAAGGATACATCAACATGCCCGAATCTGCGTGGGTTCACCTTCAAGATGAACGAATCTACGACATGGGAAAATAATACACTTTATTCTTCGACCTCGATATATGAACTTGGCGTTGAGAAGAGACTAGGCTTCGAGGGGAATGCGATTTTCGGATATGATAATATGGTATTAGGTTGGTTAGGAAGTGATGGCCCGAATACAAGTAACCAAAGCATCGCGGGTATTGCGACAAAGGATTTCTTCCTCGGAGTTCTCGGGCTCAATCCAAGACCGACCAATTTCTCGACGTTCAATAATCCTGTCCCCAGCCTTCTGCAGAACCTTAGGGATGCCCAGAAGATACCAAGCCTATCGTGGGGCTATACAGCTGGAAACCAATACCGTAAGCTCCTTCTAAGTGTCGAAAAGGTCTGGTTTCATTGCTGACTCAGGTTGATCGTTCCTAGGATTTAATAACGTCTTTGGCCAGCTGATTCTCGGAGGCTACGATAGCTCACGATTTGTTCGTAACAATATATATATCCCGTTCGACTCTCAGGATCTAGTAGACCTAAGCGTCAACATAGAACGTATCACCAGCTCAGATGCCGATGGGACACGAGCACTATTACCATCAAGCGGTATAAGCGCCTACCTCGACTCTTCAGTCTCATATATATGGTTACCGCTTGATGCATGCCAAAGATTTGAGGAAGAGTTTGGCATCACCTGGAACGATAGTTTGGAACTCTACCTAGTCAACAATACGCAGCATGAAAAACTTCTCACCCGAAACGCCAGTATCGTATTCAGAATTGGCCATTTTTCGACAAACCAAACTGTTGATATCACATTTCCATATGCCGCTTTCGATCTTACACTCAGCTACCCATACACTACCAACCCAGCCCGGTACTTTCCGCTGAAGAGGGCGGCCAATGATAGTCAATATACGCTGGGAAGAGTATTCTTCCAAGAAGCATATGTAATTGCAGACTACGAAAGAAAGAATTTCTCGGTTTTTCAGTGCAACTGGGATGCCAGTGGAAAGAAAGATATCGTAGCAATCATCTCCCCGCAAGATGTTCAGCTTCCCCAGGATTCGGACAGCTCTTCCTCAAAACTACATACAGGAGCTCTCGCAGGAATTGCGATCGGTGTAGTAGTTGGTATTATCATCGCAGTCTACTTGATCTTCAGATACTATATGAAACCAAAAATCATACAGAACGGAATCAGCAGGTCGGGCCCATCAATAGATTCTAGCGAAGGGGACAAGCGTGGAGAAATCGAGGACCTGCCACCTCCCACTCCATACCAAATGCATCTCTGGGCTGCCAATGAAGATGCAGAGAGTGATGTCAGTGGCGCTTCAATTAGATCGGAAAACATGACTATTGCATCTTCTATAGTACCTAGCCAACGAACCCAGCGTACCGACCGCGGATCGAGCCCCACGCGAGACAAATCCAACCCCTTAGTTTAAAGCTTCCCGTCTATGAATTTCGCCTGATCCCGCCAGCTTTAGTTCGTTCGCTTCCGTTATCTACCTCCTCCCTATCTATATCTCGACTTATCTCTACTTCATGCATATTATCTGCAAATGGCCCGTGCATGTGCGAGGGATATGTGTTGCGACGAACAATTACAACGCCCGGAATCAGCCGACCTCCACGGAAACTTGCTTCCGGCGGCTGGCAGGCTGGCAGGGTCAGCTCCAAGCTAGCTAGTTTCACTCGCGACTCGACTTGACTCGACTCCAGCCATCAAGATCTGCTTCAATTGCACGTTGTCCATTCCTCAGAGATCTTGTGGCCCCCGAGACCTTCAAAAGGGGCAGGTGGTGGGGGGTTCCACTCGGCGCTATGGCTTGGATAAGGCAGCTCAGCACTAGCTAGCCGCACAGAGGCAACCTGGACGGCGGAAACCTATATCTTGATCCACCTTTCCCGTCATTCCAAATCGCCGTTTTTTTTTTTCCGACCTGGTTTCTCTTTTTCTCCTCCTCTGTTCGTTTTGCCTGCCGTGGCCATCGTCGTCTTCAGACCCCTGATAAAGAATTTAGGGACTTTGATGTTTGGCTTTGGGATCCGAAACCTAGTATCGATCTCAAAAACCGTGATATCCCGACGCCCTGTCGCTTGTCTTAAACCTAGTTATAATCATAATCATCACCCACAACGAACAATCACAATGGCGACATCGAGTCGGAAATACAAGGTTGTGAATACTCCGACCATTTACTTCGGTACCTTCATTCACAGCCCGCGTGACGAAGCTTCTAAGCTCGATGTATGCGAGGAAGGTGCAATTGGTGTAAACTCCGATGGTGTAATTGATTTCGTCGAAAGGGATGTCAAAGATATCGACAGTATCGTAGACAAGTATCCTAGCTTCAAAAATGCTGAGATCGTCCAGACACGGCCAGAGGGGACGCAGTTTTTCTTCCCGGGATTCATTGGTATGTCATTATCCTTAGTCTCTCCTCGCGAACCGCTGGGCTATTGCTTACTGACCGCTCTTTCTCCTCGCAGATACTCACATTCACGCTCCACAATATCCAAATGCCGGTGTTTTTGGATCTTCTACCCTTCTCGACTGGTTGAACAAATACACCTTCCCGAGGGAGGCCTCCCTTTCATCACTCTCCGTCGCTCGAACGATATATTCCCGCTGTGTCGCCCGTACCCTATCCCATGGGACTACGACGGCAGCATACTATGCCACGATCCATGTCCCAGCGACCAACCTCCTAGCTGATATTTGCTCTGCCGCCGGCCAGCGAGCCTTCGTAGGTCGTGTTTGTATGGACCACAAAGATATCAATCCTGATTTCTATTGTGACGAAAGTGCCGACGAAAGTATTGCGAACACGTGTCTCTGCATCGACCATATCAAAAAGATTGATCCAAACTACGAGCTCGTATCGCCCATTATCACTCCTCGGTTCGCACCAAGTTGTACAGCCGAGGCTCTTGAGAAGCTAGGAAAGTTGGCAAAAGAGACCGGCCTCCCATGTCAAACCCACATCAGCGAGAATCGGAACGAGGTCCAGCTTGTAAAGCAGCTGTTCCCTGAGCACGATAGCTATGCAGAAGTGTACGACGCTTTCGGATTATTAACGCCAAAAATGATATTGGGCCATGCAATCTATCTGAGCAAGAAAGAGATGGAGTTGATCAAGAGCCGGGACGCCAAAATTTCACATTGCCCAGTTAGCAATAGCGCCTTGACAAGCGGTGGAGCAAAGGTCCGATGGTTGATGAATGGTGGAGTCACCGTTGGCCTAGGGACCGATGTGAGTGGAGGCTACAGCCCCAGTATCCTAGAAGCTGTCAGAGCAACGACTCTAGTCAGCCGACATGTCGCCCTATCGGATGGTGATGAGTGCAAGCTCAGCGTCGAGGAGTCCCTCTACCTGGCTACTCGAGGAGGTGCCAAGGTCGTCGGCCTGGAGAACAAGATTGGCGGATTCGAGGTCGGCATGGAATGGGATGCCCAGCTAATCGGACTCGAGCTTGTGGAGACGACGGGAGACGATTTCGCAGAAGAGGAAGTGGTAGATAAGGTTGTATTTGAGGGTCCGAAGAGCGCTGGTCCGGTTGATGTCTTTGGCTGGGAAACCTGGGACGATAAGGTAGCCAAGTGGGTCTATAATGGTGACGACAGGAACACGTTAGGGGTCTGGGTCAAGGGACGAAAGGTGTGGAGTCGGACATAAGTCCCCACGGTGGCAGCGACGATACAATATTGCGTTCATGTACTTTCCTCTCGTTTTTTTATGTGGATGATCGAGGCGTCTGTCATTCCTTCGTTACTTCAGCGGACTCATTAGAGGTAGAGTAATGTGTAGAGCATATTTAATCAATACCTAATCATGTACTTTCCAACTAGAGCCACTTATCCACTTTGATGTCGAACCCTATCCCACCTTCTAGAATTTTTAATATGTAGTATGTTATGCATATGTCAACGTTGGATTTTTCGAGATACTGTTTTACTATCTGCATAATGTCGGCTTGCTCCGTGATAGTCTCGGACAAAAGCATGCAGCGGAGCAGAGGAAGTTTTTTTTTTTTTTTTTTTTCCATTAAGATCGAATTAATTAAACATGTAGATGTCAAAAAGATACTGATTCAATCACTGTGTCTCCGCATTTCAGCGATCAAGTTGCATATGACGAGAGCTGTCCTTTCGCACTTTGGTGGACCACATGGCCCCTTTCGGCGTGGCCAGAACGTCGGAGTTCCCCGCACAGCCATCTTGTGGCCTGATCCTCACCACAGTTCCACACCATGATTCGATAAGCTCAAGCTCACAGCCCTACAAACTCCCCTCAATCTGGCAAAAAAATCTCAGACTTTACCCAAAATCACACCACTGTCGTTCCAACTGCACGCAACTCCAGAGTTCAACACCCTCCTTTTCCTCGTAGACGTAATGCTCGTAGCTCGACTATGGCCTGACACTAGCGCGCTGTTGCACCCTTTTGCAGGGACCATGTTGTAATTTGTCCCTCGTTTTGCGAGTTTTTGTGTTGTTTTGCCCATACAAACGACTTCAGCTGATCCGTAACCATGCATCCACCCGAGATGAGGAGAGGAGAAGAAAAAAATAAGCTCGTAACAAAGACAGGAACGAGATATTCCGACCCGACGAATGGCGAATGCAAGATTACTACAGCCTATTCAATTTCTCGTTCGGTTCCGTAAATTATTCGCAAGCATGTTGTATATAAGTTTCCCAGAAGTTGCAGAGTGACTTCTTTTTTTTTTACTACTATCATCATCATCATCATCATCAGATCATATCAAGACAATTACCCAGTCTTCAAATCAAACAGCCTTCTATATATATATACATCCTCAAGATCCTTTCCCAGATCTCATCCAAATCTTCAAATCTATAAAAAGCTTCTATTAATATAAGCTTATATCAACCTCCTATTCTATTATATATATATTTTCCGATATATACATCCCGTCCTGCAAGCCACTCTTCGAATTCGATCATTGCCTTTGATCCAAAGTTCCACAGACATATAAACAAAACAAATACAAAAACTTCAAGTTTCCTATTAAAGAACATCTTTATACCAATATCCAAAATGCTCGCCGCCGCCGCCCGCCGATCTGCCGTCCAGGCCCTCCAAACTACCTCCCGCCGCATGGCCAGCACAGCTGCTCATCCACCATCGAGTGTTCACACCAAGATCAGTGCCGGAATCGGTAGCCACGTCAAGGCATCGAGTCCAAATCTTTCCTTCTATACCGCCAGAGTCGGCCGAACACTCACACTCGTTCTTCCTGGTGCTGCCTTCTTGGCCTGGCCATGGATTACCAGAGCTACCAGCTACTCTCCAAGATTATAAATGTCTATCTATCCGTCCCGATGAAAAAAAATATATCTGTGAAAAGGAAGATATAGATTGGAATACATTTTCTTTTGGGGTTCATTTTCTTTGTGTAGTATTATGATATACGGGTGCTTAATATTTTGGAATCGTTAATGTTGAGGGTTTCAGTTATCTGGGTTTATAGTTGGAGTTTTCTTATATATTACTGTACATAATTCGTTCTAAAGATCGATTCGAATCAATCAAAGAATAAATTTTCAAACATTAAAGATTTTGAGGAGTAGTCAATCTATTGTAGATTTGTGAACATATTACTGGTGCCTGTAGTAAGATTGCAATTGGTATCCAGTACTCAAATTAGAAGACAAGTATCTAGAAACTCCATGGAAGGATTGCTATATTAGAATCAAAAATCACAAGGGCAGGGCTTGCCCAATGGCTAGCCATTCAGTCCTCCATATTAGTTGTGAATAGGTAAGCTCCATTGGCAATTCTCAGCTCAGCTAATATGCTTATTTTAAAGGTCACAGAAACTCCTTTCTAAATACAAAAATCACAAAAAAAAAAAAGGTCCATGCATGTACTCAGAAGGCAAAAAAAATCCGTATGCGAATCGAAAAAAAAGGGGGGCGAGAAAACAGGCAGGAGTAGAAGCGGGTCAGATAGCAAGAATTGAAGAGTCAGAAGTAAAATATTAAGGAAATAAGTTGAAAATGTGAAGAAATCCCCGCTTCCCCTGATAACAAGCCAAAATGCAAAGGCTAGATAATGATATGCGCGCTATATTTGATATTTCATGAGCTTGGATTAGGAGCTACCAAGCTCGTTGGTGCGCGGGACTCGCTCGATTCGCTCGTTGGGCTATTCGCTTCGGCATAAGATGGTAAATTGGTAATATTCTGCTTGACTTCCTTCTTCTTTTTCAAACGGCGATCGCGCATGGAAAGCTTCTTCGCCGGTTCGGTTGCTATTTTTACGTGAGGCGAAATGTTAGTTACTTATTTTGGGTGCTTCAGAAAATGAATTGAGCTTACGCATATCCCACTGTTCAGTCCTGCTCCTCGTGCCTTGGTAGTACGCAAATTTCCCCTCGACCGCATCCCACCTAGCCGTCCAACCCTGCGGCAAAGACATCGGTGGAGGAGGCGGAGGAGCGAAATTATCTGGAACTGCAGTTTTTCCGGATGGTGCTTTCTTGAACTGTGGAGTTCGTCCTGAGAGCGTGCGCTCCAGTGATGGGTCGGCTGGTTCGGCGCTAGGCGCTGGTGGCGCAATTGCTCGGATAGGGGCCTTCCCAGTACCAACGGGCTCATCTGTTAGATCTTTGAAAGGATTGTTGTCCGCCAACCTAACCGAGGGCGAGGAAGGCGAGGAGTGTGTCGAAGTTGGCGGAGTGATCTGACTTGGTGTAGCTTCAACGGGGGGTGGTGCGAAGGAAAATCGTAAACCGTTCATGAGACCCTTGGTAGCTGTAATCGGAGAAGCGGTTTGAAGGTCCGAGTCATCATCATTATTATTCGGTATTTGAGTGTTCAACCTTGGAGATTCGAAATCTCGCTGTTCGAGAATTGGCGAGACTGGTTTAAATGGGCCATCTGCGACCTCGGCCAAGTTTGGTGAAGCGGAACCCCATTTTCTGAATGGATTGGTGCCCGTCGGGCTTATGGGAGACGCCATTGTGCTAGAAGGAGAGGCGGGAATTGTAGGAAGAACTTGGGAATTTGTACCTGGAATATACATCTGAGGTCTCGGTGGGGGTCCATTGTGAACGTATATTTGTTCTGGTTGACTCGCAGGACCTGCTACCAGCTGCCTTGTCTCTGCTGGTGCCGAAGAACCTATATCATTTGCTGCCGCCGCTGCCGCTTGTGCTTTCTCCCTTTCCTTCAACGGGTCGGAATACAAATCGTCCTCAGGATCATCGTATGCTCCAGTTGGAGGTGTAGGCTGATTATGTGTAATCAAACTAAGTTGCAATGGGGGAGATTTCTTCCCAGCGGATGGCGGCGGAGTAAGCTCAGAAGACGGTTTCGATGCAGTCGCAGCATCTTGTGTCGGCAATGGAGGTTGGTCATTGTCGATTCCATAGTTGTTCACAGACGTTGTACTCCTGCCTCCAAACGAGCTCTTTCTGCGCAGCTCCCTTAGCGATGCCTTGGATCCAATTTTTCTCAATATCGACCCTGACCTCGACGGTGGTCTTTCATTGTTCTTTCCGCCTTGTACGGTAGTTTTTACGCCTTCCTGCGAGCTTTCTTTCGATTTGTATTTGGAAGGAATTGGTGGAGGTGGTGGCGGTGGTACCGCAAAATGCTCAGAGTAAGCAGGCTGAGGTTGTCGTGAGAACTCTCGGGACTTCTTGTTTCGCAAGTCCTGGACCAGCGATGCGAATTTAGTCTTGAACGACGACATGATTATGGAGTTATAGAGTTCCGATGGATGTTATTATAAGAAAAGAAAGAATAATTTTGTACTGCGAAACGAAAGAAGGGGACCGGCCTGGGCGAGAAAGAGAGGATCCTTCCAGAAGAACTGTCGGAGCCTTATAACTTCCCGTGAAGCTAGATAAACTGACGCCTTGGCCAGGAGAGTATGTGCTTCGATGTGCAAGTTAGATTATGAGCGCCTATACGCCAAATTGCCACCAAAAATAGGCCCCGTTGGTTAGTTGGTATCTTTTTCTTTTCTCCGAGCGCAGCACAGGTGAAGTTTCTCTTTGATATCCTAAGCGCGTAGAGGGATAAGACGGTTGTCCGAAGAAAGGTGAGTGGAAGTGAGGACGAGGGTATCTGTCGCTAGTGTTGCAGGATGCAGGAACGGGAGGCACATAAACGAAGGACTACGTTCGGTCGGACAGATGCAAGTTCATCGACAGGGAGAAGAGGAAGATGGAAGATACTCGAGGAACAAGTTCTATAAAAACGAACCTGTGAGTCTGAGGTAATTCAAGAGAAAGAGAGGAAAGGAGACGCCATAATTGCTTCTAAAGCCCTCGAGAAGCCCTCTCCGTCGACCATAGGGAAAATCTCCGACCTGCAAAACTTGATGCTCCCAGCCAACCAAAGACTGAGACCGCCTGGCAGTGAATAACATTTTTTTGGGCGAATTGGGCCTAACCGTTCAAGGTTTGTGCACCAGTGATGGCCCCATCCCGCCTGCAAGTCTCTCGGTTGAGCATTATGATTGATCCAATGGAATGACCCCGGCCCGGAAAGCCAAGTCTGTCGGCGCTTATTCTGCTGCCCCGCTTTCGAATTCGGCTTGAGTAGGTGGGAAATCTCAGGTGATTGGGCGATTGTCTGTCCAGGCTGTCTCATTGCAGCTCAATCATTGGTAGAAGGAGAAGGGAAAACAATGCCCTTGTTCACCGAAGCTGGAAATTCTATTCACTTTGGATCACTGTGGAGGCTTTTTTTTTTGTGGCCAACGGCGGCGGCGAAAGCGTGACTTTATCTTCTGTTCCCATTCATAAAGGGCTGCGATTCAGCCCGGTTGGAGTTTTATTGATAGCAAACATGACTGACTGGTCTCGTATCAAGCCAGTTTCATTATAAACCAACCCAACAAAATGTCAAAACACCATGGCAAAAAAAAAGACAGAGAGAAGCAATCCTTATCAAATCAGGCGGTAATCTGGACTTTGTTCTTGTCTAATACAATGCCACAGGTTAATAAAAGGAGAAACTTAATGTTTGAAGGGCGGGGAAGTATTGAACCCACAGAAAGCAACATAACCCGTGATATTCGAAGCCGCCGGCTTTGGTTCGGGATAGTACCACGCAGCATCCACAAGAGGGTTCCCTACTCAAAGTGGGCCTACTGTTAGCCGTCTATCCAATCGCATTTATTCTCGAACACCTTGGCTCTGCCAAACTAGGGCCGTTTGTGGCTTTTTAAGTTGCATTTGACATACCGTCACCGATATCAATGGTATAATAGCTTGCTAACCCCTTCCATGGACAAGCCGTATGGGTCTCGGTTGTCTTGAAGTAGTCAGATTTCAAGGACTCGGGCGGGAAATAGACATTCCCCTCAACCTTCTCATATCGGTCGGTTTCGGCGATAACGACGCCGTTAACAACAGCCTTGGCAGACATTTTGGAACTAGAAGCCGAGTCTTGTATATCGTGTTTGAAGATGGATTTGATCTTGTCCGTGAGGGTCATGTTCGTTAATTAATTCTTGAACCGATGATGGAACGGTCTTCCAAGCGGCTTTTATTAAGATGGGATCTTCAACGGGTTTGTCAGCAATCCTCATCGATGGCGTACTATTTGATGGCGGGGTAAGCTAAGCTCAGTACGTAGCAAAGCTTACGCTGCAACTGTTGAGCACAGACAATGCAATGTCGACATGCTGACAGTTTGATTGATGGAACATACCGGGGAAAGCAGGCTTGCTAGAAGATCTTGTGTTTGATCAATTGCGTTATCAGAGCGGCGATGCAAGTGTATTTGGAATGTATTAATTCTATCAGACAATTAATTGTGTCTTTACATTTATACGAATGTTGGAAGTCTCGACCCAACACATAATCTACCACGCCCTCCAATTTTGTCAGGAGGCCCAGGTATATCGATACTCGCGATCGATAAGCTTAGCTAGAAGTACTTAAGCTTAAGTACCGATTTAGGTATCTTAACTTTCTTTAAAAGGATGGGTAAATGGATAAGTGAATAAGTGAATAAGTGAATACTTAAAGCTAGATACTCGCATTCCATATCCATGCATGTGCACCTTTCTATGAAATATCTAAACGATCTATAAACCGATATCCGCCGAGTCCTTGAGGACGCTACCGCGGTACTCAACTAAAGTAGCGGTTAAAACTCAAATCCTCCTCTAACCAAGATAAATCATTTATTTCCAGCTGCTCGCATAAGCTACACAGCGGACATTCACAGCCCATGCCTCCGGTCCATAGTATGCTCCGAATATCCCGAAGCTGATCAATGAACTCCTGTCGTTCAGGATCATACAGATGTGATCTGTATCTGCGAGAAAGAGTCTCAAGGGTTTCATGCCAAGATTCCTTATAAGGCGAACAATCAATGGTATAGTTGATATAACCTAACCTTATATTCCATGCTACTTCGACCCACTTCTTGAAAATTGTTGGTGTAGTTGTACCAATAGCAACTTTCGTGAGATCGAGAATACTGCGTAACCCTAGTCTCCGGATAGGAAGATATAGTTGAGATAAAACTTCTTCTTGGTTTGATTTGAAGGCCAGAATAAGAAGGCCAAAAAGAGCCTCGTCACGTATGTCCGCAAAGGAACTAACCGAATAGTTCGGGGTCTGCGGGATTAGATGGAAGTTCTGACAAATCGCTGCCAATGAGATTGGAGGGAAAGACCCTATGTCAACATTCTGGTCTAGGCTTACGTCATTGGCAGTTATATTGCCGGTATTTGAGATTTCGTAAAGGTCGGACCAAGGGGGTATGATTATAAGTATATACCACAGGGCAAATATTGGCTAAGGTATGAACGGATTCGATTTCGCCTATCGCGGCTGCCAATTGGTGGACATCGAGTTGACTTATCGACTCAGGATTGAAGTAAGTAGATTTCTGACCAAATATTTCCTTCCCCGTTAGAAAGCATTTACAGTTTTCGATTTTCCACGATGGAAGCTTAGAATGGAGAGCGTTAAAGCTTTTGTATAGAATTGCTACCGTGAAGAAATTCATTCCTCGAATATCAATTGAATCGAGATCTCCGTATTTTGTTTGTTTCTCGGATAGTTCTGAGCAAATTAAATCCGTTGCTACTTGAAGATTGTTCTTGAGAGCAAAATGGACGCCGGTCTCGCCAAGAAGGTTGCGCTGGCGTATTGACTTCTCGATGTCTTCAGGAGCGGGTATTTGTCCAACCCCCTTTCTCTCGATGAGAGTGAGTATTCGGTGCCATAGCGGATCGATTTGATTGTAGACCAAGTCCCTGGATATGAATCCATTTGTTGCTATTGATGAACCTTGACTGCCCGTACCATGAGGGCCTAGTGGCAGAAGCTTCAATCTTTCAATCAACCTTTCCAAGTACCCCTCTGCGCTTTGGATATCATCAATCGAGATGCACTCGACGGGGCAAGGGTTGAGACATAGAGGAAGAGTCGAGGATTTGATAACAAGAAACAGACGCCCGCATCGCTTTTGGCTAAGACGCATCGCCTCCAGACGCTGTGAAGCCTCAAACTGTCTGTTTCGTTCATATACCGCCATTGTCCCATATGATTCTGGCGACTCCACGAGCATACTTGTAAGAACATTTGCTTCGCAGACCCGTCCTTTAGCACTAAGATGCTCGATCGCAATGTCTGCTTCATGTTGAACTGCTTTCAGCGCCTCAGATACTCTGCCCATACATGCTGATTTGGTCTCTTGCAGCCTGGCGAGATTTTGTAGCAGAATCTCTTTGCTTGAAGGGTATATATACCCATTAACGAAGGTGTCTTGTGCCATGATTCGGTTGATTTGTGGGATTGGTCGGCTGTCTGGGTCAGCTGTGTCGTAGGGTGACAGAGTTTCGCATTCTTGGAGACCTGATTGGAGATACAAAAGGCAATCCAGATCTTGAACTCTAACATAGTCAAAGTTTATGTTAGCATACCGCAATGCAATGTGTGTTTATGAACATGATCAATTGTATATTTACCCATCGGCTCTCGGTAGGTGTTAAGCCAAGCTAAGGATAAACTTACATTTCAATCGAGGGTCGAATAACTACTCTCTTAACTGCATTTTTAGAGCCGTGACCTAGGCCTACAGATTGGCGCATCCCATCCGGTGAGTACCCTTCTGAGCAGGGGTAACAGGACTTGATACACCAATCGCATCGTTTTGGCAATTTTCGGTCCTTTGGTGAGCACTACAACAATATAACACATGTCGAGCATAATCAGCTTGGAACGCTCTGTATCTACGGAAAGGACAAGTAATTATAGGCAAGAACCTAGTACCTTCTTCTTGTCCTGGCGACAAAATATGCACTTTAACATCTTCAAAGCCTAAAAGAAGTCTTGTGTTGGATGTTGTAAATCGAGTATGGGCTGGATGGTATATGGGCGGTGTTTGTCTAAACGAAATACAGTTGCATCCTAAGACTCAGTGGCTAGGCCTAGCTATGTGGCCATGTGGTAAGGCCTGTGGTTCGGTCCGTTGTACTTTCTAAAATATTTGAAGATGAGAAAGGTGCCATTGGAAGGGTTATATACGTTGAATGTTGCAAATCCGATATATGCATAGATTGGCAAAAAAAACACGCCGAGTATTGATCAGTATACTGTCAAAAAAGGTCTCGGGTTGATCCAGGCCATGACCAATGCAATGCCAATGTTGTGGCCAAGGCCAAGTCGAGACATACGCGCAGTGATGAAGGATGCATGCACAACAAAACAACATGCTTAAGGCCCACACCGGTAGCCTCGAATCCCCACACCGGGAGATTTGGCCGCGTTGCAGTACATGTATACAAGACTAGCGATATAGATTGCTGAATTCAAGACGCCTCATACCGAGAAGCTATGGACAAAATAAACCGTAAAACGTCGCGCATAGTCCTAATTACCAGTGAAATATTGATGTCTGGGTCTCTAGCCCAAGCCTGTGCCCAACTGAAGTATTTTTCACCAGCATAATGTCAAAGTTGCATTCGAAAGTTGTTATTCGAGGCTACCGCGTATCACAAAGCTGGTACGGCGGCCGGTACATATACGTACCCACCTATTATTGCATGAGGCCACAACCTGCGCGCCCTGCCCTAGGTGTAAATGCCGAACAATCTAGCTCTCGCGATGACTGGCGGGATGTGTATGGCAGGCGTGATGCTGCGGCGACGAAAAGAAACCTCTTGCAAGCTGATGTCATGCTTTTTTTTTTCTAGTCAAAGAAAGGCATAAGTTTGGCGAGTTTGGCGAAACCAAACTTGACAGAGTTAGAGTGCGCTCAGATCGGGAGACGGAAATAGTTCTAGTGTAGACAGGTACACTGCAGCGGATGTACTATACTACCCTATACTAGTAATTTTATAGCGATCTAAATTCTCCTGACCGGTCCCTGGCCATGGGGTGGGGGTGCGAGCTTAGTTGTCGCAATAGCTTTAAGCAAGCTAGGTTCGGTTCCTTTCGCGATCGGAGACGGGGAAAGCTAGAAATTTTGCGGGCAGACATGAATATGACAAAAATGGTTGCCGCATACGTCGCAGGAATACTAGGATTTCAACCTCTACGTCCAACTATCCTAAACCAGATATAACTAAAAAGACCTCATTATAATATTAAACGGCCTTAGATCACGAGCGCTGAGCCTCGAACACGCACTCTTTTAATCATACGAGAATCCATCGAAATGTTGACTTGTATGACTGGCCATGATATTAGTACCACTATGAGCGTAGCCATACCAAAAAGTCAACCTAGAAGAGTGTGGCGACTTTTTTCGAAACACGCGTACGTACAACTGTATTTTAACTGAATCCAGGAATCTTGAGCTAGATCGACGACCTTCTCAAACTCGAGATTCAGCACTTAATTTTCGTGAACATAAATTCTAGTTCCCGCAGATATTCCCGAAAATTCATTTGATACCTGGGTATACTATCTAAGGATATGGCCTGGCAGTCGGATACAACCTTTCTCTTTTCCCTAGGAGGGTGCACTTAAGTACTTACGTACATGCGGTATCATCACGTGTACATAGTAATTCATATATAGTAGGTAGTTCAGCAACACAGAAAATGTTGTCAGCCTTGTTGGATTATTCTCGTGTGACATGAAAACCACTACTGTTGTGAACGTTCTAGTTCTAGATTTAGCGTCGATATTAGCTTCGGTCTTCGCAGACCTACGCAATTAATGTCCTTTCGGCGTAAAAAATGGAGTTAGGTAGCGCGGAAGGTTTACATCTGGTATTAAGAGGTCAGGCTACTAGCTTAGACCCGAATATGTAGAATAGTAGTGGACTGGGTAAAAGTTAAATTACACCGGAACCTCAAGCAAGTCATCTGAACTTGACCAACTTATCTATGATCCCGAGGCAAAAGAAAGTAACAGGTAATGGGGAGCCTACTATCGTAGAGCAAGAATCATTAAAGTTACAGAATGTTCGTTATAAGGGGTATATCGAAGAAGAAGAAGGCGGAAGAAGAAAAACGCCGGGTGTACATGAAGTGGTGTAAAAGGTAGTAAAAGTACATGTCCGCAACTGCTATTGTGCGGAGGGTCAGAGTAAAGGAGTGCACCGGTGAAGTGAAAGTGAAGTGAAAAAAAAAAGAAGAAACCGGTGCCTCCAAGGGGTTCCGTAATAAAAGGCTTAGTAGTGAATACATGAGATGAAGAGAAGAATTATCGTAAGAAGTAAGGGACATAAAATAAAAGTTGCTACAGGGTGGCGTACTAAACGCGCCTATTAAAAGTTACTGTAGACCGAAGTGTTTTTAATCGAAGAGAAAAAAAAGTAAATGTTCGACGGAGGGGCATAAAAGTATAAAGGGTATATGGAATAAAGGGTTTTACAGTGAAATGAAAGGATTATTGTAAAGGGGTCGATAAAGCGGAGTTCTGCAAGAAGTCAAGACTTTTAAAGCTCTTCGAATGGGATGCTGCGAAAGGTACCCGAGGCTGCCGATGAACCCTTGTTCTACTGGCGATTCTTCCGAGTCTTTGGTCGAGTACCGATGAACACGCATTGGCAGTAGTCGCTACGTCTTCCTTGAGGAAGTGAGCAAGTTGGACCAGATGAAACCATCTGTTTTTCGGTGATCGTGTAAGTTGCAACACCATCCTCGAAAGTAACCCGGCTATAGGTATTCGTTAGCACATGTTCAGGGTATGTTCTATAATTGTACGGGGAATGCTTACACAATAGCGGGTCGTTGGTAGAAACAGCCCTCGGTCGACAGTTTCCCTTCAATGTCATCTGTGGGGTAGACCCAGCTGGACATTAAACCATATCGACTGGGCGTCAACTTGACCTCAGTTTTACCAGTTTGGCTGAAGATGCCCTCGGAGAAGATACCAGTGAAAGTCCCATCTGGATTCATGTCGAGGTCGAAAGTGTATTTTTCACCAGCTCCAAGGGCAAGGAATCTACTATCAACACATCTTTCAAATTCAGATTCCTTTGAACTGCACATGTCGACAACTGTAGTATCCTCGGCTGAGACGGTTTCTAATCTTGCGGTAGTCATGTTCCAGTGCCCAGCAAGCATATCAGAAGTAAGAACAACATCGCTCTCGTCAATAACCTCTTCATTGAGCCTCCTGATTCTTGGAAGAATATAGCAGAAATTTAGCAGAAGGGCGATGAGAAGAAGGACAAGGGAGAGTCCGATGACGGAAGCGATATTGCGACGTTTTTCATGCCATCTGCGCCCATCGATTGGTGATTTGGATGGATTGACAGACGAGACACGAGTGTGGCTTGAATTGAGTTTTGGGAGGCCGAGACGGCGCTGACGATTCGTGAGAGTCGGAGAGGTAGGGGTGGTCGTCGAAGTATAGGCCGGTGGCGGGTGGGATGGCATATTGGCTGGTGGGAAATAATCACCGGGATTTCTGGGAGGAAAGCAGAATTGACGATCGAATTCAGCCTGTGGCTTTGTTAGCCGAACAATCCGCGATCTCAAGGTGCGATTTGACATCCTGTCAACTTGATGCATAAGTTTACGAATGGAAATCTTACCTCTCGTTCTTTCCAGTTGGCGGGTTCGTTATTGTTATTATTATTCGATGGAGAAGTTGGACTTCTATCAAAAGCAGGAGGTGCAACTTGAGCAGTTTCGCCAGTTGGAGCAGTAACCTCGATACTAGGCAGGGGGCTAAGTGGCGGTGGAAGTAGAGCCGGACTTTGAGGTCGAGAACGTGGATTATGCTCCTGCTCTTCTGGACGACTGGTGATGTCCGTTCTAAGGACAAGCGACTTTGGATTCTGGACCATTTTTCCGACTCTGATTGTTTCCCTGATCTGTCTAGCGAGTAATTAAGAATATCCCTGTTTCTTTAATGCCTTCCTGCGGAATTGTTGAATCAATGGTAGTTGATGGTTGATGGTTGATGGTTATGGATTAGTTGTAGATGTGGTTGTAGATGTCTGTTGGTGTTGGGTGTTGGTGTTTTTGCCAGCGACGCTGCTGAGAGAACAAATGGTCGGCGTCGACGCGAATATAAAATCAATCCAGCGCGGATTCTCACAAAGAACAAGCGAAATGTTAACGATAGACTGGCTTCGTCGGGTTCCTCCTCTTTTGCCCTCGGTGCAGCGGACTTTTTGGTATTGCAGAAATACAGATCAAGAACAATGCAAATTCAAATGCAAATGACAATCGGTGAGGAAAAGGGAAATAAAACTGACAGACTGGGCAAGACCGAAATTTTATTTGCGGGCGGCCTTGCAGATTAAGGGGAAAAGCAAGCATCCAACATGCCAGAATCCCAGCTGGCCCAGGCCACCGGTTGTCCACGCCAGGAAAGTCAGGAACCCCAAAGCTTGTGTTCCGCGATTCGTTGGAGACCGCTCATTTGCCGGGCGGGATGACACTAATAGTTAATAGTTTAATCACTCCCTCCATGCTTGCTTCAGTTGAATCAATCAACGTTGCAACCAGCAAGAAACGGTTCTGCCGGGGCACGATTGGAGCCTGGTTGAGAGACATTCCTTCCGACCCTCTTTGCCAATTGGCACTGGAGGACCAGGGAAGATTTCAACCGAGCGGCATGAGTTCGAGATTCATTTCGCCATTTCACCCACCGAAATTGCGAATTGGCGTGCTGTAACATACACAGTAGCGATAAGTTCAAGCCACTTGCCTCAGCAAATTGGGATTTTTGTCACGAGCAAAAAAGAGCGACAGTCTGGGGAACCGCTTCGGTCTGGCAATTAAACGACCCATGCCATGTCGTCACCAATACGGCCAATCACTCAGGGGCATCATGTGTTTCAGGACCTTAAATGGCGAAAACAATGCCCAAGATTGGAAATTTTAACCACACTAAATTTCGGAATTTCCACGGTCGTGAGACCAATTTTTTTCCAAGAGAGGGGACGAGTTCTGTATAATTCGTGACATGTTTTGAAGAGAAAGCCAAGGCCTTATCGATTGCCTATACTATGCCATTGTCTTTGACGTCCACTTTAATAGACATATTTGAGGGTTTGGAGGGGTTCGCTCAGCTGGTCATATTATATACTTAAGTATATGCATAGATACCTGATGTAGAAATATGTAATAAAAGAGGCTTGAAACAAAGTGAATGCCAGTAAAATGAATGTATCGACGATATTTGATGCGGACCGTGGAACCAAGGGTATATTATATACAATAAGATCTGGCAAATGCTCCAAAAGGTGTTCCCGAATTGAAACCCTGAGAATATGTCGAAGGAAGAATAGAAACAGAAAATAAAAATAAAAATAAAAAAATAACTCCTGAACAAATGAAAGCAGAATGGATCTGTCGTTTAGTACACCAAAGGAAAGCTTGGACGGAAATTTCAAAGCGAAAAATAAGAAAAATACAAAATAAATGAAAATAAATAAATGAAAAAATATTAAGTAATATCCTGGTCAGGAATGTGAGGGAAGGGGCATTCCCAGCAAAAGTTACCCCTCGTACCGTTCTGTATCATCGTCGTTAATCCTGGATCCATGTCGGTCGTCCAAGCAAAAAAAATAAGAATTTAGATCATGGGCATCTTGATATGGGAGTGTTCCCGAGGCCGTCCAGAGCTATAAACCTTGTCTCTTTCATCTTCAAGCTCAAGCATCATAGCTAGCTTAAAGCTCTCTTCTAGATCAGCTTCCAGTTTCTTTCTTCGGTATTCGTCCTTTTGAGCCTCGAACTGAATTGCTAGATGCTCCTTTCGAATTTCCTTGACAGCTGCAAACCATTGTTCATCCGCGTATTCCCTTCTGGCAGCTTCGTGCCATTCTTCGTACTGTGATTCCAATTCTAAATCTCTTCGACGGATGATCTGTTGTTTGATGTCTTCAATATCTGCAAGAACCTTGTTTTTAACTTCCGAAAACTGGACAGAGTAGCTATGCTTTAACTCCTCCTTCTCCTCCTCTTGTTGCGACTTCAATTTTTCTACCGCAGCCTTGACACGCTCATCTCGGTTCGGCTTGCCGCGGTGTAGTTTGGCGAGGACCAAGGCGATATCATCTTCCTCTTCTTCGAACTTGGAATCGAGAACCTTAAGTTCGGCCTCTAATTGAAGGTCAAGTTCCACTGACCTCTCCGAAACCCGAGTTTGGAAAGTATCGTCCTGTTCGAGCAAAAGATCGTCAAGCCTAGCCTCTCCCTCTTCGTGGCTTTCCAACAATTCCGCGCGAGTAGCAGCGAGTCTTGCTCCCATAAGCTCGAATTGCGCGTCAAGCAATTTCTCCAACTGCTTGGTGAGCTTGTCATATTTTTTGGACAAATCCGTCATCCTCGCTTCATCCTTGCGTTTCTTCTCCAGTTTCTCTTTGTCCTTTCTCACTCGCTTAGCTTCCTCCTGTGCGTAATGCTCCCGACTAGCTTTCCGTTCATAAGCAATAATGTCAACCATGGCAGAATGCACTGTCATTTCTTCGATACGGTCATCCGTATCATCACCACTCGCAGATTCGTACATGCGAGTTTTACCCCAATCCATGAACTTATCCTCGTCAAGCCGGCAAAGGCAGGGATCTCTACCGGTTGCGCCACAGCCAAAGCAGAGTTCGTCATCCTTTGGACATGTATCACCGTCGAAATGAGCTCTGCCACGACAGTTGGGGCACACCTTCGTCTGACAAAATTGGCACACAAGACACTTTGTCCTAAAATCGTTGACTGACTCAGGAGGAACGAAACGGCCACATGTTGCTGTAGGACAGTAAACACGATCCTCGGGCGCTTGAGCGTATTCGCGAATTTTGTGATTCAACGCTGCCTGTTCGGAGAGGTTGCAAACGGCCTTGATCGTTCGCACTGGGATACGAGAAGTACAACATTTTGGTGGGAAAGAGATCTCGTCATTAAGAGATGCGAGGATGATTGAACGAAGACAGCCATTACAGTATTTATGGTTGCAATCAATAGCTGTCATCCGTCGGGCCGTGAGATCTTCCATGCACATAGCGCAAATGCTGTCATTTTTCCTTGAATTGAATCCTCCCATGAAGGAATCTCTCATGGGGGAATACGCTGGCAAAGAGTCCCTATTTGCAGGCCCCCACTTGCTAAATGCTGTCCATCTAGCCATTGCAGCGGCCGATGGTTGTGTGGGGGACACGGGAGAGGTGCTTTCGGGTGCTCCAGCATCGGATACACTAGTGGCTGTGGTTGAGATGGACCGTCGGCTGAAGATAGTACCTTCGGCTGTATGTGTTGAAGCACGGTGGCTGTTGTATCCAACCTCCTCGACGTTGACGCTAAGCTCATCGCCGGCATCGTTCCGTTTTGTCTTAGGTTCGGTTGAACTTTCGACATTAGGTTGGGCGGGCGCTAAAGTTTGGATCCGCTTAATATCGAATTCCAGCTGCTCGTCATTGTACAGGTTGAGGATCTCAAGAGCGGTATTTTCAGGAATAAATGAAAGTTCTGGTGGAGGAGCGTACAGCCTCCACCATTGACCAGCACGATCTGAACCTCTCAGATGCGCTTTGAGGTCCTCTGAGAAGTCTGGCTTGAGCACTGTTTCTTCTTCTTCAAAGGGAGGAGGTGGCGGGTAGTCGGCTGGGAACTCCCCAGACTCTTCAGGTGCCGGCCTTGGCGCGAAAATGGACGGATCTTTTTCAGGTCGAGGAGCTGATGCTGATGGGCCAGGTTCTATGGGCATTTCCGTTGTGTCCAATGGTAATTCATTATAGAGTTTTTCGTTAATGATATTTGTATGCGGGCTTGAAGGCACCAGCCAGTGTTGGCGTTTCTTATCCTTTTCTCCATCCAAATCGGAAAAGTCTGAGCCTTTTCGTTGACGGTCTTGGTCGAATTCCTCTGATCTTGGAGGGATATGCCGCTCAATTGGTGGTGGTATCGATGAGAAAATCGGCTCAGATTGAGTTTGAAGTGGTGGAGGTCGACTACGGGGTCCTAATACAGGGCTACCTGGTCCGGTAATCGGAGTCCTTGGTTTCACTATCGTAGCTGGAGATATCGACGACATGATAGGATCTTCTTTTGGATTGGGGATCACAGGAGCAACATATGGCTTTGGGGGAGGGGGAGGAGGTATACTCTGTCTGCCACCGAATAGTATATCACTAGCAGATAAGTTTGTTTTTGGTTCTGGAGTGTCGACATGATAAATGAGGGATAAGTTTACAGAAGGGGGTTCAGATGATTCTACCGAAGATCTGGTTTCTGGCGCTCGTTCGCCTGGTGTCGGTGAGACCACTCGGAGTGACGAGGTTGATGGAACTGGTGAAGTTGGTCGGCCGTCCGGCGGTACTGGCGATTGAGATCGCAATCCAAACATGGGCGACGATGGTCTGAACGAAAGAAGATCGAAGCGTGAATGTCCTGACGCATTTTCTTGTCTGATATCCTTTGACTTCTTCTTCCTTCTGTGACCGAATAAGTTCAAACCTCTCTTAAGTAATGTTTCTTCGGATTCAGTTGACCCTTTCGTAGATTGAGTGATCGTTCGTCCAATGGCCGGCCGTTCACCAGCGACATCGCCTGTATCCACTCCAAGCATCATTGCTCTTCGCCCTGCGTTTTGTCGTTTGGCTTCTGCTGTTGCTGCCGCTTCTTTTTCTAATTTTCGTTGTTTCCGTATATCCTGTAAGAAGGGTGGTCCTGTAAAGAGCATATATCCAGACATGCTACTCATTTCGAGAAAAAAAAAGGAAGATTTGGCGGGATTCGTCCCGCCTGGCAACTATATAGTATTTAATGCAATCCTGGTAAACCAGTAATATTCGGGTTGTCAGTTAGTAGTAGGGTGGTGTGTGGGCTTTGTGGAAAGAGCGCTGGGGCGGGTTTGGAGGCGGGATCCTGGCGCTCAGATTGGGTAATGGGAAGTTCAGGGTTGGATGGGCCGCCAAATAGCACCTTTTTGGATGAAATTGTGAGAATTGATGGGATAATGAAATGATCAAGAGGCCACCAGCACTATATCATCTATTCATCAAACGTATTTTCGCTGTTGTTCAAGTTAATGTTTGGTGGTCAATGGTTTGTTCTCCGAAGAGGGAGAAACGGGCAGTTCAAATCCAGCCTGGTGCAGTTTGTCGTCGCAAATTGTCGTATTCACAGAAGAAAAGAAATGAGTATGTACTCGAGTGGAAACGGCAAAGCTATAGCGTCTCCACCAAACGAGCAAGCAAAAAATGACGAGTCGAGGTCGATGAAATTGGGATATGCAGTTTCAGCGGCGTTTGTAAGTGCTCTGTCAGGTCCTGTTTCTCGAATACAAGCGTCTTAGCTTTCGTTTCCTTGCCCCAGAAGATTCACGGCCGAATCTTCAGACGAAGGAAATATGTCACTGAGCCCACCGAAAGACTTTCCTGTACTCTGAATGCGCAGCTCGGTCGCAGCGGTTTGGTGGGTGTGTGCATAAGCACGGGGCTTGAGTTGTTTCTGCCCTGAAACTAATATCCACTCCTTTCGAGGAAACTAGCAGCAATCGTAACGAAGGGCGGTTTTCCAGGCCTTGATGGTGGAAAACATGCGGCCTTGCTTCAAAGAATCCTGAACATTAATACGAGCGATTGTAAAAAGAACAAAGCAATCAGCTCGCAGTCTCGAGTATCTCGTACTAGCTCGACGCCTCCAGGTTAGAGTTCAGCATGATATCGGTTTCTTCCATGCAATTCCGTCGACATGTCGGCCGCCAAAAAGGCGATCTTCCACACTTGAGCGGTGGGATTATTTTTCTGTGTTAAGATTTCCCCCACCTGCAAGCATCAGTTCAGCCCGTAATTAACCCTGTTCACACAGAGTATCGGCGTGAAGGTGAGACACGAGAGACCCACAATTTGGAACGTCGAACCCCACCACCTACAACCGACATTTTGGGTTCCTACGATCCAAATTGGTGCCCGCTGTGGACGGGGAACCGTTGTCTGATCAAAATGCGGAAGATATATCATCTGCCGTCTCCCTTTATCGGGGTTATGCCTGTCGGGAGAAATATGGAAGTAAATATTTAGGATATCATATACTATTGATCATGATCAGCTGTGAGACTGTGACCATGTCATAGCCGAGCGGCCCGGTTCACGTCATCTGTAACCATGACTAGGCACATGTACACAAGTATTCCCAAATCTTCCTCTGAACTGAGGCACCTTTCCGTCTCACGCTGCAGAGCGACCAGCCTTCGTTGAGCCTGTATGCAGAGCCTTCTGCGTGAGAGGGATATATCGCTTCACATATTGGTTTCACACACTCCTTCCAATCAAGTTGGGTTTTCTGCAAGTAGTGCCGATAACCTTTCGGAAGCGTGGCTCTCAGGGATCTAGCCCGTTACTTGCCAAGCTTGCGAGGCTCGAACTGTGGTACTCATGGTCTGCCTATCAAGCCAGGCCAACCGAATGTATCCATCTCAACTTTAGCACCTATTCTGGCAGGTAGCCATGAGATCTTAGTGGATGTTCATGTCCTATTCTGATCTTGTGGGAGGCCACGAGGTGTCGAGAAGAGTTCTGCGCTGCTTCTGGTTCTATGAAAAGATACATCTGACACTGGGGCCTGCATCTTTTCTTCGGTGGCGTTTGACCCGAACAGGCACAAATTATTAGGATGCCCAACTAATCATTTCTCGTATAGTTGCTCGATTCGGTGTGCTGTCATCAAAAAGCGCTTCTAGCTTGTATCTGCCCGAGATTGCGATGGCATGCAGCGACAAGTGCGACATCAACCTTGCATCCCGATGGAAGCTCGTTTCGAGGGGGGAAATGACTTTTCATCGTCGACGATCCGTCTATGGATTCATCGATTCATACCACCGTGAAGCTTTTGCTGAACGCTTGACTAACCGTCCTGTTATCAGTCGCGAGCACCGCAGCCGCAGCCTTGTGTAATCGAGACAATATACACAAAACTATGCGAGTCCGGGTAAAGTGTCAAATACAACTTACTGCAATTAATCTCCACCAAACCTTGGGTGCAATTAATTTCACCTGTCAGATGGTTATCGCGATATCGGTAGACAGCTTTTTTCAAATCCATCGACAGGAGTCCAATGAAGATATGCGAAATTGTAGCTAGTTTTTGAAGTTTCATCTTCGGATTATGCAGGAGCTGCTTCCGAAACGTCGACAAGAAAAGAAATTTAATTATTAATAGACGAATAGACGACAACACAGAAAATCTTTCTCACGTCATGTTCCCGTCAACTCCGAAAATTGCGGAGGGAAAATTAACAGGAATTGCGCATTGGGGCTTGGGGAGAATATCCTGACATGGCCACGAGGGATTGAGACATCGGTCAAAACAAATACTAAGCTTATAAGTAACGACTATTCGACTTAGGATCCACCATCAGTGTGCACGTGGCCATGGGTGCTACTGCGTATAGCCTCGAGTTCGAGTAGCTCGTATTGATCTCGAATAAGGTCTCCCACATCAAAAATCCTTTCCTTCTCCTGCATGATAGCAATTTTGGGATCGATGGTAGAGATTTTGTTCCCCCTCATGCATATGCACAAGCATCCTGAAGCACGGCCCTAGGTTTCCCGCGTATCAATTGTCGTTTAAAGACTGAATGGGATTGATGTGTCGTCTAGATGTCAAGGCAGGGGGGGAACTCTGGAGCCGGGTAACCCATGCATACGTCCCAGACGAATCCGGTTCTGCATGCCTCATGTATCCGTTTCCTGAGATTGCCGATTGTGCTTATGCTTGATCAGTTGAGTGCCTAGGTTTTCAGTGGAGCTAGGACACTCACTTATAATTTCTTTCGCGACAGTGTAACTATTTAAGTAGTTCGCTAATTCCTTCGCTGTTTCTTAGAAGTCCCCGGGTTATGCGTGATGCGAAAATCAAATTACCAACTCTATTTCAGGTTCCGAAGAAACTCAGAGCTCATTGTGATATATACTTATCTTTGGTGATTTGATCTGGGTGCTAACAACATGGCCGTCAGGCAACCGAGACTAAGAACTCGAGTCCGTGAGTGGCGATGTCTCACTATGTACAAATTTGGAGACCTGCAATATACTATCCCAGCTAGCTGGCGAGCTCGAGACCAGCTATCAAAATATCAATCCGGAATGGCACGATGATGGTCTTATGGTCGTAAAGTCGTTGAGCATTTATAGGCCCCTGGCTCTTTTTCCAACAGATGACTGGCCAATCGAACCTTGTGAGCCCCTATCTGTTTTATTGGTATAGGATTGGCGGCGTTATGTTATCGCTGATAACTCTGCCCTTATGCATGCTAGTTAGAATTTCAATTTATAATTTATAATTATTATTTTCCTATTTGCATTTGCGGTTCGCTTCAGCATTAATGATTAATTCGCTTCGCTAATTAAACGAATTGGCTATTATCGCTATTTTGATACATGTAGAAGGAGAGTTGGTCTGCTCATGGTTTGAATTACACTTAAAACCCTACCAACCTGATATTAGAATTGTGAAGCTTGCTGCAGACCTCTTGGCATAATAAAGAATCGACCCGCGCGCTGTCACTTCCCTCTTCGTAGAGACTAGCTCCTACCCCTCCACTATGATATTATTTTCAACTTTATGCAGAGAAAAACTCGGAAATGAAAACGCCCTATGCAACTCGAAAGAAGGAAAAGAAGGGCAAAGAGAAGAAATGAAAAGGAAATAAAAAGATATAATTTATTATACAATCAAGCTCCGATAAGAGCGACTTCTGCAACCGTAGCGCCGAACTTAGCCTTGGGATTCGCCTGATTGCCTGCAATTGTCAATCGAGCGAAACGCCCTTCATACTCTCGGTCGAAGACAACGCTGGTGCTATTGCCGTCCTCTATCTGAGGCTCGATATATCGCTTGGGGTCCCATTCGATAGAGATTGCAACATTCTCTTGTCCCCAGACACGTTCCCAAGTATTTGTATCGTTAGAAATTTCAAGAAGCCAGCTATATGGGACGACCGCACCCCAGGTCAGGATAACTTCACGGATTTTACGGCGGTCGCTTGAGATTTGAGCATTGTTCGGGGCTGGAGGAAAGGCAGCTGCAAGATCTATAGTGATGCTACTTGGTGCCTTGGTAACTGGCTGCCAGGTGGTAGCATTGCTACCATCGACTGCGGCAAGTGGGAAATGAGATGGTGCCCATGTGCCATTGCTTGTAACAGGAACACACTGAGCGAGGTTGCCAGGTTGGAATGGTGGATTTTTATGTGGAAGGCGAGTGGGGATAGTAAGAACTTCGTTAAGGAATAGGTGGTACGTGCCAGCCTTTGGATTCTTATCTCCAATGCGAACTGGAACGGCACCTTTGTATTCCAGATAGGAGTTTCGGGAAACAACACGCTTGATTGTGGTATTTTGTTGACCAATGTACACCTCGAAACTTGCGCCTTGCCATTTAATTGTCTTGTAGAGAATACCGCCACTAAGATGGGGTGGAAGGGATGGTTCTAGGTAGAAAACGTCTTGCATGGACCGGAATCCAGTGTACCCGTGAGTCCATACTTGAAGGTAACCCCCATGACCGGTAAGGAAGGGGAAGGCAGGGTTCGTTCCACCGTTCGTTCGAACGTTATCGTCAACCTGTTCCGAGAACTGGTACCAAGGTGCTCGGAGATATGTTTGGGATCCTTGAAGAGCATGTGTCCATGATTGACAACCGGTATCAATCAACTCGGCTGATACTATGGAATAAATAGACCATGTCATGGCTGGGCCATCCGGTGATTGAGCCTTTGCGTAAAAGAAGAGATCATTGCGCGCTTGGGTATCATTAAATTTGAATCCTAGAGGATAGGATATCAAAGCGACATCGACTTGCTTGATAGTGACTGATCCATTCATCCCGGTAAATTCTGGGATAATACCGGCCTCGGCATCATAGGGGATGAACATCTTCTGAGCAATGCTTGTCCAGCTTGATGGAGCAGAGAAGCCGACCATTTTTGCGAGATCAAGAGCGACAGAAAACAACTTCTTGATAGAAGCGTTAGTAAAGGCACCATCGTCCACGTGGTTGGCGTACTCGTCCTAGGAAAGAATTAGTAAGTATTGACAGGAATATACACCTTTTTTTGTTGAGAGAGAACTTACAGGGTCAGTAAGATTTGTAGTGTGGTAGCTTCCATTAATGAAAGTGACGTATTCGGTGAAAAAATTTGCAACCTTGCGGATGATTGGCCATCCTTCGTTTTGTAAGAAGTCCATATCTCCTGTATTGAGGAAGTACTCCCATGCCGCGAACGCAATGTCCGTGTTCAAATGGTATTGATAATCCACACAAGGGCCTGTGCCAGTGCAGTTTCCGAATCGTCCAGTTGTCCAAGAGTATACGGCAGTATCCTCACCATATCCATATTCGCGTGCATTGCGTTCTGATTGGGCGAGTAGCCTACTCCTAAGATTTATGATTGGGAGTGCGTACTCCGGCCAAATGGTAACGAGGCCTGGGTACATCCACAGGTCCGCATCCCAGAAAACGACTGAACATAATGTGTTAGATGGTACTGTAGAATGGGGAGTTGTTGGTATTGTTTAAACTTACATCCGGCATAACTGTCACTGGTCAGTCCACCGACAGAGATAGAAGCATCACTTCCGAGACGTTTGGGGCCCTTCCCACTCCTGACTGCACAGAGCAAATGGAAAAGGGTGGCCTGTAAGCTGATTTGAAGTTCTTCGTCGTATTCAGCAAGAATGCTACCATCCTCCCACAAGTCATCCCAGGATTCGTTGTGCTCTGAGAGTAGCTGATCATAGCCAGCATCTGAAGCGGCCAATGCTGCTGTTCTAGCAACTTTGTCTGTACTCTCAGGGAACGCCTCACTGCTTGCAATGCCAACCGATTTGAAGACAGAGAATTTCTTGCCAGCTGTCAGGCGGGCTTTGAAGACTTGCGAGATAGATGAAACATCCTTAGGTACCCAGTTGATATTTTCTCCCGAAGCGCGACCGGAAGCAGTACCACTGAACTTAACAGAAGAGTAGACATATGCTGTGATATCAGGGAGGCCATGGGGATGAACGGCGGACCAGATGATATTTTCTGCTCCCATTTCCATCCCGGTGCCGGCAGGCCATGTGCGCAGGGCACCTCTGCCGTCGAGCAAGTCGAGGAAGGAAACCTCAACATCGTGGCTGGCTACAACATCTAGTTGTATATATCCAACGTTGGCGCGGAATCGGTTTGCCATGACAGTATAGGTCAAATCGTATGTGCATCCGCCGGCTGGGCTCCAAGTAAGGGATGTCTTCACGATCCCGTTTCTTAGACTCATAGATTGCATGAAGTTCGAAATCGTGGAGTTCTTCGTTCCAGGACCGTAGGTATCCCCAAGGGGAGTAATCAGATACATAGTCACCCAGCTTGGCAAGCCTGCGATGACGCTTTCACCACCCTGCGCAGCAAGCTCAGGGAAGTTGGTACGGGTTGTATTGGGTTGACTGTTCCAGAATCCAGAGACGGTACCAAATGTGACTCGACGATTATCCAATGGCCATCCATTTACTGGTTGGGTTGGCCCATCATTATCTGTGTCATTGAAATCCTGTTGAAAACCGTGCCCTTCAGCACCGAAACGCTGACCAATATATCCATTGGCAACATACGGAGTGTGCTGGTAGGCATTCTGGACCAGTTGGTTGGTGTATAAAGTGAAGGTCTTGTTGTCCCAATGAGGAGTTTCCAATGGCTCATCAGACCAGACATTCTCACTGGGTGGTGGATTCTCAACCTGACGGCGTTCTAAAGCATGGAAAGGGTCCTTGGCCAGTTTAGCCCATGGAAAGGCGGTTGAAGTGCCAAGTAGAACAGAGACCAGGGAAAAACGAGTGAGGGTCTTCATTATAGTGAATGTGTCTATAGGAGACTAGACGCCGTGTCTATGTAGGAAGCTAGAGTAGGTGTCTTTTCTGAATTATAAGGTAAAATTAGATTTTGATCAAAAGAAAGGGCTGGATGGCCTTGTAAGTCTGGCTAGTGGATCTATCAATGGTAGGTGAAGATGTGGGTAGTCTAGAGACAGCTTCTCTATGCTCTGGCTGTCAAAAACCGCTGGCATTGCAGAGTGCAGTCAACACCACTCATCACCTTGACTTTGCTCAACACGAGACAAAATCAGAACCAAAGAGATGCTTTGCATTATTCAATTCGACAGAGCGGTCTGTCTAGATAAATTGAATACTAGCGCATCGTAGCTATGGGCGTTTAGGAGGTGCAGTTGATTCTAAGGTGAGTTTTTACGATGCTCTCGAACTTACCTATATGTTAGTCCACGGTTTGGCTCATATATCTAGCTGAGTGCCTCTATACTAGATACTGTCCTAACTCCAGTCCAGCCAATGCAGGCAATTGGGGAGCGAATAGCTTTGCTACCGGTCTATAGCTCCTTCTACAGAATAATTGAGAAGCGCTTTGAGGATACGATCGGTCTTCCACCCGACGAATGGTTGCCTTCTTATAATCCTGCATTTCCGAGTTTCCGTTACCTAGGAGCGACAGCAACTAGCATGCTGCTCAGCGCCGACACGGGAGTACAAGCAGGCTGCTGAGGTCCTTCCAATCTTCAAAGAAAACGTCAGTTGGCAGATACCTGCCGACGATCCAACCGGTGTCTTGCACAATCCCCGCAAAGAAAAACTTTTAACTTCCCCCTCTTGCAAGGTTGTGAGAGCTGCCTGTTGAGACATGCAGATGGGATGAGAAACTAGACGCGACTAAGCTTTGGGATTGAGATTATCTCTGGTGGGGTTCATGGATCCGGGGTATATGTCGTATGCCATGACAAGTACTCCGAGAGAGCAACATCAAGGTATAGGGTACCTTGTGGACATCCAGGTTGACGTTGTGATGCTCAGGATGACCCAGCTGTTCAACTGTTCCCTGTACAAAACGGCGACTTTGCTTTGTACCTTCTGTTGCACCAGATATTCGCCCCCAAGAAACAGGTTCTGCGCGCCCAGATTCTAGTCAAACCAAAAAATATTGCTTCCTTTCATCAAGACTTTCTGGCATGCCTAGCTTCTGATATGGATAAGCGAATGCTGATGCCATTCGTTGGCTGGGTGTCTTGGAGGTTGACGATGCCTTCCAGAAGCAATATCTTCACTTTCTATGAAGTCATCCCGGAGTGGCTTGTCTCCGCATGAAGACGAATTAACGGCTTGGCCCTGTTGCATGCACGGCAATACCACTCGGTTCAACTACTCGGTTTAATCGGAAGTCGCATTCATTTGCGCAAATTTGCTCAATGAACGGGCATCACGGCATGCTTCGGAATCCTCTTCAATCGAATGACCTAGTAGTTTCAACTGAGAGCAAGGGATTTCTACGATTGTGTTACAGGTATCCATAGAGGTCTAGTCGTCAAGACGAGATTTAGCCCAAAACCTTTTGATCCTTGTGGACGTGACTAATAACGTGAAGCAGATGGCGTACCTACCCGCCCAACACCTGCAGCTTGATGCTAACTCTTGGCATGATATCATGCAGCAAAACCCCGGATTTTCCAAGAACGGGTATCATATCCGGCATTACTAGTCGCAATCTAAACGTCTACGGTCCTATGCTAACTATGCGAAGACAACGTTTAACTGTGGTTTTGTGAAGGCGGTTTTGAGGCCTGCGTTTATTGGGATCAATCCCGTGTGTTGGTCCAACAGACAAGAAGATATCGGAAACATTGCCAATCTAACCCCAGAAGTCGATACGATAACAATTGGGCTTGGCAAAGGAGGGGAAATGATACTTTGGTACTTTGAAGACTTGAATGCGGGGTTGCATTGTTCCTGCGATGTAACTCTCGGAAGGATGCATAAATGTGAGTGACTAAGATCTTATAGCTCCTAGTAAAGTGTCGAACACACGCTTCAAAGAGCGCAGGACTTGGCTAATATCGTCGGAGATTGGATTACTTAGTCTTGAGCTTCGTAACGACGCAAGGCACCTAGGAATAGCCTTTCTGTTGCATGTTAGTCGGCGCTTCGGATACTTGTCTACTGGCAAACTGGTCTAACAGAACGGGGCGACATCCCAGTTTTCCGAGAACGAGTTTTGGATTCTAGAAACATGATTCCGTTCGAATTCACAATTGATGTAATTGCAGCTATAACATACCGCCATTTGATGGTACAAGGGTACAATGGAGGACACAGAGGCAAGCGGAAACCAGGTTATAATTGAAGGAGACGGCATTTTAAAACTTCTTGGGTCTCTGGGGTGGTAGGGGTAAACCATGTGGAGCTAGATTTCTAGAACTTCGAACCTCAGAGGGATCTCTCGCATTCTCACGCACATGGTTCCATATGGTGCATATGGTCTGTTCTTCGTCTGGCGCACACGGCTATTTCCACCACGAGCTGTGGAACATCACGTTTTGGGAAAGTGACAACGTTATTGGCAACACAAAAAGACCTCCTGATATGTTGATTACCTGACGAGCGCGAGCCGTGGAAACAATCATTGGAAATAATTGATAATAAGGGGAAACATTAATCACGAGGGACAAATATTCATCTACGAAGCAGGACAAGGCCGCAACTTTGGAAGTATGTTGGGTATGTGCCCTGCGCGCGCGGGTGTTAGTGCTGACGAAGACCGACGTCAGGATGTAACCAACATAAAACTCAGCTCCTATGCACTGACATGTGCTAATTTCGTCTTCGCGAGCTCGGTTTGTTGTATCACGGATTCGATAGATTTGATAGAACAATTGATGTCTGTCGAAGGAGACATCTCCAATGATGTTAATATCCAGGACGAGAGACGGGCTGGATGAAAATGACCAATGAGTCTAAACTCCGACGGCACTATTCAAAATACCTACTTGGGAACCATAACATGCAGCTAAATGTTATTCCAACACCAACGGTGGGGTCCAACAAGTTCCACTACCCTTGACTGCGGCTGACTCTTTATAGCCCCTGTCTAACTGAAAGGAATATCGATATCGCATGCGAACAGGTTTTATTGGATGTATATACGTACAGGGGGAATAGGTACAAATCTTAAAAACAAGATTCAAGGGTAAACGACAACAAAATATGTATACTTGATTGATATATACTAAGACGAAGGAAATATTTTCTTAGATTTCTTCGCCATCCAAGACGCTTGGTCTTCGAATCACAAAGAATCCGCCACTGGGTGATGGAGCCCACACGTTGCCCGGGTTGTGCAGGTTCAACCACCCTCTTTTATTCCAATCGATGCTTTTCTCGCGACTTGGTCGCCTAAGAAAGACCGGCAGCTCTGATTCTGGCGGTCAAGAAGCTGACAGCCTCTGGGACTCTTCGAACGTAGTCGAGATGGGCTGGGAGAATGGTGAGGGTACCAGAGCAGACAGCGTCTCCAACGTTGCAGATGATCTTGGTTTTCTCAGTTGGGAAGTTAGGGATGCGGCCGCGATCTTGCAAGTTTTGAGTATCTCCATAAGTGACGATACCAGCAATCTTAGCCTTAACAGCAGCGGAGAGGTTTTCCACGGCTCGGTGAGTAAGAGCAGCTCCCTGACTGTAACCACCTCCGACGAGGATCGAGTCTGGACATTTGGAAGCAGCATCATTGAAGAGGGCACGCATCTCCGCAATTCCAGCAAGATCGGCGCCGCCTGGAAGGAAGTTGGTGGAGAGAAGAGCGGCGTAGTCGATTCCCTCAACTGCGACTTTGGTTGCGCCAAAGGCGTTCTTCAATCCCTGTCCAGTTGGCGGTCCAACGGTAGAGCCCTAAAAACCATGATCAGTGTCAATTCAAATGAGACTTGACTCGAAAGTCATAGACGCAAATTTGATGTTTGCAGGCAAGCTTACCAAGTTTCCGACTTCAGTCGAACCTCTCGCAAAGAAAAAGATGACAGGCTTGCATCCGCTTCTGGTGTATTCATTCTCAGTAATGCCAACAATAAGCTGTCGCTTCTCGAGTCCGATTTCAGTGTCAACTGGAGTTGGGACGGCGGCGGCGAGAGCGACGAGAGTAGAGATGATGACTTGGAACTTCATTTTGATTTTTGATGATAAGATAATCAATATCTTTCAGGAGGCGGGTAAACTGAGATGCTTTGGGCTAAGCTTGCGAGGCTGGTTCTTTGTAAGTAGTATTTGAGTGAAGCGGTATCCTGAAGGATTGCTGATTGTGATGCTGCTGGTGATAGTGGAAATATCTCGACGAGGAGGGTGAAATCCGCCTCTTTATACAAATCTTCTTCCACCGACACGCCAGTTTGAAGACTTGATGGTATCATGGCTTCCAACTAGAGTGTTATTCTGCCGCTTCATACCCTCGGCTACTTGAAGCTGCGATTTGAGATTATCTTCAAAACGGAGCGAGTTTAGTCGGTGACTAATTTGAGATCTTCGTTTCAACCGTAACCCCAGATCTTGGTGTCGTTAATTCTAGCTCTGCCTCGGAACCCCGCTTTATTGCGGATCCACTCTGCAGTTGATCCATGGATTTTGATCATCTAATTGATACTATTTCAGCCTAGCCACGACGGCGGCAGGGAAGTGGGCACGACTCTATGGCCTAACGCAACTTAAGATATCGTCGGCCTCGGTAGCTGCTATACTAGGTCTGGTGATATGGAATACATTATGCCCCTGCATATAGATGGGATGAGACCTGGGGAATGGTGTGGAGATCGACCACACGGCAGGCTCCGACCTGGACGAGACCACTCTCTAACAACTTTGGGGCTATACACTAATTATGTCGAGGTTCGGCTTAGACATATGGATAGACCGTTACTTGTGAGACTCGACAACCTACAATCCAGAAAAATTTATCGAACATACCATAACAAACTTGCAAATTTTGCAATTCCGATTATGATCATACCAGTGAAGCCCTAGATTCCTTTGGAAGGAATGGGGATTTGGCCCTAGATCTGCCCCGCACTAGCTCTTCGAGGTCAATGCTCCGGGGTACCAAGCGAGCATACCCCAGAAAAGATTGGCTGTGGGGTAGATGGGATGGCTGATCAAATCTAATATTCTGATTGGAATTCCACCTCAACCGAGAGGTTAAGAGCGGCACATTGCAATAATGTGGCTTGCATCTTGCGGTTGATGTAAAAGCTTGGGCTGTCTCAGAAGTTTTCTTCAAGTATGAATATGGGTAGAAGGCCTTGTTTGTGTGTAGGAACACAGATGTCGGGTGGCTCGAAATCACAGGCTAAGGCGTTTTCAGTCCATCTACTCTAGGGTTGGCCAGGCGCAATCGTGACCATGGATCGACTTCTAACGGAAAGGAAAGCGAAAGTTCCGGTTTTTTTGGAGAGTCTACAGGTTTCGAAGGCTTCTCTGATTGGCTGGACGACCCACTTACCGAGGCATATGTAGAAAGGTGGAGACGAGATGTTCATCAGTAACGCCAAGCGCAAGGACCAAGAAAACGTTTCTGGAGAACCTTGGGCCTGTGCACATTTTTTCTGGCTCCAGAACCAGGTTTGGGGTATCGTGATCAATCAAGCTGATGTTATGCAGATTGAATTTAGAAGATGTTTGCTTACCCCTGGATTGTGATTATGCATGGTAGGAGTTCTAGTTCCTGCTTGGAGGAAAAATTCAATCATCACAAGTTCTAACCGGGAATGTAGCCTACGTAGCATATTGACTTGTTAGCAGTTGTTCTATGGCTCGCTATAGTGGCCATTGCAGCTCGGCTTAAAATTCGGATAACTGGTCGTGGGCGACCAGATTCAGAGATGACGATAATTCAAGTTTCAAGTTTCAACGGGTGAAATCTCGACGAACACCCGATTATATTCTCTGTTTGAAAATTATGGGCTATGTGTAGGCCTAGGAAGCGGTGCCATCACCAGGAATTCCGGAAGCCATAGCTCAAGACCTAGACATCTAGGCTGAGGTGTCCTAGCCGTGATACGATGTTTGAGTTTTAATACATACGCGAGTGGACAGGTATCTTTTATTCCAGTCCCAAGTCGAAAAGTCCTGGATACGGGGCCTGCTCGCCCAGAATTCTTTGTACGGGTATGCATTTACTCAGGGGCCGAGACCCAGCAGCAAAACTAAGTTGGTCATGACTAATATGTGGAGGCTCTTGTAGCTTTTAATCAAGCAACTTCTTCTACTGAGAATATTCGGCTATGGCCTTTGATGTGTCTGGGTACGAGACCACTATGGCCTATTCGCTATTCAAGACTTCGGGGATTTTAGGAGGCCAGGCTGTTAACGAGTACGAGCATTGGCAACCGGAAAACCCATATCTAAAAAAAGTATAACCGATATACGACCGTACCGGCTGTACGGACGGACCTTAATTTTTTGTAAATAGAGATGTATATTTGCGGGAGGATGACTCGCGTTTCAATATGCAAGAGAGGCCTGGCAAGTGGGTTTGAGCGCGGTCTAGACATCTCCGTAGCGTCGTTGCAGACGCAGTCTGTAGGCAGGGGGGAAGCGTTTGCTTATTCTCCCCGCGTGCTCCTCCTGCAGGTATGCATGCGCAAGATCCCAGATGGGTCCGCCCGCCGCCCCACAGCTACCTCCAACACTTCAATTCAGATCTCTTGTCTTCGGGTGAATTTTAGCTGGCCACCTCGGTTATCCCGCTGCTACGGACGCTCGAGCGGAGCATTGTTTGTACAAGGATGCGTAGGTAAAAACGTTCTCGGAAAGCATTTTCACTTTCGAATTTGAATGGCGCATGGACCCTAAATAGGCTATACTCTGTAGAGAAGCACCTGCAGCCGGCTATTTTATTTGTGGCGAATAGAAGCTCGATAATATGATATATGTTGACTATAAAGAAAACATGTCGACAAATCACAAGATTTGTGAATCAGATCTCGTCAGGACAGTCCCACAATCGTCCAAATTTTTTAAACCCGAGCTTATCCGGGCCGTATAAGCCTCCCTGCACTAGCTTCGCCCTGGGCTTCATTACGAAGGGAATATATGTAATATATTGTAGAAATATCTCAATTCATTGACTAAACCGAGTGACCAAATCTGAAATAACATAATATATTGCTTGCGTATTTCGCTCAGGTATTCACATGCCTTTCATCGAAGGAATCATTTGATCTTGGGCTCGTAACTTCTGCTTTGTACTTCGAAAATTAAACTTATATGATGGCTGACAAATCTCCTTGAAAAAGGGAAGGTAGAATATATATGCTCGCAGACTTCGGCTGCGGTTATAGATTTCGGCCGAGTAGACAAAAATAAGTGACCGGTGTTCCTAAAATCATCAATATTATTACAAGGCTCAAAAGGTTCAAATCTCGTGGTGCTATAGACAAAATATACAAATAGCCTAGAGCTGAACAGAGAGGCATTGGTATAAAGTAGGTACGTTTTTCGAACTAGAACCGGATTTATTTAGCCTACAAGCCGGACCGTCACCATGTCCTTTCCCCCTTTGTCCGTATATTGGCATTCCTCGGACACGGTATAATATCGAGAGAGGTGAAATACCCAGGAGTATATTAATAAGGATAGACCCTCGGTAGGGTGTATCTATCCAATTTGCAAGTTTTGTATACATGTAGGTTCGCAGCGTCTCCTTTTGTCTTCTTGGATACTTGCCACTCCGCGTCTAGAGGTAAAGGCAAAAAGTACTCAGTAAATATTATGTGCTGTTGATACAACTGGTATTGGTTTTCGTATTTGGGCCTAAGTTAAGTAATTGCCTTGCCAACACAGGTATGTATGTTCGATTCAATTTTAATACTAGTATACTGATGCTGATGCATTCGATAGCCTACGGGCAAGTTGAGTTGTAGGTGTTGTATTTCTAAAAACAGCTATGTCTTGGCATGTGTCGCACAAGATATTGGTGGCAAAACTTTGGGTATGGGCTGCTTGTCACTCGGACTTGGTATACATTGTATAAGTACTTAGTTACATTAAGTAAGTAAGTATGTATTTACTTAAGCTTACGTATTACCATAAAGCTCCCTAGATCAGCTGGCATGATGATACAGTTTCTATGCAAGGAGTGCTTCAACGTGCCATCCTGCATGTTATTTTGTCCATATGTGAAAGGGCGTCTCATCCTCATTGAGGGGTTGACTCTGTCCAATCCAAAGCCAGAGTTTTCGGTAGGCTCCCATGGCTCCTCCGCCGATCAGGTACCCGAATGATTCCTTGACATTGGTGTTGTAATGCATTCAAGTAATGCTTTGGATGTTTGCATCTTGACGTGATATCATGCGCCAAAAACGCCGACAGCTGCTCCGGATTCAGTATGAAGGAAGGAAGGTCGAGGAACCGAGTTCGTAATGACAGCTGGAAGATAAAATATTATTCAATCATGTTCATGCATATGGCCTTCGATATTAAGATGACATTGATGATGCGAAGCTGAGTGGTTCAGCCGCTCTTCCCGCGTGAAGCGAGACTATGTGTGACAAGCTCAGTGGGGGCCATTCAAATGGATACTGAACGCGCCGCTCGGATCTCGATCTCGCAGCCCCTACTGTCAATGGACTTAAGGAGGAACACACTATGTGCTTAGTACTCCTGTGGATGTGCTGTAAGAAGCACGGCCGGGATACTTAATCAGAAGTCCCACAAGTTGTTCATCGCCTAAAATTCCTCTTTCCGGCAGCTTATGCCAGTGAGTGCATGCGGAAATTTTACGGATTTTAATCATGGTGGATGTAGTTCTATAATTTTGGGAACATCCTTCACGGGTTCCTCCAGATCTCGAGTACGGGGGTATCCGGCGTAAATTGAGTGTGTGATATACCGGCTGGATGTCAGCTTACCTCTCCTGTGGGATTGGATACTTGTACTAGTTCCGCCTGGCGGAACATTGCGAGCAGCTCTCCTGTCAAAGTCGGTCCGGATTTTCCCTCAGGCTTGTATTGTGAGACATCGAGTAGTTGAGCTGCTCAGTAACCTTTTTGCGCTCAACACCAAATTTTTGAAAATGTCGACTGTGCATGGACGTATGGACGTATGCATCGTGATTTTTTCTGCCTCCTGTGACCTCTTTCCTACATAATAGTCAAGCCTATTATAAGTAGCGGAAGTAATTTGGAGATCCGAGGGCGTGGCGTTGCGATTAACGAGTCTGCCCTTGCCTTAGCCCAAAGACTTATCTACGCCAAGTTTTTGGCTTTATCACCCAAGCCTGGAAATTCGAGGAAAAGAAAATTTAGGTAAATGGAGACATTTGGGCCGATTACATGGCCGTCTTACCCCGTGCTTAGCTTACATAGTAGTCAAGGATAAGAAAAAGGTCCTCCTGCGTAAGGTTCGCATGCATGATAGGGACGGTTTCGAAGCAAGGAGTTGGGAATTATAGTTGGGAACTGTAGATAAACTGTATCTTGCCTTCCGTATAAGGTAGTAGATTCTCACGAGGTGCAGGACAGTCCGTTCGCAACTGGAACCGACAAAAACTCGTGTTAATTAACATAGATCTATTCCAATTGAACTGCGCATAACCAACTAATAGATGGAAGGGTCATTGTAGATGTTGCAATACGCATTATTGTTAACCAATGCTCGGTGCCTATCTAGCATACCTGTTGTTCCGAGACGTTGCAGCCTCAAACGGAGGAATCAAGAACTTCTCGTTGGAATGCCGCATTCGCTGCTAATACTTCAGAACCGTCCACGCTCCTTGGTGTGTCAAGAGTCTGGACAGCCGGTCTAGCGAAGGAGCGCGCGCCATACTTTTTAAAAGAACTTTGACCCTGTCTGAATTCCGTGGATCCAGGCAGGTCCCGAGACTTCTAATAAGACTATCGATCAATACCCCGTCCGTGCGCGAAAGCAGCCAACCATATCCTCTGGCGCAAATTGTTATGTTGGTTGGTTGGAGTCTTGTTTCTCGCTCGCTCGTTTGCAGCGATGTTTCATACAGGCTTTGGAACAACTGCAACTGAGGTTAACTCGTGCTTGTGGGAATATTCTGACAAAGATATACGAATGCCCAGAACAGACACGCGGAAGAAGTCTTTCTAGACGATGAGTCCTCGCCGTATTCATCTGATCGGCGGACCCGCACTCAAGATGAGAATTGTCCCTTTGCTCCCTTTGGTATGTATGTATGTCGTCCTTGTGCTGAACCAAGAAGGTTTTTTTCTTCCAGGTATCCCTTTGTTCGGCCGCATGAAATGTTATTTTTCTGGTGCACAGTTTTGAGAATACACACCCCTGGCCTTCAAGCAATGGGCGCCGGCTTCAGTCAACAGATAACCTAGTCCCATTAGTTACGTTACCACAGTCATGGAACTCGGAAGGATGCTTTTTTTTTCTTTCTATCTCTTCCATCACTGGCACTGACCCTCTAGAAGGCGTAATTTAGTCTCCTTCGAGGTTCAAAAATGCGTGCCCTGGCCTAGGTTCTTTCTGGGCACAGCAGGTCTCGCACAGGTCTCGCACTGGTACCTGAATTTTTTGATATAAGGCATTACTGGCCCCAAGCCCATGCTCAAGTCCTTCTCAGCTGGGTGCCCGCAGTATCCTGAGAGGGTTCTACCTAACTATTGACCTACTTTCCATTCACTCATTCAAATAATCGACATCTTCTTCCATTTGTATCTCGACATATTCATTATCACCACTACCACCACCATTACCACTATAATACATATCCTTGATACCTGTTTTATGATCAGTGTACCGCTATTCGATCTCCTATCCACCCTGTCTATCGCCTAAGAACCTTCGTCTGACTACTCGACAACACAAAAGAGGGAAAAAAAAAAAAAAAAAAAAAAAAAAAAAAAAAAAAAACGACAAAACATACATCCAGATTTAACCTCCCTTATCGATTACGTTTCTTGCTGCAAGCCTCATCGGACATTTGGGTATCCTTAAGGCAGTTCATCGATAGGGCTTCTTTATATATCGCTCATCACGCATCTAACTTTACATTCTTTCGCTTCGCGTTTTTCCCGACCTTTACGTCACATTTTATACTCTACATTGGATCGTTTAAGAACTTGTCCAAGGGTAAAAGAAAAAGAACCAACCAGCGCCACAGGCTACCGAGTGCAAGGGAGACGTGTTCGCTGAACAGTCATTGGGGAAAAATTGAAATCCCGGATCTTGAGGGGGTGTGTGTGTACAGCACAGCAAAAGATCGAGACCTGTCTTGGATATCATTGAATTCGCAAATCCAAAAGTCTTGGATCCCTCCGCTTTGACTCTGTCAACGAAGGCCAATTTGCGAATCGGTCGACTTCCTTTCTTGGAGGCCATATAGCATCGGTATCTCATCGATCTTATTGCCTAACTGACAACTCATATATGCATACTCTCTTGACGCTAATGCGCATCACATCAACATAATCCACCTATTAATTTGCACAATTGGAGGGATTTCAGATTTCATAACAGCTAGTAGTATGATACTGGCTTGACCGACAGTGGCGGATGAGAAAGGAAAAAAATTATTACCAAGACAATTACTTTAGTGAGGCTGTCACTATCACGTTTTTGGGGCGGAACACTCCCCGGCATCGAGAAAAGGTCTCGCCGTTACGGATTAAACGGAACGGCCCCAAAACCCGTTGGCATTAGACTACGAAATATCAACAAGGCCATCGACCGGCCTAGTGGGTATTCCGCGGCGACGTGGACGCATTGATTGTGGTGAAGAGGTCCAACTTGTCAGCTGCAGCCGACACTTCATTCCTTTGTTAGACTGCTTTCGGCCACCAGCAGGTCCCCACACTGCAAGAACACTGAGGAGGTAAAGCCAACCCCGAAGCTGGCAGGCCTTTGCGACGTTACCATTGGTTGTCACATACTCTGGTGTATCAGCTAAGCCTTTTAGCTAGAAACTACCATGGAGGTGATTCAGCTTGCCGCTGGGACTGCAGGCCTGCCTCCCAAGCACAGAGCTCGACATCAACTGCAACGACCATCTCATGTTTCCTTATTAATATCTTCAAATTCCGTAAATAATGTTAGCCCCCTTCTTGTATCTTCCCCAATTTCTTTCCGGTATTCCTGTGCTTCTTCGTCATCTGCGTCATCTCTTCCATCTGCATCTTCCCCCTTTTTCCTGAACGACGAAAGTGACGAATTCGAAGCTGAAGAGGTAAGCAGCCGAAGCAACACACCATCCCCCTGTGAGCTTCCGGCGTATATAACTTCGACCACTGCCACTCCAGCTGTCGAGTATCGTCGTTCGAATTATCGTTCTTCTTTATCTCGACCTATTTCGTACCGTAGTCCTATAGCTTCCAAAAAGAGCGTTTCTGCTGTGCCTTGTGATACCACCGCTGGCGTTTCCGGGTATTCCAAGGCTTGTGTGACAAAGACAAGGCCCAATCTTCGACCCTCTACACTTTCACCGTACGACCACAAACCCGACCAATTCGATACCAATTGCTTTGGTAGTTCTTCTTCTTCTTCTTCTTCTCAAGGAGCAGATTCTGGGAATAGGTCAAGCTGGTACAACCCACTGCTATCTGAAAGATTTCAGTTAGAGTACGTGGACGAACACGCCGAGGATCTTGCAGACGAATTTGATTCCTGCGATTCGTCTGATACAGAAGGACCGGCCGACGATAAACCAGTTTTCCAGGCTATTCAAGAGTCAATTCTATTTTTCAATACCATCTCTGACATTCCAATCCCTGCGTTCGTGGAAAACGCCTCCTATTTCCAGAATCCGCTAGCGCCAAACAAACCAAATTCTCAGTCTCTAGCACTTCCAAAGGAATCAACTGGCTCCCGGACGTCATCACCATCCTCAGTTAAGCGTGGCCACGTCAAGAAACCTTCATTGGTATCTCTTGACAAAGTTGCCCAGAATTCTTCACCCATTCTTGAACAGGATCCTGATTTTCTTGACGACTCGGAATCCTTATATAACTTTTCATACCCTAGTGGTTCTGCCAGCACATCAATCACTTCGGCATCCCTCTTTCCTTCTAAGGAAGCAGCCGAAGCATACGCCAGGGCACAAATCGACCTTGATATAGAAGCTGCTATAAACGAGAGTACACGTCTGGAAGAAGAAAGAAAAGCTAGAGAGGCTGAAGAAGACGCCGATTTCTTGAGGGCATTACACGAAAGCATCATCGCTGAGAAGGAAGCACAAGCTAGAAGAGAAGATCTTGAATTTCTAGACCAACTTTTCAGCAAAAAGAGGCCTGTGTCTCCGCTCAGTGATTGCAGTAGTATCTCTTCTAGTTCTTCCGTCTATTCATCCTGTAGGAACTCTACAATCTTGACTGTACTATCACCTCGTCCTTCAAGGTCCCCAATCAAAGCCCACCCTCCAACAGACACGTCATCCGATATGCCGTCTACACCGGAGGAAGTTCCCACTCCACTGTCACACAGCTCGCGAGAGCGGCCAATATCTGCAGTTCGTGAGAAGAAGCCAAAGTCCAAAGGGTCTGCTGCCGATCTTTACGAGATCTCAAAAGACAAACTAGGCCTTCGTCCTACGCTGCAGAGAGCCCATACATCGACAGGTGGAGGCTTTAGGAGACTCCTTGGGCTCAGCGGGAAGAGTAGCCATGCAGATAACAATGAAGAAGAGAGACTGTAGGTGCCGTTGATTTTTTCTTTATTTTTTATTCCTCTAATTTGCTTCCGTAAATTTATTCAATCGGAATTATTTAATGCCTTCAATATTTTCTTATAATATCCTGTATATAAAATTAAATATCAGCCGTACTGATACTGTCTGTGATAGTCATGCAAAGTCTTCACGTTCAAGCAAAAACCGTGATGAGAGACCTCCCATGGACCGCACTGCTAGCGAACCTAGTACCCCTCGGAGCGAGCGACATCGCCACCATCGACATCATAGCGACGGAGTAGAAAGGGATAGAGAAAGGGATAAGGAAAGGGATAGAGACAGGGATAGAGAAAGGGACAGAGAAAGGGATAGAGAAAGGGACAGGGATAGCAGCCATCGCAGGAGCCACCGTCATCATCGTGGGCACTCAGAAGTATCTTCATCTTCGAAAGATTCTAGAGACAAGCGAAGATCTAGGGATACACCTAAAGCTCCCGAAGAAAGCACGACTAAAAGATCACACAATCGAAGCCCTGAAGAGGTCCCTGTTCCAGCTCCGCCCAAAGTCCCTACTCCTACAATTCCCGAGGCTGCACCAGTGGCAGAACCGGCACCAGCGACAATACCCGAACCTCCCGTAGAAGCCACGGACCAACCCGTTGAACCAAAAAGGAGAAGAAAAAGACATGCATCTCTCGGTGATATTCTTAGGGTGTCTCGGAAGCTCAAATCAGGGGCCCCTCTGGAACCTGCAGCGCCTCCAGAGCCTCCAAAGATGTAAGTTGAAAATATAAATACCATACTGACGAGGAAGCCATTTTGCTTCCTTGGACAAAGCGATGAGATATACTAACTAGTGAATTTAGGGTTGAATGCGTTACTTGCTTGTCCGATGATATACCGGAAACAGAAGCCGCGCAACTAGAATGCGGACATTCATTCTGTAATGACTGTCTCGTCCGCCTCTTCGACCTTTCGTTGACAGACCCTGCTCATATGCCTCCTCGATGCTGTCAGTCGTCGCAACACATACCCCTTCAACATGTGGATAAACTGCTTTCGAGAAAAACGAAAATTCTCTGGAATAAGAAGTACCAAGAATATACAACCGTCAACCGGCGATATTGCCCGGCTACGGACTGTGGCGAATGGATCAAGCCCACTGATTTCAGCACAGTTGAAGGTGTTGAAGTGGGAACTTGCCCGCGGTGCAAGATGGCTATCTGCGGTCTTTGTGGTCTCAAAGAACACGGTAAAGAGGAGTGTCCTAAGGACGATTTCTTGAATCAGGTTCGTGAACTCGGGAAGGAGTTGGGCTGGCAGAGGTGCTACAGCTGCAGAGCCATGGTGGAACTTGAGAGGGGGTGTAACCATATGACATGTCGTTGCACAGCAGAGTTCTGCATGATCTGTGGCGCCAAGTGGAAAACCTGTGAATGCCCATGGTTCAACTTCCCGCCAGAGGAAGACGATGCCCCACCTCCACGTCTCAACGAAAATGGTCATTTGGTTGACGACTTGGCTTGGGGTTGGGATCCTCGCACTGAAGATGACGAACGCGTCGCCCGCCAACTTGCGGCAGACTTTGAGGAACTTGATGTCAATGAACGAGATCCCCACGCTCGAACCGCCTGGGCTCCCCTGTTCACTGGAGCAATTGGTGAAGGTGTCCTGAGACTCCTAGGAAGAACTCGCCACCTTGAGGGAGCCGCGTTGGATAGGCTCCGACGAGCATATGCTACGGCTTTCGACGATGACTTCATGCCGGGCGATAGTGACCACGAGAGCGACGACGAGGTTGCTGATTTCATGGGTGGTAACCAAAACTCTTCTTCTCATAGAAATATGCCCCCAACCCTTCGTACTACTCAATCCGACGACCATGAACGTCGCCGCAAGAAGCGGGACTCTACTTATAATCTCGACTGGAGTCCACACCACTCTCAGGAGGATCTAAGCGAAGGGGGTGTAGACTTTGGATTTTTCCCCCAGCTTACGAAGAGCTTCCTCCCACGCATGTTCGGTGGACACCACAACACAGATCACCAAACAGAAAATTCCAACGGCATGCGCGAGGACATGGGGCGGTACGGTGATCTTCTTCAGGGAGATCTTAATGGCTCAAGGAAGGAACTCGGAAGGGTTAACTGGGGTGGAGTAGGTACCGCTTAGGAAGCGGGCCCTCGAAGCAGATGGGTTTATTCTTGTGGCAGCATTTACAAGGCGCATAATCGACCCCGTTCGACTCTAAATTCCTCACAAACCTGATCTATTTAGTATTTGCATATTTCATGTTTAATTCTCTAATGTCTACAAAAGCCCTAACAAGCTATATCGACAGCTATACCGTACACTTAGCGGGAATCTTGATTTCTTTCCTTTAGTGGATTGCGTTCAGAATATATTAGCAAAATCTTAGCGTGCATTCAGCGATTTGTATTACTAGACCATATTTTCGTGTTTCAAATTGTCGAAGCAAATTTTAATACCTCTCATATGCGTTAAGTCCCTAGAGTTCCCTATCAAAACTCACGTGAACTACTTTTTATATATGCTTTTTTTTCCTAGTCTAGAGCTGTACCATTGCCTCCCTTTGTGACGTCCGGGAACGATCGAGACCAGTGTTAAACTAGTTGGCTCTCTGTCGTGAGTCACTGGCAGTACTCCATGCAAAGTCCGCGTGCACCTGCCACATCCTCTATCGATGTAGATACACAACTTCACATTACATAAAATGCTCTTTAAGAATTGAATACCTACTGGCCTCATATCTTCTAACTCGTTTATCACAAAGTGATAGTAGATAATTATATAATCTTGGTTTTAGTTCTAGACTGTTGTCCCGTTTGCGTTTGAGGTCTGCGTGTTTCGTCCTTTCTGACTAAATAATTCTTATACATGGCTTAACCCAATGGCTCACGTCTATTACTACATGTAGCCCAGTTTTATTTCATGGTATGATATTAGGCATCCTCACTTCCGTTAGTTGTGGCCTACTAGCTTGTTGCTCTCCTAATCTCTGAAAATTACTAACCAATATATTTTTTCCCGGTTCAAAATCACTCCTTCGCTCCTTCTCACTCATGCATGTGGGGGTTGTGTAAATTACTATCAGTGATATAACCTACGACCATGGCAAGCACCGAGATACAACCGGGACCACGGTCCTTGAGACGAGAATCCATGAAGTTGACCCAACGAAGTCAAAGCTTCGATTACAGAATTCGACGTCGCAATATATTCGAAGAGGTAGCTACAGCGAAGGTAGCCGCAATGCGGGAGGCTAAACTCCCAAAGGATTCAGTACATACTCCAGGCACCAGCATCACGCGTAAACGTAAGCTTAAGCCGCGAGAACCTCAATTGAAATCTCCGGAGTACCTCGAGTCAGTGTCTGATAGAACGGGGTCTCAGAACGCAACTGAATCTAACTTTCTTCGGATCGCTGGGTATATCCCCAGGGGCATTAAACTTGTGGGAGTTGTCATCTTTAACGTCTTTCGGATAATGTGCATATTAGATGAGTCGCAGCCTCACAGCCCACAGCTGGGCCCTGATTCCAACTCCCACGATGCTCCCCAAAAGGGACCCCCTACTAAGAGATCGCGGAGGAAATGGTAGTTGGGGGCTGGGCCAAAGCTTGAATGGCTATCGATATCGAAGAATTTGATAATATAATTAATGCGTTAATATTATAATATGCGGCTAGGCTGTTTATCCAAAGTTTGTACTACCGTCGCTTTCTAATCACTTTTATTAATTACGGAAGCTGATCACGTTATACGGAACACCCCGTCCGGAGAGCTTCAGTCGTGCAGCTTACGATTTTGAGATATATCAGAAGGCTATCGCTCGCACATGGGTAAGAATGTGTTGAATCCGTGCCATTTCTTATATCCTGGGAAGAAGTCTCGGCCTCGAATTAAGCCAGTTGAGTAATCATTGAAGACTTGAAAATACTGAACCGAAAGGTGCAGGACCCGTACAACTGTCAATATCTACTACCTGCTATGATAAGCTGCCTGAGGCTCGCGAGTCAGGGATTCTGGGTATTGGTGGCGGAGGTCGCAATTTTGAGATTCCCCAGCCTCATACATGAGCTTGTTTTATACCTCCTTGTATTTGACATATATCAGAGCCGAACTAATAGGTGCCTTCGGACTTCTCCATATGCATGCGACCCATTGGGAACAATATTATCATATCTTTCGAGCAGCCTTAACATCTGTCGGTGTCCATTGACACCTGCATGCCTTGGTTATGAACATTGCGAAGATTACTAACGCCTCTGTCATTCTCAAGTCAATGCTGACAATCGATAACATGCGCATGTACATTTGTGAATCTGTAGGTATCCGTCCGGGTGTGAATTTCAGCACCACGACAGCGGGTCTGCTTCATGCATTCCGAATTATCCAAAGGCTGCATTAACAGCCTGCCTAGGCAGGTTTAGCATCGACGAACTCGGTAATGATATCCTTTAGCTGTTCGATACAATGGCGTCTTGACTGCGTGGCCCAATGATATACGCCCTTGGCCAACTTTACGCGGGTCGTCTACGTTCGCTATCTGCGAACCACCACCACTCGAGTTTCCTTTGTGGCGTTCGCAGATGCCCATATCGAACACGTGAAATGCGGTGGATGAGTCAGCGGAATGGTTGGGGAAAAGGGGAAGCCGGATTTTTGATCGGATACCGATGGCAAAGTCTGCTTGTCTGTATCCGAAACTTCTGTTAACTTGAATCAGCCAACCCTTTCTCTCCAGAATGGATTCAGGACCCCGCTATTTGGCGATAGTAGCCTTTTCATTCGGAGACTCATGTTTTGCTTGGTATAATGCTCCTAGTTGCAAAGAATAGTTAGATCTATCGAGCTAATACTCTACCAGCGCGTTAGGAATCGTGGATGGCAGCTACAGCTTGGAAGCAGCGTCGAAGCCGATAGACAACGAAAGTGGACGGTATACGATCGATATGTAACGAAATTCATATAGACTCACAAATCCGATCATCTCTGTACCTATTCTAAAGGACCATTTCATGCGGGCTTGAATACCTCTGATCGTTCGAATGCCGGCTTCGAGGTTGGGAAGATAGAATCCTAAGTTGCAGCTTTGCAATTGTGCAAATGCGTCAAATTTGCCTCCAGGTCTCTTTCAAGCACGACGAGCTTATGAAGCCTATAAAGGTAAGAGATACATTTATGCCCTTTGAAGACATTATTATTTTATCCTTCAAAGAAAATTTGAACAAGATTGAGCGACGTTCGCGTTTGTGAATATTGCAATTGACTCGGTCTCCAGTTACACAAGTTCGGTGCGACAGTCGACAACACAGAAATCAATCAGACTACAACACACCAGCCGCCTTTAATTACCCTACCCAGCTGCTCGAGCCCGAGTACTCGAGTTGATCCAGCCATGCAAAAATACGCATCTAGTTAAAATCTATCCCGCGAGATCGAAATATATTAAACGGGCCTGAAGCAAGGGCAATGGATAACACGAAGTCGCTTGCTCCCGCTGTTGCCGACCCAGGTCTGGGGCAGTCGCAATCTGCGATCCAAGGCCAAGTTCTGGTGTTTGAAAATACGAGGACGCCGGCAGTTAAATTCCTTGCCCTAAAATAAGGTTACACAACCCTTGGGCCTGATTGGGTCGGAACCACCCGGTCGGAACATTTTACTACGGCGCCGCCGATGGCCTATACGACGGTTTGCGGATTAGTGACTGATTCAATCTTGGCCTGGGTACTGAAGCTAGCTATTGATAGTTATCACGTTTGGGAACAATCTTAACCCGTCGGAAAACTTTCAAACGGAACCCGTTCTTCTATTAGTTCAGATCTGAATCATTCAAATACATTCGATTCTCATTAATTAAGATTCCAGCAGCTGCAGTCTAGCTCAATCTTACATATTCTTTTTTCTACCAAGAGTCTGGATAGAATTAATTCAGCTGGACAAGGGCCAGCTTCCCTCGCCTAAAGATTCTCTAAAACCATCAATACCCACCGATGAGTAATCTCTCCCATGCTCTGGCTGCAGGATACCTGTTTATGCATGCAAACATATCAGATGTCGGGGCGCATGATGATGCCATAGCCCAATCAACAACCATGGTCTCTCTTGACACTTCACTCTCTGGGACACATATACACAATGCAATACGAGTAAAGATGCCCTTACCTTCAGCATATGAGTATTAATTCTTTTTTAATTACCTAGTATTCTTCCGCCACAACCAACGAACGCCCTGCCGGGTCCTCGGTTACGCACGTCTGATGAACCGAGAACCAGGCCTTTCGATTTTGCGATCCTACCAACTAGACCCTTGGCCTTGGATGCACCTCTAACGGAGGATCCGACTCGCGCTGGTCCTCCCGGAGCTGAACGATCCGATTACTCATTTTTCTTTGCGCTCATAATAAGGGACTTTGAAGAGCTAAGAGGAGGAAATTTGAAACAGTGATTGGTTAGAATTGACTTCAAATACAACACATTTAACTGTTGGAGATGTCTCCTGCGAGGCGCGAGGTTCAACGTCGTGTTCCGTCCATGTCATGATCAGCACGTCGATGAATGAATCATTATCAATCCTTGAGACGAATTTCGACTTCTGTTTTTAGAACTGGCACGAGTTTTGTTCTTGATGAGGGATGGAAAATGAATTTCTAGTGTAACAGCTAGTTATATGCCAAGCAAAATGAACAAGGAGAAAAGCATATGTTGGCGCCTGTGTATAATGAATGCCTTGCTCATTAACGGTTTAAATCAAGAAGAAGACAATAGAGATGAAAAGAACTCCATCGCAATGCAAAAATCGAGAGGTGATACGAATTCGTTCGAATAGGGGGGCAAAGGGAAAAACTAAAAACAAAAACGAACAAACATAACTTTGGTATCAGGTATGGACAACCGTTTTGACAGTGCACGCTTTAAGGGCTACAGTGTGGTGCGCTAAATGCAGGGGATAGAGATAGAAGGAAGAGGAGAAGAAAGGGTTACATTGAGGACATAAGTAGATGCAATGAATACAGGAGTTTAAGAACACATCAGTTTCTGTCCATTTTCCCGAATGACGCGCCCAGAGTGGCGATGAAATGATGAAGTTTAAGTCCTACCAGTAGGAAGTTTAGAAAAGAAACCTAGAAAAAAATTGGGTAGCAGGGCTTAGAAAAAAATTGAGCGAAAAGGATTACAAAGATAGTGGATACATTGTTGTGGCTGCTGACATGTACAGCGAAGAACGGGAACGTTTCAAACGAGCGGGAAGGCGACATGAAAAACAATCAGGAAGCGAAAAGCGCAGAGAAAAACTAGAAATGACAAAAGAGGAAATGCAATAAAGGGATCTTAAGTAAGCGTCAACTAATTATCTAAAAAAAAAATGCTGAAAATGCTGTGTTGGTTGGCGACGGGGCGAAGGGATCGCTATGTCGAGATTTTTATTCGATGTCGACTCCTATTTCGCTGTGCAAACTGTGAACACTTCCTCGGGAAGAGCCGGCATACACAGATGGGATTGCGTCGTGAACTCTTCGTTGGATTTCACCTGCGATCCATTTGCGAACTTCGGGTGCGAGATTTGTTTTCCCTTCTTCAAGGTCCTCGATCATTTTGTGAACTCCGGTTAGTTTCAAACATATTTCCCAAGTGCGACTCCCTGCACTGCATACGGATGCCTTGGCTAATTCGAAATCATCGTCTGTTCCGTGCTCTAATGTACTTAAAAAGGTGTTTGAGGCGTATGGGTCGATCAATAAGATCTCTGGGGATAAGGTATCAACTAAAGACTGCCACCGTGCTCCTCTCTTATCCTCGTGAGCGATCGGATTTGTTGGCATCGCTCCAGGTGGGCTTTGTTGGTATTCCCAGTGAGACGACGAGCGACGTCCAGATCCTGCGACCTCTTGGTAGAAGTTGTCCACTTGCCCGGTCATTTCGTACATGCTGTGGCGAGCCATACTGTTTTTACGCTTCTCTAAGGATCTGTATAGCCTTCGGATTGCGTTATTATCTTCAACAGCGAGGTAATTGTACCCGTAAACGTAGTTTGTAAAGTTTAAAGTAAGAAGCCAGTCAAAGGCAACTATCGGAGCCTGTAGCATATTTGGTTGGACGAAGTCATAGCTTGAGTGGGATCGCGAAAGCGCAGGAGGTGACCGGTGAGTCGAGGTGATGTGAGATGTCGACATACTAAGTGTCGCAGCATATAAGGCCGGATCAGCTAGGTAATCTCCAAGAGTGGTACTTGGTAAAGTTGGGACCATTGTTCCTGTAGAGTACATTTCCGGAGGTACCATTGCCCTCGAGGTAGAAGTTGACTGAGAGTGTGGCATTCCTCGAGTACGATAGACCGGTGGCTCTTCTCCAGATTTCGAAACATTTGCAGAGCATGCATAGCCGTATTTGATGCATCTATCGCATTTGACTCCTGGCCATGGGCGTTCACGCGGGACACACTGTTGGAAACAAAGCTCTGTTAGTATATATTTTCTTTTGTCTTGGCTTGGTGTAGACAGGTTGGCAAAAAAGGGGAAGGCCCTAACACCGTCGAAAACCCCTCTTTTGTGAGGACAAAAACCGAGGATAAGTTGTATTTCAAACTCTCCTTGGTGGGTATGTTGTGATTAAGATAAATGATATGATTTGCTATAGTACTAACCTTTTGTCTGTCTTTACGACATTGTGTGCATTTAAAGTATTCTAATTTGCTGGCTTTCGGCATACTGGCGCTCGAATAATCGACTGAAGATCTTTGAGACATTGTAGGATATTGAAGAATATGCGACGGCGGAAAATTGGTGCTCTATATAATTGCAGGAATGTCACCCCGGTTGTAGAAGGTATATGCAGGTGTTCTGCCGGTGTCAGAGCGGCTTTGTTCGCCCTGTAAAGTGTATAGAGGATGTGTGGGAGTAGAAAGATGATATGATAGAAGTCAGGATTGCGGCTGTACGTCGAGGTCTGTTCTAGATAGAACACCGTTAACAATCCGAAGATTAGATTACTTATTCCTGGGGTCTTGGATAAGAATATATATCGCCCTGGACGAAAATTAAGGGAGTTTATAGGAAATACAAGATTTTGATGATGTTGAACTCTCAAGATCTGGGATCGCTCTGCACTCGGCATGGTTATATAAATTTTTCCGCAAGAGCAGGCTTGCATATGCAAGCTAGAGAGAGCTAGAGTGGAACAGGGACTTGGGGCCCGAGCTGCACTAGCTTTTCGAACGAACGGCCGGAGAACATGCATGGATTGAACGGATCGGAAAAGTCTTACCTGCTAACCCCAGATATTGTTGGAAATTGGATATAAACGGTATACTTAATGCCGGCAAAGCTAAGTAACTCCGACAAATTCGTACTTATTTTTAAGAACGCTAAAGATATATCTTTAAAGGAAGATAACGGTCTTAAGATGGTAGATATATTATCCGGCTCTAGTTCTCTCCGTATGTATGTGATGTACCAATCAATTGATGAGCTGTATGGTAGGCAAGAGCGAAGAAGCGACAGTCCAAGAACCAGTCAGTGCAGGGCAGGCGGGAAAAACAAATGTGTTGATTTTAGTATGGATGGTTGGTGTTGTTGTCTGATCCGATCCAATCTGGTCTGGTCTCAGGTATTGGGGCCGAATTCGATTCGAATTCACAGTCTTCGAGAAACAGTATTTGGAACTGCGAATGTGAATAAGTCTAGTGACTAGCTGAAATCGGCTAATATTAGCGCTCTAATTGCCTTTCTTCTGACGATAGAGGTTTCCTAATTTACATTTTCCAGATATCTTGAAGTGTTGAGAATCCCAGTCCGGAAATCTGATTTACTGGAGCTATTTCGAGCAAACACAAACTGGTAAGCCCGAAAGATTACCTAAGTATAACGTATTGGTGTATGGGCGTATGGATAGTATGGCTTGGTCGTGGGGCTCTTTGACTGTATTTTAGAGGTAGTGGGTACTGCTGCGAAAATAGCACAGCCTAGCTATAGCCTGGCAGTACAGTTCGTCGTCTAACTAAGCAAGTATCTAGGCTCTGGGCAGGGTCTCCGATGTGGGCGTTTTGTAATTAATTGGGAAGATCAAAAGATATGGAAAACAGGACAGCACTGTCTTTCTTCTCTTTCAGGTACGGAATCCGGTAGACTCAATCAAATGCGGGCGCTCGACCGTTTTAGGGCAATGCAAGGACTGCGATAGTTGCAAGGTGTCTTTAAATTGTCGACTCGGATTTCTCAAAAGTTATCTATCCGATTTATTGATATCTCTGTCTTGGGAATTGTCTGTTTCGAATTTAGACTGGCTAGACTGTTGATGGTCCACTTGATGATTTTTTCGACTTCTCAAACACAGGCTATCGAGTCTCTTAAGTATCTGAAGCTTGTCTGAGTGAGTCTAAATCCTCCCAGGATTCAATGTGCAGAAGAATTGGGCAGCCAATACGCCTGTCCGCAATGACGAACTCATACAAACGGTAGCTAGTGGATCAACTTGCTCAAATTTCCCCATGAAACCTGATACTATCATGGAAACATGATATCAACAACTTGAGAGCGAATGGGCGTCTGGTAACTTGTCTAACGGTGGTTCCGACTAAGCAACCACGTTTAGTTCAAGAGTCCAGGTCATGCCGTACCTGAGCCCTCTTGCTCATGAGCTAGCGGGTTGCATCATGCTTTTCTTCCCTGTCCTGAGGGGGTAGTGTATTTTAACGTTCGCTCTCTGCGATTGCTTGTTCACCAATGATCGTGCAGGATTTCGCAGGGATGCTGGAAGTGGAGCAGCACTTGCAGAACCCTTGCCACTTGGCGTTGGTTCTGGCAGACCCATGTCCAGGCCTCCAGGCAGGGCTTTCGCTTCGTTCCCTGTGATACGAACAGTTGAGCCTCCTTGCTCCTCTTTGAGGCGCCGCTGCAAGACTTTGCATCGATGTCGGTTCCCGGCTATGCAGAACGCACATCCAGTGACTAGATTGTGATTATGGTAAACTCTCCTGAGCTGAAGCTTGTTCGCTCTCATAGGAATACATACATATGACTGATAGCCAAGGGAACATCTTTTTTTCACGTTACTTTTTGAGGTTGAAACTTGTAATTCTCCACAATTAACGGCATGCTAGCTAGTAGACGCTACTGCATTTTGCGGCCTGCAGGCCTGGAGCTTTAGGCAGCGCGACGATGGATTGACGAATACCTTGTCCTATTATTTGTGCTCTGTAGACCTAACCGAAACTGTGCTGACGCTCCAGATTGAAAATGCTGACAAACACTTGAGTGTCCCATACCGTTTGCAGATGCTCATGAACTGTAGGTTCGCACATCCTGCATTAGCCGTCATGAAGCTCGTGAGCCTTCAAACAACCCGAATGCTTGGCTTTCAACTTCGTAGGAAATCTGCGGCGGATTGGTCCGTTAGCGTTTTGGAAATGGGCAAAGATTAGTCACCGCTCGCGCTCTTGCTCCTCTATGTCTAGTCAGCTTTCGCGAGAAGGCCCTAGATCGGGTTCCTGGATCCAATACAATGGCTCCGGAGGCACCCGCCATTTCGTGGGACATCCTTTCATAACGTTGATTTCAAGCATTTTTACTGGTCGATAGCCGCAGTCTCATTGCCATGAGGCTTAAGATCCGACTAGCTTATCAGAGGCCGTCTAAGAGCTAACCGAGCTCCACGAGAGCGACCCGTCGGCGATTGAGCAGTTGAGATGTGGGATCCTTTCTTTTTTCTTTTTTTTTTCTTCTTTACCCTTCCCACCCACTCATACCAGACGTTGCTTCCTGTCGGAAGAGTTGCAAGTTGACAAGTGGTCAATTTCATACCATCGTAGCCTTTCGTGGCATTTCGGCGTCAGTATCATCCAAATTTGCGAAACTATGATTAGTATACTGACGATTAAATTGTCACGGAAGACTTACGTTGCCATCGGCCTTGCCTTGACCTAGCCGATTCTCTTCTACGCTAGTGAAACAATTGATTCCGCGTGCAAGTATAGCACAAGCCAGCTGGTATATACAATGGCAAGTGCGAAGGTGTGAAGGCTTCTTGCTGCAAGGGCAGAGGCAGTATGAAGTTTCTTAGGCGAGATAGCATGAAATTTAGCGATCAGTGAGAGCTCGAGGCCGGCGGGTGCGGTAGGCTAGTGCTGAAACGTTCCACCAGCCACACCTTCGAGTATGTATGTAGGTATTTGTGGCTTTAACGCTGACTTGTCCTGTGGGAATGTCTATGCCCGGATGTTCCGGGGAACTTTGTCCCTGGGACTACAGACAGTTGCATATCCATGCCTAGCTGATGATGTGGTGCAAAGAGCTCGTGGAGCTGTAGAGGTCAGAACTAGGGAATCCTTTGGGTGGAGTGCGGCAGCTCTGAGGAGCCTCTGGGAACGCCTGATTCCACATCTGGGAACTTTTTGGTGTGAGCTTGGTCCCACCTGCCAAGTCGTCACTCGGTTGACTGCCGTACAGCCCCTTCCCTGTCAACTGTGGCTTGTGGCTTCATGCCCTGTTTTTGTATTGGCTGGAGGTGTGGCTCCCTGGTCCCTATGATCGTTTCAAGGCAGCACAGCCCCAAAAACCTTCTTATCGATTAGACTTGCTATAGACAATTGCCAAATGCTGACAATTTCAAATGGAGGGCTAACATTAGCTATGCAAGATTTGAAGAATTTCCCTAAAAAAATTGTCCGAAAATTCGGACGTGGCAGATAGTTTACCCGGGGCATACGAGTTTTCTAGATCGGGCTGCCATACAGCAGCTGAAATAGTATTAAAATAGGGTTGACATACGTCTGATGCTCGTGCCTCGGTCTATTTGGCTGCAGAGAATTTAGAGAAACTGATCATCCCACTAGATGGGTCTGCGTCAACATGCTAGTTGGCTGGGGTGGCCCCGGGATGCTTAACGTTTCCTGTTTCCAAAATAAAGGTTCAAAGTACCAAAATAGCGGATCAGAAATTCAGTGGGGCATGCCGGCAGAAACGTGCAGCTACTCTATCCGATTCGAATCTTAAACTTGGGGATATTTTTTCCGACTTAGCGATCTGTCGTCTGAGAAATTGATCGAACCGTGGTCCTGATATTGATTGTCCCCTGTTAGCCTGTCACACCGGGCTTTTTTTAGCAGCTTCGGCGTCGGCGTGCGCTCTAAATAGCTCCGACACGGGGACCTTAGTATTAGGTTGTTAAACTATCACTACAATTACAGTATCTAATTTCTTGGACTCTTTGTATTCCAGCTGTTCTTTTTTTTCTCCTCTCTCCCTCATTTAGAATATCGTGATACCTCGGCATTTATTGCCCTGGCGGGCAATGGATGCATTTTTGGGAATTCTACCAGCTTCGCTGTCGTGGATCAACAAGTCGTCAGAGTATCCTGTCGGGATCCTGTATAACTAGATCAGGCGACAATGCAGCAGCGTAAGGACTCGCCGTCATGATGAATAAATTGTCATGACTAATTGATATATTTACCGGGCACAATTTGATTATTATAGCAACCATTGAGAACTTTCATATTGCGCAAGAACAATCATAGGGTCTGGAGCAGCCGATGGTGGACTTATGATTGCATACCCTCAGCTTGGTATTCTTACCAATACCTTTCTAATAGAAAATCGCGCGCCGTTCATGACAAGGTTTTCAGGCATGCCTGGTTCTTAGGCAATCGATCCATGGCGCACCTCCCGGCCGTATCTCTTGGAAAGGGGCTCTCGTTTTGTCTTTTGATATGATTCATGTTCATGTGGATCTCGAACTGATTCGGTGATCCTATAACTGTGTGCCGAAGTCAGAGCGGCTCATGATTACTCCACTGCCGTTGTTGCGGCTTGAAAATAAGTCGACTCGATCGACGTCGGTGCTTAAGCCAATTGAATTGAGCTACCGGTATACTGCTTTCGGACCCTTGTAATTGACATTCGCATTTATTCAAAAAGCCACTCAGCACGCTACTACCTAGCATTTTATTAGCAACGGAAGCTAAACCCGTTATGTGGGGCGTAGGGTGAATCAAAATGAAACTCATATTTAAGTTTATCCATATACTGGTGTTAATTGGTTGCACCTGACTTTAGCAATTTGAACGGATCCTTCACATTAGCGACTTCTACATTTTTTTCCTGTGTCTGAGTAGCAAATCTACACCCAATACCGGTAATAATGTCATGCCACGCTACACCAAGGCATCTGTCTACGAAATCTGCAAGCAAATTAGAGCATGAATCAAATAACTGAGTCATGGCAATTGGTCCCCTGAATGACGTGCGAAATTTAAAGTAAGTTGGTAATATGACGATAGGGCATGTCAGTACCCTTATTGCATTATTGTGGAATCTGCTGGAAATATTGCTTGTTTAGCCTTTGAAGTAGCATGCAAATCCCAAGGCTCCTACTTTGATCGTGGCATTCCTCATTGGATAATAGAATAGTAATAACGCAGGAGCGGGGACTCATCGTTTTTTTTCTTAAAATAAGAAGAAAGGAAAAGAAAAGGAGCGGAAGCCCTTGCAATAGAAACTTACAATCACCACTTCCAGGCCGTTCTCCCTATAAACTCAGCGGCTATTCGCTTTACGATTGGTTAAACAGAGTACGGGGACCAGTTTCGTCCAAGTGTAAGATACTAGTTATATTTTTTATCTGGGTCTAGATTGAACATGTGCACTCCATCTTGTCACAAAACCTGTTCCCGTTTCCGCACGAAGCATTGGCACATGTACATTGTGCTCACGCAGTCTGGTGATTCTTAGCGTTGTACGCTGTATCCGAGGGTTTGAATATCGGAGCTCTTCAAGAATAGTAAAATTGTAGACTATATTCAGATCGCCTTGATTTGACTTAGAACAATACCAACCTCAATTGTGGTCTAAATCATGCAGGGTAATGCAGGTCTTGATCACAATGTCGATTTCACAAATCACTGATTCGAACTCTCAATGCTGCATGTGCGGGATACATAGCCCTTGTGAGGTAGTCTGCCTAGGCAATGTGCGAAGTAATACTATAAGACCGGAAAGCTAACGGCGACGATTGATAATTCGAAAAAGAAAACTTGGCCTTGTTTAATATAAATCAAAAAAAAAAACAAGGAAAATTTGGATCAATTCTAGAGTGGTAAACAGTAGCGACTGCATGATCAAGGACTAGATTGACGTCAAAGTGCCAAGCTAGCTCGGTACGATTGTCCATTATAAAACAGGACATACCTTCGCTTGTCAGATGACATATGTTTCATGATTTCGGTAGCTTATAGTTTCCAAGATATTCCTGTAACTGATTAATATAAGTTGTCAATTCAAGGCACAGTGATCAATGCCATGCATAAGGCGGAATTTAGCGAACAGGCCCCACACCAAGGCTCCCCCGGAATGCGTTGATGACTCGAAATGCAACATCTCAGCCCCCCGACCCCATTTTTTACTCCGACATTTGGATATCTGTGGGTTCGAGCTATAGCTCTCGAATCGACCTTCCATGGCCACTTCATCCAACATAGCTTCGAGAACCACGATAGACCATCATTGCAATATTGCAATTCTTCCATCCCGACGATTGCTATCCGGGTTCCCGCCAAGCTTAACTTTACTCGGACTCGAGGTCGACCAGTCCCTGCTAAGTCCCTACGGAAACTGACGATTTGCAACTGCAATGATATTTCCCTTCGGAGACTTTTTATGTTAATTTTACCTGAGAAAAATGTGAATTCACCTCAATGTGTTGGTCGGCTGGCCCGGGTCATCAAGAACACTCGCTGGTCTGGCCAGAATGGCTCGAGACTGCCTTCAGACTAGGCCTTTGGGTCGGAAACCCACCGAAGAGACCAACTAGCCCCGAATTTACCCGTTATCATATTTGCTGGCGGACTAATGGCTGGATGGCGACATGGACGGGACTGAGATTCGGAAAGACAGTCTACGGTGGGACAAGACAGGTGCTGTAGGGTACAGACGGATGAACATTGCATACCCACACCCAGCCGGTCCCTTGCTTATCGGTGGAAATGCAGTTCGTAGCTGCATCGACATCCCTGTTGGACCAGTGAGGACTTGGAGGGGCAGTTCGCAGCTCCATGCAGTTTGCAGCTAAGTGAGCACATGGAGTAGGGAGCGCTGATAGCTGTTGTGTGCTAACTAACTTCAAGCGACACCGATAGCCGAATTGCGAAAAGTCTACGAGAAGTTTAAGGCCAATTGAAATTCGGGTTTTGCGCAGGCTGGACTGTCAAAACGGAAAGAAAAAAAAGTTAGTTGCTGTCTTAGAAATTAATTCACTGCTCCTTTTTTTTTGGTTGTTCGGCGGTGGCATGAGAAAACCCATTTGCATGGGTCTATCAAAAAGTTGCCTTTGATACGAGATTTCCTTCATCCCAACAACCTCTATCACCAGAAAAATCTTTCTCTTCACAACCAACAACCACCAAGGTCTTTCGGATCTCTATTGCATTGGCGCACCAGTTTCTAGTTGATACATTGTCTGTATCTTCCATAGGGGGCATTAGTCCTCAAGAAAGTTTGGCCTGTAACGGTCAAAAAAAAAAAAAAAACAATAAAAAAAACAATAAAAAAAACAATAAAAAAAAAAAAAACTAAAAGACCAGGATCTCCCACAACATCTTCGAGGCGTTTGCCCAATATACCACCAATATGACGACACTTCTCGCCAGGTCCGCTCGAATTACCCTTCCCACGCGACACCTACTAGCGGCACGCTTGCCTGCTACTGCAGTTCGAAGATGTTTTTCAGATCAGACAGCACCGGATGATAGTGCTAGCAAAGTCGAAAACTCGGCGGAAAACCTCAAACTCCCCCCGAAACAAAAGGAAAGGAAGACCTATCCGTTACCCAAGATTGAGCTCCCGTTTATGAAAGAGGATCTGGTTTTCAATGGCCAGACTAATCTTACGGCGCCAGAGCCGCTCACGGATCTCGATACCCTTCCTCGACGGCACATTGGACCTGACCCGAATGAAATAAAGCAGATGCTTGATACCATCGGCGTGAAGTCGATGGAAGAATTCATTCATAGCGTTGTTCCAGAGCAGATCAGGTCAGGTCAAGACTTGAAGGTGTCTCAAAAATATGGTCTTTCGGAGACACTGTGGCAGACAAGATTTAAAGAAATCATAGCTAGTATCACAACGACATACTCTTTCGTCGGTCAGGGATACTATGGAACAAAGGTGCCCGAAGTTATCAAACGGAATATTTTAGAGTGCCCAGAGTGGTACACGAGCTATACGCCGTATCAAGCTGAGATCAGTCAGGGTAAGCTTTCTTTTGTTTCCCTTCCCTTCCCTTTCCCGAGCGAGGCAGTGTGGATTCTTACAGCTATATAGGACGACTTGAATCTCTCATCAATTTTCAGACCATGGTTACATCCCTTACGGGCCTTCAAATTGCAAATGCATCGGTACTCGACGAATTGACCGCTGCCGCCGAGGCAATGACATTTGCCTATGCGTGCCTCTCAGCATCGAGACAGAAATCAACCAACAAGGTGTTCCTAGTCTCGAATAAGATGTTCCCCCAAACAATCGATGGGTTATACCCACGCGCCGAAGGGTTCAACATCAAAATAGTTGTAGCGGACCTCGAAACAGCTAATCTGGACGAACTGATTGGCGATGGCGACATGATCGGTGCGATGGTCCAATACCCCGATATTGATTCAAATACTGGGAAGTGGCTTCCTAGCTTCACAGAGGATATTCATGCAAGGGGTGGGATAGTTTGCTGTGGCACTGATCTATTGGCCCTCACGATGCTGAAGCCTCCTGGCGAATGGGGTGCCGATGTTGCTTTCGGTAGTGCTCAGCGATTTGGAGTCCCAATGGGTCTCGGTGGTCCCCATGCAGGCTTTTTCGCAACATCAGACAAGCACAAACGCAAGCTTCCAGGTCGTTTAATCGGAGCCTCCAAAGATAGGCTTGGTGACAAAGCTTATCGTCTGGCCCTTCAGACCCGTGAACAGCACATTCGACGTGAAAAGGCTACTAGTAACATATGTACCGCCCAGGCACTTCTCGCCAACATGAGCGCTATGTATGCTGTTTACCACGGACCCGGCGGGCTCAAGAAGATTGCGCAGAAGGTTGTTGCTACGAGGCAAATCTTCGCTCAGGCGTTGTTAGATATTGGCTGGCCGCAAGAACTAGTTAAGGAAAGCGATTTTGATACCGTACATGTTGGGTTTTCCGACCCGAAGACCTGGAAAAAGATGCAAACTCCGTCATATATGTATGCCGGGGAATTGAGGAGCCACAAAGATGGTGATCAGCATTGGATAAGCGTATCATTCGACGAAACTACGGATTGGCAAAGACTTTCCAAGTTAATCCAACTGTTTAACCACATTGGGCCTACCAAACGCGATATCGCAGCTACGAAGATTGGAGACGAGGCAGAGGCCAGCGACGAAGCGACCAAAGGCGCAGAGGAAAAAAAGAAGAACGTCTATTTGCTAGACCAGCACTCTCGCAGTATCGCCAGAACTGCTACAGAAAAAGTACTGGGAACTGGAAATATGGGACAGGTCCGAGCAGACTTTGCCAGAGAGTCAAAATTCTTGGAACAACCAGTCTTCAACAAATATCACTCTGAAACCGAAATGCTACGCTATATACACCACCTACAGTCGAAGGATTTATCGCTAGCAAACACCATGATACCCCTCGGTTCCTGCACCATGAAGCTAAACGCTACATCGGAAATGATAGGTCTAAGCTTCCAGAAACTGGGTAATCTCCATCCGCTTACCCCTGCACGTAAGCTTGGGTATTTCCCAGACATGGTCAAGAGCCTTGAGAAGGACCTCTGTGTGATTACTGGATTTGACGCATGCAGTATCCAACCCAACTCCGGGGCACAGGGAGAGTTTACCGGGCTTAGAATGATTCGAAATTACTTGAAATCTATCGGACAGGGCCAGCGTGACACGCTCCTTATTCCCGTTAGTGCCCATGGCACGAATCCTGCTAGTGCAACGATGGTTGGCTTCAAGGTCCAGCCAGTCAAATGTGATACGAAAACAGGTAACTTGGACCTTCAGGATTTGAAGGCGAAGGCCGAAAAGCTTGGTGATAAGCTCGCTGGTGCGATGATTACGTACCCCTCAACTTTCGGTGTATGTGAACCCTTAAATCTGAGAACGCCTCGAGGTGTCGGTAGAGCTGACCGGTTAATCTTTTCAACTTAATATAGGTCTTCGAGCCCGGCGTCAAAGATGCGATCCAAATAGTTCACGATAACGGAGGGCAAGTTTACATGGACGGTGCAAATATGAACGCTCAGATTGGAATCACATCGCCCGGCTACCTGGGAGCTGACGTCTGCCACCTCAACCTCCATAAGACATTCTGCATCCCGCATGGTGGTGGTGGACCTGGTGTTGGACCCGTTTGTGTGGCCAAACATCTGGAACCATTCCTCCCATCACACACGGATAGCTCTAATGAAACATTAAGACCGAGTGCAACTAGTTCCATCGGGCCAGTGTCTTCTGCACAATACGGAAGTGCCAGCATCCTCCCTATCAGTTACTCTTATATCAAAATGATGGGAGCAGTTGGATTGAAACATGCCACTGAGATCTGCCTGCTGAATGCTAACTACATGGCTAAGAGACTGAGCGACCACTATGACATTCTTTATACAAACGAGAACGGCAGGTGCGCACACGAATTTATCCTAGACCCCCGACCATTGAAGGAGACTTCTGGCGTGGAGGCTGTTGATATTGCGAAGCGTTTGATGGACTACGGATTCCACGCACCAACAATGAGTTGGCCAGTACCCGGAACTCTCATGATCGAGCCAACGGAAAGTGAGAGCAAGGAAGAGATGGACAGGTATTGCGACGCTTTGATTGAAATCAGAAATGAAATCAGAGAAATCGAAGAGGGGAAGATGCGTAAGGACGTTAATGTGCTGAAGATGGCACCACATCCTATGCAGGATTTGCTGCAGGGAGAGGAGGTCTGGAAGGATAGGGGATATACACGAGAGAAGGCCGGGTATCCCCTTGAATACCTGCGTGAAAGGAAGTTCTGGCCATCTGTGGCAAGAGTGGATGATGGTAAGTCTAAGTCGGTAAACCACACTGGATAAATCGATGCTGACAATGACCAAACTAGCTTTCGGCGACACGAATCTTTTCTGCACTTGCGATCCGATGCCCCAGGAGGGAGATGCTCCAGCTGAGCATTAAACCAGCCTAGAACTAGATATGATAGACTAGATGTCTACAAGATCAAGGCCTTTCGATTCGTTCTGCTTCTTTCTCTTCTTTCAAGTCTTTCAACATCAAAATCGGCGTTTCATTGTCCTACTTCGGTTTTAACATGACGGGAACCTCTACATTTAACATGGAGTTCAAAATCTTCTTCTGGGTGGGAACCAATATAGAGAAAAGCGCTTCAACGCCCTTGTATGCCTTTTTTCCTTTCTTTTTTTGTTTCTTTTGCTGTTGCTTCAAATATAATGAGAAAAAAAAGAAGACCTGTATACTATGTATTTGTTTACGTACGTATCATATGATCATAATATATATTAGCCACTGTATACACCGTATTAATATTAATGTAAGTACCACGCAATTCAATTAATTGCAATGGGACTGGCCTGAATTAAAGCGAAGGCTGTTTGGTACCAAGGACAAGAACTATTCTTATTCTTAACTTGGAAGCTGAGGATTGGCGTTTGCGGAAGTCTTAGCAAAACGCGGTATTCGGCAAAACAAGATGGATTGCCTCACAACTTTGGTCCGATCACCGACAACATCATACGTAACACTGCTACGTACGCTCTTTAAAGGCCACGGTTCTCCGTCCCGCTCTCGAAACACCCAAGGAGAGATAACTTTTTACCGTCGAATTGGCCGTAGAACCCCCCGCTGGTTAGTGTGGTTGTCGTTTCTTCGGCGATTGGATCTCTCCACAATTCTCTTTCTTAAAGCCGTGCTGATGTTCAACAGCTGCCCGGGGGTCCTTGCCTTGCCTTAACTGCTCTCTACCTAACTATAAACTGCCCATCGGAGCCAGAAACCCACCTAAACAGACGTCCTTTCTTTCGAAGCCCTTACAGCTCTATTATACTACTATCATCCACTCGCTCGTCCGTTCGTTCAAAATGTCGGATTACCCATATCGTGCCTACTCGCCGTCAGATTCGGGCCCCAATCGGAGTCCGACTAGACGGACACCAAACCCGCCTGGTGCTAACTATCCGGCTGCAAACGACTGGAATCGGAATGTGCACTCTATGCCTGGCTTCGAGGGCTGGAGATCCGATGATGGACCTAATGCGTAAGTTCATTCCACTTCTTGTTCCGTTTAAGGAAAGGCTAGTTGCTGGTAGTGTTGGTATCGAAGGCAGAGGGTGGTCACGTCTCGTGATGCCGACATGGTGCCTGCAGAGACCGTAATGCCCGCTGCAGCTGGCCGTTTCTGCAAACGAAATACCGCTCCCCTCTTTGGAAGACCTTCGATATAAAATAGAAATAAAATAAAATAATTAAAATCAGAAACTACCATTTGGTGGCATGCGACAGTCATTGTTCACTACCCCTAACCTGCCACGTCTGTTTTGTGTGCCGTGAACAGTTGTCGATAACTAAAAGAGAGCCTTGTCACTGTCACTAACATGCACATACATGCATACGATTCTGCAGCCTCCACGCCAGCACTCCAAACATCGTTCCGGAAGTCGTTCCTAAGGATCCTTTCTTAATCCCTCAAGCCTCATCCTTCTCCCAAAGTTCCAATTCCTACGGCGTTCCTCCATCTCTTCAGCCAGGCAGTAGGGACTCTATCTCTGGATCATCTCGTTCTACCTTTACTAGCAGACAAGACACTGAATTCGACCTGGCATTCGGTACCGGACCAACTCCTAATCGAAATTCATACTCTACTGCAACATCTAGTTCTGATTCTCCATATCGTCGACGACACGCCCGGACACCTTCCGAGAGCTCTAACGACTCTGCATCCAGATCTCGCGACCGAAGATCTAGCCAGCAAAATCGAGACCGAACTCCTAGTACCTCTCCTTCCCGTGCCATTACACGAGACGGAGTAGCAACATCCTCAAGTGCTTTGAGAACTCCATCTGGGAACATAATGTCTGCAATCTTTAACTCAGAGAATGCCGCAGCTGTTGGTAGCGTGTTGGGATCCGCTGCCTCTTATCTCGGATCTAGGGCTGGCGCTGCCAGGCCCGGGGATCAGCCACAACAAGAGTACGACAATATTCCTGGAGGCTACAATAACCGTCCAGTTCCCGATACGGCTTCAGGCACTAACAATGCATTCGGAATTGGTGACGCTATGAGCTATCTATCAAGCCATCTAGCGGCACCACAAACTCCCGCGCCGCCGCCACCAGCACCGTCACAACAGCAGGGAGGAAGTCCATTTACGTTAGGCAATGCATTGAATTATCTACAACATGCTACTCAAGGCCAGGCAGCAACCACCCCTGGGAATAGTAATGGGATCCCTCAGAACTTCCAGCTTGCGGGGATAGACATTGATCTCAAGTGGATTGCACAGAAGGCTAGTGAACAGAATCCTTGGGTGCTCCTTGGAGGAGCAGTTGTTAGTTTTTGGATTATAAGCAGTATCATTGCTACTTTGATCTGGTATGGTATGGTCGCCGGTGTTCTTTATGTTATATATATTGTCGGTGTGAAGAATGGAGGGTTTCAAGCAATTAGTGGTGGCTCGGCGCCACCAACAAGGAGAATCAGTACTCCGGGAAACACAGGCAGCAGCTGGGGTAGCGGTGGGAGGGCACCCGGTGGGGGAACGGAATGGAGAAGGAGGACTTAGAAGGACTTGAGGATTGCTAGAGAGATCATGATGGAGATACTTGGGAACAGACGATAGTTTGGGTCGATCTCGATGGGGGCTGTATACACTCGGTGTCACCGAACTCGCGGATATGCGTATTGCATTGCATTGTTTTACTGCTATTGGCATTCTTCTAGGTTGCATTGCACACTTCTTACATGCATACATTCTATACTACTATCTTGTACGAGTCCATTGTTATTTCTCTAATAGATCAAAATCTCTCTCCCTCTCTCTCCTGCTCCATCGAGCTCTTTACTTTTATTTTTATTTTATTTTCCCCTCTATTTTCTTTGTCATCGTGTCGCATGGGGCCGGGATTGGCGAGATGGTCGAATAACTAGGCTGAAGTTTGACCACTCCTGCATGTCAGAGTCATAGTTAGCCAGAGTTTCCGGCGGGGCTTGGCACTACCCCGGCCGAACATAGCTTGGCCCGGCCTGCCCTGCTAGTCTCCTTTGAATTTGGACGCTTTTAAAAGCGAGATCGAACCCCCAGGCCAACTGCTCTTCTTTCCTTTCTCTTCTTCTTTCTTTCCTCACCAGAGCACTGCTCTTTAGCGACTTCAACCTTTTAAACCTCTTCCGCGATCACCGAGGGCCTTAATCCTCTAAAGGGCCTTCGAGAACTTCAAGCGTTTCCCCTCCAGGTCTCCCCGTGGGGCCTTCAAGCGACACAGTAACCACTACATTGCAAGCATGTCTATCTCAATCGTCGCATCCTTCTTCACATCCACAGAAGTCACTATGTTCTTCCAGCCGCAGCAGCGGGAAGGAACTGGCGTGCCACCGTGGTAGTTCGCCTTCCACCCAGCGGCAGCAGCAACAACAACCACTTCAGAGTAAAAGTTTTGATTTTAGTACAGACGTTCTCGGGGATATTGATTGTAATTTTAACGATTTTGTATCGGTTGATGCGTATCTTTCTTCTACTGTTGATTTTGATTTTTCTACAAATTTCGGGAGTTTCTTGGACGGAGGAGGAGGATTGGAAGGAGGGAACGGGAGTATCGACAGCATCGATTCGTTCCTTGATTTCAGCAGTATTGATACTGCTTCAAATTCTCAAACTACAACCTCGACTACGCCTTCACAAGGCGACGGTTCGGGAGATTTCTCCCAGCCGTCTTCAATAACATCGCTTCAAGATCTTTCCATGAACATGGTTTCATCTGGAGATTTAGATTCATTGCTTTCTCTACATTCACACCATATTCCGCTCGATGAATACACAATGGGGCTCCCGCTGTTCCCAACACCAACGTCAACCTCGTCAGCGTCCCCGACCTTGGGGTCCGTGGCTTCAGGGTCTCCTTCGACATCATCACCATCATCTTCTTATCTTCCACATTCACTTCAATCCACCCCTTCTCTCCCCCCTCTCCCTCATCATTCCCAACAGCAGCCATACCGTATCCAAAAGCAGAGGTCCAAACCAGGACCGAAGCCCAAACCAAAATTTATCCCTTCTGTCTCCCCTACAATCGCAGGAGAAGACGATGATTCTCCAGAAGTAATTGACAAGCGATTCAGGAATAACCTTGCCGCTAAGAAGTACAGACAGAAGAAGGTTGATCGGATTTCGGAATTGGAGTCAGCGTTGGCGGATATGACAAGGGAGAGAGATGAGCTGAGGCTTTTGTTGGCGAGAAAGGAGGCTGAAGGTCAGGTTTTAAGGGAGGTTATGGCGAAGTCGAAGGGAGGTAATAGTTAGCTATCCGTTGTAAGAGAAGTCGAGAACAGGAGGAAGAGGGGGGCCATATATGTGGAACCTATATTCGCATGTAGCTTAATTACATATGTCAATGAAAATAAGAGTTAGCCTTGATTCTCTCTGATCTTTGTAATCCGAACCCTGTAGGGCATATGCATGATGATTAAGTTAACAGAAAAATGATTGACAAATGGGATTTTGTATGATCAGTCGATGTCAGCGATACGGTCCTCATACATGGCTATGGATTGTTCTATATATGAGCCAGGTTATCTTGGGCAAGGAAGTTATGCTATCGTCATTTGGACATTATCCCGATTTGATATGTGTATGAGTCTTAAGATACATCTTGCCAAAAGCGCAGAGACTGTCTCAAGACGTATATAAAAGGATCATGAAGTTCTTCCAATATTCTTACCATTAGTATCACCGGATTTTGTGATCTCTTTTCTCTCTTTTCAATTTGATATTTGCTGGAAATTATCGTAATCGTTTTCTATTCAATATTCTAACAGTATACAGATACACAGCATACGTTTTATAAGTACTCAATATTACGCTACGATCTTACAAAGGTTCACAGTTTCTTTCGACAATATACAGATGACGCCGAAATTCACTATTCACTCCGGTCAAAAACCCATCATGGCCCCGTACAATCCGGGTTGTTACTGTACACACACCTCACAACCTGAATCTTCTTTTCCACGCTCTGACGCGGGACTGATGTGCCAGCCCATCAATGTTGCTCATTGTGGTGGGTGTCTGAATTCGGATGGTGGCGAAATGAATTGAAATGATTCATAGCTTGGCGAAATGTGGTATTTTCGTGCTAGGTTCTTTTGGGGATAGCGTTGTGCTACCCTAAAAATGTAACTCGGATGTGAGATTTCCGGTGTTGAATCGGGTTGGGATCGATATTCGGGTACGAACTGGGGTTAACGGGTTTGGGGACGGAGGTTCGGGCGGTGAGAGATCGCTCTATGTCAATTCGCGGTAATTGCTCACCATTTTGGCTTTGTTTTTTTTAAATTTGATATTCAGATTGGTCGACGTATACGATGAAATTAACTATAAAAGATTGCATCGATTAAATTCAGTAGAATTACTAGGACTAGAACTTATGATATTATCGTCTTTGATATTAATGGATCAATCTTTATACAGTATTTTAGGTCTATATAGCTATAGAAGGCTATAACTAGAGTGGTAAAATGATAGCTAGAAGATCTTAGTACAGTATTAATATTATTGCAATATGTTTACAGGATGTGGTGTTCATATTCGTATAACCAATATCAATATCTAAAATCGTCATTTGTACTGGTACTTCATCGAGTTACTATAACAAGATTATGGTTTTAGAGCGTTTATAATCATAGTCTTTACTAGAGGTTTATTATCATAGACCCATGAGAACTTTGACTAATTGACGATAGACTGCATAAGTTTTTCCCTATGCTCTATAGTCCTACTAAGACCTAATTTAGAAATTATATGAAAAGGCATAATACAATTGGTGGATATATTTTGGAAAAGATATTCTAAATCTGACTGGTAAAGTTTTACAGGTAGTAAGTACCAACGTATAGCTGTTATTTCCTCGAACATCCCACCTCGGGACCCCGTGCTGGCAATGACTGTTCCACGACAAAAATCTTTCCCGGGAAGCTTCAATACGAAACTTCTCAAAGACACGTATTCATTAATGCACCTGGATATATCTCCACCGCTCATGCATGTCGAATGATCATACGAGGCAGTGTCTCCTCGTAATAGGAAAGAGCTCTCTTCGAATGTAGGAAAGTTTCATGAGATCTTCAGATCAATTAGTTTTGATTTCTAATCTTGAGCGGTTTTTGTGAAGGAATTCAGTTGTAGAGCTCTCTTCATCCTTAGAGAAGCGGCCAGGGGCCGTAGGGGTCTTGAAATTTAGTCTAATTTACGTCTTGTCAGTGGGAGAGTTAAGGTGCCGGTGGACCCTTGGCTGATTATTATTTTCTTTGAACTGGGGTTTTCGGGATAGAAAGTTTCCGACGAGAAATGTTTCCTGCGGTGGGTTAGTGGAGAGATGTCTCAAAGAGAAGTGTGAAGAGAGCTTGGGAAATATCGATAGGACGGCCTGCCCCAGATCCTATCTCATCTTTCATCCTTCGACCCACCCTAGATCTGGATTCCAGTCAGCATAAGCCGAAGCCTACCCTCTTTTCCTGTGAAATTTTCAATATGCATCACTAATTTTGCGACTACAATGCGTCAATATTAGCTTAATCTCTAATGTGAACATACACCGTGACGGATAGAATCTTTCTGATCGGCCCTCATGTTGTCTGATTCCGACCAGACTACAATTTCGACGGGACAGCCCCAAATTCTGATTCATGAAGCCAAAGAAACACTTAAGCTTCCCCTATCTCGCAACATTTCTCGACATCTAATCAAGAATGGGGAAAAATAATATGCTCAATAAACGCATCTATGGCTCATAGGGTTAGCAGCAACTCCTATTGCTATACTCACCCTATCATATCTATCTCGAAATCGCTTATTGAGCTCAGTTTGTCAGAGTGGCCGAGGTGCATTTTGAAAGGAAATGTCCATCGCACGTGGGAACATCGTAATGACTTCAACACGCCGGCCTGAACACCACCAAAATGTGGTGTAATTCACCTATCACGGTTATATTCCTCGCCGCATTTCCATTATTGGCGATAGCAGAACTTCCCGAAATACCCGAAGGCGCGAATTTCGCGTACCATATTGAAGGAGATGCGATAATTAGAGATCGACTAGTACCCAAGACCATCGACGGGTGGGGCAAACACCCAGGCACTCGCTACCCAGAGCCCTGTTTCCCTCTCATGAATACCGAAACTAGAAGGATATATACTTTCGGGCATGTCACAAAGTTGGCTCTTAACGCAGCATTCTACGATATTCCGAACCGGGATGATGATATCAAATTCGAGTTTTTCCAAGATGACGAATGCAGAATACCTAACCATCCACGAATGCTCTACATTAATGGAGAATATGAAATACCTGAAGAGATCAAAACGCGAATGGGAAGTCTTATCTTAATAGATCCATTAAGTTTGACTTTCGCGAGAAACCCGTACCCGTATTCCTTTTGGAGAGTTAATGCTTCGGAAAATGTACTCGTGAAGTCTAAGGAGAACTGGGATCGGGATCGAAGGCTGTTTGACGAAGTGACAACTGATCTTTCGGCTGGGAACCAAGAGCGCTCTTGTACGATCTGCTTGAATTCACTTGTTGAGAAAGAACCGTCAACCGTGTTGCTGGGGGATTGTGGACATTCTTATCATGGGCCGTGTTTGGATCGATGGGCTGCTGCACACCCAGAGAGAAATCCTCGAGATCCAGTGGAATTTGTAAGTTCCCTCCTTCTTCATGACAGTTGCTGAATAAGCCTTTATCATTTCGCACCATACAGAGGCCTAATCATTGAGAAATATCGAACATGAACAGAAACGGAGGACTGGGTTTCCACTAGCTCAACTGACACCCTGTCCTACCTGTCGTAAACCACTGAATCGTAGAAAGATGGCGAGAATCCCGACTCAAGTAGCTGAAGAAGAAGAGAGGAAAGAAGAAGAGCCACGGGGCATAAGGGACCCACGGGATAATATACGAGATGAGCCTATCCTACGCGGCACCCCTGAGCGGCGACGGAATGACCCTATGAACGTCAATATTTACAACGATTACTCATCCACTATCGGCCCACCATCCTTATTTACTACTCCTGGTAGCGACCTCGAGGACCTCGTTAACGCAGAATATATGGATGAAAAGGCGAGGGGCGCTTCACGGGTGAAAAGACCTGCTAACTATGATTTTCAATCGAGTTTTGTTGGAAATAATCCTCTGGTACTTCCCGAGGACTATACCAGTGAAGTTTTAGAGGCGCCGTTTAACATACAAGGTCCTGAGGTTCAATTGACAGAGAACCCGGAGACAAACAATAGTCCATTTGTACCGAATCCTCTTGATGAGGGTATTTCTGGTTTTAATGGCATTGGACGCTCGCTTCGATCCGGTCAACTAGGTTAACATGAGGATGGTATTTCCACTCTTTGTAAATATATCTATTCAGGATTTTGGGCCAATCTATCAAAATGATATCTATTGTGGTGTTCTCTCCAATCAGCCTAGATGTCCTCTCGAGGTGTTCCACCTCTGTCAACGGAGTCTGTATCGAGGTTTACATGCTCCCGTATTCTGATATGAAAATTATGCATACGATTGAGCTAGATCACGGAATAGTGCTATAGATAGCAATAACTAACCAGTGTATTTAAATCGGAACCCGGCCCATAGAGATCATGGATGTTCTCTAGCAATGTTGAAGGCGGCGCTGAGGTCTTAATATGGCTAATACTCGTTCGTGTTGGATGTTGCATTTTGTGATTCAATCAAGCAGTATATTCCCCAATCGAGAGCTAAAAGCCTCCAGGATGTATAATAAGATATACACCGATGGGTATAATTTAGTCGAAGGAACCAATGGAAGTTCAATGTCAATTATAAAATGTGCCATCACTGTTACAGATTTCATCATGCCAGAGGCTTTTTGAATTTTTTATTCTGTACGCCCCTTCGCTTACTCGCCGTCCAGCCTTCTCGCCACAAAATTCCCAACACGTCGCTTGGCGTGCCCTCGCCGATGAAGCATTCCCATAACGTACGCTTTACGTAAAACCTCACCTAAACGAGTGCTCGCCGTCTGGCCCAAAAGAGACAGAAACATAGAAGCAAAGAAGAAATTCGAGAACCAGAAATATTCCGAAGGGCCATTTATTCTGGCCACGCGAGAATTTAAGCTTAATTCCACCTGCGGATTGAAGGTTCGCTAATCGTTTTGAGAGCGGGAAGCTGGCATGTTTTACTTGAAGCCAAGCCGGGAATGGCGTATCCATATCGACGTCGAGGGATGCATGCAGAGCCCAACACCACTTCAGCGAGCGAAGGTGACAAGTGATTTATTCCAGACTCCGGCTCCACGTTCTCAACCTTCGCAGTTCGGCATTTGGAAAAATAAGGATGTGAAGCACAGTGAAAGACAAGTACCGGGTTTTTTTTGCCCTCTTCAATGTGCAGGAGAAGATAAATCCTCTATGAGAACGACACCATTGTTTTCAGTTGTGTTCCCGTTACCATTTTCTCGTTCTCAATTGTGTCACCATAATCTTCCAACCCAAATTTCATGCTTGTGCAGCAGGCTTCCTGCAGTTCGTGTACTGCGCCCATCCAACAGAAAGGATCCACATCATATTTGTCCGTCCCTTGCCTTCAGCCTTCTGGAAACGTCTACTGGAAAAAGTACTTTTTCGGGATCCCTAGATCGTCGATTCTCGAGTTCTCTTGCTTAGAAGATGCCGAAAAGGAATGTTGGCTGCAGCTACGCGATGACAGGCATTCACCGTTGGAAAATAATTCGCTGCGGAATATCTACCGTATATCCGACACCCTTCTACATATTTATGAATCGACTGAAATCCGACAGGACGGGCAGTGTTTGGGAACACAAGTATGATCATGATCCCACGTCTTGGATTATACCGGTTTGTAAACCGCCACCGTTTGGGAATTCGAGCGATTCGGCACATCTTCTTGGTTTGAATGTGTTGGGGGACGAGGGGGCTTTTGAAAATGAGTCCTATTTTCTTCGGTTGGCAGTTAGCTCACGGGAATACAGTGTTCTAAAGAAAACCCTAGCTTGAGTGCTTTTTGCTCAAGTGACAATTAGACGCTTGGATGTGTCCGACGATGCTTGCTTTCGCTTCTGGCATACAAATCGGGGCGGGAAGATCGAATACGCAGGATATTCGTAGATATCGGCAAACAGTCAGACAAATTGGTCACAGAAACTCTTATTCTGTCGATTTATAATATTTTTGTCGGTGGAATATAGTAACTGCACCGAGAGGGCACATGATGGATGATGAGGAGGCGTCGACGAGCGAAATCCGGTACCGAAAGGCTTTTAGTTAAGGTTAAGTTTATCTCGACGAAAAACCCCGAATTCACCCGGCACTTCTGATTCACTCGAACCTTACGTTATCAACGTTCAGATATCATGATTTGAAACTGCTTATGGTAATAATTAATCCGAAGCTTCTCTATCGTTTTGCTCGTAGTAAGTCATTCATTCTATTGGAATTCAGTTGCTCAAAATCTATAACATTTCTGCAGTATTCTTGGTTCAAGTCGTGGAAAACCCCCCTTGTCAGCCCCCGTCTCGACAATAGATATGTCGTGATGATCACTACCGGAAGAAATCAAGTTTTGTCGAAATCACTCACAGATGGATGCAATGCAATATCCGTGTTCAAGGGACCAAGTCCCGGTGAATTCATAAAGGGTTTCGCCTATTGGAACCAGGTGGTTGCATTTCAACCGCCATGGAGGAAACAGATCACGCTCGTTATTTCATATGATCGTGGTTCACCTTATCTCGGAATAGACGTGCCTCATAAGCGACAGGGAATTCTCTTCGGCGACCTCCCAGCAGCGGCAGTATCGAAGAACTTAGCTTTTTAGAATTGTGGAGTAGCAGTGGAGTATTTTTTTTAGCAGGTGAGGATTGAAATTAAGAGGTATTCCACAGGTATCGCGCATATACTTAATATAGCTAATTTGCAAGCGGTGTACATAAGTACATATGTACTTACTTACTTACCTTTGTGTCGAAGTTTCCCCCCTCCTGCAGGCCAAATTACCAGTGAAAAGTAACCAGAATTGGAGCTTTGCAAATAAAGTGCATGGGAATGGGGTCACCATACATTGCGTCCAGATCCACCCGTCCGCAGGCCTTCGACGCAGGCCAAGATCTTTCCTTATCTTTGTGGCGTTTCTTAGCTAGCATTTGCAGCCAAACGGTTAGCCTTCTGAACCCCAACGCGCCGTCTTGGCAGGTCATTCAGCCTATAAGAACATGCGAATTCCTTATCTCTGAGGTTTCAAACTAAAAGGAAGCTTGAATGCTGTCTCGTTTTCGCCTCACGGAAGTCATTTCTTGCTTCTGCCAGTTCGCTTCTTCGATCAATCGCGCGCTGTCGATTGGATATCCTTGTTGATTTAGTTGGCCCCTCATTTACAGGAATGTTCGCTTTGGGTTATGTAGACATCGAAAATAGGACGTTAAGGGTATGCCAGTTAATCGTAAAAACCAGTCGGCGAGGACGATATCTGCTAAAAACAGGAAAGACCTGGGCTTTATTCGCGTGCTTGTACCGAGCTATCCGGATGACAAGCCATTCTCGTGGGAAAGGTGCAGTTCGGAAAATGCTGGGCACGTTCTCGGATATCGAAACGTGTACTATGTATGTGATGTCCCAAGTGCCATGGCGGGCAAACGGTGGGATGAGACATATTATAGCTTCTCTTTTCACAAGCCTTGTTGGCTTTGAAGTTCCGAGAGAAAAGATATCTTGATTCATTCTTATCTATGAAACTTTGTTAGTTGGTTGCTGTTATGTTTGTCGTTGTTCGGGAAGTTAGATAGCTGGCGGCTGGACAATTGTAATGGAAAGTATGTCCTGAGGAGAATTCTAGAAAATCATGATACAAGAGTAAAGTCTATAGTTTTCCTTTTAAGAGAATTAGAAGGCATAAGGCAGAGTTTCCGGGTGGTCTATTTCATCTACTTGAGGCTGGCCGCGATCTCAAAAAGTTTGTAGCATTCCTTATCTGCCTGAGACCTTGCTGGTGCAAATATTAAATTATAGTTGGGTTTGCTTTTTTCTTACTTGTACCATGCAATGTCGCTTTCGCCTGTCCATGTTGAAGGCTTTCGGGACTCTGCAGCTGAAGACAATTTGTATCCTCGTTAGGACCAGCACTATGTGTATTGGGAAGGAACGGAACAGGCTTGCGATTCGTGGGAACGGAAATGGAGAAGCCAAGCCCATGCAAGTGGGCCACTCCCTTTCGATGTCTGTCAATCTTTGGGGGTCTACCCATCATACATACATCCAACCACCCCTGGTCGGGTCGTGCGTGTGCCTCTGCGCGCCCGCCAAAGCTAAAATGTCGCTGATTAGGATCATAACGCTACCACTGCCGGCGCTGATATTGCGATATTCCGTAGCTTTTAATAATAAATTTTATCAAAAAGTAAAAACGATGAGGGGATGATAACTTACCAGATGTGTGTGACCTGACTTGCGACAGGTGCATACATATGTACATACTTCATATTTCATGTATGTCTGAAGTGTGTGTGTGTAGGTTCTCATGCATGGGAACCTTTCCCCAGGCCTATCCATAAAAAGAAAAGAAACTGGCTTGCTTTGAGGCTTCGGTATTTTCCCAAGTATGTGAGTCTGGTTGTCTGCCGTGGTAGTTATCATATATAATCTTGGACCCTGATCCCATCCTCCTTTCAATCTTTCTTACTTTCCCCTCCATCCCATCTCGGCCAGTTCCACCAACTTCCTCTTAACCCTTGGCCACTACAAAGGAAGTAGCCTCAACGTCCTTACCATCTTATACTACTTCCTATCGATTCCTTTCCTTACTATCGATAAATAAGAGTCACCGACTTATACCTAACTATGTCGGCTGAAGAGCCAATTGACCTTTCGGTCTATGGCCTCGATGGAGGTGATTCTGGAAATGGTAGGTCTATTTCGCGGATACCTTGATTTTACGGAGGGGTGGCTTTAGAACAATGGAAACAACTAACTGGTCTTCCTTGACTGTAAATAGTCACTATTGCTGCGGCAATGAATGACCAATATAACCGTGGTGATCTCGCCTGGGTTCTTACCGCCGCCGTTTTGGTCTGGCTCATGATTCCAGGTGTCGGTCTTCTCTACGCCGGATTGTCGAGACGACACGCTTCTGCTGCTCAGCTCTGGCAGGGTCTCGTTGCAGTCGGAATTGTCACCTTCCAATGGTAAGCTTTTGAACATACGCGTAATATAAAAAGGCTGTTGCCATATATGGGTATCTAATGATCGATGATTGATGTTTAGGTTCTTCTGGGGATACTCCTTGACTTTCTCGCACAGCGCCAACGATTTCATCGGTGACTTGAAGAATTTTGGTTCGATGCACGTCCTTGGTGCTCCATCCGTTGGCTCCTCCTTGGTTCCAGACATTCTCTTCTACTTCTTCCAACTTGTCTTCGCCTGTGTTACCGGTGTCATCATGTTGGGTGGTGCCGTTGAACGTGGTCGTCTCATGCCCTCTATGGTTTTCCTCTTCATCTGGACCACAATCGTCTACGATCCTATCGCCTGTTGGACCTGGAACGGCGCCGGCTGGTTGTTCAAGCTTGGGTCTCTCGATTTCGCCGGTGGTGGACCTGTCCATATGTCGTCTGGTGCAGGTGCTCTCGCCTACGCCTTGATGGTTGGTCGTAGAACTGGTGATCACGGTGGAAAGATGCCACACTACAAGCCAGGAAATGTCTTCTTTGTCGCTCTCGGGACAATCTTCCTCTGGTTCGGCTGGTTCGGCTTTAACGGCGGTTCTGCTGTCAATATGTCCCTCCGTGCCATCTATGCCGCCGTCAACACCAACCTCGCAGCCTCCTGTGGTGCCCTCACATTTTGCATCATTGATTATTTCCGCAAGGGTCAAAAATGGTCAATTGTATCACTCTGCTCCGGTGCCATTGCTGGTCTAGTTGGTATCACTCCAGCTTGCGGATACGTTCCTATCTACACTGCCGTTCCAATCGGTGTTCTCGCTGCTACTGCTTGCAATTTTGCCTTCGACCTCAAACATATTCTCAAGATTGACGACGGACTTGACGTTTTTGCTCTTCACGGTGTTGGTGGCTTTGTTGGAAACGTCCTTACCGGTATCTTCGCTGCTGACTACATTGCCGCTCTCGACGGTGCTACCGAAATCCCTGGTGGTTGGTTGAACCAGAACTACATCCAGCTCGGATATCAGCTCGCCGGCTGTGTTGCTATCCTCGCATACGCCTTCACTGTCACCTGTCTCATTCTTTTCGTTGTTGATAAAATTCCTGGACTCGATCTCCGACTCCCCTCTGAGTTTGAAGATAAGGGTATCGATCACTACGATATGGGTGAGATGCTTTTGGAATATGGTCTCATGGAGGTTCTCGAGGCTGGTGTCGAAGCCAAGCGAACTTCTAAGGTCCCACCAGAGGCTATGGCTCCATCTTCGGACGGCGATGACGCTGCTCAGGTAGAAGCGAAACCGTAGAATGATCGTCTTCTGCTTTGGGTTTTGTTATCGATTTTACGTCCAACATGAGTACGGACTTTGCCTACATCATGTCTATAACTTTTTAGTCTCTCATATGCATTCCTGTGCTGGTTTTCACTCTTAATTCAAATAGCGCAATTTCCCATATAGTATAATGGAAAGCTATATTTTTCTTTTGAATAAGCTATTCGTTCATAAAAGGACCCTCGTAATTCCATATGATCGGTATGATAAGATTGGTAACAGTGTACTAGTATTCTCACTACTATCCCGCATCCAGACTTAGTATAGTGCATCTACAGACGTCTAGACGTCTCTTTCAAATCCATTGCAATTGTTCCTGGCTACGTGCAACCTCATATACTTTATCCCTCGAATCCGACTGCCAGACTTCATGACGTAGCATAATCCGAAATTGAAAGTCCCTCAGCACTAGCTACTTCTATCGATAATAAGGGACCGAGTGGTACTAGATTCGGCCGTCTATAGATGCCTAGCTAAACATAACAATATTGATACCAAGCACGTCAACTAGTCGTGCAACAGTCCGTTCTAAAGCGTCAATGATCTTTAGACTGTTCATCCCGCATTTGGAATACGACCGTCTGTTGGATTGTTGCTAGTGACACGAAAGTCTGCACCAGTTTCGTAGAGTCCGCCGGCTGAGGATATATATGTGTTGTTGTGTTGGCATCCACACCAGCTTGGCGTCCATTTTGGGGGAAATCCCATTACGTTTTCTGGTTTGTCATATCTTTTGTACGAATCTCAACATGCAAGCATATGCGCATGAGCTTCCCGCTTTTCTTCCCTTTGATACCGATCGAGTATGTATGTAATTTAGGACGAGAAATCGTTCGGAAATTCGGAATAGATATCATTGGCTAGATTTCGTTTTCTGAAACATAAGTGTTTTAGTATCTTGTCGATATTCATGACGGGAAGTGAACTGGCGGCTGGAGAACTCAGTTCACGCAATGTTAAGTTGTAATTGGTGTACTGCTTGTATGTGCGTATCAGGCGCAGAGTCCAGGAGTCCTGCTAGTCAATAGTTCTATTTTGTTCCGTGACCCAGTATGGATACCGTCTTAACCCGCTTGGATAAACTCTCGTAAGATATGTTGGGAAACAAATCACCATCTGTGGGTAACTGATTACTGAAGCCGAGTAGAGAAAGGCCTCGAGAACTAGTAACTGAAATTGTAGCAAAAAAAGGGTAGGAGCCCATTCCATTCTGCAAGATACAGAACTTGTGGACGGCGACCTGGTTAATTATAGACTTTTTACTTTTATTCTGCCCTTGATAAACTTCTATGTATGTGCTCGTGTTCGATATTAGCCCTATCAAAACCGGGGCTGTCTTATCTTGAGCCCGATATGTATTCCTTGTGAAATGTGGGTGCCTGGATAGCCGTCTGCTGTTGTGGCTAGGGGTGTGGGCCTTTCGGGGCACAACGCAGAAGATAACGGGTTTTTGTTAGATTATGCGTGCCTGGTGATTGACATGGCGCGGTTTAAACCGGAAACCATGAGCGTCCCCCAGACTACAGAAGCCAAACCGTTATAATCCGCCAAGTGTGGACTGGTTTATGGACTGGTTCGGTTTGGTTTCGGTTTTTAGCTTATCGATAAGAATGATTTATTCTAAAAATAGAATATTCTAGAATTCTTATAAAAAATTAAAATTAAAATTAAAATATTTTTGGAATAATTCTAGAATATTCCATTTTTATTTATCTAGCCAACTTATATCTTGTATGAACTCGCACCCGTCTTGCCTCCAGACCAATCTTGTAGGTTTGTAGCTAGTTAGCAAGTTTCTCTTGAATGCACTATGCGCTAATTTGCTTGCTGCTGCCCTGTAGTAATATCAATCTAGTTGTTACAATAGCTGGGCGGGAACTACGAGATCGCAATCCACTAACTATTTGTACGGGTAGAGAATAGAACGAAGAAGGTTTATAGCTAGAGAATCTATTGATTTGTAAGTATGTGAGTTGACAGCTGAAGAATAGAATACATGTAGGCGGATCTACCGCGCTCTTATGTAGTAAAGACTGTAATGATCGATCACCATTTGATCACTGACCCCTGTCACTGCGATGCGTTGTTTTTGTTGTATTTTTCCTGCTACCGATTTCTCTAAGTACTCCCGAATCATGACTGCTAACACTGGTTATAGGGGTCCAAAGTGGCCAAAACCTTACTTTTACCAGAAAACCCCTTACTTTTAGCTAGAAAATTAGTTTTCGTCCCGTTTTAGATAAAATTGGTAGCTACCCGCCTTACATCCAAAAAAAAAAAAAACATAAAGCTTTTTATAAAAATGCGCCCGCAGATAGGCCACTAAGCCAGTAACTATACTAGCTATATTACCAACTATACCACCAGATAGACAGCTAGCTAATGAACTGACCTATTTACTAACCTATCTACTGACCTGCCTATTGACCTGTCTATTGACCTGCCTATTGACCTGTTTGCTGGCTCGTAAACCAGCTTACAAATTATAGATTACTTGATAAAATAATATGTAGAATGACATTATAACGCCGTCGCAGTGTCATAGCAGTATCATCGTAATTAAATATCATAACAGTGTCTTTGATTTAATATCACTGTTGTGACATTATCTTTGCCCAAACGGATAGATACTTAAACCTGTCCTAATGTATAAATAAAGATCAAAATTCTCCTAAAAGTACCTAAAAAAAAAATTCAAATAAAAGTAAGGTTTTGGCCATTTTGGCGCGCCATACTAGTGAACGTCGGCCTTTGGCCACGAAAAGCTTCTTGTACCAAAATTAGCACGGATTTCACAGGAGCGGCCTATATGGCTGATGATGGGATATATCTTTCTGAAGATTATATCACTCTTAATGTTTGCTATAGTAGTAATTTGTCAGCATCGGCAACGTGATAAGCTCGGTAATTTGGTGTACTCACCAATGATACATCCGTTCAAGGTGAAGAAAACTTCCTTTCGGTGATAATTGATCCCACAACCCACTGTGTCCCCAAAGCCATAGATATGACCTACTTTTTCGAATTCCTGGGAGTCATTACCAAACATTATATTTCCGTCATCGCCGTGGTATCCGATTGACCACAGATTCCACCCACAGCGCGAATTTGCAAGGAATGAAAATTCACCACAAAGCCCTATACAAACCGTCAAACCTTGGCCCAAGACGTCTTTGATAGCGTCGTCAGGCTCGATATCAATCTCGAAATAACGAGCTCCCATACCATTAGGAGGAAAGGGACGGTCGGAACGGATAGTAATTCCATCCCATATCATGGAGCCGTCGGGGTTGTGGCTATCCATGTCTGTATCAAGAGTATTAAGAGCTTTCCTCCAGCTGAGTATTAGTGCGTTCGTTTTGTGGAGAACTCACTTTTAAATAAAACTTCGAGGCCACCACTCTTGAGGTCTAGCCCTGAATCAATGTCGGGATTCAGGTTCCAGTCTTTCCAAATCTTGGGGATCATCAAAGATGTCGGACCTTCAGGAGTAGTGTCTGGGATTACCCCAGTAAATCCAGAAAAAGTTTCCCTGGCTTGGTAGAGATGGTGGTCGAGTGACCAATTATCCTTATCGAAAGATTGTGACGCTCTCTCTCGTAACGGCTGTAATTTCTCCCACAAGGTTTCTGATTTCATTTCTATTGAATTTCGTAGAACCCGAAACCCGTCACCAAACATCGAGAGGTCTTCCCCTATCTTTGATATACAGAAATCAAGGACTTGGGAGCGGATTTCGCGCAATGAGTATACTAGCAGATCAAAAGGCGATTCATTTCGCTCTCCCGAGCGTCCAAATGGGTCGAGTCCAGCGTTTATAAGACCGATTGCTAACTCTTCCTGGAGTTCAGGGTTTTTATCGTGCGGTTTCAACTTTGCTATATACTGTTCTAAAATTCTTGTGGTTAATAACCATGGCTCTTCTTTGACTAGCAGGCTAATGCACCCAACGGCACGGCGTTCACAGCCGGATATCGTAGCATCCTCTACTTGTTGACGATTCCACAATTTAGGTGTTTTTTCTTTTCCAGCCGTAAGAATGATGTCCAAGACCTCTGAGCTTGTTGTAGCGATAGAAAGGGGGTTTCTACCCCCAGAAGCGAGATCTTCGAGATTCGCTCCGTACTCCAAGAGCAGGCGTACATTATCCGGCTTAGCAGATTCCAGTGCTAGAGACAGAGGTGTCATGTTGCCATCGCCTTCTTTATTAACGTTTGCTCCCTTTTGTAGAAGAAGCTTTAAAATCTCTCCATCACTTTGCTTGGCTGCATGGTGTAGCGCAGTTACGCCAGATTTAGTTTCAAGCTCAACGTCTGCATTATTTTCCAGTAAGATTTCCACGGCCTCCCTTTCACACCAGTTTACCGCAAGCATTAGAGGGGTAATTCCCTGATTCGACCGACAATTGATATCTGCACCACTAGATATGAAAATTCGGAGGAACTCGGGTTTATCCACTGTAACATGCAGCGGCGACCATCCTCCGTTCCCACAAATTCGAGGGTTTGCCCCTTCACTGAGTAACACTTTGGCAAAACTTTCTAAACCCTGGGATGCGGTGCGATATAAAGGGGTTTCACCTCTTTCGTTTTGAAGATCTAGCAATCTCTTGTTATCTATTTCTGTCGGGCCTTGGAGGGTATCAACGGCGCAACCCGGTCTAGGTGGAGGACTGAGCTGGGTCATATCAACAAGGATTTTAAAAAACTCGCCAGAATCCTGGTCTATTGCTTTGTGCAACAGCGTGTCGCCCTTGTAATTAGTTAGTTTGAATATCTCAATGGGATGCGGAAACAAGTTCAGAACGGCTTGAAAGGTGTCCTTATCGGAGTGCCTGATTGACTTGCTCAAGGTTTTCTGCACGCATTTTCCTGATTTGGAGAGCATCATTGCTATTTCTGAATTGTTGTTTCGGATCGCATGATAAAGGGCGGTATGGCCATTCTCGTCAACTTCACATGCAGCAGCGTCGCCATTTAGAAGCACCCTAGCTGAAATAGTGTAGCCGGAAATGCTGGCTAGGATCAAAGGTGTTCGGCCACTAGAATTCTTCAATTTTTTTTCTGCACCATGTTTGAGAAGTAGCTGCACCACTTCGCTATTTTTGACACCTAAGTGGAGCGCTGTACTCTGGCCTCTAGTGAGGACGTCTACTTTCGCCTCACCCATATCAAGGAGTAGTTCAACCATTCTAGAGGCGCCCGCCCCTGCTGCGAAGTGGAGGGGAGTTCGTCTTTGTGCATCTCGCGAGTTAACGTCGGCACCGGCCTCAATTAGATTTCGTACGACCGATGTATAACCCTTCTCGACCGCTTCATGAAGGGGCGTTCGTCGTTCTCTTCCCTCGACGTCGGGGTCTCCGCCACGCGCGAGTAGAAATTTTACGATCTCGGCGTGGCCGCTGATAGCAGCTATCATCAGCGGGCTGTTCGCCTTGTCTTCTCCGTGTGGGTTGGCGGAGAAGCCTCTTTCGGATACGAGATACTGCACCACTAGTAGCTGGCCCGCCTCCGACGATCGATATAAAAGCTGTGCATTATCTTCAGGACACTCCGGTAGTAGTTTCAGAATTTCAAGGTGTCCGTTTTTTGCGGCCAAAGCCTGAGGTAGAAACCCATGCTTATCCAAGATATTTGCATCTGCTTTCAGTTTTAGAAGAATTTCAACGATAACCTTTCGTCCGTTAGCAACGGCAATATGCAAAAGGGTGCGCCCTTCGTTGTCCTGCATATTAATAACGTCTTCTACCTGATCCACCCATGCATCTAGCAGCCTCTGAAAGATCAAGGAATCTCCAGAGCGAGATGCCACCCGAAGAACGCTAGATCTTAGGTCTAGGTTATACTTCGCGCCTAAGAAAATATCTAATATTCCTATGTTCCCTCGAGAGGTCGTTCGAAGTTGGAGCCATTCTATTGCGTAGTGTAAGGCGGCTCTCTCGCAGCTATCCGTAGTCGTCATATTTGCGCCGCATTTAATTATGTATTTTGCTGCTTCGAAATTGCCAACTTTAGTAGCTAGCATCAATGGAGTTTCTCCGTGCGAGTCTTTTCCATCGATTGAGACACCGAGCCGCTGGAAGTGCGACACCGCATTGATGTTGCCCCCCAGAACAGCAAAGTGGATTGCGTTTCGCCTATGTTCGTCCAACGCTCGGGTTACACTGTCATTCGGCAGGAGTTCCAATATATCTACTCGGCCACCTTGAGCAGCTGTGAATATATGGGCCGCCGTATCGGACCCCATCAGCCTCTCGGAGATGCCTGTGTTATCTTTGTTATGAATAGCGGCGCGGAGGAAGCTTTTGTCGGTTTCATCTGGGAAAATCGGTTTTCGTATCCATTTGCCACGTGTTATCACGACGTTTGAAGACCCCAGAAGACTATTGGAAGCTTCTTTGTTATCGGCGACCATCTTGGCTGCGGCCGATGAAAATCCAAGATATTTAGCGAGATATAACCCGGTAGCTTCGTCGTTCGAATTTGAGGTGGAGCTTTGGGCGGCGTTAAGGACAGTCCTGAATGCCTCGTCTGAGTTTTGTTGCAAAACGCCATTCGCTGCGAGGTAAAGCGAAAACCATTTGGTATTCACATCGGGATCATTCAAAAAATCGAGGACCCTATAATCAAGGTGGTCGCTAGGCTTCCCCCGGACAGCATGATGATAATGCTCTGGCCAGTACCTCACAGCATAGTCGAGAAATTCCAGGGCTGGATGCTCTCCATCCTCAACTGGGTGGGCCCACGTCCGTGCGGCCTGTGATTGACACCGCTTCCATAAGCCTTGGTCATTCCTTGTCTGCAATAACACGATTTTTAAGTAGTGGAGGCAGTTCCGAGATAGCTCCCCATGATCGGCGACTTGTATGGGTTGTCCATGCCTCAGATCCGATAATAGTGCAGTAAATTCGGCTTTAGAGCCCCAAAGTGAAATGACTTTGCAGTCCGCTCTAACAAACAAACTCAGATACCTACCGATATCCGATGTCAGGTCTCGGCAGATGCGGCCATCCAGCTTTACAAAGTTATCATCATCAGCCTCAATAGCTAGGGCCGCAGCCAGCTCTGAGGCGCTCAGTGGCCGGAAAGAGTTCAGCACCCATGATAATAATAGCGTACCCCAGCGAAAGAGATCTGGAGATCGGCCCTTCAGCTCTTGGACTTGATATTCAAAGAGGCTCTGACGAGTTTTTGGGCTGGTCTCTATTTCAAACTCTATAAAATTGCAATTCGATAGCTGGGGGGTTCGAGACATCAAGTACCTCGTATATAAACCGGCCGAAAGTAGTAAATCACCCATAGAATGAATATTTTCTTCCAGCTTCCGTCCAATTCTTTCTCTTTCCCCCCCTTTGAGAGGTCTGAAGATTGTGGTGTTGTTCACTAAGGCTGCAATTTTCTCGGGCAAAAGGTCTCGATTGAAGCGATCCACACTGGGTCCGAGATCTAAGATTATCGGCTCTCCGGATGTTAATCCCACGACGTGCTTGTCGTTGCTAATAAGGTAGCAGTAGCCGTCACTGCATTGATCCAGAAATACCGTGAGATCCCGCAACCATGATTGGACCTCCTTAGCTAATTTCCCAAAGTTTGGGATGATGAGAAGGATCGATAAACCCAAGTTATCACGCAGTAGGTCAAAAATGACACGCAAATTCCGTTCCGTCCAGGTTTCTCCCGCGAAGTATTCTTCAACTAGGCGGGATATCATAGCAAATGATGATGGCTTTTGGGAGATGATTTGTCGAATAAATGTGGCGAGTATGTCGTAGATCTGCGCCTGGGGATCCATATCACTTGATGGATCGAACCAATATTCAAGAATAATGGCAGGTACTTTCTCTCGAATCTTGCGGTGGATGATCTTAAGTAAACTTGACTTTCCGTGCCTTGGAGGACCGATAATCTGAATGGAGCTCTTCGAGCTGGATGCACCAATATTTAATCGGCGAAGCTCGTTGAGATAAAAATCCTCTAAATCAAACATGTCTTTGAATTCGCTGTCGACGTCAATCTCATAAATGGAGAACCGGGATGTAGACAGCATTTCCAAAAATCTTAGATATAGCTCCTCGGATTCACCATCTTCTGAATTGGCTATAAGGACACTTAGTAAGTAATTAGCGAATCAAACAAAGGGCAATTCTAGCGTGAATACCGTGATATAAAAGCTCTAAGGGTGCAAAAAAACCGCGAATCCCCTGTAGCACGTCAATGCTATTCCTACTGAACCGAAGACAGTCATCGGAGGGTTCGTCGTCGTTCTTGAACTCCGATTGCTTCCGAACACCAGTCGTGACACCTTTCGTCTCAATTGTCTACATGCAAGAGATGTTAACCACTTAAGGCCGCGAGGATCTAATTCTAGTGTCCTAAATTCGAATCCAGGCTCAGCGTGGGGTTTGCTGTAACTCACTGTGTTAGGCACACCATCGAACACTTGGGCGTCCTCCATGTAAGCTATAGCGTATCTACTAAGGAATCGGTGGAATCTCCGTGATACTGCCATCGCAGTGTCCGATAGCCCAGATAAGGTTTCTGCCATTCGGCCATGGACTTTCAATCCAGAATTTTGAATGATAGATATGAACAGATTGTCCCAAGCGGCGAGATCCGTAGTTCCAGGGCGCGGACCCATGAATACCTAACTACACGTTAGAAACCTTTCGCTGTAACAAAATCCCCCTTACGTACTCCTAGCGGGGTCATTGATAATCAGGAAGCCGAACATACTATATGGGATATCTGGAGGGCGAGCCTATAGTAGCTCGGGTTCGTGTTCGCAAGTATTACGGCCTTGATATCTCTTAACGTATTAACATGCGCTAACACAGGTAGCCTGACTGTGAGGGATAGATATTACCTGCTTAATGATAAGGCTTCCGAACCGATGGCCTACCAGTAAGATCTTCTTCCATGGTTGCGGGTCGTCTCGCTCATCTTTCTTGTGTTGGGATTGCCAGCTTCGGCAAAATGAGTCGCGTAATTGATTTACCAAATCCAATGCTTCGGTCTGAACGGAATCGGGAGATATATATGCTGTTGAGCCATAGTCATCTTGTAATTCACTTGCAACCGGCTTTCCAAGGTCCGTCGAGAGTTGGTCCTTGACAGAGACATCGCTAGGGCCGCGCTTGAACGCAACATACTCGACGACCAAGGCTTCAGGAATCAGATGTGGTACGATATCTCTAATTTCCACGAAATCCTGGCATGGAGTGTGATTATCGCTGTGTCGGATTTTTTGTTCGCTTTGAGGCCCAGGTTTAGGATCAGACTTTGGGGAATGCACATGTGTGCGAACGAGACAGATTCTGGAATTTTTATGAGTAAATCGATAGACTCGGGACCATCAAGGCCTAGTATCACCGGTGCGACACGTGCACTTACATGTACTTTTTATCGGCGTGGTTGACGTCGACGCTTAGATTTTGCAAGCGATTTGTATGTGCCGCCATTTTTTTTTGTATGTTCGATCACGATCACGATGAAATCGTCGAAGCCGAGATCATTTAAATTTGCTGGATAAACGGATAGAAATATTTAGAAATTTAGCCTTCCAGCTCGGGGAAAGCTTTAAGTGCGGTAATATTTTTTGACATGAATACTTAAGTATCGATACGTATCTATAGTGCGAGTGAACCTAAGCTTGACACAACTATAACAGAACCGAGAACTCCATGCTGTGTGGGTAAATCCTAGGTAATCCCCCGCACCAACTGGGCCTTCCATATCACCCACAGCAAATAACTACACAGGACCCAAATTAATTCGAACGGGGGTTGCTGGATCAAAGGCTCTGGTAATTGCATGAAGAATTGTTCGCCTGACTAGCTTTACGTATGGGCAGCCATAACCGACCGCACGATAGCTAAGGGTTCCTTCTGCATGGAATGAATTTTGGTCGCCTCGAGCACACATACCAACTGGATTTCCTCACCCCTGCAATGCATCTCTCTTGCAGCTAGGCTACCAACATTTTTTACTTGATAGATTTGTAGTTCTCGTGAATGGGAGCGGCCTGCATGCTGTTAGAGTGGGGGATCCCGGGATCCGTTCGTCGGACAGGGATCGATGAAGCTCGAAGCTCTTCACAACAACAACGTTACACAGTTAACCCCTCTATCCACGTCTAGATCTAGCCTTTATCGGCGCGGGGCTAAACTTGCTTCTGAGCGGGGTGCTTTGCAGCTTTGTGAAGATATAAAGTATAGACTTTTTCTATATTTGAACCATTCTAAATACAAAATAGAAGCGTCTACCGGTAGCAACCACGAGGCTGCAGCGCTGAACTCAAGGCTGAGAGACTTGCAAAGGTGCACTCGCAGGTTTAAATTTTGGACCCACACCACGCGTGCTGCAAGCGACTTGGCTTGCTTAAACCTCCACCCAGCACACGATTCAGCGTACCTCTATCCCCAGCGGTTAATCCATGCTGTCCGTCATGTCGATAATAGTTGTAACTACTGTTGTTCCGAGAACCGCACCAAGTTTGTCAAGCCGCACTTTACTAAGATTCTGGCTATCGATATCTGCCCCCAACCGCGCTTCCATCGGATCTGCTAGACTCGCTGTCCTCAGGTATTGCTTGCCCGGCTCGAATCTCACTGGATCGTTGTCCGGGGACATTCGAACGAGATTGCGTAAACCTCTGACAGCATTATAGGAGAAACTACCGGTGGCTTTTACCTTCACGAAGGCTTCGAATATATCGTTATGGTGCCTCTTTAGTAGAACAACAGACCGTAAGTCAGTGATGACGCCTGTCTTGTTGGTCTTGTTCTCTTCAAGAGTTAGTCGAATAGCGTTCTTCGGCCCATAGTTACGGACCTGCTTATCAAGGATGATTGAGCCGACTACGATCGACTTATCAGACGTTTCGTAGCTCTCCTGTTGCTCCAACTTCACTGCCATTGTTCCTGTGGCACCCATCGCTTCTATGCCAATTCCGGTTTCTGCGGATTGTATGTTTTGGATTGACACCGCAGTTTCGCTCAAAGTAAACTCTCCATTCGGCCACAGAGATATTACTTCAGGATCGCAACCTCGCCTTCTTCCAAGATCTTGAAATAGAATTTCGATAGTTGCTGACTGAAGACGGCGCCGTTTTCCGAGACCATGAAAACGGAAACCGAAGACAACTAGAGTGGCTGGACTGCCATTCTCAGTCTCTGTACCATGTATGATTCGATCAATGCGCGCTTGGATGAGCAATCCCCTGCAAATGTCGTCTACGATATCAGGGCGCTGTATCTCATCCCCATCGTTTTTTGAATGAAACCCAATTTCTTGAACTTCAGTGTTTAGCTGGATTTGAAAGGTATAATCCTCTTTCTCGGCCATCGTCTTCGTATATTAGAAATAGAACTGAAGCAAAATGTAAGGATAAATAGTATTCGGGCTAGATCGAAGCTGCCGCCGTCAGAATTGAACGGAAGGGAGAGCAGGCATGCTATCTAATACCAGAAGTACAAAATCCAGCCATGACACACCTGCTGGTAAAAAATGTTACACGCCAGCTAGATAACCGGCATACTGCCGGGTTAAGATGTACACGAAAACTGGCTTAACAAAGAGGGTAGCCTTGTTCCCGACGTGCATATGGTGACTAAAAAATAAATGCAGCTGAAGCCGAATTGCATGAGCTGAAACCATAAGTATCCTCCAGCATATATTTAAAAAAATATTGGGGCTGGTCTTAGTCCCCACATTTCGGTACTCTCGCTTCGCCTACATTGAACGGCACGTCGATTTCGTGTTTAAATACTTCTTTTTACGAGTTGCTGTTGAGCCAGAATATGCGATCCGGCACATGACGTTCCGGCTGCTTATCATGTAACTTTAGGTAGCTCGTCATTCTGATAAATCATGACAGGGTTGGTACTTCTAAGTAATTTACAAGTAAATTATTGGATGTAGGGTATTGTTACCACTTGTTGGGACTTGTTGCTGGAAGAAATAATCATAATTCGGGGTTATGCTTTCTACTCCCAAGACTCCCAGCGCCCCTCTTGCGATAGAGAATCACCCTCACGACGGCAGTGTATTTTCTAGATCCCTAGAACCTAGTTTCTTATTGCTTTCCATGGGCAACGATAGTCTCTTGCGATAGACACCTGGCTCCTACATTTGGCGGTTTCTCTCGTACAAGATTTTCAGTTAAGCCGTCAGGTCGCACCCAACCCCAACTCCAGCTCGACTAAAAGCAGACAACATGGACATTGAATTTAAAAAGAAGTCAGCCTATCGAAAGAGGGGAGCCAAAAACTCTGGCGAAAATGAAGAGCCTCAAAACGAACAGACGAAAACGATGCAAAATTTTCAAAAGAACTTCCTAGATCTTCTATTTAACGTGTCAGGAAAGCCGGCGGATCAACCGCTTCGTTTTCTAAAGAAAAAGGTTGAAGAGCACAATGAATTTCTGGAAACTTGTACAGGGGGTCGCAACATACTTGACAAGTTACTCGGCCAGTTGGTAAATTCATACGAAGAACTCCCTGAAGATATTCTCCTTGTGATATTCTCATCTATTGAATACATGGCTGTCAAGAAACCGGGCCTACTGCATGGCAAGGATGTACGGGAAACCACGGCCTTGAACATAATAGCGAAATGTTATCCAGATGTTTGCATGAACATCGTCAACATCTTGATACCGCCAAACACTCTAGACAAAGCAAAACTGGAGAGAAATTGTCGAGGGGGCAGCGATGACAAATACATATGCCCATTGTCGACTATCAATGAATACCTCCGAGAACATTCGTATCGAAAAGACATCGCCCCGGAGCACCCCGTCTCGAAAAAATATAAGTGTTTTCATGACCTTATCGATCTGGAGATTCTGGAGGACAAGAACACTGAACTAAAGTGTGCGCTCGAATCGGCAATCCTACCCAAAGAAACAACGTCACTAGGAAGCTCGACTCCTGAACATGGACAGGGAAAGTCCATACTCGGAAATCTTTTAAACGAAGACTTTATTGACCCGATCAACGATCCAGACGCCATCGAAGATCAGCTCAGCGGTTTCGAATCTTTTTTGAACTTATGCAAAAATGAGGTTTTCAGCTACCGGAACGAGCATGGATTGACGCCTCTTCAACAGGCCATATGTTTCTATCGCGACTCGGGGAAAAAGTCAATAAATTGGAGCTTTCTCTACGAAATAATCAAGAGCCTGGTTGTGCGGTTCCCGGAATCTATATACATAGAGTCAACAGCCAGGGCAACTGCCTATACTCTCTTAGGAAGATTCGAGTCCTCTAAAGATAGATCCTCGGACCAAACGTTGATCAAGACCTATACAAGAAACCCAAATGAACAAGTAAACCCGGAGGCTGATAACGATGAAATGAAGCCTCAGAGAAGAGGGGAGCGGAAATTGACACTTCTGGAATCCAAAAAACGTACAGAATACCTTCTTAAGATGAATTGTATCAGAGACGGATCGAAATCTCACAACGAAAAAATACGTTATTTATACTCCAATAACGGGCCTGGTTAGTGTCTCTGATATCGAGCAGCTAAACCGTCACAAATCAACTAACTAAATCTGTCTTTACCACTCCAAGCCCGCTTGATCTGCTTAAACCTTAGCTTGCAGACCTCAATGCGTTTGGACGCTACTTACGTAGATATAGTCCGAAACGCTCCAGCCATGGAATTTGAGGAAATCCTCGAGTTGGTGCGCCTTCCTCAGAAGTGGCAACCTAAAAGCCCCACGGGAGAAATGCCCAAGGTGGACGGTCTTCGCTTTTCCGACGAAGACCGGGAAAGCCGGCACCAAGATCCATACACCGCTATTTTCCGGTGGTTGCGAAACGATAAAAAAGTAAAAAAAATAGTTCGTGTGGAGGTCGATGAGATTGTAGAGGGTGTCCATGATCATAATGTATCACCTCACAGCAACCATGCGATCCGACAATGCCTCCAGGGATTTGATGTCGAAGAACTAGACTGGAGAAAGTTCGATATCTGCGGAAACACCATATTCGAAGCAGTCGCACCCAAGATCTCCCAGAGCAATTCGTCTCCGGGAAGAGAACCAGCTCTCAGAATATTAGATCTCTACTCAAGCGGGAATACCGCCGTGCTTCGGGGGTGGGCCAACGACGACAGCCTATCCAAGCTAAAGAATGTAAGTGAAAGGTTCCAGTCGTTCGCTGGCCAAGGTAACTAACTTTTCTATAGTTGAAAGAAATCACGATACATATCCGTGCCTCCGTAAATATCTTGCCATTTTATGACCCTCTATATTTTAGATCCCTAAACGTTTTTCGAGCTTACTACTAATATCTTGAGTACAGAATCGAAGGGATAGAGCAGACTGCGAAGCATATAAGGAGACACTCAAAACGAAACTGGAACAATTTCACCCCTCCCTCACGGTCCGTTTCGATGAAAAAATGTTTTCTTCAGCTATCACCGACCAGGCTAGAGGTAGCCATGGCGCGAAAACTGTCAGCCTGTACGTACTCATCGCCTCGGGATTTTATTGGTTGATGGATTGTTGACTACGAGTGCACATTATTTTAGATCGGAATCAAAGACACAATGGATCGACAAGATGGAAAATTTCCGAAATTGCATACAGAGGGCAATTGATCCGGACAGAAGCCAGCCTATACTTAAAAACTTCCCTACAATTAAAGTCGCAGTTCTTGATGATGGCGTTAACTTCGAGACTGTACCACCTATATGCATAAAGGACGCGAAGGCTTTCTGCCATAAAGGTCATCTATATTACCGATTCGACAATAACCATGGAACAATAACGGCTTCACTTGTTCGAGAAGTATGTCCGGACGTCGAGCTCTATATCGCTCGTTTGGATGACACGAAAGAATTAAGTCGAGATCGTTTCCATATTCGATCTGCCGCTGAGGTAAGCTAGTTGGATACCTTGTAGCCCCAGCGTATTTCTCGGAGCTCGAACTCAAGCAATCTGAGTCTAAAGGGAATCCAATCGGCGATCGATAAGAAAGTCGACATTATATCTATGAGTTGGTCGTTTGCTGCCAGCCCCAACGACGAGGATAAAAACAAGGTTAGGGAAGCGATACAGCTTGCAGCATCAAAGAAAATACTACTTTTTGCCTCCATGCCCGACAAAGGCCCAGATGCAAAGCTTGAAGATTATTGGCCCGCAGGTCTCCCGGACGTCATCAGGATTGGGTCCGCTACAACGACTGGGCAACGCTCCACCGATAACTGGTCATCAGAGCCAGAATATATTTTCCCAGGAGAAGATATAGAGTTAAGGAGTGAAAAAGGAGAAAACGACAAAAAAGTTGTTAGCGGAAGCTCTGCTTCGACGGCTTTGGCTGCTGGACTTGCCGCCCTTATTTTATTCTACATGGAAGCCTATGTCCAAGTCAAATCTATGACTGCAGAGGAAGCAGGAGATATCGTCGGGAAGGTAAGGACTTGCGCGGGAATGAGAGCTTCATTCAGAGCACTCTCCTCGAAACACCCCACTTGGAATGATTACTACGTCCGGCCATACATGAACAAGACCTTCAATAAATCCGTTGGAGATCGCTCATCAAGCATAAAAGGTATGATTACGGATGTCGGAACCGTCTTAGCCGATAGGTTACAGAGTGTGATTCTTTAACGAGATGGATAGATGTTTTGACTATCTAGGGTCGAAATAAATCCAGTCATCTAGCTGGAACTATATCTTGGATGTTTGGATATCTCGCAATATAACAAACGATATGAACAAACTTTTGTACCAAATATTTTCAATACACAAATGTATTAAAATATAAAATAAAGTAAATTTATAAAAATAATAAAAAATAAATAATTTATTAACTAATAAATTTTAATAAATGGGTTACTATAACTACTAGTATTTAATAAACAGCTAGCTAACAAATAACCTGCTGGTAAATGGGTTTTTAGCTGGTAAATAGACTACATCAGGAAAAAAACACTTTACCTTAATGCCATCGGATAGAAAACCTTCCATCCTACTCCATCCTATACCATCCTATACCATCCTATACCATCCTATGCCACCCTATACCATCCTAACCGTGACAAACACCCCAACAAAAAAAAAGTGATATGCCAGTGTTATAATAATACCTGCACAAGGAAACAATTTTTGGACAAAATAAAAAGTATTTTATCCAATAGAAGGCCTTCCATTCAAAAAGTAGGTTTTTATCTTATTTATTTTGTCCATTTTGTCATGACTCATCAGATGGGTAGAATGGAATGTGATGCAATTATATTTTTTTCCTGGTGGATATTAAAGAATTTGAAGGAAATTTAGATTTTAACTAGAAGTTTATATGATATTGTAACAGTTTTGTTATAATCTTAAATAAAATACGATGGGTAAAATAAAGTAAGACAAAATGCGATGAAATAAAATGAAGCGAAATAGTAATATATTCCATCCAATAATATTATGGAAATATATTTTTTTGCCTGATGTGTATGTAAGAAATCCTAGTGTATTTAAACATATTGGTTTGGTTCCTTACAAACATAGGCTAGCATGAAATATGAAGGAACGGGGCTACTATTTAGATGTAGCTAGGCCCCGCAACGTGCAAATTTGTTTTAGCAGCTAACTGGCCAGCTGGTCGTGCTGCTCTAATGTATTGTGAAAATCGCAATTTTGATTTAGCTCAAGTGATACCTGGGAACGAGACTAAAGTAATAATAAAGCGTAATGAGCTGTATTACTTTGTACCTCTAGCTATAATCTGGCTCTGAGACGACTCTATATATAACAGTATATATAGCTCATTTAGCGTAATGAAATTTCGCTGGGAAAATATTTAGGTACCAGACTCAACTGTTTTTGGATATTGAAAACGAGTACTCGAGGCTAGATCACTGCGCATGCTGTTGAGAACTGTCCGAAGATATTCGAGTGTCTCTTCAGTTGCTCTCATCAATTTAAATGCGCTGTACATTTTCAGATAGATCATTTAGCCTTTGTCGTTCTTGATACCCCGCCAAATCCCTGAAAGGTCTCGGTCTGTAACTGGTATAACCGTGTTTCGCTTCGAACCAAAACTCTTGCTGAGCCTATAAAATTGCGACAAGATTATGGATGTAACCATAGGAAAGAAATTTGGTTAAAGACTTCACTGGAGCCGGGTATCGATTGGAAGCGCGGTTAACATGTATCAGTTGACCGACAGGCCTAAGGTAGTATGATGGCTTTCGGCATCAGCCGACCCGTCGCTTTGGGTAAGAATAAACGACTCGAAGCTGTAGGAGATGCGTCGAAAGCAAGCTCAGACCAGTCGAGCTATTTCATATTAGGAGTTGACTATAGCCTAGCATCCAGTCTAGGGTTCATACTAGCCAATGTCGAGTGTTACCCGTCCTTCCGATCCCCGTAAGGCTCAAGCTTCTGAGGGTTGCTAAATATGACTCTCGGTTATCTCCTTCGAGAAGCATTCCGCGAGCTGGGCTGCATGAAGCCTTTAAAGCCCTTTCGGTAATATTCTGCGAGCTGGACAATGGATATCATGTCATAGTGCATACTTGGCAAGCTCCGAACTGCGCGAAAATCAAAGAAAGGTGCTCCGCCTGTTTGTACAACAGAGGCTCCACTGGAGCTCCACGATCTCTTTTGGAAAATTCTTCCAGCCGATGTTCTAATTATGTAACGACGCTAACCCCTACTGGACATTTCGATTTTTTCCAGCCTATGGGAAACGAGGAAATCCACAACACATAATATCCAACAATTCTAGGCGCATATGCGGTATGCTTGTGGCGTTTTTTGGATGTAACGATTTTAAGTTGTGGGGAAGAGAGCTCTAATGCGAGATGACGGTGTCGATATCCGCGAGGTGCGGCTTCAGGGCTATGATGTTACTTTCGGTTAGAATTTTCGCTGCAGAGTTCGGCGCCTCGCAGCCAGAGCCTTACGACTGGCCGGCAAGCCATACGGCTAGAATCGAACCCTGATCTTGGCGGGGAGGATTGTAGGCGATGTTAGACTTGGGATATCGGTCTTCTCCTTCAAATGCTCATGGTTGAAAGGGTATAAGAAGGTCGCGATCCTCTCGAGATGTTTTAGTTTTTTTATCACTATCATCAGCATCAGTATCAAACAGCCTTCGTTTTCAAAACACTCCAGCCTTCAATTCAATCGTTAAACAACAGTCTCAAATCGAGCTTCTCAACTCTACTTTATAATTTTAATATAATTTCATACAATTATAAACAAATCTTTAATATCTTCAAAATGCCTTCCTTCACTCAAATCATCGCTCTCTCTATCGCCGCCCTCTCGGCTACCGTCTCTGCTAGCCCAGTAGACTGGGAACTCACTGCTCGCGATGTCAACATCTGCTGGGGAAAGGGCTCTAAGGGTACTGATGGCTACACCCATCCAACTCCATCCCGCTGCCTACAAGTCCACTACGAGGACTCCTTCACCGCGCCATTCACTATCGCGCAACCCGGTGCCCCATCCTTCGAACTCATCACAGAGTCCCACCAAACATTCGGCCCAATGCACTGTTGCAACTCCTGCAAGGCTGCTGACAACTGTGTCGGTTGGCAAATTATGGCCAACTGTGACTGCGTCTTGTGGAAAGCCCCAACCCTTACCAATGCCGAAAATGTTCTCGGAGTTTGGGCTCAAGATGGTCCATTCCGTAACCAGACTGGTTCTTTCCACCGTGGACCATCCTTCCCAGTTGCTCCAAACTTCTTTGGCAACACCACCTTCAAGGTTCCACAGGCTCTTTAAGCATTAGATGGAGATAGTTTATTACGGAGGACAAATGATACTGGGGATGGATTATGAGGCGGCATAGCATATAACGGCATAGCATAAAACAGCATTAGTACCTGGAATTTAGTTTAGCATTTTCATTTTTACCATCATTGTTTGCATTTTGGATTTTATAGCATTGCATGAATAAAACCGAATTCATTCCTTTACCTCGAGCTCTATAATGTATTTACATTAATTTTAGTTCTTAATGAACCCGATTCTTGCGATTCATCCGTCCTAAGTTAACACACCACCTAGTAATTCACCAATGACCTAGGTATTATGGGCAGTTAGAAGCATAGCCGCTCATTATAGTTTTGCCAGTGTAAGAAATGGAAGAGAGATCAAAGTAATAAGGATGAAAGAATCGAAAATTCTCATAAATTTCATTCCATTTCCGCAGACGTTTCATTACTGATTAGGAATTAAGTACAACTGATAAGGAGTGTCGAGAAGGTAATATTCTAAGTAAGGAAAGTGGGGGGTAGGGGTTTCCATCATTCGTATGAAAAATAAAATAAAAGATAAAATACGCTTCTCTGCATGTTTCCCAGGCCTTGATGTTCCAAAAGACTACTCTAAAAATGCAAATAAAGAAAATTTGGTTGGATAGGAAGGCCGCACAGGGGTTTTTTGGAAGGAATCAAGAAGACTCAATGTATTATGAAATCAGAGTTACATTATGGTGTAGATTAAGGGACTTGTAAGAACCTTAAGCCCGATATGGTTGATATGGACGAGGAGTTGGGGCATACCAGCCATATGGATAAGTAGTTATAGTCTTTGTAACCGTGATTTTGATAGTAGAGTAACTGATCGATATCGCAGTGATTGTTCTGTATGAAACACGAGTGGAGTATACTGTTATGGTCTTTGGTGGTGATGGGGGTGGCGTCAAAGTCGTATATTGTGTGACTAGAGAGATATTAGACATGTTGCCCTTTTGTTTTACGAGAGTACATTCACATACCTGTGACACTGCGAGTGACGTATTTTGTAACCGGGGGAGCGATAACAGGAGGGAGAGTGACAGGAGGGAGAGTAACGGTAGAGGTCTCCGTTGTTGTCTCCGTTTGGGTCGCCGTTTCAGTCTCGGTTTCCGTGGCAGTTTCAGTCTCCGTGGCAGTTTCTGTAGCAGTTTCCGTCGAAGTTTCCGTAAGATAGATAGTCTCTGTGGCAGCGGGTGGGCAGGTCTCGACTGCCTCACTCGTAGAACTACTGGTTGTTTCGATCGGCTCACTTATGGTTGAACTACTTGGCTGATATGGAGGAGTTGATGTCGTATCAATTGGTTCGCTCACAGTTGAGCTAGAAGTTTGTGGAGTATAAACACGAGTCGTAGGGGGGTAGTAAGGAGCTGGAACATAGTATGAAGGGGGTGGAGGAGGATAGTATGGAGGAGGAGCATAACGCTGAGGATTTGCATCCCTTCGCTGGTTGTCTTCAAGAGGGGCAGCAAAGACCATTGCTGGGAGAAGTAAGACCCCAGCGCTGTATAGGAGAGTGTGAAGCAACATTTTCACGATCTATTGAGATACTAATCTCAGTTTGAAGTTGTCTGAAGAGAATTGAGAGAAGACTTTAGCAGCTGGTAAAGAACTCGTAGACAGCGAGAGTGATACAGTTTTTTTTGGGCTGCTTGTTACTCAGAACGAAGGTGAGATGAGTATCGAAAGGATGGTGGAAGTCCTTGACAAAATTCCTCATGGGCACAATTTATAGACCTATCCACGCTGCTCATAAATCTCATGGGTCGAATCCTGAGCAACTGATTGCCTAGGCGAAAGGGCCCCGTGAATGCATCTCGGAAGGCTTTAATTGGGGGGTAGCACCATATAGCCAATCACATCTTGTCCTACCAGCGACGTAATCCTTGTTGAAGTTGCAATAATTTGGCGGAGGCAGGCATATTCTGGTCTACCCGACGGCTAGACTGATTGCTAAAGAATATTTCTCTTTGTCTTTGTCAAGGCTGCTATAGGTGGTGATCTTCCAGCAGTATATTCTCGGAATTTCTGTGTAACAGCGAACGAAGGAATTTCAATTTCGCATGGTCTGCGTGAGTTCAGAGCTCTACAGAAAAATCAATTATTTAGCCTAGGGTGTCCTTGGAAAGTAGAAGAAGATATTCGATGTAGGTTAATTTCCTTTTCGTGTGAATATTAAAAGGTCCTTGTAATTGCGCTTGATATTTAGAGCTCGAGGTTTGCTAAGAACTTCAATATTATAGCCCGCGTAGTCTGTAAAATTACCATTCAAATATCGATATTAACAGCTGATGAGCACGATGAAGAGTAACCACGTGAGCCTGCTGCCGTGTGGCATGAACACTTGCCGCTATCCGGAACTCTATATCCAGCTCTTTCGGAAGAATAAGTCCCAACGTAGATGGAAATCTCATGATAGCGCCTTGAGGGCTGCAGCAAATAACATTAACAGTCAATATGTTAAAGGCACAATACCTCTCGAAAATGTCGCAACCGTTCAAAGTTTTGCCATATTTGAAATTTAGCTGCCTTAGGCTTCCTTGTGAATAGTAAGCGCATGGATGTAGTCAAGCAAAATCGAATACTCCCAATTGGCTAGTTATTATATTCCAAGTTAGAAAACAATAATTCTATTTGCCTCTCCAACTATATCCCATGACAGCAGTCATGTCATCATTGGGAGCTGAATTTTATAAGTTGGTAGGACCTGGAGACAAGGCCAAGCGAATTACACCCCCGGCTTTCGAACTACTGAACCAATGAGACTGGAAATCTGTTGGATTTGTTGAATAACCTTCAATTATTTTTCCATATTTAATAGTGAGCTAGGGATTTGTTCCACGCTATGTACTGTTTTTCATGTTGGACACGTGGAACCGTGGCCATTTGATAGAAGATATTGTTGTATGCAGCGTCGCTTCAAGGATCCTTCGGCCCGCAAGATGGAAGGGGGATTGGATGGTGGCGGAGAAGATGCATTATGTCGTATAATGTAGTATGTCGATATACTTATGCATGAATGGAAACACATGGCTGATCTAATCCCTGTTGGGAACAAAGACGAAAAGGCTAGGGTTTATGGTGGAAGGGAAGGGCGGCCGTTTTATGACTCCGAGCTATAAATTTCGTTTTGCGCTTAATTTAGTTATATCAAGGCTCGATAGGGCCCCAAAATGAGAAGGCGGGTATGCATAAATACATAGTTTATGTAGACCGCCACTAATATCCCGAGTAGAGCTCGGAGCTTATGCCATCTTGGCTTACTTTCGACGATTAGCCTCGTACTTGACATTTAGCTGTTACTCAAATTGGTCCACTGTACTGGAGCCTCGCTGCAGCCGATGGGCCGGGAGGTCATTAACCCGATCAAGCTATTACGGGATAAATGCGGGGGTATCCAACCTCTCCATCTTTCGGGACTCGGAAAGCTATCCCAGCCCTCTAATTTATGTTCCTGAAGATCAAGGTTGTTCTAGACAGATCGATCTATAGGCCTTGTTGCATATTGTAGAACGTGCTAACATTAATCAACGTCTACTATGTTGTAAATGACTATAGGATCATCAAAATGGTTAACTGCAATACGACGCTTTGGCGAGAATGGCTCTGGGTAGTGGTACTTGCAGATATGGGTAGATTGATACTAGCACATCCATGCTATAAATATGCTCTACCGTTACTAAACTGACGCGCATATATGTATGAATCCTTTCGGACTTATCACAAATAGCTAGGTGACTATCCCCAGTTGTGTTACACAGAAATCTGGATTAGGAATATCAAGGGTACTGGTACTCCGCAGCCGTTCTTTGAATGCCATGGATTGAACGTATTACGAATTTTTGCAAATACCGGCCTCGCAGGATATGCTAAAAAAGTCTAACACAAAACTAGTAACGATGTGAGTAGAACATCAAGTTCGAGTTTTTGAACAAACAGAACCCGAGATTTTGGGACGCTCGGCTGAAGAAGCTTCTTCAGGTAGTCTTGTATCCAGACAGTGTGCTTGCACCATTCTTAAGGTATATTCTTGGTTGAATATCGAATTATGTGATTTTCCGAAGGTTCCCGATTACGCCGCCGCCCAGACATATATTTATGAAGCTTTGGAGGACAGCTGCAGAGTGCGCCCGTAGTGTGAATTCTATTGTCCGGAATTATCCGAAAGCGGGCTGTCTGAAAAAAATCTGGGGTTTGAAGAGCTCCAACTGCGTAGGTACCTGGTTTGCAGTCTCTTGGCAGAAGGCAGCAAGGAGTAACGTAACATCGCCTAGCTAGCTTGCACCTTAAAGAAGTTATCACACCCGCCAAGTGTTAGCTAAACAATTCGAAGTTTAAATTCAAGTCCTGTCTTGTGGTTGAGTCGCACAAAGCAGCAGTAAGAGCAGTATGAGTTGTTTCTGATAGCTGACAGATTATTTTAGTCATCCACCGAAGCCGGTTCGGATTCCGCCAGGCTTTAGATTTGATCGCTTAAATTATACTACAGAGCTAAACGAGGAATCACGACTATGTGCAAGAGAACTCAAGCGTGTATCAAGCTCTGGCTATTGATTGGGTAGCTGAAGCACACGGTTGTCTGTAATTCGGCGAAGTTAGCCACCTGCAGGCCTGAAATGTCCGTTCTAGAATTCTTTGGAGGCTGGCTGATCAGATCGAGAAAAAGAATTGAATCGGCCGATACCCCAAATATCGTAAGCCAAGCACTATGAACGGCCAACTGGAAGCATGAGAACAGGCCAATCTCGTCAAAATCTTCAAATAGACGAGATCTAATTTGTGATTTTTGCTAAGACCTAATTCATGATTCGAATACTTGAGGAATTGTTGTGTTATTTTGTCATTTTTAAGCCAGAAATTGTGTTGTTAATGAAAATCTTTCCCTTCAGGGTTCTGATGGTACTGCTAATCCGTACTGACGACTGCCATGCATCATAATGCAATGACCGATTATAAGATCCGACTCCGATGAGTGTATTTGAGCATATGCGCATTCCAACTTCGAGAGCTACAATAGCAAACCCAAATGAATTGAGATATCGTTATGATTGATTGATAGAAATGTACAAGCTCCACCGACCCCCCCTCAGGGACCCACTGCCATGGCACGTTGTCGAATTTCGGCTCTTTGATCGGCATCGCCAATTTAGCTTTTCTCAGACCACTTCGAAGTCATTTAACCACGTTCAAGAACCGTAGTTGAGGTTCGCTACTCGGAAAATACGAGCCTCCATGATTCCGAGCCGAGGTCAAACTCGAATTCGTGCGAGCTTAGAAATATGCATATCAGAAACTTCTGTATGTCAAAGTTGCAGCCTGGACTAGAATGTGAGTGTGAAAGTTTTGTCTCGGTCGGTCCGACAAATCACAGGCTTAGGTTTGGCCCCACGCGACTGTTTGCGACCCCTCTCACAGTGAATTTTCCACCATTGGCAGGCAAAGTTTTGTGGGGATGTGTGGGGAAGCTAATATTTTATTAAGAATGATCCGCAGAATCTGTAGGTTGGTGGTGAGGTCGGTGACGGCCCAGTGCATGCAGAAACATGGCGAACAAGCAATGCCCTCCTGTCTGGGTTCCTTGGCCCTCGATTCCACATATTTCTAGCGGCAAACGAGAGACATGCCAGGGCAAAAGTTGCGAACTTCCCTTCATTCTGATTAGTTAGCGTGTTGCCTCCCCTCAACTTCCACGATAGCCGGGCAAGGAATATCAAACCGATTTTTCTGGGGTTAAAAGTGAGAAAACCTTATGAAAATCTGGGGCAAGTTGATGGCAAAAGATGCGATCTCGGGCCCCCAGAAATCCCAGTTGAGAAGATTATTTTTCTATATAAGATGGGGAGTCCGCTTCCGTATTTTGACTTTTCGTTGTGCCATTCAATTTGATATCGCCTTGTCCTGGTATTGGGATCGACGCTGTGTGACCAATAAGATTTATTGTCGCAAGGAGACCTGTCAAAATCCACGCAACTTGACTTTCTAAATAGAGGTCTTGCCAGGGTCCCTTTCTTTAAATCTTCAGTCGGAACCCCGCAGAGTTTAATTTTTCTGACAGAGTAACCATGTCAGGTTCGTCTCAAAACCGATACCGATATCCCTCTCAGCTGTCCTTTCAATATTCTTTACATATATTCCTCTACTAACACAATCCAAATGAAATTAGAAAAAACTTCAAAGGACTTTCCCAGGGGTGGTGTCGAGGCCGCAGGAGACTTAGTGGAGGAATATCCTGGATACGTTGATCCAAATGCCTATGGAGTCAATGAGAAGCGGCTGATGGCTAAAATCGACTTCCGAGTCGTGCCTGTCCTCTGCATTTTATATCTCCTAGCATTTTTGGACCGTGTTAATATATCCAATGCCGCCCTATACGGATTGAAGGAGGACCTCGGACTGTTGGAAGGGACAAAATATAACACGGTCTTGGTTATCTTCTTCGTTCCCTATATTTTATTCGAAATCCCGAGTAACATCATCCTCAAGAAGTTCAAGCCACACATGTGGGTAAGTATCGAAATCATACTCGCTCCTTATAACTCGATGATAGAACCACTGGGTGACAGAAGCTAACCAGTATCCGGTATTGCGGACAAATAGCTCTCGGCTTGTATGTTGATGTTTGGTGTTATGACTATAATGTAAGGAACTTCGGTACTCGATTATATTTTTCAAAATATGCATTGGCTAATTTGAATATGGTCGATAGTATGGGATTCACGCAAAATTATGGGAGCATTTTGGCGGTTCGATTTTTCCTCGGAGTACGTTACACAAACGGAATGACATAGCTATTAAACACGTCACTAACAATGTATAAACAGTTATTCGAAGCAGGCATGTTTCCTGGCTGCTTTTATCTCCTTGCCTGCTGGTACAAACGAACAGAGGCTCAGAAGAGATACTCTTTCTTCTTCTCTTCTACCACACTCGCTGGTGCCTTCGGTGGGCTCCTCGCCGCGGCAATTGGCAAGATGGATGGTGTTCGAGGATATAGAGCCTGGAGATGGGTTTTCATCCTTGAGGGCCTCCTCACCGCTGTCGTTGGCCTCATCTTTTACTTTTGCATTCCGGACTTCCCTGAGGAAGCCAAATGGATTACTGAAGATGAACGTGCTTTCATTAAAGCCAAGCTCGAAGCTGATACCGGAGAGTCTCACCGTCACGGAAAGATGACGGCAAAGAGTGTTCTCAAAATTTTATCTGACTGGAAAATCCTCATTGGGGGTGTCATGTATCTCGGCTTGATCGTTCCGGCCTACGGATATGCCTATTTCTCGCCCCAGATCGTTCGCAATCTCGGATATTCGCCCATTCAAACCCAACTGCGCTCTGTTCCACCATGGGCTTGTGCCTTCGGCCTCGCCATGCTGACTGCCACATTCTCTGATTTCATGCGTCATCGTTTCTTGTTCACGATCATTCCAATTTGCATATCGCTTGCTGGCTTCATCGTTTTGTTTAAGATTCATGGACCTGTCAACATTATGACACAATACTCTGCTTTGTTTTTATGCGCTATGGGTACATACAGCGCTATGCCTATCATTAGTAAGTCTAAAGCACTAACCGTATGAGAAGACTTAGCTTTTGCTAACATGAAATCTAGTTTGTTGGTATGCCTGCAATCTAGGCTCTCACGCCAGAAGAGCCGTTGGAACAGGTTGGCAGGTCGGATTTGGAAATGTAAGTGAATCATATGATCTTATGATCTAGAAACATTCTAAGAAAACGCACTCTAACATAACGTTGTATAGATCGGTGGCATTGTCGCAACCTTTGCCTTCCTTGCCAAAGAAGCCCCACTCTATCCAACAGGTTATAAGTTGTGTATATCCTTTATCTGCCTCTCGGCCCTCTCCTGTGCCGTATATTTCACGGGGATTACACTGGAGAACAAGAAGCGGGATCAAGGAAAACACAAGCTTTCTCACCTCAGCAAAGAGGAACTATCCGCCATGGAGCTCGGAGACGACCACCCAGTTTTCCGATACATGACTTAATGCGCAACGATTTTGTTTATTCTTTTAAAACCTTAAACGCTCACTAAAAAAATACCTTTACCAGGGTTGAGAGCTTTTGTATAGAGCATTCATAAGGCGCACATTCATTTTTGGTGCGATGTATAGAGCGGATCTAATTGATCTAAATAGCATCACAAGGAGCAACTCTTTGTATATACAATCACTCATGATTAATTACATTATGTAATGAATTGTCCCACGCACCACTAGCTCGAGCTTATTTGACTTGGTTAGCGTATACATACGTTACGTATATATGTGATTTGTATCCTCTAAAACTTATGCGGCTCAACAGCTCCTAAACAAAAGCCAAGCTAAAATAGGCTGCGAATTATGTTCTAGGCACGAGAATTGAGCTCCAGGAATCAATCCTTAGTCGTCAAGCTCCTTACTAAAGTTGAGGCTATAGAGCTTTGATTCAGGCCAGTTGATCATGCTTAATACTCAGACGTCACTGCAGGGCGGGGTAAATGTCATTCGACTGTTACCTGGTTGCAAGCCAAGGCGGCCTGCCAAAACGGCAGTCATTCGGCTACAGAAACAGTGCGGGAGTGCCAGATCGGACTGCTTTGATGAGCTGAGGCTATGAAAAGATCCCGCGCCAGTAGGCGAACAGTGAGTGGACCGTCAAGACTTTGAAGCCCACGCTAATTTGGCCGCGCCAACTTGGCTTAGGGCCCGAGAGTCTTATGCGCAGGGGTCGCACAACACTGGGACGTGGACAAATGGAAAATATAAGATGACCAAGATCACGCACTTATCCGAAACCCCCAATTGTCATCTCCCAACATTTCTCGTTCGTCATTTCATCCCCCATACCGACATCTCTTCGAATTTTCACTTTCCTCGCCAGATTGGATACATTCTCGCCTTGTCAATCTTGAATGAAATCTCGAAATTGCCATTTGTGTTGCGCGGGTCGTCAACGAAATTACCACACGAACAACGCATAAACTTCCTAAACCAGCTTAGACTTACGAAATTGCCCAGCATTCTCCGAGGGCATCCGGTTCAGCATACAGCACACATTTTTAACCCACTTCTGGGCCGCGTATCCCCACGCTCTGTTATACGTTACCAGACCAGGCAAAATTAAAATAAAAGTCTGCTGTCAGACTTATAATCTTGTGACCTGCTTTTGGACATTAATAATAGAAATTTCGAAAAGACGGCGCCGCAGCTGTCAAAGATTTAACATCCCCAAGGTTTTGGGGGTGGGGCTTGAGGGAAATTCCTTTCCGAGGTTCTCGCTAATTTGGCACCGTCGGGATTTGCTGCTCTACGATATTTGATTAACATACCCCGGACTGTTCTGGAACTTGACGAGTTAAATAAGCGGGTCGATGTGGTTCCGAAAATTTGGAGATTTGATATAAAATGGGACTATTGGACCATTTTGTTACACATCGGAAAGAAAGAAAAGCTGCCAAAGAATTACCAGAGACAACAGATCAGTCTTACGACACACAAGTCCAAAAATCTAATTCCTCCAGTCTTGGTCAAAAGATTAAAGAAGACATTAGAACTCTCAGGAAAAGTCACCCGGAACTACAATCGACTTCTAAGCTAGAGAAACCATCTTCGACACTTCAAAATGCAAGTTCTTCTATCAACTTTCCAAAGCGGTCCGCCTCAGACAAAGGTCTCCTCTCGGTCCAAAAGAAGCACCGAGCCTCGTCGAAAGATGACACACGGCCAGAAGATATACCATCTGACGGGTACGCTTCTAGTAGCGATTCTTCTTCGACTTCAAGCAAGAAGCGATCGGCAGAATCGAAAGCCGCGAGGGAAAGGCAGAGGGAAATGATCAACCTTCAAAGAAGCACACCGAATGGTTCTTTAAAGAACCAATCATTGTGGGTGTACCCCGACACTAGATGCTACAATTATAGGAATGGTGGCGTCCATTCCAGTGATTGGGATAAGACAACGAAGACTACGCCTACTAGTGAAGGGAATGTCTCTAGCACTGGCTCCAGAGACAAAATCAAGGAAACAGACAGCTCGAATCTGGTTTCTAGCATTCACAAGGAGCCTAGAAATCCTGTAGTTGGGGGATTACCAGAATCATCAAATCACTACCAGCCGGTTTCGTGCCATACACCATATGGCCCATAAGGCCGATTCTTTAACGACAGGAGAATGAATCCGATAGGATCTATTCGTATACCATTACAAGTGGAGGTAGCAGTAGGAGTAGGGCTGGAGACTATGGCAGCTATTCGAGTGGGGATGTTGGCTATAGTAGTTATTGAGGTGGAGATCGAGGTTACTCGGTGGCTAGTGGGTAATCAGGTGGTATAGGATGCCCGCCTTGTCTTGGAGGGTGTTTGTTATGCCAGCTCGATGTTATGATTTTTTTTATGCAGCATCGGGCCTGCTTCTAGAACTCTGCAAAGGTATCTTGATGATATCATGATCTAGACGGTTTGGGTTTTTTTTAATAAGTGTGCCAGCATTAGATATATACGTCCCTTGATGATCAAGTGCGCTTTTTATATAACTTATGTATGTACTATGATAGATATGTACAGATGGTGGTTTTATGAAAAACCATGAGTATATACAGGGAATAGATTTCTTTACACAGATACTTGTCTCGTACCCAGACCTGGAAGTACAGATACAAAGATAAATATTTAATCACCACAGCACTTCTGCCCTAAGGCGGCCCCATTTCCCCCGTACATTTACCCACTTCCCATCCCAGTCCCTCACAAGCCTCTCCGCCTCGCTTGTATAACCATCACGGAATCTCACTACCCATCTCCCTCCTTGGGAAGGCTCGGGGGTATTAGGCCCAACTATCGGGATTCGCTCAAGACCGTATCCATCCCTATCACCCCCCGGTACTAGCCATCTTCCAAACCCGTGCTTCTCAATTAGCGAATACTTCAACCACACTTGCAACACCTGCCAGTGTGAATTCGCACATAGCGCGATCAACACTGTCCGCCCGGGTGCACCTTCTGCCTGATATAGCAAGTTCGGGATCACCCCGTCAAGAGGCATTTTAAGCGGGTCAACAAGAACTAAGTTCGGGACCCAATATTTAGTCACAGACGCGGGACTGCCCTGTAAAGCCTCTGAACTGAGATCGAGGCCGGCAGGTTTTGATTCGAGGAATGTCTGTGCGGCTGCGGGGGGCGGCAAAGTGATATCCGAAGACCGCCCATGTAGCTTCTCAGATCTTAGAAGTTCGAGAAAGTGTGCAAGATGATGGTTGGCAGCCTCATCAGAGTCGAAGTATAGATAGTAGCGATTTCTACGCTGTAGACGAGGATTGGATCTCGCGGGTATGACCGTAAAATTCCAGCCGAGCCTCCGAGCATGGTAGTTGGAGAATATCCTTTCAATGTCGCTTTTGATCATTGTGGCACCACAGTTTTCCAAGCGGAGGATGTGGTATGCCCTTGAAACATACTTGTTTCTCCATGGTGGCGAGGTATTAGTGATATTGACATGAGGCTCGCTATCGGAACTATCCACTTTCGGGTCCGCGACTGGCATCTCTGCCTTTCGTCTTCTCATTGGATTCTCTTCTGATGATGGCTTCGATAGGCTTGCTGTCGAAGTAGGAATTGACTCTAGCAATGCGTCAATTGTAACCTTTGAGTTCTTAGGTTTCATCTGCTCGGGAGAATAGTATCCTAAGGACCCAATTCTCGGATCAGAGATCGAATCCAATAGGTTATCGATTAACACCTTAGCTTCTTGGTACGCTCCTGGTTCTGAGTTCTTCAAACCCTTCTTTTTCTTCTTTCGTCTTTGTTTTGTGGTACTCGTGGAAGAATCAACCAGGCCAGTTCCGCTCCCCTGGTCTGGGATTTCACCACCGGGTTCGGCTTTATTTGCACCTTGATTCGCATCTATTAGGTCTTCATCTTCCTTCTGAATCCCAAGGATCGGACTACTGAACCGATCTTGATGCTTCCGGTCCACACTGTGAAGACCTTTGGCGGCCTTTAGAATCTCGTCAGATACCCCGATGTGAGGAGAGGTTTGATGTTTTGCCGTGGTTGTGCCATGGCTTATCAAGCTGTCGGCAGCACCCGCCTTGCCAACATTCGGATACAAAGTAGAGCTGGTAGTGCTAGCAGGGACAGCACGAAGCTGGGCGCCTTTGAATATGCTTTTCAATGGCTGGGCATAGCTGGTTAGTTTGGTCCAGGCGGAACGGAGGGACATTAAGGCCTTTTCTATTGGTTAGGAGATAGTGTGACAGAGACAGAACGTATTTCCTTCATGGGTCTCTTGTTATAGCGTATCCCTTTTGCATAGTATTGTCCTGATTCTCGAAAGAAGGCTTAGGGAATGCCTTTGTTTTGCGGTCGGCGCGGTCGCGATCCTGATTCGATAATTGACTAGACTCTAGCTATAGTTATAGCAGAGTCGGATAGGAAGTGCAGATTTTGGTGTTGGGAAAATTGCGTTGCCGATGTTTGTGGGTTATCTGATCAATCTTATCTAATCGGACCGATATACCCTGCTCCAGCACTTTGCTCGAGCTTCATGACAACATTCTGCTAGACGCGACAGCGACTGCCAACCGACCTTCTATCTAACCCAGCAGGATAATCTCACTCTCATCCTTCTCGCAAGCTGCTAGGCTTCATTGAGGACACTCTTTATCATCATGGCGACATTACGGATCGCTGGTGCTAACCTACGACGGCTTGCATTATCAGGCCCATTGAAACCGTTGACTCCAACTTCACTCCCACGATTCGCGGCCCCAATTATCGCTTCCCGTAGTATTACTACGACCCCAACTAAACGCCAAACTCCAACACCATCTTCAGCCTCAGCTGATCAAAAGGCCTCATCTACGACACGTCTTACAGAGATAAAAGATGGCCCTATTGCATCTCCAGAGATAGACCTTGGGGAGGAGCTAGCAACGGATTGGTCACGTTCGTTCTCAGGATTATCACAGGAACCATTCGCAAAGGAGGTTGCAGACGTTCTATTGCAACCTCTTGACCCTGTTGAGGTTGAGATTAAGCCAGGTGATTACCATACCATAACATTCCTTGTTCGTTGTTCCCGTTTATTCGACTAATATCTAACGATGAAACTGCAATATCCTATAGATGGCATCATTTACCTACCTGAAATTAAATACCGGCGAATACTGAATCGTGCATTTGGCCCTGGAGGATGGGGTCTTGCTCCTCGAGGTGAAACACAAATCTCTGAGAAACCAAATGGAGGAGGAATGGTGACTCGCGAGTACGCTTTAGTATGTCATGGAAGGCTCGTTTCGGTTGCCCGTGGCGAGCAGGATTACTTTGATGAGTTTGGCATTCCAACGGCGATGGAAGCCTGCAAGTCCAATGCTATGATGAGGTGCTGTAAGGACTTGGGTGTTGCAAGCGAGCTTTGGGACCCAAGATTCATCAAAAAGTGGAAGAAGGAGAATGCTAGCGAAATGTTCGGTGAACATGTTATCACGAAGAAAAAGAAGAAATTATGGGTTAGGAAAGGCGAATCATTGGAGTATCCGTACCAGGTGTCGAAATTTGGGTCCTGAAGTACAGGTTAGTTACCCGATCTCACCTGCAGCCATGGCGTCACGCAGAAACTCAGTGGAAGGCCAGCTCTCTTCAGATGGGATTCTAGGGAGCTCGAGCCATGCGGGATCTACCGCGGTTGCCGGTTCTTTCTTGTACATAATTTATATTTTTTCACGAGGCTGTACGATACAATATTGTTAGGTGGGCCGCCTTGTGGCGGCCAGATGCTGCTGCAAGACAACTAGATAGTGGATGTACATACATACTTACCTACATCAGACCTTTTACACATACATATGAGGCAAACTGGATGATTGTTAACTCTTCTTATACATCTGCGTTCTTGGAAGGGGAACATTTCGGTTCAATCCCGCCTCGCCCGTCACCTGCCATTGGTCAAGATAGGCGATTTGGAATGTGATTTTAACGGACATCCCACACGGAAGCAACCTTGCGTCCCCACTTGCCTCCAGCGGGAGGGCGGCGCCGTGAACCTATCCATCTTTTTCGACAATATATCACATTCGTTAGAAATATTTTTGAGGGGGCCAGCAAAGCAAACTTTTCGAAAATCCAGAATCGTCTGATGAGGCTGGAATTATTTCTTGTTCATGCATCAATTTAATTAATATTAATAGCTGTTAAAATAAGTGCCCGGATATGGAAGAGTCGATCAAATCATTGCAGCGGGTAGGACCAGATGGTGTCAAGCTTTGGGACACGGCAGTCTTTCTGCAGGTAAAGCTCGAGCGCTTGCATATATTGAAGCAAGGGTATGCAATGCCGGCACGGGGCGATATTGATGTGAGAAATAGCAAAGTCGCTGGCCAACCATTTCACTAACATTGACGACTCGGAGTCGAGATGACCACCCTCCGGCCTCGAGCTCCGAGTAATTAATTCTCAATCGGCGGTCTCGTTAAGTTTTAGTTTCTATTTGTCGAATCGATGTAAAGATAGAAACCTCGAAATTCCATGTTTGTCGTGGGTGTGGGAATAGCTAATTACCTAACTAAACTCGGGTATACTACAGTTTTGCAACATTCACCAAATATAGATCCGTTGCGCGAAGGCTACTTTCTGCCTATCCACGAGGAGTTTCAAGCCTTCTGAAACTACTACGACAGGACACGTGCTGACATTGGCCCTTAGGCTAGCCATTCCCAGGCCGGCGCCGCGAAGCCGAGTTTCCCATTATTACGATTAATCGACTGCATGCATTGAAGCTCCCGACGAGATCTTGAGAAGTAACGTCGGGAATAATTCTGCACCAGTCGTACTCGCTAAAGCCAGCATTGTGGGTCGAAAATCCCTCCAAGAGTTGCTACGAAGAATCCAATCGGGTCAAGGTTTCTTTGCTTCGACATTTCGCAATCACACACAAGGGAAGCTAGCACGTAGTGGTGGGAAAGATATCATGGATCAAATCCAACATGGACTAGTCCTGGCAGCTGTGATAGGAGCGCAGGTACGCAGGAGCTTCCGGTATAACAATATCGAGTTAGCCCACCGTTGACTTTTGCCAATTACAGGGTTCACGAGATATAGCCTGGGCTTTGAGTTTCGAAGCCCATCCATTAGTCTCGTCACTGGCCCCGGTCGGTCTTTGAAGCCAAGCAGATTCGTCTGCAAGTTACACAGAAAAAGTAACTCCAGACCGAACAATGCAGGTGTCCCCCAATTTCTTCCCAGCAAATTGGCCCACAGAGCTGAACAAGTTATACAACTTCAAAACGGACGATAAGCGTGCTGACTCCCCTTGGCCCCTTGAGGCCTAGTCTCGCTGCATTCTGCACGTCCTTCCCATGCATCGAAGCTCTATCCTCGCAATTATCAAGGTCTCCACAATTGGATTTTTCCCTGAGCCCGCACAAGCAAGAAATTTCTGTCCCGAATTTGGGAGGGGAAACAATACTCTCGCTGTCTTCCGTAATAGAATTTTGGACATGGGCATAATTGCAATGGCAACAGCTCTATGTCTTTATATGGCTGGGATCCACCCACTTGAATTGTTGAACCAGCCGACTGGAGGTTCTGTTGTTCACTAATCATACACATCCCTCTTGTATATGCACCTCGATGTGCGTCTCTTCGCCTCTTCGCATCTGAATTTGTACAATTGCACGGTCGGAACCCTCGATTGGGATTTTTGAGATCAAGTTTGTATGTGCGGTAGACGACCAAGCCTCTCAAATTCGCCTGTCCCTTGCTGTGGGCTGCATTCTTTCCCGGACTTTTCCCCACTAGCTTAATACGACCTACCATCCCGCCGTCTTTTTTTTTCCGACGAGAGCGACTAAAGGCTCCGTAGTAGGGCTGGAACACGATATCTGGAATATCTAAAGGCACAACATATATTATTATCATACCGACAATGTTCAAGTCTAGAGCCATTGCCGATCTGCTCGCCCTCGCGACGACTACTTTACTGCTAGTTGCGCCTGCGGTCGCACAGAAGACGTCGAAGGCTCCGAAAATCGACCCAGTAGATAACTTCTGCAAAAGATACCAACAACAAAGTGAGTTCTATTGACAATACCGATGTCGATTTTGGGCGCCTTAGCTTACAAATTCTGTGCAACTTGTAGCTGCTATTACATCAGAGACACTCTTCATCGATGGCGGTACGATGTGGTTCCATGATGATCCCATTGTCTGGGGCCCTACTACCCAAGGAATCAGTAAGTTCGTCATATCTGCTTGTATTCTATAGTCGCACTGGTATTCATGCTGCGAATCTTTTAGACACTTTCTTGATTACGACCGACATGGATGATAGTTGGGATTGGAAAGGCAACATTTCACAGACTTCAATCTTTAAGACGAGAGAGCCTGGAAGGAAGACCGGATATGTTCCATCATTAAATGGTGGCGCGATCTGGCCAAATAGGAACGAAACCTTCCTTTACTTTTATGGAGGAACAACAAACGCCAGTCTCAGCAATTTTACGCTATATGCGGAGCCAGAGTCTGACAGGGATACACTTTGGAGATACAATATTGCCGAGAAATTCTGGGATCCTGTTGTCTACACCAAGGGGTCCTCACTTGTCACGAGAGCTTCCTTTGGCGGCAGCGTTGTCGCTCCCAATATAAACAAGGCTTACTACCTGGGAGGCGTCGTGGATCGTGGATCAACTGACAGGAGCGGTGACCTACAATCACCCAGGTTCCTTGACGGGTTGCTTGAGTTTGATTTCGAGACCGAATCTGTTCGAAATATTTCCACGGCTGAACTCGGTAATAGAGCGCGCGCATATTCGCAGCTAGTCTATATTCCCAACTATGGGACCTTAAACTCTTCTAGTGAAGGGGAGAAGAAAGGGATCCTAGTTTCCATTGGTGGAGAGGTTAAGAGCAGCCGGATCATTGATGTGAGCGGAACTCGAAGGGGGGACATGGTAAGTTGCAATAGCCAGGCTCTGCATACTTCGAGTATTCTAATTCCTTTCGCCAGGTTCAAATGTCAGACATCGCCCTCTTCGACATCGAGACCGATAGATGGTTTGTTCAGCAGGCAACTCCACACGCTAAAGAGTTCCCGGCAGGGCGAACGGACCATTGCATAGTTGTCAAAATGGCGCCGGATAACTCGAGTGCAAACATGTGAGTCGGACGACTAGTTTCTAGACCCTTAGGTTATCCTACAAGCGTACTAATAGTCCCTAGATACATGTACGGCGGTATCACCTACGATGAAAATAGAACACCGAGGTATCTTGACGATGTCTGGATCTTAACGCTACCTAGTTTCCAGTGGATTAAGGTATGTAACTCTCTCTGAACCCTTGCGGCGATGATTGAATGAAGACTCACATGATATTCGGTGTAGATTTTCGAAGGAGAATCGCCCCGCTATGGCCATACATGCCACGTCGCTCCCAAGGGACGACAAATGATCACAGTTGGTGGGCTTGGTGGATACTATACTGCAAACTTTAACGACAGCCAGTGCGACTGGGAGGCAAAATCTGTTGCCCTTTACGATCTTACAACATTACAATGGAGCAGCACGTATCTCGCACACAGTGAACCTTATGGGCTCCCTGTCGAAGTCGCCCAAAAGGTCAACGGAAAGTAAGTCATCATAGCCCATTCCTCATTACTTTTAGTCTTCGATGGTCTAACTCTTTCTCAATAGCCAAACCGGTAATGCAACCATTATTTCGCCTCCCGGTGATTGGTCGAATCCCGATATCAAAGCATTATTTGTCGAAGTACCAAGAACCGAGCCGAAGAAATCCGTCAACACCGGGGCTATTGCCGGTGGGGTCGTTGGCGGTGTCGTTGGTCTAGGACTTATCATTGCTGGAATTTGGTACTACTACAGGAGAAATATCAAGAAACACCCCACACCAAATCCACCACTTCCGGAAGCTCAGCAATGGAACAAACCCGAACTTGAGGGACCGGTTAGCCCTGGATTGTCGCCCCAGAGCGAGACTGGCCCCAAAGGTATCTTCGAAATCGGTGATACGGTCAGAGTACCCGATGCAGTTGAAACGAAGGGCAAGGAGATCCCATCCGAGTTGCCCTGAAACGGTTGACACAAATCTGATAATATAATCAATAATGACTGATCACGAGCGGGGGGTAATGAATTGTTGGGAGTCTAGCGTTGCGTTCTAATTCTATTAACATCCACGGGAGTTTTATTCATTTATTCTTTGTTTCATTCTAAACCAAATGATACCACCTTCCTTTGCATTTTCATTTCCTAGCACAAGTATACGTACGAGCTATCTATTATATCTAGGCCACTTGCAGCGGCCCACATTCGGGCATTTTGAACGTTCTTTTAGAAAAAAACAAAACAAATACGACAGGAACAAACATGGCATTAATTAGTATGTATGATGTATATAAAGATCAGACGACTAGCGTACTAGAGCATAATGATATTTGTGTAAACTATGCATATTCAAAGACTGGTAAACGCAGTGAAACCATGGCGTCGCATGGGCATATGTTGCCTAAGCCTACCTGTTGCCCTCTAGGGTTGGGTTTCTGGGGACGCGTTTATATTCTACAAGGCCTAGGGGGCGAAGTTCGTGCAGATATATATGCAGGTTGATATCGGGTCGGGTCGTGTTTACTAATCAGCTAAAACCTCGGCGACGGGAAACGGTAATAATGTCAGGGACGGAAAAACGGGTCACCGAAACGTGGAAAAGCATGGTTTCCTGTGACTTTATGCATGGCAAGAGCAGCCTAGTACTGTTGACTGGGTGCAGGCGCCTAGGCGTCTCATATTTGCGAAGGCATCTAGAAGTGACAACACATACTTATGTGGTATTTTTTTGATGGCATTTGGGCCAGTCTCGTAACCATTTGGGCTTCCGAGTTAGGGAGGCATCGAAGTGATATAGGTTCTATATTTATCCAACTTGTAATTAATATATTAGCTCTAGCTAAAGTTAGATAGGAGTATGATGAGCCCGCAGAATTCTAGAAGCTCCGCGGATCTGTCGAGAATGTTAATTTGGTAGCCACAACCCTACAGGGGAGTAAATTTCCTCGCCATCAATTGTCAGTCTCGATACTAATAATATAATAATATTGCTCAGTGCGGTGACTCAGATTCAAATAGCTCATGGAAGGAATATGTATAGCTTTAAGTGTAAGTAAAACAAAATTAATAGCCTTTAGGCCTATTCAATAGGCGCATTATCCACCGTATACGCTTCATATCTTCAACTGGATGCACGTAATCAGTATCATGATTTTTCGTTCCAGGTACACGAACTTATATTTTTTAGGTTGGAAATCGATCTAATCTGTTTGGGAGTGCAATTTGAAACAGATTTGTGAGCCTATATAAATAGTTTCGTTTTTTGTTTTACTTGATGAGTCTTAGGTCCCTCCGAATCATATTCACTACCGAAGAAGATGCCCAGGATTCGAACCTACATTAAAACTGCGTCCCTAGCAATTTCACAAATAAAAGAAAACATCAATACGGTCTTACACTCAAAAAGAATGGCGGAAAAACGGGTGTTCACTAATTTCTACAGCCTAACAGGCGCAACAAACTTTCTGCATATGACAAAACCCTGTCCGCTATCCGATCCAAAGTTACCACAGCTTCCAACTATAACCGACCCTGCTATGATTTGGAATATCCGCGCCCTAGAATATGCTATCTCCCAGAACGCCGATCTTGAAATTTACAATAAGGCTCTCTTCCCACTTACGTGTATTAGTTGCAAGAATACAACTTTTATGATGGTAGAAGGGAAGGATGGCTGCCCTGGTTTGGAAGATAAGGGCGAATATGCCCTAAGATGTTCTGAAAAGGGTTGCAAAAATCATCTACACTTTTAATCTAGGTTATAGTGATCAACTTGCGTAGATTCAAACAGTCTCTACAAACCAGATCTAACTGTGAATAGAGCACACAAATATCTTTGATCTATTAATCGAAGTTGGCTCTGTGCCACTAGGTGTGGAAAATCACAAGTATAACTAGGGTTTATCATAGATACCGTTTCTATAAGCATTAGACCAGCGCCTTCAATTGAATTCATGAATAAATCAGAATTTAGCTATTGGAACTCTACTTCTGTGCACCGAAGCACAAGTACCTTCGGACTTAGGACCGTATATATACTTGAAACCTTTTTTTCCCGGTCATGATCACTGGTCTCATACCCAGACTACCTCTCTTTGTTGTTATCCGCGTCTGGTTTACCGGACGTGTTATCTTCATTCTCGTCATTATTATTATTTTTTCTTCGTCCCTGATTCACCGGCGCAGCAGCTCTTTTGGCTTGATCCTCTGCAGCCATTTTCTGGAGTATCCTACGAAGATCTCCCTTTTGTTCTTCAGTTCTAAACCCTAACTGTTCGATCGCCACCCCGAAGCCTATTTTTCTTAGCCACAGGCTCCGTCGTATATCCTGGAAATCGATGTTTGTTTGTCCTTCTTTGCCGCTGGAGCTACTCATCTTTATAGCTTTGGGGCGAGACCTCTGTGGTGATTATACTTGATATTTAAATTTATTAGTATTTATAGCCTGGGGATATCTGGAGTCTGGTTTGGAGAACTGTAGAGTACAGAGTAGTAAAAGAATTAGAACTTGAACATTGGACACCCGTACGCGTGCGTGAGGCTAAGTAGCTATGACTACCGAAGTCGATGTTCGATAGATAATTCAGTCTGAAATTCAACCCCCAAAAACAAAAACGAACAGCTGTACCTAGCTTATAAATATATAGCTTCGTCTTCTAGTAGTTCCTGATTTCCCCTTTCGAGACCAATTTTGTCTCATGCCTGTGAGGTTATACATATAAATACTTAAATACCTAATAATTAACCATACGAACGGTCTCTGACTTGCGAATTCTCCGTTATCAACAAGAATATAGAGGAGCATAAACTCGAGTCGTTTTGCTGATAATGAACTTATAAAGTTGGTCTCAAAGGTGAGAGGAATTTTGAGATTGCTCCTAGCATAGCGTCACGATATTGCCGCGCTTTGTGTATAACCTCTCAAGCAACTGATATATTTACCTAGGTAGTTGACGCGCGGAATAGATATATACCTTACTTATGAGCGCTGAATAAGTAGTTACAAGGAACAATATATTCAATGATGTGAAAAATGAATATAAAAGCCATATAAACCATGATAAGGGACCGCTAAGTATGAAAGACTCCGCCTGTCAAAAATAAAGAGGGGAAAAGCGGGCCTAGAATAAACTCTATCAATTCAGAAGCTTGAAACATGCAGAAAAGGCTAACTCCCAAGAAAAAACTCATTAAAATGCAAGATACAATTTATCGTAGAAGGTGAACGGATAAGATATTTATTCATGTTTCTGTTTCGCCGCATTATTTCGAGCGGCTTCCAAGCTTTTCCTCACTTGTTCTATGGGCTGTGTTTGAAGTCCACCACTAAGCCCTAATCCGAGTATCGTGGCAGTCCCTTGGCCTGTCGTCATTCCTTCTGCTAGGATATCGCTAGCCTCCGTATCTGCTTCATCATGACTGACCCTGCGTTTACCCTTCCCGGGTGGAGGAGGCTTTCCTAAGAAACTATCAATGACCTCCATCCTCCGCTTTTCTTCCTCAAACTCCTCTCGCTTTCGTTTCTCGACTGGGTCTTCCTCTTCGTCGCCGCTGTCGCTTGAGCAATCTCCTTTATCACTCCACACAGGGCTCATTGGTCGTTCCTTTGGTCTCCTGGGGGTTGCACTTCCAGAACTCCTCCCTTCCCTCTCATCGTCCTTAACAAGGAGAAATGCGTCTTCAACTTCACGTTCACCGCCCTTCCAGTGGTTCTTTTTATCCTCGGCCCCAAGGTGACCGGAAGAGGCAATAGGCGTGTCAATATCATATGCCCTCTCCTCTCCCGTTTCCTCATCGTCTCGGGACCGTGCCGCAACCGTATCTCCGAAATGTGTTTCAACTAGGTGTTTTACCACAGGCCACCCGTAAGCATTCGAGAACTCTCGACGGACGATAATATTATTGTGAGCATCTGGTTCAAGCCGAACCAGCACCTTTCTCCAACTGATTCCGTCGTGGAAGGCTCTTGCGATCTTTTCTTCGGGTTTTAAATTTTTGCCTGCGGTGGACTCTGACTTGATGCTTCCGGTTGGAGAATATGGATAGGTTGGGGAATGGGAACCATCCTTGAAAAAAGTTGGACTGGCTAGAACATTCAAATTCCCTGACGATTTTGATGCTGAAGGAGCGGTAGATGTTGTGGCGCTCGTGGGACTCGCAATATCGCTCGTCTCCGAGTTATAGGAGGCAGATCTGGATATCCGACCAGCCGTTTGCTTCTTTGCTGTTGTTGCAGGGACTGGTGGAATATCGGAAGGGTGGTAGACTCTGTCATGGAAAATTGTTCTCGGGCGAGTCTCCGGGTTGATCAAAAAGCTAAGGGGAGGAAGTGGCGGGTTTAAGATATCACCAGCTGCTTCCAATAAAGTCGTCCTTGGTGGTGCCATCATCTTTTCGTAATTGTCAGCGTCTGGACCATCGTCCGCAGCTGTCGCCTGGCCTCTTGCTGTTTTTGTCGGGTCATCTATTATGAGCGTTGGAGTAGTATCACCAGTGTTTGAAGAACCAGCTATTATTGTGCTCGATGATTGGGTTGCTAGATCACCGTTCGCCAAAGTTGTCGATGATGGTGTTGGCGTGATTGTAGAGGGTGAGTCGGCTAGGTTTTCAGTGATCTCAGGCTTGAAAGAGTTGGACGTCTGGGAGCTTGATAAACTTGGCTCACTGCCGTCAGCCAAGGGCCCGATTGTTTGCGATCTTGAAAGAATCCTTTGCAACTTCTTCTCATATCTTGCACCCGCATGTGGTCTAAAGAGGGTCCAGAAAGATGAGAATGCGGTCGGGGCTGGATGATCTGGCTTTGGAGAAGGTAGTATTTCTTGGCTATTAGAATACCTTCTCTGCACAGGTCCTTTGGTTAGGGGTGCTTCGCCGACTTGGTTTCCGCTCGATTCACTCTCCGCTATTGTGATCGAATCGACTGATGAGCGACGCTGCCAGGAGCGTCTTGGGGTGCTATTACCACTAGTAAGCTGCCCTAGGCCCCATCCTACCAGGCCGCTCACCTGTCCGATTGGCCCTTCGTTTGCCCGTCTGGCCTTCTCTACTCGTCCGAGGCCCTTCCAATCGAGGAATAACAAGCAAGATGTCCTTAATGGCACAACGCCATCGTTGACAACGTTTGCATAGATGGTTCGATTCCTGAACCGCTCCAGCACTTCGCGTGCAGGGCCCATCGGTAAGATCCTTAGTAATGGCTTTGATCCAGGTGCTTGCGACTCCTCACTCTTAACACTAGCGCTACTAGGCATTAGGTTAAATCCACTCATTGCCGAGGTAGCCATATTTGGTGCCCTCCATGTCAATCCTAGATCTTGGCCCGTTCGCCCAACCAAGCCAAAATCTAGCGCGAACTTAACATAAATCGGATTTTCGTTAGACAATCCCAAGAATGGAGTTGCAAGCGCTACAAAATTGATCGGTTGGATTTCTGTAAAGAAGTTTGGATCATGAGCGTGGATATATGCTATTGCGTATGTCTGTACCAGACCACCAAGAGAATGACCGATGAAACTAATGCTTGTGACCTTGTACCCTGCATTAGGATTAGGTTCATGCAAGTCATTAGTAGAGCTTCGCCAAAGTCCACTAGTTTTCTGGTTCCTCAAGCTCGTGGGAAGGGGACGATCTGGATATGCTAAGGAAAATGCGAATCGTGCCAGTCTCTTCCCGAGATATTTGATACCCCTCTCAGTCCGGCAAACATTACCGTGGAATCCTCGGGTTATGACTTGCTCTTCGTCATCGTCATCCGAATCTTCATCCTCTTCGACTTGTTCAACGTCGCCGGTTGCGACCCCTATATCCACCTCTTCCGGTTCCTTGCCCTGCCGCCGTTTCCGCCTTCGAGCTTCACGCAACTCCTTTGTAGTTTTGTCAATGGACTCTTTCACGAAAAGCATATCGGCTCCGCAGTTGGAATGAATCCCATGCGTTATCAGGACTAAGTGCACCTTCTTAGGTCCTTTATTTGTCTTTCGCTCCTTCTTAAACCCTTTCCCGCTAGACACCAGCTTACTCTGTTGTTCTCCGGGGAAAGGAGGTAGGTTCCAAAGTTGTTGTGTATTCATTACTGAAAACTCAACCGCATTTGAAAAGGTTCCTTGCTCAAACCCGGTACCGTAGATAGTCAGGGATCTCTCATCTCTTGCAATCGCCAAATCAAAGTTTGTTTTGGCTGATGCTGAAAAGATCATTTGCGAAATAACTTCGATAATCCAAGTGACTTTTTCTTCTTCCTTGTTCGTGCCTCCAACTCGATCTCCAATCCTGTGTCCAGGGTTCGCCCTTCGTTCTCTCTCTCTAGCCATAACCTCTCTCCTCATTGTCGCAGGAACTGGCAGCTCACATTCCCAAGTGCTGCCAGCTTTGAGATTCGGTTCAAACTCAGGGTATCCACCTTCTTCTCGGGGATTGATAACGGGTGACCAGTGATCATAGTTTTCGGACTTAACGGAGCAATAGAGGACAAAGGGGCCGTGGAGGTAGGCGGCTCGGAGAGGTATAGCTTCCGTGTTCTTAATTCGAAGGTGTAGAGACGTAGGAAGAGGTAGTATTCGGTCACGCGATGGGTAATATGTTACCTTGTAGCTATAAGGATGTCATATCAATATACGTTATGGAAGAAATTAGATCGGAGGCACAGCATACCGCAAAATCTCGCCAATCTTAACACTTCCAGTTGTGTGTAAAAGCAACATATCTGCTTCTTTACGAGTAGCCTCGTGGTGTAGTAGAAGACTCCTCCTAGCGAGTGATTCGTTTGTGACGAAAGGTTCGGTGTGAAGATGAGACGGATGAGCCGGACTGTTGACGATAGCGGCGACAGTCGGTGAAGGTGCCCGTAGACCTTGAAGAAAGTTCATTAGAATACTGGACAACAGAAGGCCTCCGTGTAGTCCAAAAGGACTACTCGTCGCACCCTATCTTTGAATAAACTTGGTCACGGGTTCAGCCGGTAGTTGTCGCTTGGTGCGACAGGATTGGAGAATATCGTTTCGGATTTTGGAAATCTGACCGCCGCCTAATGTAATGATGCAAAAATGTTAAGGCGACAACCTCGCTGGAATAGCAGAGGGCGAAGGATAGATAATCGTGGAATAGCGCAGATGAATGCTCATGATGCTGCGATCAAAGCTGGAAATAGGGGTCCTTTGAGCTGCGACCATCAAGGCCGGCTGGCTGACTAGACCGGTCAGGCACGAAAGAATGAGGTATGACGTCGGAACCGACCGCGATAAGTATCTCGACCACTCCGGAACTTTTGGCTTGTGAATGAAGCTAGAACGCCCTTTCTGACAGGCGCCTTAGATGCAGGTCAGATGCCAGATGATGTCGGTGAGCAAAATAAGATTTATTGGCACCTCCTTTTCGGTAGCTGTAGGCGGCGGCGTATGCTTGTTCCGGATGCTTTGTAGTTCCGAGCCCATGGCTGCTGGCCGTGGTCACATTCGGACCTCTCTCGATCTCAGCTGCACAGCCCCACGCCCGATTAGGAAGTCCTAACGCCACACAACACACTAAATCCAACACTTGTATATTCCCGTAAGACGTCGGAGGGCGTGTTTTGTATTGGATTTATGTCCACTCAAAACAAGCTAGGCCTCATACCACTAGGCAAGCTAAGTGCTTGGAGGAAGCTTGAATTCGAAACATGAGCGGTTTTCCAGCTTCGGATTTTGGACCAATTATAGGTGTGAGGAGGGGAGATTGCGCTCTACATCGTTAGGAGCATGGGCAGAGGTCAACAGAACTCAAGGAATCCGAACTTCAGAAGGGAACTCTAGAAAAACAGTCACACAATAATTTGATATTGGTTTAGAAATATTTGCTATTTCCTATTGCTTCCAGACTGGGATGCAATAACATCTAGCTTATGAAATAATTTCAAACTACAATTGGTCTAGATAGCACCTGTAGAAGTTAAAACTAGGACTAGAAGGTTCATCGTGAAACCGGAAGCTTCTAGTATAGAGACATACTTCCTTAATTATCATGCGGCTTTAGTTCCTCTTGAATTCCAGTTTCTTCTACTCTTTTAGAGTCTCTTGCGGGAAACATAAAGCAATCTTCCACTTGTGGTTACTTTAGTTCTCTCATACCTTAAGTTCACTCCCACATCTCCACAACCACATCTCCACAACCACATCTCCACAACCACATCTCCACAACCACATCTCCACAACCACGCACCACAATCTTCACTTCTCACGACGCGGCTGTGCAAGATAGAACAGAAGGTTCCCTCCTAGATATAATATCTTGGGAGGCAGTCTGCATTCGGAGCTACATCTTTTGGCTAATTCTACTGTCCCGAGAACGCGTCCGTCGACTTAAGAAGCACGACATTAGGTTGCCTGTTCCTCTGCAAACCGTCGTCACTTACCACTATCTCATTGCCTTTTTCGACGCAGCGTCCTTCGGTGGAGCTACCGTTCTATCGAATAAGTTGCTTAGAGAAGAGCTAGACTCAATATAGGTAGGAAACCCAGCCTCCATATATAACATATTATTTAAGCACCCCATCAAGACCAAAATTGACCTGAACGACAAACGTGGTTAAGGAGCAGACGTCCCAGCTTCCACTAGAAGTTTCCAAAAAATCTAGACTCTTTCATCAGCTTGAGAGGTCTAGCCACCATACCTGATCAAAACCTTCTCCTACTGCAACTGCAACCTTCTTCTACGACTACCGAATACCACCACCATAATCTTGGCATGGGCAGATACTCCTTTACGTTTATAACCCCGCCATTAGCCTGGGTTTTCGCCTCTAGCTTACGTTATTGGGATCTCATCGAGGTTGTGAGAAACATGACCCCATCCCATCGATAACTAAAGGCGCCACAGCTCATGACAGAACACGCACTTCGCTTCATAATTCTATACCAACTACACATATACGTATAAATGATCTAGATGGCACAGCATCGAGACATCCTACGACACCGCACAACCTATCTAATCCTTGTGGCGTCTAAAAAAATATGATTGAAGACGCAGCTCAGCTGCAGGGACAGCCGATTCTGTCTTGGAGTGGCTTATGTCTATAACTATCCAGTCGAAGTGAATTTCAGAGCTCCCATTATTGATGGTATTCAACTCGCTATCAGGATGCAGCTCTCATGCAGTTTCCCCAAAGGCTATGACATCAACTAAATAATATATACAGAATCTAATACAGATCCAGCCGATTCCCAAACCCCGAGACTGCCTTAACTGCAGTATCTATATATCTCCTAGACAGTTATTTTACTGTTTGTTATCTTAAATGTCTTCCAAAGGACCATGAATTTTTCGCACTGAGCTACAACCTCCCGGGCAAATTCCACAGAGTATCCCTACATCCAATTTTCTGGGGACAGGCTTCGTCGCCACTAAGTCTGTTGCCTGGCTGATGCATGTAGCGTGAAAGCCCATAGCCAAGAGTAAAATCGAACACCTTATATAAATTTATATAAGCAAACGAGATAATCAGGTACCAAGCCCCAAAGGGCCTTCATCCTACCTCAAATTAAAGTTCCCGGTTGCTCTTTATCAATGACAAATAAAGGACGGCCTAACATCTTATAGGACAGAAATAGCCAAAAAAATTTCCAATACCATCAAACCACTTGACAGGAACCTTCGAGCAAATGGTGCTCGGTCATATTCGAAATAAGCTTCACATCAGGCTAGTATATATAGCACTGGATTCATGAACTGGACCCTCAACGAGTCGACCGGTATCTCTGCGTCGCGTAAAACGAAAAAAAATGCAGTTGGAGTCAGCCCAAAACCAAAAATATAATATTCTTTAAAGTAATTATCCATGTGGAAGCCCATTCAAATGGTATCGCATAATAGCATAACGAATGCTATATCAAAATATATATAATTTCGCGGAATAATTGAAGGGCGCTGTCGACGCCATACCTTCCATAGATATTATAAAGATCATATATACATTTAAAACCCTATAAGAAAGCTTTTCGGCATATACGCATCACACTGTACTTCCTTCACCTGATGATTGAGGTTTCTTCCATATGATCTCGCTGAAAACCACAGATATCTAATTATAAATTAACACAAACCCTTTAATATTCAAACCTCTCTCCGCATTATTGAAGAGGACCGTGGATGTCCACACCCAAAAACGAACGAGTATATATAACCATCCGGTTTACGACAGATCCACTTTTATAATTTAATATATACTCCTCGTTAGATGACGAAGAAGCACCAACCTATATATGCAGCAAGTTTATCCGCCAGGTTTATGAATTTTCTCTAGCATTATAGATATATTTCATTATGAAAGCAATTAAGCAGTCAAGAAACTTGTACACGTGTACAAACCTGTCAATGTTGTACTATAGCCCGAAGATCGAAGATCCCGCACAGGAAACTTCGCCGTACGATACGGAAACTTAATTAGATATAACGTCATCCCTATATATAACAATGACAACAAAAAAGCTCTTATATAAGATTATTTAGATATCTGAGAGTCGGTGTATCCTATCACCAAACCTTCATATATCGGCAATAGCCTCATAGATTCCTATTCTATCAGGTTATGAGCCACGTATGTCTCCCAAGTTACCAGTTTACATTAGTTTACCCATAAGTTTTTCAGGTAAAAGCACTAATAATGCCTCCAAGACATGGCCTCATAAGTCCCTGTTCTATCATTCCAGAGCCCAAGAGAAACGAGTGTCAGATCCTTTGTGTATACGAACAGTAGAGGCTATTTCGAACGAATATGGTTCCCCTTCAATGCATCACATAATTGGAAAGCTAGAATCTCCAATCCAATCACCTTAGTTTCTAAAGCTATTTTAAAATTTTCAAACTGTGGTTCCATGTATAAAACCACACTATATGCTTTATATATCGATAGATCCGAGGAAGAAGTTTCAAGCGAGTCCAATTTGTTCTAGATGCCTTTAACGTATAACTAGGAATCTACACACCTATATAGCTAGTATCATGATGGCTCAAAAAGGAAAATTCGAAGAGGATTTCTATAGAATCCATGCATATACCCCGCAGAATTAAATATCTCTAAAATCTCTCAAATATTGAAATCCAAAGTCGAAACGACGAGATTTAAGGAATGTCCAGACCTAAGAGTAACGTAGCTCGTAGAAGGTCGATAACCTATCAATCCGTACTGAGAATCCTCTATATATACAGCTGACATTCGACGAATCTATTTAGTATTTATCCATACCTGTCCACAAATATAATTATACAAATATCTATCTGTAGCCAACTCTCTATACATCATTTACGAGTGTTCAGTCGATGTAATACTTCTCTATGAGCGGCTAGGAAAATAGTCGCAGAGGACTTGCTCGAAGGAATGGATATATATCGTTCCCAACTAGCAAACGTTCCAACAATATTATTCTATATAACGATAATAAACGAAAAAGCCGAAGTGCTATCCAAGGATTTAGCATATTCGGATTAAAGCCAAATCTATCGCCGAGGTATGGTAGGCAAATGTGATGAGAACGACACACTAGTACTAAAACGCCCTTTTAATTCGAACAGATGTTAAACGCATTACAGAACGCGCGATGGTTGCACCGAAAGAAGCCTCACGGATCTATTAATATTAAATACCGAAATATATATATGTATAACGTTATATACATAAAACATCAAATCGACGAAACAAAACACAGGGCAGAGATGAAAAACGCCGCCCAAATAATATTACAATTTGAAGTCACAGAAAATTAATAAAAACCAAAAACACACTAACAGAAGTCACATTATGCTCGTCGATACTCAATTTATTTACCTCGAAATTTTGATTTTTCTTTTATGCATATATCGCTAGATTCGATTAGAGCTCAAAAATCTAGTCATTAACCTAGCTTCGAAATTTTTGCTTTCCAGTGATAGAGTCTACTCCGAACATACATCTGACATACATACCTTATAAGCACCCTCAAAGATTCTCCAGACTCCTCGCTCATGTCAATCCCTAGATTCCTTTTCAAGGAACTTCCGCAGAAGGCAAGAATGGGTAAACATATCTAATCCACAGTATATTATATATATCACTAATTTCCAGGCGGTTAACAGCACTGCCCGTTGAATACTTTTCGACTAGAGTTCGCGCAGTTGAATGAGCCATACATATGACCTAATTCTACACTTCAAACTTAGGACATGCATGACCAATCCACAATATAATAATTACATCTCGAGCCTCGCAGGTCCCCGGCGATCATATGTCCGGAAAATGAAAAGGCCCGAGCTCGTGAAGAGATATATCTCCCAGGAAGTCGCAGATGCGTGCGCATATGCGAACGAGGCTGTCGAACCCGTATCATGTTCAATCATCCACCTACCTGAAGTTGGGAGGGATACTATGTATGCCTATTTCAACCTAAAGAAAAGGATATTTCAATGCCAGATATGTATATATATATCACGTTTAGTGAAAGTTCATGGAGAAATCCGCACATTGATCGTACTAGAAATATATAATATTGATACGAGATCCATCATATAATCATAATACCGGCCAGCAGACACTGGGAATGGTAAATCTAGGACACAAAGTTTCCTGAGTTCATGAGTTTCACCCTCGATATACTCACTGCTGACGAGTCGTTCCACAAAGCCATGTTTCTTACATATAATTATATATATATAAATATTCCACACAATGCGTCCCACTGCAGTACTGTTTGATGGCCAAACCCCCCCTTTCAAGGATCATTTAGGGGAAATAAGGGAATACTTGGAGGGGTAAATCGTGAGTCGCAGATACAGATGCTCTTCGAAATCCACCTTGCCAATGGGGGTCGGAGCAGTACAACTCCGGTGACCCAGCTACATGTACCTATTCCACCCATCTCTGTATGATCAAACCCAATCTTCCAAGAATTATATAACCCACCCACGAACGTCTACTAAAACTCATACTACAATCCCTAATACGACCAAATTGAGCAATCCTTACGATCAAATCGTCTTCATCCCTTAAGTTCATATTGTATATACTTACCTATACTCCGTCCTAAACATGCGCGCCTATAAACAATCACAACCGAACAATCATGTCCGAACTACCAACCTCCACGAATATGAGACTTTACCCCCCATGAACACGATACCAATCGAAAACCATGTGTCCACGCGGTACACCAAAAACCCACAGCGAAGAATGAATACTACACCCCAACTCCACGATACAGTATACGTACGAATATAGTATTCTGAACTTCGGACGAATATGCACCTATCTACTTTCCATATAATATAATATAAATATGTAAAAAACACCGACCCTTCGGAAGAGGATGTATGCCCCTAAAAAAGTAAAAGGGTGATGGCATGGGACCTATGCTGAAAAGAGGTGTACCAAAGATTTAGGAACGACGAATGGGCCGGTTTCGATGTGCACTGGTGGAGATGTTATTGTATAAATATTTGGAAATTCTGAATTAGGGTAATGTTTCGGGTTATCGACCCTTTGGGGACATGGAGATAGAGGTTTTATTTATATATTGTTACAGAGCCTTTGGATCATGACGGGGCGAGGGAGAGTGGTTGGATCGAGGTTGTGTATATATTGTAAGAACGGAAGGGAGAATAGCTCTCAGAGGGGATGGAGGTGATGTTTAATTCTGCGGAAGCGTGTTTTGATGAACTATTGTGATATATACCTAGGTACCTAGATCTATAGATTAGAAAATCGAGGAGTGTATTGGAAAGATGGTTAGATACCATATAAAATAGAAAAAAATATAATTCATCACATTAAAGTCAAAAAAGAACTAAACTAGTACTTGCTAAATCCACATAAAACCAAAGACCAAAATAAAAAATAAAAAAATAAAAAAGAGATGAAGAGGAAGTATATTCATCACAATTGACAGACAAGAAAAAGGCTCCAAAATGTCCACAAGAAAGAGGGATAGATAGATATATGGATGAGGGGGTCGTAATCAGATCATACAAAGAAAAAAGCATACTCCCAATGCCTGATACCAGAACAACAAAGACCAAGAGAAAATCTAACTTTTCCTCCAGTGAATCCCAGCTATAAGTTACTTATTTTGCATAGAGAAAAAGGAAGGGGGAGTGGGGGTTTAACAATAAAATGCATAGGTGTATATATGCCGAAAGAGTTATGCATGAATGAAGGATTGTCTCGAAAAGCACATTATAAAAAATCGTGCTATTTCTAATGTCCCTCATATCCCATATCCAAAAAAAAAAAAAAAAAAAAAAAAAAAGAATGAATCAATGAATGAATGTATGTCGTATGTGATATTTAAAATGTCTCTTCGGTGAAAACACTACTCCTCCCTGTATCCGTACTCCTCCTGACTTTATTCTCATCTCCAAATGGATTATTCCCCTTAGCAGCTCCACTAGCCGGTCCTCTATTCGCCGCAATATTGTATCCAGGTCTTGGACTTCTACTCCTACTTCTTCCTCTGGGTGGACTATCATCCTCTTCATCCCACCTTCCACCTCTTCCTCCACCAGAATTATTCCCATTATTCTTATTATTATTATTATTATGCCTCGAAGTATTCGTATCAACCCTCAACCCCATCTCAGCATCTTCCTCATAATAACCTCCATAACCCCTAGAATCCCAAGCCCCCTCATCCTCTCCTAAAGGTCCAAACTCTCCCCTCGAATTCGCCTTCTTCTTGCCGAATATACCCAAGAATTTACCATTATTCCCATTCCCACCGTTAGGGTTTTGGGAGGAGAGTTTGTGACGATTACTACTACGGGGACCCGTGGATTGGTAGACGGGGTTCGAGGATGGCGGACGGAAGTAGGCGATTAATGGCGGGGAGGGGAGACCTAGTCTTCTGGCGCGGAGGTTTAGGTGGATTACCCAGATTAGACAGCCGAGGAGGACGCCGCCGGCGATGACGATTAGGAGGATCGCGAAGGAGGAGAGCATGGCTCTTTTAATCCTTTTATTGCTTTATCTATTTTTCTGGGTGGAGGATATGTGGTGGGCGGATGTGTGTGGGTTTGGTTCAGGGGTGGGTGTGTGGTCTTTTTTTATCGGTACGGGTGGATGGGGACGGTGGGTGGGTATTGTTGGAAAGGGAGAGTTTAGATGATCATGCTGAGATGATGATGATGATGATGAAGATGAAGTTGATAGTGACGTTGGAAGCTGGAAGGGTAGAGATCGTGGATGATGATGGTTGTAGTTGTAGAATGTCGGGATGGATGGAGTAGGTGGACTGGGAGGGATAAGCTGAAGTGGTCGCGGAAGAGCTAGGACCAGCTCTGTCTCTGTCTGTGTCTGTTCCGTTAGGGGAGATGTCTGTGACGTTGTTGGTTGGCGCAAACTGTGTGTGTTGCGACGGCACTGAACCTCTCCGAGAGCCTCAAAGCGTGTGTGACAGAAGGGAAAAGACAGATGTTAAGATCTCAAAACAGTCGCATCCATCTCATATAAAAAATAAATAAAAATATATGTATATAAGAATACAAGAGAAAGTCAATCGACTGAAGAAAAAAATAAAATAAAAATAAAAATCGGTTCCAAAGTTTGAGTTTTGTATCTTTACCAACTATACCTATCTCAATTACTTGCAGGCGCAGGGAGCAATCCGAAGGAAAAGACAGGCCGTTGGATCGGTTTTTTTGGTGCTTCTAATTATGGACACAAGCGGATAAGCACGCACGTTTTTTCTTCTCAGAGTATTGTCTTGTATAGTATAGTTAGTCTTTATTATATTATATTACTCTGCTTGTAATTAGTATAATCCATAATATACGGAGATGGATCGAAATGTTCACTCTCAGGGCTGAGGTAGTCGAGAGAGAGAAGGACGGATCTTTGGAATTCCAAATCCGAGGCTGACTACCACCCTTGTCTTTTGCTTGGCAGGTTTTCTTTCTTGTACCATATACTCCGTACGCTTAAATAGTATGTAGACGGTCAAATTGTTTGTCTTTTCTCTGTATCAACTTGAGGCTTAGCCTGATGAATGTGCTTAGTCAGTCAATCCACCATATAGAGCGGTTTGATATATGTGAAGGGGAAGAAGCTAGTCGGGATCATTGCATGTCGGGTTTGGAATTAATTGTGGGCGGTAAGTACGGATAACAATGAACAGATTCGAACAGCGGGGAGATCGCGATCTGATAATTGATAACGACTAGTTGAACATGTTGATATGCATGCAGGGTTTATCACACTTGCTTGCTTACTTACACATGTACGAGGTATGTATGTATGTATGAGAATAAGAGTCTTGAGAATCTTGGGATATGGTCCGAGGAATATTCGAATTAAGACAAGACAAGCCGAGAGTCTTGATCGTATCCTTGTGAATCCCGCACTGCATCAATATGTCTAAGAGAGATGTATGTAAGTATGTAACTACCCCGCACTAGTTAGGTTACCGAAAGATAAATAAAAAAAAGTCGTCTGATGGCAGACATGAAAAAAGATTTCTCGTCCGATGATTCGGGATGTCTGCAAGGGCCATCTCAGAGCTCTTCCACCCCCAATTACTTACTTAAGTACATACCTAGTAACTAATTCTTAATAATATAATATACTTGGAAGCTAGTTAGAAGAAGTACCGAATAAAGTATTGACCTAAGAGGTATCCACTAAGTTACCGTACAAGTACTAGATTGATAGAAAGTAGTAATTGTAATAATAAGAAGAACTTATCACCTGGGACCACCGTCAATAAGCGGGTCTGCACCCCCAACTTTTGTCATACACAATTGGGAAGAGAGAGAGCCTTCCGTATAGGAAATGAATACGCGGAAAAGCAAAAGAGAGAAGACCAAAAAAAAAGGGGAAGCTCGGCTGGAAGTGGCATGACAGGACCGATGACTAAACTCGGGTCGATTAAGTTTCCATCTCCACCTGAGAGGAAGAGGAAGATAATGGAGAGGGTATATAAAGGGAGCACACTTCTTGTCACAAATTAATCTGATCGATCAGATTAGATCTTTTAAACAGGACATTCGACACAACACATTCCACTTTTTCCTAGTCGGTAAGTACCTACTTAAGTACCTATCGACAGAAGACAGAGACGGGACGAGACAATATTAAATCGAGCTAGAGAACCAAACTAACAGGAGCTAGAAAATTGAGATGAAAGTTAGTCTTTTTTTCTAAATTTCGACGGAAATAAAGAATTTAAGACCATCATCCGACTGCATCACGAGGTTACTTACATTTATAACTATTTAGTAAAGCTGTGAGTATACTATCACTATTCCCCCATGCTTCACACACTTTTCATACATAGTATAGTATACTAGTATACTTTTTCTTCTTGGATTCTGTTATATTGCCGGTTCTCTCCTTCCTGATTGATATTTATATACTACTCAAGTATATATCGAAGCTGGACGGTAATAATAAAGACCCCGGTTTAAATCGATTGAACCTGGACAGAATTGGGTTCCGTCCGTCGTCCGTCTTCCGTCGTCTGCAGCCGCCGTCACAAATTACCTATCCTATCCCATCCCATCCCTTTCTTCCTTTTTCCCCCTCCATGGCCAGCCCACTCTGCATACTTAATTACTTCATAGGTACATAAGTGGGTGGGCTGCCGAGATAATCGATCCATTATCCCGATCGTGGTGGTCTTCTTCTTCCCCCTCCGCTCCGTACAGGCTTAGCCTTTTTTGTTTTTCCTTGTTCATGTTCTCGACCTGCATATTTTCTCTTGTCATCACCCACTCACTCTCGGGCTCTTTTTTGTTTTTTTTCTTCTTCTTTTTCTTTTTGACTGAAGGAGAAAAAAAAGAGAAAGGAATAATCTTGTCTCATCTGAATTTCACGGAAACTACTACTTAAGCAGTAGTTAGCGTCGTATTTCCTAGTAATACGGTGGGGGTGAGCTGAAGCATGATCATAGCCAATAAACTGGGGGGTGGATGAGAGAGAGAGAGAGAGACCAGCAACACGTGTGTCACCGGAATGTTAATGTTAATGCAGCGAATGAATGAATGACTGACTGACTGACAGACTGACTTGCTGAAGAGATGAACTGACGAAACAAATCGGATACGAGGCTTTTGCTTTTTAGTTTCTACGATAAATAATCTATTTGGATTATATTATAAGATCTCTCTCTCCTTCTTTCCCCATACATACCTACATACTATCACCATTCCAGTCTCCTCCCTCTATCGATATCGATACCACTCGGCACCCCTCTCAGTTACACACTCCACTCAAATATATATACTTAAGTACATATATGATATTATACCCCTCCTTTCGACTAGTCGGTTTATCGGTTTTATCAGTTTATCAGTCGGTCAGGGAGTAAATAATCAAATAAAGAAGTGGCTATATAGTCAGTCTGTTTGTGAGTTGTGTGTGTGCGTGAGAGAGAGAGTGTGTGAGAGAGACAGTGAGAGAAAGAGAGCGTGAATATGCCCAGGCCGGCTTCTTCCTCCTCTTCTACAACACCGCTGCTCATCCGCTCTTCACCCGCCCTGGGAACCGGTTCCTACGGTGCTCTACCGGACCTCTCCAGCAGTCCCGAATCCCCTCCAAAGTCACCGACTGCTTCGAAACGGAAAAAGGGAAAGACCAGGAGTCGTCTTCGAAATCTTTTTACCTCGTCTGATAATCCTTCTTCGAATGGAGTTGTTACCGAAGCCGAACATTCTGCTGCTGCAGGTGCCGCCGAAACAGCAGAAGACCACTCCCACACGACACCCGCAATCATCGACATGAGACGACGGTCCTCCACCGACGAACAAGACCCTGGCGTCAAGCTGGCCAAGGTTCGACCTGTTACTAGCTCTGCCGGTTATAGTGCTTTCCATGGCGAAACCGCTGGTAGCTCTTCAACCGCTGTTTTTCCTTTCCCAGAATCCGATTCCAGCTCCACCGCGACAGATTATGACGCCGGACAAGTCCATCCGCTGCAGGACAGCGATGCCGATGTCGATACCGACGACGACGACGAAGGTCTCGCCTTCAACCCTCATGCGAACTCTCCGTACGTTTTGTTCTCTTCCTTTCTCTACTCCCAAATGACCTGATTCCTTTTTTTTTTTTTTTTACTTCAAAAAAAAAAGGATCAGGGAATATGCCGCCGTCATCATGGGTTGGATGTTGGTGTGACAGTGTGACAGCGACCATCCCAACCTGCTTAATCTGATCCGTCGATTAATAGCTGACTCTTGTTATTATTTGTGTTGGCGTGTCACCAGCTATGCACAGGTGCGAGCTTCTGTACCGAATACCGACGATACTTCTCTCTCAATAAGCAGTATGTCTTCTGACCTATCTTCTTCTTCTTCTCCTTCCCCACGAGATGTGATGTGATGCGATGTGGGGGATTGCTAAACTAACTTGTCTTGGTTAGCACCCCGTATGTGGACCCTCGCCATCCTCTTCTCTGTCGTCGGATCCTCTACAAACCTCTTCTTCTCCCTTCGCTACCCATCCGTTAGCATCACGCCATTCATCGCCCTTCTTCTTGCCCACCCACTCGGTCGGATATGGGATCTGTGTTTCCCGGAAATAGTCAGTGCCACCACAATTTACGGCAAGCTCATGAGATGGCTCGGCCAAGGTCGCTGGAACAAAAAGGAACATGCCTGCGTCTACATCAGCTCCAATGTGAGCTTTGGCTTCGCATTCGCTACAGATGTAAGTGTGGTTCCACAATGATAAGGAATCTACCCGGAAAAGAAATGCCAATTAAGCTGATCAATGTCCCGTCTTTCTCAATTTTCAGGTCATTGTGTCACAAAATCACTTTTATAAGCAGCCTACTCCGATCTTGTATCAGATACTTTTGACGCTGTCCACCCAATTCTTGGGTTATACATTCGCCGGATTGACTAGACAATGGCTGGTATACCCATCGAGTATGATATGGCCGGTGACACTGCAGTCTACCGCCATGTTTACTACCCTACACGATAGATCCGAGGGAGAGGAAGAAGTAAAAGGGTGGGAGAAGTGGGGTAGATGGAAGTTTTTCATGACTGTCCTTGGAGGCAGTGTGGCATGGTACTTCTTTCCGGGCTTTATCTGGCCCGGGTTGAGCTACTTCAATATCGGAACTTGGGCAAAGCCCGACAGTGTCGTCCTTGCTAATTTGGTACGTCCAACTCAACTCACGCAACACGTCGTGATATCATTTTATGAATAATGAATGATACTAACAAATTTCAAGTTTGGAACATCGACTGGTCTTGGCTTAATCCCAATTACCTTCGATTGGGCGCAGATGTCGTACATCGGTTCGCCCATCATCACCCCCCTCTGGGCGGCGACCAACGTCCTTATCGGGCTTATCGCCGTCATGTGGATCTTGGCACCCATTCTATACTACTCCAACGTCTTTTTCTCCTCCTATATGCCTATATTATCATCTTCTGTATACGATAACACCGGCGGCTTCTACGACGTTCAAAAGGTCTTGACCCAGGATTTCATGTTTGACGAGGCCGGCTATAAATCCTACTCGAAGGTATTTCTACCGATCACCTACGTTCTCAGCTATGCCCTGCAATTCGCCGCGATGACTGCGTTGGTTACCCATACGACAATCTGGCACGGCAAAGATATCTGGAAACAAGGCAAAAGAGCGCTGAAGATCGGATCGATCACTAAAACTGAGACGACCGGGACTTATCAGCGACTTAAGACTTCTTCCGGGAAAAGGATTGAGAGCGAAGATGATTTGAATGATGAAGAGTGGGCGGATATTGTCGGAGACGAGGATGTGCATGTCAGGCTGATGAAGAAGTACCCAGAAGCACCAACAAGCTGGTACCTGGCGACCGGTGTCGTGACGACGCTCGTGGGGATGTGGTTAGTTGAGGCGTATGAAGTCCATCTACCGTGGTATGGTCTACTGCTCGCCTTGTTCATGTGCACCATCTTCTTCGTCCCTGTCGGCATCGTTATGGCTATTACCAATCAACAATCTTCAATATTTTTAATCTGCCAGATGGTCGCCGGCTATGTATTTGCAGGCCGTGGTATCGCAAACATGGTGTTCGTCACATATGGATACATCACTTCTACGCAAGGCCTCAAATTCGCCTCCGACTTGAAACTTGGTCAATACGTCAAGATCCCCCCGAGAATGCTGTTTACGGTTCAAATGGTCGCTACCGCTGTTGGAAGCTTGACACAAATCGGAGTGCTGAATTGGATGTTCGGTAGTATCCCGGGGATATGTACACCTGAAGCCCTCAGCGGGTTTACATGCCCGCTCGCGAGGGTCCATTTTAATGGTAGTGTGCTATGGGGTGTGGTCGGACCTTCTCGATTCTTTGGAGCGGGAGAGCTATACAACCCACTCGTGTGGGCGTTCGCAATCGGTCTCATTGCTCCGATTATAGTTTGGGCGTACGGGAGATACACTGGTGTCAACGTTAAGCGCGTTAGTTTGCCAGTAGTATTCGGAAGCCTGAGTTGGATCCCGCCAGCCACCGGGTTGAACTTCTCGACGTGGTGCTTGGTATGTTATGCGGTGAACGGGTGGATCAAGAAGCACAGGGGTGACTGGTGGAGGAAGTATAGGATGGTTCTGAGTGCGGCCTTGGATACCGGATTGGCGGTTGGAGTTGGGGTAGTGTTTTTTGCGATCGTATGGCCGCAGTGGGATTGGGTGAAGAATTGGAGCTGGTGGGGTACGGAGATTTATAAGCAAGGGTGCGATTGGAAGGGGTGTGCATTGATGAATGTGGCGCCTGGAGAGACGTTTGGACCGGATCGGTGGTAGACGACTCTGGCTACCCTGTTTTACGATTTCTAGGTTTCATTCTGAGAATGGGACCCGAATAAGGGCATAGGAAGGTGGGGTAATGGATTGGAGGATATCTTGCGATGCATTTGGTGGTTTTTGGTTTTTTTTGGCATGCGCAAGTTAACTCGACTGTCTTGTTCTTGATTGAATTTGGCGGACTTGATGAGCCATATACTTCCTTGTATAAACTGCGAGCTTGTGGTTTTTATTCGGCGTTCTTTCATGTTTTGGAATATCGTTGGGCATTTTGGTGTTTTTGTTTCTATTCTGTTTTTATATTACTACAACAGGGTATACGCTAGAAGACATGGTATATTATAGATAGAGGAGGAGAGGTTCGAGATAGTGTAATGTAAAGTATTGTATGAACACTTTGGATATCCAATATTAAGTACCTACTTACTTACTTAAGTAAGTAAGTAGGTACTAGCGTATGGTGTATACACCAATAATGCGGTTTGACTTATGATTGGTAACGTTGGAGCAAAGGTTATATAACAGCTGACTGCAAAATTGCTTGCACTCGAACAACCACAATTTGTTACCTCGACCCGATGATTTCGAACCTATGGCCGTTTCACCAATATTCATCTGATAACCATGGAAAGTGGATAATTCGAATCTCGAATGATGAGGCTTCAACACCCCGTCGTCAAAATCGAGATATCCCTTCCCTTTGCTGCATAAACCGCTGTTAAAGTATAACAGGTAAAACGGACCGTAAATTACGGGAAAACAAGGACCGTTTTAATGGTTAAATATGTCATGTGACTTGGTGGCACATCTGTTGTCTGTTGTTTGGGGGGAGGGGGCGTACTGTGGCGTTACGGGGGCAACGTACTCGGCGGTCAGTCACCATATATGTATTTATTTCTTAATTATTTGATATTTATGGCTGCTTTTTCAGTATTTTGTGAAGTATCCGTCTATATATTTCACCCCGAATCTTTCTCTTCCTGCTTTACCTCCATCTCCTTTTCTATTCACTCGGCTCTTGTTTTAGCAACGAACTTTTTTTTCATAACCTTCACCAACCTTGATCTCTTCACCACTCATCAACCTCGATCCCTTCACCATTTGTCGGTATCCTGATATTCAATGATCTCGTTATCTTCATCTAGTTGATGCCTTCTTTTCGTTTTCGATTATTTTCATCGATTTTCATCTATCTTTTATCGCTCTTCTACCTTATCTCGTAAACCACTTCTACCTCTTTTGACTAGCAATCTACCAGCAACGACTTTTAGCAACGACTTTTTCGACCACTAACCTAGAGATCATCAACAATCTCGACATCTTCAGCAACCTACAACATCCTTCTCAGCTACTACACTACACTAGGTACAGTATATCCATCATCATCATTGTCTCGTGCCTTTCCCCTTATGCTGATCGTTTGACCTCTTTGATGATGAATGCTAACATCTCGGGCTTGTAGCGACGGCACTTCGCGTCTCTAGCTTCTCGCCAGCTAACGCAACAGCCAGTCTACTAACATTTAGCAACGAAGACTATACTAACCCTCTAGCTCCTCCGGCAATGGTACTAACAAATCTAGCTGTACTAACAAATCCAGCCGTACTAACAAATCTAGCATCCAGCTCTCCATTCAACCTAGGGAGCTGAAGAGCCAATAGTTAGAATCTATGACCTCCATTCATCATGGAAACTTTGGATTCCGGCAGCAATCCCCTCAAACTAGTAAGACCAAAGCTGTTCTACTTAACTTAGAATGGTGGAGGGCTTATTGGTCCCCTTGTGATATCGAAGGCTGCAGATATCTATCTTGTTTAACACGAGTGGTATCTTGTGGACTCTGATTTTTTCTCATCTTCATCTTCAACAGGTGGAGTTTTTTTTTCCTCGCCTTCAACAGGCGAGGGAGGTATAGCTCAGTATTGCACTGTCTCTGGGTGTACCTTTCTCATACCTTTGGCTCTGCCAACCTTTTTTTTTCAGTTGGTTTGGCTTTGTGATATCGAAGCTGCTGAGTGAAAAAGTTTTGGTGAGGTGGTGATGTCATTGACGTGGAGCTTGGTGGTGTTGAAATTCTGTTGCTTCGCAACACCCCCCCTCAATTTTAAACGGGTAATGTGTTGACCTTGTGGTCTTTTGCGAGGCAAACTGTTGAATATCTACAGCCTCGAATTTGATGCAATTCTACGGGGACCCAAGTAGTCAAATAATACGTGAGGTTTCAGATTAATGCTAATGGTGATACTAGGGCGATGCTCAGATAGCTCTGGGCCTAGATTTGAAATATCACTAGGATCTCGGATGCAGTTATGTTCCACAGTTGATTCTGGATTGTAGTCCGGATCCGGTGGAGCTCTATGAGGCCAACTGGAATGTGATACAACGGAAGATGAATGGGGAAGGAAGAGAGGCCCGAGGAATGCTGTGATATACTATGTATAGGTAGAGATCAACAGGAGATCTCTAACAGAATGCTGACGATGTTGGCTGAGTTAAACGTTAAGCAGCTTAGCAAGGCTAACTGTACGACGAACGCGAACAAGCTAAGCTGCCCCCTACAAACTGGGGAGAAGTGGTAAGTAAGTAAGTAAGGTACCAAAATTCTTCCTTGGTTTTTTTTTTTTTTTTAATTCAAGAAGTTCGAAAAATACGAGCATCTGTTCTTCGAAAGAAAGAGTACAGAAGGCCCCTTTGGTTGAATACTGTGCCGTGGAGGAGCATTTGGCTTGTAACACTTTGTGGGAATTTTATTGGATGGCTATGTTGGGGCGGCTGGTAAGGGAACAATGTCTATTGTTGGAGAGGGTACGGCCTCAAAATAATAATAATAATAATGAGAATTTGAGATGAATGTTACACCTGGGGTTCTTATCTTGGAAGGGGGAGGGGGGGCTTGGTGGCATGTTAATTCGACCGAAGTCTTTTCTTTCTTTATAATACATATGGGCGAGGATTTCCGGACTTTTTTTTTTTTTTTTTTAGTTTATAGATTTTGTAGAATGCTTTATATTTTCCTTGGAATTTTCTTTTCTGATTTTTATTTATTTATTCGTTTTATAAAAATCGTTATCCTTTGAACTATTACCATTTGAACTATTATTCTTTTGAATTGATTAAGGGAAAATATTATAACGACAACCCATTTTTTTGGGAACGATGTCTCCGGATTATAGAATCTCTTGTCCCACGATTACATTATTAATATGGATTTGGGTGGTAGGATCCATAACGTTAACAGACGCGAAGCTTGTGAAAAGGATGGACAACCCGTCAAGAAGGTCTGCGCTAATTATCGAGAATATTAAGTTTGCGGTAAGTATATTTTTCTTTATAACTACTCCATATCTTTTACCTTAGTACATACATATGCTTCACTTCCGTTTGTGACGTCGATTCAATATACGAGGGTAAAACATTAAACGACGTCTCTTGAAAATTACGAAAGCTAGATGTGGGGATAGATGTACTGATATATATCGAGAAATTTGATAGAGTTATAGAGTTCCAGATGTCATTCCTGGAGTTAATGGATCGTCTGAGACTGTATCGTATAAAGATGTGTATGGGATGATGGTGGATGTTGAAGTTGGTAAGTTTAAATTAATTTTCATGCAGGTGTTTATGAGATTATGGGGGATTTGATCGATCGGGCTAATAAATTTCTTCTTTGGATTGATTTTGTTATGTATATATTATAGGAACACCGCCGCAAAAAGTGACGCTTAGATTATCCGGAGGGTCATCGACTTGGATTCCTCGGGATATAAACTTTGGAGCACCGGATGGGTTTAATACCTCACAGAGATGTCGGAGGGTTTGTTCGTTGATTGAGTCATATGGGGGATGTAAGTCTGTCTGTGTATAATTCCCTTTCTGCGGTTTTGGATTTTTTAGATAAAATATCTGTGCATGGATAGATTTTTAATTTGGCTTTTTTTTTATACATATATAGACATCCAGAACCGCTCGGTAACATGGGGAAAAGTCCCCAAGCTTCTAAACCCCGAAAAACACGTTTCACTCAGTCACGCGATAGACTCTTACGAAGGACGTTATCTTTCCGATACATTATTTTGGGGCGACCCGGCGAAAGAATTACCTTCTCAAGCGGAATTTCATACGATTGATGATTTTGTATTTCTTGCGGCGGATGAGTTTAATGGTACGGGAGAATTGGGGTTGGGATTGTTGGATTTTACGGGAGAGCTTGATGGGTTCGGTGGGAAGGAGTTTCTGAGAAGGATTGTTGAGAGAAAGATTTATCAGAGGTATTCGGTGTCTATGGCGGTTATGGGGTTTTCGGTTTATTATGATGCTTATGGTATGTTCTTTCTTTCTTTCTTTCTTTCTTTCTTTCTTTCTTTCTTTCTTTCTTTCTTTCTTTCTTTCTTTCTTTCTTTCTTTCTTTCTTTCTTTCTTTCTTTCTTTCTTTCTTTCTTTCTTTCTTCTTTTTATTTTTATGGTTCATCTTAATTTTGGCGATTCTTTTTGTAGTCAGGCTAACTTATATATTCTTACTTGGAATTAACGTAAATTGTAGATATCAATTCGAGCGAGATCACATTCTCAACCATTGATATCAGCAAATATCAACTTCCAATGGTCACCTACGACTGGCCGTCCCAGAGACTCGTCACCGGCGGCGGGATTATGACTGCCTCCGTCGGGTTCTCGATGAACGGAACACTTAAGACCATTCTAAACAACCAACCGACGATAATATCAATAGGTCAACCGACAATAGGACTCCCCGCACAGCTCCTAAACACGATTTTAAAAGGTGTTAATGCGGTTGAAAGCAAAGTAAAAGATGGATTATGGAGTATCGACTGTGGGAAAATTAAGGATATGGATTTATCCCTTGATATCCAGTTTGAAGGGTTGAATATTACGTTGACGGCAGAGGATTTTATGGTGAAAGTACCAAAACCTTCGAACGTCCTTCAAGAAGAAGGAGGAGAAGAAGAACGAAAAGACGAGGATTGTAGAATCTTCCTCGAGAGTTCGGAACAAAACAATGATTATGGGGTAGCAACGATATACCTCGGAATCCCGTTTTTAAGAAAAGCATACGTCTGGATGGACTACCAAAACAACCAAACCAGTATTGCGAAGTCAAAACAACGAGTAACGAATAGTACGCTCGTATCGATCGGTCCCGGTGGGATATTTTCTAGCTTTGATGATCAAAAAGATGGTGAACCGGATGATGAGATAAGACCGATCCCGGGGGTTTCTGATTCTGATTTTGGAAGAAGGATTTATGATTATATATATGAAAGACCGGGTCTGGCGATGATTGTTGGGACTACTATCGCTGGAGCGGCGGTTTTGACGGCGGTGGGGGTTTTGGTTTTGGTACTATTGAGGGGTGGTCGAGCTGAGATACCGCAGTTGCCACCGGTGCCGGAGTTGGAAGGGGCTGAGAGGTGTGAATTGAATGCGGATCATGGGTGGTCGGAGGTTCCGGGGAGCGAGGGGGGGAAGCCTCGGAGCTCGAATGATGGGGAAGTGGTGGATTAGTATCCGCCGCATGCTTTTTACGAAGAAGTTACGTGTAGATTATATTTCTGCTGTTTTTATTATGTTGGGATTTGTATCTCCATCTCTATTGGTATTGGTGTCCTCGATGTTGACCCAATTTTATGTAAAAATAGATAGTGGAGTGGATGCACTTTTTGTTCTGCGAGCGTTCATGTCGCAAATTCTGAGACAGGGAATTTCAATAGTCCTGGCCTTTAAGCCTCCAATGTTTGATTGATGGTAATCCTTTAACCTCCTATAGAATACCCCAGAAAAGGTCCAGCGATAGCGAAGGCTTGCAAGTTCGATAGAATAAAAAACGCACGTAAGTGTACGCCTCCAAGTGAGTTATCTGAGTCCTATAGACGCCCCAGGTTACGCAAGAAACGCCGTCATATTTGAGGGTAAAAGCAGCAATACATAATATGTGATTTCCACAAGACGAGAAAAAAAAATAGAGAAAAATATGCAGAGGAAAAGAAGAAGGAAACAGGTGAGGACCCCCCATAGCGGGCTCGTTCCTCAAGTCTCGTGGGTGATAGTTGCATTCCCGATGCGCTTATCATTCCGCCAGATTGAAAAGGAAACGTCAGCAGATGCAAGCCTCATTCTGACTTCAGTATCAAACCTGTAGACTAAATCTCCATCCTCATCATACGCGCAAGGAAGCTCGGCAAAGTTCACAGTTGAGATGTCGGTATAGATGGTACCAATGGAAAATACACCTGAACAATTGCAGTTAGCCCCCCAAATCAAAAGTTACGAAAGGGAATATCAAACTGAGGTTCCCTACTTAGATCCGTCAGGTAGCCAGGTGCGTGTACAGCTTTGCTAGCATATAGTTTACAACGAATCCTGGTTTTACTACCATCGATTGTCCAGTGCACTGGAAATACAATATCGGTTGTCTCGGTACAGTCGTCCCCCTACGTAAAAGTTTAGTGTCAATTCCCAAGGAGATGAAGCCTTGGAGCCACGATTTGTATTTACCAAATGACCGCCCCATTTGATTGTATTTTTGACACAACGTCCCCCAAATGGACTCATATACGTGTTCTTAAATTTATGTTTCTGGGGGTCGTAGGGGAGACCACAAGAAAATCCGTAATGCTGGCGTAGACGTCTCGATCTGACGGCCGGGTGAAGTTCGCGTACAATAGCGCCTCTCATGATGGCAGACCAGCTACAAAGGATCCAGTTAGCTACCTAAGGTTCTATCTCTCACCTTCAAAAAGGGAGGGAACTAACGATTCTCTCGGATTTATCACAGGAAGGGATATGTGGTATTTATTTGCCCACTCCGCTAGCGACTGATAGAGATAGTGGGATTCACCAAATCCCCCGACGAGAAATATTGCCTGCAAATTTCAATTTTTAAAAAATTTAGCCGTCACTTCTTCTTCTTCTTAAGACAAACTGTGCACAGATGGAAGTAGGAAAGACAAGCTTACAGAAACCACTTTGCCGGTGTTGTTAATGCATTGAACTTGATCTTGAACAAGCCGAACGATCCTGTCAACTACTGGGTCGAATAATCCTTGCAACTCCTCTCTATTCTCATCCGATTGGGTTAGTATCTGATTAATGTACGGGGCTTCAAGGATGCATCATACGCAGTAAACTCCAATTCGTTATCGTATATTCCGTTCTCCTCGTCATTCGCGACATTGACAGGAAGCTCAATAAACCACACGTCGTTTGTCGTCTGACCGAAACTCCTTTTTATCAAATCAAATGTTTTCATCAGGTTACTCCCTCGGCCGATATCCTTCTTGTTCCATATCTGTTCATCGTCAAATTCAGGACCTATCTTCTGACGCAAGAGTTCAAGAAAGGCTTGGTCAATGTACGAAGATCCACACTTCGAACCGGTTCCGACAGCTGCTTCTCTCAATTTGAAGCTAGGCTGTACCTCTTCTACCTCATATGAGATCAGGTCAACCGTCCCGCCGCCTGCATCACAAACGACAAAAGTGTCGCCCGTTTTCAAAGCAGGCATGGCTTGAGTCGAAATACGGCTAAAGTTAGCAGCATGCATTGCCTTTAAAACGTACAATGCAGCAGCTTCAGGCTCAGAAACTAGTGAGAGGGTGTCAGATTTCCGGCTGCAGAACCCAGCTAGCTTCGCAGCCATTTTCGTAGCCTGCTGTGCTTGGTGGCCCCAGATTGCTGGAACGGTGAATATGAAGTGTATTGGAGTGATATCTAAAGTCTCGGGGATCCGTCTGCGTAGGATTTTCTCCATCAACTCCTCGTAAAGGAGCCTTAGATAGTCTGTCGCGGTATTGATGGGTGACTTGCCAGCCGGAAGCCTTATTTTATCATCCGCCCCAGAAGTTCGATCCCGATATAAACCGGACCCACCTCTAACGTCCAGAAGCAACTTGAATCTGTTGTATATGATTGCAGAATTTGCTGTTTGGCGTCGTTCGCAGGCGACAGAGGCCTCAGCACCCCATCGAGGATCCCTCCCCGGGATATAACGAATCTCTGTGGGTACCTTTGGAGCAACACCGTTGTTACTCCATGAGGTAACAACTTCAATATCGTTGAGTTCCTTCTGGTTCGAGTGGCAGAATGCAATGCCTTGACTCCACCCGATGATGGATTGATATACACTCAGCGTGGGCTCAGACCAAAAAAAAAAGGCAATAGTAGGGGCATGACGAATCACTCACCTGAGTACGTGGTTCCAAAGTCGACAGCGACCATCAACTTCTCTCTTTCCATTGTGAATAATCAACAGTCGACAGTTAACAGCGTTTAGGACGAACTCTTTTGGTTCCTTGGTTTTGGCTGGAGTTAATGTAGGACGAGGAAAGTATCGTTGGCCCACCCAAACTCTATGCCCTAAGTAGGTGGATGGTGAACAGAGCAGTGTACTGGACCGTGGCTAGCTATTTGGCTATAGGAGATTATTAATAGTTTGGAGCGCCGTGGTCTGTTAATGAAGGGATGAATAAATACCTTGGTAGCTAACTGCTTGGTTCAACCGAAGACTATGATCATTAACTTTCTTGTAAATTCTGGAATGACAGTGTATCTATCTCAGGAGGGGACCTTCTGGATCGATTTGGATTTTATCAATATCGTTGTCTTTGGAGGGAAATTTGCTGTGCCCTCACCCTGCGCCTGGTCTCGAGGCTAGGAAATTTGGCGGCTGGAGCTAGTTGTCAGTTGTGGTTGTTGCATGTTGACTGGTTGGATTAAAATGCCTGAATCAACAAGACGGTGGGAACGCGAAGGTTCAGGCACCGTTTGAACGCTGCACTGTACATGTACATTACAATACCAAAAAAAACCTTTCCAGTTTGGTCGCGAAATTAATGCATCCTCGATTGCATCAGGCGGCTAAGTAGATACATCAGGTGCCTACAAAAGATATCTATTGTAGCCAGTCCCGTTGAACTAATAATACTCTTCTCGTCATGCATATGCATATGGATTTTATGGTTGCCTGCTGTAGTTCCCTAATAACTATAGCCTCGTCTGCTGTGTTGTTGAATTCAACATTAAATTTAACTGTTAATAACTGGAGCAGCATTTAGGTAAGCACCCCTTCCTAGACTGGTATCTTTTGTCTACTTAGGTACTTAGGCACTGAGTAAGTACCTTCTTGGTATTTTCTTGGGTCAGTACTAACTTCGTTGTTTACACCCCGCTCAGTGAGAGGTACTTAGGGGACTGCGGCTGGGCGACGATACAACGAGTTCTAGCCAGCCTTCTCACCACCCTCCCAGCATCAGATTCCTGGCAATTCTCCCATCTACTCATTTATGACCCACCAAGTCTCCACAGATTTATGTTCAGTCAAAGCTTCTAGCGTTCGCCATCTATCCTAAGCTATCCGTTCGATTCGACATTTATCCTCATAATGTCCTCGAGCTGGGTTGAGCGAGGCAAAAAGTTGGTTTACAGTTTCACTACATCCAGCCCCTCCGTTCAGGATAACAACGTTTATCAGACTAGATCGTCTCCTAGAAAAAACCCTCCCCTTACTGACAACAATACCGACATGGGTGCTGACAAAAGGGTGGGTTAGCGTACAATGACTGAAGTTCTACCCTTCTGATATAGCCGTTCTAACTTGACATGTCGGAACAAGAAACGTGGGTATAAGAGCAGGCCACAGCCTGACCACAGCGGCCGTAGCCTTAGGTCTCATCATAGCCCCCCTAGAAAGTCCGATTACACGGGGCCGGATGTCACAGGCCCACAGAACACTACACAGAAATCGAAAACGGATGTCGCTGCTACATACGAAACGGACAGAAAGAATGACACCAAGGACCAACGTAAATCTGCATTACTGGAAGATTCGACCAACATACGAGTCAAACCAGCAGAGCCCCCCATCTGTGTCGATATAACTGATTCGGGTGGTACCGAAAGCCCCAATACACAGAAGGCAGTCTCACCTGAGATCCCTTACAATTTTTGCAAGAGTTGTGGGTGTTGTGAGTATCTGCTCCGACTCCGTGTACCGTGATTCTATACTGACTGAACGAAATTTGCTACAGCTGTTGAATTAGGCTCTAAGAGAAAGGACTTATGTAAACTTTGCAGGGCTTATCAAAGAGTGGGCGAATTAGAAGAACAGTTGAACAAAAGCGAGCTCAGACTCGCCGAGGCAATCAGCTGCTCCAATTGGGCTGAAAGCAAGATGGAGAAGCTTCAGAGGGAAGCAAAAGATCAAGAATCCAAACTTCAACAATTGAACCAGAAGAACAGAAACTGGAAATTAGATTATGATAGCTTGAGAGATGATTACAATACTTTGCAAGATAACTCTTCTACCATGATTCAGAGGCTTCGAACAACGGAACTGGAAATTGGTAAGCTTCAAAAAACGGAACTTGCAAGGTTGTACCAGGAGGAAGTGCTGCTTGATACGACTGCCAAAGATTGTCTTAGCAATGACCTATTCACCAAAGTCAAGGTGATAACCCGCAAATGCTTCCGAAGAATCCCTTGGGAATCCAGCGTGGGAGTTTTTCCCAATCTGGATCAGATATTTCCCGGGATGTTCATCGGACGATGGACCAAAACTCAGTGGCCAATGATCCGCGACAACCCTGACTTTGGTACTCTAGCTCTTGTCGATGCAGTACTATTCAGTATAATTACGACTAGATTCTTTAAGAATCCCTTTTTCCGGGCTGAAAGTGACCCTGAAGTGAAACAGGCGCTTGACAAAGTTTACCTAAGTGAAAGGCAGGGAAACGTGAAAAACATGGAACTGTGGAGGAAAACCACCGCTATATTGTTGAAAGAACTGTCCTTGAAGGGGGTCGGGGACCATCAGGATTCTGTCACAACGGAAGAGGCCAAAACGAATCCATCGCAGCTCGTCCTAGACAAGGTCTCTTCCGAACTCGAAACATTTATCTCCAATTTTCTCAGCATTCACAAAGCGCCTTCCGGTTTCGAACCTTCTGAGCTCGAAAGGAAGATCTACGATTTGGTAGCCTCTTCAGCAAATCTTGCAGATGATTGGCACTCTAGAGATTTCCGTCTCTCTATCATCGACATCGACTGGCTTGAGTCCCAGGGGATTGACTGGTGCACCGAAGGCGCATCAAAGTATGTCACTGCTTTCCCCAAGAACAAGAGACTCGAAGAGAATGTCAATTACACAATTGCAGCCGTGATTACACCGGGGTTCATTCGGTACGAGAAGGGAGATACAGAAGGATCGGAGATAGAAATAATATGGGAACCAGCTTCAGTCCTTTTGGAAGAAGTGGATTCGGGTGGTATTAAAGTCGGCATGTATGGCTTGCGAAACAACTGGGGTAAGAACAATCCGTTCCAATGGTAGCGAAACCGGGAGATTTTCATTCTCTTTGTGGGTCCTACTGTGGTTTCTTCGGTCGATAGGTCCGTTGGTTTAAACCAAGCTACTCTGCTCTCTTTGAACATTTTAATGGAGTGAATGACTTGTATTTTAGAGTAAGTCAACAACATAGTCCTAACAGAATAACATTCTACAGTCACCATGTTTTTCAATTGAGCTTAATCCGCTAGATTAAAACGAGCCTCGAAACCTCGGCTAAAATCCCTAAATCTTGTGAATAATTCAAGCTCAATCAGGGTATACAAACATGTACTTTACCCGCTTTCGATAGTAGTTGTGCGTGCGAGCAACGATAGTTCTCCAATCCATCGAGCGGGGGGCGTGATGTACTTTCGAGTAGCCGCGCTCCAGTTTATAATTAAATGCAGTTGGGGTATGGTAATCTTAAAAAAAAAAGTTCCACTAGGGTTCTCGTAGTCTCGCCCCCTCGATACTCTTGCTTTCCCTTTATTCTCGATATCATGCCTTGTGGATTACTGTGGTGCATCGCTATCTCTAGCTGATGCTCAAAAAACAAACGAAACGTCTACAAATCTTTTGCCAGGGTAGTGGGAGCTTGGAGTAGCGGGCTTTATGAATAGCGCACCCGCAGCTGCGCAGGGGATTGAATCAAAGGCATCCATAGAATACCTGCTGTGAACCGGGCCCCAATTCTTAGAACAGAAAATGTGTTGATGTTGCATTTTAACAATATTCCAAATTTAGGATAGTCCGCATTGAGCATTCCGCGAAGACTTCGCGGGTGAGAGCTATACCTGCAATTGGGCCAAAGGGAGTATATTCTTCGTTGTAAAATTTTGATATATGGGGTATAGGATTCCAATACCGCTCTCTGCTCATGTCAACCCTTATGGATCATTTTGATAACTATATCGCACTGGCGATGCTTGTATGTTGAGTAGTTTTGCATTGTAAAATCGAAATCTATGACATGGTGCCGCAGATTTGCCGAACTTCCACACCTCTTGGCTAAATTACTACCCCTGAGGCTTGATATTGGCTGAATCGAATCCGCGGCCCCACACTCCCGCGAAACCTTCCGATGGTGGATGTGCTATGCCTGTCTGAGGCCAAATCAACGCTTACGGTAAGGACAAGAAATTGGCGAGTGTGTCTATTTTGAGCATCCACGACAACTTCCACCCCGGGCCGAGATGAGGACTTCTTTGACACAGTGCCCCGAGATTCTAGCACAAATAGCTTGCTTGCTCGTAACCTAGTAGCTCTAATTAGTTACCCGATCAAGTTCTCCTTTCGTGGCATTTAGCGCGCCCTTCGGCCCCAGCATTTCTAACTTTTGATCTCCCGCCCTTTCCAAGGGTGACGCCGATCCTCAAATTCCTCGCAAACACGGCCCTTCTCCTGGTTTAGTTACTAAAATTCCTAGACAGATATCAATTTCACCACGACTGCGAGAACTTATGGAGGAGCTTTGCGCCAGATTCCCGACTCTAAATTTTCACACTTCCCTATCAGAGACTCACTCGTTTGATCTCTAATTCCTCTTTCCTTCCGCTAGATCTTCCACCGGGTCATTGTTCCTTCATAAACCATGATTGGACTCCCGCGGCGGTCCCGGGCTCTCCTAATGGGATTGATCCTTTTCTTTATAGGGGCGACCATGTACCTCAGGTCCGAGAACTTGGCAGCAGCGACACCGATACACACATATTTCCCACACAGCGGGATACAGCTGGAGCGAAGCGAGGTCAAATCTCGGGCGGATGCGATCAGGGAGGCTTATCTACATTCGTGGAATGGCTATATGCAATTTGGTTTCCCGAAAGATGAACTACTTCCGATGTCGAAACGGGGCGGAAACTCGATGTAAGAGCTTCTGAGGACGTCGAGGTATCTATGGCGGCTGTTGGCTAAGCTTTTAATCGTACCTATAGGAGTGGCTGGGGTGCTAGCGTTATCGATGGTATCGGAACGGCGGTATTGATGGAACTACCCGAAGTCGTAGAGCAGCAGCTTGAGTTCATCTCGAAAATCGACTACACAAAATGTGAACATCAGATCAGTCTGTTCGAAACAACGATACGATACCTTGGTGGGATGATTTCAGCGTATGACTTGTTGAATGGGCCGTATTCTTCGTTTATTCAAGCCGGAAAGGGTCAGAAGGTTGGTGTCAATTGGATGGTTGGTAGCTTGGTGGTTGGTTCTATGTTTCTAATAGTGTGCTGCAGAACCACGACCTAGTACAGTCCCTACTCAAACAATCCGTGTCTCTCGCCGATGCCCTCAAATGGTCCTTCAACACTTCTTCCGGTATTCCTATGCCGTTCTTCATGCTCGACTCGAAGTGGATAAAGTCGGACGATATAAATAACATTGCCGGGATTGGAACACTTGTGCTCGAGTGGACTCGGCTATCAGACTTGACCGGTGACCCGCAATACACCAAATTAGCCCAAAGAGCACAGGAATATTTGCTCAAAGTCGAGAACCCAGAGATTGGAGAGCCATTTCCTGGCCTGCTAGGAACCAACGTGGGGCTAAGGGATGGGCGATTCCTCGACAGTTACGGTGGATGGGGCGCCATGGGCGATAGTTACTATGAGTACCTCATAAAGATGTACGTCTATGACCCTCAAAGGTTCCGACGTTACATGGAAAGGTAGGTCCCTTACAATATAAAGGCAATCTTGGGTCTCTGGATCCTTTGCTAACTGTTGCTTCATAGATGGATTCAAGCAGCCGATTCTACCATGACACACCTCACATCGGTTCCCGACACTACACCAGCCTCTAATCTTGTTTTCGTAGGCGAATACAGTAATGGCCGTTCCGTTGCATTGCGTGGATCTCATCTCGCATGCTTCATTGGAGGAAACTTCCTCTTAGGTGGACAGGTTCTTGATAATATGAAATATAATGTCTATGGTTTAAAACTCGTCGAGGGCTGCCGAGCGACCTACGCCAAATCACAGTCTGGCATCGGCCCAGAGAGGTTTGGATGGGATGCCAACCTTGTCCCATCTAACCAGAAAGAGTTTTTCCAAAAAAACGGGTGGTATTTTGGTGGCGAGATTGACTATCGACTAAGACCTGAGGTTATTGAAAGTTACTACCATGCTTGGATAGTCACCAGAGACGACAAATATAGACAATGGGCCTGGGAGGCATTTGAGGCTATCAACCGAACTTGCAGGACAGAGCATGGTTTCACATCAGTCAGTGATGTTTCTCGGGAAGATGGAGGCAAGAAAGATGATAAACAGGAAAGCTTTTGGTTCGCAGAGGTTCTCAAATACCTTTTCTTAATATTCAACGAAGAAGGGATCCAATCCAAGGAAAATATCGGCTTTGTGCCTGGAAAGAAGCAAAAGTGGGTTTTCAATACCGAGGCCCATCCTATCCGAATCTACTAGGCTCGAGTTCTTGTCCGAAATTGGTTATATATCAATAGTACTGAGTATTGGGTGCATCCCTATGAGGGATGCCTTTGAGTCAAAAGTTTTACCATTAGACGATGCTTATATATTTTTGGTCTCGCTCGATTGTTGCCTTTTCCATATAGATGGGAACCTATTGTGGCGTTCTACAGGAGTATCAATCATTTTCTTTTTGAGAAAAAGACCTCGATTTTGTAATTAATTGAATTGAATTGAACGGCTCCTTTTCGTACGTACTCCAAGTTATATATACTATGAAAAACATACAGTCCTTTCAGCAACTACCCACCAATATACCTAGCCTGAACGCCCTATTAATATATATAAACTGCCAAATGGGCTTCCTTGAGACTAAATACACTCCATACCCCAGATAGCAAGACTTGATCCACTTAATTTAACCTTATAATCAAGTTATACCAAGTCGGGGGGTACCAGTTACTAGCAGTCTGGGTTCTTTCCAAACCCTAACACGCGACTGCGCTTTCCCTAGACCGTCCCACTCCTCCCTGAAGAACATTGGCGAAATCACTGCAATTACATTTTTTTCTTGACCGTAGAATCTTTCTTCCCAGTTTAAAATAGTGCTCTCATCGTCCAGATTGTAGCCTAATATCTTCGAACACTTTTGAATAGTCCTATGTGAGAACCAAGACATGCCATGTTGCCCAAATGACAAAGGCTTAGAGTGCCATTGGATCGATAGCTTGAAGGCCTCAGACACTAGGTCCTGCGCCATCTCTTGTAACGTATCCCACTCTTTCGTACTAAAAGGCATCTGTACCGCTTCTCTAAGGATACGCAGCGTATCCATTAAAGTCCATACAACTTCCTCGTTTGATTTGACTGTTCGACGGTTTTGATATCTGAGATTTTCTTTTGCTTGAAGTCGGCTTCGTTCGATACTTGTAGCATTTTCTCTATCATTTGAAGAGTTAAGGCAGTCCATTCAGCCCCTTGGGGCCCTCCTGGATATATTGCCTTGCAGTGATAGTGAAAAATCCCTAAGTCTATACCGAGTAAACCCTCTGCTTGAAAGACTGGAGCATCACCCATCCGATATGCGAGGGTATTCGAAATAATGCCTTCTACGAATAAACTGGATGTCATATCGGGATGTTGTTGAACCGCATCCCAAGTTTCTGGCGTACAGGGAAGTTTGACACCATCTGGGAAGTAGCTCATATTTTTGAGATTTTTGATTCTCGGTGCTAATTGGCTGCTGAGGATTTTCCACGTAATACTTTTCGGGAAGAATTTTGTGCTGATGGCAGTGATTTTGTCGTGGAACTTTTCTTGGAGGATCGATGGTGCTATGGTATCGAGTTCTTCGAGGTAGTCTTCATTTAATCCCCATCGTGCTTTGGTCTTGGAATAAAGCTCGTTTTCTAGCGTAGATGTTAAGGCTTCGATAATTTCGTCACGCTCGTCGACAGGAGCGTCCACATATTTACTAGTTGTGGTACTAGGTGAAGACACTGGAGACAGCAGCGGCGATATCGGTGGCGAACTTTCAGAGCCGGATTGTAGAAAATCTCGGAAAGGCCAATCTTCTTCCTCTGCAATAGTTTGTTGGGGTTGCTTTCCTTTTCCTTTTCCTTTTCCTGGTACCTCAATAGCTACATTCGGTGTGCTAAGGGATTTCGAAGAGGATGGCGATTCTTGGGCTGAATCTCGCTTTGCTACAGCACCTGAGCGGCGGATACCCCCAGGGGCCTTTTGATTCTGAGATTTCTTCCCCCCCAGAGCTCCGAACACACTTGAATCAACCAAGTTTTGCATCATAGAGTTGGTAGGACGACTCTTAGTATTCGGTGTATTAGATAGTCATTAAGAAAAGGCCTTCGACAATTTCTATAAATTTTAAACAAAATTGTTATTTTGGCAATTCCAATAGAGCTCAATTGATAGATATAGAACTGGGTTTGTTGTATTTATAATATTCAAAAAAATCGATCCGGGCGCGCCAAAGATACACGGATATATATATACCCAGGTCGCTTAGAATCCTTTAAGTATTGAACCTATTTGGTCACTATGGAAAATAAACCATGGGTTTTCACAACGTGGACCCTTATGACGCATATTTTTTAAGTGTAGCCTGACCCGAAATAGGGCGGATTGTGGTGCCTAATAGTGCTCCACACTTTAGGTGCACTTGTCGTTTATTTAGCGTGTTGCTGAGGCGGTGCTGTTGACCCAAGGTTCTCTTGGGGGCTAAAGTATGTATACTATGTATGTTAACTGGTCAGTTAGCAGCCGACCAGAACTACAGGCTGCATGTTTCCATCTCGAATGCGATTTTGCAGGGGTATATCGTTCACTAGGTAGTTGCTGTCTAGTTCAATCTAAATGTGAGTGCGAATTCGAGGCTACAACTAACTCGACTTCGAAGTCACGACCGCGATTAACATCTAAGAAACTCGCCAGTCGAGTGTGTGTTGCAACTACAAAATGCAACAGGAACACAAGCTATTCGGATCCACATACAGCGCAGCGAGACCATACTATAAACTACTTAAGTACTTATTCAAATAGGTAGTAGTTACAAGATATTGAATTATTGATATGACATCACGTAGTGTAATTGATGAGTTCTATAACAATATTCATGAATATCAGTAAAACTTTACCGATCGAGGTTAGCTAAGTTATAACGAGAATTGTCCAAAGTCGGAAGTACATGTCCGAATACAAACCACAAGCTTACATGTGGGTTCTAGCTAGCTAACCTGCCTTAGCTAGATATCGATATCAACTAAAAAGATGCCACGAATCGGAATGCACAAGAATTTTGAATTCGGGAACAAAGCAAATTTATAACAACTTGAGAAGCTTGGGTTTAGCTATTCCACTCGGTGTACCTGTTGTGAATCTTACGAATTAGCTTCAGACTTTTGATTTTGTTTCGTATTGTCTGTTTCGTTAGATTAAGTACTAATATCAATGACCGGACAATACGTAGGTAGCCAATATACTATATGATATTTTAGACATCAACTCTAATACTAGCATCAGTTTTTATTATAAAGGTCTAGGTCAGAGTAAGCCTCGAGGCTAAAGCATAGAGTCAGTAACAGTATCGAGTAGCATATACGGAGTCAATGGAAGGTCGAACTTCTAAGCTTCTCCATATATCTTCGATCTCGGCCACATCACAACAAAGTCGTCCATTTTATATCCTGCTGCTCGGCTTATTTTTCAACTCCATCCTTTATTCCACCAACAAGCTCTAACGTCATCTCTTCCTCTGTTCAGCTAACCCAGACTTTATCTCGACATAAGCCTCGCTCAAACCTCTCTTCGCGTCGTTACGACACCCTGATCTCTTTGTTCTCACCACTTCCTTCTCCTATTAGCTTTTGATCATATCATCTTCCTTCTCACGTGAGTTTTCTTCTGTCACCAGCTTTCGGCTCCTCGAAAGCTTCTCCCCCCCCTCTATCAGTAGCGCTCTTCTCGTCAGCTACTTTCTCTCATCAGCTTTATCCTCCAATCTCTTTTCTCTTCCGCACAAGCTTCCCGATACTAATAGTCATCTACAGACAAGATGCCTAGACCAGCGAAGAACGTAGCGAAGAAGGAAGCCGCTCTGCCAAGAGCTACTGGCAACGGCTCCGAAAACGCGTCTGTTCCTCAACCAGAGATCCCGCCCTCTGGGAATGTGGCGGGAAGAACACTACGACCCTGAAAGGCGAAGAGAACGCCCTGGGAACAAGCCCCTGCTCCTGTAAGTCAAAATCCGTTGCTAGTGTTGTGAGATTATGAATACTTCTACGCCTCTGAAACCTAGTACTAATGCCTAAGCAAACTAGTCGAAGAAGCGTGGGCGACAGTCAGCAGAGGCTGACCAGAATGCGACGCCTGTAAAGGTAAGTGTCTAGATCTCATAAATACCTGCTATAGATTAGCTTTTATAGTTATAGAGGGTTTAAAGCTTCAGTTTTTCCTGGAGTTCGTTGAAGAGTATCACACAACGTCACTAACGCTCGCGACACTCAATAGCGTCGCAAACCAAATCCAAAGGCGGCGCTGCCGAACGCCGAAGGGGACATAGAGCCAGCGGCAGCTTCTGAGCACGAGGCTCAGACTTCAGGACTGGAAGAAAGATTGGCAAGGGCCGAAGAAGGGGCAGCCATGTCCGAGGCCATGCTGGCCAGAGCCGAAAAGAAAATTCGGCAGCTGGAAGCTCGGATCCAAAGGTTGGATGCGAGTTTGAAGAACGAGAAGAAACGGGGCCAGCTTGCAGAGCTCCGTCGACAGGACGCGGTGTTCCGTTTGGAACAAAATATCGAAAAGGCCAAGGTGAAATCAGTCATCTTTGGCGAAGACGCAGAGCGGAGTTCAGAAGTCCTCTTCGGAGGCAATATTGCAGGGTGGGCCGTCGATGCCTTTACGGACATCGACGTGTCCACCCTAGTTTCAGAGCTAGAAGCTCTGGGGGAAGACCCAGGCTTCCAAAGTTTTTTCTCGCTCGGGTGTTTCAATGCCTCTATTACAGAGGCATTGAGGTCACTCCAAGGCCCGGCGTTCTTCGAGGCACTTGTGTCCTCAACACTGGTCGAAAAGTTTTTCGACAACCCGTTCTTTGCATGCCCGCCACTAATGCGGGATGCCTTAACTGCCGTCCGCGATAAAATCGCGGAAACCGATCTACCAGCAGCCTGTAAATGGACTGCTGATACCGTGGCGCAGATTGCCACGTCCGATAAAATCGGCGTGGAGAACTATCGCAGGGGGGTCGCGGAGACCCTCAACCGTTACATGAGGGTGGTCATCGACAAGAATGACTACCTCACACCGGGGGACGTCCAGGGGCTTGAGAAGCTCCTGGATACCATCGTCCAGGAAAGTGCAGAGCTTGCTCTGCATTGGCACAGTCACGAGCAGAAGTTTGGGGTCTTCAAAACCCCGGGTGAAGTTTTGTGGGGGGAGGAGTTGGAGAAGTTTTGTGTCCCTCATGGGAGGGAGTTGGAGGAGGTTCGGGGGCCGGGAGCCTGGAAGGTGGTGGCGACAGTTAGGCCGGGCTTCGTATTTTATACGAGCCCGGTCGACGCTCGTCGCCTAAAGGAGCCTGGCGTTTGGACGAAGGCGAGACTGGCTGTTCGAGAGGTTGTCGAAGCCGATTAATTTGGCCGACATCTTTCGAACAGCTCGTTTTGCCTTCGTCGTTGATAATTTTATATAGAAGAATACAAGTTGCCCGGCCGGAGGGCCTTTTTATTACTATTACTCCACTGGACCGATGAAATGCTCATACGAGTTTGTAAATGTTGATGCATGATCCCAAGAAATTTGTTTCGAGACTGTAGGTTCGGATCAATATGGTGGCATCAGATAGGTTAGGACTTGGTCGCCTTATAGGATTATTGGAATCTTCACGCACTACACTGCCATACCGTTACAACTATCATGCTAGAATATACACACCAATCCCCTGTTTACTAACCGAGTAAGATCTATAGGCCTACATACCCTCTTAGAAGAACTGTGGTGATAATCTCTCACTTTTATATGTTCTCTTGATATTTGTGATCGGGCACCTACGTACACCCTTTAAACAAATAAACTACCTACATCACTAAAAGAAACATGCTATTCGGAGAACATCTCAGATTCTTACTAAAGAAGTTCGAAGACGAACGAAAACACAGAAAGTTCCTAGAAGTAGAGATCGAAAAGCTAACTGCATTTGTCCAAGCCCAACAAAAAAAAAAGATGAGTCTACAAACCGATGTTGAACGTTTATCTCAGCAACTAGTGGTGGCAATAAAGGATAAAGAAGAGCTTCTGAATAGAGTAGCCGACTTGGAAATTAGAGTAGAGGTTTTGGGGAAAGAGAATGGTAGATTGGAGAAGTTAGTTGGCAAGTAATAATTATATTAGTTTTCCACGACTATTTCCTGCGAGCTTAAAGGCGAGGGAGCGGGAAGAAAAGGGGTATATGTATTCTCTCCCACTATAGAATCATTAACGTTTTTCTAGATACCACGCACCGGCGGGTAATCCATTTCCATCCCGGTATCATGGCAGATTTGAATTAAATACAGATGATAATAGGGAAGTGACTATTACTGTATGTATACTAGATATCGATATTCAAGGGCGCCAGTTGCCTATCAATGTATCGATAGCGCAACCGTATTAACTAACGCCAATATGATATATACCAGAGTACTCTGTTACACAAAATAAAGCCAAGCTGGACACCCTGTACTTAGAAATTATTACACACCCCATGCTTCCCAGCAAGGGAAAAGATCTTAAGAGTGAGTGACACACTTGTGCAATTGTCCAACAGTAATTCGATATCTCGAGAATCTGGCGCTATGGAATAAGTGTTGGAATGTTGGATGTTGCACTGTTTGCACGCCGCATCCCATTTAGGCAGGTTTGTCAGCAACCAAGTCTTGGCAGTGTGGCACTAAGCCAAAAAACCAAACAGAAAATTTCAGCTGGTTTCTGCGCCTCTCCATTTCCAGTTGCAGCCCTGTTGCCTGAACCTGAGCCTGACCAGCGGGACCAGCCCAGCGCAGAGGCCTTTTTCGCTCCTCCGAATCTAAAATTCTCAACACATCAACACCTCGACATCCAACTTCACCTCCATTCAACACACGTACGTCCCGCCATCACAACTCTTCAACACATCCACGCAACCCATATCCGTCCCTACGATATCAGGATTGCTTCAAACAGTCGCTTCTGAAGCCATGGCTAGAACCAAAATCATTAAACCGGCCTCTAAGCCCGACTCCAGCGCCAACCCGCAATCTCCGGTCGAGGAGGTCGAGTCCGAGGCCTCGGACTTCGAACAAGAGAATCCCGATGGTGAACCAGGCTCAGCAACGCGTGCCAATAAGCGTAAGAGTGTCTCCGGCTCGAAGACACCTCAGTCCAAGAAGAAGCCAAAGAGAGCCAAAGTCAATACTCCCACTACCGGAGGTCTGGAGTCGCCGACTACCCCTGGTGGGCCTAAAACCAAGTACACGTCGCGAGATAACACGGTCCAAGAGATTCGTGAAATCGCTGGCAGTTTGATTAGCAGTATGTGCTTACCTACTTCATTCACCTAATTTCCCTATCATAATCGTTTCCATTCTGTAATATTCCCACCAATTCAATTCCTTCCACTTGATATACTTGCTGTGCATCTCAGTATCTGGATCTGGCCGGTGGTTTCTAGTTATAACCTCCCGTTTCAATCTAGTCACATTGTTTTCGCTTATCTATATCTATATCTACATCTACACCTATATTTGTTCCCACCTCTGCATAATATAGCCATTGATTAACAAAACTTTCTTACCATAGATCTGCTTGGCCGAGAGTTTCCTGCCGAGGCTGTCCAATTTCGCGAGTCTAAGGCGTCTGCTAAGGGATACTCCTGGTATGTTGACGAAGGCGAGCAGTTTCCAACTTGTTTTGAGCGAGAAGGGCCCATGCGCTGGCTTGCCCCCGAGCGTAATGGTGTCTTGAAGATGCTCAAGGAAGGCAAACTCGGTGTAGAAGCCGTCATGATGGCCGACGAGGAGAACGCTGCTGAGCCTCCCGCCGAGGGCGTCGTTGCTCCTCCTCCTGCCGAAGAGGAACTCCTTACCGTTCCTCTAGATACGACACAACCAGGAGAACCAGTTGCCCCGCCTGTTCCAGACGTCGACGAAGAAGACAAGGATACCGAGAAATAGGATGGGTTCTTCCTCTGAATCTCTCGTTTTTCCTGGACCTTTTTCCTTACCCCCCATTCCTTGCTATCACGAACAACAAACCTACAGCATTCTAGCCTCTCTACTTTCCTATTGAGGCTCCTGCGAGGCTGATGACACTTATTTCATGCATTTTCTTTCCGGCAATAGTCATTATTCCGAGTCCTACAACTTCGACCTGCCCTCCTACGCAACTGTGTTTCTTTTAGCAGCCATATTTACCTGCTAGAGCTTCACAGTAGCGCAAAGACATGTATTACTATCCCATCCGACCCTCTCCTTCGACAACCGGGAATCCCACATCTTCTTTTCCTTTTGAAAATACCTCCTCTTCACAGCACCTCGGCTTGTGCGTGCTTGTCACCTCCCTTCTTCTGGTGTTTATCATTCGATTATTTCTCATCGCTGGAGTTTCTCTACTATTTCCTTGCTTGGGTATGGAAGTCTCTGTTTTTCTTGCCCCGGATGCGATATCCTTGTTCCGCTGCAAATTCTCTGTTACCAGATAGTCGGTATCATAATAGTCCAATGAAATGTCTTAAATGACTACCAAATTGATTCTTTCAATTGTTCCTATAGGTTCTCCTCTACGTTACTAAGTACTTATATATATGAGAAGGCTAGAGGATCATACCAATCCGAATTCTGACCGCCTCCCAGCCGACCCTGCATTGGAGTTAGGCAAGGGCGGAGGCTTATGCGAAAAATTTTCAACGCAGCGTGTTGTTTATGTTTGTCACGTGTAACTGAATCCGTTAAGCGAGTGCCGATCAGCTTGGCAGTGCCTGTCTCTTGAACCAGATTTGGCCTCGTCCTCTCCTGTCGACGGGTAGTGGCAGATAACCGTCTTCGAAAGCTTAAGGGAGCCGTTGAATTTGACTTGCGGAAGCTAGGACTACATAGCGGCCAATTAGGGACGGAAAGGTGCATGAAGATAAATGCACGAACCCAGGAACCTAGAAGGCTCATTGAGACTGATTCCAGACTTACCGTGCTAATAAATATTGTAATCTTTTCTTTGTAAACGTGTCGAGGCAGCTGGCAGATACACCATCACCGCTTTTGGAGTCTATGAAACGAGAGGATCGTACAAAAGAAAGGCTCTATTTCAACGGCAAGCTCAACACTGTGCGTTGAACCAGCAAAGATTTGCAGCGTCAACGCGGAGTGTTGAGTGCTTTCCGATTGCGAATGCCGGCGGACGGTCACGAGTGATATAAAAATCATGGTATTGGTATCATCGATACATATCAAACGCTAGATACTCGACAAAAAATGAATAAAAATAATAGAAATAACTCCTTGGAAACATGCTTGAGATTTTGGGAAGTAGAGCTCGAATATTCTATATTCTGAAAAATACTAGTACCTTCTAGTTGACTCGGTCCCTGCCAATTCGCTCAGGCCTTCTATGCTATTCCCTTGGCCTGGGAGTTCCCCTAAAGGTGTTCCTTGGAGTTGCCCACCATCCACAGTTTGCTGTGGCGGTTGAGGCGGTTGAGGCGGTTGAGGCAGCACAGCAGACTCTCCCCTCCTCTCTGGAGGTACATATTTTGGAGGGATGACAGCTGCCATTCGAGGACTATCCGCCCCACCACTACCGCCTGGTGCCCAAGCACCTCTTGGACTCATGAAACCTTCTCGTTCACCCGCATCATGATGTCCGTAGTGATCCTGCTCGTCATACACTCTGCCATTCCCGCCATTCCCACTACCCTCGTACTTCGCACCAGCTGCACCTGCTTTCCGTAACTTTTTCCGTTCTCGAAAGTACATAATCGCAAATGCAATAGCAATTACAGATGCCACACCGATACCAGCTGCCATACCGGCAATAACACCGGTTTGAGTTCGTTCGATTATCTGTGGCTCTGTTGTAGCCGTAGCCGGGTTTGTCGAAGTTCCTGTTGCCATTGCAGGACCGGCGGTACGTGTTCTTGATACAGGTTCGCCGTTTATAAATGCGATCTGTCCGACTTCGAATGTAAAGTAGTTATCTCGGTTTGAACAGCAGGACGGGTTACTACCGGTTCCGCAGCAGAAAGAACCGGTAGTATCGGCGCAAGCAAGGATGTTTTGACCGGAGTTTCTGAAGTCTATGTTTTTTCCAAACGTAATATGTTAGAGTGGTTCGTTTATCGACATAAAGAATATGAAGATCTTATATTACCTCTACACGGCCCAGGACAGCTATCACTCTGCCATGACTGATCTGTACACGCCCCTCGTTCGTAGAATCCCCGATCTAGATAACATAATCCCGTCGAGAAGCATGTTGTTTGGTTATTATTCCTACAACAGGCGGAATGCCCTGTTGCAGCAGTATTACATGCTACGTAATTCGGCGCTCTTGAGCCATTTGGGAAAAAACACGGTCGCGGGTCCGGATCTTGAGCGGAAAGTAGCGAGGAGATACTGAGGAGGAGTAAGGCAATTGAGAATGTGGTGATGCGTTGCATCTTGTTGGATTATTTTCTACGGTCGGAATTTTCGGCCGAGGTTGACGCGCGACGAGCTTCACCGAATATTGTAAAGGTCTAGGTCCGGTCCTTGCGACGAGGCCGGATTTGATTTGAGAGATGTTCTAGCTATAATTTTTCTTCTGAAGAAAAGAGTTTCGAGCTCGTATCGGTATTATGACAAAATCATCTGCGAAAAAAGGATTCAAAGGAAAACCGAAGCAAATACAAAAAAGGCCAGTAATGACAAAAAGGGTCTTAGAGGCCTTCAAAAAAAGAAGGAAACTTTGGAATATAAAGGAGAACTACAACTGCCGGGGTTCCTCCCTTCTACATATGTATTTAAAACATTCCGAGCTCGAGAGAATGAAGTTATGATCTAGTTTTGTGTTTCTGACCATCGAGTCCATCCATGGGTATCCCCTTGAGCCAAGGCAGAAAAGAAAATTTCTACTTTCCTATCAAAGCAGTGCGCTACCCGGTGTCATATCGAATTTTGGGTTTTCCTGTGGAATTTACTGTTAGGGAGCCCCACTGGCAGGGACGTTCAAGCTCCATGGTTCCTGGTCTAGTTGGATACTATTTTTGAGATTTGCGGTTCATCATATGCAGTCAATTGCGGGTCAGCGGAAGAAAATAGGTGAGGACTAAGCAGGATCGTCAATGATAAAGGACGAATGAAATATGGTTCCAAGATCTTTCAAACAAAGTGAGATTGCATTGTTTTTGAGATGTATCGATATAAGGCATCTATTCCCATGGACCTAGCAGAAGCAGTAGAAGAAGAAGCAGAAGCATTCAACGATCGAGCCTTGGCTCTAAGCGGGAGGCGACCGCAAACGTCTCGGTCAAAGGCGAGTTGCAGATCGTGGCAGTACAGACTTGGTATCAGTTAGACGTATTTCGAGCAATTCAAAGTACCTATTAGATTCTGTTATGGGTCCTTCCTTTTCGAAGGAAGTCGATAAATTTGAGAAGTCAGTTCTAGTAGTCTTTCGGGGGGCCAATTATAGCATCAAGCGGTCGTGGCCGTGTCTATGTGTGCCGGCAGTTGCGGGTTGTCGACATGACAGGCCACTGGCAAAGCCACACTCGATTTGGAATTCACGTGGAGGCAAATTAAAAGACCAACACAAGATATTTCGAAAACCAGCCCGTTTGCATCTATTTGTCGTAACTTTCGTTGGTATTATATTGTAGGAGAAAGATTAGACGGATCTGGTTGTGGGCGGGTCCTGCGGTCCTTTTCAGGGCGGTGGAGACCGGGCTAGGTTTGTTTCCAAATCCTGAGACGTGCAGCGGAGCCTCAAAATAGCATTATTAAGCACGGTTGAGTCGGAAAGTCATGCAGTTAGTTACCGTCGCACAGGCGGGTACGGCAACATTTTGTTACGAGATAATATTGAGTACTAGAAAGCTTGTGCCCAGATCTAAATCTAAGAGAACTACGAGTATGCTACGAATTCGGCTTTCCGCCTGGGTGAGCTTCAGGAGTTATGGAAGCTATTGATTGGGAGAACATTTCTAAACGTACCCGCATATCCGTCGCCATCATTTAGCCCTCAAAACTTAACGAGACATCACTTCAGCGTAAACACCATGACGTTGAAGATATATCATATAGGGTTAAAGATCCTCGATTTTGATTTGGTCTCAGACCCTGGAGAGAGCTCGAGCCACATGCACACAGACCTACTTCGCAAAAGAGTTTGTGATCCAGAAGTAGATATGCGTATATGTATAGGCTGTTCCGATTATATTATGCAATTGTACCCTTGTCCTAGCACGTGTACTTACAGGAGGAAAGCTCGGAAAGCAACGGTGTGAACCTTTGTTCAAATTCTCGTCAGGTTATCGATCGAACCAGTTTTACGCCAAGCATACCCGAGTCATGGACCAAGGTAAGCTTGAACATCCTCCCATGTCTTTTGCACCTGCCTGGCGACTATACAAATGAAGCTAAGGCGGAAGCTATCTTGTCTACGCCGGATAGATTGTGGAAGCAAAGCTTGCTCTGCTATGAAGCACTCAGACGAAAGCTTGGAGCTTCCCACATTGATTAATACGTCAACAAGATACGCTAACGTAGACGCTTAAGATTTTAATATGCCAGCCTTGCATGATATATAAAGTGCAGTTTAAAAACGACTTTTAAATCAAGGATTCTAGACAAGGTCATGCTGTATTACGTTTGCAATTGTATTTCCTTTTGTCGAGGGAACGCTGCTGTGGAGGACTGGCTATATACCGTCGACTTATGCCGATATACGCAATTTTCCAGGGACAGGTCCTAGTTATAGAGGCGATAAATCGATAGTTTTTGGGAACCTCTCCACCGACAAGTCCGTACCAAGACATCCAAGATGCCGTCATACATCATGCGAAACAGTGGGGGAATTCCATGGAAGCTTGAGAAAGCCTGAACATGCAGCCCAAGAGACGGAACCGAACATACATCAACCCGTGGCGTCAAAAATGCATTAATGCTGCGACGAGATCATAAAATGATGCAGACTATTGAATGCTCAATCCATCATATCCAAGTACTCCCGTCCATATTCTCAAACTTATATACCTTCCAATGTGGAGAGGTAGCCCAAGTTTTTTTTATGAGCCCCCCAAATTTCATAAGTTCTGAGGCGAAGTATGATAATTCTACGAGACCACATAATTCCAGAACTGGGCTAGAAGCTTCGAGGTATCCCAGATTACCGAACTGCTCCCTGGTTTTCCATCACGAGGACTTTTCCCATACCCCCAAATTTCCTCGATACAAAGCCTTGAAACATTTTCTCGCCTGGGTTTCGAAAAAATCCCCGGCGAACATATCCGACAGGAGGGCGACGACAGGGGTTCTTTGGATTGAGCCAATCGTAGTGCGGAGGAACCGGCTAAGTTTCGACTTGGCTCGATCTGACCACACCAAGTTGGGGTCGGAGGATGGATGTGGAGGACTCTTTCTTGGTCACGTTGGACAGACTTTATCGGCTGTGAAGCCCGCGGTCCGCAAAACCGCTGTCGGCTTAGGTTTCCGTCTCGAGTATATCGAATTAATTACGTTTGCAAGAAAAACATCTGGATTGCAATATTGAAGCTTGTTTGTTCACGAACAGGGAAGTTGTCGATATTATAGTAGCAATTATAACCTGTCCCCTACAAGAAGCTGGAATATAAAATGGAGGCCTCGTCGCCCCTCATTATGCTTCTCCACCATCAACAATATCCTAGCGATCGGGATCACATATTCAGCTGATTGATATCTTTGGGGAACAGGTTTCCTTTGACGTCTCCTTCTCTTCACAAAACTTTGCAACAAAAACAACAACTTTTCACGAATCCTCTTTTCGTTACGAATTTCTATCAAACATGAAGGTTTCCGTTATTGCTGCCGCCGCAGTAGGCCTAGTTGCCTCTGCCAATGCCCACGCCATCATGCAAAGGGTTTCCGTCAACGGAGCCGATAAAGGCCTCTTGACTGGTATCCGTGCTCCAAGCAACAATAACCCAGTCGGAGACGTCAGCTCCCAAGATATCATCTGTGGTGCCAGTGGATCTACCTCCAGCTCTATCATCGATGTTGCTCCAGGTGACAGACTTGGTTTCCAATGGCAACACGTCATCGGTGGCCCACAGGGCTCCAATGACCCAGATAACCCGATCGCTGCTTCCCACAAGGGACCCATCCAGCTCTACCTCGCCAAGGTTGATAACGCCGCATCTGCCTCCAAGACCGGTCAAAAATGGTTCAAGGTTGCCTCTGAGGGTCTCAGCGGTGGTAAGTGGGGCGTTGACACCATGATCCAAAATAACGGTTGGTGGTACGCAAACCTCCCAACCTGCTTGGCTCCGGGTGACTACCTCGCCCGTGCTGAGCTCATCGCCCTCCACAGCGCCTACAGCAGCCAGGGTGTCCAATTCTACACCTCCTGCGCTCAAATCAGAGTCAGTGGCTCTGGTGGCTGGACTGGTTCCGGCTTCCTCAGCTTCCCAGGATCTTACTCCCAGAGCGACCCTGGTATCCTCCTCAACATCTACGGAACCGGTGGTATCGCCGATAACGGTGGCAAGACATACGTCGCCCCAGGTGGTTCAGTTCAACAGCAGCAATGTGGTGGGGGCGGTAACCCAACAACCACTGCCGCTCAAACCACCGCCCGCACTACCACTGCCGCCCAAACTACCGCCCGCACTACCACTGCCGCCCAAACTACCCGAACTACCACTCCTAGCAGCAATGGAGGTACTGCCTCACTTTATGGACAGTGCGGTGGTGTCGGCTGGACAGGTCCAACTGCTTGCGCATCTGGAACTTGCAAGGTCCTTAACGAATACTACTCTCAGTGCTTGTCGTAAATGTTTTTTTTAGCTGGTTATTGAATTTGGGTTTTTGGGGGAAGATGGATTTTTTTTGGGAAGTGGCCCGTCCTTAGAAGGGTGAGGGGTCCCTTCATATGTACATATACCCATCATTTGCTGGATGCATCTTATTTTGTGCTCGAAAACAAATTTTTTTTATCTTCTATGATATGTATATATTAGTCTACACCGGGAGGAAACTCTTTTGATGTAGCAAACCAATATTATTTTTTATGAGCATGAATCAATTTCCATCGCACGATATCGAAGTACTAAAGAAAGTCAAAACGGGAAGTCGTGATCGAGGAAGGAATATAAAGTGAATTGTGAAGGAATATGCTGACTTACTGGACGGTTGGGTATTTAAAAGCAGTAATAAGGGGTGCTAGGAGGATGGTGTTGGTCTTCTAGAAATGGTAATGATCAGCGGAGACGACCAATAGAATAGATCCGCTTCGTCCCAAAATGGAAAGGTTTGACAGCATTGGAGGTTGACAACACAAACTTGTCAGCCTTAGAATACTCATCCTCGTTCGAGAACAGTATCCCAAACCTAGTATAAACCCGACTGACTGTCCTCGAGCTCAGCATTATAATAATAAGTTACCAAATTGATCTGTTCTAATTTAATCTCAAATCATATCACGTGAAAACAACACATTTTTGTGCCATGCCCCCCCAGGGAGGATTTTTCTTCCTCGCTCGGTTGTTTATTAGGGATCCCTCCTGTAAACAGTCGGGCACAGTCGGGCATTTAGGGATCTATCCCCAGGCCAGTGATGTATATAACTTTTCATTGAGGTTTAGGTAGTATGTGTATAAAAGAGCTAAGCTCTATCTCTATGGAGTGATTTCACAGTTTATATCTTGAGTCGCAGTTAACTGCAACTCACCGTGGTGTGGTATTATGTGATATGCTCCATCACGGAGCGTTGTCAAGCGCCTTCCTTGAAGACGGCGGGCTTCAACAACCAATACCCCATCGTAGCACCAACGTCCATCAACCCAACAACCTAGTACCCGCTAAGAAACGCTCATTGTTCCCAAAAATGCCTCCCAAGACGCCCAGCAAATCCAAACTCGGGTCGGCTCTCCAGACCATCCCGGAGACTCCTACTGAAGCTCCAGGGCACATTCCGCATAAAACTATGCGTCTCAGATACATCCGGGACGGAGCCGCGAGAATACTTTCTAAAACGCTGGGCAAAAATATCGAGGCCAAGGAAGTCAGTTTCATGGCCTATGCTAAAACAAAGTACAATTGGTTTATAGCCGTTACTACAATTCTTAACGAAGAAATCGGCACCAGGTTTACGACAGAGTATGACCTACCGGACTGGACTAAAGAACCAATGTGGCTTTGGAAGTCCCATCAATCTATGCGAATGATCGATTGGCTGGATCACAAATTCCTGAAGGCTGAGATCATTGAAGGCAAAGCTCCGAGAGTTAGGGAGAATAAACTTGGAGATCTTGCTGGAACGAAAAAAATCGAGATGTTACACCTAACGACACTCTTCAGTAAGAGTTTTTTGAAAGAAGTAAGCTATTCTTCTGGTTTGTATAAATAAATAATATTCATCAAACTAACACCGGAAAGGTGCGTATAGATGCCCAAACCAAAGGGCAGAGGAGGGCTCGCAAGAGGGCTCTTGAGAATCCGTGGACCCAGCCATCAGTAAACGTCAAAGAGCCTGCATCGGACTTTATCGCCTGGATGACTGGATCTGCTGACCACGAAACTATCCGCGAGATGAATGAAGAGTATCTTGGTATTAAAGACAAGGATGAGGAAAGGCGTCGTCGAGGTGTCTACATATCCTATGGTGGATTTGGAGGAGACCCTGTCATTACTGAAGCCCCTATGGATGAGGAAATTCTTGATGCTCAAGAAATAGCAGAAGATGGTTCAGAGGGTGTGGAATGGTCAATTTCTTACGTTGAGTGATCTAATGGAAGCTTGCGGGTTCCAAAGGTAGCAGGTAGGCATTGTAACCGAGCTGAGCTTTGTTTCACTCTTTTTAGCCCTTCGGTCTGAAGGAGCAGAGTGTCAGTATAATTCGTTATTGAAATGAATAAATTGGCACGATCTTGAATCTGATGTCGTTGTTGTCTTCTCACTAGATACGATTCTTAGCTAAAGTTTCTGGCTTCCTGGGAACTATAGACTACTAAAACAAGTTTGTGAGACTGATAGCCTACGGAGGCTTAGGTTAAATATCTGGGGTCGTTGGTCTAAGAAGCTTCGAAGGAACTTGTGGTCGACCGCCGTCTAGGAACGATGGAAGTATCTAGAAATCGCAAGGTTCGGTCATGCCTCCTAAGTGGCTGAAAGCTTTAGGTATAAATTATTCTCGTACCCTGTGTTAGTGGTGCTAGTAAAGCTATGAAGACGACATGAAAGCTCGAAACACGACATGGAACCGGATCAGCGAGTGCTTTCTTTGTTCGGCGTCCGGCATGTGTGGCACGGTAAGCTCAACCAGAATACAACGTGACGGTCGAAAATATCGAGCTAGCCATGGGTAGTCTAGACGCGCAAACCTAAACAAATATTTTTTCGTGCAAGATGAAGAAACGGTGTATCGTAATTAAACAACTAGGGGCTTGTCGGAACTGCCGAACTGCGCATACAACATAGTGAACCTGTACAGAGTCCGATATTGCAAATACGTAACGACTTGAACTTACGACAGCGCCAGCGCCCTCGCGAAAGCCGTGGAATACGGGACATGGAAGTTCTGACTAGCACACGTGCACCTTCTAAATTCTTACGAGAATAGGAAGCAGGATGATGGCTACTAAGAGACGGCTATACGGATATATAACTCCCAGATCGAAAGCTACAAATCGCGATATATCCAATCGACAATTGAGAGCAACGCCTGCGAACGATGTACCAGCTTTGCCATATTCCACTGAGTACAATGGCAAAAGTTATCAAATCTTGATTTCCGAGCCTGAAGAACAAGATCTTGTGGCGGATGGCCCGGTAGCAAACCTGAATGATCAATTACTTAAACCTATACCCCTAAACCTCGAGGATAAACTAGGATGGGGCAATCGTCGCAAGAAGACATTGCGCCGTGTGGAAGCGAGGAAATGGGAGACTAGATCCAACACCCTCTGGAGATTATGGAAAATATTAGCGACTACATATAAAACTTTCCGAGGTCTATCAAGATCGATTCGAAATCAATGGGCTGCTGTTCCGATGATTTTGCGGGGCCTCCGAGCTACTACGTTAACGATATTAAGAATCCCCTGGCATACCTTCTCACACCCGTTTCGCAAACAAAGAACGCCACACCCCATACCGGTACATCTAGAGAAGAGACTAAGGACCGAGTCCAAGAATGGGAAGATGGTTATTTTTCTTTTGATTATGACATCTTCGTTTTGGTCAACGGCATTCCCAATCGCTACGATGGAAATACTCTTTTTGATTGGGTTATCCTGCGTACCGATCGGGATACTTGCCGCTGCTCGGAGATATTGGAAAGGTACTTTAGGAGTTTTTGCTCAGTGGAAAGGTACTGTTAGTTATTTGGCTATTGTTGGATTTGTTATGGTGCTGAAAATGCTATGGATTATTGAAGCTGCTGAGGCTATCTATACTGATAGACACCGATGCCACTACTTCAAGGGGTTGAGATAGGATATTTGGGTCCAACCAAGTGCATAAAAAAGTTAACTGTAGAAGTCGAAACATACGCATATGCATTGGTTCCCGCCCTGCTGTTTCTTAAAACTGTGTATATAATAATCAACAACCCGGCTTTGGGGGCAGGCTTGGGACCGATTCCCACCGGTTAAGCTCAATTCATAATACCCTATTGAACCAATTGTTATTCAGCTTGTTAGGCTACAGAACTTCCTCAAATGGTAAGATACGGGATTATGCTTCAGTGATCTGCGGGGCAAGCTCTTCTGGAGTTTGGATGTTGTAGAAGTGCAAAATACCACACCGGAACTCACCGCATAACATTGCAGCGTCACAACGGGGTCATGGAGACGGAATAGGAGGTCTATCGAGGCTCCGAGACTAGGAAATACTCACTTGCCAATTGACGATCGTGTCCCTATTTTTTGGTTCCAGATTCATCTCCCCAATCAACCAAAGTGCCAACCCTCATCACTATCATATTCAGCATTCCCTCAACCATCCTAAATCGTCGAATCTCCTTTAGGGCTCCTTTGAGCCAAACTAGGTGAGTCCTATCGAAAGGGCTTTTCTTTTTGTAATCTTGTGAGGCTAAGAAGAGATAGTTTCGCGATGAAGAGGCAGAGTAGAAAGAAGCATGGCCGTAGTGGTTCGTCATCGTCATCTGGCCGTACCATTCAACTGTCTTCTATTCGCCCTGAAAGTATTCCAACTTCGGTTCTTCATCGCTCGGATATCGACTATAGCAGCCTCCAGTCTCATCTTGCCCTTCAGGATACTGAGATGCGCTCTGTTCGTCTGGTCTTAGAGAATATCATCGAGTTGAACCCGGATTTTTCCTCCTTGAATCTCCGTTTAACCAGCGAACGCGAGCTTCTTTGCCGCATTGCTAACCAGCATATGGGTCTCTTCAATGCTGGCCTTACCCGAAAGTTAATCGATCGAGATCGCGAGACAGATGCTGTCGGCTGGCTTTTGTACCAGTTTGTCCTTTTGTGTTTAAAGGAGAACCAACGTGCCGCTAGCCGTTCCGGATCTGCTCGGGAGAGGTCAACTTCTCAGTCAAATTCAGGACGCTCTGCTGCTTCTAATTCGGATCTTGAATCGGTAGCCGTCAATGAGTACGAAGATGACGACAATTATGGTGATGATGAGCTTTTATCAGACGACAACGAGAGCCCTGATGCGGATGACGAAGATGAGGCCTTGGAGGATGTTGAGGATGAAGCTGAGCAGGAGCAACAATTGCGAGGCGAAGGTTTTGAAATCAGTATTCAGGTTCCACAGCACATGGTTGATTCATCGGATTTGGAGCGTGAGCTCGAGGATTACGAGGAAAACATCGAGCCCAGAATGATTCTTCGCTACGGCAGCCCTGAAGTCCAACAACAATATCTTCGACGCCAAGGCAACGGTCACGGTGGGATTGCAATGCCCGATTTTGGTCCACACTCCTCTGATGAAGAATCTTTCGTGGAGCCTAAAATTGAAGCGTCTCGCTGCAAGGTCCTTTTTTTAGCTATCTGCTTCTTGATCCTCTTTCTGGTCGTTCTTGTTCTCTGTTACGTTCAATACATGCATGAACAGCAACTCCCCGTTCGTCTCTGGGATAACCTTATCCTCAATCTGCGTGAAACGATCGCCATGGCTACCGATACGGCTATGGCCCCGGTGGATGAATCACCAACACCTGTTAAGCTTATCCTCACCAAGGCTACTGCGAAGATTGTCAACAAGATCGATCTCTGAAGGATTCATGGGCTTTGTTACGGGTTTCGTTTCTGCGTGGTTTTGCATCTAGTCATCCTGAACGCTTTTTTCGATTAATTTCTTTCAATGTTTCGTTTCTTTTACCCTTCCGAGTCGAGTTCTGGGCACCTAGGTTAGCATTTATTGGCCTAGATTATCCTTTAGATAAGCCGACAGAACTGTTTTCAAGACTCCTTACAAAGAAATATCTTTAGTTTCATGAGTAACTTAGCTAGTACTTCTCATGAAACTATTGAGTTCTTCCCTTGGGCGACAGAAAATATGCCCACTGAGTTTCTCATACTTTATTCCGTGTCCCATGATATATCTATTTTCAATTCCTTTTCTGTTGTTTCCAAACCCACAGCGTTCTTATTCGTTTCGAATTCTCCACATACCTTTAAGACTATAAATGCATTTCTCGTTTAATTCGTGTTATTAATTAACGCAAAGTCGAAGCACCCTTCGATTATATTAAACATGCTTCTCAGGATGACGTATTCAAGAAGCTTTCGAAGCCCTGTCGAAAATTGACATTAGGAGTGCATTATGGTGGTAGTAACCTGAAAGATGTGACGAGAGACGAAATGTAGCCATAGTTACCTCGGTGGATATCTGGAAGGTAACTAGGGTATGTTGGCTAACTTTAGTTTGAAAATGCGTTTTCGAGAGAGAGCATAAAACGATGGTGAGTAAAAGGTTGATGAGATAGTGGGATAGTAAAGCCTGGTTCTAGACTAGCGAGCTAACCTCGAGGGGCAGAGAAAGATTATGTGAAAGAGGACTGGGTTCTGGACAAAAGGATCGAGGAATATAAGACATGATATGGACTGTATTTCCGCACCCCCAACCGCTAAATTCATACCTAAGTAGGTATGTACGGCTTAAGCCATAATTGTATCAAGGTATAGATTATACTTTAGTTAATTAGGTTTGAATATTATCTCTAGCTATAGGGGCGAGTTTAGCTACGTCTAGCGTTACTATAGCTAGTATAGAGTACTGAATTACACGGCGCACAGAGCTACTAGAGTGGTGCATTTAATTTGTAGAATGGGCTATATAGAATAAAAGGGGCATGTGTTTTCATACCGAGAGATGGCCGAGTTGGTAAGTATACTCACAGCCAACAAGGATTTAGGTCGATCTACAAACGGCATCACTCAAAAGGTGATACGGGGATCTCATTCAGAGTGTCAATTCGATCCTCAAAGACGTCTCTCGGCCCGTTTTTTTTTTTTTGCACTTTTTTTCGTCACTCTATTTCAACTCCATAACGTCTCATGTCATTGTGACACTTTTCAGTACCCGATTCATCACAACGGTCATTTTTAGAAGTAAAACTATTAGTAAATATTGATCTTATCAGTTTGGAGAGATTTTGATATCAGATACCCTTCAAGCTATTAGTTGATGAGGCTTATTATGCAAGTAACATGGAGAAGCAGTATGCAATAACCTGTTCCAGCACGATTTACTACTACTCGAGATTTAAAGCTTACTTAACTAGCGATGATATAAAAATTCCAATTAACCCGAAAAACTGCGCAGGAGACGAGCAGAATAGTTGTACTCTAACATAATATTCGTGAACTTGGCTAAGAAGTCACTGCATAGTAGAGTGTGGTGTTGAGCGGACCACGCGTTTGGCTGGCATTGGGTCAAGATCCCACCAAATTGACCTTTTTTAAAAACTTACCTGGTTATAAAGAGAGTATACGTAGAAATCGCAAGCCTGGCGAAGCTAGAAGAAGGAATAGAATGATCTTCGGGAGAAAGAATTGGTGGTTGGAGAGTTTTCCATACGTGTGCTGAGGTTGATGTGGTATCTGGATCCTTGTGCCCGCATACGTTGGCGATACCTCATTCCCCGCTCAACCTGGAATATAAATCCACTCTCCTCGGCCAAATTTCAACCTCCACCTCCACGTCACTTCACACTTACCTCTACTTCCATCTCAACGGTTGGATTGTACAAAATCGTACGCGTAATAACGGCGCCTATCAAAAATGACAGGGTAAGTATCGATATATCCATAAATCTCAGGAATAATATTTAGTGTTTCGTGACGCTGACTTGGTTATTCTAGAAGGATGGACAAGAGATTAAAGCCTACCGAAGAAGCTCCAAGCTCTGGTACCCAATCAATTCCAATTCAAAAGCCCCAACAGAAGGAGGGTGTTATTACTAGCACTGCCTCCAATGATGAAAACATGATTCCTACCAATTCCAGAGATACCATGACTTCGGGATCTCCTTCGAAAACTTTGGATGAGGCACCTATCTCTAGGAAGATCTTCACGTTCAACTCCCCACAGGTCTTAACTATTGATTTTAAATATCAAGCAAATGCCTCTACGACCGCCAGTTGCGATACTGACAAGAAAGTTAAAGCCAAGTCTAATCACGAGACCAAGACAAACTTTCAAGCAGAGTCCACCCTTGATGCTGGTATGCATCGTCAAGTTTCTCCTGGTGTCAATGTCGCTCTCGAGGATGCCATCCTTCTAGATGATAGCTATACCCTCCCCCGAGGCCCAAAATCATCTACGAAATCCAGTTCTATGTCACAAAGTGACCAGCTTCCGGTTGCCCCTAGTAAGAAGGTCGTTAAGTTCGTCATGCCATATCGTGATGAAAGCACACAATCTTCTTTCGATAATACAACAACTCAATCAAGAGACACTCTCCAGACGAAATCCTATATTGAGGTTTCAAGAAAAAAGAAGAAATCGAGCTTCGCGACCTTGGAGGTTGTAGATCGAGCTGGCGTCAAATCGAAAGAATGTCTTCTTACCCCTTCGGCTCTGGTTGAACTCCAACAGTTGAAGCTAAGAGTTACAGAAAATGACGAACAACTAAATTCAATTGAAGAGCAACTTATTGATATTACCCAAGCCGTCCAAAAACTTCAAGAGAGGGTTAAGACCTCTGAAGTTGAAAATATCAAGCTCCGCCGGGAATTCAGTGCTCTCAAGAATCAGAAGGCATTGAATGACAACGAAACTGATGACGAGGATGACGAGTCCGAGAAAAGAATGTGGAGTATTCAACGAATGTGTTATATTCTCATCGCCTTCATGCTACTCTATCTTGCCGTGGCTTACTGGGCAACCTAGAATGCCAACCAAAAAGCAGCGGCCGCGAGAGCGCGCAGTGATCGAGTTTTCAATAGATGGCAGGAGTACCACGCAGCTAAATTAAGGGAGAATGTTCATGAGGAGAGTGACAAGAAATAGGTAAGTCAGAATTTCAAGTCTTTGGCCTAGCCAATAATTCAAGCTAATGGTAGTGGCGTTTCTCATATACCGAACGGACTCACGAGCAGACTTTAGACTGCATGTTATTTGTTATTTGATTCTACTAATCTGCAACTGAGCTTAAGAAAAAAATGCTTTCTTGTCTACCTTATCCACTTTGTGCAAGGCTTATTCGTCGCTCCTCAATCTTCGCGGTTTAAAACACCAAGTATCACGATTCATTAGAAAAACATTAATAATAAAATTTGCCTTTTTGGGGTATGGATCCCCTTGTTACATCAGATTTAGTTGACGTGTAGTTTGTTCAGCTGCGTCGACGCGACGCAGAGAGTTTTCCTATGCCTGTTGGGTGGCACCGAATATATTTATTTTGCATTTACAACAAAGAGATATCTAAAACAAGTTTCTAGCTGGGTTATGGCGAAATTACGCTTTTATTCTTCTCCCCCGTAGAACACGCGAAAGAAATCAAAGGAGTTCAAAACAAAGTTCTCATAGAGTCTGGTTTTTACACGTGCCGAATATTCCGTCTTGACATACTCACTATAGGGTTAACTCGATAATAGTCAACAGCCGTATTATTCAGGCGCCCGGATTTTCTCTATTAATTTACAAATGGATAGTAATACCGATCACTGGAAATACAATATCTAGAGCATCCTGATACGTTCAAGCTCCCTATAAAATACTATTCCGAGAAGGCTCAAAATGTCTATGAGCGCCCCAAACCAGTCCGGAGGCCTACGAATAAAACCCAAGATATACGAAGAAGACCAGACCAAGGATTCATCCTGGTACGGTAGGCTGACGCCCGGCGTACTCGCTGCTCGGAGGGTAGAAAACCCACCAAATCCGGACCTCGTTCGTCTCGCTCACTCCAAGGCCAACGAGCTACTTAAGGAAAGGCTTAAAGGGAGCGTTCTTACTCGTGTTCCGGTCTATACATCACTTGAGGGAAAGGGACCTTTCGAAGTCATTCGTCCAGAACCAGCTGAGCCTCACAAGCCGAAATGGGCGGATATCCACGTTGATGAGACTCATGATGTAGACAAGGAAGATGTGCCAAGGCCCGAGCATCTTGAAAATGAAAGAGAAAATGTGGTGGAAGTGTTTAACCGTGGACGAATCCATCGAATCGGCGACGACCTTGGGGGGATGGTGTACGCTTTCGTACAATTGTATATTTATGTCATCTACTGGTTTTCTAGTTGGTTTGGAGCGAGTATCAGGCGACCCGGAAAGTGGAGGCAGTTGGCGTACGTGGTTCCTTTCGTATCCTCAATGTGAAAGTTCAAGGTTGGGTTACTAATGTTGATATAATTATACGAAATAGATTTCGATACCCTCCGGTTGATGGAGGATGGGATTTCTTCAACATCCGCGCAGAGTACAAATCACTCACCCGTTCCAATGTTATCTACTTGAAAAGGAAAATATGGTTCAATCCCGAAACGGGTCAGTACGAAACAATTACTTTCACCAACTTGGACGATGAATCTCAATATCGAGATCGCTATCCAGGAGAAACAGACGGACTCGACCCTATCGAATTTGCAAAATATCACTATCTGGAACCTGACGACACGGCGATCAAATGGCTTGGGGAGAAGGTTTTTACACCTATTATGACGATATTCGTGGGTTTTATTACTTTTGTCATTGGTATCAATGGGGTTAAGATTGCGATATCTGTGGGGCATTTGTTGGCGGTAGAGAATCCTGATGTTTCCGCCGTAGTTGCATTCGTGGTCTTCATTTAGTTCCTATTAAAGATACTTCGGCGAATTATAAGAGGGCCGAAGAGAAGGACAAAGAGACGAAATGGTACTACGTTTTGAGGTTCAAAATGAGAACAGAGATATAGCCATGCTGACAAAGACTTTGTGGTTCGGTGTATGCTTGAGAGCGAAATGTGTGAGCAAGTTAACCTGGAAGGATTGTGGAATGGGTTTTAACCTTGATCGAGGCCTCATGAAGCTAACATAGTCGACTTGATAGATTATGTTAATAATGATAATCGCGCATATTACAATTAATAACCTAGTTCTCGTGAAGTAGATGTTTTCTCGTCGCAAGATCCTTTAATCTTGAAGCAACGGTCTTATAACTGGTCGTAAGCTTTTTCGTTTTCGAACCCTAATATCATACATATAATACGTAAAATATTGTTTTCTCGTTATTGATTCTACGGTTCTCAATACAATATTGCGCACTATTGCAATGATGTTACTGAATTTGGCGAAATTAAAATGAAGTGCTAACTACAAGATATTAAATTACCAGCCGTACTGATCCTCAGTAAACCTCACGATAGCGCCCCTTTTCCCGAGCTGGGCGACCATTACTCTAACATCATCTCTCATAGATGGAGGTCCACAAACCATAACCGTGGTGCCACCATTACCATTCTGCCCTAATAGTTCGACTTCTAACACTTCTTTGATGTTAATGCGCTCACCGATGGATACTTTGACATCGGCGTTACCCCATCTTGCCTTGTTGTCGACGAAATTCCCCACACCCTGATCACCCAAGAGATCTTCTACTGCTCGGACGAGAGGCTCTGTTCGTACTCCCCAGAAGAGTTTAGTTGTGCCGGGAGCGGAAGCTAAGAAAGGTCGATCGAGCAGTGGAAGAACACCGGTGATACCCACTCCACCAGCGAAGAATAGTAGATTTGGGTACTGAGTAGACGGGCGAGGGATCGGCGAGTTTAAGATGGAAGACTCAGGACCATAAGACCCTTCCACCAGTGTCATAACACCGTTGGGATTACCGGTATGTGCAGCGAGCTTAGACGTAAGCCCACCCATCCGTCGGATAAAGAATACGATGCCTGGACCCCTTTTTTCCTCGTCACCAACATGAGCAATCCGAGTTTTAGCTTCCGGTCCACCCTCTTTGCCAGCTTCTAAGTCTTCAGAAGGTGTAGTGCTCCGTGACGCTGGAGCGAGTGGTAACACTGAAAACGGGTGGTTTTCCCAGATACGCCAGGTCAATGTTGGGAAATATAGATAGGCTTGACCTTGGGTGTCGATGCCAGGAATCTCGACTTTGAGGTAATCTTCGTCGATGACAGAGATGTGAGCCCTTCTTACGAGCCCGTTCTGTACTATTTTGATCGGCCTCATGACGAAACGGTCGAACCCCCAGAACGCGAACGCAACTGCAACCCAAATCTCGTAACCCCACTGCCAATAGTAACGAAAATAGACATGAAGGAAAGTGCCAATGATCGCAATCAAGAACAAAACTATATGAGAAACCAAAAATAATTCGTACATCTTGTGACGGATAGGAAGAATAGAGAATGGAAGGATAAGAGTAAACCCAAGGGTGCCGATGATACCCCAATACCAATATGGATAAGCGGCTTCTTCCGCATGAGTACCGAGCTTAACTTGAAACTGGAGATATAGGACAGAATGTAAACATGCTTGAATAATGGTTAAAAATCCGAGCCAACGATGAAGTAGCACAAATGTCGAGCGAGACCAATTTGTAACATAGAGTAGGAGATTGTTTCGGCTGGAATAAAGGATTGAAAGGATAAGGTTTCCAAAACTTAGCATGCCAACGCGGTTTGCGATTGACATTGCGACGGCTTGTGGGCCTTCGTACCAGAGGTTTGGGGATACAATGGTGTATGACACTCCAGAGAGGATTATGTTGATACCCCAGATATACATTATGAAGAGTGCTTGTCCTCGAGTAGGGGTAATTCCCATACCAAAGAACGTTGGTACCGCATGGTTGGATCCAAATGCCGGTGGGTCAATGAAAGTCGAGTAAATTCGCGTAGCTAGAGGTTGCGGAATCGGTAGAAATCGGACAAGGGAAAGAAGTATCGGGCCGAGGGTACATGTTAATACGATGACGAGACTAGAATCGAATTAGTTTAGTTTATTCCTATATATTAGAATTTGGGGGATTCCAGCTTACGTATAAACGTTATCAACAGAGATATTTTTCTCAATAGCGGAAAGCGCCCCGTAGTTGGCGGAGTAGAACCACTCGTTAACCAACGATGTTCGGTTCAGTATCTCGGTAGAGTTGACAATCTCCATTGGCGGGTCAATAATGCGGGCTAGAGCATCTTGGTATGAATATTTTGGCAACGGCTGGTTATCCTTGCGTCCCGCAACATTCATCTCCCAGTACGTCTCCAACTTCGAAATGGGCGTGTCCTGAGGGCAATGGGTATGGATGCACCAAGCTAATGTCTGCATGAAAAATTCATTCGTAGCATAACACTGAGGTGATGGCATATGATGCATCATCATTGATCCATGATCCATACCGTGATGAGACTCTCCACAGTCGAGCATGAAGCCAGCCGCAGAGTTACGACAGGCGTATGCGCATACTGGGTCCCATTGCTTTACACCCAATCCGACGGTGCCTCCATGTGCCACCCGTCCTGTAAAGTCTTTTCCGGCGGCTACTGCACTTACTATAAGCACAGCGATCACTAACAGACTGCGCAAATGTGTGAGACTCGTTCGACTGGACATCGCTATTGGAAATTTAGAGGGATGAGGTGTAGACTTGTCACATTCCCTTCAACGGAAAACTGGTGCTTGGGTAGAAAGCTAGCTAATATACTACATTTCAAGATTCCAACCAGCACAGAAAGGTTACTCATGTGTTCAGAGGATTTAGCCAACAATTGCAATCCCGTGCACGAATGTTATAGCGTCCTCTGATAATTGTGCTCACGGACTGAAGTGGCGTCCATAGGACTTGGCACTAGCTGCGCTATCTGTCGGCCGATTGTGAGAAATACCGTTAAAATCTGCATCAGGAAAGCATCCAATAATCGCCTCGACATATAAGCACACCATGCATTAGCAAATCTAACGAAACGACAATGCACCTTTATAGTGCCAAGAGTGTTGTTTTCTAGATTGTCCAATTAGAACGTGGCGAGGAGACATCTTTGGAAGCGAGCGGCCCCACACTTGAGCAAGTTTGAGCAAGTTGACTGCAGCTTGGGCACTTCCCGCGACCCAACAGTTGGACCCCAGGTGCGAAGAACTCCATCCTGTATTATGTAATTTTCAAGTTCAGCTTGTGCGCTCATCAATCGCATTTCCTAATAACGGCATTGGTTGAAGAACTTGCGCATGCCAGCATGGCGCATGTAAGCTAGTACTTAGTAAGTACTTGTAGCACGTGTGCACATATCCAAAGATTTAGGCATTTTGCAAATTTAGGGTTCTAAGGTTAACGAACGCTCGTCTCCCCAAAGCGAAGGTATTAAGTCGAGCTACAGATAGCTAGCTATTTCGGTACCGGTATACCAGGATTTATGCATAAATCCTAGTATAACTATAGTTACTAGCAGCTACTCTAAATCAACCTCTTATTCAGCCGCTATGGGATCATTAAGAGATTTCTTGAGGTCAAACGAATTCGAACACAGACTATTTTTGACAAATCACATCGGCAGTTAAAACTCAAACCATTTCGCTCCAGATCAAATTCTTTGCTCATTTCTAAATTGTATAGAGTGAACTTCGCGCAGCTACGAAGTGGCTAGCAAGCGGGTGACGCTGACGAGATAGATCAACACAATAATCCCTAAAATACCACAGTCCACCTTATTTCCGCTGCCAAGCCATGAAATTACAATGGGAGCGTTTGCTGCAATCTGTACCAATTGCAATTGGCAAAACGGAAACGTAGGCCAAAATTCCATTGACGATTGTGACAGCTTATTAGCTTAGGGTGATCGCTAAGATACGCTTAACTTCATATTTTTCGCCTCAACTAATTATGTAGCTGGCACTGGTACCGACTGTATGGGCTGCTAGCTGCGCAGAAGACCGTCAAGTTTCGAAGGATGGAGTTAGTGTACGTGTTAGGTATAGAAAGCAGCACGAGGCTATTTCTAGAAAGATAAAAGGTATCCTTGATCTGTCAATACCTATTCAATCGGCAATGCTCTTCCTGATGTTGGTATGTGTACCTATGTATCCTAGACGGCCTGTTCCACAACGAACTTGTTTACTTTTCGCTGCCTCCTGGCACCATGGTACCACCAGAACTAGGATAAAACTATCAGGGGAATGAAGTATCGAGTCGGCCTCCTAGAAAGCTTTTTTGAATACCGACCATCTTACGTATACACGCCTAGCAACTTTCATGAGCTTGGTATTTTTGGGCCCTTTTTATGTCACAACATAATATTCCCACTTTAGCGATCCCCGTCAACCCTTCAACAACTAAAACACGCAACTGAATAATTTCATTTTTTTTTAGACCACTAGAAGGAAAAGATTTTTTTTTTCAAAGAAAAGAATTCTCAAAAAAAAGAAAGAAATTGATACAAGAGTCGAAGTCTATTCAAAGAATCCCCAAGCAGCATATATATACTGCCCTCTGCGACCTTCCACCATGTCTGGCGAACGAATAAACTTCCCAAATGAAGAATCTGGATCTCGAGAGGATGACGATGCGAATTTTATGCCGGAAGCCTCGAACTTCAATCCGATGACTGAACTTTTCGATGCCACTGCAATCCAGGGATTCGCGAGTGTCCCAAAACCAGAGCTACCGAACACAAGCAGGATCATGAGTTTTTAACACTATCAAACAAGCTTTCAGTGACGATTACTGGCGTGCCAAAACAGAAAATTGGTCAGGGAGATTCGAAATGGATCACATTATTGGGATAGTAACAGTATTTAAAACTTTCTACTCTTCCTTCACAACGTACTTTGTGTGCTAGCCGCTAATTTATATACTACTATAGCAAGAATTAAAAATTGTCCTCCTAGAAAATGACGACCAAAGGGCCTTAGCACAAACCGCCTTTAACCAAGGTAAAACCATGGATGATGTGCTATACGACACCTTAAAACTGAAATTAGCTCAAACAGAGGGACTTTTCGACGCTCAGCGACTGCTGGTTTTTGACATGCTCAATGCGACAGAACCTATACCTCCTGAAGATGGTTTTAAAGGCCCTCGGTGGTTCTATAAGCAGTGTCTAGCCCGGGCAAAGAGGCTAAAGAATCAACAAATGGCCCTGGATACTTTGGAGCCAGGCGTGAGGGGCATGGCGGGTACTTCGAGCTCGGGGCAATGAAATTTTATGTTTGCATGGAAATTCGAGCCTCTATCTACAGCAAATATATAGGACGCGGGACTGATTGATAGCTACGTGATCAAGATCGGGTTTGTGTGTGGAGAATGACAATGTGATCACTTTTCTAGATGCGGTGCTGGAAGATATACTTGGCTATAGGTATTTTCTCAAGAAGGAATACCTAAAATCGAGTATTTAAAACTGAAGAATCACCAGCTCGCTCGCTCAGACTTTCCTCAGCCGCATAATTGGCCTTTTTTAAGCAATTATCACTCATTTGGCAACAGAATCCTTTGCATTCTACATGTAGATGGCTTACTTAATCAATAAATGTAGGGGCTTGAAGGACTGGATATCTCGGTCTACCCGTCGAAATTAAACTAAACTATGCCCGAAGAACTACCCGATACTCGTCGCGAAATATATGAGGAAAATCGAAAGATCTCATGTAAAATACCTCCCAGAATCAGAGAGTAGCAGATACATCTGCCTCGTGTAGAACATAGTTTCGCCGCATGTCTGAAATTAATCTTCTTGTTCTTCCTAGTAAGGCTCTAGATCTAAGCATCTGGTTACAGGACCTATTTGAGGGCCCTCACCTTATACTAAGGTCTTTAGCTGGGAAACCTTTTACCTCGGCGCACTCTTATCGATTAGTAACTTTACTACGCTTTCGTGCCCTCTAGACGAAACTAGTTTTAATGGTGCTTCACAGTTCAGGCCTTTTATACCCACATCGGGAGCTAAATCGGTGCCGTCTTCGGGCAATCTACTCTGGGTTATTTGCAATTACCCCCACTGACACCATCGCCCTGCCTCTGACTTGCACCCTGTCAACCAGATAACTTACTATTTCTTTGTGTCCCTCGAGTGCAGCCGAACAGAGGTGTCAGCCCCCAAAAATCATTTCTCCAAATTGGCACCGTTGTCATTTACCATACTGGCTATTTCCTGATATCCAAGCCTCACAACTCGTGGCAATACCCTGTGCAAAAGAAAATTTGCTTCTAGGTTATAATGACGCCTCTATTTGCTCGAAGACTCGTTCCTTTTCCCGTTCTCCGCTATTTAAATTGGTGTTGAACTTCCCTTAAGTCTGTTATCTACTTATATTAACGCTCTTATCGATCAGTAAACTCACTACCCTCTCATGTCCATTATACGCAGCCGTCATCAATGCTGAATTACTACCCCTACCGAGGAATTGATATAACACACTAGAGGAGGAGGCCTCGAGGAGAAGCCAACTTAGATTAATTAAATGGTGCCAACCGTATGCCTAGTATCAGGGCCCACTCTATACCAAGGAACCAAAGACCTGGGCTGGAAAAACCATCAACGTGCGACTACAACGCCATACTCAATGAGGCTTTGGCTGCGTATGCCGCTAGATGAACACCAGGAAGCGACTCCCAGACTAGCGGCTTGTTGGATTAGCATCTGTGTTGTGTTGAGCGGCGACCTGGTATTTCGCTTCTAAGACAAACCTTCCCAGACAGGCAGGTGACTGTCAAGATTGTGTCCATCAATGGTAATGGATCATTGACAAACGGTTAAGCCAATAATCTTAGCATTCTTTTATCGTTGCACAAGGTTTCGTCTTTCTAGATTCCTGACACCTGCAAATGCAAACTCAGCTGCACAATGCCGCAAGTAAACCTTATTCCTATTAATGTATATATGGCTACAAGCGTAGGCCTCCGTATGTGCTCCGTGCTCCAACGTTACCAGCCACACGACGGTAGAGGCGGGGTGGACCTCGTCCAGACCTACAAGAGGACGAACATTTTGATAGATTGATAGATCATATAAGCTTATATAAGATACGTATACCGATCGATCATATCTATCTATATCAGCCTCCAATAGTCTGCGAGTTCCTGAGCTCAATCTAAACTGAGGGGGGACTATTATGACCTTGCGCTCTGACACTGAAAGTCTATTGGTATGCCGCAAATTGCGAAATTCACAACATCTGGCGGTTCGATGCCCGAAGACGTAGCCTGAAAAATAGATGGTTGGGGAATGTCATTAACTGTAGCTGCTAACTAAGCTGATAGCTAGCGAATCACGCTACCATTACAGCCCGATCATCCTGACAAACCACGACTAGCGGGTATCAGCCAAAACGCAAGTCCGTGGAAACTAGGAACTAAATTCTCCTCATACCTTATCATATTGAAGTATTTCTGTTATCACTGGTATCGCTCCGGATTTTTTAAACCTGTTATTTTGCATGCGTACGGAAAAGAAGCTCTACGAACTAACCCACGAGTTCCACTATTCCAAAATACAATATTATGCAGTGCGTACGTATGCTGTAAGTTAGGTTTTACCCTTTTCGAAAATGTCCGCCGCATCTAATTCTATCACAAATTAACAGAAACAGAGCTGTTCATCTCGGTTTGTAAGAGGCACGCCTATCCCGACCTTATCACAGTCTCGGGTCCACTTGACTTATCGGCGTCGATTGCCGACACGTTTGCGCAGCAGCGGGTCCAAGAATACTACGGAGTATATGTCACCATTTCTGTGCGGCCTGATTTGTTGATAATTGATAATGCTCAAACACGACCCAATAAAATATCTTAATATTGGAACCCTGGGTACGAGACAAATTGAACCCCAAAAATTTGGAGTTTGTTTAAATTTGGAGCATGGGCTGGCCACTTTAGTTGGAGCTTGGCTAAGCAAATACTCGAGTCTAGCTTCGAAGTCCCTCGAGCCCATCGGATCCACAAAGCTGCATATCGCGGGATATTAATTTATAAACTATTGGATCATTTTTGTTAATGGCTCGGCTGCTCGAACCTAATTAGCCGACCTGCATGCAGGGTGGCGCACAACATCTATAACTGTCTTGCATGCGGAGCTAGAAATACCCGCGTGCTCTTGCGGGCTATTTTGGGGTACCATGATAGAAAGCCAGCAGAACGAGTATTTATGTTACATAGAAGTTTGAATGAAGCTGTTATGGCTCTAGAACGGTCGATTGACTGTCAAAAGTACAGCCTTTGCCTAGTACCATCGTATTCGAAAGACATATGTATATACTACTGTAAAATATATATGTCGACGGGTATAGAATAAAAAACTCGACGTAGATAGGCAAAGTTTATAAACCATGACCCATCTACCCTTGCTCTAGATCAGCCAATACCCTGACCTCCAGCCTCCAATTACCCAAGCGCCCCTAGAAAACAATTAATTATATGTACATAAAACTTTGCAATAAGGCCACAAGCCATAGTTAGCTATATCAATAGATATTAAGAAAATTAATCTCCACCAAAAATTCGCTTTTGCTAATTCTTTTTAGAAATAGATTCGTGTCGCGATTGCCTGGGCCTTGACCGGCACATTTATACCTTCGATATCAAAGCGTTCATTCGATCTGGCTCTCAATCGGCTTCCCGGATTTGCGGTAGCACACTCAGCATAGGCACCGGGCGTCGGACTAGTTTCCGTAAAGCAAGATGCACCCGAGGGGCAATTTGTCGGCCCGCGCCAACATTTACCACCACATCGTTCTCCTAGTTTTGCCGTCGCGTGTGGCGGAGGCAATGAAACGCTAAATTCTTGTTTGATTGTGGAGCATGGATCCGCTGGACAGGCAGTCCCCCGAGCAGGAAGAGCATCATTGTCAACGCACTTCGAGTAGGAGCCGCTAGTTTCGCAAACACAGGCCTGGGTCACAGGACAGAGGGTCATCGTTGAAGCCCAGACTTGTCAATAGTTAGCCATTTCCACGTTTAAGTAACGGAAACTAGAGGTCTTACAAGATGTTATTTGGGTTTGAGTGCTTCCTCCGCATTGTCCAGATATCTCGGCAAGATTGGTAGGAACCGATGCGAAAAACCATCGGGTTACACTCGAACGGGTAGTGGGGCCAGTGTACGATGTGCAAGCACTGATCGCCTCAAGAGCTGTAGGGAGACACATGCCTGATGCACTCGGCTGGCAAGCGCAGTAGTAGTCTATCGGACAAAGGTATGATGTCGCTACTGCAATATCGCATGGTCCATACGGAGTTGCCATATAGCTGGAAGTTGTGTTCATCGGATAGAATACATCTGCTGATGGAGGGCACGTGCAACTGGGCTCTTGCCTTCTTTCTAATCTAGCCACAGCATCCAACCCAGGTAAGAATGAAATGTCGTGGAGGCTCCCTAGCCCACTGAGATCTCGACGCCCTCGAGGTCCTCCAGGATCGCCCACGTTCTCGCCTCCTGGCTTCTTATATGGAGTATAGCCTGTAGTGACAACCGACTGGAATAGAATTATCCATAACAATTCGCGTTTATAGTTGAATAGCATGTTGACCGTCTTTATGGAGCTTCAAAAGATCCGATTGCGGGAATTTGAAGAAATTGTGAATAACTAAAGATTTAGTTAATTGAGTTCAAGATAGATTTACTATTTAAATGAGAAACCCAACGGTTAGGGTTTATAAAGGCCTCAATATGTAGTTGTGGTGGAGTGGCGTGGTATTTTTTTTTAGAAAGCCGTTAACCCACGGCTTAGGGCCCCGACAACATAAAAAGAGGCGTCGGCTCTAAATATACTAGTTTCGAGGCCAAGGCAATGCGGCGTGTATACAGTACATACATACGACCCCCCTCATGCACCTTCATGCAGCACTATATAACCACTTTGCCTCTTCAATCAGAGCACATTTCCATGGAAGGCCGGAGGTTTCACCTCGCCCAGATATCCAACCACACTTCGATCAAAAGACTTCAGACGAGCTAAACGATGAGGCAGGTCTTGGGCTGGCTGTCCTTCTTGCATTAGACTTTGGTTAACGCATATATTTCTCCCTGCACCCCGACAGATATGGGTTGCCGGCTTGAACGATTCTTTTTCTCATACATCAACGTAAACGGTACACGTTTAAACCTTCAGGGTGGCATCTTTCAGAATTTCAAGAAAAGTGTTCGAGCTACAGGTCATACAAGATGTCTGAGGCTGAGAGTATCCCTGATGAAGATATCCTCTTGATGCTTCGACTATCCTATTGGATTGGTTCCGCATCTCCAAAATATTCGAACTTGCCCATACTCCGTATTATCGAAAAATATTCAGCGCTCGTTCTGGCGCAGAACGGAACGTTATCTCCGGAGGATTTGACCGAGTACTTTGGGACACCGCCATCCGATATTCCCGGCTTCCTTAAAATAATAGGGGGCATTGACAATTTATCTGGCTGGACACCGATTATCGCCGAATACCAATACCTCCTACCACACCCCAGAAATATAGGCATTATATTGCCACTTTTCCTCGTATTTTTGGCGGTAACATCGATTGCTGTGGCCTTGCGGATGATATCAAGACATCGAGTCGGGGGCGGACTTAGGTCGTTCGACTGGTTAACACTAGCTGCCCATGTGAGTAATCAAATCGCACCTGAGTTTACAAAGCGGTTGGAAGTGCTTTTCATTCCCTCGATTTACAGTATACAACTTCTCAAAGGTCAGGATCTATATAGCTAACATGTGTTTTCTTTCCTTTGTCGTTTTTAGTTGATGGCTGTAGCCTATGGGGGACTAGCTTTTCACTCTAGTAGACTCAGTAAGTCAAAAATTGATCTACCTTCAGGATTTTTCAGTAAACTTTGAATATACATGAACGCTTCAGCTGACCGAATCGCTTAAGTTGGTCCATATGAGGCCTGGTATGATCGGAACTGGGATTCGATTTATGCAAACTCTAAGGTATGATAAGTTTGTGACAATGTATTACACCGACTCTTCTCTCAATTATACATGCTAATCTATCTTTCCCGGGTGGGGATGAAAAGGTTGCCCTTGCTCTAACCCTTTTTTACCCCTTAACCATGATGACGATAAAATTGTCGCTTTGCTTGTTCTATTACCGAATGACGACTATGGCTTATATCCAGTGGGGAGTCTGGGTAACCTCATTTATCATAATCGGTAACACGATTGCTGGCTTCTTTGTTTCTTTATTTCAATGCAGCCCTATAAACAGTTGGGACAGCCCATACACAGCTAGCTGCAGACCCCAAAGCGAACAGCGCAAGGTGTTAATCGCAATGGGCGCAATCTATATTTTTACCGATGTTTTAGTTTGGGCCCTACCAATCCCCATGGTATTCCAGCTGAAGCTATACCCAAGACAACGTATTTTAGCATTGTGCACCTTTGGAGTAGGCGCTTTGTGAGTACCCCGTTTGATCTTTTCGCCCATAAAGGCTTTATACATCCCCTCCAGAACCACTGACCTCCTCGAATACATTCCTCATCTACATATGGGGTATCGCATTAATACATATTCAATACTAACTACGGTTACACTCTTATTTAGTGCGGTCGTCGCAAGTGGATTCCGTCTAAGTTCGCTTATCGATAATTTAACCCTAAATGCGCGGGGCACCTCAACTTTAATCATTGACGCGTGGACAATGTAAGTTTGTAAATGTGGAATCTCGCCTCGTCCTCACCGCACTACTAATCTACTTGATTCAGTATCGAGATGAATGTTGCGCTACTTTGTGCATGTGCACCAGCTATACGAGCCTTGGTTATCTTCCTCAAACCCAAAGTTCTCAGTAAAGTCGGTTCTGCTTCGGGCCCATCCCGATCGGCGTCGACTAAAGCATCTTCCGACCCCAAACAGAAAAAAGAGATCGTCACCGAGACCGAGAAGACGGATACTAAAGTTTAAGTCCTCTAGATTGATATTTACCTCATACGCTAAGGAATGTCTGATAATATGGATTAATCCTCAAATTTGCACGATTTAATATACGATACGAAATCCTTTCATGCTACGAATTTCTATTTAATTCTTTGTACTATTTATCTGCTTGTAGCTTGTTAGCTAGCTGGCGACGAGACAAAACAACGCCTAACAATTTAATCATATCCCACGTTAAAATTTTGGGAATTGTAGAAATTTAGTAATACTACAATAGGGGTTGTCAAGCCACCGAATGGTTCTCGCATAATTTTTTGATCATGACAAGCTATTTATGTCGGCCAATATTTCTCAATAATTATAAATGAAACACTGGTCAGTTCCTAGAGACTGCTCCTGGATTTCTTCTTCGTTAACTGACTCGTGACCGGCATAGTCCAAATAAGCAACTTCGCTTTCAAACCTCGATTATCTTCGTTAAATCTGCTAGATATCAAGTTTAGAATTAGGTTTGGCAGCTAGCTATGCTAGCGAGCCCACAATTGAATTATTGTCGGACTGTTGTAAAGATCGGGCAATTATCGTGGCGCAATGGAATGTCTTAGATCACTTCTTTGTGGAACTTGGGGTAAAGTTTTTAGATTGATTATGTACAGGATGGATAAATGAGTTGATTATAGGCATCCTGTCGGAACATATTCGGCTTGGGGGGTAAGGGAACCGACTTCTATCTACACAACGGTCATAGACAGGTAGGGTAATTGGCTTATCGGAAGACTTAATGAAATAAAACTGAGGTGATTTTGAGTGGCGGGGCTCTTGGGCACTTTCAAGTTCCTGGACCAAGACTGTGGCTAGTCGTCTGATGATACTTAGCCATCGCAGTTTCCGCTGCAGTAGTTGAAAGTGAATCTGCAGGATCCCCAGAACCAAACAGATCCACACTTTTTGCAGTTCCCGCCGTTCTTACTGTAGATAGAAAGAGCCCTAGGTCGGAACAAGTTAGCAAGTTAACCATGATCTATTGGTGTCGTGAGTAACGTACTTATCAACAAGAGAGTAACCTCGTGAAACGCCTGAGTTTCCTGCTGAAACATAATCTTGAGGGTTTGAACAAGTCCACATGGCAAGGCAGTGACCATTAACGAATGCGTCGTATTTAACCCATCTTCTCTTCTCCTTCCAGAAGATATCATTGGTCTTAAAGGCGTTGAGGGCCGTCAAGCAGGTCTCTTGGGGAACGGTACTGCACATGCCAGATCCTTTACAATCCCAACTATCTCTTTTCTCGAGAGTAGCTCTGGCCTCAAGAGCAGAGTTTGGGCTTGAGGTCTCGCCTTGGAGATCAAATGGTTGCGGCGCCGGCGCTGGCAAGCATAAAGTTCCTTGAAGGAAGGTAAAAAGGAGGAGTACTTGAGTAAAAGCGAATAATTGCATCTTGTAAAATTTAATTTAGATCGATAGATAGAAGGTTTATATCTGGCGAATGTTTGCGGAATCAGTAGTATTGCTCTGGAGCTAAGTGAACCGATGATGGTGGAGAGAAAAGATTTTGAAAGGGAATATTGAACTAATTTATACCTAGAGGCTTCATGATACCTTTAACATCTCGCCGATTGAAGTTCGTCGAGAGGTCCGCGCTTGGCATTTTGGCATTACACTGAATTTGTCGAGATATCTCAATGCCATTTTTGTGCGTACAGCTGCGCCTACGGTTGCAATTTTCAACTTCACTTTGGCCAATTGTCCACTCCGAGCTCGGAAACTACAAGGCTTCCGCTTTCAATAGCGCGAAACTTTAACGCTTAGAAAATTCACTCTAAGCCATGCGAATATTTAACTGCTAAACGATAATTCCACGATGATAAGATCTGGGCACGTAACAATACATATTCGCAGTTCAGGGACATGCCACGAATGTAACATTTACAAAAATGAGTAGTAATCAACACTCACCGGGTTGTCCCTGATTAATATGCAACAGTGCGAGCGAAGGTTACGAGTTACGTACTGCGAATTATGCAGCTGGCGAACGTTTGTACCACACACACACAGAGCCCGGCGTCCAGCCGGCCTCCGCCGAAAAATACTATTTTACCATTTTGTAGCGAGAAACTTTTGTCTCCAAAACTGATTAGAAAGGGGCCTAAAGCGTACCATCTTTAAACCTTTAGCCGGTTCCTTTGCATGAAACTAGTAAAATAAAAGGTTTATAAACCTTGCTTGGGTTTAGGCTGCAGCGGCCGTCGGAACCTAAAGTGGACTATTTGCTGTTGCATCCTGTAGATGCAACACATTATTGTCCGTCAATAGCTAATAGGGCTTCGTATTCCAGCTTCCGCGAAATGGCAATCGATGCACCCGGTGAACTTGGTAATTCGCACATTCGCCCACATGCATATATCAGCAGATTCACAGGCTATTTGCACATCTTTTCTCAAGAGCATGTGGTTGCGGGTTCAAAATTTGCCTACAATCGCCACTTCTGTCAACGTAGTTCCCCACTTCGCGAATGGTCAAATGGCTCATGATAAATCCCAAGACCTCGGAGATGACAAAGCCTTAGAGGGCGCCCGAACTTTCTCTCATGGAGAAATAATTCGTTTTATCCTAAAAAACCTGGATAGAAAGCCCTCGTGGAAAACTTTAGGCGAAATATGTTACATGGTGATGACTTTGGTCAGCAAGTAAATTTTTATTTTATTTTCATATTTCATTCTATTCTGTTCTATTTTATTTTACTTTTAGAGGAAATTTAAAGGAACTACCTTGAGCTGAGAAGCAGTAGTCCACGCCTCTTCGGAAGTTTTCAAACTTCTATTTATAGTCATATAGTCTACAGACTTACGGAGCAGAAAGACGACATTTCCAGGCAGTATATTTATTTATTTGTATGTAGCAGATCGTTGTCTCCAACCCAGCCCAACCCAAAGAGATTCTAGGATGCATGCACTAATCGGCTGAAACAACAACCCATTCCTTCTAGAGGTTGTTCCCTTTCAATTCTATACTATACTAGCTTAGCTAGGATCTAGGAGAGCGATACACTAGTAAATTAATACGATCGTACGATCGTGTGGGTGGCGAACACGCGTGTGAAAGACTGATTAGTTGCCACAAGTTCCCGGGCTGCAGTAATCTATAGCCATTCTACAAGATCCCCAAAATCTAACAGACCCGCACTTGGTGCATCCGCCGCCATAGTAAATTTGTATAGCTCTATCGGATAAATTCAATTAGTACAGATTCTATCGTCTAACGAAACGATAAAAAAACTTGAAAGGGGAAATTCGAAAACCAACGGTCAGCGAGCCACATACTTAGCTTGAAGGAAATCACCTTTTGAAACACCAGACTGCGCCGCGGAAGCATAGTCCTCTTTCTTGTCGCATTTCCAGCTAACAAGGCACCAGCCGATACGGGTTCTATCGCCGCCCTCGGAATTCTTTACTTGGCGACGTGTTTCACCGGTGAAAGTGATCCACGGTTCAAACCGGTAGATCGCACTCTTACAGGATTTTTGATCAACGTAGACCCCACAGAAGGCGGAGCCTGAGCAGCTAAATGTGTCTCTTTTCTCGAGAGTGGCTCTCGCTTTAAAAAGAGGATTTGGACTAGCGGCTGTAGCCTCTTGAAGATTGGTTGGTTGAGAAGTAGGTAAACATGAAATCTCAGAGATAATCGTGAGAAGAGCAAACAAAAGGGTGAAAAGGTTATTAAAAGAAGAGAGCTTCATTTTGAGATTAGCTTGAATAGTATCTTCTTGACTTTCGGCCGTATGATATTGCAATTAGAGATACAAGTCTTTGGTTTGGTAAAACTGATATAGAATAAAAAGACAATTTCGTGACAGTAATACCTTTTACAGTTGGTCAATTTTTACTTATATATATAAATATCGGCTAGATAGCAAAAAAGTTTAGTATCACTCCTAAAGCTCACACATAACATTCCAGCTAGATGTTCACACCGCGCTTCGCGATGCAATATTATAGTATTAGTTGATACTATTATAATGGTCCCCGTCTTCGCCCTAGGCAGCAGTATTGTCATTCATTGATAACAGTAACAGCTGATATTTTTGTATATACATAAAAACATAAATGCGAAGTTCAGTGAACCATCAATCGAGATTAATTTGTGGCCCGGAACTTTTAAAGTCTCACAAAAAATTACAACGATTTTAAAGTACCACCTAGTAATTTTTACCGACATAAATGGTTCGAAAATACCCATGGGGCGCGTACCTAGGACGTATAAAGGTGACACTAAATATGCAATATTCGAGTTTCTAAGCTTCGCACAGAATTTCTATTAAGATTTGGAAGCTATTAGTAAAAGTTATATAAACCCTGCAACCTAGCTGGTCCCTGCATGGATCCACAACACTGCATGATCTCGGCAAAACATAAGCCCCGAGGATCAGGGCGATGCAATACAAGGAGGTATATAGCAATTGGTTTACTAAAGATACCTAGTGCAAGCGGCTGTAAGCTGATTAATGGCTACCCGGGTCGTACAGTCGCTAAGGGAGCAGACAAACTGGCTTCCACGTCGTATCAGACCACGGTGTGTTGCATATGCACGCCAGAATGCGCCTAGCTTTGAGACTAAGTACTTATATTTCGGCCCGAATTCAATTTATTGACTGGTACCAATTACTAGATTTTTGTTTATGCTTAGTGTTAGTTCTTCACATTCGTGTTCGGTATTGGTAATAAATTCGAAGCTCAATTGCGGAATTGCAATTGAGCATACCGAGCGAAACCGACTATGTAAATTGCATGGCATGATGCTCTCATTTGATTTGTTTGTATTCACGCAATACTTAAAGATGCTCCTCTGATATTTAACTGAGCTATTGTTAGAATTGCAGCTGCGAGTTAGTGATTAACTACTCGAGTACTCAAGGAATGGCGTGGTTATATGTTTTGAATCTACAAAATCAATGCAATGTCCAGACCCGATCTCGCGTTAAATTTATCCCCTCGAATTCATTCCTCCCAACTTATAATTAGTACAGTAGCGCCCCAATTATAACTAGAATGGAGGCGACCATGGTACCTCTGCAGAGGCTTATATTGCCCGTCTTAATTTTAAAGAGCCTACGGAATTACATCATTTAATACGGTTCTCTCAATTCAGACCTTCCAAAAGTTCAATCGCCGGAAAACTTAGATTCTTATCGACTATTTGCCCATATATATTTGCCTAGGTATATGTCCTACTAAAGATTATAGCCGCTGCAGGTGTCTCGCGCCGGATGCCTTTAAATCCGCATACACCTCACCAGAGAGCAACTGTAGCTGCCAAGATAATCTCAGTAATTAATAAACCAATGCGAAGACATAGTTGTCATTTGTTTCCCGGGAAATTCAGGTAAACCAATTTTCGACTATGTACGACTTTGATTATGTGACATCGAAGAAGTTGTTGTGTAAATCAGATGCTGCCGTGGGGTTGCGTTTTTATAACTCAATACCTTATTCCTTAGGGCCCTTAGTTTAATCTTTCGCCGGAATTCATTGTATTGCATTATGGTATAGTATGGCCTCATACCCGGACACACTAAGTACTACTGGTTCTATGATGACAGCAACACAAGACGGACAAATATTACATCGCCAGATCACGTCTACACTGCACCACAGACTGAACCAACCTCCACTCTAAGACGCGACTGGATCTTTACGTGAAGAATACATCTCACTTTCTCCTAACATACTTCGTATTCAATATCCAGGCCAGTAAGCTGCTACGCTCCGCATAAATCATCTCTCTTAAAGACACTAATAGCGATCAGGTTCCTTCTCAATCACGGGTTTTCTATCATAGAGATGGCTTCCTTGATAGCTTTAACAAGAGTCCCCGAGATTCTTCTTGACATACTATCCTACCTTTCTAACAACGATGTTGTCTCTCTTCAAAGCACCTGCAAAGCTTTGTCTCCAGTTTGTCACAAGCGTTTGTGGTCCGTTCTGATCTTTCAACTTAATGGAGACCCATGGTACCCAAACCATGGCATCGATTCGCTCAAAGTCCGATATCACAAGCTTACAGAGCTTCTCAAGTATCGTGGAGCTGATACTTCTGGATTTTTCCATACGAAAGTTATTTGGTTTGGAAGTGCTCTTTTCGAGAGTAGACATTTTATTCGAGCGGAAGGTCTACGAAGCCTTCTAAGGGATGTCTTGAACAAAAACAAAGTGGACCTTCAATGTGCAATCGTCTCGTTCCCTTCGCACCGTATGTATCCATATTCCTTCAGTGAACCCCATAACTAAGTATGTATTTAATAGAGCTATATATAGCTATAGCTAAATCATCGAGATAGGGTTCGACGTAAACAACACTCCTGAGAAGTTTGAAATACTCGATGATTTGAAGCGGTATTCACGAGCTCGACCATCTAACCAGAAGTTTGAAATCAAGGTTCAAGCAGAAACTGTAAACTCTTTGTCTAAGTACTTTTGCTTGGACTTGATCACAGAGTTTGTATTCCGCGTCAATTACAAGCCTTACGAAACCAGAAACTACTCCTGGACAGTCGCCTTCGGATCAGTCGATGAGAATGTTACGGAATTTGCTGCTGTACTCAACATGATGCCGAATCTCAAGACATTCACTTGGATATCCAATAAACACGTCGGTAAAGCGCCGGTACCTTCGGAAAAGTCATCCGAGGACCTCCAAAAAGCATTTGGAGGGCTGAAACACTTAAAAAAGATGGAAGTTGATGGCTACATCTTCCACCCTTCTCTATTCCTCGTCCCACCAGAGAGCGTTAAAAGTTTGAAGTTTTGCGGGAATATTAAATCCTCATGGTGGGAAAATTTTGCATCTTCTCCCCTAAATATCACAAGCTTGACTTTCGATGCGCTAGCGGCACACTGTTTGTCATACAGAGATATCGAGGAACTCTTAGAGTATAGGGTCAAAGAAGTGGGTGTACGCGGGTTAAAGACGCTCTGGCTGTCTGGGCACCTTCCTTCCGGCTTGAGAGCCTGCATCCTGGAAAAGAATCCTGAAGTTATTTCTAGGAAGTTTTCCGGGAAGTACGCGTATGATATAGAGGGTGAAAGGACGGAATTTCGAGTCTATATGTGGTAGATACTATGATTTTCTATCGAGGAATGGACGAGGGGAACGGAATTGCGAAGTTTTAGAAATGAAAAAAAGCTAGTATTACAACTTCAGTCTATCTCACTCTAGTATTACCTTCGCTTTAAATTATGCCTCTTGTTTGCTTTTTTCCTAGACTAAATTAAATAGTACACTCGAATTAGGATCATAGCTGTAAGACATTGAACAACACCAAAGGAGCATCCTAGCACATTTATCATACTTGTTATTATATCCCCTACGCTCCCGTGTTTTCACGCTTAGAAACCAATCCAGATCTATCGTTAGGATTAAAGGGCCACGAACTCAATCGCCCAGCACCAGCATCACCAGTTCCTTTCTCGATCCAACGCTCATCAGCGATATCGGGGCCTTCCAGATAATAAGGCTCAGTGGCATCTAACATTTCGTATCTTTCCTCGCTCTGGGGTTGGTTGAAGTAATCTACCAGCGTCGCTGCATTTGACCATGAAACTGACCGGCCTCCGACTTGGAGTTCATGGTTGGGGTGTAAGTCCTTAACCCATTGCGGAAGCCGATTGAATCCGGTTACCACCGATTTAAACGGTTCAGAATCCAGCTCCTCTGTGGTTCCCTTCATAGTAGCGGTACAATAACAACCCATCCATTCCTTACACCGGGCTGCCTGATGGTCGTATCGACACCGCGCATTATTACGACTCCTAGATGGGCTTGCAGAGTCAAGATGGCAGTTACAATTGTGACAAATTTCGTCCCTCCAATTAAGAAAGAAATCCCTATATATGGAAATCGAAAGTTTAGTCTTCAATTCCTTCTTCAGCATAGCAAATTCAGTTATAGAGTTAGGTAAGAGTTGCGTGCGAGTCATACATTGCTGCTTGCCAGTTTAGAGCTGGGTCGGGACGTCTCCTGGGGTTATTTCGGAATTGCGGGTATATCTCGGGGTCCGAGTCCATTTCCTCCAACATATACATTACTGACGGACATCTTACGCTCAAGCTCACGAATGTCCTCCAAGTCACCGCCCTTTTATTCTCAAATTGTTTTGTTGTGTTCGAAGGAGGTGTAGAGTCAGAAGCTACTTGTTCTTCGGTGTTCGAGCTGGACTCAAATTTTAGTGTATCACTTGATACTTGCGACGTAATTTTCGGATGGACCGGGGATGTTTCGGTAGGGATGTATAAAGGAACCGTTGAAAAAGTTTTTGCAAGTTCTATAATGGAGTTTATAACTGGGCGACTTTTATCTATCGTAGAGGTAGAGCGCGTGGTAACAGCTAACTTGAGATTTGAGGCGGTGTATAGAGGTACTGAAGCCCATTGAAGTCCTGTAGTTATTGAAACACCCGGGATGGTCAGCGTCGGTGTTCCCTCGGTTGTGCTGGTGGGAGCCGATTGTACCAGTGTCCAAAATAGTACAGCTGAAAGAGATAGAATGAAAGTGAAGCAGTTCATTTCTATCTTCTGTTAAGAGGTCGTGGCGCCATGATTGTTAGCTATAAAGTACCTTCGTTTTCTTATATAAATAGATAGGGTAACTCTCTTGGGTTTGAGTTTAAACCACATCAAAAGAACACATACCTAATCATTAGTAATCTTAAATTTGTGATTTCTCCGTAGAACTTACCTATTTAATGAATGAATGAATGGAGGAAGTCAGGATGTTGCGCACCTGTAGAATTCGGGTTGGCAGAAATCAATCTAAATTGACTAGGACTTAGGATCCGATGGGTCTTGGACTTATTTTAAAGGCTGTAATTGCGATTGGATGTAGTATATACTTATCAATACAGATCAATATCCCGTTAGACTCTCTTCAGTGCAAGCCAGGAAAGGCACAGCAATCACCGTATGCAAACTACGTATACATATCACCCACATTGCATGGGATAGTTTCAGAACATACCTGGGTATATATGACATCAACTGGGAACTCAAGATATCGATATCAATATCGATATCGGCTGAGCCGTTAACTAGCATCCAAAACCGCTGCTATTCCATGAATCCATCGATCTTCGCCACAATAATATTCGCATTCGTAAGGCATCTAAGTTGGGGTCGGGTACCCGGGTGCCTAGTAGCTACAGATCACCTTTGCTGTGCCTACCTCACACTATAGCCAACCCTAACCAGCTAAGTGGTGAAAATATGACACAATCATGTTAGATCATGATGAGCATCCTCAAAGGATGCGATTTCAAAAGTACCTTGAGCCCTGAAGCGTTTTTCTTTCTTTTTCTGAATTTGTTCCTTACTTTCTCTTCTTTTTTTTCAAAGCCTCAGTATGTGATATACGGGGCGAGGTTATTCAAGGGTATACGATTCCATGGGTAACATTGTTTGAAACAACCATAATATTGTTTGTTAATCCCTACTCCAAAGGAGCTGCATACTTACCAGTTTATGTCGATGAACCTATCGAGAATTAATGTCCCGAGATGCGAGCTTCGAACTGGGGGCTCTTATTGAAACGCTATGATCAAACTACGTCAATGCATCTGTTATACTCTTAGATAGAACGTCTCATATATCTCCAATTGAAATAGAATTACCGCGTTCAATGTTTATCAAAAACGGAAAACATGCCTAGATGCCTATTTAACAAGGATTCTAGTGAATTCGTCTTATCAGATTATGGTTAACAAGTGAATTTCATTTGCTTTGAGTATTTAGTAAACCCGTTGGTAGTACTATAGTATACTAGCGTTTTGTCAAGATTTAAACCCGATTCTCTGGCACGGTGTCTATAAATCATGGCTCTGATTAAGCCTATAAGATTGTATTAATTGCCCCAGAGTACCGGTATACCTGGAAACGTAGCCTGTGAAAACTAATAGTTCACGCTGTGCATGTGCTGAGTGATACATGAATTTAGAACAAGTGGAATTTAGCCTAGCACTCAGCAGCCGACCAATATTACATGTATACACCGTACCGGTAGCAGGGTGTGTTTATAGCAGAGTCAATCGAATGTTAGAGTATAACAGCCACGTGGTTACGCGCGTTAGTATACAGTTTCTGAATTGTAAATGCACATGATCAAATAACATTACCTATCCACTAATAAAATAACGTATAACGTTAGGGTTTTGCTAGGCTTTTTCGATCTACTTGGGATTCCTGTGTCTTAAGACTTCGTTAAGACGCTTTACCGCTGTAAAGTTCTATTTAAGACTAAATTGACATGTACCTGATGGCCTCGAGTACTACAGGCCGATAATTGATAAGAAGTGGCTATGATGTGCGCGACTTACAAGCGATTGCTGTGAATTGCGCGACGATCCGATACACAGTAAATCCAAAAAAGAAACTACGGTCCGGTTTTATGTATATTTGCAACTGCCAACAATATATTTAAGGGAGAGTCCCTCGCCGGAGAGTCAGTTGATCTCTTCTGAGTGCTCACGACTACATTCCGAAATTTCGTTAATAAGAGTTCAGACACCCGGTACCCTAGCCTCGAGAAAAGTACCCAGAAACGTGGCATAGCTTCGCTACTCCTACGCACGGCTTCGCACCGCCTAAGTTCGACGACTGAAATAGCCCGCAATAAGTTGTTTCTGTTCAAACTCATTCTTGTCCAACCAGCTCTTTTTCGAGGCCCTCCTTTCGAGATTTGCACTCAGGATCATACAACGTCTCCATCCATCCTTTATTGCGATAAAGGAGTAAGGATCGGCAAAGCAATCTATCTCAAGACTCGGTCTTCTCGGTTCGAACCGTTACTTTCCCTGTTTCCGACGTTACTACCATTTACCATGATGCGAACACCTACCTCAAATGCGGAGCAGCAACCCGGTGACATTCTTTGGGATGAAATATTCTCTACCAATCCTCGTGGGTTCGAAGTTCTGAAAACCCCGCTTCCGGAATTATCCACCCACGAGTCACGCGATTTTTGTCTTGACCCTATTTACGAATACAAAGGGCTTGCAATAAAATGCGATGTGTCTTATCGAGAGATAGATATGGCAAAACTTGCAGGTGATTGCGGGATCAAAGTGCATGGCTACGTACTACGTGCGTACAAAGACTTTCCCGAGCTCCAGCTCTGCAGAGTTGGCCTTGTAATGGAGATCGGCCGCTCCCTGGCCGATTATATCAAAACAATTAGCGACAACGAACCTTAAAAACTCAGAGTTAAGAATGAGATGATTTCAGCCGTGCAACGACTGTATACAGAATACAAAATGGTTCACGGAGATATCAAGCCAGCAAATTTCCTCATTTGTCAAGACGGTAAAATACGTCTTTGCGACTTCGAAAGTGCATGCCCAGAGGATGAACCCGTTGGGCTATGGGGGCCGTTAATTGATGATTTGGGAGGTACGGCGTTCACTGTTCGCTATCAAAATAAACATCGAGAACAATATGTACCGCCCGCGAGAAATGATGATTGGTACGCTTTGGCAATATCTGTTTGGGAGTTGTACACGGGAAAAACACCATTTGAAAGTATCGCGGATACCGGGGAGTTGAGAGACCACCTGCGTACAGGTCAGACAGTGGATTTGGCGGAAGTGAAAGATAGTGAAACGAGGGAATGGATCCGAAAGATTCTACGGGAAGGGGGCGCTTTAGTGTAATTAGTGCTGGAGGCGAATTAGAGTCCCTGAACTGGCCTTCCCAGAACTTCAGCTTGGCTTCACGCCTATAAAGCTCCATTCCGGTCGCCGTATGGCGAACTTTCGGTTGACGAGCCTAAGATAAATTGACTCTCTTGGTAGACTGCATAAACATGTACTTAAGTATTTTTTATTGTGAGGTATGTACATGTATACATACCTAATCAACTATATAGACTCAAATTGATATATGCATATATTAGCCCCTGCTTCTGGATTTCGAAGCCTTGATAAGTATTTTTATGTCCTTTTAACGTATTTTGGCCGACAAAAGTGTTTGAAAAAACATGCTTGATTTTGGAGATAGCGGAAACGCAATCAATCAATATGCAATGGAGCCAGAAAAATCGGGGTTTGGTTGCTGGAGGTTAGTCGGATATTGACCCAGCCGGTAAACGGCCGTTCCTGGGCGACCAGGTTTCCAGGTTTTCTTCTGTGTTGCCTCGGCTCGCTTTGTGTTGTTCGTACAAACCTTCCTAATATGGTAATTCAAACAACCAAAAGTTTCCCTCGCATGGGTCTTGGCACAACTATTTAAACGCGTCCTTCCCAGCACCCTCTTCCTTCAAGCATACTTACCTTGTGAGAAGATCACGGGATCATGAAGCCGTGGCCTTTCATTCGTGAGTCCGCATTGCACAGCGCGGTACTTTCACAGTGAGTGAGTGTCTTCGGGCACTCACCTCGCGTTATTTTTGCTTTCACATCGAAGATGTCTATCTTCAAATATTTTTTCTTGATAACATAGACTTTGCTTCTATGTGTCGAGAAAAATTATTTAGGGTGTTCAGCTATAATACATGACTTATGCATGAATTCACACGAGGTGCTCATATAGCCATGGATAAGACGCGACTCCCAAGAAATCTGGGAACTGGGAACTTTGGGCTCAGCTGGCCACGCCCAAGGACTTGACTCTATTTCACTAGCTCTTCGGGAGCAGATAGTGGAAAAAGAATGCGCCAGCGATATGAGGAGTAGAGAAAACCGGAATACCGAACCTGCAAGGTACACTTGGAATCCTGAGAAACACGTCGATGTAAATATTGGCCACAATATGAAACCATAGTTACCTATATAGCTATCTGGCCCGGTGGGGAGATCTAGTATTGTAATGAGCTACAGAAGGCGCGCGAAACACACCGACGAAACAATTAGCAGAGTTGATTAAGCTCTTAACGACTGTCGGTTGCCTTATCGATGATGCGCGAGGATGCAAAAGATGACTCTCCTTGGCTTTCTCGTTATCATGTGAGGTTGCATCTTCATGCACGTCCGCCGGTCAAGCTTCAGTTAGCTAGAATTAAAGCAAACTAGCTAGCACAGTGATAAATATGACGGATAGGAAATTTCCATTAATTTCAACCTCCAAACCAACGATTGATTTAAGGTATATATACCTATGTGTCAATCCTGAGCTGGTTATCCATGAATGGCATCCCACAGAGCTGTAAGATACGACCACGATCTATTATGGACCTTAAAATACAACAACCAACGCACTTTTACTAGCTAACAACGTGCCTGGTCGGCCGTCGGTCAACTGCAGATCTCCCTCGTGGCAAGCATAGCAGCGTCGCTGTAAATATATTAAAAAAAAAAACTACGGCCGCGGAGTACTTTAGTCCGTGAATAATCGTTCAACCACTCCCAATCTTGTACTTTTCCTATATCATTATATCTGCGATAAGTCTCTAGTATTCTGACGGTGGTACTTTTGGCTTAACCTGCCACCATGTGGCCCTACCAATAAGGCGTAGCCGCGCTGGAAGTTGTACAATACATATCTGAGACTCCTTCCAAACTACAAGATAGGGCTTCTCGAGCGGCAGATCAAAGAGTTTTCGGAAGAGATTGAACGCATCGTAAAATTCAAGAGGGATTTCGGATCTTTAGTGGCGAGCTCGGGCTATGCCGCCGACCAAGAGACGTCACATTCGTTGGACTGGGGCCTGGTCAGGCTTCCGAGAACCGGCTGTGTACAAATAGGGTCAGTTAAAATCTTGATCCTTACTATCTACAACTACTATCCACATATTAATTTCAATATCGACAACAGGTTCAAGCACGCACAGGATCGAGTTTTTGGAAGCTCCTGGATATCGGCATTAAGATAATTTTCGATAGCGTGGCCGACCCAGTGGCCGGGGAGGGCGTCTTCAAACTCGGTAGAAACACTGGTGCAACATTTGGTATGGTAAACACCGTGAAGGATGGGGTGTATATCTTAGAGAACTGCCAGACGACGAAAGAATGGTGCGTCTGTATTGAGGATGGCCCGGCCGAATTTTCGCAACAAGGTGACTCCGGAAGCCTTGTATTTAATACAAGGTTCCAAGCCGTCGGAATGATAAAGTTAGATGTTCCGCTATATCGATACATAGAGACACGTTAGCAAAATCACCCTGAACCGCTGTGTTTCAGAACAGACGCTCCGTACGTCAGGATACGATGCGCCAGAAAGATTGACATATATGACACCAATCCGGCTCATACTATGAGACATACAGAAGAAAATTGGAGAGGAGCTCTTCGTGAGTGACCCATGAGGTGGATACATTAGAATGCGAATGGTAACGGCGGAGACTGCATGTTGTCGAGGGTAGTGTTTTAACGCGATTTAAACGCATTCTCTCTCTTCGTAAATCTGGTTGGCTCTGGTCTCGAGGCTAGGTTGGCTGCTTGGTAGCCACAGACAATCAACCAAGTATTGGGTTTCACAGTGCAACGTTATAACTAATGCTGGAAAACTGACGAACGTTAATTAAGAAACCGTCCGAAACACCAAGGAAGCACATGGTTATGTACTCTATAAGAAAATGGAAAATAGCTGGCTCCTCTTACACTGCCAATTGCGAAGGGCACTACATTATTCTCGTTGCACGTTTCAACCACATATCAATTCATATGATCAATATTAATAGTCTAAAGTTAGACGGAAAGGACATCTTCAGCACTCGACGTATGGCCATGGCTTTCCAGGTTGAGTGCCGCTTCAGAGACAGGAAATTGGGGCGAGATCTCGAGATCCTCCCACCGAATATTCTTATTGGCATATGAGTATTTCTCTATTGCGGAGCTCCGGAGATCCACCGACGGCAACCCATAATTTAATACCCCACAAAATCTACGAGAGCCTTGGTATCGAGGCCAACATGACACGTTCCCCGGACCGCCTCAGAGAAATGAACTAGATGAGGAGCCCGGTAGATCTCTAGTCCTTAAAATAGTGGTGGTGGCCGCGGCAATTAAAGCCACTAGCTAGATAAAGTCGAAAATGCAAACGACAATTTGTTGTTAACTTTTCACGCTGTATTCGCCATTCCGCAGGAAACCGTGCCATTCAAACGAACAAAAGAGATCCAGTGCGAGGAAGCGAGATCGGGGAATCGAGGTCGATGATCGCATTGTATTATATTTCCAGGAACTTGGTTTAGACTTTCTTTCTGCCTAGGGCGGTGGCAACTGGTTGAATGTACCAGACGGTGGAAGAAAAAACGGCATCTTGGCTAGCATATATATATATTGGTTATTTGACCTGTCGGTTTACTTTTCTTTCCAGCCATTAATTCATCTTTATCGGCTAGCTCCCTGATATCCGTTTGCAGCATGCATATACTAGATGTCCACAGGTTTCTAGACATCCGTTGGTGGCCCTAAGATTGGGTCATAATATATATGGTATTTGTATTTTCGATCAGTATATTAGTAGCGCCATATAGACGTATTAATCTAGAATATACAGGTATTCACGGTCATATCTAACCGGGTGTTTTCAAGGCTGTCAGTTTATAATTTAATCAACATTGGAAGACCCGATGAATCAGATAGCAGGTCGGTTTGTATAATTATGACCCTAATTACCCGAACCTAGTATGTCTAAATCTATGTATCAAATATATATTTGCGCACGCTCATGTCGAGCGCCTCATAAAAAATTGGGTATGAGATTTAGGTGCTAACTAGCTAGTTTAATTACGCCGCTAGCTACCTAATTAAATTTAGTTGATAAATAACTTGGGGTTAGTTAATTTTTTGCGTATGACCAGCCAAAGGATCAGGCCCACCCCTCTTTTACGCCTAGGGAGGAATCAGGTCCTTCTTCTAATTCTTTCTATTCTTCCTCTGACCCCGACCCTACTGGGGTATAGGAATGTTTGAGATAGTGTAGATTCCGATATTAATATGCTTATGTAAGCTTACCTTCTGAGATTGTAATTATATTGACGGACGATCCTTGTATAATATTTACAAACTAGATTACATAAGCATTACTTACTAAAGCACTTAGGTACTTGCTTAATTGCCTATAGACGCCTATCTAACGGTGAGTTTAGTCTATATGTATCGGTAGGAGTGCTTAATACGCATGTATGGCCACTCATTCTACTCTACTGTTCCAGGAGCTCTAGAACCCAAGTTATATTAATAACTCATGGCTGATCTCCCAAAATCATAATCTCCCTAACCACATGGGAGCTGTTGCTACCCAGATGTTTGCTCTTGCTATAGGAACAAAATTAGAAATATATAGCGATTGACTCTCTTCGCAAATTGATTAGAGCTTCCTTTTGAAGCTGGAGCGATGTTGGTATACTTGTGTTTGTATACAAAGATAGCGACAAGTATGTCCCAAAAATGATTGATCTACGACCACAGCCAGTGGACACGCTGCCTATTTAAACCCCCCCTCCTATTCCTTTCCCTCTTGGTTCTCCCTCCCTCTTTCATATTCCTAGAAACCCCAAAGTCTCTCTCCAAAACCTGATAGTCCTCGTACCACGCTCGTATAGCCCCAACGACCTCAGCGATTTAGCTAGACTGTAAGTATGATCTTTATTATCGTTATCTTCCCTTAACTAAGACCATCCTTGACCTTACCTTACCCAGAACCAAGCTTAAACTTAGTATCACAGTTATCGTCTTCTTTTATGCTAATACTGCGTCATAGTTCTCCGAATAACAAACAAACAAGCAAAATGCAGAACTTTCCAAGTCTCAGCGCTGGTGTTTCAACACCCTCACCGCTCACTGAAACCGAGGTCAACTTCAAAAAAGCCCTCCAAGATGCAATCAGTCAGAGAAGCGTGAGCTACAAAAGAGTTTTTGTAGTCACAGTCTATTTTGCGAGCGACGATACCGATGCCCAAACAGATTCCAAGGAGTTCGCAAAGACAATGAAGAGCCTGCTCGGTCTTCACGATACCGATATGATCGAAGTGGTATTTCCAGATGACGAAGAGGCTGAGATCTTCTGGAGCATGAAACATCTAGAACTTTTATCTCTTTCTCGCTCTTTCCAAGGCAGAAAATTATTTATCTTTCATTTTGCCGGCCACGGCTTTTTGAATCGATCAAAAGAGCTCATCCTATCAGGTACGCATACGGGAAACAGCCAGGAAATTCCTTGGGCGGACATATATAGGTTTTTCCTGAGGCCCCGATTCAAGGACGAGGCTTTTGGTGGAAGAGACGTTGCTTGTATATTGGACTGTTGCCATTCAGGGGCCTTCGTAAGGCCGACCGTGGCATCCGAAGGAACCGTTGAAGTTTTGGCAGCATCTGATTCGAGAGCTATTACAACCGGCCGGAAGAGTGAGAACGTAGAGGCAACTTTCACCCAGAGATTCCTTCTCGAAATGCGAACCTTGGTTGGGCGTGCCGACAAACCGCATATTACCCTTCCAGATGTTTTAAATGCCTTACAACAACGGAAAAGGGACCCTACGAAATCAATGCCTACATACGGAATGCTCTATGGTTCCACTCCGGTACTGTTCCCGGTAACTACACTCCAGCGACCGGAGCAAGCACCAACATCCTCCTCCTCCTCCCCGAGGCCACACACGTTAGCGACGTGGAGAAGGCCGCAGCATTCCGTTGGGTTGAAAGTCCACCTCCCATCCGGAATATCGGACGAATCAACTAGGACCATGGTAAAATGGCTCCTTCAGCTAAGAGATGATTTCAAAGTCGAGGTCACATCGGTCAATGACACCGCCTCAACTGTTGTCTTTCTGTCTGTCCCGTACAGCCAGTTGTACATATTTTGTCGGCTCGAAGCTGCAGGTGTGTGCCGGTTTGAACGTATCTGCGAGAATATCTTCTCAGAAAATCTTCTTGCATCGTTTCTAGAGCCTGGTTCTCCGGTTGGTCTTCCTGCCTTCCCCATAGCTGGATAGACTCCTGCTCTCGGACCGCAAGGCACGACTCCATCCACCGAAGGGCAACACGGAAAGCACCAAGGCAAATCTAAATTTGGTGCTACTACTATTATCAACAAAATAAACTCATTTACCATACGGAAGAAGGGGAAAAAGGCCCCTCCCCCGGTGGGCGAAAATGAAGACCCAGAAAGTTCCGCGATGAGCGTAACATCTGGATAGCCTGCAAGATCTCTCTTATTTCTCGCCACATTTTCAGCCTGGCTTTCGCAAACGTTTTTCTTCTTCTTTTTTTTTCGGAGGCTCGATCGGGAATACAAAAATAAATATTTGCTATTTACTCTTATACCTCCAAGTCTTGGGTAGTCCTGTACTTTAAAACGGCCAAGATGCTAGGGAACATCGATACATTGATAACTGGCTGGCAAATAGTTCAAGTGATTGTCTAATGGCATGAACATTTAGATAACTTAAGTCTCTGATAGACTAGTTCACTATTAGCTCGCCTTAACAACTTCATAGTCTCCACCATCATGTTTCTTACCATTCTTACAATATGAAAACTTTTATTACTAGCCCCACCAATAGGCTGTTTGTGAGATAAAAACAGATTAGAGATCCACTAGTACTTAGCTATCATCCACTAAATTAGGTGAGCCTCGTGTATACATGCAGGGCCCTTAGGTCCAAACTGGTGTCTACCCTAAGCCCAAGCGAAGACGGACCTCGTTGTCCTAACTATAAAAGCCCCAATCTAGACCCTCGTGACAACTAATATCATTGACGTATAAATAATTATTTTTACGGCGTTTCGACAAGTACAGTCTAGTCGCGAGGCCGGAGTAATCGTCGCCTCGATCAGCGACACCGCCTACTACGCCGGTGGCACGCTAAGCTGTGATCCACGAATACTCACGTGGTCGCGAGATTTTCTAAGCGCTAGTATTCCGTATCGAAGCCTCCAATAGCTAGTCTCCAACCCAGGCCAGGAATTAGCTATTTTATGGCGCCGCAGCATCGATAGATTTCACGGACTGATCTAGAATACGATTTTGTCAGTCTGTCTCATGGATCTGCACTCTAGTTAAAAGGTATTGGTGTGGTAAAAGGTTCCGAGCGTGAGATTTTACCTACGCAAAATTCACGAAAAGAGTGAGAATCAAGTCACGTCAATGTTATACAGGCGTCTAAATATTGGGAAAGAGGAGGCTATATATTTACACGTCTGATATACTACTTATTCCTAAAGAGAAGGGTCAAAATGGCATCTTCTAAGAAGTCGTATAGTTCTTAGAGGTCATTGGCAAGCCTGGCATGCGTTAGAACAGACGAGAATCGACTGTTGAAACTAGCTGTGTTTACTAAAATTTGACTTTTTGGCGCTTCAGGACAAATCAGTTCAAGTACAAATGGCATTTGGGAACGGAAAATAGGAATTGAATTCAAGATACTTTTCCACACTTCCCAAATCCCTGGTTGCGAGACGGAGGCTACGATAGCCCTTAGGGACGGTGAAATCACTTGTCTTGAAGCGGGTTATCTCTTTTTCCGGGCATCTACTTCTGCATGCTGCAGCTGTATTGAAAACTCCCACCGAACACTATCTACCTAAGTAAGTATATTTACTTCGGGCTTTACTCCACCCTCTACTGCCTCCCTGATAAGCGTCCGTTTTATTGGTCAAAAGTTCGGATTGGCCGCTTACTGTATCCAAAAAACTCCAGTAGGGGCTGAGGATCCACCTGATAGGAGAACTATACCCGTTTAGGCGCTTAAAACAGCCCAAGCTGTAACCATTAAAGACATTTGAAGGAAGCCAAATTTGTTATTGAATCAATAAATTGAACAGAAGTGTTATACCTCTATTTATTAGAAGGAACCGCTTGGCTAGAATTCACTTCACTAACGTTTTACGATTCGTAAGTGGGGTCTTTGGCTTCTCCAACCAGCAGAATCGCTCTATGCAGAGCATGAATCTTAATTACAGTACAGCCTTTAAAAGGAATAGTCCCCGTTCTGTTAGATGCATACCATCTATACCTCAAACAGAGTTCGGCAGACCTCATAAATGTATCAGACCTGCATCTGGAGGTAAAGCCGAAATGCCCCATTAATAACGTATCTAAATTTACGAAGCCAAAACATGTCGAATGAATTTTGATTAGAAAAGAAATCGCTAAATTTTCCAGTGTTGAATTCTTCTTTTTTACGATCGTCGCTACCGTCTGATCCGAATTTCGGGAGTCCGGAGTATTAGATAGAACTCCCAGCTTACCAGAACCCTCCAAAATAAGACTAGAAGCAAGAAATGTTACACTGTAAAATTCAAAAATATATAAAGGCTTAATTCGGGTATATTCATTGTTGTAAAGCCGTGATCAGTACTGGAAGGATGTTAAGGCTACCGGTTCCGCGAAGGATATAGAGATACATATACAGGATCAAAACCAGTCCTGGACATGGAACGAGAATACATGTGATAGCCTCCTGCACAAAATATGGCTTCCTTATGTTTTTCGAAATCGATTACCGCCTGGGTCCAAATATCCAATACGATCCCCATAGTAAGTTCGTGACCGGCTGCTAACTTATCTACTAAAACATCCTTGATAACAGCACTTTGCAATTTCCTCATCCTTACCACAAATTCCTCGATGGGGCCGGTTACAAAGCGTTCCGCCTTAAATACATAATCTTCCGACTCCTTCACCCGGTGCATCAATTTTTTGATGCAGTCTTCCATAAACTTCTTTTCAGTAATATCTAGTTTCCCTTCTTCGAAATCTGCGTAAACCCCGGCAGTTTCGTTTATGGAGTCTTCTAGATATCCTTGTAGTTGCTCGCGACACTGGTTTCCAATACCCATCCCACTGGTTTCCAAGCGATATAACTGTTCCGGCAAGTCGCCCGCAATGTTCGTGAGCACAAGTTTTGAAAACTCCGTCATAAATCCATTTTCGTCTGGCGGTGGATGGCCTTCTTTAAACCTTTTGATGTAAGTATTGATAACCGCGATCTTACATTTGCGTAGTTCTCTGAGGACTAATTCCAAGCCTTCTTGTAGAATCTTACCGGCTTGCTCGCTTAGTGCCGACCGCTTCGTGTAGGGATCAATCATAGGGTTTCTTCGAACGAAACTCTGGTACATATTGAGAGTCTTATCACGGCCGTTGAAAATAAACTTTTTCAGACTGACAACGGCTACGTCTTCCAGCCGAAAGTTTTTAATGGGCAATTCGTCGGCAAGGTAAGGAAAGTCTTCCAAATGAGGATGTCGTGACGCGTCGGAGGTGCTTAGCTCCAAAGTTTCCAGACCTACTAATGGACAGACTGCCAACTTTCTCCACCACGCGGAAGATACTAAGCCAGTCACAACCAGCTTCTTGAGACTCCGTGGCGGTATAAGACAAAAAGATGGATGGAAGAAGCATCCGGAGATCACCAAGACTCTAAGGCGCTCAAGACCTTCAAACACATCTTGAAAGATCTTGAGTTCGTCAGATATCATGTTGAATTCAATAACGTTATCTCCCTCTATACTATAGCCGTTATTCCATTTGAATTCCGTAAGTTTGGGTGTTTGACGTAAGACTTCTGCACAGCCCAAGATGGTAGCCTTCGCGCAGGGCTCGGATCTAACCTCGAGGTCGAAGTCAACCCCGAAGCTGGGTGGATTGTAGTGCAGCTCCAGGTAGGTAATTTTATGCAAATCTGCGAGCTTCGCGAGGGCGACAGTAGCATGTAAGCGAACACTGAAATCTACCAGCGACCTAGATTCGGAATATCTTTTGAAGTGCTGAAGTTGCTTTCCCGCGTCTTTGAAAGAAATTTCGGAATGTTAACTCTGCGTCTTTAGCTTTAAGTTAATATCAAACTACACCACGATATTGTACTTACTCGACCCATAGAGATGTAATTCTATAACACCTGGCTGCAAGCTTCCACTTTCCAGGAGTCTCAGCAAAGCACGAGATGCTAGGGAATCCCAGTTGAGACAATTACCAACGTCTAACTTCTTGGTGTACTGGATTCCAGAAGAACTGGCTCCATATTTCGTTACGAACTTGCAAAACTCCTTTTCAGATTTACGATCTGGCCCGGGATATTGTTCCTCGGGAAATAGTTTTAGGTTTTTCCACAAGGAATCAAGGGAAGCAGGGAGCAGCGCTTTGCATGTCAGCGCTAACCTTAAGATATCAGGTTTCGGAAGATATTGGAAGATATAGTTGAGAATTTCCGGAGTCGCAATGAGATTATTGAGAGACGCCATTTGGTGATTCCTGTCTCTGTGTCCGATTGGGTCAATTGCGTAGCTTTAGTTAAGCTTTTCGACGGACCTTGAGCTGACGGAGAGCTAACGGTATATATTATCTTGGGCGTACCAGATATCGTGACTTACACCGAGCTCCGCGCGTGCGGTAGTCCCATATCGTGCTCCAATATACGAAAAGTGCCTTTCGACTCATTCAATGCGCTCCTCCGTGAGTGGAAACCATAATTGGCCGCGCGCATACCGACGCCAAAACTTTGAAAGGGAGTCAAGACCGTGTTGGTGCCAAGGCTGCATGGGACAGGGATATGAACATGCAACAATCCACAACACAGGATAGGATCATGAAATTCTAGTCCCTTTCGAATTCTGGCTCCAATAGTGATATATTAGAGGTCTAACCTCTTTGAAGTAAAAGTACCCTTTGAGTACTTAGTTAATATCGGTCCAATCCAGCTTCTTAATTCATATGCCAGCGCGCGATAGGGATTGTGTCCGCGGACACACACATTCTACGTTTTTACAATATTACTATTTTTCCGCTGTTTCGCATCACACGTCGCGTCTGCCTTTTCGGTAGTTCTTGGCCAATACCCAATCGCCGGAGCCATTTATTCTTATACCTGGTTTTATGAGTAATGGAAGAAGACAAAATTTAGTTTTCAGAGTCGGTATAAGAGTACTTCGAATGTTCATTAACATATCGGCGCTTTTTATCCTGTGCTAAAACGTAAATCCACTAAATACTAGTCGACCCTAGGGAGAGAGTCACACTACAATACGCAATTAAATTTTATTATCGGTGTGTATGCCACCAAAGCCAACGTCCTGAGCTTCTCCTCCATACTTTGAGGTCTCTACAGCTGCTGGAACTGGGGCCTTCCCTCTTCGTCGACTGAATAAATAGACGGCGTAGATAAGCCCTATTAGAACCGGGACTGTAACACCTACGGCTATGCCGGCCTTTGCCCCTGTCGACAACCCCTTCTTGTTTGAATTGTTGGGAGTTTTAGAATCACCTTCAGTGCCTCCAGGCGGTAGAGGTTTTGAGGGTACCGGATTAGATGATGTAGAGCTAGTTTTCAATCCCGTGCTAGTTGATAATTCCGATTCGGTTCTTGGTGCAGTGCTTGTCTCTGAAGTAGAACTAATTTTTGAACCGGTTTCTGATGGGATCTCTCGATCACTTCCGCTCCTGACTGTTGCTGAGCTGGAAGATGTAGATGTTGTAGTGCTCGTTTCCGCGGGGGTAGTTCCGGGGAGTCCCGCCTCGGTAACAACGACTATCGCGCTCGCTCCATAATACGATTCAAAGGTTTCTGACCCTGTTACCAGTCTTATGAAGGAGCCATCACAGCTGCCAAATACAGGAGTATATTCGTACTCTGTAACTGGATCAACAACACTAGTGAAATTTGGTTAGCAAAAGGCTGTAACAGCGGCTTCCAGCTAGAGTCTAAGACAGCAAAGTCTGTCCAAGGATTCCTCGTTTTATTCAACATCACTCAAGCCCGTTATTTCTAGGGAGGGGTAGTACCTAGGACAACAAACGTCTCCTCGCTTCTCAGATAACTCGTAGGTGAAACCAATGTACCGTCGACCAGAGAACGTTATTGTCTCATGCTTTGTGTAGCCAGGGGGACAACCGCTCGCCGGACTATAGAACCCACGACCGAAATTTCTAGGGCAGCAGCTTGTTCTGCTAGAATAACAACCCTGTTGAAAAGAGGTCGAGTAGAGAATTCGCGTTCGGGTGTCGCCAAATTGAAGAAACCCTGAAGTTCGCGCGGAAAACAAAGAACAGTCTGGCGGCGGAGTAAAAGGATAGAGGGTACCCAGCTCAGCCAAAGTTTCTGTCCATTGTCCGGCCACAAGGGATAGACTAAAAGCTAGAATGACCGAGAATAGCGATACCATCGTGTCGGCAACAACACTGCGCATTGTTGTAAAATGAACTCTTAAGATCGCCTAAATCTTCTTAGTGTTATACGTTGTAACCAAAGCCTGAATGTGGGATACTATGTTCAAAAAGATATTGTAATCAATAGGAATTACCTAGGTTACCAAGAGCCAAAAGAAAGCTGATATAATATCTTACGTTGCGCCAGTCAAAAGTGTATGCGAGGCTCGAGGAAATGGAGAAGTTCCTTGGCGTTATACAATGTTACACAAGCAAGGATATAGATGCCTTCTCATTGGTTCCGGCTATAAACGTTATGACGCTACAAGGGCCCGAAAGAGTAATCCTGGTAGCCTGTTGGCCAAACCTCTACCTGCATTTTTCAACATTGCATTGTAGCTGTCAGTATTGCATATCGCGCCCCCACGAATTAATTCACAGTGACAGGTAGTGAAGAAATTGGCTCTGCGCGCTAGAACTGGCCCTGTCATAAATTTGACGTAGATTATTAATACAAATTGTATCTCAGCACCTAAATATGTTGGCAAGGTACGCTATGATCCTCTGTGCCGTCTGTGCAGCTGCCTGCATGATAGAATGTGATAGTCAAACCTAATTGGACGCGGTTGGCACAAGAAAATCGAACGCATAAAATGAAGAGATAAGACCTGGCAATAAATGCAGGCCTTGGCTAAGGTTCTGCCTGGAACTAATGCTGCCTGACGCAGGATCGTACTATCACTTTCGATCTTCCAGGTCCTACATGCGTCATAATGAGAATTCTAGAAGCATTGATATCGATCGGGCCGCGGGGTCAATGCTTTGTACTACATTCCATTTTCCCGCTATCTCAGTCGCTATAAAACCGTGCATTCTACATGGTATACCCTACATGGCAAACAAAACCGCTACCATCTGAGGGTTATAATATTGTAGCCTCACTTTTTCGTTGGCACATGGGAAGGGCGCACAGACTTGCTCTTCGGCCACCTTCGGTAACATCGGAACTTTCCTTTTATTCTATTTGTTTTTTTAGATGTTATTTTCTTTTCTTCTCCGCAAGTGAAAATTTGTTAGCATGCTACAGTTAACTGAAGTCGATGCGTTAACGCGTTGATGCACCTTTATAACACTAGATGTAATCCTAAACTAAAGCAAACAAGTAATCTCGTCTCAGATCCAGCAAATAGCTAGTGGTAGCAATAGTTTGATATTCTAGAATGGCACGTATTTACACATATCCGTCGACTCTTCAGCTAGCCTCAGCTATATTCTAAATATCCTCCCATGTGTGGTCACCATACTCCCAACCAGGCTCAGTATTCAAGAGATCAGGATTACGGCCTCTCTGCCTTTCAGTAGTCCAGGACCCTGACAACGAATACACCACCTTCCCGTTTTTAATCTCTATTTTTCCAACTATATTGTCCTTGATTTCACCGAATACGGTTCTATCGCGCCTGCGATCCTGTTTCGTTCGAATTACTAAGCGCCGATGCTGGAAAACATCCGCGATTATTGCAGCTATTAAGCCATAGGCCTTTAATGACCGAGAGTCGTCTTCATATATGCTAGTTTTAGATAGCCATGTATGCTGTGGTAACCCAAGGTGCCTACGCCTTTCGATAAGAGTAGTCCTGAAGGCGCTGAATGCTTCAAAATCATCTCTATAATCTGTGAAGAACCATATTCTTTCGAGGTCGAGGTATTTGTACGTCTGGCGGACAGTACTGTAAGATAAATTTCCAGCCTGAAAATCAACAAGACGCGGGAGCTCAGCAAATGCTGTGAAAACATGACCCCAACGGAGATCTATGGGAGTAATGTCTCCAGCCCAACTGTGCATGTTGGTGATGTCACACCCATAGATATGTAATTTTGAGCAAGTCTCTAGTGTTAGTAGGAAAAACACTACTGATTCGTCAAACTTCTCTATCCCTTCGAGAACGAGCGACTTGAGGTTCTGCGGATTTGATAGTTGGAATTCGGGAGGATAGGCTGCGCCATAGGAGTATGGTGACTTTATCGAAAGATGTTCCATAGTCTCGGGGAGCCATTCCGTTATGTGTTTCATATTCCGGCCGGAAACGGATTTGCCCCGAACGTTTACCTCCTTTATCTTCTCCAAATAGGGACGTTGCGAGCACGTGTATGTGCTAGGCCCAGCGTAAGAGACTACATCTTTGATCGTTTCAAATCCCCGCCACAAATATGCTGCACTGTCGGCGTTTTGAGCATGTATATGCAACTTTCGTAGTTGGGTGGCGGGAAATGATCGCGTGGCGAGCGAAAAGGCTTTTAAGAATAGCTCATTGACATCCCCTACATTGTCTTCCGTCTCCCTTGTTGGCTCGAGTGTCCGAATTGTAAGTTCCGTGACCAAACCAGGTAGATTCGAAAATAGAGATGTGATTTCATTGATAAATATTTTAACCCATCGAGAGCTGTTCTCAACGTTGAATATTCTTTGCGTTTCAGATTCCTCTTTTGGCGCTTCTTAACTCCCCAAATTCCAATGGATTGCATTATAAGAATGTATTTCGTTCTATGTAGGGCTCGAAGCATGGGTAGGAGTAAATACCATTGAATAGACGGCATCGGCTTTTAGGAAATGAGCAATCCTTAGGAAGCAGCGACATTGGCGAAATAACGACATGTCTGGTATACCGAGCGAAAGGATCTCGCTCGGTTCCCACGAGCTTTCGGGTAATCAGCTGGGTATGCTCCAAACTTCCGCATATATATACCGTCGAAAACGCAAAGGCTGTAGCGACGGCCTCAAATCTCCGACAAAGAAGTCTCAAATCGTAAAAGCTGGCTTGGTTACGGTCTTTTATCATTCTTAGATATTTAATCCCGGGTCTCGGCTCAATTTGTTCTGTAGATTCTGCGATTTCATTGGCAGAGCCGAATCGATTTGGGGTGTCACTTTGCACAAGATTGTCCCATGTGTAGATTTTCCGTTGCTCGTTGTACAGGTAAGAGAGAATCTGGAGTTAGTTAGCTCTCACGGCTCGCTAATAGCCCTGTAGTTGGAGGTAACTATTTGGAGGGTTGGCTCTTGGGATACCTCTTCCAAAATCTCATTTGGGCACGTAAGCAAGCTCATCTTATTGCGAGCCCGGACTAATAATCCCACTTATGTAGAATTACAAGATGCTAAACTTAAGAGAGGAACACTGCTTAGATCGTAGTCCAGCTAGAAGGTTGGTTTAAGGGAAGCCGCCGAAGCGCCAAGGCTTATCTAGTAGTTATACCTCAAATCAAACCGACAAACTATTGTTTCTTCTGGGCGCGCCTTCACGGATACGTACGAGATTGCAGGAAAACTTTCTGATCGATAGAAGGTTATGAAACCGGAACGCTGGCGCTGGCGACTTTGAGTTATGTACACAGTTATGGCCACCCTAGATGGTACCGAAGCCTCCAGCTCGCTCCGCTGAATACCAAAGCGGGGCTTCGGCTACACTTGCCATATTGGTGTAATGAGCTGCCTTGACTTTATGAGTCAGATCATATATCATATCATTCGTATTTAATATTTCCTCTAATCCTGTATGCACTGAGGCTCTACTACTTTGTTCCAATGAATATCCTAAATGCATATAAATGCTTTGCCAATTATTATTCGTAATGCTCCAAATTATGATCTAACATACCATTGTAAGTCTGAATTGATGTTTTACAAAAGCGCAATATGCCAATGATTATCGTTTCCCGAGTGCGAAGTTTGGCCTGCTCAAACTGGACATTAAGACTAGATTTAAACTCTATATGGCGGTAAATATCAAATATCAGAAACTCTAAAGTGAGGAGGCTTATAAGAACTGTTCAAATATTTATGTATTTAGAAAGCCTACATAAAGCTCCTGACTTGATTGCTCTCCTAACAAAAGGTGGCCTCGTTCTCACGACTAAGGGTAGGAGAACTTATAGTTAGATTCATATATATATATGTGCAAAATAGTTCTGAATTTGCGAAATCTGTGAATATATGTCAAATGCTAAATCCAATTTGATGCAGGTGTTTTGAGATGCTAATTATATAAACTCTTTCCCCATTGGGTCTAAGTGAGTTTTCCCAACTAATTAAATGGTTTATTCTAATCTAATTTAACCCATCGTGTGATTCTAGCTTCATTTTGCGCGACCACCCGGGCTATTTGGATAAGCAACAATCCATAAAGTTGTTGCTGTTCTTTCTTAAATGTATGTTCTATGAATCTACGTACTACCGCCTCACAGTATTCTTTCCTTGGCAATAAATAGAGCTGCGTATCCCCCGGATCTTTAATCGTTATTATAAGATTCCAGTGAGGTACTCCAAGTCCCCAAATGTGCAACGACTTGAATAACCTGTTGAAATTCTCAAAAGTCCTTGCATTTAACCGGAGGGTTTCCACTATTTCCGAGTTCAGAATGAAAGCCTGTTCAGGTTTTAAAAACAGTTCTCTGAATAGAACTTCCTCGCGCTTCAGCCTTGCTGTAAGTCCAACGAAGTTCAGGGTCAAGGGACATATCATAGGCTCATCGAACATGTACGTAATAATGTTCTGGATGGCACAATCTATTATTCCCATACTTGAATAACGTATATAGGGCTTGGAAAAGTTATCCTATACGACAGGAACAAAGTTAGTAGCCATATATTTACCAAGCAATTCTTAACTACTATTTTAGGAGCTCTGGGAACATACGACTAGATTCATGGTGTAGCAGAAATTAATTTTGTGTTGCAGATATTCAAGAAGAAGGCTGAAATTCGGAATTCTATTAATATATGAACAGAGTGAAGCGGCACGGTGGGGCTTCCGCGAATAAAATATTTCAAAGAGGGATCCGCGCTAGCCGATTAAACCCTTCTAACGGCTCTTGAGCGAAAAATAGTTGTATTTGGGCCGAACAACAGACGCCTCAAATATTTACCACGTGGAAACCTAGCTCGTTAATATTACAATATGGAAGAATATAGTTATTCATTTATTGTACAGCTGTGTCTTATGGTGCTATATATCTCCCTCCGTTTCAATTATAGTGAAGCCGCCTCAAATTTTGGAATTTGCATCGATATAGCTCCTACCTATGATTGATGTAAGAGGTTCACAGCATGAAGTTTCGAACCTGGCCTGTATTCGTCCTCGTCGTTATATATTCCGATATCGATGCTCCCCGCGGCTCGTAAGCCACAGCCAGATGGTCTCCGCCGTAGGCTCCAAATAAGACTGTCTTGATACCCTTATTCCTATTGAAAACGAAGAAATTCGTATAGATGTATTTGGCATAAGTACCGGCGCGAGTTGGTTACCCCATATAACCTCTTGAGTAGTCTTCCTATTCTACAAGATAACCTATTCGGTACAATTCTCGATCGTGCGCAACCATCGCATCTATCCAGATACTTAACGCTTCCACAATCCCGATTTTCTCTCCCGCCACCAACCTTTCCGCAATAGCATCAGTGATTCTTCGTTTGAAAGTCTTGAATTTCTTTTGAAAACTTTCAACCTCATCGAATACAAAAAACGCTGCACTCTGCGAGTTATTTAGTGATTCTCTGACCAGTGTTCTGAGTCTAGTCGCACAGTCACTGAAAAATTGAGAACCATTGAAATCTGCTTGACTCCCCTCAAGCATTTCTGTATGAATTCCAGTCGTATAATTTAAGGATTTTTCAACGCAGCCCTGCAGTACCGCGCGGCACCACTCTCTAATCTCTAAGGGCGGCTCCAGGTTGGTCCCTCGCTGTGGGGCCAATTGAGTATCAATTGCTGCGCGTTTAATAACCAACTCACCAAACTCAGCCGAGAATCTCACCGCCCCCCAGTTTCCATATTGGTTTATTGCCCTCAATCTATATCTTTCTTCGGCGGCTCTCTTGCATTCATCTAATAGAGACCCGAAAAAAAGCGTTGAGCATTGCTCTATAATTTCTTTTGCGTCCGCAATTTTCGATACTTCGTTTGCGCTTCGTTGGGGATGCGGGATTGCACGAAGCAAATCATCCATTATATCAGAAGGACCATCATCGACCTCGCAAACAACCGTTCTTAGACCACGAGATGTGACATTGTGTAGTTGAAAACCTGGGTATGGTAGACAATCTGGCTTCGGAGACCAGTTAAGACTAATGTTCGTAAGTTGCCATTCAGCGCCGCTGGGTTTCATTCTCAAAGTTAAGCTCGTTAGTTTCGGCAAAGGACATCCAGAAAAAGCTTTCCACCATTCTCTAGATACAATGCCTTCCACTTTTAGCTCTCGGATGCTATGAGGCGGGACTATAAAGACAGTTGGGTGAAGAAAGAACCCGTAAAATCGGAAACTTATAAGGTATTTAAGCCGTTTGAATGCGTCTTGGAGACATTGTACTAATCGACGTGGGTCTGAATGCAGAGGGCGACCCATCAACCTAAGATGAATCTTCGGCAGGACCCACCCAAAGTGCTTCAGATTAACGATCTGGTCTAGTACTATTGCTAAATCTTTGGCGGTTTTCCCTATGAAGGCGTCGTACTGGGGCCCAGCCTCATCAATTTCATGTGGAACGAAAGGAGCTTGAACTGTGAGATGAGAAACTTTTGGTAGATCGACAAATTCCGTCAACGGAAGTGTTGAGACTAAAATGATGCTGAAATCAACCTGCAACCTTGTCTCAGAGTACGCCTTAAGTCGGAGAAGTGGAATTTGGGCATCTTTTTGTTATAATGTCGGTTTCAAAGTGTCAGCTTTGCTCCCAGAACAAGTTCTCTCTTGGGACCTTGTTGTACTACTACTCATATCCGTGTCTAAACTTCACTTACTCGGATGATCTACAATAAGTTCGATACGATTCGGACGGATTTTTTCACTTTCCAGTAACCCCAACAAAACCGAGGCCTCGGGAGAATCGGCATTCAAGTAGCGACCAACGTTCAAAAATTTGACATACTGAAGCCAAGAAGCATTCATCCAGTATTTTTCGATGACATTGCAAAGGCTTTCCCCAAACTCGCGTTCAGAGCCTGGTCTTCGGATTGGACTTTCGCAGGTGACCTCCAGGGTTTGCCATATAGAGCGGAGACAAGCCGGAAGAAGGGCTTTACAGGTCAATGCTACTGCCCATACATCGTGTTTCTCGAGGTATTGAAGAACGTTGTCAAGGGCTTCGGGCGTAATGGCGAGCGCGATAGTCGGTGTCATTTTTGATAAGTGGCAAGCAATTGAAGATTTTTGTGTATCTGGATATATAGTGCTAGGTGTGTAAGCAAATGCATGTGAAGAATACGAGCTTGCCGATATATATATCATCTCCGCGCGTTAGTCACACGTTGTTCAGTACAGATTCAGATTATTTGGTCATTGATGTATGCGTATACAGCAAACATATTGTCCGACTCAGAGCTTAGCTGTCATCCGTCCGTCGTAAAACGGAAATTTTGGCTGGATTGTCGGCATGCCGCAAAGTCACCAGGGGCTATCACAATCGGCTGTATCCCACTTGCCGGCTCTGTCGCTTGGCGTACTTGGCGACTATAGATCGGAAAATCAACTAACTACCTATTGAGTACTTAAAGCTTTATCTTGAATGCCCGAATTGTCACCGAATCCCCATTAAAATTAATACCTCACATGATGAACTGCCGTGTTGCATGCACTTAATTGAATAAACATGACTTCGTAATCGTTCAAGAACAGAGCAGAGACGCCTATAATATAATAACCTTTACGCCACAAATTACATAATCAATAAACCATCGAAGTCGTATCTCGCTCCAACATCCCAGGTAGCCAAGTCGATACTTTGCAAGTGTACAGCTTGTCGAGAAACCTCAAGATTGAATAGAGGCCGGTCGGGGTTCGACTATCGCCGATACCAAACGGGCCTAGCACTCTACGAGAATGTTCTGCACTCGGAGGGTTCCTTGGATCAACGAAGATGACACTGAACGACCACATAAAAGAAACTACTTGTAACGCAAACACATGGTCAATTTTGGCGCTCTGTTCGGTTGCCCCGTCGCCAGAGCTAAGTTTCCGGTGCGCTGTAGGATAGATGGTTGGTGACGATGATTCGGCGGATAGAGGCTCTCCGGCGCTCACATCCGAAAATTTCGGCAAACCGAAACGGCGCCAAGATTCGAGCATCGCACTGCCGCATAGAGTCGACTGAAATTCCGCGCCTACATTGCTGCCGTCTTGAGACTTACACTCAATGGTTATGAAGGGCGATTTTGCCGTATTGATGAAGGGCGTGGGATATGTCCCAAACTTTTCGGAGAGTTTATTTGAGATATCCACAAGTTTCTTGCTTCGCAGGTCGAAATTTACTGTGAGGTCCGCGCGTGCCGTGAGAACTTCTTCTCTGACTGACGTTACCGACCGCTAGGTTTTTAACTTCTTTGACGGCGATCTAGAGCGATTCTGGGTTGAAACATTCCTAACAACTGGGAACAAGCTCTAATCAACATGCACGGATGTTCTAAGCAACGAATTAGCCTGGTTCTTGAAAGATGGTTTATTGCCTATTCACTTGCGCTACTTACACGATAGCTGCGGACACGGGATGGAATTGTTTCGCGAATCCGGCGACATTTTCTAATATCCGTGCAGTAGTAGAAACCCATGCCATCTCTTCGGTCATTTCTGAGTGGAGCTTTTCAACAACAGTGCTTATTTCTACAACAAACTCGGCTTCTTGAGAATGCCGGCGGGGATTACTACACTCTCGCCCCGGAGTTTTGGACTTGGGCCAAGGCTCGTAAGGCCATTGTTCCCGAACCATATCCTACAAGTCAAATTAGCTCGGTCTATTATTCGTTTCCCCCCTCCTTCCCCTCAGAAAAAAAAAAGGGGGGGAGGGGGTGACAAGATACGTACCTCGACACAGCTGCAGACCATACTATCTAGGCATGGCGCCCCACCAAGATAGCTGACCAAGCGCTAGAGACTGGCAGCCACCCAATCTTCTGGGGTTTCATCTGCGCTTAACCCGCCCCGCCCTGACGCGCTTAAAAAGTCGAATCTCGGGAAGCTTTGATCGAGCAATTCCCTCTTCTGAAGTTTCGAACTAACCGTAGACGTCAAGTTTTTTGAAGGACTAGAAGAACGTGAGGGGATCTGCGCGACGTCTGTCTCCGAGATGCTGTCTTCGGGATATAATGGCGCCCTGCCCAAGCCGCTTAATGTAAGCGGGCCCGGGTGTAGCGGTTGGTTTTCTTGTTGCTTGCTCTTAGCCTCTAAGAGTGAATCGTCATCGCGGTCTGACATTGCAGCATCAGATCCTTTTCGCTTGCGAGGACTATCAAACGGGATTTCTCTATCCTCTAATGAAGAGCCCCTTCCCAAAGACCGTGGCTCGCAGGGTTCGGGAAGTTGGGGATCTGTTACCCCACTCATCCACTCCATTACTTGCAGGGTATCCATTCTTTCCTGAGTACGCGCCGTCTTGTTTCTAGACTATAGCTACGTCTATGCATACAGACGTAGCTTAGCTGTACTGTGTAGCATGCATAACTCTTGTATTAGTTAAAACGCTTCGGCGCACCACTAATTAGAGATATATACACGTGAAACCAGCAGACGTCCTGAGGTCAACCAATTATGACACAACACGTTAAAACATCACAACTGCCGCCCGACCCATGCCAGCAGTCTCGCCCGACGACCCCGCACGCGTACACTTTCTTGCAATAAAGAACTTTGCCAGGGTTGTGATTGTTTTTTGATTGAACTTTTTTATCGTACACCGTGTTAAAATTTTGCAGGTGTATCACTATATATGAATACTATCGAAAAAAGGGTCCTCTGTAGCCTGATTAAGAAGCTTCTTTAGCTATAGCCCTGACCTAGAATTCCGGCGCTGTATGTAAGTACACGAATAACATCGGTGCATCCGGCTGCGTTGCTCTAGGCATTTTATTTTTGTTCCTTCGCCTCCCTGAATGTATAAAATACTAAAGTCCCTTCTATCAGCAAAAGAAGAAAAACTTGAAGGCGATTCTCGTTTATTCATTCGTTTGGGAAAACTTCCAGCCAAGGGGTCCATTGTGACTCATTCACGTATGTACCTGGGCGTGTCCACTAAGTCTCGAGATTTTTAGCAGCCAGAACCAGGTTAGACACTCTCTATCCGAATCTATAGATCCACTATACTCTCCACAATCGTATTTTCTTACCACAATCGCCTCCCGAAATTAAAAAAAAAGAGAAAGATGAATGCATTACCTATCGAAATTCTCATACAAATTTTCGAAACCCTTCCCTCCGACGACCTCGCTCGAGTAAAGCGCGCCTGCAAGTTATTCAAAGAAGTTGGGCAAAAAGTCAAATTGAATGTCAGACTATTCATCGATGCTCCAAACTACCCAACATGGAAACTCACCCGTTTAACCCTCGCGAACCCCGCTTTCGGTAAAAGAATCGTCAAGATGTCCGTTCACTATCGTCGACGACACCCGAATCGGAAAAAGTCTCTAACAAAATACTGGACCTGGAACCCCGAGGAAGAAATACAGATCAAGGACATCTGTAGAACCTGGGGTTTGACGTCCGCTACGGAAGCTGCGATCCTGGGAGGTGTGAATTCAGAATCACTCCTTCCGTTTCTGTTTTGCCTGACACCAAACGTCAGAATACTCAAAGTAGATGGCAAGGACGACTTTAATAAGATTTTCTCAGAAGAGGACGACAAAATAGACCGCAGGGCTGTAAGAGCCCTCAATACATGCCTCCGCGAAGATGAACGTTGGCACCCTCCAAATATTCAGAAATTGAAAGAATTCTACAATCGACCGGGTAGAGTTTTTACGCCGACTGATAGAACTCCAAAGGACAGTTTCCTTGATGAGATAAAATTCATATTTAGGTGTCTCGCCTCGAAACATATCGCTCAATATAATAGGTATGGTTACCCTGGTACTTGGTTCGACGAAAATTTGCCGACTTTGAGCCGCAAATTACCATACTTTGAGAAGTTGGATAATGTGAAGGTGTTTTGTTTGAGGCAGACGATACTTCAAGGAGAGTATTATCGTTTCGGGCATTTCTGCTCGGACAATGAAGTATCAAACGACCTTTACCATGTAATATCGCCAAGTGACAAATATTCCGATGATGAAGCGGAGCCGGACACAGATGATGAACCGTTTCCCTCAGTTGCTTCAGACACATCAGATGTAGAGTCTGCTACAGATGGCGACGACAACGGTGATCCTGGCCGCACTTCTGAGCCGAGCTCTAAGACTGACCCTAAAGTTGGTTCTGATTTGGACGAGACAAAACATTTGACCTAAATTGGTTTCAATTCTGATCACTTTTGCAGTTCTCGATCAAGAGCGATATTCTGCTTGTATTTAAATAATTACGCTGGAAGTTCTCGATGTTAATGTAGTGAGGCCCTGTTCTAGACTGAGCTTCTAACACCTGTCATCTAATTCCTGAACTTAATTCAAGAACAATTGTGTACTTATGTACGTAAAATGGTGCTGGCTGTTGATATTATGCAATTGCGCAATACACTAATACTAAGGCACCCAGCAAACTAAAACGATCAAAAGAAATCACATTCTAAGTGATACATTTACATGCCCATGTAAGATTCCCGGGATCCCGCTAAGAGGAAACTTCGAAAATATACCCATAATCTGCGAGCCACAAAGCTAGTGTCCCAATGACCAATTTTTTCATTGGCATCCCATCCTGCAGCGCACAGGACCATTAATTCCGGTTTATGAGATAAACACTGCAGGGATTCTACAATAGCAAAACAGACGCGGTCCATGATCCAATCATCGATGTTTAATTCCAGTCGCCCAACACTTTCGATTGTATTTGTTCTTGCTCGACGCGTACCGTGGAAATAAAAGGCCTACAGTGTGGGCTATCAACACTTTATATTAATATTAATACCGCCGCATGTAGCCTTATAACCGTTTTTTCCCGATAATCAGAGCTATGTCTCATCCGGACTTTAGAACTGCTTCGGCTTCGGCGGAGGGATCCCAAGCAGCGTTTGAAACAGCGGTGGAAGTTCTATCTGGATTCCGGGAGGGCAACGCCAACCCCACATCCCAACCTATCCATGACCACCCGCGGCTTTCGATTGCCGCACATCTAATCCCACAAACAGAAGAAGAAGTCGCATACGACCAATGCAAGAAACTAAGCATAAAAACGAGCATGTCCAAAGTACGAGAAGAGCTCGGGATTCCTTCAACAGGTATGGCGAACGATTACACGTGGGATCAGTTATCGGTAAGTATTAACTCAAAAACATGTATATGTACATACATACTGACATATGTACCCATCGCAACGGCGACCGCGACTGACAATGTTATTCCGAAATAGAAATTAGTGGACCGAACTCTAAAAGAACTAAATTACGAATTTGAAAGTATTTCAAGTTTAACCAAACTCAGCCAAGCCATTCAGAATTCACTTGAATGGCAAGAATGCACCCCGCAACGACCGGCCTCAGCATACGTACCAGTACTTATTTACCGCTGGAAAAAGGGTAGACGAGATCCGCCGAAGCGTCGCAGGGCCCGAAAGTTGCATTAGTTCAGATATCGTGGGAAATATCGCTACTATTGCATTGTCAGAGTCGTCAGCATTGTCACCGTTGTCCCTGTTGTCACCCAGCTCCTTTTTTCTTTTTTGTAATTATTTCGTGTACAGTTTGAATTAATGCATGTTGCAAAACAGGATTTGGCGGTATGGTTCAATAGAAAAACTTCACTCGAGATACACTGATACGAGTCTTCGAGTCTGTATCACATGGCACTTTTAAGTTATGATCTTGGTAAGAAATTTATATATCGCCGCTCTCGATTATTAGAGGCCGAAGAAGAGAGGGGAGTCTTCTCGTTTTCACTTGGAAATCCACTGATGCGTACCACGAAGCCGTCCCCAAAGTAAACCCTAAATTAGTCCCACGCCATGTTGATGTGTAGCAGTAGCTCCTTGTGGTTGTGCTCGATCAAATCTAGTAGTTTCCTAAAAAAAAATTTGGTAGAACACACAGTTTGCTGAAACTAAGTTTTTATGAACTACTGCCGCTCAGTTAAAAATAGAATATGGACACTCTTGTCGCAGGGCCAGTAAGAAACTCAAACAGTACTTTACATAGCATCGGATATCTTAACTTTATTTTTACCATTATTCAACTACCATTCTATCACTCCGGATTCGACAGTTTGAACGGGGAAAAGTTTTGAGGAGAGGTAAGGCTAGTATGTTAGCGATGTTGAGATCAGACATTCATATCATGGGAGCCAAATGCCAACAAATATGGTACTTAACATTGAACGGCGAGGTTTACCTATAATTTTAGTCAAACACGCACCCTAAAAGTCTCTCAAATCAATATCCCTACTTTCATAAGTAGTTTCACTTCATAAAAAGAGGAGCCCTAGAGTTTTCCTTGCCCAGATAGCGGACCGGCCAACCGTCCTGAACAAACCGTAAATTCGTTACAGACATACGTTAAGACTGAAGCCGCTATTATTGGTGACGCTTTAGGCTCGTGTTATGCGCGAGCGAGCCTTCTGAGGATCTAATTAATTGTAGCTTTGTATTGCGCCCGATACCTTGATATGGTAGAATTATCTCTGAGATTCAGATCACTTTTAAAACTTTGGTCAAGGTGATAAACATCTTATTTATATATCAATTGTTAGCTTTTAAAATCCTATTATAATTACTGGGCAATACCAACCGGTAGGGTCGCCCGTAGCTATAGGTTTTTCTTCCTCGCTGTTCTTAGTCTGCATGGTTATTGATGAAGTGCAGATATATCCACTGATGTTGTATTTTTCGCGTTGTCGAGTTAAACGATATAATCAGCCTTGCATGGCGACCTTAATTGGCTTAAATTTATAAAGCCTTGTCATCAGAATTACAATCACAGCGCATCACCCACGACTGCCAACAACATCATAAATTAAAGAGGGAATCGTGTTTCCTTTGCGATTGGATATCATTATCATAATTTTACAGAGTAGTCATGTCCGACCCGGATTCTATAACCGGTTCGGCCGAGAGTTCTCGGGCGGCAGTAGAGACCGCTATCGAAGTTCTATCTGGATTACGAGAGGCTCATGATCATGACTACGGCCGTGATAATCATATCTCGTCTCCAGTCTTGCCTTCAGCCCATTTAGTCCCGCGAACAGAAGAAGAATTTGCGTATGACAAGTGTAAAAAATTGCCCATAAAACAAAGTATGGTCAGGTTACGGGACGAGCTTGGAATTCCATCAACGGGCATGGCAAACGACCACAGATGGGAGCAATTATCAGTAAGTTTAGCATGGTCCTTTTAACTTTCCGCTCCCCCATGATATGTGCGATTGATTTGCAATTTTCCGGGCGTGGCAGCTAGCTGACTTCTTAGAATTTGGTGGCTCGTCTGGTACACGAGTTTCGCTTGGATACGAAAGAGAAAATCTCAATTTCAGAGTTCACTGAATTTAGCAAGGCTATTGGAGATTCATTGGAATGGCAAGATTGTAGCCCAAAGCACCCAGTCGCAGCCTTTGTGCCCGTACTTCTTACCCGCTGGAAAAAGAACCGGGTCATTCGGCCACAGCAACGCAGGGGACTGCGTTAGGTCGTGTCCGCTGTCTCCCTGTCGGTCCCATCTTCACCATCCCAACGTCTCGCACCTGCATGCACGGGCGCACCGCAGAATAAATAGTTAGCTGGATTCGAGGTTATATAAGTAGTTGGTCTGATTTGAGTTTTGTAAATTAGTGCATGTACGTTGTAGAATGGGTATTAACCGAACTGGTAGCCTCGAAGGTCGGCGAAGGAGCATTCTATCATGAGTTTGCTTTGCACATTTCATATGATCGTTCACTCCATATCAACTTGTGACTTTGACTCAGAATACGCCTTAAGTCGGAGTAGTGAGTTCTCGGCGCCTGTTTGTTATAATATCCATTTCAAAATGTTAGTTTTGCTCCCAGAATAGGATTGCACTTGCGTATCAATATACAATCCAGGTCTTTAATTCTTCTGCATTTCCCGATTTCACTGACTCGGAGAATTTACAATGTGTCTACTTCGATAATTGCCAAGGCAATTTCGTCGGCCGGATCATGGAGCGTAAATGAGGGCCGGATGGGTAGTACTGGTGTCGTTTCAAAAGTCACATTACGGGCCATACCACCGCAAACTTGAAATCAACTTGCTCACAATCCGGATCCCGACTAAGCTTATCGGCTTCTAAAAACAACAAAACAAAAAAAAAAAAAAAAAAAAACTTGAGCTTGCTTAAGCCATCGCACTCACTTCGGTAGCCCAACAGTCATCAGAAAAACAAATACTTTACGACCCGCTAGTGTGGGTACAAGCAAGGCATATTAAAGTTACCCATTCTCCTAAGTAAGGTGAAATTGTCATTTCTATTCACGATCTATCTAACACAAGAAATAACTATGGCGCATAGTGTCAATTGTTAAAAAGATGATTTCGGGGGTTCTCATCAGTACCCTCAAAGCCCAACAGGCTTCGGTTTTGCAATTGAGGAATTGGCGTACGCTAAACTTGCGCCGAACAGTAGTCAGTCCACGAATTGCTCATCTACGGCACCGGCATCTCAGACAAAAATCAATTCCGGTAGCGGCGAACATTATATCCGAATTTCGAAAGGCAAACGTCAGATGTACTCCCTCGGGCGAGAAAATCTTCAAGCAAGCATATGCTAAGGCACCTGCAAATACTTTTTCTTGTTCATGGGAGCTCTACAGCCCGCTTTGGACGACAATTCGAGGAGAGGATACCCCTGACAGTTTATGTTATCGCAATTTGAACGTCTCTAGTGCTCGTCAGTGGAGATCCCGTCAAGCATATGACATCTGTATCAGTTTCAAGGTGTATAAAGTTTGGGAGGCTCTGTACACAAATTCTAACATCTTTAGACAGCTGATAGATGACCAGGAAAAGGATTGTCGCAATTTTAGCCGCTGTTGTATGGCCTTAAAACCTCTATGGTTGTGGTTGAAGCTGGTAGTCAAAGAAGGCTTAGTTGAAAGAGGTGATGTGGACCAATTGCCCGAGCCTTCCATGTTACGAGATGTTGTTATTGGTTCTGGAGATCCTCCCGATGCAGTTGATCTAGGACTGGTAAATCCAGCTATGTGCCATTGAAATCTCGAAGCTACTTTGAGACTGATACCTTGGTAAATCGCCTGTATATAAGACACTCACCTCAGTAATTATTACACTGAATCCTAACCAAAATAAATTGCCAATCCACGACGGTCGGCCAGGCCACAATTTAAACCCTAAATGAACGATGAGACACCGTTGTGATATGAATCTTCATGTATATTTTAATCCTAGAAGTAGCATCAGTAAAAAAGTAGACCCGTCACGATTCGATTCCGAATTCCCTCTAACCTCATATGCTCATAAGCCGATTATTCGAGACCTCAATTTACCGTTGGTGCTTTTCTGAGACTGCATTAAAGAGAGATTAAGCTGTCTTAATTCCCATTAAGTCACTATTGATACTGTTGTAAGTTCCCCTTTTGCTGTAAAACGTCTCGAGAAACCAGCCAAAAGCCTGTACGGTATATATATGCCAGCAACAGAAAATTTAAAAAGTGTAATTGTTAACATGTTACCATAAAGCCCATACACTTTTTTGCTTTATCTAATACCCTAGTTATTTCGACGCTAATATGTGTGATTTCAGATTATATACATACAGAAAACCAAGATGCTGGATATATATATGAATAGCATCCTAGCAAGACAATGTTATCGGCCTATACTCGGGGCTGGTTTAAGTGCGTCGCGGCTCGTTCCCAAGACAAATAATACCCTATTTTGAGCCTGCGCCTTTATCAAACCACTGCACTGGCCAAGCCGTCAAATGGCAAGACTTTGCCAAGGGGGATCTGGGAGGAAAAGAGAGAATTACGAGTCTTGTTGGGAGAGGGGGGGTTTTATAGACAAATCTCCTTTGGGATGCCACCGGAGCGAGATAACCCCGGAGGGTACTTGCACATAAATTATTTCAAGAATTTCCAAATTTCCAAATTGGTACTACACCCCAGCATTAGTTTGTCCAAACAAACTTTCCTAATATGTCAGGAAGTTTCCCTCAAAACAAACTTTCCTAAAAGAGCCTAACATACCATCAGAAAGTTTCCCTCGCTATTTCTTGGCACTATCTATATAAGGAGCGAATCCCCAGCACCCTCTTCCTTCAAGCATACTTACCTTGTTAGAAGATCGCGGGATCATGAAGCCGTGACCTTTCATTCGTGAGTCCGCATTGCACAGCGCGGCACTTTCACAGTGAGTGAGTGTCTTCGGGCACTCACCTGGCGTTATTTTTGCTTTCTCAAGAAGATGACTTCCATCTTCAACATTGTTTTTTCTTGATAGCATAGACGCTGCCTCTATGTGTCGAAAAAAAATATTGTTGAGATGGGCAAACATTTACCACTTATCGTTTAGAATGTCTCCGCCCCGAATAACCTGTTCCATCTGCCGGAAATTTTCACACCAATTTAGGATGCAGCTTTGGTTGATTAATTGATGAATAAGGAAGGGTTCTGTTGTTCTGTTGGATACATACGGGCGTTGCTGAACAATTACCCCGTACACACGGCAACAATAGTTCTTATGCCTTAAAATAACTAAAACGGCGGATATTAAAAGGTAAAAAGAATAAATATAGTGAAAGATAAATCGATTGTTAAAATTCACGAAGTTTATACCATTGGCTTGTCTGTAAATATGGTAGACTCATAACCTGTGGTTATATATTATAATATGTGATTGTGATGATGATCAACTACTCCGTAGATTAGCTGCAACTCGAGTTTTAAATAATCAAATTAGTGTGGCACGTGATATAGGTCTTGGCACCCACAAACACGGCAATCTGGACCTTTCCTGTTATAGTAACCGACATATTTTTCTTCCCCTCGTCCTAAACCGTCCCGGGTTCAAGTTTGGGGCTTGGCAACTCAACATGCAACGCGGAGTTGACTGTGTTGTCGTATCAACTACACAGTAGTTACCCCGCCCAGCTTCAGAACCAGCCACTCTCACCTTCAAATATCCCATCCCATTTCTCGCGAGATCTCCACGTACTTCTCACCTTCAAAATAAACCTTCGCGCCTAATTTTCAAAATGGCTGACACAACAACGGAGCCTGAAGGGGGAACAACAAAGCATAACACCCCCGAGCTCACTTTCGAGATGTATGAAGCGAACATGTTGAAAATGTGGCGGGAATCTGTTGAATCTCAGCTAAGGGCGGAAGCCCGAGCATTAAAAAGGATACAGGCTTTGAAGGTAAAACGAAAATATAACCTGAGGCAGTCTACCATAAAGCAAAGAGTTCAGAAAATATCAACGCGATATACTCTTAGGCAGAGGAAAACAGGTCAAAAGTAACCAGATGGCCGGAACTCGAACCACTTCGATAGGCCCTGAAGGTACCAAATTCCGAACATTACAACTTCGATAAACGACATTGTTACTAAATACCTTAGCATCAGATAGCGGTTGATAGCACAACAGCGGTGTCTTGTTCGGGAGGCCCGCTTTAATACCATTTCACAGGGCGGGGCTGATATCGGTTAGCCAAGTTAGGCTATAATCCCAAACCAGGCACGTCAGTTATCATTACTAGTAACGCCACTATGTCACAAGGAATTAGCCTCGAATCATAGTGTTGACATTGGCAACCTTCTATATGTTTGCGGGTGCCCCACGTCTAGACGTATCAACAGAATAATAATTTAGCTCCGCTAGTTATCATCTATTCTTCTGCTATATTACCTAATTATTGGTTCTTTTCTGCAAGAATTTTGAAATTTAGTCACATTGCCAATACCTAAACTTTTTTGGCTCACTTTAATATCATTATTACTTCAGGACAATAAAATATTTTTTTGGGACGTTGTTTCCATAAACTTGAAAATCTTGTAAACTATTGGTTTTTAAATCCCTGGCAAATTTTGCTGTACATACTCTCTACAGATTCATTTTACTGTAGAGGCACATTCATCATCTTCGGAACTGAATCGGGCTTGGTATGATACGAAACCTATTTTTCAGAAGGTGGTGGGGGTAAATTTCGCCGATGCAGGTGTGTCAAAACTGCCCGAATATGCTTATTCCGTCCCTAATTAAATATATGACCATTATTATATTAAAAATTAACCACATTGCCATCAGAAGAATCGATCCGACCGAACAATCGCTAATATTCTAAGTCAACTTGAATTGTAAGTTGGGCTATATGCTTATGTGCATAGTAAAGTGGCTATATATGATATATAAACGCCAGTGTAAAGCGTACTAAACCCAAGTGTTCAAATGGCTTTATTGTACAATTGTAACCATTCGTATAGCTACAATTAGCTGAACGGAAATCAAGGCTCTCTATAAGTATTGGACACCCAATACTTTAGAAAAGAAGCAGCGGCCGCAGCTGCAGTGGCTGAGGCGTAGGATTGCCACTTTTTATTTTTGTGACTATCGGCGTAGTCACACACCCCTTTGATGACGACACAGGGTATCTTGCCCCAAACACCAGCTCCCTCCATTTCGAACCCTATTACACCTTCCTCTTTAGCTAATCTATCCCTATGCTTGTCGGATTTCATCACTGTATCCGCAGACGCGATTCTCCCAATATGAACTGACGGGGTAATGACATCTTCAGCAAGTCGCACCCGTTTTATTTCCTTCCCCCCGCAACCGAGGGCCCCGCAATCTTTCTGTCGTATCACATCACACACATTGTCAGATGTTGTTGTGCATCGGAAACAGGTGCAATCGGCCAATGCAGCTCGTCGGTAGGCCCTGTGAAGATAGGCCGCTGGGAACAATATATCGTGTTTAGCACCGGGATATCGATATTCGTCTTCCGTCCTTTGAAGTATTTGTAGAAACTGTAGAGTATCCTTCTGAAAGCGTTCCCTGATTTTTTTGGTTCTCAACTTTTCGAGAAGCCCTTGAATTTGAGGATCGAGCGGCCCAAGGATCTCCTCCCTGCCACCTTTCCGCTCGAATCCGTTCGGGTGCTGGCGGCCGTAGTCATACTTGACTACACTATCACTGATGATGACATCTCCGAGAATAACTTCTTCCTTCTTTTTAGGTAAGAAAGGTACTGCCCCACAGACACCGACAACCAAAATAACCTTGATATCTGGATAGCTCACCGGCAGGTTCGCCGCCGCACTTGCGGCACTCGAGACCCCCATCCTCGGTAAGTGACATAAAACAACATCTTGCTGACTGATCCTTCCTGTTGTGTATATATTCTGATCGCCCTTCTGCTTTGGGTGGCTTTCACTACCGTCTTCGTATATATCATCGAAGAGTGTTTGGACGGCATCAGCCTCGAGCGAAAGCGCACAGACTATAGCGATATGAAATTCGTGTCGGCTTTCTTGCCTATTGCAGCAAGTTAGCGTGGAATATTAAATCAAGAAACAAAGGTGCATATATGCATACAGGCCGAGAGATTTAGATTTTGAGATCTCCTGGGATAGTAAAGATTGTTGGGGCTCATCTCTCCTGAGACCATAATTGAGACTTCTTGTACTTGTCGGCGGCCATTTTGATTCCTGGTTCACCTTGTGCGAGCGTATATTGAGGGCTTCTTCGCTGTCAGTATCCATGTTGGCGTCATGTTGGGTTCCAAAAGCAAAAGACGACGAGGTTTTCCTGGATCGTTTTGTGTTAAAAGGTCCATTCTCGTTAACTTGGTGTGGTGGGCGCATGTTCACTGCTTCAAATTTAAATCGTTTTCTGGTTTCCTCCGGAACTTCTAGTTCCAGGAGACTAACAATGCTTGTATACATCAAATCTCTTAATTTCATATCAACTTCTTCGCCATTCTCGCTCGTTAATGTTTCACGAGCTTCGTTCAGAGCTGTGTGTAAATAGAGTATCTTGGTGACAGCCTCCAGATAGAAGTTCCGGCCCCGGTGTATCTTGACATTTTCGACGTAGTTGCAAAGTTCCACCCATGTTGTTGTAAGATCAGAACTACTGTTACCACTTGGGCCGGGCCATTTCTGCCCTTCGTCTATCTCTAGTAGTAGCCTTGCAAAGGATGTCAAAACAGGGTGACCAGGTCGATACCATTCACTTTCCTGAGTTCTTTGTAGATTTAAAGAGCAATTAATATAAATTTGGCTTTCCTGTATTTTATGCTCCGGAAGAGCGAGGAAGGTGATCCCGCTGGATCTCCAACTCTCTGTCATATAACGCGCATCAAAGAAGTTTAGAAAGCACAGTCCAAGCTTTAGGGCGAGAATGCGTTTCTCCTTCAGGGTAAATCGATTAGTCATCGGTGACGACGTATTGCTAAAGCTGATATTCTGGAAACTTCCGGACTCGAGTAAATGCTCGAGGGACCCTGAAAGAGAACCACGGGGGTAGAGCCGGCGAGCTGGCTGCGGCGAGTAATGAATACTGTGGGAACCATCACGAAGAGCCTCAACTACAATTTGGAGTCGCTGGTCTGTACACTTTTGCAAGGTCACACAAAGGTCGTCGATTCGACAAATCGAGTTACGTGACCTGCGAATGCCGTTAGGAAGCTGGGATATGCAAATTTCAGGGTACACGGGTAGGCTTACGTATGATGTTCACACTGAACTTCTTGCCACCGTTCTGTATCACATCCTGACAAAAATAAATCCAATGCGCCTTTACGATTCTGCAGCTGGAGCATCACTTTATGGGAATTGCTGCAGGGCAGAAGTTGGTGTAGCGCATTGATAAAAACTCCAGTACGCTTTCTAAAGTCTGGATCTCCGAGGTTGTGGTTTCCTGATTGCTCCTCATCCTCTGCTGTTGGACTCCCGGATCTTTTCCTCGGGTTCGTTCCCGGTAAAGTTTGGATTTGCCGAAAGCAGGCATTTAACTGCATAGTGCTTTCCAAAATTGCTTGCGCAGTAGAGGCAGATTGAACGCAGAAAATAGGTGGACTTTCGTTTGTTTCAAGAACCAAGTTGAAGGACCCTGTCGGGAAATTTGAATTAGTGTGCCCTGCCACACTCTCTAGGTAGTCTGTTAATTCATATAGCCTGGGATATTTTCTAAAGGTTGAAGAGGAACAAGAGGGGTGCAAAGGCGTTGCTGGTGTCGAAAGGGAGCCCTGAAAGTTTCCGTTAACATGAGGCTCCAACAGCTGGGCTATCCGTTCCGAGTATCTAAGTGCATCCTGGTCCGAAGAATCATCGCAATCCTCAGCCAGGCTTATGTCAAAATTCTTGAGCATGAGAGCATGGCGCAATTCCACTTCCAGGACTCGGCATTTCCTTTCAAGCCGGTTTTTCGGCTTTCCCTGGCCGCGCCGTGTTAGCTGTAGCCTTCCATCGAGGTATCGTGCGAGATTCCGAAATATATCCCATCCAAGTCCCGAAACGTTGTTTTCGGACATTCGTGGCGCGGCGTTTCACAACCATGTAGAAACTCCACTTGATTCGAGGATAGCGCGCACTTTTATATCATCGTACTAGGAGACGAGATTTCGCGATGATAGCTACATGGAAATCGATGGAGAGTTGTGATAGGTAATGGCGCGGGGTTGGGCGCGGCTGAGAAATTTAAGCCCAATTACATCGATTCGCTGACGTCTGACAGCCGCCTTTGATAAAAGTGTCACGTGCTCTCATATACCCCGCACCGATGCATGGGCGCGTATGTGTGGTGCATGGTACCATATGTATGGTGTGTAATGCTTCAAGTATATGGAACTCTCTGCAATAAATATTTATCGATACAGCATAAAAGTTGTAGAAGAAGGTTTGATTAAAGTGCTAGTGTATATTTATCAATTCTAAGTTAATTTTAATATTTTAGAAGTACTACACATAACCTGTCTAGTATAAGACCACTGGTGCTTACATGCTAAAGTTGACGTCATGACACCTAGGCCCGATAGAATCGCGATAGCGAAACCCGCCGAAGCCTCTACATATCAGAACTGCCAGAGATTTCAGCTTAGGTTAGATCGCGAAGCTTTATTGGTTTATCTATGGAGAAGGACGACGAGTCAATATACGAAACTGCTTCGGTATGTAAAACGCTATTTAAGACACACCGAAGAAAAGAGCCGCCGTCTGTTATCGATATTCTGCTCGAGGACTACGAGCAGAGATTCTTGGCATGGTCGGCCTATATGGGGGTTTTCGCAAGCAAGTCCCTTTGTCTTGACCGTCGACTACAAGACCGACCAGGCATCCGGGACCTCGTTATTCGTCTGCTTGATATTCTAGTAGAAGCTTTAGAAGAAGGTAGCGTTATAATCTCAGCCTTTTCTCAGTTAATTTTATCATAAGCTGGGTTATCAATTGCTTCGTCTCCGACTAAGATAATTTGGCATACACGATGCATGGTATTATTTAGTTACAAGCAATAATGAACCGCACCAGAATCAAACCCTAGGCGAGCCTGAACTCCCTTTGGAAAATAAATCAGAGATAGATGACCTTACAGAGGATATAGAAACATCCTTGGTCAGTCTCTCTCGCCTCGGCACAACTATTCGAAAACACTCTACTACGGGACGAACGGTCAAAATTAGAAAGTTTGCTGAGCAATCTGCAAGCCTCAAAGCTTTCGAAAAACTCGCCCGAGTGGCCGTTGATACTCTTTACATGGAAGCAAAAGATACTCTTCGTGCCCAACTAACGCGCTCCATGGTTGAAACTTGCGCCAGCATTCTATATAAAAAGTCCCACCAGCATAAGATGAACGCGAATCGGCCGACTCGGGACATACCCATGCCAACCATCCGTGAAGAACGAGATGACAATCTTGCGAATTCGGCAGAGGGTTTCAATATTGATGACCCTATAGTCCAGATTCTTTCAGACTCCGCTCCCAAGCTGAATCAGCTGCGGCCTTATGTGCCACTAGAATCTACACCTTCAGTACTTGACTCGCTTAGGACAACAGTGCTCAAGGATTTGGGTCGTTCTTCGAAAGTAAAGTCGAACTGTTCAGCTTCATCGATTCAATTAGGAAAGGTCAGCTATCCTCGGGCCTCAAGCGGGAAAGATGCATCCAGTTATCGCGCTTGCGAATGGTGCCTTGAAAGACACCCTCCTGCCCTATTTGATAATAAAAAACAATGGAGGTTCGTTATGATTTGAAAACTATATTTGCCCATTCTTGGTATATGGAGCTAATACATATTATTGGTAGTGCCCATCTAGATAAGGACTTTGAGCCTTATGTTTGTCTTTCGGAAAGCTGTATGGCTGAAATACAGTTACCATCCTTCGCAACATTCAAAGAGTGGTTCAATCATATGAATACTGTTCATACAGTCAGATGGCAACAGGAAATTCACAGACCAATTTTTTGGGTCTGCAATTTTAACCATAAAAATGAGTATTTTAGCAATCAAGAAGAATTGCACGAACATATGAAACAATGCTATCCGAAAACTCTCACAGCGGGCCTTCCAGCTATTGTTAAGAATAGCCACACGAAGCACTCGCGTTCACACAACGTGTGTCCTCTGTGTTGCCGCGATCTAGTACAAGATAAGCGCAGGAAAAGGCGAGGTCGAAATAGTGATCGAAAAAGGCGGAAAGTAGAAGGTAATCAAGACAATGTTCAGACCACTGATGCCGCAGCGGAGTATGATAGTTCGAGTAGTGACGAAAGGGAAGAATCAAAGGGGGTCGTAATGGCCCGCCATATTGCAGAACACCTGCAAATCTCGATGTTTCTGACCATGCGGCTGATAAACTGCCAGCAAATGCAGCAAGACGGCTTGCTTGAAAGCGAAGAAATCACCGCCGTTAATACTAGCGATCGCTCGACGTTAACCTCGGAGCTGCCTTGGCCCTCACAGGTGTCGGAAGTGGTACAGCCTGATCGTACCACAGATGAAATTGCTGATCCACAGAGGCTAGATGAACGAGAACAGGCCCACTCACCAGACCTAGGGATCATTGGAGCGGGGGGTAATAACGCTATTGAAACTACATCCACCTTGGGATTTTCAGATTTGAAGAAGTATACTATTGGATGGATCTGCGATTCGTCGGTGGGTTTGAAGGTTGCAAGACACATTCTTGACGAAGGTGATGACAATAAATTTCTATTGGGCACCACTCTTGCCAGTAGTTATTTTCTAGGAAGAATTGGAGAGCATTACATTGCCGTATCGGACGGTACATCCGAGAATTCACCCAGCCGCATACACATCATGGAGCGTGTGACAACCTTGCTCTCCAACTTCCCGAGCATCAAAGTACTCTTACTTGTGGGTGTCGGTCATGGGATGCGGAATTCAGAGAATAATATTCGCTGCGGTGACATTGTCGTCGGCGTCTCTGACCACACAGGCAGCGGTTTAGTCCAGTACGATCTAGAAAAGTCGATAAAAGGCAAGCCCTTCCCATGGAAAATGGCCTCAAATAATCACCCAGCTAGCCTAAATCGGGCTTTAAAATTCGTTAGGCACCAGGGAGATAGGTTTACTTACAATTACAAAAATGAATTCAATGAGGCGAGTCTGAAGCAACGGGAGTTGGACATAGTGCTAGATAAATCGATCGATGATGTATCAATTCACTACGGCCTAATTGCTTCCGGGACCTTTGATATAAGAGAGGCACGCACTCTAGATAACCTAGCAGCTGATAATCGTATTCTTTGCTTCGAGAATGGCGCAGCAGGCCTTATGAACGGACTCTCTTGCCTTGTTATTCGAAGCATATACACGGATTCGAATTTTTACCTGGATCCAAATTTCGCAGCGGTTCAAGCAGCTATATTTACAAAAGTCCTTCTGCTCGAGGTCTCTCCGGCAGAGGTCGAGGCTGAACCGGAGATTGCTGAGACTTTATCCAAAGGTTAGTTCCCTTAGATTGATGAAACGAAGTCTATAGTATTGTTATTAATGAATCAAAGCCAAATTCGGCATAAATCAAACATACCTTAATACGGGGGGTGCAACGGATAGGCCGACTGGCTCGCTCTCGTACTGGGGTTCTTCGGCATCGTATTTGAGGACTTTGATGGAACGCCAGAAGGATGGATGCTCTTGGTTTCTTGACTCAAACGAATTTGCTGAATGGCAGACGACAAAAAACTCGTTCATTTGGCTGCTCGGCGACTCGGGATGTGGGAAATCTATTCTCAGCTCTGCAATTATCCAAAAACTTCAGGAGGACCTGGGATGTCAACCTATATACTTTTTTTTTGAGTCTCCCAGGAACACGCTTGCAAATGCATTACACTCTCTTTGCTCGCAGATTCGCAACATAAATATGGAGGGTTCGGCTCCAACTTTGAGAGCTGGAACACTACGAGAACTAATTGAGAAGTTTTTACTTATGATGCAGAACGCAGGCGAAATCTGGTTGGTTCTTGATGCACTTGAAGAGTGCAACAGAAATGAATGGGAAACTTTGTTTATCTGGATAAAAGAAATACGGCGGCAGAAGAAAAAGAACATTCACATCGTCGTAACGAGCTTGCCAGAGTTTGACGAAAACATGGCCCAAATCGATCTTTTGGAGAATGGAGATAAAATGATTTTAATAAAAGACCAGTCTGCCAACGATATCACTGCTTATATTCACAAGTGGGTCAAAGAGAGAGCCTCAGCCTCTCAGTGGGTATTCTACCCTTCTGACCTTGCCAAGGTCTCAAATGCACTTCGTGAACGTACCATTGGGAGGTAAGTTATATCCACTTGCCTACCTATCTACCTACCTAACTCTCCACAGCTTGAACTTTGAGTACCTTGAAACTTTATGCTTCTCAAGAAAGTTAATATTTTCTAGATTTACCTGGGCGACGATTGCATGTCAACTTGACGCGTTGGCTTTAGAACTTTTTCCTAACATCAACAACATTCTTCGACAACTTATATCCCTGCCGCTAGATCAGCACCGCGTATACGGAAGAATTTTAAAAAATATACCAGATAGATTTAGGCCCCAAGCTACAGCACTCCTTCATCTATTAAGATACTCAGAGCGAATGCTGGGGATCGAGGAGGCTATCGACTTCATAAAAATCACTACTTCGCCTCCATACTTTGACCTAGACAGTGGGAATTCTTTTGACAGCGGTATACTATGTTACTGCCCTAGCTTAGTGATTGCGATTCCATTGGCGCGGTCTTCAGGCCACCAAAGTATAGAAATCAGACTCGCCCACAATTCCGTAAAGGAATATTTAGCCCCGCGTAACTCCGGGCCCTTTACGGTAATTTGCGGGACTAAGGAAACAATGGCCATGGCCAAAAATTGCCTCCTTTACATTCTACGTATGGATACCGACCTTTCTGCTCCAGAGCTATTAGAGAAGTTTCCCTTTGCCAAATATTGTGCGAAATATTGGATGGAATTTGCATCAGGAATAGAGTTTCCCGACGAAATGTTGCGGGGTATGATACGGGACTTTTTCAGATCCGAAGACTGCTATAACAGCTGCTACAGTCTCTATCGTCCAGATGAAGATACATCCCCAGAGCCAGCTTCACCGTTATACTACGCATCTTTCGGAGGGCTTTTGGAAGCGGCAGAATATTTGCTGATGAATGGGGCTGACCCCAATGCAAAAGGGGGGAAGTATGGCACTATCCTTCAAGCAGCATCAGCTCAAGGGCATGGCCATATTGTGCAACTCTTGTTAAGTTCTGGTGGGAATATGGGCTGGAAACATACGAGTATAGGTACACAAATGGTTGCAGATACCAATTCAGAGGGTGGAATATATGGCTCAGCACTTCAGGCGGCATCGAGTAAAGGGTTTGAAAAAATTGTTTCAACATTATTACATCGTGGAGCTGATCCGAATATAGCCGGCGGGGGGCATGCAACTGCCCTTTGTGGAGCATCGGCTGAGGGTCACGCAAAAATTGTCAGAATTCTATTGGATTATGGTGCAGATTTCGAAGCCGACAACAACGCTGCGCTTAAAGTTGCGCGAGCCAACAATCAGATCGAGGTTGTGGAAATTTTAAAATTATACGGCGCCAAGGACAGTGACAAATCACGGAGGAGAACGTTGGAGATGGGAACGGCACCAGTATGGTTGTGAATTGATAATCGGTGCCCAAAACCTCCTCTTGCCTACTCCAAATTTAAAGGCCTCTAATAGTAATAACATAAAGACTTTATAAAGTATATATATTAAAATTCCTTTTCTCAGTTTCGAAATTTCGTCCAGTGTCAAATTTTTGTGATGCTCAATTTGAAATTGAGAGTAAAGACGTCTTTATGACTGACCCTTTCTTTTGTCTTGTGAATAGATTTTTCACGCCCACTAGTATGGTTATATTCAGTAGTAGCGTTATCGTTTCATCATAAGTGCAAAGCTTGTTCCTAGAGTAAAGATTTGAGATCAGCAGGTGACTATATACTATATGGCAACAATCGTACTCGTATTCATAACGATTTATTCATTTAAGTTTCAACTGTACTAGGCACAAGAAAGGTGGGATAAAAGCAGTCTAGGCTATGGAGTTATATACAATTTGATAAAACAGTCATAGTAGTTCTAAAAAAATATACAAAAGAAAATCGTTGCGATATATATCCGAATGGGCCTAGTAGGGTGGCTTAAACCCAATCGATCTATTGCAGTTATATCAAATCATCGGAGGGATGATCGGATGGTGTCGCCAACGGTATCTATGGTTTGGAGCCGACCTCATCAAATAGATCCTCTCCAAATTAATCAGTATTCGCTGTTTGTATCGTCCACCTCACCTTTGCTCTTCTCTTTAGTCTCATCACTGCCAGTTTTCTCGTCATCACCCTTCTTGTCGACCTGATTCTCTTTTGTTGGCGCATCTTTAGGCCCGCGTTCGTCGTCACCTTCGTCACCACCCTTTTCCTCTACTGGCGGAGCGGGTTTGGGGGGTCTATCTATGTCGTCGCCCTCACTATCATCCTTTCTTTCCTTCGTTGGTACCTCCTTTGGGGGTAGTTTAACAACCCCAGTCTTCAAATCGACCCAATCTGTGCCACCACGCTCATTTTGTAAAATGATGTAGTTGATAGGATGGCCAGGTGGCATGTGCTTCTCATATATGTACTTGAATGCTGGCTTGCCTTGCCGATAAAAGGTGATTGCATAATCGGCCGAAACTCGCGGCTTTTGTGGGGGAATGAACTCGACTCGGAAGATAAGACTTCGTTGTTTCGACAGCTTGCGTGGGTAGGAGGCCTCATGAAGCGTGAATGGGGTGAAAGCCCTGTTTCTGATATCTGACTCCGGGCTCAAAGTTGGCGTGCCAAACGCGATTGGGCAGTCGGGACACAGGAACATCATCTTGAAAGGAACAAAAGCGGGTCTCGCAGGGTTATGTTCAGCAAATGTAAGATTCGCTCTGCCCTTCAAGCTATAATCTGGCGTATAGTTAATCTCCACGCTGAGTACCTTGCCAGGATTTTTTTCGATTGCAAGACTTGTTTTAATTACGGTATCGTAGCGATAGGGCCTAACCGCTTTTATAGGCACAGGCTCAGGTTCAGGCTCGATTATTGGGGCGACAATGGACCTAGCGACCACGGTTTGGGAAAGAGTGCTCAAACCGAGCGCCGCAATGAGTATGAGATTCATGGTGTGGAATTAATTGCCCTAAATAACATTCTTAAGTTAGATTCCATGCTTGCTGGGGTTTGCATAGTTATTTCCGCAGTTAACTAGTTGTCTTACCTTTAAAAGACTGAGAATATCGATCAGGAGATTTAGGTATTTGATCGTCTACCGTGCCGAATCAGAGCTAGAGGCTGTACTGCGCTGATGAGAAGAACGGTTACCACGAAGCTGATTTCATCCTCAATTTATAGATTTTGATTGTTTATCTTTGATGAGCTGTGAACTCGATATGGCGGCAATGGGTTTTCGAATTCACGAGTTCTTCGTTTCCGGTTTCTTGTTATGAACTATAGCCTTTTAGCTCATTTGGAGTAACGATAATGGCAAATTCGGTTGTGCGATCGAAATTCGGTTATATAGCATACTTATTCTCGATAAATCAGACCTTTCTGTGCCTGCTGACAATGGCCACTGCATCGCGGATGCACATCCCATTTGCGGCTAGCCGCCAAATGCTTGTTTTTGGAAACATCGAAACGAATCCGCGAACTTGCAAGCGAAACCTGGCATAGTTGGGCCTCAAAAATTAAGCTTACTTCGGTTCTATGCACATTTTTGTTGGGGTGATGCAGGAATATCAACAATGCTATCATATCACCATCCAGGTTAACTCGCTTGATATCGAATTGTTCAAATATTTGCAAATTAGCACGTATGCGGACATGAAAATACAACGACAATCTTTTCGTTCCGCATCGGAAGGCAAATGGGAATTATATTAATCCCGATTATGGTAAGTGGTGTGGTTTTGAGCTCCCCTTTCTTACAGCATTTCTATAAAGTGGGTTGTCCTGATCATTGGATGATATGGCTCTCAAAGAGGCAGACAATGCAATATATAGGTCGATTATGTACATCCAAACAGACCGACACAAGTGCTTCTAGTATAGTAGCCCTGAACGCTCAGTGGTTCAGGCCTGATCTGACTTCTAATTGTTCGTTGGTATTAATATTAGAGCTACCTGAGCAGTGCTAGGACGCAGGCTCGACTTTGCAAAGCTTTCTTTTAAGGGTCGCGACGTCGTTGACGCCAACGTTGCAACGAAGAAAGTTTCAAAACATTTTAGAATTATAGTATAGCTAAAGAAATATAAAAATAAGCAAAAGCTTAATATTTTATTTCCATTTTTTTCTTCTTTTTATTTTATTAATTCCCTCCTAAATGTATTGCTTCACAACTGGCGGTTGTTGGTTCCATCCAGAAGTATCCAGAAGTGGATACCTGGCCGGATCGACCTTTCAGTTCCGAGTGCTTCGAGCCGTACCAAAAGGCCGGATTTTGTGTTGCGCGCTTCAGTGAACATTGCCGCAGAGCCAACTGACCAAGGTTGTTCCCAGTCTGCGCAGCAACCTAAATATAATAATACTATTACTTTAACGATTTTTAATTAATCAGTCATATGAGTAGCATATAAGACCGCTTTGTAATAGAGAGCAAGGGAAGAAAGCTTCAGTTTGCGTGACTAAAATACAATCAGAACACATAAGCGTACGAAAGTCCACTCTATCCGAAGCTTGGATATTTGACCAAAATTAAGCCTTGGTGGAATTATTACTCTATATTCTGCATTGATATAATATCATCTAACAATGGCGTGATTCTCAAAGATATATCATCCAGTCTAATCGTTGAGAATCCCAGAAGACTGAGTGAGAATAACTGAATATAAGTACTCCCTAGCCGAAGATCCGCCTCGAGCGCCTGGATTCAAGGCTAAACCGAGGGAAACATGTTACTTGTCTCGTGCAAGTTAAAGCCCTCTAGAACTAAAATTTATTTAGGCTCTTTATTGGCGTCTTGTGCAGATTCGCCTTACGTGTGCAACAAGCTATTTATATATTTTCCAAGTTACGTGGTAGGCACAAAGGTGGTATCATTGTTGTAATTTGCGTCTTATTGTGTTGAGTCAAGGAACACAAAGATAAGTATGCGGGCGTCTGGCCCCGAGACTAGGTTAGATAGACGAATACAGCCGTATATTAGGGCCGCAAGATTTCGAGCTCAGGGTTTTGACATGCCAATCTATTCTAAATCTTGGAAAGTCACCCTTTTTTCTAGTTGCCTCGGAGGATTTAGCTTTGATTTCTCCGCTAAGTTCAGTCTGATTAATTATATATTAACACAGATATAATAGATATACATAGGGCGGTACCATAAATCCGTTACAAGGATCATAACCAAAATTATACAAACTCATTAGAGTGCTGGTATTGGGATTGCCTTAACCGCAACAATCTGCGCACCTGCAGCTTCTAGGGCCTGTATTGTCTTTCCTAGGATCAGAAGGTCGCTATCGGGTATGTGGCGTATTCCCAACACCCCAGTTTCGCCCGCAAGACCATGCTCACACGTGAGATACTGGCTACCACCAATTCGACATTTCAGAGGGCTGGAACCTTCAGGTTCGACGTCATATACTAGGATGGCTCCGGCATCAGAGGAGTAAGGGATAAACCTCACTGGTGCCCCATTCCCGAATTTGACGACACCGTCGGGCTGAAGGTAAAATTTCACCGTTTTTGAAATGTCTGCTTCGACGACAGCGAGACCATTGGTAGGATACTGGGCGATATAATATCCGGGAAATACGTTTTGGAGTTGCATTACAAACGAGATAGCAGTAGCGGTTGCGGTTGCGCTGATTACCGTGGTAGAAGTTTTAATCACAGTCGTCGTGACAGGAGCAGCCGTCAGTGTAGCACCAATGCAAGCGCATGCGGAGGAGTATCGGACAAAGCCGCTGCATTTGGAGGCATATGCTGGGATTGGTGCTGATTCGGGAACACCGCGTTTGCATTTACAGTCTGGAGGCGGAGCTTCAACAGGGACTGTGATAGTAGTCGCAGTAGTAGTATCGGATATAGTAGTAATCTCGGTAGCAGTTCTGTCGATTTGTGATATTATATTAGTAAAACCTTGAAATAAATCGTATCGCGTGTTGCAATCTATAAGGATGCACAATAAGATTGGGCTTGGGCTTGGTCTTACATTGTCGCAGTCGCGAAGTAATTAAAAAATGCTATACAATCCGCAGATGCAGGTCGATCAGGGAAAGAACCGGCCTTGAGTGCTAGATGTAGAGAAAGTATATAATGTTAGATTCTGTCCTTCCGCAGTAACCGAAAAAAGGCGGACGTTTAAGACAAGACGCCGTGCAGAACCAAACCATTTTCGAATTTCATACCTCGAAGACAATTATCGGCATTACACTTTAACATGCTCTGGGCAGTGGCCGTCACCGCCCCAAGTGTAAGAAAATACAATATGTTTACCATAGTTCCAAATTGAAGGAATTGTGACAAATTATAGAATTCGAAAGGTGGCCAGTAGTGTCTGCGCTGTTTGCTCCCAAGAAGAGCCCAGGTCGGAGGAGAATGGCCCTTTTTATATTTCAAAGAAAATATGCTATACTAAAATGAATTTAGATGAACCTAAGCTATACCTATGCCTGCATCTATACCACGAGCTCTGTAGCCCCAATGTTATAGGCTTCATTCGAGTTTTTCCTGGGTCGCTAAATTGGCTCGATCATAGAATCACAGCTTAAAGGCGGAGGCGCAGGGTCCTAAAGGGCGCCACGTTTCCAGGGTTTTGCGACATTTTCATGTAATGAATAACCCGGTAAGGTATTCAACAGAGGTGTCAAGCTTCTCAGATATCGCTCAGATCCCGCTTATCTGGGATTAAAATCCGAAATGAAACTTGGCGGTCATTTTGATTGGCTATAGGAGTTGGAAACTTTTTCCGTACTTCTAAGCGACCCTTTTTTGGGTTAGTGGTATGGGCCAAGGAGAATAGTTTTGGGGGTCTCTCAAAGCTTATATCCGAAGGGTCCTGAGCTTGAATCTTGGACAGCACATGTTCGATAAATTACTCTACTTCCATGTCCTGCACAGTAGGTTGCACCAAAAAACTAACAAGGATCGAGTCACGCCAGAGTCTTTATTGGTGGAGCGCTCCTGGTCTGAAGTTCATGAGCGCAATACTCGAGCTAAATATAAATTAGATCCGGTAAGGTCTAGATGATATTAGAGTTTCAGTGGATGCTCGATACGAACAACCTCATGTCAAAAAAAATTATCACAAAAAGCCAAGGCAGCCCTCTGGAACTCTTTAAACGGCATAGGAAGGGAGGCTGAGATAGGCCTTGAAATTGTGGCTCATTATTAGTAACGCCACAGCGTTACCAAACAAGCACTCTAGTTCGGCTGCGGTGGAAATCGAAAACGTCACCCCCTGAAGAATACGATGGAACGGCCTGTTGAGAGGAAGTCGTAATTTGCTGAAACACGTATAAAATGCCTTTGAATAGTCTCGTGTCTAACGTAATATCATAGTCCTGAGCTTTCAACTTAGTGATTCAACTTGGGATCATTTCTAGACAACCAAACTACACCTACTAGTATTAACGAGATGGACTGAACAAACTAATGGTTAATTTCAACTAATTTGAGATTTATTCATGACATTGCCAATTCCTAGTAAGTTGTCTAGTTTAAAAAAACCAACAATTCCCTATTTTCGGGAGATTGAAAATACAGCCCGAGTGGTTTCGTACGTACCCAGGTACATTGAAGTGTTGCCAGTCCGAGTTTATTTTCTTAGTGTCTGAAGAGTCTTTGATTCGTCGGGCCGATGGCCATAGAGTTTGTTTTAGGACATATTATGGCCGCTTTATTATTATTTTCCTATCACAAGTTATCTCGTAAAGAGACTGATGTGAGGTGGCATCGATGTAGCAAGTTTCCTGTCCCTAGAATTAAGGGTCAAAGAGTCGAGAATGCTTTGTCGTTTACGCAAGCCCAGCATTGATTATTGTGCTTAAACCAAGTTTACATGTCGGAAATTTACAACCCCGCTGAGATGTTTCAATGGGCGGACGAAGCCTGTATTTTTTGTTCTGTTTATAGTGGTTTTAAGGCATTATGGATCAAAACTTTTAGAGAAATGGTCTACACTTATTTATCGTCGTGTGGTCCGTTATGCGGCATATATATATATATATATATATATACATATAAAGAAAGGAAAGAAAAGGCTTTCTGTGGAGCTTCAGATGCCCCTCGCGTATGGCGCTGGATAGACTGAGGGTGGAAAGATGCCAAACAGAGTCAGGAAGGTGGCCATGGGTTAATATATAACAACTAAATCCGGGGAATATCATTGCCTCGGCTCCCAGAATATGATAAACGTTCTCATAGGGTGTAATATCCTATTAGTAATAATTATTAAAATTAAAAGGTCTGACCTGAGACAGTCTTAGGCAACTGAACTTATAGAGCCTAACACGCTTGACATCTTTACGCTCAGACTCATCCTCATAGCAAGACGGTGGGCGTTTGACAAGCAAGGTATGACCCTAGTAGCAGATCCTCTAGAAATTTAATCGAAAGAGGCAAGGCTAGCCTCACGATGTTATGGTACTCCATCCTCGAAGGCACAATAGACTGCATCTTGGTTATTTCTATTAACTATATATTTTGTCAACAATTAACCTCTAGGCACACACCGGTGACTAGCTGCATAAAATCCGGGTAGCCTTTTATTACCATAACTTTCGATTAATAGCCTCCGTGAATTCGCTAAATATTTGAAAGAAGTGTTTAGCTTCCTCGGAACTATACGTGCTATCTGAATTAGGATAGCCGGCTGGACCCGGAAGAATCAGGAGGACCTTATGCAGGTGCGTTCTGTCTTTAAGTTCTCGTTCTAAGAATAGTGGGACTCGCTAAAGACATGATATCATATCATGCTTACCCATATGGTGAGCGAGAACGCCTTATACCGTTGAGTATGCGTACCGTCTAGCTCCTCATTTTCGCTGGATTAACGCCCGCGGACTGCGGCCCGGAGGCTTCTCCGCTCAAGCCCCACATCTCCCGCCACCCTGTTAAGAAGTACTTCGCCAGCCGTGAGAAGACGATTTTTGTTGAAAATAATGGTACGAAGGATAGAACTTGGGGATGATTCACTAGGATAATATTGATCATCGACATTGCTGCAACTTGAGACCAAATCCTTACATGCCCAAGGCGAAGGAGCAATATTGTTGTGCGATCACGGAATGTCTGCGACTCTTTTCTGGAGCCTTATTACTTTGACACACGGACCGGTTAGCGGTATGATTCGTGACGGTCTAATATTCAGTGGCGTTCTTGGAGCTTGGTTCTAGAGCACTATCCCCAAAGTTTCTTAGTATTGTTCACTATTACGATGCGTCCAAGCATCCAAAAGCTTAACTCTGACCTCGAGGCCTCGCGAGCGGGCTCTCGGGATTCGATCCTTCGTCACGAACATCGATTCCGTATCGATCTCATGACACCAACCTGATTTGCAAAGCTGCATGGTGGAATCTCATACGTATACATGAGCAACTGGATAATCAGAAATCGTGAAAGGTCAGCAGTCAAATGCTGAATGGTCCATATTCGCACCAGACCGTTTGAAGGCGGTGAATTTTAGCGAGTAAGATCAAGTAGAGAGAAACGTGGCGTTCGCGTGGCGTTCGCTTGGCTCAACTGCTGGAAACACAAAGAGAAGCAAAACCTCAAATCTGTACTGGCTCTCACACTTCAATGCGCGTATGTATGTGCACATGTGAAGTCGACGGAGTGAGTCCCGTGATTGAGACCAAAGGTGAAGTCTTTCCAGACCAATTTGGTTAGAAAGAAAATAAAGTTTTCTCCCTGCAAAGAGTGCCTTTCTGTTCACCATGGAGTGTTGAAATGCTGTACCCTAATTATAGCAATGCAAAGCCGGTAGCCGGCGCCGGCTCCTCGGCCCACATGGCCACAGTTTCGGTAGGTACCATCTGCACTCAGCTTAGTTGTCCATAATCTAGCATCGCATTATCGTGGTGTTTATCAGTGTAATACAAGACCTTGCATATTATATCAACATACATTTTACATGATTCTGCATACTTGTCGATCTGCTATGTATAAATATACATACATGTACATACATGTGCTGCACATGTAGGCATAGGAGTACCATGGCCAATACCCCAGCGACGGAAGTCTGATCTACGCAGGCCCAGGCATCTACCCTGGAGTCCCTTTCTAACCTTTCTTTTCATAACCTTTGCTAGTACCAAATGAATTTATCATTAGTCACGAGATAAGAGCGCATTATATGTATGTCTCATGTATAACACCCGCCTGGGAATAGTTCACAGTTACGTAGGTGGGACTCCACAATCTTTAGTTTAATCGATAACGTATAACAACGGGTGAGGGAGGGTTTCGGTTAACTATTCTAGTGTAGGTTTCTGCACGGCCCGTTACGGGTTGAGATCGTTCAAGGGTCCATTTATATGCATACCCCACTATAGATACGTTTTGAGCCGCGTGCAGTGAACTTTAATTTTTGTTGTGACCCGGTGTGGAGGGAAGACCAATCTGGATACGATCCACGTAGAAGTAGCGATAATGGGGACATGTTGATGCATATTCGAGCATCATACGGAGAGTACTTGCATAACGCCGTCAAGGCTAGGCGCTGGAGGGATTTCATTGAGCCGTGAGCTCCTACTAGCTACTCGATACTTTACAACTCTCGAGTTGCAAACCACGTGCAAAGCTCCACCCCAGAGCCATGGCGCCAGTGTATATGTAGTATTTTCGGCGTGTAAACGGTCGATTGGGTGGTTTCTTATTACAATTGTATGAGCTTCTCAAGATATAAAAGGAAGAGATAATCCCCTCTTCAAGCACATAACTCGACATCAGCATCCTCAGCCTCGATACCAGAGATCAGAAGAATACATATTAATATAATTTTACTACCATAATAATTATATATTACACAATCAAACGAGTCGAAGTAATTCGGATTCATTAATCTAATTTATTCAATATGCTCTTCTCCAAATTCCTCGTTGTTCTCGGTGCTACCGCCGCCAGCGCTAGTAAGAACTATCATACTCCACAATGTATCTTCTAATAACAAAAGACTGACAAAAAAACCCGTAGTCACGATCCCAGCTGCTATTAAGCACTCAATGAAGTAAGTGATTAGTCATAGCGAATCAACTACTCTAAAATCTTTGCATTTGGATATCTAATATTTTCGAGCAGGACCGTCGAAAAGCGTGCAATTGAAGATGCTTTCAGACTCCAAGTTCAAGGTGGAACCTTAAACGGCTTGTGGCTCGTCGGAAACCCCACCAGCACTGGCGCGTTCGACGCAACAGAGACCAACGGACATGTATTCTCTCTCGATAGCGGCACCCTTAAAAGTACCTCAATCGGAGGCCTAGGTCCAACGGTCTTGGGTTATGACACCCTCGCATGGGCTTTCTTTGATAATTCCAATAGTGCTATCACCAGTTGCTCTATTGCTTCTGGTACAGATGTGCTTACTGGCTGCGTTGCTTCCTACCAAGACCCCGAAACACTTGATACATTCGATTACGACAGATTCAGTTATGTTCAGCAGGAAGATGAAGAGGGTATTAAATACGTCTGGAGTATGGGTAACTCTGGTACAAACTGGGTTACCGAGAATGGAAACACTATCACGTTGAAGGCTGTGGCGGTTTAAATGACCTATCACCATTTAAATAACAAATTAATCGCATCATCTTTAGGATACCTTGACTTTTATGATGATGCGAATGTGGCACGGACTCCTGTTCCAAAATCATGTAACTTAGAAACGAGTCGTTTCGAGCTATTAGCATACATATAATGCTGAGATTTCAATTTAATGTTAGGTAATGCAATGAAGCCCGAGTCCGATATCAAGATAAAGTAAACATCATTGGTGAATTGATAAAATTTTACTCGTTTTGGAACCAATTTAATCGTTCCGTGATCCATTTTATAAGTGAAAACCCCAACCAATCTGCCTGCGGCGTTACTACCGGCTGTCATGCTTACTTACTAGCCGGCCGCCTACTAGGCCCACTAGGCTATCCGTCCGGAAAACGGCCAGTACTGCAGTATATCCCGATAAAACTATATATCTCTCTGTTTCTGCTTCTGAAGTCAATAGACCGGCCGGGTCAGGCGGTTGGAGATCATAAAGAATAACTATTGTTTTCTAATTGATACCGTTTACATGCAAGTGCATATCTGTCTTAATTTAAGACTCTTATATGCTTTTACCGACGCAACTAGACTGCGACCCGCGACTAAAAAATTAAATAGCATTAGAACTTTTTTACAATAAAATGACATTACTATCTCTTTAACAAGATTTTCACACTACGGAGCCTATTCTACATTGTAGTAGTAGCGCATTACTCGAGTGTATACGTGTGCTATCTCATCTAGCTACTTCAGTATGTAGGCAATATGTGTCTCGAAGCGGTTGATGTCTAATACAACAAAAACAACACAATTCACATATATGCAGTTATATTCTCCAAGAAATTTCTGTGCCATTTCTGCCTTGTTTGTGCATGGCACCTACTTTTCAATCGGACTCAAAATAAAGACTAGTACCATCATATTTTTATTGATTTTGAGTAGTATAGAAAATGTGGCTGAAAACCCCCCGCGATAAAGTGTACTATTTTCAGAGACAGAGTTAAATTTGAATGATACTCTAGATGGAACTACGCTTTGGGTAAAGCGAGCTATAGTATATGCCAGTGATAAGTCTCATAAGAGGATGATAACAAGAAGCTTTGGGGATTAATTCTATCAAGGAATCTTACGTTGGAGTTGGATAGTTCATTCAGATGTATGGTTAAAATAATACGTTCTGTTCTGATATGTAGTAGTTCGATATCCTCAAATGCTGTGCGCCAATAGAACTTTATGGTCAGCCTTTTTCATGAATTCATCTTGATTTTGCTAGTAATCCTAGTGATATGACCTAGCATCGGTACCTGAACTTGTCTACGGCTGACCGAGATGCAACAATCTTGGCGTAGCATTTGGCTTAATTTTGTGTTGCTATCTCAAACGCTGACTTTGACCAAATTCGGTCCGATTAAGATAGTGGTATGATTATAGAGGTTTGTATTAAGGGTTACTGGTTTAAGTTAGGATCGCTCTTATGGCTGTCTACGGGCCAATCATACGCCTACTGTCATGTAGGGGGAAAATATTATGAAAGATTCACTTGATTGTGTGGGTAGGGAATGGAGCCACTAAGTTAGTTCTTGCTTAGCTTCGACATCCTCTGAGCCTGCTAGGCTAAGCTTGTCGCACGAATATCTGCCATAGAACTCGACTTAAACTAATCACGGAATGTTTTTTTGATTTTAAAAATCCTTGCTAATTGGCATTTATAGAACTCTTTTGCCTCGTATATTCCAAATCTATATGAGAGATGGCTATTAAAGAGCGTAGAACCCCTTTTCCTCAGCCTCGTGTCAAAGCTCCCTAACTACGCTCATTTCCAGCGTTATCTAGTTGGTGTTTAACCACCGTTAACCTATATCGGTGGAAATCATCTCCATGTGATACAATAGCCAATAGGCACGATATATAATTCGTTTAGTCCCCAACTATTATATATTGCAAAATAATATATACAAGGCCTCCAGCTCAGAAGATGGGGTATTTGATTTAGTTGAAGGAGTAGTATATCGAAAGAGTTGCTCACTTATTGTAAGACTCCAGATATTAAGTTGAAAGCGAAATCGGCACAAGAAGCCTTTTGAGCAATAAAGGATATACCTGGGACTGTATTTTTCTGACTAATTATTTAAAAAGATTGAACTCGATCTCTATTTTATACATAAGACGTGCAGGGATCTGAATGTGACGAAGCATAATATCTTGGAATCAGGAATGAAATTGAAACTGTGCCAATCCGTATACTGTATTATAGATAATCGGATGCCTCAATATCGTGAATGGATTTAGTGGCCCATGGTCCACCTGGCTCATCTTGTACCTTGACTACACCTATAAGGAGTTCTGGAACGAAAGAAATCGTGGACCCTTGGGGATAGTCAAGGGTGTCACGCTTAACTGGCTCCTTTGTCTAGCAACAGCCCAGCCACTTCCCAGAACCCCCAACGAACCGCAAGAGCCAGCAGCGTCATATCATCCCGATCGGTCGCCTCCAGATTCGCGCCACCGTTTACCAAAATCTCAGCCAGATCTGCGTACCCCATTTCTATGGCACAAACCAACGGAGTCTTACCAAACTCATCGGTAGCCTCCGTATCTAAGCCACTCCTTAACAGCGACCGAACTATTAGGTCACCTGGTATCCTCGGCCAGACGTCCAGAACAGCTTTCCAGCACTTGACATGATCCATTCGGCCTAACAGCATCCGGACCACCCCATCGTGTTCGTTTCCTGCAGCACACATTATCGGTGTCCAACTCTGCTCATACGTCGCATTGACATCTGCACCGCTCTCCAATAACAGCTCAACTACTTTTCGATGGCCCCAACCTGCGGCATGCATTAACGGTGTTCCACCCTTAGAATCCACCGCTTCGATATTTGCGTTACCCTCCAATAACAACTGAACTATTGTTTCGTGCCCTCCCCGTGCAGCCCACATCAGTGGCGTCCAACCAGTGTCATCTTTCGCTTCGATATTTGCGTTACTCTCCAAGAGCAACCGAACTATTTTCTCATGCCCTTCCCGTGCAGCCCACATTAGTGGCGTCTTCCCATTGTCGTCAGCTGCCTCTATATTCGTACCATTACTTATCAACAACATTGCCACTTTATAATACCCACAACGCGCACTCTCCATCAGTGCCGTCCGTCTTTTCTGATCTCTCGAGTCGATGTCTACATGACCCGTTCCTAGTAGTAGCTCAACAACGTCCTCACGGCCCTTCTCCGAAGCTGATCGCAACAGCTCTCCACTAATCGAACCCCGCGAGCTCGAGTCGATCCCATCGGCCCTTTTGAATAGTTGTTGGATGACATCATCGCTTCCGCTACAAATTGCATATGAAATCGGCGTCCCCCCAACATCATCTTCCAAATCCACCCGAGCACCAGCTTCCAGCAACTGCTTGATCACAGTTATGTGACGACCCCAAACCGCGTAAGTCAATGGTGTCCGCCCGAATGCATCTACAATGTTAACCTTAGCTTTTCTTTTAACCACCGCAGAAATTCCCCTCCACCGTGGAACCTTCAGCAGCGCTTTGCTAACGTCGCCAAACCCATTTTCCGCTGCCCAAGATAGCGCTGACCGTCGATACTCACCGTCAACCCTATTTATACCGGCCCTTTCATCTAATCGCGACTTAAGTACAAGCTTGACGACATTTAGAAGCCCAAAATAAGACGCTATGATCAATCTTGTTGCCCCGCTCGGGAAATTTGTATTGGTACCCGCCCAGTAAACTCTAAACCAAGTTGTACAGCGTTTTGAAGTTGCATCACACAACCCCAAGATCCACTCTAGCTCTCTCTCAACAAGATTAATCCTCGAGTTTCTGAGATGGGCCGCCCAGTGGTTGGCGGAGTACTCGAGAAACACATACTTTTTGCAGTATTCAGGCACTGACTCCTCCGCACTTAGTGGGTCAGACTCAAATTCGGCAAAGAACAGATGTCGGGCGCAAATGTAGAATAAAACCAGGTGGCAATCCCGCACATGAAGTGAGTTCCTCCATTGCAAACTTTGTCCGACATGTTGATAAGCCCCACTCCTATCATTGGAAACTAGGAACTCTTTTGCAGTCTGATGTATCAAATATACTGCAGATTCTATGACCACGACAAAGAGGCCACAAAGGTCTCGGATATAGTCGCGAATACGCTGCTCTGACTGCTCCATGATCATTCCAAGTCCTTTGTAGGAGTGATAATTGTCCCTAGCAGCTAACTGCATCGCTAGACGCATCTCCCGTAGCCGTAAAGGTCGCGCCGCCGCGATTAAAATTTTTAGTAGCAGTTTCGCCTCCCCCAAGTCGCGGCTCGAGGATAAAATCCGCTCGTAAGCTTCATTGACCGTTGTCGGAAGATGGGAAGTAATATTTTGTATTCTGTTTTCGCTGATATCGATATTCATCCTAGGATCACTCTCGATTAAGTTGAGGGTAAGATAGACCCATAGGTAGGTCCTATTTTTCACGCTTGTCAGTTTTCCCAGCAACATACTTCTTTCCGCTCTTGTCAGGCCAGCCTTTTCTCCAATTCCTTCAACCCTTGCTTTTATGAATATTTCAATTTCCTGAGAAATTTTGAGTATCTCGGCTTCGCTCTCGCCACTCAGGTGAATAAGGGAGGACTCTGGAATCTCTTGGTGATGAAGACCGTTGCGGATTTCGAAAATTGGGCGACTTGTCACCAGAAATTTGACATTGGATTCATTGGTCTTTCTGTACAGCTTCTGCAATTTTCCGATGAGATCAGATCGTTCATTTCCTTTGCACTCATCCAATGCGTCAAGAATGCAGACGACTTCACCAGCGCTATTATCCTTTATAGTAACTATGAAGGCGTCCCAGAGCTCAGTCAAATTGCTCGAAAACCCTTCTCCGGCAATTTCGAACCTCTCGATTATTTCTTTCGACAGTAGTATCCGTTTTTTGCTGAAAAGTTGGTACAGAATACAACATAGGGCGGTTACAGCGCTCCCCTGCCCCTCGAAGTCGTCCTTAAAGAAGAAATAGCAGGTCGTTCTCGCTTCGGTACTCGGAAGGATTGAATCGACTAAATATTTCGCAAGCACCGATTTCCCACTTCCAGGATCCGCCGATACCCACAAGATCTTAGAAGAGGGGCTGAATTTCCAATCCCGGAAAGTTTGGTGGGTTGTAAACCATTTGCATGTCCCAGGAACTCGATCCGGGTTTCTGTCCTTCCGATTCTTGTTTGTCGATTTATAGAGCGCACTGAGGACTTTGATCTCTTTTTCTCTTTGTGACGCAGCAGCTAGTGTTACAAACGTGGTAGAGTCAGCTTTAAGTCAATTCTTCGAATACCATTTCGCTATTTGGGTGTATATATCCACAGCGGATTTGGCATACCAGCATCGGCACCATTGATAGTTACTCCCCTAGTATACTATTAGTTCTTAGGCGTTTTAAAGGTCACCGAAAACCCATGAAGATTTAAACTCACCCAGTAATATTCACAGAATTTGCTTGTAGCCCAACACTTGCTTCCCGATTGTGGAAGGTGCCCAGAACGGGATCCATCGATGCTACGTTTCTGCCCGCTAGGGCCCTGTACTTTTTCCAATTCGATTATGACCAACAGTCGTACTACAAAGGAAGCGAGCGCCAGCTTTAACGCTAGTGCTAGTGACCGGAAGAGGATCCGCGCGTTAAAGTTAAGTTCTGAGGAACTTTATTTTGGTATCAACATCAGCCCCTGGATCATAAGGAGATGAATTTCGATTTAAGAAGTCTACGTTGTCTCGTACCGTAATGAGGTTTGATTCTTTAGCAGGAAGAGATTGTATCCTGCTAATCGCAACCAAGAACGTGTTTTGATTCGTACCCCGCTCCTTTTCAGCTCAGTAATGCATGATGGATGATTCTTGATAGCCTTCTCCAATTGCGATGGTACCTATACAAGTAGGTCTATTTTTATTTGTGGGTGAAGATGTACCAGTACACAGTCCATCTTGCGTTGTATCCGCGAAAAGCCACATCCAGATTGCAACAAAAACAACACCTCTGGGCGTTTGAAGCGGCATCATTCAGCATGCGGTTGACGTTTTAACAGCTAGAGAATATTAGATTTAGTCAACAGGCTAGTATCAGAAGAAGATCTGGTGTGTGCAACAATGCACCAGAGTGAATTCCACAAAAATTTGGCCCTCTTCAGCTCCCACTCTAAATTTTTACTTTGGGATGTCCGGATTTGGACTTATTTATTGCGTTTGCCAGGTAGTTAAGGCGAAATCATATATTTTTCGACTTGACCAACCACTCTGATACTAGCTAGGGTAAAGTGAATCTGCACCAACGAAAATCTAGGCTTGGTATCATCTTAAATCCAAGAACTATACACCTAGGTTCTGAACCGGAGATAATACAAAGTCGATTGTTCCCAGTTCCGATCTGAAGGATTTTTCTAAAGTTTTTAGCGTCAAACGACAATTCATTCAGTAACCATGGAAGGCAAGATCACAGTCTAGTAGGTCACATCACCTGCCATCGAATAATCTAGTTAGGGCCAGTTCAGTGCAAGCTCTATGAGAAAATACCTATTTGACAATGAAACACGGAGGAATTTAAGATGTCGGATGGATATTAACCCCGCAGTTGCAAAGTGGGAGAGTGATTCGGCGTAATATTCTTTTTTTTTTTTTTTGGCGTGGAATCAAGATCATGCAAAGCCTATGGAAAGAGAACTATTTCCGAAGATGGATTGTTTTGTGCTTTTGGGTACCACTTGTCATAAGATAAACGGGCGGCAATTAATTTTTGGCTATGATTGAAACGTCATTGGTTCGATTCGACTACATACACCTGAGATAGCAACTTTTGATTTCGGAATATCGATACGAGCGAAATTACTAATAATTATTATAAGGTCCACCAGCTGGCCAGAAAATCAAGTGGCGAGCAGAAAGGCAGGATGGATATTCTATATATATAACTATCGCAATAGCTATACTCATATATACCATCCCAGCTAGCTCTTCCGAAAGAACGTTGACAATCAATTGACTGAGCTTCTAGCTGCGTAGGTTAATTTAAAACTCCATGTCCCTGTCCAAGGAAATGCATGCATGACAGCCGGTCGGCCCGAGTTGAACATGAGGGAGTCGAGGATCCGCAAGTCTTGACAAGGGTATATTTTGACTAATTAATGTTAACGAACGTTCGAACAGGGGACGGGTTTCGCCTGACGAAAAAAAAAAAAGCTTGGACCAACGCATATTTCGGCCACGCGGGTGTTTTTTCGCAAGAACGTAACGTTATGAAGTTTAGGATAAATATATGGACAAGGTTGGGTGAAGAAGATCGCCAGATGGTTGTCTGATAGTTTTTGGTGTATAAGAATCTTAAGATCTTGGCTATATATATGCGGAGAAATCTGTGCTTGAGGTTTGAAAAATTTCAAAGGTCTAGCCGCCGCAAAAAATGAGTTATTTTGAAGATAGCTGTGGCGAAACAAGCAGTGATTGATAATCAGACTAAAAGGTGATTTTATAAAATTGGGTTGGTACAACATGCGATATTTGATATTTTCGAAGCCTTTTTTACATGGAAATTGATCTTAAGCATCATTCGGAATCTCGTTTGTCAGTTGGTATCATGATTTCGAGAGCTATGGTATATCACGCGACCTCAACAATGCCCTCAGTATTCGGTAGCCAAGTTAGAGATGCAAGACATAGCTGTATGACTTCTGTAAAAAATTTCTGTTACTTAATAACCGGAAGCTATATTTTCGAGCTGTTATCGCTAGAATGAAGATCTCAAGGGGCCCTGGAACCCCACAAAAAATGAATAATAGGCCAGTGTCGGATGTGTCCCCATAAGTACAGGGATATGACGTCTGTTCTAGCGGATATTTTATGTTACATATGCAATGCACTGGGGTCTATCGTTGTAATTGGCATTGAAAAATTTGGAATAAAACTTCCCGATGAATGATTACGTATATGATACTCATGAATTTTTAACCGCGGGACCGAGGCATTGTCTGGTATAGACCCATGTAAGTTTATCAATTTGACCTCGAGACGATCGTGGACATACTTGCTCCCCCAAGAAAGTTGAAAATCTAGACTATATAAAGGCCTTCGTTCTTCGCAATTCTTCAATACAATCACGACATTCAGTCATCAAGAAAATCTTATAAACTAAACCAGTTATAAACTTAAGAAACCCAAAGTATATATTTATATCCCAAACCCGGATATCCACTCATTTCTTAGCCAGAGTTCTAATTCCTCTTTCATTTAGCACCCAAAATGCGCTTCACAACTTTCACTCTCGCACTCGGCCTTGCCGCCACCGCCCTCTCCTCCGCTATCCCACAGCCAGCCCCCGAAGCCCTCGCCGAAGCGCAACCGGTCTCAGAAGCCCTCTCTGACATCGCCATGGACAACACTCTTGACAAGCGTGCCTGCGTCTACAACGGCTGTACCTGCAGCAGTAACGTCGGGAGCAATTGGGCGGTCGGTGTCTACTGCGGAAAATGTTTCCAAGTTTATACTTTTGGAACTGGTGGAAAGAACACTGATGCTTACCAATGTGGTAAGGGTGGAAGTTGTTGCAGATATGGTGCTAGGTCTTCTTGCTCTGCTTCTAACTGGGGACCATGTGGTGACTGGAATCCCTAAATGGATTTGAGAAGGGATGATGGGTTTTGGAATTTGAGGATGTGGGGAAGATATGTATCATGTATATGTGTATGATATGTACTATACATACAAGAAATAAGGGCAAGAATATATGCGGTATCGGTAGTAGAATTATTTGGAATTAAGTGGAGCCTCAGAGAGTTTCCTACTCATTATAATATTGTAGTTACTATCGAAGTTACAATAACCACCACCAAAATAGTTTTATATAAATTGTAGTCAGAAAACAGATCTTTCCATGGATCAATCATAGCTACATTCTATTCATCCACCTCCCAAAACTGAAAACTATCAAAGTAGAAGCTTTCAGTATCATCAGGCGCACCTCGAGACAAATACATAGAAACTTGAATCGTCATAGTATCGAACTCAACAGCTTCCTCAGCCGCAGATTCAGCTGTTTGCCATTCATTCGTCGCCCCCATCTTCATTTGTGACGTGAATCCCAGAAAATACGGAATCCACGCGTTATCCCTCGAAGGACTATCAATCTTGTATTGGAATTTGTATTTATACTTCTTGCCGACCTCAACGGGGATATGTTGTTGGAACAGGAATACACCTCGTTCTCCAACCCAGTTGACCTTCAGGGCGTTTGGAGAGGTGCGGCTGCCGTCGTTTGGAACGACCTCGTAGGTGCAAGCGTCGCAGCCGGTGTTGTTTCCTAAGATGATCCAGTCTCGGAATGGATCTGTAGGGTCGTCGAACCCTGGATTTTTAATGAGTGGGAGGTATGTAACTTTTGCCTCGACGTATGTTGTTACTACTGTATATAGCTCCTGGGTCTATACCATATGTTATAACGTTTAGCGTCACTCCGATCTAGATGATCCTTTTTAGGGGAATAAGGATAACAAAGATTCGAGGGCTACATACAAGAGTAGGGACCGTTTCAGATGCCCAGGTGTAGTCTACATACGTAACTGTGCTTTTTGGCCTCCCAGATAGAAGACAATTACAAGCACTCGTAATCTTGAAACCATCTGAAGAACATTTATTCTCAATATTCGAAATTGCTTTCTCTGGAATCTCATCACGTTTCATAACTGGCGCTGGGGCAGGAGTAATAGTTGCTTCAGCAGTCCCAGTAGTAACCGTGATTGTATCCGTGAACGTCGAGGGATGTTCTGTAGTTTCACCATATGTGACTGTGAATACTGTTTCATAGACGACCTCGATTTCAGGCCGGATGTCAAGATAGTTAGAGCAGTAGGCGAGGCCGATCGAAGTGGTGCCTCGGATTGCTCGGAGACAGTTGTTTGCATTGCATCCTCCAGCACCTTTATTATGTTAATATAATTAGAAATTGTTGTGTAATATAATGATGTTAGCTGGGGTAGTCTATTATATTATCGTGCGTACCTCCTCGTTCCACAAGATCCAACGGAGACGCGTACGCGATACTCGCGAGAAGGATCGTAGAAAATACCGTATTTCTCATCGTAGATATTACTCAATGGCAACTTGGTCGATTCGACTTTGTATACGAAACTGAAACAAAACGCCTTAAGAGATCGGTATTATTAAATAGAAATTAAGGAACCGGTGGCAAAGGCTGATTGATCGGATCGGGGACTGTGGGCTGACTTGTCATTTTATCGCATTCATTTGCAGCCCTACAATCGCATTCGCAACCTGCACTTTCGAATTCAGGGTCTTTTTTTCACGAGGGCGCGAAGGCGCGGCTGAAGTGCATGATTCCGACCAGGAAGTGATCGTCACGAAGCCTTTCCTCTCCGAGACTACCGAGATCGCCAAGAACTTGGCTCGTTCTCCAACATCATTAAACACTTAGGACTCGGGAAAACATCTTCCCGGAGTAAAGGGCTGCTCAATGATAGAAGCGACATTTTCCGCAATGGGGGAGCTTATAGTGCTATGTTTATACATCAGATCGATACTGGTGGATGAGGCGGTTTCGAGTGTTGAGTTGTGGTGTAACCGGGTCTTGAAAGCAAGGCCTCGAGACCAAGGACAGGGTTACCCCGTTGAGCCTTGTGTTACCACCTCTTTTGGGGGAATAGATGGTGATCGGTGGAACCAATCAGAAGGCCAACAGGGCATGTGTTGGTTCAAGAACAAGAATCGAACTTTGTCTCGACGGGATTAATATTTCGATCTATGTCTGAACCATCCGCATAATTTAGTGGGGTATTGTCACGTAGTTATATATATATAAGTATAGAAGTATAGAAGTTTAGTGTGTTTCAAAGTATATCGGTACTTTGATTAGCTGATAGTCAACATTGCTACTAACTACAAGCTTGTCAAGTGCTAGTCTAAGATATGTCTTTCGACCAAATCCACGATAAGATCCAGGGCTATAATATCGTCCATGAATCATTTTTATGGTCATAGAATCTAAGCACGGAGAATACGCTTCATCTTTGGCGAAGCGACGGTACCACCGTTAACCTCCTTGGGGGAGACGTTGGAAGGAGCCTTCTTGGAAGAGGCGATATAGGCCTTAAGATCATCCTTTGGACCTGGGTTGATAACACCGACCATACCACCTTGGCAGTGCTTTCCAACAGTGCAGTAGTACCAGATAGGATTGCTATCTTCAACCTTGATGCTGAAAGTTGGGCTCTGTTTATGGGAGTCAGTATCTATTGTGCTAGTTCAAATTGATTGGGGCGGTCCAACGTACCTTAGCACCACCAGAAACGCGCAAGAAGCCGGAGTAGAAACCACCCTTCTCAAGTGGCTGACATGGCTTATCGAAGATACCACGAGCGACAGAGTGGGTAGATGGGTGGAACTCGAAGACAACGGTGTCGCCGGTGGCGGCCATCAAGCTGGCTGGCTCGAAGACGTCGTTTCCGTCGTCATCGGTCATAGCCTTGATGATGTGGGTCTTTGGGGCTGGCTTGGGCTCATCCTTGGGCTCATCCTTAGCCTCATCCTTAGCCTCATCCTTAGCCTCATCTTCCTTGGGCTCATCCTCCTTAACCTCATCCTTCTCGGCTTTCAAGGGGTCAGTATTAGTACCGCCAGTGGAGCAGTGAAAAGGGTTATATCAACTCACCTGGCATATCGTCTTCAGCCTTTGCGGGTTTCTCCATAACCTTGACAGGTTCTTCTTCATCTTCCTTTTCCTCACCATCTTTACCACCGACAGCTGCGGTAGCAGTGACGGTAACGGTAACGGTTTGGACCTCAGTCTGGGTCTTTGTTGCTCCGCTACCGGGTTTGATGATAGTCTTGAGCTTGGTGACGGTACAAGTCTTGGTCTTCCATTGAACCCTTGTGACATATTTCACGACGGTTTTAGCTTTAGGTCCATGGTTACCCCAGTTATCATCACCATAGGCAAGAGCAGAGCTATATTTTTCAGTAGTGGTTAGTATTGATGTTTTAGGAATGTACAAGTCGCGTTACGGGAGTATCACAAACCTGCTCAACAATCCAGCAATAAGAGCAAGTTGGAGACGCATCTTGTAGCTTGTTAAAAGAATGTATTTATATACTCAAAATGTATAGATATGATTTAAATGAGTGAAGAAAATGAGTGAATGAATCTCGATCGGATCTAAAGAATGACCTGATTATGAGCTGATGAACTGAGGCTCTAAAAGAAAACGATATCCCAGTTGACCATACCCTCCGTTTTATAGTTGAAGAACCATCAGAAGATTACCCCAAACCGAAGCTAAGTTAAGAACACAAGCGAGCTCAGTTCCGAAAACGTAAATGCGTAATCGAATGCCACCTTCATAACGGTCAATAAAGTGGCGACCGTATACCATGGACGGAACCAGTATCATTGAACCGGATCGTATCTCAACGGGAAGGCTCACACCGATAGCCTTACATGGGTGGAGTTATCGATTGGCTTTGCGATAAAACGAAACACTTCGCCTGTGGACGCCAAGCCGGCTGCCGCTACCGTAACAGCTCATAGCGCTTGTCGAAGAAACTTTCAAGGCCCATCCTTCCGACATCTGCGTTAGCTTGCCAATTATAGGATTAAACTTCAATGGGGATAATTTTGCGAAATGACAATTTTTCTGGGGGGTTGTTTCTAGAAAGAGGTCGGATTATGCTGTTTTGTCAATTTGCCAATTGGCCAAGCTGCCATGTCCCCTTGGGTTATGTGGTCGTTGAAGCTTTTGCATATCGTATGATTATGCAAACAAGGGTTGTAAGTCACTACATGCATGTAGCGTCCTTATCTTAGAGATTCGATCCTTTTCTCCACTTTTACTTTGATTCTCCCCTTCTTTACTATCACTACCAATCTAGGTTCTTGGTAGTCTCACATCATAATATTGTTGGTCGTCTTTAACGTGCGTTACGGAGCTAGGACTTGGAGATAGGTGTCTTGAGACAACACATCGGCTCGTATAGAAAAAGAAGTTTATTAAAGCTATGCATAATGATTAATGGTGGCTACCGTCAATCTCATACTGGATACTATATTGGTTCAACTATCTCAAATTCGGTTTGATCAGATATAAAACTTTGCGATCCGAGTCAGGATGCGCCATGAACTCAATGGCCACCTAAAAAAATATGCATGAGCGCATGTGCCATCTTCAGTAACGGACTAGTCAATATTATAGGCATTTAAGCTTAATTATTCGGCGAGACAAAGGTTATCACTTTCTCGAGTTACCCGATGGTATCCCTAAAAATGGGGCAGCGGCTTCGGTAGAATGACTTGTTGTCCATTAACTGTTCTCCAATATGCGCTAAAGAGGTATAATAGTTTTATTTTATGAAAACGGCGAAAAATTAATATTTGGTCAACAGTTTAGCTTTGGATACTATTTGGAGTATGGAAATACTTCAAAAGTTACTTCAGTTCTATATTAGGAGCATGTCGATCCTTGGTACAACAATTATCAAAAAAAGAAAAGCTCTTGTACAGCATCGGACTGCCTTGGATTAGTGGTGCCTGATCGGTTCATACCGCCGGCTACTATGCCGAAAGTCGAGCCTTAGGTGGTGGAACGACAACAAATACCTCTGATGTCGCAGATGGCATACTCCTGCTTCTAAATGGCTGTCGTGGGCCTATGATTTCCTCCTGTATTGCGGATATTCTTTGCGAGGTAACATGAAAGTCTCTTTCAACTGTAATTCCTCGCTCAATATCTTCCACAGATGGACATCGCAGTTGTTCCTCGGATTTCATATCCCCAAGTTCCAAGTAGCTATGCATGACGTCTTTGTTTGCTGTTAGAGTTGCTCCAGTGGTTGTATAACTCAGAGACTTCGGGGGGCTTCGACGCGTTTTGTCTCTACGTGTGAATCGGATTACGCCAAATTTCATCGAAAGAGTCTGAAATTTGGATGCCCCTCCACCGTCTCCAAACAATTTCTTCTTGAACTTTATAATATGACGGTTCAGCGCCGGTAAGGATGCGACGATAAGTGCGAGACTCAGTTCTATAATTCCAATAAATCCAACATGTGTTGAGGTCCAAGTGATATCGTACGAGTTCATCATTCTTCTGTAAAAGACGAAAGGTTTGAGGGCGCTAAGGATCATTGTGATTCCGCCTAACATTAACAAGAATGTAAGGTTATATTTATTGGACTTTGACATGGTCGGGAGCTTGATAAGGATATATATCGGTGGGAATAGTGTCAAGGCGTCCAATAGGATGTGGCCAGTCATGAAAACGCCATAAACCGTGGTCGAATATAGACTAACACATGTGCCGTCGAAGGCCTTTCTGAAATTGAGAACGTTGGATAAAGGTAGTCCGCATTGAAATATTTGAGTTACGACGGCAGCAGTACCGAATAAGTAGGAGAGAGTCAAGAGGATGTAGAGGTACCATCGTCTTGTCCTTGAAGTTAATGGCGTTAAGCGTAAAAGAAGGTGCTGTATCGATATTCTGCAAAGATGCAGTGCTGCAAAGGAGAATATAACGTGTAGGTATGTTACCTAGTATGTATTCGTCATGTTAACAAATGGTCTTAAGAGGTAGAAGAGAATCGCTCGGTTGACTAACCAACAAGTTACCCCTAATATCTTTGAGTGACAGGTCGTAGAGGTGAAACCCGAATCCGGTTCCAAATACAGCTACGAGACAGGAGTAAGCATTATGGAATCTTTTAAATGAGGCCGATATCATATCATATCAAGAAGGTGGGGTTAGGGCGACCTTACCATAAATATTAACAACATTGAATGCAATGTAGAATAACTGACCATCCATAGTTGTGAGCTTTGGTCACATAGCCATAATATCCTAATGCGAACTTACAAAAGTTGGCACCATAACCCAATCATCCATACCACAAGTCCCAAGAGACCTCCATCGCGCCCAAAACCGTGCAACAACTATAGCAGCTGTAATTGAAACTATGATGAACGAAATAATGACCGAATATAACGTATTGGATGGTGGCCGATAGCCTGGCACGGTGACCAAAGGAAATTCGAAGTTTTCTGGCCACTTCCTGAATAAGGGTGACATTGATAAGATATAGGCCCTATCGGCATCGGTTTGAGGGTTTGGAGGCGAAAGCATGTTGACGACTAACGCTTTTGGTCGAAATGTGTTGTATTGTGGTAGATTCGATTCTCACCAAATTGCTGGCTTGCGGCGACTCCACCATCCCTCCTCCCTTTCATTGCATCGGTGATTATTTGGATTGGGGAAACCCTTTGCAACAAGAAGTAAGCATCTATTTTGCTTCTATCTAGTGGGAAGGGCGCCTATTTAAGGGATTGCTGATATCAGATAAACGGCAGTTTGCATGCATGGAGTGGACTTTGAAATACTTTCTTTTCCAGGGCCTAGGGACCAAGGTCCCGGGACAGCATACACACAACTCAATACCTGAAGAATGCGAAAATCACGATCCCCCTCACGGTCGAACTTATTATTTTCCTGTTTTAGAACCTTGAAAGGCATCGGTGTGGTGGGTCCGGAACGACCGTGTATGGAACCGAGACCGCAAGGAAGCGTGCCAACCCTCCGTCTAACGACGCAGAGTTCCTTATGCACGGATGACTACTGGCTGCCACAGTCATCATGACATGCAATACTATGCAGATACTGACAGTTATCGATAAAGAGTTTCCTTGGCAGCTTCACGATACGGAGATTTCCCAACCAATCTGCTGGCAAAAGAGACCTGATTTAGTGACATTGGGTTTTGGAACTGTTCTCACGCATTCAAATAAATTTAAAAATTTGATCTATACAGAGTAGCCATGGACATCCTGAATACATCGATAACAGGTTTCCATGAACGCAAGGGACAGTTTCCCTGCCATGCAGGGGTAAGAAGATCTTCATTCCTCGTCCAAAAATATTACTAACGAAATGAAGGTCCATCTACAATTTGCCCAACCTCCTTTTCCTCATTTTATGGAGAAAGGAAATCCTTTCAACATTTTGGTTTCGATCTGAGTATACGGACATGGATTGATCCCTGGCTTGATACAGCGCTCGTTCGTGGGTCCGCGTGTCTTTACGTTAGGCACACACTCCATTAGCTTCTATTCGCCTAATATTTATGGAGACGAGCCTGCTAGCGGTAATACTCCCTCCCTCAAGTTGAATAGTTGATTATCGGAGGTTTATGATCGTTAGCGCTAACCGAGCCGAGAACTAGGTATTATCGGCCCGGTTGGCAATCCGATCGCTTTGCTAGCCGACTTGGCACATAATATGCCGATACTATGACAAGTCCTGTTTTAGCAGTATGACCTAAAATCACGGTTGTTTTTACAGAATACTCATCATCTTCAATGTAATTAAAAAATATACTATGGTCAATCTAAATATATAAACATTAGGACATCTGTTTCGTATATATGGGCTGCTAAGATATATTATCAAGGGTCCAAAGCTCCTCCATCTATAAGGCCCAAGACTAAAATATTTCATTTCCGAGCCCTTGCATGCATATTTCCTTGTTACCTACGAAAGTGTAAACGAAATCTGACATGATTTAAATACTTTACCGTTGAAACAGTTATACAAAAGATCCTAACGATTTGCTAAAGGTTAGGAGTCAGGCTACCCTCGAGACTATGTTCAAGGCGCCGAGCCTAGCGGCTATAGGGTAGTCAAGTAGTTGGGTGTGTCGCCGAGCACGGAAGCTTGCCCCCCCGGGGCTACGATGGAGTGTAGCGTTTTCAATATATTATAAGACCCAGTTGTTGTCGCGGCCGGGGGTCTCGTCCAAACCTTTGTCGCCCAGGGACAGAATACAAGCTCCCATCACCATCACCATCGTCATCCAATCTCCAAAGCTTCCAATTCGAGCAATATTTCACAACTACCACGAGGAAGCTCGAGTGATAAACTCTAGCTTCATCTTCGACTATGCTATTCAACTAAGGGATATCAAAGAAACCAAAGCAGGTAAGCCCTATAGGTACCCCGTGGCGCGAACGAACAAGGGAGCAGTACTAAGATATACGTTATATACGTTAAGACACGATATTCGGGGTATTAATTCATATTCATCATCGCATCGGCCAATATCGGTATCAATCGCCGAATCAAAGCTAAAAACTATAATTCCACATTATCAAGACCTGCCCAACGAATTAGAATGCCCCACTACACTCGTATCCCTAAGTTCAAACCAAACCGACCACTAACCGGCCCTTCCCTCCTCAAATACTCCAAACAAAAGTACTCCAAACAAAAAGACTCAAAACGACCATCGGACCCTTCCACAACCTGGAATCCTGACATTTTCGAAGCTATTCGTAGTCTCCACCTTCAAAAAAGTCCAGGCCTTCGAACTTGCAAAGTTTTGCTCAGTCAACACCTCCCCCGTTCTTTGGCTCAAGACATCGGATGCAATGAACCATTACTTCGTGACCTCTTGGGGGGTATCGATGAAGACGAACAGCACCGTTTGATTGTACGACTTGGAAGAGTCATATTTTACATGGATGGGATGGCTCTACTCTCCCTCGGTTGTCCTTTGGAGACACAAACTTTTGTCGATGGAATGAATGCCCTACTATCGGATGGGTTTCTAGCCGACCTTTCATTAGAAGAAGTCATCGAAGGGGCTGATATTAACATCTACTGGCCTAAAATACACCGGGCGGCTTTGACAGGTGATAAAGAGGCGATTGGCTATGCTTTGTATAAAGTTGCTGTTGAAGCCAAGGCTACGGTGTTGTCTGGAGAGTGGAAAGAGATGAGTGCGTTCTATTGCAGTACGTCCTATGAAATGGCACACAATGTCATCATGACTTCTGACTTCTTCCTTACTCGAGTACTTGCTGCTTCAAATGGCATACACTTGAATCTTTCAAGCTGTGTACTGGCTGAACCTCCGAAGGAGCCAGTATTCAGAGGGCTGCTGGAGGGAAGGGATGTCACAGCAGCATCGAAGTGGCCTCCATTGTTGCCATACATCTGGAAGCTCATTAGGAAGGCGCATTTCTACATTTTTGCTGGTTTGGTTGCCCTAGAGGCACTTATCTGGAAAGGGATTAAAGGCAGGTTAGTTTTCGCGTTCATACACTACGAGATCTGTTTGGTTATCCTGTTGTTAGGTTTCATCGACGATTATGTGGTTTCTTTGTATCCGCTTATGACACAGGAGTTGAATGATTGAATACTTATGGCGGGAGTTTTTTGAGCGGGTTCATCGCAATGTATGTAGAACTACGAACTTAGAATAGATTATCTATTTTAACCGCAGGGCTATCGACTTAGGTAATGGAAATTATTTTCTCAGACTCTAAATAGTTCAATTTTTTGTTATTGGTTTTTATACTATTAGATACAGAAACTGGTATCAACGGCTGAATTTCATAATTATACTACAAGAACTCCTTTTTCCTTGCCGCTACAACCTAAGATGATAAAAACGCTAACTTGTAACCAACCTCAAAGCAAATAATCTTCAGCTGCCAATCAAGGCCATCTTCGTGCAAACGGCTGCTGCGGGATCGGAACCTGCTGTGGCTGTTGTGGTTGTTGTGGCTGTGTAGCTCCCCATTGCGGCCACCCGCCGGGCTGCCCATATTGTTGGTGATATCTTTGAGCTGGAATAGCATAACCTCTCCTCACACATTCATTGACCCATTGATTTGTCTGATCTCTCAGCTTCACTCTATCCTCAAAGTTCTGGTTATAGGCAGCTGTAACGGCATCCCACATCGATGTTGCCGCATTCCAAGTCAATTTCATTCCTGACAGAAATAATGCGGTCGCGAGGCTCTTTGCATCTTGTTGTGACCACGGATTTTCGGTTGGTTGGCCCGTTAGTGGGTTCTGTGCACCTGGTGCTGGCGGTTGTGGGATGTAAATTGGTCCTTGTGGGGTTTCTACAAGAAGGTATGGAGAATTTGCCGGTTGTTGTGCTGCTGGTGCCGGAGCGGCCCCTGCGATAGGTTGTTGAGGCACTTGTGGAAATTGCCCATTCCATTGACCTTGTTGCATTGCAGCTTGATTTTGAAGCCTGGCTTGCTCTTGCTGTTCTTGTGCAGCTTTCATATATTCGAAGATCGGACGGATACCAATTCTATAACGGACTCTGTCCCACTCGTAAAGCGTTTTGGCGCGATCCGGAGGTGGTGCTGGAGCACCGAGCTTTGAACGGACTTCGGTCCAGGTCATTTTTTGTGCTGGTGGAGCGTGAAAGTCTTGTGCGACAAACTCACGGTTATGCATGTGATTTAAGAGACGACGGAGGCGGTTTTGTTTCCGGACTAAGGGCATCTGTTGAGGAAGGGGCATGTTGGGCTGCGCAGGTTGTGGAACTTGTGGAACTTGTGGAACTTGTGGAACTTGTGGTGTGCCTGCTAGTGGTGCAACTGGTGCTTGCTCGCCTTCTTCGAACTGCGGAAATGCGCCTGGCATCACTGCTGCTAACATTTCTTCAAGATTGTCTGGGTTTGGTGCTGCTGCTGCTGGAGCCGCGGGAACTGGTTGAGGTTGGCCGGGGGGAGCTGGAAGAGGAAGAGCCTGCTGAGGAGGGAACAGGTTGCCGGCTTGGTCGAAAACGCCGAACTGATTAGCCTGGCGGAAGAGTCCACGACGAGGCATTTCGAATAGTGTTTTCAAGATATATCGATAATGTGATATTCTTTGGAAACGAGAGTACTCGAGTTGGGGGTTTTAATGTTTGGGAAGAAATGGTAATCGTTCCCAAAGTACTTAATTTTACTGTCGTAGTAGTCTAAAAATAAAAAGACTGGAACACTGTACTGACTTCGAACTTGGTGAATCTATAATAATTCAGTGGTCTTTAAGTGATGGTGGACGGGGTAGTGAAGTGAAGAGAGAACGAAAGGAAAGAATAAATTTCCCGGCCGGGGAGACCGCAATTTATACCCCTCGTATAGTAGCCTTATCTGTTAATTCATTGATCGCTACTTGGGTATAGAGTCACACAAATCAAGACTCTAGGATCGTGAAGCTGATCAAGGCATCACGAGAGTTGGGAAAATACTTGATCGTCGAGTACCCATACCAAGAACCAGTTCAAGTCTGATAATACAGGGAATAAGACCATGTGGTATTTATTGTGTTGTTCGGAAGTTGATTGATCGACGGTATCGATACGTATCTGGATCTCAATGAGTATGAGGTTGTATTTTTTGTTATACGAGAGTGTGCCAAGCCAGTCGATCGTGTTTATCGTTGAATTTCCTATCTTCAAGGCGTCTTTGCTTCCAGGTCTGGGTACGTACGGGACAAGCGCCTTGACAAGTTTACTCTCCTAGGCTCCTTTGATTCGGCGGGTGGGTTCAGCACCCGTCTAACAACTAGACTAGTGATTCTCTACGAAGCGGAGTTTGCTCACCGTATTCGGTCATAATGACATTTCTATACATCCAAGTAGCCTCGAGACCAGGCGCAGGGTGAGGGCAGAGATCTAAGCTAAGGTTATGCGATACTACACAGGTGCACAAGTAGTTAACTTTAGGTGCGGTAGCATAAGTCTAGTCCTGTTATAAAGTTCCTAACCCGTAAAATACTTGTGTATACCTTACAATACTAGTATTATCAACTATAATACATATACATAATATTTTTACCTGTATATGTCCAAAGTTGTCGCAATTGTGATCGAATATAATTCAAAAACAAAATTGAAATTTAAATTAAAAGTTTAAATTCTATTCTATTCTGTTCTATTCTATTCTATTCTATTCTATTCTATTCTATTCTATTCTATTCTATTCTATTCTATTCTAAAGGTCACCACAGATCTACAGGGCAGCATAATTATATAAGTAGATTATATGCTAGTAGATCGTCCCGGCTATAAGCTAGCTTATAGACCAATCAACAACTAAATTAGTAACCGGGTTGGCTAATATGTATAAAACATATTTATATGCATGGGTTGTACATTTGCATATAATTCTTTCCGATTTTGGCCGCCATATCTGTATCGTTAATTCGCATTAAGTAACTAGATTTTGCAAACTTTTGGGACATAAAACCAGTCTTTCTGTATGAGGACTTAGTCTCTTCCCCAGAAGAAGGCACTAGATAAGATTTCCCTTTATGAAATATTTGAGCAACAGCTATAATTTAGGCTGGCTGAGCAGCTCACGGTCCGGTCGGTTGGTGAATAGGGTTGGAGATCGGCACTATTGTTGTATGCTACATAGGAAATTGTCATATGAATATTAATTTGGAGCGGCGGATCCCAATTCTTCGGAGAGCTAGAGTATGGGTCGGCTAGATTCCTTGACAGACGTTCTACTGTTTTACTGGAACTTGATCTACCAGTATACTTCACATCTTTTTCTTCACTCCGCTCATATATGTTCGGTTTCAAGTTATCACCATCTTATTTTCTGTTTAGGTACGAGATAACTGTTTAGGAAATATATTAGATTATTAATATGTCGCGAATCTTGAACTTAGGTCTCTTCTTTGTTCCTAATATCATCAGTGTACCAATCATAGTTACAAATCTTGTTCCAAGACGAAGCTGAGACAGTTTTAAAAACCCCATCGGGATAACAAGGTGAGCCATAGTAGTGTTTTACTAAAGGATTCTTTATTGTTAGTTTTAAAGTTGATTTCGACCAAAGTAGCGTTCAATTGAACTTCAATCGTTTGAGTGTCTTGAGATCTAATATATAGTTCATATCGAACACATAGTACCCCTTCCGCCATTTTCTCTAAAGCCTAGATGGAAACCAGTGTGCTGTAATTTGAAGAACTCCTATGGCAATAGGCTCTTAGAATCAGACTATACCGGATAGCTGAAGAAGCAATCTTCCTTTAGAAAAAGAACCCAGAAGTCCCCAAGAATGAGTGAAAGATTGGTCTTAACACCCATCCTTCCCAATGGCATCTCGCTTGAACAGTTCAACTCGGTTAAAAAAGTTGCGACTTATCTCGGGCTTGATTCACCAGACTTGAAATACTTTTGTGATGCTTGCATCTTGCGATTAAATTTCATTTTCGGAAATTCTGAGTTGGGGAATAGAAATCTAAGCTTTAGGCGGCCAGCCCCTCCAGTTTGCTGCAGAAACAGGGGGTTATTTGGCCGAATTGCTCTCTACCGCTACTCTCGACAGACTCTTGGCTTTGAAGGCAGTTATCGATGCAGGTCATGTCGGGTTCCCGGTTTATCAACTGTGCATTCTCAGGAGGAGGCTTTGGCTTAAGTTCTCGAAGAAGGCTGGATCTGGATCTGGATCTAAATTTGGGTTTGGGTCTGATCTTAACCCTGAAATTGAGGTTGAATCACCCATTGAGAAGGGTCAATACGGGCTTGCTGGATGGGAAGACAACGAAAAATGGAAGCACACGCGCTTCGACTCACTGGCAGGTTAATACGAGTGTAGTAGTTACCATTCGAACTTCTTATATTTAAGAACAGGAGTAGTAGCGGTAGTAGTCATAGTAACAGTATTCATTAACAAGTGACTGGCGATCAAGTTCAAGTGCTCCATTTAAATGGGTTTACTAACTACAGGGTCGAAAAAATATTGGGTGATCATAGTTACAACAGACCAAAGTAATGAGTTTATCCGCACTATACATCAATGGGTCTTATTACCGATATATTAGATTTTCTTTTGGTGGGACTCGGTACGAGACCACTGATATATGGCTATATATACGCATCTCTAGCTCTACATAGTACACCTAAACTCTGAGAACAAAAACCCAAAGGCGGCCTTTCCTTAAACCTCAAGTAATAACTAGTTAATACTATGACTGCATTGAGACAACGGTTATATTAGATCGATAGACATAAGGTTAGTATACTGTTATCTTATAGGTCGGAAGAGTGATATGTATAGATATCCGTAGACCGGGTATTGAAAACATAATAATTAACCGGTATCCACTGGCCTGGGCCGTGATAATAGTATTATGGTAATCGCCGCATCCATCGATAAGAGAAACCAAGTTAGATGTTCGGCAGAGTTGCCAAATCCATAGCGTCCTCACAAACCATGACCAAGAAAACCATCATCCGGACATTCGCCCAAGACAGTATAGCGCAGCAGCATATCAGGCCAATCAAAGCGGTTAAATCTACAACAAAGTCCCAACACGACAACACAGAAATTCTTTTACCCGATAGCACCATTTGCGAAAGACGCTGTTCCCGTTGATCCGAGCTTCTAAATTGGCAGAATGTCGAGGAATACCTGAATTTCAAAAAGAGCGGTTCTGGTACATCAGGCTATAGAGCCCAAATAGCCGGCGATGATTCCCCACAAGGCAAGGATAGATTGGTATTGTTTCTCCGGTGCCCGGGATGTCCCCCGCATTTCCCACATGCCGGCTAAATTGAAAAGAAACCCGATCGTGCGTTTTAAAACCGGGTGATATAGCCTAACTTGGACCATGATCGGCCAGAACTTCTATTCCAACCAGCGCCTGGGTAAAGCTTGATTCAGAACCATAGGACTAACTTTTTCAATGTCGAGGTTATCCCCGGCAGATGATCATGGGATTCATGGGGAAAAAACTTTATCATAAATATTCGTAAGTAATTAGTACCTTTGGTCGCGGGTGATCGATTTCCGTTACCACGAATACATAATCTAGGTTCTAGGTCAGGGAATAGACCGGAAATACTTCCTTTGTTATATATGCGAGCGGAGATATAGCGAGCTGCTATTATATATCTCTAATTGCAACGTTCGACACCCGATATTCCCAAACAACTCCAGGCCCCAAATAGCCTACCCGGCTACGGGTTTAGCCGATATACCTCAATTTCGCGGGCCAGAACTAATTGCTTCACAATTGACAATCACGATCGCTATTAACTTTTTTTTGATATCATCCACGGCAGAATCCATTGGCAAAAGCAAAGCCAAGAGATTCCCATCCCCGCCTCTCCAAAAATTATATAAAGTCAAAGCTCCAGTCTTGAGCAATAGGGACGATGAAACTCTTCGGATTTTCCTTCCCAGTCAAGCAGGTTCCAACATCATCTTCATCAAGGGGATATACCGGGTTCCTCTACGGCAGCATCGCACTAATGCCTGTCATAGTAGCTTCTGCCGCCATAGTGGCCACGGCCTTCGCCACACTTTTTAACAACAACGTAGCTGCCCTACCAACTGAAGTCGGTGTCACAAATGATGCTACTTCTTTGACTCTATTGTTTCAGAATAACTTAAATGTTACTGATGACGTCAATCATGTTGGTGCTATCTTATTAGATGAGCTGCCATACGCTAAGGCCGGACTCGCCTGTGCTGCTGTCGGAGAATCCCTGATCACCTGGGAGACTCTCGAGGCCCATCGATATGATTTTGAGAGACAATTGGCATATCAATCGTTCATTGGAAACGCCAAGCCAGTTCAACGGTACTACATTTCCAATGGTGTTATCTCAGCTACACAGGAAGCCGGATCCCTACAGATCGCTGCACAACCGGGCCGAGATATCGCTCTACCGGTTCTTTGCACTCAGTCTTCGAATAGCAATAGTGTATATGCGCCTGCTACAAGCTCTAATAAGGTGATTGTCAAATCCGGATCCAACACTTTCATCGGCCATCGAAATCAAAAGAGTTTTAGATTTTTGGGAATCCCATATGTTGCGTTCCCCGGGAGGTTTCAGTACTCGAAGTATCCATCAGCGCCAAGCGGTCTTGTAGATGCAACTCAATATCGCAAGCAATGCTCTCAGCCGTGGCAAGCGGAGGGAACAACAGCTGAAGATTGTTTGTTCATCAATATTCAAACACCTTATATCCCGAAATCAGGATCAACCAAGCGACTCCGCCCTGTTCATTTCTGGATCCACGGCGGTGGTTATACCGGTGGCACTGGAAACGATCCAGGTAGCGATGGTGGCAACTTAGCTTCCCGCGAGGATATTGTCACTGTCAATATGAACTATCGTCTATCAACATTGGGATTCCTAGCGATTCCCGGAACGGATATCAAAGGAAATTTTGCAGTCAGTGATATGATTGCGGCTTTGAAATGGACTGTGGATAATATTGCTGCTTTTGGAGGTGACCCGACCAGAATTGTTATCAACGGAGAATCGGCAGGTGGATGTTCGACAAGAGTGCTTCTTGGATCCCGTCCCGCTATCGAATATTTCCAGGGCGCTATTTCCATGTCTAACTTGGGATTTGGATATGCTTTGGGAATCGGATATAGCTATGCTGGCACTTACAGCGATTATCCTACCATCCAAGGATCTTATGATATGGCTGGTCAACAGATCTTCACCGCTCTTGGATGTACCCAGACTGCTTTGGAAGATCAAATTGCTTGTCTTAAGACGAAGGACCCCCTTTCTGTCGTAACTGCAAGCACAGTTGCGAGGTACATCGTACAGGATGGTTACTATGTCGATACTCCCATCTTAGATGTAGCAGGCAAGCATGGTGGTGCAGTCGCTAACGTCGACGTTATTATGGGGATCACCCGCGATGACGGTGCATCTTTCAATACCTATCCTAAGACCCCTGTCAACAGCATCTCAGAAGGTCTACAAGTTGGACTTGGCATCAACGCTGTCAATGCCCAGAAGGTCATCGACTCTGGCCTCTTCCCTTCACCAAATACCGGAGACTTCACAAAGGACAGTTATAACATCAGCACTCGTATCGCCACAGATCTTCAATTCCGTTGTGTCGACCAAGCCACCAGCTTTGCCGGTGACGCCACCAATGCATTTAAATCTGTTCACTATTACCAAATGGACAGAACATACTCCGGATATGATCCAAACAATCTCGGTGGGCCTGCTGTGGCTCCAGGATACCCCAAGGGTAACCCAAATCTTCCATACTACCGTATTCACGGGTCAGATATGCCAAATGTGTTCGCCAACATTGAAGGCTATAGAGATGAGAACGATTTGAAGACAATCCAAGTTTCTTCCGGGTTGTTCGCAGAGTTTGTTAAGAGGGGCACGCCGAATGTTGCTAAGAGGTATTTGGTAGCCAGAGGATACGATGATACTGTTACTGCGCTGGAGCAGAGCGGAAGATGGAGTGAGGTCAGAGGCAAGAATGGGCCGATTCTGTTGATCGACTATCCTCCTAAGGCGAGCTCTTTTGTTGACGTGGAGCAATGTGCTTGGTTGGGTTACCCTATTGACTATTATCTTAAGAATTAAGATTTAGGGCCAGACAGATGTATTTTATGTATTTATATTGAAGACAAGTATTTTGGGATTTTTAATGACTAGTACGATCAATTAGTCTTAGCTTAGATCTCCAATGTTTGAAATAGTACCGTATTACGGTGCTGCCCTCATGGTGGTACCGGTATTCATATTCTATAAGCCCTACATGGCCAGTTCAATTTCAAAACAGCATCTGGAGCAAAACCAGTGTCAGTTAAAAGGGAGATCAAACAAGACCAAAACATAGATATTCCATTGGCTCATTAATAGAGAAGGTAGCCAGGGCTACGAAAATGAAAGAACATTAAAGTGATTGCAAAGTCATATCCTCCACAACTAGACGTTTGATTCGTGATATTGAATCTTGTTTAGTAAAAAGACGATCTTTTATTTCGATCGAGAGTCAAGAAAGTATCCAATAATCATCGCAATAAGCGTGCATATCATTATCCACACTCGGCGTTCAGTAATCCCGCTATGGAAGTTTTCTTGATTTTTTTCCTTTCTTCGACGTTTGCCATCAGGTGTGCCCTCTCTATTGACATTGTCGTTATTACGCTTGGTCCTTGGGCTCGCAGAGGTTGGTGAAGGAGTACGATTGAAAGGAGTTGGCATTTCAAAGTATGCTCGAGATCTCCCACAAGACGATGTAATGTGAGGCTCCTGTAGAGCCATATTAACTCGAAAACTGGTATAGGGCCTAGAGTTTTGAGTACCGTCCTTGTTTAGGATGACGTATTCATCAGTACTGGAATAGCTTTCCAGTGAATTGTCTGGGCATTGCTTTTTGGTGATCGGGTAGAAGTATGGATCTGGCATAGTATCCCAGCAATTCTGTGCGAGACAGAAAAGAAAGTATCCCAATTCCTTTGTGAATATGGCTTCGAGAAATCCTAGAGTGCTTGGAGGTAGGATTTGGCGAAGTTCAATCGAAATATCTTGGCACCATCTAGCTTCCAAGCGAGATAGACGGTCCATTTTGATGTCAAAGCTGACAGGGCATGGTGCAGTGTAGAGAGCTTTCTCAATAGCTTCAACGAGCTGAGAGAAACAGGCTGCAGGGACATCATAGTCCTCTAGGAGGTATTGTTGGATTTGGTAGCTCGTGATGTAGTAGCGGGGGCAGCCTGGGGGCCGCTCATTGATCAATCGGAGTCTGCTATCAGACGGAGGTGGTGATCTGTAATGACTGCTCTGTTTTGTAGTCGATGGAATATCCCGAGAGCTTGGGGAAGGTCTTCGAGAACTATTGTATCTGTTGCTGCTCTCTCGTTTGGTGTGACGTCCACTCGTAGATCGTTGGAAAGACATCTTTCGTTACGCGAACTCAGAATCTGGAAATTACACGAAGATATTAGCCACTTTAATGAATCAAGAGATAAATCGCGTGACAGTTTTGATATGCGCTGACATACTAATGATGATTATTCGTCGAGGTAGTGAATTGGCGAGGTTAAATTGGTGAAGTTGAATTGAAGAAGTAGCGTTAAGAGTGAAGTTGAAAGGATTAAGTCACGATAGGAGATTTGCTAGCTGTCTGTGTTAGCATTATATATGCCGTTCACAAGGATTAGTCCGAGTCGACTGAGATGCTAAGCACAGAAAACAATGACAAGAGCTTCTTTTCTTTCCACCACCACATTTATTTCTATGCAAAAGTCTTTAGAGGGTGACAAGACAATCAAGAAATAAAATTTTACGCAGACACATATACTCTAGGGTCTTTTTGTTATCTATTGAATCACCTGTATAAAAAGTCTAGCAAAGATAAATAGCTATTTCATTCAGGATTAGACTATGAGTGAGTGTTATCTCAACACTAATTGGTTGTGGAATCTTAGATTCAACGACAAAAGAATAGAATATCCTCTTGATGATATCTCCAAGGTTGATAGCCAGTCATATCTCAAGATACAACCGTAATACAAAAGCGAGACCAACATAAACCATGACAATAGAGTAAAGTCTACTCAATAATTCCATCTTCAACTCCAAGATCATCGCCACCAGTCCAAGCATCCCATCCGAAAAACGTCGAAAACAACTCGGGAATGGCCCTCAACATGACAACAAAGATTGAAATGGCAAGATAGATCAGGAAAGCATTCATCATATCACCATGACGCTCTTCATCGTCGATGCGATCGATTTGTGCCCTAACTTCCTCTTGGTCATCATCCAAAGGGATGAGTCGTCGCTGAGTAGGAGGGTTGGGGAAAACACCGTGATGACATCCAGCGCATTGACAACAGTCACAGTCGCTCATCATATCATCATTAATAGAAGTATCCCCGAACTCGAGGCCGTTCGAATTCGCAAGTTCTTCGTCTGTCCCGTCTTCGACCAGGACAGAGCTCCAGCTGTTTTGTGGAAATAAACCTGGTTTCGCAAGCTTTTGTGGAGGAAATCCCTCTTCTTCTGAACTATCTCCGCATTCTGAACAGGTGGAACAGAAGGATCCATTACGTCGGATAGTTGGTCGTTGGATGGAGGCTCTAGCCGTAGTGCTTGGGCCCGCAACGTGATCATCATTTGACCTTGGCTTCGCTTGGTTGATTTCGGGACCGATACCGGCTTGGTTTACAAGATGAGTAGGCCATCTGTTTGAAGCCCTGCCAGCGGTAAACGTGTCATAATGGACAGTCTTGCCTTGCAAAAGGTGGCTAGCTACCAACCTCTTTTGCTTTTTGGACTCAGCCATTTCAATATTTCAACTCCGGTTGCTACCTTTTGTTTCGCTATCAGTTATTTGTCAGCACGTTATCATACGAGCGGTATCTTGACGCGTACCTTGAAAAATAGCGAGATATTCTAGATTTTTCGGATAGTGGAAGTTTTAGAGAGCTGCGCGGGGAATTTCCGTGATGTTTCGAACGTGGAGCTTTAGGAGGAGCGTTAGAGCATTGAACGGTGGACGTTGGTAGCTACGTAGCCTCAGGGAGACGCGGTTACGCAATGATGGGGTTCATGGAGGGGTGGTATGTTGACGTGGTAGTGGTTGCTGTATATGGGACAGAGGCTACGTGGGTTTTATACTCATACGCTCAGCTACGCAATATCAAAAGTGTGCCGAAGCGTTTTAATACAAGAGTAATCAAACAACTATACAAGAACACAGCAATAAAAATAGTAAAAGTACTAAGTAGCTACTAGACGGCCAATTCAAGTACTCTCATCATGCAAATTAATACTATTGAATATTAGTCTCATTCCGATTATTGTTATCGGCTTACAAAAAGAGCCTCAGTCCAGTACCACTACACTAGGATATTAAAGGAGAGACTTTGCTACCCAAAGAGGGATTATTACTCCAAACTTCCCCAAAGATTATTCAAACTCTCCGCCAAAGTAGGATGTGCAAAAGTCGCATCTCTCAACCTCGAATACCCAACTTTTCCCATCATGGCAATCTGTACCATACTCATCATCTCCCCGCCTTCAATTCCCAAGCAAGTATACCCTAATATCTCTTCTGTATCACCATCAACAACTGCTTTCATCATTCCTCTGGTTTCATCCGTTTCCAATGCCCTAGCGACCCATGTCATTGGCATCTTTGCGACTTTAATATTTCGATTTGGATAGATTTTGCGTGCTTCATTCTCGTGAAGGCCAATATGACCTAATTGAGGGTCTGTGTAGACGGTGTATGGGACCATTCTATCCTTTGTTGATAGCTTCGGAGAGCTAGACGATAGTATGTTATTCTTGAGAATGCGAAACTAGATATCAAATTAGTTAGTAGCCAATCAGCAAAAGTTCACGAGAGCCACCGAGGTGTATATTACTTACGTCGTCATACGATATATGCGTAAAAGCCGGGCCTCCCTTGACATCTCCCAAAACATAGGTCCCTTCTGCCGCGGTCTGTAAGTATTCATCGCATTCTACAAACCCCTTTCTATCAATCCGAACACCCGCTTTATCAGAATCTAGCATATCAGTATTGGGAACCCTTCCAGCAGACCAAAGGATATGTGACCCCAATACACTTCGTTCTTCCCCACCATCTGTTGGTTTATAAACCAGTCTGATCTTCATACCCCCCTCATTCACGGCTTCAAGTCGTACTGTATCCATCCCAAGTTGCAGTTCAATCCCATCTTCTACCAATATTTTCCCCATTTCATCGGCAATATCCTGATCCTCTCTCGCCAAAACCTGTTTGTCCCTTCCGACAACGGTAACATCGGCACCAAGTCTCCTAAACAACTGTCCAAACTCCAATCCCACATACCCGGCTCCAACCACAATTAACTTCCCTGGAACTTCACCTAATTCCATAATAGACGTAGAATCCAAAACCCTTGCGGCGTCGACCGTCTCAATCCCCGGAAGTTTTGGTTCCGCAGGTCGACACCCCGTATTGATAAATATCGTATCGGCAGAATACTCCTCTTCCTGATTGGTATCCCTATTCTTCACAGATACGATTTTGGGAGCAATAAACCTCCCAGTTCCGTATTTCACCACCACTCCCGCCTTCTCCAATCTCCCTTCGTTCCCACCCCTAAAAGAAGCAACGATATCCCTCTTCCTCTGCCTCACTTTCTCCATATCCACAAGTCCACTAATAGATCCCTTCTCCGCAACAGCAGTGGCAATCCCATAATCATTTCCCCGAGCAGAAAGGTGTGCTACCCTTCCACTTGAGATCATGGTCTTCGTAGGCGTACATCCGTAATTGACACATGTTCCACCGATGAATGCCTTTTCGACAATGAGTGTGGAACCTTTCCCGTGTGCTGTGGTCAAAGCGGTAGCCAGTGGTGGTGCAGCCTGACCAGAGCCTAGGATTATGAACTTGAAGTGTTTCGGAGCCATTGTTAAGCGTCTAAGCATCTATCTGCGCTTATTCGAATGATGTTGTTGATTTCCTAGGAGAATTGAAGTGAATTGAGTGGAAAGACCTCCGTTCTAGGTATTCTCCGGTGAGTTGATATCGTAATAATTGATATTCATAGCCTTTTTATCTAGGATTTTCTGATCAACCCCCGTTGAATACGACAAACATCCATTTGCCGGCATATTCCGCTCTGCGGGGTCGAAGTCTGTTGGTTCCATATCCAGATTACTAATCCACAATACCGACGTCAGCATATTCTTTTCAAGACCACATGGCGCACGGGCCAGTGCCACGGCTTACTGAGATTCCTGTAGTTAAATTGAAAAATAACACGTGGAAAATCAATTTCACCTAGTCTCGAGGCGTCAGTTCCGTGGTGGCGGGGACTGCCAAGAATCTGTGTAACCGTCTGAGTGACGTCATAGTGCATATGTACTAGTACTAAGTAATATACAACACAGTCAACACATATGTTTGATGTGTTTGATCATTGGGCCCTTGTGTTGTTGCTGAAACGAGTCCAACTCGCCTGTTGCATGTTGTTGTGTTGTCTCGGTGACCCTTCCTGTGTTAGAAGAAGGGTCACCGAGACTAGTTGTTGTGATCCCTCACAGTCTAGTTTGGTTACGAGACTGGTGATGCCTGGCGAGGCTTCGGCGCTCCAAGTGATGCGATATTAAACCGACTACGCAAAGACATATAAAATCTCGACCTATGAAAAGTCGTTTTCTTCGAGGGCTAATGGCAAAGGCTCGAGATACAGGAAGAAGTACATATAGCGTTAGAGAAGAACAAGTAGAAGCGTAGCCAGGGAAAAAAACTTCCTGAGGGCAGAATTGACAATATTCCCGAGAAAACAAAAGCCTACAGTGATATGGCGGGGAATACGCTTTCAATATAAGCGGGCATATGGTAAAGAGTGTCATGGTTGCGATGATATCTGTAGCTGACCATAGTTACCGCTACAACTCCCGTCTGCAGACCTCATATTAGCTTTTATACGTGCTAGATTCATGAATTTGGGGTTTTACCTTTTCATATCAGATTTTTGGCCTTTCTCCCCGGCTCCGAAGAAAACACTTGCGAATAACGCGAGAGCAAAGAAAATTAGGAATCCAAATCGATTGTTGAAGCTGAGCTTCCGCGGGACCTCGAGACTTGACGTCTCGGAAGGATTGTCTTCAGATATGAGTACTTGGGGAGACTTTCCTTGATGTTTTCCCAAGGTTGTTTTTTGATTCGACATTATTTCTTTTTTTGGTTGAATCAAGTCGATATCAAGATAGTCAACCCCCATGTCGGTATCTAAAGCTGAATCACTTGCATTGATTCTCGTGGTGCTGAAAGAAACAAAGTCCTTGCCCGACAAGATGCCCTCTATTTGATCCTCCACGCCCTTTGGACGTATTAGGTCCATATCGGGGGCTAAGTTGTTCGCGAAGGCTTCGTACACGCTATCTGGAATTGGCCCCAACCACTTGGGTTCCTTCTTTAAGCGATTTAGAGTATGGATTCGGATATCGAGTGCGAATTGAAACAGCAACCATCCTCGGAGGTGACTGTTCTCAATATCGCGGTCCCTGGAAAAATGGACATCTAGGAGGCTTTTCGTAGACTTTGGCGTTAGGAAATCCAAAAATTCGTTGCAGACGTCACATAACAGACGTTTTGACGCTGCCGTCTTAACATTGTTGAGACGCAGGAGACCTTGATGTTGTGAAAACAAAAACTCCATCAAGGACTTGAAATCAGCTAATGTTTCAGGATCTAAGGCTAGCAAATCTCTAGCATCATCCTTGGATCTCGTTATGCCTTTGAGATTTTCAGGAGTTTCGTGGTACAGAGCAAGGATGTTGGTTTCCTGGGAAGCGTCAGAGAGGTGTGGCTTATCCCACGAGTCATTCCTCGGTGTTCGGTGGGCCGCCTTTGGATTAGAATCACCCAAGAACTTCGTAGTCTTAGAAACACGATCCTTCGTTACTGATGGAGGCATCTCTCTAATTGCAGTTAAGTCTTTGGCGTTGATGGATGAATAGAAGTGAGAGTTTTGCTGTGGGCTATTAACAATCTTGGATTGGGCCTGGTAGCTAAGAGGTAATGAACAAAGGGCTTAATAAACAGAATACACTTAGCATGCACGTAGCCATGGCCACACTAAAAATAGCCTGGAAGATGTAGGTATCCGAAGGCACACCTATTCAAAGAGTAGAGACGCGTCAAATTTCAGGCAATTGTATTACTTACTGACAGTCGAGAAATTTTTTGGATGCACAACTAGTAGACTCGAAGGGAGGTTCGTGCTCTCAGTGAAAGAAGATTTAAAGATCAGAGCTACTATCCAGAGAGTAACCTAACGCCGATGAGAAAGCAACTGCTACGCAATCAGTAAAGATTCGATAGGGATGAAGTATAGGATATGGAAGAGAGATGACAATTGTGATGATAAAGGGAAGTGAAGTGGAGTGAAGAGGGAATGGAAGAGATAGAGAGCTGGTTAGGAGAATGGCATTAAATAGGCCCAGGTTGGTGCTCAGGGCGAATTTTGCAACACAATGGACAGCATATTTATATTTGTGCATAAAACTCAACGCACGCCAACCAAGGTCCTTCTCGGCATCATCTACCTCCTATGCATCCCAACATCACACGGATCCCCTGTCATCGATGTTAATTATCAGCTGCCTCTTCTCTCTTATAGGGTTCTTCCATCTTGACGCCATGGCTACTATCATTCCCTTTGTCCGAGAGGATACTGCTTCCTCTACTACTCCTCCCAGTGCCGTTTATGCCATCAAATCTGTTGCCCTTGGGCTTCAAAAAAATGGTTGCAGCAACGTCACCATAAAAACCGTTGTTATCCCAATCTCAGGAACCCGTCCTGTTCAGCTCGGTGCTTTTCTCAAAAGCCCAACGAATATGAGTATTAAGGGCGCCTTGAGCTTGTTCGACGAAGAGTACGAACAAATTCGCGATAGTATCGATGAAGCTATGCGAAATGAAGCTCTCTTACGAGACCTTGATGTCGATGCTAAAAACTCCACTGAGCAAGAACGCAAGAAATTCCATGACCTCATCAGTGAATACATCTCAGCCGGCGTCGCCGAAAATGGCTATCTAATTGACAAGCTCACTGTCCGCTACAGAGATGTCTCTCCGTGGCTCCTTTACAAATTTACACTTCTACGTCGCAAGAAGTACAAGAACATGGTCAAGACGAATGGCTTGAAGGAGGATTCGAACGATGAGCACTATACTATCGATATCGGAAACCCGGATGTCAAAGAGGAAGATCCTCCTGTTGCTTCTGTCGCTACTGAGGGTGCTAACGCCAAAGAGGAGCCTGAGTATCTCCACGGGCTCTCGAATATCCAATCCGGACGTCTCTTTATCCAAAAAGATGTTGGGCCCTTTTTCCGATCACCCCGCGGCCCCGTTTTGAAGCAGTCTCGTTTTCTTTCAGGTCTCCGAATGTTAACTCTGAATACAAACAATGGTCCTAATAGTGGTGGAAATCCCGTACCTGAAAATCAAGTGCAGGGCGGAGACTCTGCCATCGACAAACTGGCTACTAATAGCCCAATGGATTCAGGGCATCCGAGCGGAACTCAGGCTCTTGAGCAGCATCAGCGAGCCACCCGTGACTCTTGCTTTAGAAAGGTTACCGGCTTGTTTTGGCATCTTTGTACACCCCGTTCTGCGTTCATCTGTATTCCACTTTGCATTATTGTTGGGTCTATTATTATGGCAACCATTTCCGTCAAGTTCATCTGGGGGTATTAGCCTCTCATGTCAAATTCGCTTCCTGTTTTTCCTATTAAACCTTCGAATTTTGAAGGGAATTAAAATAGTGCAATGGAGACGCATTGATAACAGTGGGTGGACTTATGAGCCTTTGCATATGAATTCCTAGACCTATTTTGCATGGAGCAAGATCGTGATAGCCAACTACCTTTCTATTAGAGAGGCATAAAGGCAGTAAATTACCCAGCTTTACTTACTAGCTCAAACCTTAGACCATTATCTAAATAAATGCCGATGGTTCCGTTAATTTTTGATTCAAAGTGTCATACATCATTTTTCCATGGTCAAATTTGAGAAGTACTTGCACATCGATTCATGCGGGGCGGGAATTAAAGATTTAGGGGTGATATGGTAGTTAAGCCAGATGCTGTGCAGACCGACGGGGTTAAGGTGTCTCGGAGCTAGACTAAAGGTTCTATCTACGAGACTGGGGGTTAGCGGGGTAGCCAGGTGACCTTACATCGGTCCTATATAAACCCAAACGCGTGCCGAAGTTCTCCTTCTCTTTTCAACCACCAACCTTCCATCACGCCCCCGACATCACGTCTGGCTTCTTAATTATCTATCTACAATCACTCTCCTTTAAGCCTCATTATAGGACAGCTAGTTCATACTATCGATCTTTGAAAGAAGAAATCCATCCAACTTCCAACTTCTAACACAATTGCTATTGAACACGAGATTGTGCTTCCACCTTCCTACTCTCACTCAATACTTATCTTTCTATATATAAATACATCTAAGTGTGTCTTCCTGTAAATCTGATTTAAATGAAGTTACTAACATTCTCTGCAAGAAAAAAAAGTCAAAGTCCAAGCAAAGAAAGCTTCTCCTTGTCACGGACGAGCAGATTCCACGGCTATAAGTGGAAAAGAACACCCAAAATGAAAATTGAAAAAGAGGTCGCCGTAGGACGCGGCAGAAATATTTCAAACTCCGATTTCGAGAGTTCTAGGGCTCGGGGACGTAGGTGGCCCGGAGTTGCCTACAAGGCTCTCGGGGGTACTTGGTTTAAAGCTTACCAAGAGCACAAATCTCAAGACAAAGAAGAGCCCTCTGAAACCTACGCTAGCGAAGATGAATATGGATACGATTTCGAAAACGACCGGGTCAAGAAAAGCCCATATGATCGAGGTTCTGGCGTAGACGAGGAGGACGAGCTTAAAAACGAGGACGGTTCGAGTTTCGGCCAGATTTATCCGGCAAACCAAATTCGACTGCCTGGAGTAGTAGGTCAGATCGATGGCAATGCAGAAAAGCAGTACTCTCAAATCAGACTTGTCGATCCAAAACGAAAATCATCTGACTCCGGCGACATTGAATCAGTGTATTCACTTGCACCTACACATCAATCGTCCATTGAATCTCCGTCGCCCCCACCGACATTCGGGCTACCTTTTCAGATTTCTCCCACTCGGCCTAAGGATATGCCACCCCGGAAATTCTATCTGGCTTCGCAACTTGCCTTCCTCCTCAGCTTGACCCGTCAAGAATTCAAAATTATCCAGGAAGTTGCGCAGACAGTTTTCGAGGCCAATCCAATCCTTCTCGATATACACTGGGGCACGCTTTCGAACAATCAAGGGGTTCGGGATGGAGTTTCCGCCAGTATTCGAGCAAATTTGCCGTATCACATACTACACAAATTGATGTATCAACGCAGCGACAAAGCTGGATATCTGGTATATAGACTCTTTTGCACACAGAAGGCTATAATCAAAGCCAATCTGGGCAGAGCCAACAATCTTACGCAAAATCATCTCTCGTCAATGGAGAGCTCTGATCACCAGGATGATATTGAAGATCAAGAGACTAAGTTCCATATCCAACCCCCTCCGATGGTTGAGCCACGACTTTGCAACACGAATTCCAATCTTCTGGGATCAGATGGAAACTTACACCGACGCCGAAACTCCGACTCTAAAGCCAATATATTATTCTGCAAGCCCCATGGCCTAACTAGATGGTCATTTGGTGGAATCGGCAACTTATTTTGGCCAGGTGATAACGAGATTGGGGTTGCTTATGGCTTCGTCTCACCAGACGGCTCATCAACAATTTCTGACGAATCCGAGGATAGAGAGCTAGATGTCTATGAACATGTTGGTAACGAGATTTTCATCAGCATCGTTTCTTTTGTCCGAGGTTTTATGGTCCTCGTTTGTCTTGCAGCTTTGGTTGGATTCTGCATTAGCTATAGCGTCGCACTGGTGGATGAGTAACATCAACTCTATGCATTTGTCTCATTCCTATCACAATTACGCTATACTTCGGAACTTCTTTTGGGGGCAAACGCGATTCATGCAATTTTTTTATTACACTTTCTATTGCTACTCTAGTCATTTCTTTGGTCTCTTGCAAAAACTTTTCTTTCCCTTTTTTATTTATCACGTGGTTTCGGTGGTATTTATATCGCTATCGACACTTTATGATTTCCTTTTTCTTCGCATATTGCAAATTTACATATGTTTACTGCTTATCATATGATAAACCTAGGCCCTTCGGGTCTAACAGCAGAGACATCTTGTATTTTGTCGCAGTACAGTTGACGGATAACCCCCCATCTGCTTGTATCCTGTTAACTATTTTAGGTATTAGTCTTTTTTTATAGATCGCTAGTTTGGACTAGTGCTATTAATCACGAAAAGTTCTATTTGGCAGATAGCTTATACGAGAATAGTGTATGGGGTGCTGGATTATAATTAGCTTGCGTGGTCTGGGGCTAGTGTCCGCATAACTACCTAGTAGCTTAAATATATATACTTACTTGACCGAGTACCTCGTGTATTAATTAGGTAGATATACTTAGATTAGGTTGTCTCATGACCAGTCCATCTAAGAAATTAAAACTACATAGGGTTAGATCTATAAATAGGCTCAAATAAAGTTGATGAAACAAGATGTAGACAGATAGCTTGATCAATTGATCCATGTACAAGCGTCTAGCCACGAGACTAATATCCGGATAATTGATTAAGGTGAAGCGGAACAGTTCTAGGTAGTTTCTAGCACATGAAATCTGTTCTACGGCGAAGTACTTATATAGAAACGAACCATCCTAAGTGTGCGAATCATTTGTGACGCATACTCTTCTATCCAATTCAAAGGCTTTATGGTCAGGTTTTTTTCATCTTACTAGGCTCCTTCCCATGACGCGTCAACAACCAATAAATGCAACTAGCTCGTTTTGGGGATTGTTTTGCATCTCGATGCCATAGTTTGTTGATTGCGGGTTTCCTCCTAGATACCTAGTAGGTAGTAGATACATGTATCATGAATACCGAGTGCATTCGATATGACCGTGTTCTGGTTTGTTGTATTTTTAACGCAGAGCCACAGGGAATAGGGCATAGAACTCCCCTCCGCTCGGGCGCAGCAAGGAATTATTCAAAAGCGTACTGTCTCCAGTCGCATAACTGATATTGAAAACCGCTTTAGAAGTTTTGTGGGTCCTAGACTTGATCAAAAAGCCTTCGCCGACATCCATTTCAATCCATCATCCATCAATCATTCCCTCCCAGCAAACCTACATCTGAAGTATCCAGCCTGCATCACTTCCAAGCATCCCCGCGAGAGGACCTTGCATCCGCCATATCTTTCAACTCAGTAAGCCTCTATTCATTGGTGATTACCTTCGTATCGTCGTGTCGTCGGTGTTATTCTGACGCTCCCCTCGGGGACGTGTAGACGCTCCCCTCTTCCACTCTACAAAGACGAGGCCACTTGAGCCCGTCAAACTACATTAAGCTACCACCAAGTCAGTATTTTGTTGGCATCCCATTGAAGTGTCTTGGTTCTTAAGTTGTATTTTGGGAAGGGTACTAACTTCGGGGGGCCGGGGGGCCTGAGCCCATTGTGTACGCAGAACCCTAACTACGCCCACCTATCATGTAAGCTTCCTTTCATAGCCTTGTATTACTTGATAGTGATGGAAGGGAATACTAACAACAAGGGGGCACGGAGCCCACTTGCCGCATACTATAGCCATGATGGATACCACATCAACACCTCCAGACCACGACGGCGAGAACGTCGCACCCAACCAAATATCTGGGGTCGGAGAAAGTTCCCCGGACCAGATCAAGAGTGAGCCCACCAGCCCACCCCCGCCACAGCAAGCCTCCCAAACCCCATCCATGTCTGGTGGAGCCGGGCCCTTCTTCCGTAGTCACCGAAGGAGTCGTGTTGTTCTGGGGAGCAGGGGGGATCTCGCGAGCGTCAACATGACACAAGCGTTTATGCCCTTGCCCCCCCAGCTTCCCAGTGCTAGCAACACGGCTCCGGAGGGGCTGGAGGAGAAGGAGGAGCAGAAGGAGGAGAAGGAGGAGAAGGAGACGGAGGAGAAGGGGGGGAAGAAAGAAGAGAAGAAGAAGAAGAAGGTCCGGTTCGAATTTGACGAGCCGGAGGAGGACGTCTTCGCTGAATGGCTCTCGGAGCTAGAAGGCCTTTAGTTGGTATTTTTTTGAAAGAAATATTGTCTGCCCAAGCTATCACTTACCTACAGCAGCATGTATCGCTGCAGCGAGTGGGCCATCGACTTGAGTCCAGTCCACTCTTCTCTCGCTCCCACAGTCCGATGCCCAGCTGCCCCGTCCCTTTTGCTCCTTTCTTCGTATTGGCGTTTGGTGTGAGGTGTGAGGTTTTATTGTTTTGTCGTAGGTGGTGAGACGATGAAGGTAGTGAAGGTGTTTGTGATGAAAGTGGTCTGCTCCTTCATTTTATATTCCCAAATATCTCGGCGAAAATGATTTGCTCCCCTCGCACTCTCTCTCCCCTTCCACTACATCAACCAACATATTCTTTCCCTAGCACCTCTACCCTCAGCAGTTGCCCACTCTTTCGCGCACATCCTCACTCCCATAGTTCCACTTCAAGAAATTCTGCCATTAATATCACGATGTCTTACAACAAATTTGGTGATCTAGGTGTCCAAACTCGCAGCAGCAAGCTGAATGCTGCAAAAAAGCTCGGAGCCTTGGAAGAGCAACCAGAGATTTCAGCCTCGTTGCTCGGGATCCCACCACCGGAGCGATTCTCAAAGCTCCCTCAATGGTTTGCTGTCAGCGGACCCCCTTCCCTCGAAGCCGACCCGGAAGGGTACATGAACATGGTCGCCAATGGGGATTCTGTCACCTGCCATGCCAACGTTCTGGGTATCCAGCCATGGGTCATCCACGTTCTCAAGAAGGTTCTTCACTGGCGTTACATCCATCATCCACGAACGCTACAGATTAATCTCCTTCGTCTAGAAGACAGGGAGCGTTTGGTCGAAGAGATCAATATCACGTTCCGAAATTATGCGACCACACTCAACCACCTCCTTCGTACTGGTCAGATCCCACTTACAAAGCTCGAAAGCAAGATGAAACAATACGAGGCGATGGAAGAGTTGTCCGCTAAGGTCTATAAGATGGGCCGCTACAAAGTCTCTGGGTATCTTCTCTACAAGGTTGGAGAAGGACTGATGAAGGAAATAATTTTCGAGCGCGAGGCTATTGAGAATGGCCTCGTCAGTACTGCTGACGTTATCCCTGGGAAACCTGCGAGGCATCATGATTCAACGACACTTCCCCGAATAAAGTTGAAGTTCAGAGGTTGAAGACCAAGATGTCGAAATGGGCAACACTTAAAACTTTCGACAAGGAAATGGTACTCGTGAGTGAAATCTTTCTACGGCTACCCGTGGATCTGCTAGCTAATACTTCTACAGCCTAGCTTTTCTTGAACATGAGCCCGAAGATCATTACGTCTATAATAAGCATCGATTCACTTTTCGTTTTTCCGATTGATATTGCAATAAGTCTCTAATGCATTAATTATGCTTTTATCGGCGTAGCATTCTCTCTTACTCGTTCACGAGATATTTCTTTAGAGTTTCCAAGTCTTTCACTTTTCAAAACGCATCCCGCACTTCAAGTTCAACTTCGGTTCCCTTTTGCTATCTTAACCTTTTTGATATTTCCTTTCATAAAGCGCTTTCCATTCTTTAATTAGCGTTACATTTACGGCGTTTCTGGATATTTCCTTGATGTATATACGAAGTCACATTCTAAGCGTCTTATGAACACCTACTCTCGAAATCAACGCTTTTCGTTCCAATTGAAACATCTGGTGGATAGGGTACGTACTAGTGACAGAAAAGTTTTTACTGAAAGCAAATATTATCTGTAAATGTTAACTGCTAGCTTTGTGGTTCGATATTTAGGCGAACTATATATGTCCTATTTGAACCACGCGCCCTCGAATATTCCTACTCCAACCTTAGTCTTGTATTAAATCCAACCTATTCCCGGTGCCCCCTCAATACCTCAATTAACCAATTAGACTGGGTCTAATATCGACATCAGGAAGAAGTTGCACCGTGTGTTTCAATATAATCCACAGCCGCATAGCATAGGTTCTTTCTCAAGTGGGATCTAGGAGATATTAATCGATGCTAGATATTAATTTTACTTAGCCTCTAGTGTGTCGTAGTTCTTCACAAAGAAGTTTAAATTGGGCAACATTCCGAAGGCCGCGAAAATATATTCGAGGCTACTGCAATAATAACGGGCGAACATTTACAAAGTAGTCGGAGACTATGCGAGTATACTAAAATTTGAGAGTATGACCCTGAAGATATCCTGCTAGTATGAAGCTACCTAAAATAAATTAGCGTAGATAACCAATCACCCTTGCGAAGATATTCAAACGTGTGAGTCCCCGAGGTTGTTCTAGCCTTGCTGTAACGGTTAATGTGCTAAGGCCACCTCGTCCTAAATGTGTTGAGAGCGTTGCACTTCCAAAAGTGGCAATTTACGAAAGTAGAATTGCAACAACTTCAACACGATTTTGGTGATGTTGAGAACAGCGCTGTTGGCGCTCTTATCTCGAGGCGAGCGCAACCTCACCGCTAGGGTTATATCCTAAAATAGGGCTTGTATTTTAGCGTTAAATAGTAGCTTGGGGCCGGATGGTATCTCAATTGGAGGAAGTCCATTGCCATCACAAACCAACCGAAGTCCTCGAAATCCTCCCATCACAAGGATAATATCTATCCTAAACATCATTGGTATTGTCCGTCTTGTAATGTCGTAAATCTACTTCGTAGGACATGTTCATAGTGTATTAAGCTAACTTTGAGCGCTTTGTCAAAGCATTGCCCAGAAAACCCATTACAAGTGCCGTCAAAATGCATCCCTCGTATAACTCCTCAGGACCATCCCAAGCCGACCTCCCAGCTGGCCAACACCCCAGAATCTTTCTAAGGGTCCCTTTGGGGGATTGGGATGCTACCAAAAATGGCTCAAGATATTGGAATGGTACTCTTCCTAACGGGGGGGACCCTGAGGCCAGGATTACCTTGGTTATGGTAACTTTGTGGTTGCTTGTCGGGGTCGGGGTCGGGTTGGTTTTTTGGTTTCTCTGGCGTCGGGAGTATGCTCGTGCTCGTGCGATTGTCAGGGAGGAGGCTATACTAGCCGCCGCCGCCGCTGTTGCCGCCGTCACTGCTACCACTGCTACTGCAACTACCGCTGGAGAGAATATTCCTTTGGAAGAAGTTTGAATGGAGGGGTGAATGTTTTGCGCCGTGATGGGCCGGGAACTAGATGTTAAACCTTTTCCTTAGCGTGTATTCTATCACAGTCAATAGCTTTTCATATCACTTGAGTCCTTGTAAGAAGCGCCCTAGAGAATGTAGAAACGCCATAACATATGATGATTGAATCAATGACGTAGGGGCGGGCGGTATCCTCTGCACGAAATCCTATTGAATGCCTGGCTGGGGGTTCTCGTTGTGTTGACCCCAGAATTTTTCCCTCGCTCCACGTCCCGGGCTGTCCACTGTGCTGTCTATAAAAGGACCCTCCTCCTCCTTCTTTCCTCCCTCTCTTATTTTCCTCTCTCCAGCAAGCATCACTATCTGCAAGCTACCCTCTCACCAACCAACCAAAGCGTGATTATCACGGTAAGTTTTTCAATTCTCTTTATTGCAACGTTCATCTTCCCTTGCCTCATCGCCAGACTCCTTAACTGTGCATCTTCCCCTCTTGATATTGGTAATCATCGAATTCGCGTCGAAAAGCCGTTGCAGAGGGTTGGTGGTAGCATCGGCCTTCCAGCAACGTCTTTTTTGAACTATCAAGTCTCCAGTACTCTCCCGTTCCAATGTATTCTCTATCCCTGTAGCATCCCTAGCTTCACTTTTGCTCGATCTATCCCCCCTCTCATCGTGTAAATCTGCCAGGAGACTAGCCATTTTAGACTTCAAAGCGCTTCACATGTCGCAGGAGTCGCGACTTTGCTTCTGATCTTTGTTCACGGAGTTTGGTGGAGGACTTGGTGAAGGTGTTGCCCTCCCAGTAATGGCTTTTGGCCACCACGCGGTTCAGATTCCGAACCTACTTGTCCATCTTCCCCTTTCAATTCCTCCATCTCTTTTCTTCTTCACTTCTCTACCCCTACCTTCCCTTTCAGCAACGGATTTTCAATCCAAGAACTACTGTATGCTTGTCCAAATCTCCATTACACCTCACCCCTCGCCTGCTCTATTGATAGTACCCTTCAATATCTTGCTTTTCTCCTGCTTGTTCTTCTGACTTCTATCCTTTTTTCTGCTCTCCCACTATTTCTTACTCTAACAACGAGATTTTTTCTAACGTCACGTCTACTACAGCTTCCTCCTCCCTCCCCAAAAACGTTTAAAAAGTCCCAATGGGCACCGATTCTTTCCTCCCTCCAAAGTCGAGTAAGTCACTCTCTCCTTGTCAAAGTTTGACGCGTTGTTAGGCTCCTGTTGTGTAAAATTCTATCTCTACATTGCTTCGAGACTATCTCTACATATACCTGTTGCTATTCATCCCCCCCCCTTCCCCCTTCTCCCTTCTCCCTCCTCCCTTCTTCCTTCTCCGCTCTTTCGCCTAGTTTCACCAAATCTCCTCCCTTGCCTTCTGCCACCTTCCTTTCAATAAGCTCTTTATCATTGGATACGCATTTGCTAACATCTTACAGCCTCGATGTCGAAGACATCGGGTCGCACGAGCTCCCCATTTAATGGGGATGCTCAAAGTCCACCTTCTGGTGGCACTCGGGGTCCCCAGCGGACTCCCCTCATGGGTTCGGACGCCCTCCAGATTGGCGAGCTGTCCGAACCAGCTGCCGGACTTAACAGTCCCCTAACCACCACTGGTGGTCCGGCAGTGTGGGGGGAGGATGCCGGGGATTCACCCAAGCCCCCAACGGAGGAGTTCACCGCCGAAGAAGCAGCCTAGGCGGCTGCTGCTGAGGCTGAGGCTGAACTCCTCCTAAGCAGCAAAGAGCCGCCGTCCTTGTGCGAGGGTGCACCCTCCAGCGAATTCAGTGCAGGGGAAGCTGAAGTCGCAGGTAGGGGGCCGGAGGGTGCACCTCGCCACCCATCGCCAGAGGAAGAGCTGACTCTGGCCTACGACTCAGAGGATCTTGAGCGCCAGCTCGACGAGTTTTTTGACTCGCCTGAGCCTGAGGCTCAAACCTCCGGGTCCGGTCCAGAGGAGGCCCTGATGGGGTAAGTACCAATCTATTCTATCATTGATTAAGATACAATCGCTGAACATGCTTATAGATGGGCCGAAAAGGAGGACGATGCTCTCCGGGCATCTGTTGCAGGCCCAGATGCAGCCCCTGTGACGGTGGGCGGGGGTGATTTCGACACATCTGGGTCAACCCTCGTCGGTGACGATGAGGGCACGGGGAATACCGCCTGTTCTGTTGAAGACGGGTATTCGGTGTCGGTCTTTCCTAACGGGACCATTGCGTACACACCCGTGGTGAGGTCAGAGTCGGGCGCCGTTAGGCCCGACGATGATTTGAAAGGTCCTCCGGGAACTGCCTCGCGCGTCAGAAAGCGCTCTCGTAAGGAGAGGCAAGAGGAGGAAAAAGATGAGTCGGAGGTGGAGGTCATTGAGGTCGCTCCGAAGCGACAACGTGTGCAGGCACCTCCGCTGATGCCGAAGGATAAGTTCTGCCTTGTTTTCCCCCAGCCGGCAGGGTTTCCCTGGGGGGAGTATTTTGGGGTGAAGATCGAGAGCCCCGAGTTCTTCCGGGAACATTTACCGGTGGACTCTGTCGAGGAGGCGGAGAAGGTGGTCAAGTGGTGGCGGCAAGAATGGGAAGACAAGGCCTCCAACTTGACCTATCTTATGGGGTTATCGTGGAAAACGGACCCTGCCGGTAGTGCTAAGAGGCTTATCCGGTACGCACAGCCGCTGTGCGACCGGATGCACGAGGAGTTGGGTTCAGAGTACTATGACCGTCTCTTGAACTCGGAAAAGAAGAAGTTCTACGGTCATATGTATTTTCGGATGTGCAAGGATGTGCACACCATGGTGGAGGCAAAGTGGCGCCGGGAGGAGGAGGCCGCCATCAAATCCAAGGCACCTGCTGCCGCTTCTGTTACCCAGTCGCGAAAGCGGAAGAGCTCTGGTGATGATGGTGAGGAGGACGCACCTGCGGCTTCTGAAAAGAAGAAGCAGAAGAAAGCAAAGGCACCAGCGGAGAGATTGGGCGTTGATGGGAAGATCGTTCATCAACGAGGCATAATGCGGGGAGCTGGCAAGCTTGAGTTCGGAACCGAAGAACGACGCGATGCAATGGAAGCATTGCAGAAGCGTCTCTTCGACGAAGCTGCTGGTCACTGATAGCCTCTATGAGACATCTGACCTTCTAGTTCCCTTCATTCCAAAGGAGCTTTACTTTCGGTTTGCGTCCAGTCCTTCTCTTTTGACCGATCCGCACTTTTTTCCACGTGCATACAATGTTCTTGACAGGATGAAGATACATATTTCTACTGATCTTCTATATTTCTGTTTTCATCAGATTGTCACCGTGCCTGTCCTTTGAAGCTCACGTGCACCTCTGAATCCTGTTGACAGGTAAAGTTTCACACGCCATAAGACGATTTTCTGGAGACGCCTCCTTTCTGATATTCTCCCACACGACCGAATTCTCATTTCTCTTCAGAATCCTAAGGTAATGTTACAGGTCGAAATCGGTCCTCTTGCTAATCACCCTATATATACAGGACCTAGGGGATCCCAGCTGGGGAAGGGTTTACAATGGCGGAACTAGCCTAAAAGCGTCAGTGGTAGGTAATCGCCATGTGAGCTAGGACGTCCGATGATTTGACCGATGATGCCTGGGGACGATCCGACTCGAGTTAAGCGTTCATACTGCTGCGGACTGGAGGTGCTTAAGTCCGCGTGTAGGAGGGAGGGCGTTTGTGAACTGGGGGTGCTGTCGGTTCACGCGCGGACTGGGGGTGCTTAAGTTCGCGAGGCGGGTTGGGGGTGCATTAACCCGCGGCAGGAGGGAGGGTGTTAGTAAACCGGGGGTGTATGGGTTTATTGCGAACTAGGGGGTGCTTAAGTTCGCAAGGCGGGTTGGGGACGCATAAACCCGTGGCAGGAGGGAGGGCGTATGTGGGCTGGGGGTTGCAGCAGCTCACCGCGAACTGGGGGTGCTTTAGTTCGCGTGGCGGACTTGGGGGTGCTTTAAGTCCGTGGCAGGAGGGAGGGCGTTGGTGAACTGGGGGGTGCAGCGGGTTCACGCGGACTGGGGGGTGCATAGGTCCGCTGGGGAGGAAGGAGGTGTAGGAGGATATCCGGAGGGGTCATCCGTAAGGACCCCAATGATGGATGGGGAGGGGAGGATAAGAAAGAGAAGGAGGGGTGCGAACTGGGGGTGCAGCAAGTTCGCGAGCGGAGGGGATCCCACCAGCCCGGTAAGGAAAACCCGGAGACCAGAAGCCCAACGACGAACCATGCTCGCACTTCCGCGAGCGTAGGACCGCTAAGCGGACCCCTCGTGGAGTGCCAGAAGAACCATTTTCACACCGACCCGTCGACGGAGAGCCTCACACAGCACAAGATCATCTGTGCTCCTACAAGACAGACATCACTGTCATGTCTATTCCTACTATCTACAACCGTGCGATACGAACCCTACCAACTTATAACAACTTGCATAGTCCCATAAACGACATGCAACTCGCGACCCCGAGGCCTAGAGCCCGCACACTTGACCTTTAAACCCAACTGGCAAGCCCACAAGCTTCCTTGCTAGCTTGTTCTGGTTCCAAGCTTTCTCCATACAGTCTAGGCTTCAGACAGCAACTACAAACCTACCTCGGGAATTCAAAAAGGAACCCCTTCGCAGCGGCGGATATCAACATCTGTTTTTTTGTGGGATTGTTACTTGGCTGGCAATATTGTTCGGGATGGCATACCTCGAACACAGCTTTCGACGTCGAAGGTTTTATGATACTTCTTTTCGTGATGTCTGGGAACGAGAATACTTTCAGTTATATGATCTCAACCTTCTGTTTTATGAACAAATTCCGGGGGCCCGGCAGGCTGGTGTACGAGACGAAACGAGTTCACTGATATCCGGATTTTATGGTTTCATTTTTGCAATCCTCTACTTACCTAGTTCGTCCATGCCTAGAATAGTGCAGCGTTATCAAGAGTTTTTACAGTCTTTAGTTATTTATGGCGGACAATATTACTATATAGTTGCTGACTCGCATTGGGAGTCGTATTAAGAACACTGTGCACCGGTCCGTGATGTAGGCGTTCCTGTCAAGGGTGCAATCGCTAGCTAGACTCGCAAGTGCTGGGTAGTAGATATATGCTTAGTATACAACGTGACGAAGAACGAACACATGAAGACGTGATCGGTCGACTTACTCCAAACAGACCAAGCAAGTGATAAGCTAGTGGTACAGAAATTATATGCTAATCGAGGTACAAACTTGAAATTACGAGTATAGAAGTTCTGTTCGTACTTCCTTCTTATATTACAGACTACTCTTGCTTTCTGGCGTCAAATTTAAATTAGTCTCCGATAAATTTATAAATGAATATTAGAGTCAACTCCTCTATTAGTATATTATATCCGGGACTGTTAAGAGGAACTAAATAATCGTTAGCGTAGGGGGCTCATTCAGCATATATATTCTCGCCACTCCAAGCAAATTTTGTACAGAATTGTCGAAAGCGGTAAAAGTAAAAAGCAGTTGATCTGCCAGAATACAGTCAAGTAGAATCTAGATTTCGATATAATACCGCCGTTTAAACCTTAGCTATCGGAGGGTGGTCAAATTCCCATTGGTGTCCCGAACTTCAAATCTTACGTATACTTGATCATGCACAACGTCAATTTTTGAAGGTTTACGATGCTAGTAAAAGGCGCAACGAATATGTGTAGTCTTCATTCTCAAAAAAAAAAAAAGGAAAGTTAGAAGGAAATTAAAAGGAAATTAAAAAATTAAATTTACATTAGGAACAGCTTCGTAGCAGGGCAGCTGCAAATGCAGTTACCAAGCTGTCAATGTCCTTGACTTCAAGGACTTGTGAGGCTGGGGAGGCGGCCTCCTCTTCCTCATCCTCCTCCCCATCGTCACCCATCTCCTTCCCCTTCCCCTTCCCCTTATTTTCCTTCTTCCTGCTCTTCCTCCCCCCAACAGAACCGACGGAAACGTCGATTTTGATTCCACCGGGATTTTCTTTGGGCATCCCGGTGCCCTTCTCCTCCTCTTCAGAAGCCTCAATACGTCGAGCGTTGTATTGGGCCAAACGCTCTAGGCACAGTGCCTTGAATTCTGGTGCCAACTTTCCGAGGAAGTCGACATCCTCGGCCGCGGTCTTCAATGTTGCAACTGTTTCTTCTCCAGCCAGCTCAATGGCGGAGGAACTTCGAAGAAAGGCCAGGATGATATCACGGACCCAAGAGATCCAGTAATATTCCCCATAGACCTCGTTGAAGAAGATTCTTCTGACTTGGCCAAAATTATGTTTGGCCGTTGGCATCATGTCTCGACGATAGAGGTGGATGAAGACAAGTAAGTCGTTGCGGCTGAGATTAAGGAAGTCCTGTCGCTTCCATCTGGTGAATATTCCGATGTCTGTGACAAGACCAAAGAGTTTGGGATCGACAATGAGGCTATCTTTAGCCGGCTGAGTACCATTGCTTGAGTTGGTACTGGCGGTTTCGGGAAACTTGGTCCCCGAACCAATGGTTGGTGAGGCGATGATGTTTTGCGGACCAATGCTAGGGTCTTGGGCACTTTGTTCGTCCTTCACTTCGACGTTTGAAGCGGGGCCTTTGGGAACGTCCGGTTTTGTAGGGGCCTCCGGAGCTTGGGTAGATGGCATAGATGATTTCCGGCTGGCTTCTGCAGCCGCTTTGGCATGCTTGCGACGGGCAGCTTGTTTAGCTGTTTTATTCTTCCCCATCTTAGCGTCTTGCTCAGGTTCCAATTGGTACTGGGTAATTCCGTAAGGTAAAAAGGATTCAGGAGGTAGGATATCGGAGAGGTTTTCTCTTAGCCAAGCAGTATTGGTGTTAAAGATTCCTGAGATGATATTTGGGTCGTCGCTGGTGATGATGGAGGGAGGTTGTGGTTGTGGTTGTGAGGTTGGAAATGTAGCTGCTCCTGCTGCCGTGTTAAGTGCTGGCAACTCCGCGACGTCACCGGTATTCAATTCTCCTTCCTTTATACACCAGATGTTAGCCGCAAAGAGCCCGCTATATAGTAGCCTCGAATCCACATAGAACCCAACATCAACTACAATATACTTCAATTAACATACCTCATTATCACTACCATGACTGTGATTATTATCGGTCTCGAGATCAGGCCCTCCAAAATCAGTGAGGTCGAAACGTTCAGCGAAGGCACTCTTTCGGACGCGTCCTTCAGCATTTGGACTCCCGGTTTGCGATGTAGCCCTTCCGCGTCGTGAAAAAAGGTTCGTAATTCCCTAGAAGTGATATACAATCATTAGCACTAACCTCTACGACCGATAGGCCGTCAAATGATCATCTAAGCTCATCCAGCACTAGACACCTAGGTGGAAGCTTCATACGCGATCCCAGCTGAAGAGATTCGATATGACTTACCGTATTCCTCTTAAAGGCTCCTAGAAGGTCTTTAACCCTTTTCGGACTCATTTCTATTGATCAGATGGTCGTGCTTCTACAGGGTCGAAGGAAATTGATAATAGGTATGACAAAACAGAGTTGATTAAACATAAAGATTGGTTGGTGAAAGATGGGAAGACAGAAAGGAAGTGAACCGGGATAACGGCTTGTCGACGAACTTTTTATATTGGTGCTCAAGCAGTAGACGCTCTTTTTTGGCAAACAGACGGTCCGGATGTTTCTCAAGAACAATACAGCTTCATTAGCATATAAGACGCTATTCCCCTCGGCACCAATTCTGAACAGCAACACTAGTGGTATGGATTCTAGGGAATCCATGTTAAGTCGTGGCGCTGACTAGACGCTTCCATCGGGTGCTGCTGAATGATCGGCGGGCGATTTATATCAAGGGCATTGAAAAGGCTACTTTTCCAAGAAACTGGCTGGATGAGTATCAAAAGTATCAAATTCCTTCGAAATATAACATCGAAGGCATGTTTTGATGATATATTCTGATAAAATGAGGAGGAACTTTGAAGCTAAGTCCTGGTCACCGGCACGACTTCATTTTTCATACTGATTTTCGGGTATACTTGGAGCGCAGGTTAGTTAAGGTGCTGTAATCTGAATGTCATATAATAATATTATGTGGTAACTTTTCGAATTATAGTAACAGATACCCAAAGCGAATAAAAGCAAGCACCGAATAGATAAGATACGAATTTTAAGTCGGGTTGAGGAACAGATTTATTAAAGTACATTATCGACTGCCTGTCTGCGCTAGAGCTTGTGCGTTACCATTGTAGGCTCTTATATGGAAACCTACAATCAAGGCATAAAGCATATTAGCAACCGAAATACTCGATTCACGTGCTAACGAAAGGAAAGGATATACTAACCAGCCCTGGTATTACTATCCGCACTACTTAGAGTACTCAAACAGAATACAAACGGTTGATTAGACGTTGTATTCCGAAGATATAACTGATACACATTCGTCGAACTAGTAAACGCAATATAATAATTCCTACCCGCCGTTTGATTTGTGAACCCCCAAAACAACTTATTATCTGCGGCAGTTGGGTCACCGTAATAGTAATTATTCGTGACCGAATATAATTGTCCCAGATTTGTGACAATAAAGGTTTCACGGGTGTTCGGCGCATAAAAGTTGTTGGTGAGATGCATGGCGTCGTCAGAGATTGCGAACGTTCCGTTATTGATCCCACCTATGCTCAGATATGATACATTCCCACTTGGAGCTCCCTGCGCCACTGTGATGGTTGTAGTTGCGATTTGTGCGATTGTGGACGTAGATGTTGAGAGGTAGGTTGTTACTGTTGTTAATGAGTCTATAAAGGTGCTTGTTCTCGTGGTGCTTTGGGTTAATGCCGGAACGATAATAGAAGATATTATAGTAGTTTGAGAGGTTACAGTCGAGATGCTATATGAAATTGATGTTGAAGATGGGGATGTAAATAGCTCTACCAGCGTAGATGTCACAGTTGTGGTGGGGGAGATAGTATTATATTGGGTTGCACTCGGAATAGTTGTATAAATTATTAAGGTATTGGTTTGGGATAAAGTTTGGAAGTTTGTAATGGTTTGAGTTGTAGATGGAATAAATTCCGTGAATATATCAACATCAATCTGTGTAGAGAAAGATGTTGTCGTTACGATAGCGGTTGAGGAGGGTATTGTCTCGCTGACGAAGAGAATTGCAGACTGTGTTTTTGTAGTCGTGATGGTCTCGAAGATTGTGGTGCTTGAAAGCGTCAAAAAACTTGAAAGAACTTCTGTAGTCTGAATACTCTCTGTCAAAGTATTTGCTTCCGTCGTTGATGGAAGGGTTTTGAAGATAGAGGAAATGAAGGTCTCCTCTAACGTCACGGTATCTGTAAAAGTTTGGGTGCTTGAGAAAGTACCAATCTGCACGACACTTGTGAAAGTCATACTTATTGACTCTGTGAAGAAGATAGTGGAAGTATAGCTTGTCTCAGGAACGACCACATCCACGATTTCTGTGGAAGTTTGAGACTCAATGATTGTCGAGAACTCTGTGCGGGTAGTCGACACGATGCTAGTCGCCTGAATAAGTGTTACAGTCTCGAATATAATGGCAGAAACTGTTTCCGTTGAATCCTTAGAAGTGGCTTCTGAAACACAACCTCACTTAAAATATCGGTGCCAAATGTTTCCAGTGGGGACGGAATTACAACTTTGTTCGATACCAAGTTGGCCTGTCTTTTCTCTATTACCGTTTGTTGAATCACCTTCTCGCCAATACTACTCAGAGCCCTGGCTTTGATCCCTGCTTGAGAACTACTCCGACTTGTAACAGCGACGGCAATAAAACTGAGGGATGTAAACGTAGTAGTAGTAACCGGTGCAGTTGCTGATACAGTACTCCGGAGATTACTCATAACAGAGCTCGTAACTACGGATATGAACGTCGAAATTGTAGTCCCGCTTGTCAAAGTTGTCGAAGCAGTGGCTGAGTTTATAGTTGTAGTGTATATTATAGTTGGCAGTATAGAAATGCCTGAGGTGATATTGGTGCTAAATGATTGGGTGTTAAATACGGTTTTCGTGGGTGCCGTGCTTGTGATTAGCAAGATACCGCTTTGAACCATTTGAGTAGTTGAGATTGTCGTAAAATCAGTTATTGTAGTCGTAGTTTGGGTAGAAGTTTCCCCCGAGATTATTGTAGTAGAAGCTGATACCTTGTTAGTTTGTGTGCCGGGTAAAACAATGGTGGAAGTCGTTTGGCCATCAACTATAGTTGAAGTTTCCTGAAAAAATACGGTTGTAGTCGAAAATTCAACATTGGTGGATGTTACTTCCCCAGATAGAATAGTGATTGTCGTTATTTCCGTTGAGGATAAAGTGGTTATTTCATATACTTGACTGGTATATACTCCTTCATATACCGTGACGACTGATAATAACGTTATTGGGCTATCTTGCGTCGCCGTTTCATCAATGCTCCTGACGCCATCCAGAACAACGGATGTAATTGTAAAAAACTGGCTTTCGATTTCCGTGAGAGTTGAGAGCAGCAAAACATATGTGCCACTTAGTGATGTTGATGTCTTTTTTTCAACGAATAGTTCCGTAGAAAGAACCGTGAATGTTATCGTTTCTTCCCCAGTAAGTATTATCTCCGTACCAAAGGTAGTGTCAACCTGGCTCTGGATCACAGTTGAAGTTTGCTTTGAATACCCCAGATATTCGCTGCAAAAATCGTATAGCTTATAATCCTCGATAATGATCATGGCAGACGGGACGAGATTAACTGTTGGTGGGGATGTGGATATTGAGATAGACTCTGTCGCACCATCCATCGTCGAGAGTGCGTCATTGGTCTGGGTCTCCTCCTCCATGAAGCTAGAAGTGGTTGGAGCTCCAGTTAAAGAGGATGTGCTAGATACTTCCTCGTTTGAGCTAATTTCTGGTAATGGTTCAGCGCTGGTCTCATTGTTTAAATCTGATAAGGTATCCGTGACCGTTGCCGAAATGTCTATAGATTGCGAAAGTATACTCGTACTGTCGGTTGTAGAAATCGGGTCACCTGTTTCGGAATTTTCAGAAGTTGTAGATTGTGAATCGATAGTAGAGGGCAATTCAGAAGTGGTTTCTGGTACAGCCATATCCGTGGACGAAGTCTCTACTATTGAGCTGTCACTAGTTAAGCTTTGGCTGAAGGAGTTCGACGTCTCCTTACCAGACGTTTCGCTAGGTAGAGTCGTTTCCGCAAGCGGGCTCTCGCTCAACGATGAAACACTCAAACCAGGACTCGCCAAAGTTATGAGACTTGATTCATTAGTCGAGACTGTCGTCTGGAGGGGCTCCTTTGTCGTCAATAAGTCAGTAGTAGGGATAACCGCTTCTGAACTTAAAATCGGGCCAACCAACCCTGTCTGCTCTGGAGCAGTAGATACCAAATCTGTAGACTCAGTAGAAGATTCAACTTCGGGCTCTGAAGTCGATTCAACTGTGCTGATTACGCCTGTCGATGTTGACTCAAATGTCAGGGATTCAGATAATACAATAGTTGATATTCCATCCGTAAACTTTGTTTCAGCGATCTCCGAAGTAGAACCAATACCCAAGGAGCTCAAATTGATAGTGCTAATATCAACACTACTCGGACTGATGATCCCGGAATCGGCCGTTACTAAATCGATAGTGCTCGCAGTGATAATACTTGAATCAATAGTAGACAGGTTGGCACTAGGCGATAGATTGATTGACGTACTATCGCTATCGCCTGGCTCAAGTGTACTTGGGTCAGCGGAAATGGAGCTGGCGGCTGACATCGTTTCACTGGGGGTAGAGCCTGTTGAAGCATTAGTGGGTAGAAGGGTTGTGGAAATCAAATCCGTAGCTTCTAATGGTGAGGTTGTCGTAGTCAAGAACTCAACGGAGCTTTGACCCAGCGGATCGGTACTAGATACAGAAGACACCGTCAAGCCTACACTACGGCTCTCGACTTGTGAGTCCGTGATCGGCCGTATCTCAATTATAGTCGTCGCACCACCCGGGCCAACTACCGTTGTTTCTGATACTGTGGACCCCGAGGACACCGTCGTAAACCGGATCCCTCCTAGGCCTGTTGGCAGTACAATGATTGCAGTGGGGTTTCCATCGGCCCCAATTGTCAGAGATGTTCGAGACGTACTTCCAGAATATATCGTCTGCGTGACCATCTCATACCATGATGTCACTGCTGAGGTTATCGTAAAAAGGCTGTCAGAATTAGATGATACAGAAAGTGGTACTGTCGATTGTAAAATTGAGGGGTTGGAAGCACTAATTGAGATAGTTGTAGAACCAGACGCTGCTATAGGTGTCTCGGACGAACTGGGCCGAGGGGAAATCCCGGACGCAAGGCTGGATATAGGCCGTGATACAGTGCTCAATTGAAGACTCACGCTCGTCAAAGGATCAGTTACTCCCTCCAAATCACTACTTAAAGAGTCTACCTCATCTCCAGGGCCGCCCTGCGCTCCCGCAGAATTTGGCGAAGCGCATGACGTTGAAGCATAAACTCGAGTACACCCCGGAAGGTTAATGGCCAGAGGGATGGAGGTTATAATATCGGACATGAGGATCAAAGTCGACCCTTCTCGATTGACATGTGTCGATTTTGTAGTACACCTGATTGTTATTGAGGAAGGTAGTGGCAGTAAAGAGGTAGTCTTGATTATGGAGCCTGAACCATCCATGATGGTATTTACTTCAGTGATTTGCACAACCTGAGTAACTGTTATGTATACTGTTGTATGAGATTTAGTCGTTTTCATATATGTGATCGTTGTAGGCGCCCTTGTGACTTGAATCGTTGATCGATATTCTCCCTCCAGGTTATGAACCGTGACTCTCGTTCGATGATGAATAAAGCTTGTCGTATTATAGGTCGTCAGAACTCCTAAAGTAGTCATTGGAAGTGTTTTCAGAGTAATTCCAATAGTATACGAAGTCCATTTCCGAGGCTTTCCATGCTGAGATACATGGTAGACCGCTGTTTGGAAGTTCTGAAATGCCCACCCCCAAAACTCGATCACCCACCACTGCAAAATAGTCGTTCGTCCATAAACCCAAGGTTCAGCATGTGATGTTATAGGGTCCCTGAAGTTTGTAATAGTTTGTATTGGGCACTTCTCGCAGACTTTAATGGTAAGGGCATGTTGAAGCGTTGTTGGTATAGGATATCCCTTACAACGCCCCGTGTCTGCAGATGTTACAGTTGAAATTTGAACAGCTCTGTAACTATATTTAATCGAAATAGTCGTACTTGTTTTCCATTTCCATTTCGTGATAATCGACGTATCGTGGAATCTTGTCGGGGTAACTTCCCTTTGAGGGATAGAAGAAGTTGTGTCGAAAAATGATAAAAAGAGAATGAGAGAGAGTAAGAGAAAAGACAGTTTGTCTCTTCGAGGTGCCGCCATCGTATAAACTTAGCAGATATAGCCTAGAAATAAAAATTCTCGGATCAAATACTTCTTTAAAACTTATAAGATCAATCGACGACAATGCAATCGCGCCGTCGAACTGCAAGGTAGGGGTCAGCAGAAGCTTATACCGCCGTGTTGGAAATTTGGTGTTGTCGCATCGCGATTGTTTACTGCAGTGTGGATAGCTGTACGGGCCGCGACTCCATTCGAACTAATAAGCACAATTGAAGTAAGAGATATATTTTTGACAACGATTGGGCGTTTCATCTATCGGCAATTTATTCTGACTTTTAGTTTATAATCACAAACTTTCAGTCTTATTTATATTGCACTAGACGTGGCGCTGATGCCAGGGGCCCATTTCATCAATCGATCAAGCCAGGCGGCCTCTCAGATTATATCTTCTTCCGTTCCCTGTTACATGGGAATTTGATCGATTGCCAGAATAACAATTAAAATTTTGACTTGGGATCACCTCCAACATAATACAGCGAAAATATTTTGTATCTCGACTATGACGTGAAGATCCAGATACTAGTATACTACCAAAGGGACCGATGGATCGCGATTATGAGCAACATGTTGCATGTTGGTTGATATATGTAGATATCAAATGCCATTGACGCAGCTACGGCTGTTGGTATATCCGAAAGCCCCTCGATCTCCAGGTATCCTGACAGCAGCTCGTTATCGTTGGTAACATCACTTACTATAGTAACAGAGCGCTAGGTCCAGCATACTTATCCTCCACATCTCCGTTTGCATTTCCTTCCAACCAGACTGTTTGTACACGAGGGATGCTCTAACCGGATCCGTCGGTCTCCTACTTTGTTAGTTCCATGGCCTAAAATCGGACCACTGATATGTTCGGAATGTTGTGCCTTGCATGAACCACGATTCGGGCCTAGACCATGGTCTAACTTGGCAGGCTGGACGGAACCGCTTTGAAGCGAAGCCGCTTCCGCCCCCCATTCAATTCGTTCGGCTAACACCTTTACAGGCTAATTACTGAAGGAGCTACAAGATCGAAAGGTATTTGTGGACCGGTTTCACGTGAGTTCGAGATTGAACTTTCACGGGCTCGACGACATCTTTGTCTTGGCTTTCTAGCTCCCACATTCTAGCATACCCCCATGCGAATATCCAGGCCAAACCTACTCGCAACATACAGTTGCTACCGCAAGATTTTTTCGAAATTTGTCTTCCGTATAAGATATTACGGGTCTTAGCAGTATAGTAATCTATTATATTGTTATACGCAATCTGGATCCCAAGCCTTATCTCGTAAACCAGAATCAATACTGCTGCGCACCCAAGCCCCCTTAATTTGTACAATGCTATAATATATTATACTAAACCCCTTTCCATCAATTAGATACGCCACGACAAACATAGTGTTCGAAAGAGACGTCCGGACTAGCACTACTTCTCCCTTGTTTGAGACGACCTTTAGAGCTTTAAGGCTCTTTCTCGAAGGAAATACAGCATCGGTACCATTGGATTGTCGATTTAGGTGCCTCTAAAACATCAAGGCACTTTACCCATTAGGAACAGAGATCGGCCCATGAAGCCTGCCTGGGGTGGTCAGAAAATATAGGCGGGTAGGCAAACGACGAGGGATTTAGTTGGATGGCATCATCGGTGATATAAATTTCGCTACCTCGGCGCCTCAAAATCGATGACGAAAGTTTCCAATTAGATACGCAATATATATTGGGCCACAATTTGCATCCTAGTGAGAATCTAACATTACTTAGTTCCATTGGTGATCATATATGCATAGTAGCTACACACACATACGAATTTCAATCAAATGCTATGCGCATAGAAGCCGAACCGGCCGTCCCAATCCTAGACTCATTACAATTTGTATTCATTAAGTTAGAATTCTGCTAGACTATTGCGATATCGTAGTACACGTAGAACCATTCATCATATCAACGCATCAAAACTCGTTGGATCGACACATGCATACACTGTTCCTGAATTGAGAGAGCTAGAGGCACGGGTCTTCTTAGCAAGTTTAAATTCACAAGATTTTAGTTTGCAGATTATTTTTGTTCAGATATAGGATTTATTAGACTATTGTAGTTACATATTGAGTATATCTACATGTCGTAGCTTGAATCTAAATATTAGATCTGCAGAACCCTCATATATCAATTCCGATCCCGGCGGTGGTTGGAGTCATTTAAGCTATAACGTGGCATGTTAGAGACAATGAACTAAAAATACTGGGCACTATAGGGGATATTTACCGTCTTCGAGGATCCAGACTTGGTTGTTGCCCTTTCGCTCCCAGAGGAGGACAACGGTGTCGTCGTCACGGCTGGCATCCTTGACATCGATGTGGAGGTCAAGATCGTGATGGATTTGGAGACTATCGAACGATGTACATATATTAGACTCGTTATACCATAAAGTGTACCTAAGTAGCTATAGATTGGAACATACCGGTGACCACCCTCGTCATCGGAGATGTGCCAGAGGAATGGCTCGTCGTTTGTCCTCAAAGCGGCACCAAGATCCTCGTTCTCTGGAGCAAGATATCTTCCGGTGGCAATATTTCGCAACCACCATCTGTGACCTGGGCCGTCACGGTTGAGCTCCCACTATTAAATTGTCAGTGTTGTACGGGACACGATAAAATGAGGAGGGGCTCCTCATAGAAATTAGCTAATGTTACTGACTTTCTGGTTGTCACCACCATTACCGCCCCAGGCACGAACCCAGTTGTTACCCTGGTTCTCGTCGAGAACAGTGTCAGTGTTCTGATTCTTAAGAACGTAGATTCCGCCTGCGTGAACCATTTTGAAAATTTGTATATGTAATTGAAAAGGGTTGGTTTAGATCTTGATACTTGATTGAAGAATGTAAGGGGTGATGTAGAGCAGATTCGAAATTAAAATGAAATCAACGGGCGAACGCGGGCCCCTTTATAGCTTTTGCCGTTGCTGCGTGCGGGGTTCTAGAATAGTAGCTGTATACTAGCTAGCCACTGCACTAGCTAGCACTTGATCTGCCCCTCATCCTTGATCAACTAGCGTCCGATTTCTTGCAGTTCTCAACAAAGAACCGTTCAAATTTCAACATTCCAGTGTTCACTGACGTATGGCGCATGATGCTGCAGACACGCCCTGATTCGCTAGCCCCGTCGACGGAGGGCAAACTAAGAGGGACACATGCATGGTCTTCGCAGGAAACAGCTAACATACCCGATGTTCAGCTCTCCCGCGAACAACGGAAACGGCTCTCAATGATACATTTAGCGTTACAGACACATGCTGAACCCGCACCGCCCTCACATATAAACTAAACTAAAAGCCGTAAGCACCTCGGCGAGGATCCATGCGAGCTGGCCGAAAATCAACGGCACCAATTTCAGGTTGATTGCTCGTCAGACTAGCAATGGCTCTTCATTCAAGTATTCAGATCCGGGTGGGGGAGTAGACGCATATGTATGCCAAGCTAGTTGCCCACCGCGGGGGTTAAATTAGATATCATGGCATATTTAGTAACAAAATCAATGCATTCAAGCGAGGGGGCTTCAGTATTTTCTTACTCCCATCAATTAGTCTTGAACTCTCGAGTTTTAAAGGCATATTACATAAAATTGTGAATTGCGGCTTCAACGCGAACAAATCCTTTCGATCATCTTGTTAGGGAGCTACACGGTTCGGTGAGGGGTATAGAATGTGTCTTGCGTCAGTGCGGGGTAGTGGCAGGGATGAGCACCATTTTCGGATACGAGACCCTGGAATCGTCCTGAAATCACTAAAAATGTTTGGACAGGCCGCGGGTTTTATGCAAACTTAGATTTCTCCGTTCCCAACCGAATCGCCTTGCGGAATCCATTTCTGACAAAATACAGGTTGATAGTGGCGCAAGCATATAAAAACATTGGTGTTATCATTGAGAAAATTAAAAGGCATCAGAAGGAGATAAACTGGGGGCTGAAATATACCTTGCATTGATTCAACGAGCGAATCGAATCAATTGGGCCCATTGCTTAGACTTTGAGTTTGGAACGGCGTCTACACTTAAGTCCGCGGTGTATTGGACTCGTCATCATCAGTCTCGGCAAGCCCTAAAAGCCATAGCATACTCGAGTGTGGCAGTGAACGCCAAGACTTCGAAAGGCCTTCCAAGTTTAGATACAGGACCTAGATTCAAGGATGGAGCTTCGAAGTAGACCAATGATATCTCTGGCGGGCGGTGAGCTCCATCTTTCTTATAGTTTGGACGTGTCGGTACGCGCTGGCTTGATATCTGGCCGCTAAGTTATCGCGGAGTTAAGGTACCATTGGAGTCAATGCAACCATATGCATCGATTAAGCAATGCGAGGAGCAATGCCCATGATCGCCACCGTGCAGACGCTTTCACAATTATTGTGTACATGATATTTCAGCCGTAGGTCGCGTGCATGATATCCTAATGATATCCGTCAGGTGGGTTTGAATCCATGATATCCATCCAGTTCACCCCGGCGGAAAAGTTGCATTCGCCGACTTGTTGTATTTTATGCGTGCAACACCATTCGACGCTGAGCGATTCCAAGCGTATGCTGGCACGAGCGCGAGCAGAGGACAGGGACTTTTACGTCTCGACGTCTCTGTACCCGCAGAATACTGTATATTATGGCACAGTAATTTGAACTGGGGCGGTATTATAATATATTAAGGTTAACTAGAAGGAGGTGAGCACTTTGACTATTGCTTTGGGTTGGTCACGAAGCAGCTGGCCAACCCGATCCCTGTTCCGAACCCGCGACAACCAGCCCTAGGATCGGGATCCCAACACTTCATGAATTCACAAGTTATCAACGAATATTGGTGGCTACTAGATTAGATGTGAGCATTGGAAGATTGTAAAGGGTTATTCATAATCAATTGTTCTATCATTAGGTATTATTAAGTCTTCGGTACGGTTGAGACAAGAAACCCCCTAAATGGTAGTCCAGGGCCTGAAGAACCGACAGGTCTTCAGCGTTGTAGTAACTTAGCTTAGTTAAGTTATTAACAACTTCGTAAAGAAAATGAAATATGAAAGACATGAAAGTCCTCGCAGTAGCATGACAGGCTTGAAAACAATAACAATAACGGAATAAAAAAGAGACATAAAACCTGCGCTGAAGAGTAATCAATTTTGCAAAGTCGCCCTCCTAGATCGAACTTTATCCAGTTGCGTACCTAGGTAATCATACTATCCTACGAGAAATCATCCTCCCCACTCGACGAGATATCTTCTAGGTCATCTTGATCTTCCTTTTCAGGCTCGCGGATCTCGAAACGGAAGTTATATCCAAGCTCTTCGAACCACTTGTTACACTTTATAGCCCTCGAATTTCCGACGGGTGTCAGCTCTCCCCTTGGAAAAAAGTTGAGCCAGATTTTGTCTTCAACCATTTTATCAATCCCAATGCACAATGGGCATATCAATCGCAAACGGACTTGGTTGAGGAGCCCGAGACTCTGTTCGAGTTCGAAATTTGGAATCCTCCATTCGATATAGGCACCGAACCGCCTTGCCAACCAATGCGCCCCGGTTGGGCATCCAGGGCAAATATATCTTTCGCGGAGACAGACTTTACAGTCCCCATTTTCGACCCTAGCTATGATATCTGGGACCAATGGGTGTTCGTACAGACAAGGTTTAGTGCCAACGCCGCGTTCATAGAGCTCGATATTGTACTTTTTCGTCTTGTCAATGACCCAGATATCGGTATTTTGTGATGGATTGTTGAGCCAATTTTGTCCCATTTCGACATCCGCCCTGGAATCGAAGCTGCCAAACTTCCAACCCTCTTTTGGAGTAGCTTGGTAGCAAGTGAGGATTTTCCCTGAACCACCGGTGTCTGTCTTTTCTATGGAAATCGCATCACAAATGACGACAATCCACTCTTCAGTTTCGACAAGTTTGTGTTCTTCGGCGATTTTTAACCAAAGTTCTGGCGCGAGTGTTTTGCCCCCCTTGGTCTGGATATTGCTGGAGGCGATCAACCGGTTTCGAACGAGGGAAGCGTGAAGAATGAGACACGTGAGAGAAGTCTCTGCCCCTGGGAGGATGGAAAGTGTATCATAGAGAGGGGCCATGTTAGGCGGATGGCGTAGAAACACAGACATTTCGATGGTACTTGTATTGATGGACTTGAGAAAAACGAGACTACTGGTTGGTAGAAAGGAGGCCGATGATGGTAATGGTGTGGTTAAGTTGGTAGGCTAGGTACAGACCAAAGGAGATGAAGAAGGATAACAGCTCTGGATTAAACTCCGTAACCGTGAAGAGCTCCTGCCCTATGATAAAAGGCGGTTCAAGAACACTTGATAGACGATAATTCAATTCTGAAGAAGTGCTTCATTAACGATGTAGGAAACCAGAACACTCAGCGCAACGTGTATGGCATGCGGTATTGCGGTTGAGTGCTGCCGATCACCACGCTACCTTGCTCGACGCCTTTGTGCCATGCACTGCTAATTAAGTACACAATGCTTCAAACCCCAGATAAAGAATGTACAAAATAGAAATAAAAACCCATTGCAAAAAAGCCATTTCCATGATTAGTAAAAAGAGATCGGTATTCGTCAATATGAATCGAAGGCAAATGAATCATGACAAAAGTATTCAATCCTCGTCTTCAAGATCAAGCTTGTGATTGAGCTTTTTTTCCAACTCGCGGATACGAGCGTCTTGTTGGTCCAAGATGCGCTTGTAACTGGTGAGTTGGCCACGAAGAAGGGTGTTCTCGCGCTCAGAAAGATGATGGCGGTGCTCCTCGAAGAACTCCTTGACTTCGACCAACTGTGCTAAATTCTGTGTTAGAATAGCGACTTTAAGGTTCTATGGGTACGGCAGGAATTCTTACCGATGGACTTATCAAGGAAGGCGCCGAAAGTGTTCAAAATGAGAGCGGTAGGCTTTGGCTCTCCCATCTTGCGACAGAAGATAGTAAGGCCATCTTGAATGCCGACCATTGCTACAACCAAGAGTGTTAGCTGCTTAAATCTCAGGTCCGTTATAAACAGAACGGATCCTGCTACTTACAAGCACCGTTCCTGATGACATCAGAACGCCAGAGTTCAATCTCACGATGATAGAGAATCTTGTCCGGAACCACAGTACGTTCCTCCTGTTCGTCAATATTGGTGAAATTCCACATTCGTTGAGATCTTTTGCGGGTTACCTTTGGTGGAGGCCCAAGTGGTTTGACCGGCTCTCCGAGACCCTCGCCACTAGTGACTTGGACGGTAGGGATTTTAGGGACCTGGAGTTCCAAGGTAGGATTTTGAAGAGAGTTTGGAGACCCTGAGACCGATGGTTCAGTGAAAGTATCCCTGTTGCTAAAAAATCCACCTGTTTATTTCATATTCTCTTTAGTTAGTCATCTCCCATATATCTATCTATCAAGAAAACGGTTTGGAGGTATTTCCTGGATGCCAGCACTCACGAGGATGTTTCTCAGCAGATGGAGAGTGATGTTTATTGACAAGCTCTGGAGGCCAGAAAGATTCATTATCATTAGGACGACCAGTCAACGGTGAAGTTGGCGTTTTAACTTCGTTCTGCCATTGCTTGACAGCATCAAGGGTGAGAAGGTGTAGCTGCTTCTCGATCTTAACCGGACCGGTGCGGTAGAAGGCCGGGTGGGTATACCCCTGAGGAGACTCAGGGCCATCCGGACCAACCTCAGCAAAAGTTGAGATCGTGCCCACAGCTGGCCTCTCCGGGGCAGAGTTCTCGTCTGATTTAATAGAGGAAGATCTTTGGTGAAGAACCATGTTGTCGTTCATACAGGATAGCGATTAAGAGTCGAGATAGTAAGGATCGGTGATGTTAGGACGGTTGATGTTGATGTAGATAGAGCGTAATACGTAGTTGTATTTGGTATGGACTTATGGATGGATTGGCGATGGAAGTTTGTCGACGTCTTCAATGACGCCGAGAGGAATCGTCTTTAAGATGCATTGAATATAGTTACAACGCAAGCTATCCTCAGACCTTGTGGTATTTTTACCCCTACAAACTGGTCCTCAGCAACACAAAACCAGGCTTGTACACATCTAGCCTTGAGGCTCTTTGGGTCCTACTGATCCTCAAGTCCTATATAAAGTCTCGATACCTGAAGGCCCTCTTCTACGCTTCTAGCATGGCATAGGCACATAACTAGCCGGCTGCCCTTCATATGGTATACTATATATGTCGGCGTTGGGTCATAAATCTTCACAGCTTCTTGATGCAATCCATTGGAAATGAGGGCTGAACTTTACATTCTGGTTGAAATATTGAGGTATGGACGGGGCTAAGATGTTAGAGTGAAAATTTCAGAGAGGAGAGTTTTAAAGGCACGATAGCTTCTCGCAAGGCACTTTTTAAACGGAAATACAAGGAGCAAAAAAAGATGCAGGAAATGAATTTGAAAAATGAGAGCAGACACAAGCAAAAATAAGAAACTATATGAGAGATAAGAACCAATTTTTTGCGCTAATGTTATGCAGCTAAATATACCACATGTTGCCCCTAAGATCCTTGTGAATGCCATCACGGAAATATTCCCTCGCCCTCTTCTCGCTCTGGGCCTGAGTAAAGTTTCGAGAACCAGGTTCGGCGCCGGTCAACAAAGGATGAATGTAGAATCGGCCCCTATCACAGGCCAAGTCTGCGTAGTAGGCGGGAGGAACGATAGAGACACCCTTAGTGGCTCTACCAAAGAGGTAGCAGAGATTATGAGTCTAAAACGAGGATTAGAATGTGAACCTAAAAAATAAGAGGGATGTGTATGTGTAAATTGGAGAGCTTACCAAATTCTGCAACTTGTCAGCAGTAAAACCAATATCATCTCGAATAACGTAATAGTGCGCAGGGCGCACAGTACCCTGAAGGCCGGAGTGTGCCTGGAGATAGAAGTCAAAGTCGTAAACAGCAGTGACCGAACGATCAACGACGGTCCCGGGCTTGCAGTTGTACTTCTTATCCGCGGCATTCTCCTCAGCCGGGTAAAAACGAGTGTGGTGGCGTTTCCCAACGATGACGACGGTCAACTTGGGCTTATTACCAGGTCTGTAGGAATTAAAGGCCTTCAAGATTTCGGGGACTTCGTTGGCTAGGACTTGATCATACTGGCCCTCACTAACTCCGTCTCTGTAGAAAAGAACCTTTTCGGGAATAGCACCTTTGTTATGACGGGCGTACTCCTCCAGGCGTTCGATGACCATTTGCTCCAGGCCTTCTATCATTTCTTTCTTAGAAGTCTGGAGACGGATCGAAGCTGGGAATTGGCCGAAAGTCCTATCACAAGATGCAACAACAGCGGCGAGAGATGGAGTGCCCTTGGCGGAACCGGGTGAGGGATGGGTAACATCGGCTCCCAAAAGCATAGCGGGGGGCTTGTTTGGCTCGATAAGTGGCTCGAGCTGTTTTTCTTGCAGCATGTGATTGCGTCCACCAGCTTTCAAGTTGATCTTCATAGCTACGTTGGCAAAATATTGAGCAGCTTTAGCAGGTTCACGAAGCTGTCCCCTCTTATTCGCCTTGTCCATGGTGACGACGACAGTCGAAACACCCGCCACAATATCACCGCCACGCTTGATGTACTCATATAACCTCTGGTCCTTGGTGGGAATGAAACAGAACACAATTTGTGGTTTCTGCTGCATAGAAGCTGCCTTGATGAAGGTGTCCTGGATATACTTAAGATTATTTGAAGGGTCGTTGTTGAACCGGATATTTGGAAGCGTAGCAGGGACCTTAATACCAGTCAACCTACACTGATCGGTCAAGCATTTCAGGGCTAGTTCGATGTTCTCTGGCGTGGCATCTCGTCCACCGATGATACCCAAAGCGCCCCAAACTTTTATTTCCCCAGCCTTTGCAAACTTAGACTGAGCAAGATTCCAGGATGCGTTGAAAGGGTTCAACGGCTTCCCAGAATATTGGATTTGAGGTGCTGGAAGGACACGGGCGGGGACGATGACCATATGCAGGTCGAGTTTGATACCGAATCCGGCCTAGTCGAATTGGGTAAATGTTAGTAAGGCACAGACGCCTGATATGATTATATCAAGAATGGACTCTTCAACTTCATCACTTACCAAAGTTGGATTCTGAGTATCAGCAGTATGACCGAGAGCCTTCAGCCCAGCCGAAGTAATGACATTAGCATTCGTAGTAGGAGGTTTGCAGGCGACGGTTATCAATTGGCTGGTGTTGACACCATCGAGGGTTCCCTTGAAGGGCTGTCCAGGAGTGACAGTGCACAGCTCAGCAGGCAGCCAGTTAGGACGCTCCCTATTCCCAACATTAACCACTGGGAGAAGCGGGAATCCCAGTTTCTTCTTGTATTCTACCAAACATCACCACAACCGTCAGTAAGCACTCCTTTACGAGGTCGAAATCATCACCGACCTCGCACTTCGGCACAACTAGATCACTTACTCTTTGCAAAGTAGTCCTTCACACTGATGAGGCCACCGCCGAATTCTTCGCAGTGGAATTTCTCCTCCTCGGAGTTCTTTAACCCAACACTCTCCACCGACTTCTTTCGAACACCTTGAAGATGGTGAAGCGAAACCTTAACACCCTTCAAAAACCTGCTGAGCATGTCGATTTCTCGCTCATTGAGTTTCCTGTTCTCGGCGTAGTCTCTATACATCGAAGCGAACATCAACTCGTGGAGAGGGCGATCCTGATAGAATGCACCGGTTCGAACATTAATGTTGCAGAGAATGCGATCGAAACCAGGTCGAACAGACGAGTAAAAACCTTGGATGGCATCCAAACCGCCGCCAATGGGTTTTTTTTGACCTTGAGGTGGAAGAACGAAGTAGCTGTTGCTCCCGAACTGGACATGATTCTGGCTTGGGAACATAGATAAAATGATATTGAGACATTGGACCAATGGAGGTGAGTACTTGGCATTCAAGGCCTTGTGCTTGTGATCCGATTCACCCCTGACATAAGACCAGAGATCCCCAATATCTAAAGTGCTGTTCTTGCTAGACTTGATTTCGACAGTGTATTCCTTGCTCTTTTCACTAGGTCCCTTTTCATCCTCAAAGTAGAGTTTGATCTTGACACCGCCCTCCGGAACAAGGTCGGTGGGGAGCTTCTTGGGAGAAAATAGAGTCTTGGACCAGTCGGTAGCAACTATATGCTTAGCAAGATGGCCTTGGATGAACAATTGAATAACACGCTTCAAGATCGCCTTCTTCTTTTGTTCATCCGGGGTCACTTTGATATCATATACATGCACAATTAGGTTCTTTCCACCGCCTGGGGGTTTAATATCGATAGGGAAAAAGTTGGCGCGAACAAGAACCTTTTCGCCAGTAGTTCCAAATCCTGGACGAGGTGGATAAGCAGGCTCAATGTCGCCTGGAACATCTGGAGGTGGTTGTACCGAAAGTCCCTTGAAGCTAGCGATTAAGGAGTCCTCGTGGTTTATGACGTTTCGGTCAACGCCCGTGGGTCCTCCAGAAGGCCTGAATAGGTGGAAATCCTCGTCGGATGGACCTCCTGCACCGCCTCCTCCCCTACCCCCACGTGGGGCAAAGCCTCCTCTCCCTCTATCACCCCTTCCGCCACCACCACCTCTATCACCCCTTCCGCCACCACCACCTCTATCACCCCTTCCACCCCCTCTGGGGAACCCACCAAAGCCTCCGCGGTTGTCACCTCCTCCACCTCCACCTCCACCTCCACCTCCTCTTCCGCCACCTTGTCCACCACCGCCACGCCCAGCTTGACCACCACCACCACGACCACCGCGACCACGCCCACCACGATCAGACATTTTTCAGAGGTGTGTGATTAAAACCACGAAAATTAATCCTAATGGATTTTCAGATTAGGACTCGCAAGCAATGAGGATTGCTGCTCGAAATAACCATACAACAAATTAACTCGCCGTCGCCTTAGCTCCACGAGTTCAACTAACAAACAAAAGGGGGAGGATCCAAAAAGAAATCCGATGGATACTATCCAGAGTATAAAAAAAGATACGGTTGCCAGATCGGTTTGGATAAAGCTGGTTTATGCCACTACACTAGCTGGGAAAAAAGCAGAGACTAAGAAGAAGGAGACAACCCGACGGATCTCGAGCGAGGCTCTGCTTAAGTACCAATTATATGTTGCCTGAACTTCCAACCAGCTCACCACCCAGACGCAGCCTTCCGACCAGTGCCAAGCATGCGAAAGAAGAACTAGCGGGGAACGGGAGGGGCTGCGTTGTCGATTGTGTTGGATTCAACTTTTTAATGGTCCTCGAATTGAAGGCTGAGGAAGTTATATCGATGCAAATGGCGATATTGAAAAAGTTGGATAGGTTAAGCTAGTACCTTAAAACCAGGTTAGAGGGATTGGACACCTCTTAAGTGGATTTTTTTGTGGAAAAAGCGGCCTGGAGCATTTCTTGTTTTCGGTGCAGATATCATGGGGTTTGGTGCCGCCGCTCTCAAATGTGTTTCACAAAATCGAAGATGGTGTGCCAAAACATAATTACAGAAATTCTGTCTACTGACAAAGCTAGCAAGGGAGGAGATAGGTAACACGATTTGCGAGTTAAACTATTGACCCTCAAGCCATCCTTTTCTTTATCCGAGAGATAAAGGCATTGCAAGTGAGTTTGGAGAAACTTGGCTATCCGACTGCAGTTTTTTGGAACGATTGGATTCAGTGTACCTCTGCGAACGGGCGACCCCAACAGATTGCTCATCGGTGTGGATGGGTGCATGTCCAGCATACAAAGCAATGTAAAGCGGCAGGGCCCTGACTGTGCTGGCCAGTCACGCGATGTCAAGTTGTGGGCCCTGCTCCCGTCGACGCCATTGGTTTAATTGAAAATACTTCCAAACGGCCTTTGATTTGGCAGCAGTGAAATGAAATGGTGCAAACTTGCCCGAATCCCAACTAGTAGCCTTAGTGGGTTCAAATCCCCAAAGTTTCTGCAAAGAGCTCGCATCGACCGTAAAGAACAATAGTACGAATTCGCGCGGTCAATAGAATCGACATCAGGTATTATATGCAGGTAGACGTAAGCCTGGGGAAATCATATGCATGTTGTCGACGGGTTTCTATCCGGACGGGATAAGTGAGTCACTAGTAGGTCCGGCAGGTAGCACAAGGATAAAACGACCAGGAGCGAGTTTTTTGCGGGTCTTGTCGAACAAAGGCTGTGGTTCCAGAAGCTACGGTAATGTCCTTACATGGATCGGAAACCTGCATGCGAGAATAGGTATCAGGTTTCCTTTGAGAAACTTTCGGGGCGATAGACTATTTTTTGACCGAGACGATGATACTAAGGCATGGGTGCACGGCCCAGGCCAACTTCAGGATTGAGGCGGCTTAGCAGGCGGGCCACCCATATCACGAACACCAATGTTGCACAAAACTCTGAATATCATCTATTAACTAATCCGATTCCTTTTAGTTTGAAATCAACCAAGGCAGAGGTGAGCGTCCCCCAGACTACCCAATTTCCTTTCTGCCACCCACGTCTATACGTAGTCTGGGGTTCACTTCGCTAGTAAAATCAGTTCCCGAAAGCTGCCCATTGCACCACAGCACTGTAAACCTTGGTATCGCCCCAAGTATACAACCTCAGAGTACACCCTTCCAAATCGACAGATTTCACTGAAACATTCAGCCGAAAGTTGGTATGCCTATCCATATCTGCTGCAGAAATACTTGCCGTTACCCTTGGAACCGATATATAGCTTTTTGAAAACGTGATGCGCTGTTCTATATCTCTTGAAGGGAGGTAAGGGGACGTCCAGGCCCCGGATTCAAAATGAGCCTCTTTTGGCAACTCCGGGGTTGGTCGATTGGCTAAGTCTGATAGTTCCGATTGAAGCTTCTTCACCTGCTGCTCTAATTCCGCGATTCGGCCCTCCAAAGTTGGTTTTGGAGGAGCGTTGAGGATATCTACAGCCGTAGGAAGGGCCACAACATCGTTCGGCCTCACTACCCTCAAGAGATCTTTTGTGTATGCTGCCGCCACAACCGCTGCGTATGACTGCCAACCTTCATTCTTATGGTCGTCGGAATAGTCGCAAATACCCCGAATCACCAAACATGGGAAGTCATCTCTAAACCCAGCTGCCTCTGATTCGAAACAGGCGACATCCCACACATCGTGTAACTTATCGCGAACTTCGGCTCGTCTCAAGTCTTTCTTCGCAGAGGCAATCAGTTTGTAATGTACTTCAGGCTCTTTCGTACCCCTTTGAAGACGTCGTTCAACCATTTTGGCATTACACTTTGAACAGTCGTCTCCTCCAACATGCCGATAGCCCGCCTCGAATAGCCTATCCTGGTCTTGTCCAGGATATTGGCAATCACCGATAAGAGACTGTCCTATGGCCTTTTTTATTGCAATGGCCCTTTGGATGTATCGGCCCATCTCCCCTCTTCCAAAACTTTGGTCTGACCTTAGAAGCCGAACTGACTTCACTAACAACCTAGGGGGCTTGTTGAGGATTGACTTAATATGAAACTCTCCATTAGCTCTCCAGTCGTCCAGGTCGTATTGAAGAAGACCGCCTATAAATCGTTAGTAAATTATCAAGAGACCATATAATATTGATGGAGCATCGCTAGTATCATTATAGCTCATTCGAAGGGCACTTACCATGAGCACCACTAGGATCACTAACCACGACATCACCCAGTCGAATATCTTTGCTTGGATCCCCCAGATTCGGCAAACCTGGAGCAGCACCGCCCACTCCCACTAGCAATCCAAATCGAATATTTCGAAACGTTTGAAGCATATTCTCCATCAACTCCGCTGCGGAAGCATCCGCATGCGGCCCAGGAAAAGCGATGACGATATTGTGCAATCCCATCCGACCGAGAATGTAATGATTACCATCTTTCTCCCCAGGAGGTAGCAATTCGTGCTCCTCATCCAACAATAATCTCGACGCCTCGAGCTCGGCTTTTAGTATGGCGGTCCATCCGATTGTGTAGGCTTCATAGCCTAGCTTTCTAGAACCGAACCCGTTAATATTAGTTATTTGAAAATGAACTGTGGGTACGAGACCAACCGTAAGAAGTTGATATTTGTCTCGTGCCCAGACTGCAGCTGAGACCTCTGCGTTGTGCTAGCTGCAGAGCTACTGGAGTTGGAAGAAGGGAAGATATCATACTTCGCCGCCCAGTCTTGGTACATCGACATGCTATCGAGTCTAATTCCTGAAAAGCCTAGCCGTGCGTGTCACAACAATAAATTTTTACTTTAAAGCGAGGATATCGTCTCTCGATTATTCAGGTTAAGATTGAAAGAGGCGGGGTTTCTCAACTTCGGTCGAACCAATCGTATTTATATCCTACGTGGCCCAGCATTTTCAGGCACGATGTGTAACCGTAACCAGGTACCCATTCGTGCCTGGAGATTCCCCTAGAGCATTCGTTTTACTTCTTGATCACCCTAACCATTCAGGTACCAGGTACTGAGGTACTTGAGTAGTTTGCCTTTTTGCTGTCTCTCTTTCTATCAAAAATACCTACACGAGTACTTATACATGAAAGCCTCCTCAGCCGATCTAAGCAAAAATACAACAGTACTACATGCTACAACACGTCCGGATCCCTGGACCGTTCGAGCCCTGTTATCATCATTTCCACCAGCGTTCATCATGACTAATCCTTGATGCTGGGGATAGTTGTACGAAGACCATCATTCAAATAAAGCTTGGCATACCCTAAGAACTGTGATTATATTAGATTTATAGAATACCCCTTCGAAAGACTCTCACCACAACGTATATAACTTGCAATTATGTACATCTAAGGGCTAGATCAGTGATCCAGCACTTAACCTCATTTATATATGCCCCATTGACAGCCCCCCGCCCTCCTTAGCATGTTTCCGGAAATGAAAAGAGGTATACGTAGAGCCACCTGGAGCTAGACCCCCAAGGTCCCCCACACCTTATGAGGCCACACCACCCATTGCATATATGTACCAGCACGTCTAGCACAAGTTGCAGTTGTCAATGCAGCATTGGTTGCATTTTGCAGTATATTCAGCGATCAGTCGACATATTTCTGGTGTGTTGCAAGCAGATTGATATCTGTAGTAGCATGCTCGAGCACAGTTTGTATATGCGGTAGTACCGACGGGGCAGCCACGCTTTTCAAGTTTGGCATTGTCTGCATAAATTATTAGCGGGGGAGCAGGTTCGGTAAGCTTAAAAATCGAATCAGTGGAGGTCCCGAACCGTTCTCATTAGGAGATGCAACAGGAGATGCAGTGACGCTGGCGGCAAGAGCCAAGGTAAGAACGAGTAAACTCTTCATTGCGATTTGTGAATTCCGTCAAAAACACAAGAGATCTTTAATAATTATAAGTATTAAGAAAAGTTCGTTTGATTTGTAGATCAATTAACGGTGTGATGTAATTCTAAAACTATATTTCGCAATGTAAACGAATATGCATAATCACAAGGTCCTTTATATACTCAAAAGATTTGAGGGGTATTTATAACTAGTTACATTCGGCGCTCGAGTACTCTGGAACCGAGTTCGCTAACGGAATCCTAATCAGGATATAGCAATATATCCGTCCTCCCATGTGTCTGCATAGCTTAGCCGTCGGATCATGCCAACGATATCCCGGTGTAAATATGCCTGAGTATAAAATAATCTGTATCCCATGGTATCTTGTATACGGTCGGCGATGGCCGATTTTACGAGACCGACTCCACATTGTACATAATTCGGCGAGCAATAGTCCGCTCCTTAAACTTGGTTGCTCCAGGGATTAAAGCTTAACAGAGGACCCTGCTTTCTTAATTGTAACGAAACATGGAAGGTTAAACTAAAATTTGTATTATCATGTTTCCGAATCGGGAAACCTTCAATTCACGAGGATTATTTGAGCGGTAGACGTTACACATTGTAGAACGGAAAGCCGTTCCGATGTTGCGCGTATGCGAGACGGTCGTATGATCTCCAAAACACCACATGCACTGTCAACCCGGAATCCGGAATTCACTCCCTGCACGTCTATATGTACCAGACTTTGGATATGGAATTAATCCTAGATTGAAGGAAAGTGTTCGGTATATATAGAGATACTCGATATCCATCAAATCGAGCAATATAAACCTAGGGGTGGTACCACGTGGGAAACAATACTACCGGAGCAGCGCTACTATAAATCATATATAAAAATGCTGGCTGAAAAGTGGTAGTCTCGTAATCGATCTCGCACTTCCCACAACGCCGCACAATTGTAACACTGTGATATTAGTATATATGGGAAGTAGGGTGATTCTCTAAGAACGGCACTGCATGTGCAAAAAATTAATTAACACGAAGTGAGTCTTTGCCATTGGAAATGATTAATTAGAAATTCCTCATGTATCCGGCCGGGATATAGACACGGATTGGTGATACTACTACTTACTACATACTGATGTGTTGTTTGTTCTTGAGAAAGCGCATTTTCAATCTTAGCTAGCTTAGCACGAAATGTTATAAGGGTCCATTCCATAAAAAGTCGAAGACAATGATATTGTATTGACACGCCATGGTTAAAATAAAAGGCTTGATGGAAGCCTCGGCCAGATGACAAGAGTACGAGTCAAAGCGAACTATCAATTATATCTTATAGCTCTAGAGGCATATGCTTCGCGTGAAATAGCTAGAGGCATGTTCTGTGAATACTAATTGAAATTTGGATATAGATACAGCTATGCCTAGCTATAGAAACCGATCTAGAACTAAGGTTCCACATATCTCAATAACCTTTGTGTAACATATTCAACCGGTCGAATTGCATCGAGACCTTTTCAATCCTAGGCGGCCTAAACATACGTAAGTACCTATATTTACATAGTAGAAGATTTCGATAACAGGAAACAGGAAGTTAGAGAGTCCCGATCATACCTTCCTTTCCAAGCTAGGATTAGATTATCAATCAACCGAGATTCACCACAATTAAATCCCGGTTCCAGCCATTCGGTAAATGGGAATATAAGCTTCCTTGGACCCCGTCGTGATATGTGTCAATGGGCAATCCTCAAATAGATTCAGAGTCTGAGTCCATTTTTCTATATATTCGGACCAACAATATCCCTGCACCATGAAGGTATCGATAGCAATCGCAGGCCTATTCGCCTCGCCCGCGTTTTGTTACCTCCGTTTGCCCCATCGGGGCCAATCCGCGGCTTCAATCCGTCGAAACAAATTCACGATCCAATCCCCCGCTGGATATCTCGGACAGAAACCACTAGATCTTGATTTTCCAATAATTTCAAAGGACCGGACTCCTCTTACATCTGAGCCATTCTCCATCGACGACCCGAAGGGGATTAGAATCCACCCGGTCGATGAAAGAGTCTGCAAATCGGGTTCGCGACAGTTAACGGGTCACGTCAATGTGACACAACACAAAAGCCTTTTCTTTTGTATGTCTTGCTGTTGTATTTTTTTGCTGTCAACACAAAAAATTGGAGATCTAATATGGGGGTTTTAGGGTTCCACGAGTCGAGACGAGATCCTAAGAATGACCCGTTGATTATTTGGTTGAATGGAGGCCCTGGTGCGTCATCGCTTATGGGAGGGTTTACAGAACTCGGTCCTTGTATGATCGATGACGAAGGGAAAAGCACCGTTTATAACAAACACGGGTGGAGTAACTTCGCCAACATCATATTCGTGGAGTAAGTTACTTTGACGTTCTGGACTATCAAGAAACCACACATCTTCTCCTGGGATTCCCCTCGTTACATAAAGAAATTTAATTATTCTAACATTGACAAATAATTGATAGTCAGCCAGCTGGCGTTGGGTTCTCGACTGTAACGAATGACTCCTACCTCCCATACACCGCTCAAGTCGCCTCGACCGACTTTTCGGTCTTCATCAGACGTCTCTTCAAACACGTCATCCCGGAGTTTGCCTCTCACAATGTTCACTTCATGGGCGAATCCTTCGGTGGGGTATACTTCCCCAGCATTCTTACCAAAATCTTAGACCAGCAACAGTCGCTCCGTGAACTAGGCCTACCGGATCCATTTCCAAAGGTCGAGTCATTGGTCTTAGCGGATGCATTAGTAGACTGGGCTACCAACATGATTGGAAGCTATAGAACGGCTTGCGTTCAACGACCGGATGAAACGGGTGTTGAAGGGCAGATATTGAACAAGACTGCTTGTGAGGTTCTTAGTGCTGCCATCCCGGATTGTGAGAAGCTGGGGAATGAGTGTAGGCTATCAATGGATGGACCTACCTGCCAAGCTGCAGCTTTGGTTTGTGATTCTATGGGAGAATCATTTTGGGACCTTGCGAGAGCGGGAGAGAGGAATCCTTATGACAGTATGGCTCCGTATCCATATTATCTTTTCTATCTATATATATACACTGACACTTCGGGCTGCATTATTCTAGTGCGAGGAGATTGTCCGGATAGAGACCTTTGCTTAGGCTACTTCGAAAAGCGAATGATAAAGTACTTCAACCAACCACACGTCCTAGAATTACTAGGACTACCAAACACCACAGTATACCACGACATCAACGATGAAGTCAACAGTCGCTGGTCAGAATGGGGTTACGATACAGTTCTTCCCGTGCTGAATAGGATGACACAAATTCTCGAAGAATCCGATGTTAGAGTATTGGTTTATAACGGAAACTCCGACTGGATTATGTAAGTTCCCTTTCATATGATGTCTAATGACTGATAAGTAATGAGTATTGGCGTCTCTGATTACTAAACTGCTCTTTTTAGTAATACCGCCGGAGCCCTGGGATGGATGGATATCGTGCGTTGGAAGGGGAATGGTGAATTCCGAGCCGCAGATCTACAACCATGGGAGTATACAGACGACGATGGGAAGAAACACAGAGGAGGAATGACAAAACAGGCAAAAGATGGTAAACTAACTTTTGCGAGTATTGATAAAGCGGGACATATGGCTCCTAACGATCAACCCATTGCCCTCGAGACTTTGGTGCGGTCTTGGGTAGAAAAGAAGTTCAGCCCTTCAAATTAGCTGAGCTATTACATAAAAGAGTCATGTATTATATGGTCTGTTTGGCTGAGATCTCGAAGGGAGATTTTTTTACTGATATGGGAATTCTAGTTGCGGAGTCTGGTTCAAGACATAAATTGTGATGTAATTAGTGCTAGCACCTAGAATCTACGTAGAATCTACGTATTAGATATTTCGTCTTTTCTATGCAGGTGGGTACGTGGGTCTGACGCAAGCGTTAATACCCTACGGCACCAGCCATTAATAGGTACTATCCTCTAGCGTTAATGAGACAGAATTGCGTTTATCATTTACCGAAACGACTTGGGCCTGCACAACGAAACAGAAAAAAAAGAAGTTGCAAGGGGATTTTTTTTTGAAAAATGAAAAAGAAACAAAAGGATTGTAAAAGAACCCGCCATTAGTCCACATTTTGACCCGTCGTCGTTTCTAGTTATTATTCCTCGTCTCAAACTCCGATGCTAGTCTGACTCCCTCAGCAGCAATATGATCCTGACCACCGATCTGCTGGCCACATTCAGGGCATCTGGCAAGCTGCATAGGCATACCACAGTCCCCAACCGTAAACTAAAAATATATGCCGCATTAGATCGTTCGTGGCAGGTATTACAGAGAAGGCTTACCGGATGACCATTGACACAGTAGTACCAGTGTCCACTTCCAAGAAATTCTTCCGCCATGGCTCTAATAACCATCATCTCTTCTTCACTAGTAACTTTTGAGTAAAACACCTGACCGTTAACCGCCCTCCTCGCTACCTCAACGATATTTTGAAGTCGGCCTAGGGTACCGGGGTACTCTTTGCAAAGTTTGTCGCATTCATTTAAGCTATTGAGCTCTTTCTTTTTGACAGCAGCTTCAACCGTCGCATCAGTCCTCACCTCTCTCACCTTGTCGATGAGCATGCTGAGAACAGAAAAGTGTGCATGATAAACTCGAGCTTCGACTTCTTGGTGGTGTAGATGCGCTTCCTGACACTGCTCCCGAAGGCTGCTTGTATCTTTAATCGCTTTCTTCACCTCGGTATCAATTGAATCGCGGAGAGAGCGTTTGATGGATAAGGGAACGCTGTTGAGGGTCGATATGATCTGCCAATCAGAGAGGATAACCCATTTGGCCTTGGCATCTAGACACTTCCCTCGGTATGTCAGCCCGGTCTGGATCCTCGCTTTATCAAAATCGAATGATTGTCCTTCTTCGGCGCTGCCACGTTTTGCAAGTGCAGCATTGTATAAGTCGTTCACCTTGGTCAACGGTTGTTCCGTTTCTAAGACAGAGGTGTTGAAGTCACGGATTAGGCGTTGGATATGGCGGCCTTTCTTTTTGTAGTCGTTCAACAAGACACGGGCTTGATCCGGCTTCTCTCCTGAGAACTGCTCTAGGAGTCCATCTCGCCCCCTTTCAATGCCGGATTCGAACTCCTCGAGCTTTTCCATGAGGCCAGCATATTCTGATGCTGATCGAGCTACAAATCTCCTCGTCAACTCGTCAAGAAGAACGGACTTAAAAACTCTGTTATACCGGTCAATATCTCGGAAAGGGCGCCGACAATCTGGGCATCCTTTCAAAGCTTCTCCGCTCATCAGTATCCTTCTCTTTCCTCCTTCTTGATCCATTTGGTAGTGTTTTTCAAGCTCTAGGAATCCATCGAGACTCGACATAGTGTAAATATGCCCACATTTCAGGGCTATTACAGGGTCTGTGTCGAGATCGATCTTTTCGTATGTTTCGAAGGTCAAGAGGTCAACCCTTTGGTTTTTGATTTCGGGAGTAGCGCACAACTGACAATATTTTATTGGAGGGCACACCTCTCCACAAACTGAGGGACAGCGGTGTTTGCAGCTGAGTCTCTTTTCGCACCTTTTGTCACAGGGAACTTTCTCGCAAGGTACCGAACAAGGCATGCTGCATTTCAGTTTTTGATGCTCACACTCCCATCCACACTCCTCAGCACATGGATAACAAGCTTCGCCACATTTGTTGGGGCACTTGCCATGTCTGCACTGAATTTCGCATGACTGTTTACATGGGGAACAAGCAGTTCCCTCGTGGCAAGCTCTAGAGCACTTGTGACCACAAAGTCGATAGTCCTTCCCACAAGTCGTTGTGCATTCGGCATGCGTCCCTGAACTCTTACACTCGCTGCATCTTCGCCGACAAGGGTGACCACACGGGAGTAAATACCCGCATTTTTCGGTGCAGACAATACTTGGATCGTTAGTTCTGAAGCAATGAATTGAAACTGAATGTCCACAGTCAGGCATGGCCTTCTGCACATATTCTGAACAGGTAAACCGGGCCAGGTCTTTCGTGCGCCAACACGAAATATTCGGTGTTATGTGGCCACAAGGTAGGGCGACATCATACACTGGTTCCATACAGTCCCCGCATGCATCTTTGCATCTTAGACGACAAGCATGCCCGCAGTCTCGAGGTCTCGAGCACTCCTTGAAGCAAAGAGAGTTTTCGTGTAGGGGTTTCGGGTGACATTTGAACTCGCAAATATGGCCGCAACTCAACCGGAGCCCACAGACCTCGGAGCATCCACCCTCGGGACACTCCACTTCGAAGTCTTCAGGACAACCGACAAATGTCTTCTTTGAGGGGTGACGTGGACACTGTAGTTGAAGCTTAGGGCCGATATTGCCGCTGTTTTCAAGCAAAGTTATCACTTCGTGCCACATTGGGACATGGGCCGATGTTGCAGCGTCCCCAATAATATACATTCCGTGTTTTGCTCGGCTGTAGTATTGTGTCAGTAAATGTAGCTTCCAGGAAAATATTCCTTCCTTTTGATTAGATCCTTCCTTACCTTAACAGGACATTGATTCGGTTCGTAGTTTTCAAGAAACCACAGTTGTTTCGTTCATTGCTCCGGACTAAACAAACGATGATTACAGTCGCTTCTTCTCCCTGTATTATGATAAGCACAATTAGTAGGATACCCCAACTATACTTATATAGGATATTTATAGGCAGGTGTGTATATCATATAATACCTGGAAGTTGTCGACAGTTGCTATCCGAATCCTGTCGAGCACCTTGCTCTTCTTTATCTGGGGTCTCTTCTTTCCACCCTGAAGGTCTTCCTCATCAGCGTCTGGAACGTCTAGCTCTTCCATGTCTCTATCGCTGATATCATAGTCGACGATATCCTCTAGCATTTCCATTAACATTCTCATTTGGTTGATGTACGGGGTCAACACAGCAATTTCCCCAGTTTTATATACTCCCTGTCGAGCCAGATAAGTGACTAGTGAAACAACCATTCTGGCTTCCCAGGTATTGGTTTTGCTCTGCATCGTTTCCCCGGGATCACTTGGGTCCTCAAAATTACGATGGTCAAGCCAAAAGAGCCTCCGTTTTAGTCCAGCAACATCCGGGTATCTCGTGGTAACCTCATGGTCCTGCAACTCGGGGTATAGTGTAGTTCGGACTAGATTCGCAATGCTAGGGTGCATACGGCGTTGAATATCTAGCTGTCCGATTGGAAATCCAACCTTTTCAACAACCTCCTCCTCGTCTTCATTCTGCTTCCTAACGTTAAATTTCACATTTGCCAAGCGCTCGAACAACGACTCATCCAGATTATACCGTGGTTCGCCCCGGCGATCGTACTCTTTAGAAAGAGAGCTTGTGGAGATTTTAGGTCGAAGTTGAAGGTGATCACCGATAAGAATAACGTGTTGAATCGAGGGGAGGAGTGCGGTCAAAACGTGGGATTCTAAAACCTCCCCGGCCTCTTCGCAAACCATGACTTTGGCAGGTAAAGTACGGACAAGCTCAGAGTTGTTCACAAGACCGACGGTTGTGATCCCAAGGATGTCAACTTTCCCTAGATTAATTCGATCCGACTCTAGAAACAGATTTGTGCGTGCTTTTTTAGTGAGTGCAAATTGCTCGAGCAATGCTTGCAGTCGTTGTGCTAACCCATCGACGACGGATTGGTGGCAATGTGAAAACAACCTATAGCGTTCGCTTGGAGTAAAAGACCATGTTGGGACATCAAGTAACTCCTCTAGTGACCTCCCGTCATCCCCCTCAGGAGTTCCGACCGCCCCGCCTATCCAGAACGATAATACTTCTGTGCGATCCTGAGATGTAGGATCGAATCCATAAGACTTAGCGCCATTAACGATGTCTTGGAGTTTTTGCGGTAGATTCTTCTCAAGGTATCCCATGACCATGGCGCTGCTGTTAGCTTCTAGCTGTGAGCAGATGTCGCTGATCTGCTCTTGTAAACGGGTCATCTTTTCTTTGGTGGCACCTATTTCACGTCCGAAACCTCGGATTTGAACCTTGGGGCAGCTCTTTTTGTAGTTATCGAACGCTAGACTTTCGATATGAGGAAGTGGGCTTGGAGAGCCTATCCGAGCAATGTTTGTAATACCAAGTTTCAATAGCTCATTGAGAAATTGATCGAGAGCATGATTTGTATAGCAGCTGTAAGAATTCGGAGATCAGACCTTATGCTTTTAAATCTAGGGGGGCATGTTGGAAACTTACATGCATAGAATCGGACCAAGACTCAATCGGGCCTTATTTGCTAGTAGTGCTGCTACCATTTTAACTCCAACATATGATTTTCCGCACCCTGGAGGCCCCTGAGTAAGCGCGACTTCATGCCTAAATGCTGATATCATTGCTTTGGCTTGTCCGTGATCGAGACTACTTTTCTGTGCCAGACTTTTGACCACTGTGTCTGGGTCGTCACCAAGAGTAAACGTAAGAGTATTCGGAGCCGCGGTCGTTGATCCAGGAGGTGGATCGCAGCATGCCGATAAGTCTAGCGACTGTCCGCACAAGTATGCTGGCGGCGGTATTAAAGAACCGTCTGGTTGGATTGTATGGTCAGACAGCCGCTCTTCTAATCCTTCAAGTCTTGGTGCAAGCCACTTGTTGAAAGGAAGTTTTGTAGGATTGCTATGAATCATCTTTAAGCAGCGCAGGATACCCTCGAACTGTCTATAGAGCACTGCAGGGAACTCCACCATCAAGAGCGCTTGTTGTCCATCGCAGGCTCTATACTTTGTAGCCAAATGAATGAGCCTTGCTTGCTCCAGCTCATTCCCGAGCGCTATCATTCGAAGTCCGATAGCTGCTCGATCAGGGTCAGTACAAAGATCGTTGATAGGACGGGCCTCATGGGTTTGCTCCGGGTTGACCTGTTCGTGGTTGGAGACATTTCTGTGGGCCACAACTAAGAAAACAACATTTGTATCCTCTGCAGTCTTTTCGATCAGAGCTACTATAGACTTATTCTCCCTGAGTTCCATGGCTTTGCGCCACCACCATTGTCGTTTTGCAAAAGTCCATCTTCTCAGAGCCCGAGGCTGTTCGAACTCTACAACAGCTTCTAAGCCCCCCTTCCCCTCGAATTGAAGCTTCTGGATATCAACACCAAAATATAGTCGTAAGGGTGTCGGGCAGCCATCTCGAACTAGTTTTCGCTTCGCTTGCCAGTCCCCTGAGCTGTGAACCGGTGCCATAATTTGTTCCCAGTGCTTCAAAATAAACCTGGTAGCATTCCGAACTTGTCCAGAAGTATCTTCACGGAGCAATCGGAATTGAATATCCACAAGACGTTGAATACCTGTTTGGTGGTGGCGTGAAGTTTCTTCGTATGCACGCTTTGTTGGAAGAAACTCCGGCCGGCTGGAAAGGATCTCAGTGACCGTCGGAAGAATTGAGATATCGGATATCAGTTCATGGTCGTTGTCATGACGTGGTCCGAGAAGAGATAGTTCCCCCGGTAGATCGACAACTTCCTCCTCCTCTTCCTTTGGCCCCTTTTTAAAGCCATGCGAAATCCTCTCCTGTGGAACCTCTGCCCCTGCTGATAAGATACTTGTAATATTTGATATGTTTTGTGAAATAGCCACCAATTGATCATTCCCGTTGTGGTCATCTGAGTGTGCAATTCCTGCCAACCTCTGGCCAATGTACTTCAACTTTTCCTGGATTGCGGCGCCTTGGTTCATTCGAAGAGTATTCAAGAAGACAGAAGTAGTCGCCTCAAGCGCGTCTTGCCAGTCTTCCGGTTCCATGCTTCCAGGTTCTTCGTCTGGCTTGAGAGCTACAAGACATTCTAAAACCCTGTCAAAAAACGGAACAGCTCTTTCGCCGTTGGGTCCATAGATAACATTGTAGATTGTCCGAACCTGCTGCTCGAGAGCAAGTGATGACAGTACAGCACTATTCGACAAAATGCGCAAAAACGTAACGCAGTGTGTGCCGAATTTTGGTCTTGTAATGCTGTAATTAGTCGAGTATTCGGCCTCTAAAAGTTGACGAACCTTTTCAAGACCATTTTGAGAGGCAAGGTGGCCTATAAAAGCCTGTCTAGAGTCATCCGATAATTGTATTTTGTCAATTCCAGTGGAAAGAAATTCTTCAAGCACAGCAGGTGACAGGTCATTTGCGGAACCTGCATTCGGCCCATTGGGGCTCCAGGTGTTCATCTTAAACCGAGCTCGAGATCTTTACAAAGTTAGCCAGCCACCCTAATCGATACAACATTGAATTTATTTATGTTTTGTATTTTGTATTTTGTAGTTTTATCTTTGTTTTTCTTAAGTGGGGGTTTTAATCGTACCGAAATTCTGAGCTCGAGCTTGAACCTGCATTCTGAGAGTTTCGTCGATGAGAAGGCGAAGGTGGGACACCAGAAGTTGAAGGTATAGGATTAGGATTATGGTGGGAGAAGCTATGATGCCTTTGCCCTTTATTTCCGTATTGCTGCTGATTGCGATTATACTGGCCACTTGAGTGTCTTCTAGAACCTCCCGGTGTCTGGGGATTTGCATTGGTCTGTTGATGTTCCATACCAGGCTGATTTGATTCACGGTCTGAGGGACGCCTTCGGTGAAAGAAGGGTGGTCTTCGGTTGGATCTTTCACCACTATCCGCCATTTTGACAGAATTGAATACCCACCAGAAGTGTGAGAGATACTGACCTACAATTTATTCAGAAGGCTTCAGAGGGGGTTTTTGTAGATGGTAAGTTCAGAGAGGTATGATCGATGATGGTGAGTTAATTCAGGCAGTCAAGGATGCAGACGCAAATGGCGTTGTTTCTTACGTTGTGGAACTCCACCGACGCTAATGTTCAGGCATCATTTCCTGGCCTGCAACAACAACACCACTCTCTCATGCAGCGTCTATACTACATACTTAAGTCCATTGTCTTGGACAGGGCTCTCGGGCTTTCTAACGTTAACAGGCAGGAAGGAAGAACCCTGGATGCAGCGATATCTCGTCTATAGAATCCGGAAAGCTTTTGCATTGGCCTTCCATTCGGTTCTTTCTAGGTTTTCTTTTATTTTTGCTGTTCCTGATATATCTCGATATCTCATTATGCGATCGATAGATATCGTTGACCGTTTTGAGTTCTTTAAATTTCTTACCCCACATTCAGGATCAAGCCAAGCCCCAACGCCTTCTTAGGCACGCCTGGGTTCATTCCTAAAAAATAATACTAAATCTGAGGCATAGTTACAATTATGCAATTGCCATTTTTTGGGATCCATTTCATGCGTATGCATCTGCATTTGTGAATCCAGGTCTCGTCTCATCTAGGGCGGGGCCGCGGGGCCATAAACATGTTAACACATCTGTTGCACGTTGTTGAAGCACACCACAGCACAATTCCGAGCCAAAAAACAAATTCCCATGTGATCATGTCCACGTGATCTGGTGCCGGCACACACGATTGTACACCAAGTTCAACGGTGCATGCACGGACCTGCCCAGGCATCAATTAGTATATATATTAATACGAAGTATGTATATACATGCTCAATATTAATACTTACTTGCGAAATAAACGATTAGCTAAGCAAAGAAGAACTCAAGCAGCTTCGTGCCCGATGCGTGTCCCCGAGGGTTGTATATATAGGTCAAACTCACGTGCTCACGTAGACCAGTGTTTGTACCTTTTCGATATATTACAGACGTATATACATGCCCGCCAAATGCTGGTATACGGTTGCCTCATTATCGACGTGACAATAGTTATCGGTCAAGTTTGGATTTTGGGCTGGGAGCCGCTGCGGCTAATATTATATTAGTGTTCTGGACGTTTTCTTGTTGACAAAACAAGCTTTGGCTGTTAACTAGCGTGCGAACACGCCACAAATTTCAGCTATTCCTGTGTGCGCTGTGTGTGGATTCGCTGCAGGAGGAGGACCCGCTGACCGTTGTGTCGGAAAATTGAAGACCCTTCTAGATCCAGGTCTGCCCAGCCGAGAACTTAGACTTCTTAACCAGTTAACGGCGACCGTGTTCGCAGTGTAGAAATTGGATTCACGGTTTTTCACCATGCATTTTTACCCTCGGATACCATTTACGTTGCGAAATGGCCCAACCAGCCAACAAATGATATAAAAACTCTATGCAACGCTAGGCCAATCTCGACAGAGGCGCTCAAGCCAAAGTGACATGGACTAGACGCCAGAAACTTTGTAACTACATTGAGTGCCCCTTTATGGGAACAAGGGAGACCCATATAAAGACGACTATGCCTTGAATTCAGGATGGTAGCTACGAAGGTTCATCAGCACCTACGGCCCCTTTCACGTCACTCTTTACGTCAATCAATATCCAGTCTTAGACTTGTCACTCTTTGAAAGCTTCCGTTTCAATTAATAATTGTAATATCCTCGCTATGTTGTTCAATCAGATTTTTACATTTTCCGCGCTCGCATTTGCGGCAAGTTCATTGGCTGCAACATGCGTGCCAAACAAGTCGTGTACTGCTCTGCCAAAATCCGCCGTGTCCAGCTGCTCGAAAATTATCTGTAAGTTTTTCCATTAAATGCGAATGGCTATAAATAAACAAATATATATATTAGATATAATATATACTCCGCTTGTATAAATGCTGTGGATGTCGTAATGATACTAATTTCTTCTGCTATATCAAAAGCTGCTAAGAAGGCCAAGTTCACGACTTGTACTGTTGTGAAGACTATCGTTCCCCAGAAAATTACTAAGGCGGTGACCGTAACCCGACCAAAGGCGACAATCTTCGAAAACGATTGGGTTACGGCGACTGAAGAGGAAACCGGCACGGTTTCTGTATTCTCCACCGTTACGGAATACACCACGACCATTTTCCTTGAAGAAGCATCTGAGACTACCACTGCAACTGAAGTTCTCTCTTTTACTGAGTATGTGCATATGTATACCAAGAACCTGCGATACTGCTGGTTAAAATCCATGCGTCTACCCCAATCCCCTACGGATCGAGATACTGATACTTGGTAAAGCACCGCTTCTGTCACAGAGACTAGCGTATCAACAAAATACGCGTTTGCACTCAAACGTCGTGCGGCTGCCACTCCCTGTGCTACCGTTCCAAAGTCATGTTGTAAGTTAAAAGTCATTCTTTGAACCACCCTTATCCCCGTTTAGAAAGATTACATAGTTAATTGCTTATTTTCAAAATGTATAGCATGTCTCCTCACAAAGACGACAACAAAGACTATTACTGCTCCTCGTCAAACAGCTACCACAACCAAGACTTTGCCATTAGAAACAGTCATAATAAAAGGAACCGCCACAGCTAGCGTTACAGTCCTCACTTTGATCACGACCGTTGTTATTGATAGCACAACTTTGACCGAGTCCCAATACAGCACATATACTATCACCGCCACCGAGACAACCCAGGTTTCGGAAACTTCTACCCAAACCGTCACCGCTACGGTCATGACTACTTTAGTTACCTGTCTTGACCCTGCCCGACGGGTGTGCGGTGTCTTCTGCCGCCCTATCTGGGCGGATTATTATAATTGTGGCGGATGTGGTATGGCTTGCTCTGGCTCACAGATTTGTCGTGATAGCGTCTGCCAAGGTTCCTAAGCTATGAGCAAGGAGTTGAGAGACCGAATGACAAGTTGGTCCTGGGTAGTAGCTTGGAATTCATTAATTTACCACGGGTTTCGCCGCGAAGATGTATTATTACACATAGATTTTGGGGCCATTGGATCTCCCAGTCGTAGAAAAATTTAATTACATATCTTTAGATTTAGATTACATGTCATTAAGAGCTTGCCATTTCGTAGGCGGCTAGAACATAATAGATATCAGCAGCGACGTACAGCTCAAGCCAAAGTAGTCCGAGGTTATCTTATATCACGATATCAGCACATATTTATGTGTACATACGTACATAAAAATAAGGCTTAACTTCTACATGAACAAATCTTAGTAACTTATTATTTTTCCGGATTCTAGGGTTATATGTATCGTTTGAGTGTATGCTCTAGATATTTGGGAGGTATAGAGCAAAATTTTATATAGTTGCTTGGCTGTTGGGACTCGTAAATACATACATACTTTGTATAAGATCTTAAGAGCGCCGGGATTCGAGGCTAATATATCTCACTTCTGATTTGAGTTCGCTCAATATTGGCAAGGGAGTCGCTGGGACATATATAGTTGCTATCGATATTAGCTTCGGAATAGGGATATTGAGCGGCTCCTCCTACCCCAGGTTCAAAGACATTTTGACGGATCCATGGAACACGTGTACTGCTATGTTGCTCTCGTGTGAATGAAATACACCCCTCGACTATGGGTTTTGACCGAAACTTAACTTTCAGTTTTAGTGAGTTTAACATATAGATCAAGCAGAGCAACAGGGGTTCGGGCCGGACATACTGTAGACGAGGCGTTCTCGAAGGTTGTTTAGCAGGCCAAATAATTATAATTCAGAATACTAGCAAATATGTCACAGGAAAGCTTGATTCTTGCTAAAATATCTGCGCCAAGCGCCGACCACTTCCTTGGAGCTTCGAGAATGTTGCACCAGTGCAGCGGTAGCTCAAAACCAGCGGCATAATATGCACCATGGCCAATAAGCAGTAACATTAGTCAGTGGGCCGGCTTCCTCGGACGATTTTTTCGCGCCCAGGAAGCTTAAAACCGACCTGAACAAATGAAACCCATCGGCCCGGATGAATTAGTATGCTTCTCCACCCATTCCTTGCCTTCTACATACTAGCACCCCGTATCGCCCGGCTATATTCATGGTCTCAAACGTTGGCAGTCTTCAAGGCGGAAAACTACCCTCGAAATGCAACAATTACAACGCATAATAGTTCATGAAAGCCACCGTCCCCACCGCCAGCCCAGATATAGACTAGATGCTGAAAAGTTGACGGCCATGGATAAATCATCGGTTACGAGGATTATTCGTATGGGCCCATGTGTGGTGGCAGTGCTTACCGGAAGCCATTGCACCGAAGAATTTTTATCACGTTGCTTGTATACAGGTTAATGACCCCGCTGCGATCGATATCTATCATGGTCCGCGAATGAAAAAGGATGCATATGTACAGAAAGCCAGCTACATGCATATTGGAAGTCGGTTCCTGACTTTGCCCTAGCCTCGAATTCAACTTTGCCCCACTTCAAAGTTACTCTAGTAACTACATAATCCCTGAATGTGCATACAATAGACCTTGATTCGTCGGACCGGAAAATAATATCCAAGATAGATTTTTAGAGCCATTCTGGAAACCTCTCGGTCGATAGGCATACGGAGCGCAACCCGGAAAGTGATCATCGTTGTCGTCCTTCATTCGCGATGACTAAACCATTTCACTATGCTAGGCTAAAATCATAAATACGAGATCTTAAGGTTGTCAACCCTGGACCTACCTATCTCCTACTAGGAGGCTAGCCTCCCAGTCCAATTCGAACGATCAGTATCCCCATGTATGCCATCAAGTTATTGAATCCATGTTATAATATTATCCATCAATCGTAAACGTTGACGTAAACTTTAACAGATCAACCGTGGGATCCCATGGACAGTGTAAGCTATATTTCATCCATATATTATTTTTTAGAAGAGGTATAAATACCGATACTACCCCCAGTGCATTGTTCGAACTTTCTCCATGTATAGCTTGCTTTTAAGTAGGCACTCTTGAGGATTCACCATTGTATTCTACCTGAGCATACATAGTAAATCAAGATGTATAAGCTGATTACTGCCTTACCTTTGCTATCCCTGCTGGCCTCGCCGGCTCATGCAACCCCACCGAGACCCTCACAACCCACCGTAACGATCAAAAATGGAACAATACGCGGCCTCTACAGTAACGTGTGGGGACAAGACTACTTTCTAGGTATTCCATATGCCCAATCCGCAACGGGGAACAACCGGTTCGCCCTCCCAAAGCCAATTTCCACCAAATGGTCCGGCGAGCTTGTAGCCCAGACCTATGGTGACCGGTGTCTCGGGCTCCACCACCCATTCCCAGACCTACCTGAAAGCGAAGACTGCCTCAACCTCAATATTATTCGTCCAGTAGGCTATTCGCACACCAAACTTCCAGTTCTCGTATGGATCCATGGAGGAGGTTTCACCAGCAGTGGTAGTTCTAATCCTCCCTATAATATGACCTTCATGGTCGATCAATCTGTCAAAAGCGGTAAACCAATCATCGCCATCAGTTTCAATTATCGCCTTACAGCGTGGGGGATGCTCGCCTCCAAATTCATGACAGATTCTGGAATTACGAATGTTGGGATCAAGGACCAGCGATTTGCTCTTCATTGGATACAAGATAATATTGCGGCTTTTGGTGGCGACCCAAAGAAGGTTACTATAGCTGGTGACTCTGCCGGGGGTGTCTCAGTCGGTATTCACACTCTTGCGTACGGTGGACGAGACGATAAATTATTCCGTGCTGCTATCATGGATAGCGGCCCCGCCCTCTATATAGGCAAATACGGTGACTTACCTATTTTGGAGGTCATGTATAACACTCTAGTAGAATCTGTTAACTGTACTTCGGCTGCCAACTCCCTTACATGCCTTCGCCAGGTTCCGACAGATATCATGTGGTCGGCTATCAAGGCCGTTGACGCGGCGTTCCCAACCCAATGGCAATACCATATCGACGGGGATATCATCCGTGAGCGTTCCTCGATTTCTCTTAAACGTGGCCGATTTGTCAAGGTGCCAATCTTAGTCGGCTGTACGTCAGACGAGGGAACCTATGGTATCGGAAACGGTGTAGATACCACCGAGGAACTTATCGGTTTCATGAAACTAGCAACAACTACAACGCTTAGCGATGAGACCATAAACGATATTTTGAAGGCATACCCTGATGATCCGGTCCTGGGTCTTCCAGGAGGTTCACCAGAGCGTTTCCCACCGCCATATGGACGACAATACAAGAGGCTCGCAGCCATTGCAACTGACTACTTCCTCGTCGCTGGAAGAAGATTAACGGCTCGTGCATGGGCTGAACGCGGCGCAACAGCCTATTCTTGGAGGTTTAATACGATTCCCGCTGGTGTCCCACGAGAAATAGGCTCGACACATGTTACTGATCAGGCGTTCGTCTTTGCGAACTTTCTGGGTGTTGGGTATGATGTCAATTACTATGATGTTGAGCCTGCTAGCAGAAAAGCCAATTATATTAAGACGGGACAATTGATGTCGCGTTCTATTATGAGCTTTGTGCATGATTTAACACCCAATAACCATGGCAGTAAGTCAAGGTTCTCGTTTTAAAGGCGATATCATATGCGGATGCTAACATATGCTCGACTCGATAGTGAACGGATACCCCAAGTGGCCGAAATACGTCAAGGACGAGCCTAAGAATTTTGTTTTCGAGGGCAATACCACTTCATATGTGGAAGCTGATAATTTCAGGAAGGCCGGGATCAACATCTTCATTCACCGTGCACAGGAATTCCTCCACTAGGATGTAAGCACAGTTGCAATCAAACACATGGCTCCCAGAAACCCGCCCGCGAAAAGTTACTTTAAAAACGAGAAATGAATTCGAGAGGACTTGTTATTTGTATATTTAAGAGCCAAAAGATTGGTATCCTCTTGATTCCTTCGAAGGGGGTGTCCTTTTACAACATAGTCATCAACTTAAATTAATATTCTTCATTTATATACTTAATTATCCAAACGCTTGAATTCTGAAAGAAGAAAACCCAACAATATCAGAGCCTACCGTAAACACCACATCTCCCTAGTAAACGTATGAAGAAGAAAATTACAATATTGCAATGATAGACCGATAGTCAAGCTAGCAGACATTAAATAAGAAAAGAAACCCGCGAGATCCCAGCGCAGAAGAGCCCCTTGGCAATTATCATGGGTTACCCTGTAATTCTGTATACTCTGGCGGCGGTGCATCATAAACCGCGTCTGGTTGTATAGAGTTCATGGGCATCATCATTGCCTTCTCGCCCACCACTGGTGACGCCGCCGTCAAGGTCCGTGTCGGCGCTGGTGTTGGTAGAGGCGCTTTCGGCGCTTCTCCCACATATGCCGGCAACAGTACTAACTCCCTCTCAAAGGTTTTTTTCCAAACCTCTCCGACACATTCTAGCCATATTTCCAAATCCAATCTGTATTTTCTTTTTAAATTTGCAGTGTGAAATGTTGGAACGAGCTGATTTCCGACATCGTGGACAAAATTTTCCGAAACCCAATTTGTTAAGTCGATTTTATGTTGATATCCGTATTCGATCGGCATGGTCCGAGAATCCCATCCCCTAGAGCAAAGGTCCATAGAAGTCATCTTTTTCTTGGTGCCAGTTTGAACGGCGAGTTCTGTTATGATTTGAAGCTTTGCTTCGGCTTTCAGGAGGTATATTCGAGGCGGCGTCTCAATACCGTGTGAGTCGGGAAGTAAGTTGATCGAAATCGATGTCGGTATTTGTGATCCCAGAGCGAGAGAGTTGGGTAGCTCTGCTCCGAGATCTACTAAAATTTTTGGATCTTGGAAACCTTGGTGAACGTTGCCGAGAAAGCTCGAAAATCTTTCCATTGCGGTCGGCTTATAATGTTCCATACCAGGTCGCAGTTTGGGAGTCTGTAATTGGAAGATGTGAGATGCAGGTGACGATGAGAGAAGGGATAGGTCTTCGATAGGCGCCGCAGAAATATTTATCGTCTTTGTTTCGCTATCCCTCTTTGTGAAAATGGTTCCCTTATGAACCAATTTCGCGATAACCAGGTATTCAACTTTTGCAAACATGTTCTCATTCGGAAGTCCGAATGTAAATGATGGAAGCAGTGACTGCGGTGCTATGGGTACATGTCGAGGCGCCATAGACTCATCTGGCGCAACGACTACAGTACCCGGAAGCTGAAAACTAAACGGATAAACCCCATCCGCAGACGTCGTTGGAGAAACTGTGAAATTGAATAGACTGTTCTTTTGTTGCAACCTTGAACCACTGATTAACTGTGCATGTAAATTGCCAGTAAATTCGATTGTGAGGCTCTTAATGGCCTCGCGGGCGACATGAACTTTTACATGTCCACTTACTGTATCGCCCGCTACGTATAGATTGATCCGGCTCCCAGGGATGCCTGGAAGAGGCCCCTTCGTGTCCAAGTTTATTTCCATAGGACCCATTTCTGTGTTGTGTGGTAGATTCTCTGCTGACGGTTTCTTGTGCCTCAAACACTTGAATTGCTGACGCCAGGCGGAAAACTCTTCGAACAAGGACGCGGCGATAATCACTAGAAAACGGAAGAATTTATATTCGATAGGAATCGGCGAAAAGATAAATATAAACAAAGACTCTGGCCCTAAGATAAAATAACTTTGGAATGAAGAATGTCGCACGAACACCATAACGTGATTCGCCAACCCAAAAGTTGCCGTAGCCTGCGCGGGAACATGAGGTTTCGTCGGTTGTCCGCGTCATCTGCAAGCTAACCAGGGTGGCGGTGCCTCTTGCCTACAAGGTGCAGTGCGAGGCATATATTTGGACACAGATGCACGACCCCCTTCAGGGAGGTTATTCGGGGAAATATTGCGTTAATCAGGAGATTCTTTGGCGTTTGAAGTTCCGCGAAATTTAAATCAATTTAGAGGCATAAATATCTTGCTTGCCTTCCTCATGTTTATAATGCAGTCTTGTAAGGGTTGGCGAAACAATTCCAAACTGCCAGACCGCTTACAATGGGAACTCTCGTCAAAATTAGTATGACGCTTGGGGTCGGTAAAACCTGAACTAACTTTCGATATTTCTCTAATTGATAACCAAAACAGAACAAGAGCTATACGTATTCTTCCTACAGTAACACGGGAAGGTATTTATACTCGAGAATATGGTTTTTATTTGGTTTAATGTAATGTTCTGGTTCTCTGACATAGTAAAGACGGCTGACGGCTTGGGCCAAGGTGTGGATTCAAGCCCGCATACGTAAGCTACTCCTGCCTCCAAATTTAATTCGACCCGGCATCAAGCTTTAATCATGGCTTGGCGCTTCTAGTGGAAAGAAATATTCGGCTTCCCGGTTCACTTGCTTTGAACGAACTAAGCGGCTACTGATCTAGGTTTCGAGGAAATTCTACCCGTTTTCGAGTTGCTATTTTCTTCTCGAGATCTCGTGTAAAAAGATACACAATTTATCTCGTAAACCAGAATTAATTGCTGCTGCGGCCATATGAGGATTCGTCGCAAGCCAGCCTTCCAAAGCGGAGATTTCAGTGCCACTCACAACCACTACAGTACTAACCAGTTGTCCAATTCTGAGATTATGTAGTTTAACCGACCCTAAGAGTTAAGCACACTAATTAGTCCAGAGTTTGGGAGTATACATCTCCAAAAAGTAGCTTTATGAATCAGTCTATTAATTCGGGCTCGGGAATTTCGAAGTTGCTTTGTGTTCCGAACGAGCCGAGATTTATGCATCCAAAGGATCGATAACATATTCCAACAAAAACAACAAGTCGGCAAGTCTACAGGATTCATGTCGATGTATAATGTTGGCGCTCTGGCGTGATCATCTGATAAGGACCTGGTTATTATAGTCATGAATACACAACCGTTATCACTGAGAACTTCGCATCAATCCATTACATAGCTATGCATAGTGTTCGAGCTAGGATACTTTGTGCATGTGCTGGATCTCAATTGGCTAAAACTAGGAAACTCCTTAGTTAATTGTCTCATTTCCATACCTGGTCACTGAACAATGTTGGTGTCCCGAGAGTCAGGAACGGATGCCTATAAAAGCACAATGGGCTAATACTCCTCCTTTCGATCCAGGCCTCTCTCTATTTCGTAACTAAACAGAGCTTTGCACCTTATTCACAAGTAGTAGTTTTTAGAAATGTATCCTACCTAAAACACCCCAACATTAATATATGTTACCACTCCAACAATGCACAGGATTCCATCATTAGTTCGTCACGGTATCGATATATCTATCTATCTGTTATACTCACTTTAGATGTGATGATACAACCCCTCTTTCTAAGGCCAAGCCACCCCCACGTTAATCAGTGACTTGACTCGAAGTTTGTAGCGACAACTACTTGATATCATGTGCACCGTTCTATCCTTGAAGGAAATCCATTAAAGCCGGGATGGCAATCTTGTACGAGACCAGTTGAATGGTCGATCGTAACTATAAATGAGACCATGTAGCCGCCACCTCGGTGTCTAGACTACAATTATATCACACAAACGCCTAAGCCACAGGTTTTCGTGTATATACAAGTTTCGACTCTGATCTAGGCACTGTATATACTTAACAAGATGCTTCTTCGAATTTTCACTGCTCTATTGGCGTTTGGGGGGCTTGTTGGAGCAATGCCTGTTCCTGATGAGGCCCGTGTCGGTAAGAGACTCACTTTGAACCATTTATTTGAGAACTTTGGTTCCTTAATTATGTTCAAGCGTTGACGATAATACTCCCCTAGATGAAGAGCTCCTCAGCTTGAAATCTCGACAAACCGGTCACCAAGAATACTTCATCAACGTCGATGAAAAAAGCCAAATGTTTTGGTTGGAACTTGCCTACGGAGACGCCTTCTTTACCCGTGGCTTTTTTAAAAACCCCATCGAGGATAACATGAAAAAATATTTGACCCTTAAGGATATTGTAAAGAACCTATTACATCCGTTGCCACAGGTCTTGGGGAGTTTGGGAGGAGCTGCCTACCGCGTTCCCCATGGTAAATGCCGAGTTCTATATTGCAACGGCTCCAATTTGGGGGTAAGCTTGTGTAGCCGGAGACAAGGGGACGAACCAGAAGTCTCTGTTAACTCAGAAGCTATTGGACATATCGTGTAGGTTAAGAAATTCTTATCCGTTATTTATTCACCTTTAACCGCACAGGAAAGCTAATCCATTTGGAATACCAATCGATAGTGAGGAATGGGTAGAAGCATACAAATGGCAAAGGGCCTCCCCGAAACTCAAAACAGAGGGCGATTTTGAAACGCCGATTTATGGAAGGAGCTTTTGGAGCGAGGATCCAGGTTGGAGTGTTAACATTGAGGAGTGCGGGAATACTCCTATCGACTTTGGCCAAGATGTTCTTCATGATGCTTAACTAGAATCGAAAGTTCACAATTCGGCCTTGATTTGTCCAAAATGATAGCCATATCTCTTGTTATCTTACGATATCTGTTACGAAATCTCACGTCATTTGCAGCTCGTTTACAACCCTTGTCATTGCAAATATCTCTTCTAGTAGTGAAATATCATTTAATGCATTCTTTCTTCCTCCATACAATCATTGACTTAAACGACATCAACAAATCTATTGTGTGATATTTTCAACTTGTTCACTTTTACCAGCCCCCATCTCCTCCCTCATACCCATCATTCGCTTTTCTGCGGACTGATCCGCAATCTCCTGCACTTTAGCGTCCAAGGTGGATTCACCCTTCTTAGTCTTCCACGGCAAGGGACCTTCGTGGGAAAACAATTGTTCGATTTCCTCCAGAGTTTTGCCGGCCGTTTCCGGGTAAGTGAAAAAGGCCTGGACAGCCGCGCCCATACAGAGGACTCCGAATACGATAAAGGCTACATTATAATTTCAGTTTATGAGAGACCTGCTCAACGTCAAAACCATGGGAAGGGATCCAAAGGACTTACTCTTCCAAGTAATAGTCTTAAAGGCGGGGGGAACAAACAAGCCCAGAGCGAAGTTGAAAATCCAGTTTGCTGTGGCTGCAAGAGCCATCTGTTTGTCAAAGTATCTCATGTTAGCTTCCATTATATCCAAGGAAGGTCGTAAAGGAAAACTTACTCCTGTGGCTCTTGTCTCCAAGCTCCAAACTTCTGCAGCATATATCCATGCCACTGGCGCTAGGGTTAAAGCGTAAATAACAATCAAGAGATAGCAAAAGAATATGACGGCATTTGCACGCGGGCCAGTCACACGTATGACCACGTTAGGATTATCATACCCTATTAACCATTAGCTTATAGGATACTCCGGTCTTGTATGATACTCGAGGTTAATAGAATATAATAAGGCCAACATACATCCGTCAGGGTTGTACTCGCCCGCACTCAAGAGGCCTGCAACAACGAAGTGGCACACCCCCATTGCTATAGCCCCCCAGATTAGAAGCCCACGACGGCCAGTTTTGTCGATGAAAAAAAACATAACAGTCGTAAAAATGATAAACAAGGCGTATTGCACCCCTATCTTATTCCGTAAGTAATAAGGCCTTCAAGATCAAGCGTAGACCATCTGGCTATGCATGTTTATGGAATTGAAGTCCCACCCGAAGAGATTAGATTGATGTTTCCTGAAAGCCCAGCCCTAAAATTTAAAAGTTTAAGGTTATTAACTTTTTAGGTTCAATCTTACAGAGTCACAGCAATTAATTCCATATCTCTTACATCGAGAATATGTAGACGACGTAGTAGACCATAGCGTTGGCACCACTCATTTGCTGCCAAGCCTGAACACTCATCCCCGCCAGAGTTCTCTTCCACATTCCCCGTTTTATGAACTTTTGCCAACCGGGGCCGGCAGACCTCTCTGCTTCAAGGACAGTCGTAATTTCTTCCCACTCTGCTACCACAAGTGGGTCATTTGTATCTCCATTTGCTTGGATCTTGGCGAGGTTGTGAATAGCTTCTTCCTTTCGCCCAACTTTAGCGAGCCAGCGTGGCGACCGAGGAAGAAATGGAATTCCGATCATGAGAAGAACACACGGAATGAATTGAGTTCCCCAGGCAAATCGGAAGGAGGTTGTTGTTCGCGGGCCGCCAATGAAAGAAGCACCATACTATTCAAGCCATTTAATTAGAAAAAATTTAAAAGTAACCATATATATCCTCGTGGCTTTGTATGAGCACTCGCTTACGCCGATGAAGAACATGAACAAAATACCCCATTCTAGTAGTATTCGAGGATATGTTAGACCCAAACTAATTATGCATCAGCATTTCTATATATAACTCACCAATTGCCAGCTGTTGAATGATAATTAAGCTTCCTCGCTTTTCTTTCCTCGCAATTTCTGCAAGGTAAACTGGAACTTGAGAACTTGTAATCCCGACAGTGATTCCATTAATAATGCGACCAGCGATAAGCTGTCCAACATTTTGAACAGACACTTGTACTGCAGTTCTAGATGTTTAAGAGCCGGATATTTCAGCTAAGCCTAAAAAAAGTAAATTTCCCAAGTATAATTCTCTAGACCTACCCAATCAACCAAAATAAGCATGCCACGAAAATTGAATCCCGGCGCCCTATCTTATCTGAAAGAGGTCCTGCAGCAAGTGACCCTATCACGGACCCTGCAGCTAAAGCACTGCCTATGGCTCCCTGTAATACACCAGAAGGGTTGTTGAAGTACCATTTATATTGTTCGGTTCCGATGATCGCTGACATTGATGAAATATCGAAACCTTCGGAGTAATTAATGTATCGTTAGTTATTCCAAAATGCCTGACATTCCGGGACGCTGGTAATCAATCACATACCAAACAGCATGCCACCTAAAAACTATCATTAGTTATCCATCACCAAGCCAGAAACCTGCATACAAATAATATGAAAAAGATAGTCGAGGCTAACCTATCGTGGCGATTATCGCCAGGAAGTAAGTGTTATAAATTTTGGGCAGCCCCATGTTGTCTTTGCGTGACCCTCGTTATGTACTTGAGAATATACCAACCAAAACAATAACCTATAGAATTTTCCAAAAGCCAATTGAAAATTTACCTTAAAACCGGCCACCTAGAATAGATGGCGGGTCCGGAGCCCGAATATATATCCACATTCTCTTCCAGAAAATACAACATATGATAAAAGAGTTCGCCAGCTAAACCTGAGTAAGCACAACTGCACAGGGTTCTGTCAGGTTCAACAATATAGCTCAATTTCACTTTTAATATGCTCAGCTTCAGCTTCGTGACGATCTACTCTATGTAGCTCGTACCACGGTCGACGTTGCAACTGACATGTCCAGGCGCAAGGGCCCGTAGCTACAGATGTACATATTTCACGACATGACACCAAGAAAGTGAAAGTTGATTCACTCTCGGCATCAAAGTTCGGGTTTGATCTTAAGTAAAATGGGGCGTTTTGCCGGCCATATTGTCCATTTGTTTCGTCCGAAGTGCATATTCGGTATACCCGCAGAGTATCCTTTCTCATTTTGGTAACGTTGCCAACCTGCCGCTGTCACTGCGGGGTACTTCTGGGGAGTGGAGTATTCTGTAAGTATCCTGTTTTCTTAACCATCGGCTCCCTTGGAACGGGGATATTGATTAAATTTTGTCCATGGTTGTGTAACCCGCTACCCGTGTCATAACTGCATGACGGAATAATTTTTCCGTTCGGCGCAGATGCTAGATGAGGACATGTTGTATTTTAGTCCCTACACCTGCTGGGCGGGATCCCCAGATAACTTACGCGATAAGGACTACGGGTGGCTTTATTCGCTTCCACACTTCGGCTTGATGGAAGCCTAGTGTCTATTCTGGCTAAATTCTAAGATTCATACGCCCTTTTAACCTTAATTCTCACAGATGTCTCGCAAGTTACGATAGAAGGCCTTTGAACTCGCACGATCATGTAATCAAAAATATCGCACCCTGTTTTATAGAAACCCAAATAGTACGTAAGGCAGATTTTCAACAAAGTGCCTATGAAATTCAAGTTTCGTTACGACGAGCTCGATACGAACGCACGAGTACGTTAGCAAGGGCACCTTCATTATCGGGACCTTTGCGACCGAATAGATACCCACTTGTCCACCCGAGATGGACAATATGATTCGTGATGTGAGTATGCTATGATTCACACCTCATATATATACACAGCCCTCGCTCTGGGTTTAAATTCTCGAGTTTCCCTCCGTCGCATTACAGGTTAACAATTTTGATTCACATGGTGCTCGCCTGACCTCCTAAATGCATTAATGCTAAAAAAGAAGAAGACGCCGCAATTGTGCAAGCCAAATTATTAGGCGAGGCAGAAGGGAATCTAGTGTCATAGACCATGAAGGTATCAATAGTGGGTTTTTCAACCCCTAACCATGCTTATAATGCCCACGGACTGATATGGTGTATGACATCGATTGACATGTATATGCTAACCGGGTGCACCGTTATAACCCGTTGTGGGTTCTTGGTCTTAACTAGGGGAATAGTACACAATGAATGGAGGCTTGTTACTCCCGAACACTCACCTTTTAGATAAAGGGCTGCCTGAGCTTATAGAGTTTGTGCGTTCCATCTCTAACCAGCAATTAATCCTCTCCCATGTTTCAAAATGTTTTATTTGACTGTGAAGATCCAGCTGTGAGAATCCCATACCTTTCCAACAACACAACAGATCTCCCACACATACATCTCGTTTTACAAGTAGGACGAAGCCAACAGTTTCAAACCCCAGAGATATTTCGGCAATAGTGTATAGGAGATTGTTTCCCTTGCAAATCATATTATTGAAGAGTCGATATGGCTCCTGTTATGACATCATATTAACCGCTTATATACAATGTTAACTTTTGTATTTTATAGTCTAGCTATCTACAGACTTTAAAGCTACAGATCTTACTTAAATTTGATATCTTTGAAACCCCAAATTTTTTTTAAAAAGGGTACAAATTAAGTCTATCTCGGAACTTGCCGGGCTAGGAATCTCCGTTATGATGTTGTATAAAGCAGGCCTGAAATCTGTGTATGAACCGATACAAATCAACTTTTGTAGCCATCCCAACTTTTCGCTGCAAAAATTAGCCATCCAACTCTAGTCACTCATTTAATAATACACTTCCTTTGCCATTGATATATTTTCATTTTTCAAAGCACCAAGACGCGTAGTCTTACGATCCTTTCATTGACATTCCTCTGACAGTTCTATTTGTTGAAAGTATCGAAATGCTTTTGAACCCTTTGTTGATCTTGGCAGCTGCTATCATTCCCTTTTCTGATTCCCGAGCGATCCCCGGCTCAGGAGTTCCTGGCTTCAAGCTTGTTTATAAGAACCTTGGAACTCTGCCCAATACCAGTAATACGATCCAGCCGACGAGCTACGATACCCTACCCAGCACCTCATCTACCTGTGCTTCAATGTGCGCATCAATTGTCTCTTGCAGATTTTTTGTAATATATGCTCCTTTCGATGGGGCAGATCGGAGTCGCAAAGTTTGCCAATACTATTCAGAAGCCGATCCTTATCAAAACAGCGATGGGACCCAGTTCACCCACCAAGTAAGGGAACTCTGTGGGTACCAAAAACAAGACCCTAGCTTCGTGGGAAACACAACGATTCATGGCGCCAAAAATGCCAAACGGGAGCAGATCGAGGAAGTTGATGGAAGGGTGCCTTGTGCACCAGAAGTCCCTGCTCCGCCAACCAATAATTGCACGAATGCGGCATATGTCTCTAAACGACGAGACACAACCGGCCCTATTCAATATCAACCAATTGGACTCAAATATTAAATGCTCTAATGCAATACCATATCTATCTGGAGGCCCTTTGATCTCTCTACCAGATAGCCCAACTGTCTGTCCTGATATTCCCTGTGTTGTTTAATATTTTTAATTTCTCTTGATCGATGGGGACATCGGGGTTATCCTCCATATTTCTATAACTGTGCATATTGTCAAAAAATGATTTCTTTTTCATTTTTTTCATTTTTTTTTTCATTCACCACTTTCAACTAATATTTTAATATAGGCCGCGAGATCAATATTTATAGGCTAGTTTAGCCCACTTAGTCTTGATTCTATACTAGCAACTCCCATGATAAACTAAATCTTTCCGCGTTGACTATGTTGTACTTTTCAGGACCCTGTTTTTCTTTTCCTTTTCCCTCTTTTTGTTTTTTTTTGAGCGGAGAACGATTGTTTCGTATCTTCTTTCATGGATCCGAAACTGAATCCAGGGGAATGAAATGGAAGGCGGTTCATGAAGTCAGGAACATCCTATCGGATATAGCCAATGGAAACACCCATGAGACAAGAACTCGTACCAGTTGAAACTGTTCAGTCACGGCTCCGATCCCTTCAAGGCCTTTGTCGGCCCGCTTTAGAAGCCTGAGTGAGTTTTACCCATGACAGGCACAAACTGGCCGGCCAAAGTTCCGGGAAAACTCAGGAACCAAGAAACGTTTGATCAAGAAGCTTGACCAGACGAAGCAGCTGTGGCGCCTTGGCCTGTCGCTAACAGGTTACATTATGACGCTGTCTCCGTCTGCAAGAACCTAACATTCACCGAACATCTACTATTCATAGCCCCTGGTTCCCATTCAGCCCGCAAAATCCATTCATCCTCAGCTCTGGTTTCCCTTATTTGTCTTAGCGCATCCTCAATCAGTGTTCGTGAATGGCCAGCTCTGCGACCCACCTTTGCTGTAATGCGACGTGATATGCTTCTGATGGTGTGCTTCTAACGGAACTGGAGCTCGTATCTTCTTATCCGAACTATCATGCTGGGCATGCCGCTTAGTGTATATAGCTCAACTGATCCCCTCAGCCTCCCAGATTTTTCTTTCGAGATTTTATCGCCACATTTAATCTTGTTTCTTCCGTCGTTTATTTAGTATTCTCTTCCGCCTCAAGGCCACGGTTCTTATCGCATCTGTATAAAATTTCTAAAAAGTTAATATTCACGATGCGCTGGTTAAGATCATTGGCAGTCTATGCGGGAGTGGCAGCGGGTCTCACACGAGCCGCAGTACCAGAGGCACTGTCTGAGGCTTTTGTACCTGGAATGACCTTATTGGTCAAGTTCGGCGATACTAGTATCCAAGATGATAGCACAGCGTCAGCAGGATGTGAGTATAGATATTGACTTCGAAGTTAGAGTATCACACACATTATACTAATTACTTCGCGCAAAAGCGATAACCTCCTCGCCTGTATTCACCTTGAACTCGCCAAGTGTCGATATCCCAGACAACACACGGTATACAATAATTCTCATGGATATCACCAACTCGAGAAACCCTACAACAGAGGCAGTGCTACACTATGCAGCATCAAACCTGCGCGCACCCAAGCCTGATGGCGGGGATCTGATTTTCGGGACCGTGAACTTTCAGTATATTGCTCCAGCAGCGAATACCGACAATGCAGACTATCTTTTCTTGGTGTATGCGCAACTTGATGGCGAAATTGAGCTCAACTTGCAGAGCATACCGGAACCAGGGGACGACCGCTTATTCAGCGTGAATATTTTCCGACAGGATAATCTTTTTCAACTTGCGGATACTGGGGTCGGGTTTACTATCCGACCAGCTCCTAGTAATATGAGCACAACTTCGTCCGAATTTAGCTCGACGACTTTCACATATCCGAACACAACGACTACGTTCAGTTCATCAATTCCTAGCACTACACCTGAGGAGACTAGCACTACCCCATCGAATACTACCATAACCAGTAGCAGCAGCAGTGAGAGCAGCAGCGAGAGCAGCATCACCTCGAAAACTACCCCTCCGCCTAAACCCGTGGAGCCAAGCACTTCATATCTCACATTATCCGTTGGTGGATCCACAAGGACTGTTGTATACACTGCACCTGATGACACTGGCTCCACCCTGGGCCCGTCACAAACCACCGCAGACCCGTCCTTGATAACCAATGAGCCAAGCGCCGCTTCACAGATAGCTGTCTCGAAGGCGGCTATAACTATCATCAGCCTTTACATTGCCCTTTTTATATTTATTTAACCATTCAATACTCGATTCCTCGAGCAGGTTTAAAAAACCATATCTGGATTTTTCTGATTGTTGGCTGTCTGCTGCGCAAGGCCATTTTTAACGGCCAAGGCAGAGAGGTTTTAGTCATAAATTTTCTCGTCTTACCAAATTCTTAGCACATGGTGTTTTGGGCATTTACACTCCTTAGATATATATCCCTGCATTGCGTGGTTCAGGTTGCATAAATTCTTCTTTCTTTCCTTACACTAATTTTCTGGAATTTTCTCATTGTTTTACAAGTTTTTCATGATCAGATGATTATTTACTAGGCCCGGATATGTCGAGGCCTTATTCTTGTCCCTTCAAGTTGCACCCATTTATGACATTCACATTTTGTATCACAGACCCGTATTATTCACGTGGCCTGTATCGAACTTTAGAAACCTTCCAATGAAGGTAGTTGCTCCGTTGGGCTACATGATCAAAAATGTAAACTTTAAATGGAGTTACAAAAAGAATATCAGTGCCCTCTTCCAATGTAAATGTAACTGATAGGTTCGGTCGAATTTGATAGGTGGGCCTGTTTATACGGTTTCCCTTTAATAGCTCCCCTATAGAGGTGTTGTAATACATGAAATCCTGGGTTTCGCCACAACTTGCGATACATTCGCACCAAATTTAGTTGCGCAATCAAGACAGTGTGCAGTCCGGCTCCGAATCCAATCTCACAAGCGTCAATCATTTCAACATGGATAACTTGTCCGGAGACAGAATTAATAGAAGGTTTCATAACCCAGGCCCCGCGTGATTGGCCAGCTTTTCAATATATATGATGATATAAATATCGCGCTTGAGAGTTTAAACTCATAAATGCACAACTTATGTCACATTCCAGTAAAGGCATTAACTGCAGTAACTCAGCAGAGATTAGTTGTGTCAAACAGGTCTTGTATTGAGCTTTGAGAGGAAAAATACTGTCGAAGTCTGGACTCGTCTATGATAATTACACCTAATAAGCCTTGAGGTTCCCATACATGGAGGTTGATGAATTGTTGAATTAAAGCAACTCTGAAGCTATCAGTCACCAATTTTGCAACACACCTATGGATCCATGCTCAGCTCAGATGCAGCTTGCGCCGGCCTCGCTCGTAAGTCCATTTTATGGAAACTACGCAATACTCCATATGAACTCACAGCTATATCGCCATATATACATGTAAATATATATAAACCAAAGAACTTCAATACCTGAGGGTGGATTGTTCCGTGTACTAGTTATCCAAAGCCTTAGCTTGGCCTGTCCAAACCAATCGACATTTGTGCATGTAAGAAGTGCGAGGCGCCTGCCTGCTGCCTAGTTCAACGATGCCATATTTCACAACATTTTGAAAAACTAACAAAGTATCGAAGTTGGAGGCGCTGTTGGCTGTTGGCTCGTTACTTTGAAATCACTAGTGGTTTTTTTTTTGTGGAATACGTCGCTCACCTGAACATGCTGTTGCAATCGAAAGTCAGCTAGCGCTCGAAGTTGATCCATCCATCGATCGGATACCTTAGACCAGTATTTCTGAGGTCCTCAGCTGGACATATGCAATACTGACATGAAATTCGGCAGTAAGTGGCTTCAAAGGACGTCATTACGAAGGGCAAATGTTTTTCTGGATCTGTTATCGTAGTGGATATCTACAAAAGTTTGCTCTAGGGTGAGATGGGGGTGCCGGAGAAGGCTCGGATTGGAAACTGTAAGCTTGACATCAAAGCTGAACGTTGGCATTCTAAGCCAATCTGTCCCCGCGGTAGTAGGCGATGTAACAACGGTTAGATCGTTCATCCCCGCGGCCAACCCAGCAACATCCTAAATCCAAACCTTTCTTGCCGGAAAGTGGCCATTGTCCTTGCGATGCCAGTTCCTATAAACCCTGCCCCGAGAATAATTAGATCAGTAGCTTAGGTTCGACAAGCTTCAGAGTATTTAATTGGTTTATTCGATCGATCAGGACCCTTGTAGTCAACTGAAGCCTAACTTTGTGGCAATCGAAAGAAAACAGACCCCAAAATTACATTTATTTGGATTTTAGCTATTAGTGTACACGAGGACTTGTACCACACTGTTCATAAAGCAATATCTCGTCAAATATTAGACATTTATTTCGCGAAACAGTGGCCTATCCCCTGTGCAAAGTTTTCACGACGCATGATGTCTATTCTTCTCCCTTCATCAGAGGTTGTGTAACCCCGACATGGATGCGCATATATAAGTCGACCCTAGATTCAAACATATCGTATACTCACAACTTCTGAACGAAGAAATTCACTCCCTGGCTCATAAACCCTATCTTTGGGATCAAATCCCCGAGATATGGCATTTATACTATTTTTGCACAGAAACCTAGTTCACAGGCATCAAAGTGAGCCCACTGGTGGACTAAAGTCAGCTTGTGCTAGACTTTGAGGGAGGCTGGAAATCTGTACTACATCATCAAGCCAGTGAATTCAGTCACAGCAATCAAGTCGATATTTCTCGACCGTGGGCATCTGTATAGGCTAAAGTATGGGGGAAATCTAGAAAAAACCAGATTGTGTTTGATTGAGCGAAAACGCTCTCATAGCCGCTTCAAAAACATAGCTGTCTAGCTCTTTCAATTGAGAAACCACAGTCTCAGCTAGATCTATATAAAGGAGCTTTGGTGTATGAACAACAAAAGGTATTCTCTATCAATAAGCTACAAAGATTTCCTAGATATAATACCTTTCTAAACCGTTCTCTACCAATTGAAAGTTTGCCCCAGGTTCGCAGGAGCTATATCTATATATCCCAATATCACACCGTCTATTTCCTACAATGAGGATCGTTTTCAATACCTTTCTTGCGATTCTGGCACTTGTTGTCCCATCTATCGCCTATGGACCTTTTGAGATTCGAAAATTCGAATACTACGTTTCCCAGTCCCCGTCGAGAGTATCATACTCCAGTTTCACATTTTATGAAGGCGTAACGCAAACATCCACAGAATGCAAATACAAGGCTCCACGCAGCTACAACGTTGACGAAAGTTCGAGCCCACTACCCACAAATTTTACCGTCTGCAGTAATCCGGACGTGAAATGGAAATATCAAGTTGAAGGACAAATAATATCTGTGGAGTTTGGTTATTGGGCAGCACCTATCGAAGGGTATGAAAAAGGACCTATCCACCCTCTAAGAAAGAAGTGGAACTTTTAGATTTGGAGACTGATACATTAATGAAAATATAGTACGCACATACCAGAATGGCACAGGATCATGGCTAGCGGGACCGCGATACCGACCGCGTGCTCACCATATGGATATTCGGGGTATCTATGCACTCCCCGTGAGACGAGATACCTGACAGATTTTGTAATTGTCGCATAAGTTTCTCGGAAGAGAAATGCGATGGAGAGGACTAGCTGAACCCCAGAAAAGGCGAGGAGAATCAAAAAAACAAAAGTGCTTGTTTGAGAGGGAGAATTTTCACAATGCTACAGATGAAATGAAATGGATCTACCAAATAGTACCTAGAACACATGTACAACTTAATGGAAAATGGGATGATTCAATGATACTACAAAAAGAGCCTTTGAATAGCTAGTAAGGATATCGCGGGGGGAGAACTGCCTTAAAATACACAGGAAGTAAATACGTAAAAGTTTGATGATTCAAGTTTCGTAGTACATATAAATGCATAAAGCTGAAGATGCAGATGCACGAAAGACTTTGCTCCCAAACTCCTATGAATGCGCCAATGGTATATGTGTTCAAGCAAATGCGAAATAACTCCAGGGATATATATGACGTTAACTTGGTTGAAACGGAATGATTATGAAGCCAACCTCGAGACCGACCGATTGGTCTGAAGTTTAGTAAGGATGAAATCAGATTCTAGGCCTAGGAAACCTTGCCCAGATGTTGTTACAGTGCAATCCCCAAGAAAGGGACCTGGTATATAGGGAATTGGTACGAAATCGACGCTCCTTGTCGAAACTGGTATCTGCATATTGAAAAAGTACCGTAGAGGAGGGCGTCAATTAATCAATTCATGTCGTGATACGACCATGCGTTGTGACGAAGGCTTGCAACCCTTCTGCTAGTGCATGGGTTGAAGATCCGAGTGGAAGAAACTGGAATACTCCCTGGTAAACCTGAGAGTTTGTGGAAGGGAATACGTCGGAAGAAGACCGTATGTTGCGAAGCGCATGGGCTCCCCTGCTTACAAAAGCGTTGGAGCATTGCCAAATGCTAGATGTTCTGGGACAACGACCCCTATGAGGGCATATTATGTTTAAATTTCAAAAACCAAGGTCCATGACTCGGCACCGCGCCCCACAATTGAAACCCGATTTTTTTTCCTGTCCCTCTTTTGGCAAGATAGGATGGTCCTTATCGGACCTTGAATCCAAAATATTCATGAGATACTGTGTCTATGAACAGCAGGGGGTGGTCTCGTTATAATGATATGTTCCGGCGACTGGTCAAAATATTGGTCGTGTATCGACATGCGGTTAACCGGCACACCGACCTCGCTATCCTGGTCAGAAATGCAAACAGTTTCCATCGAAATGTAAGATTGAACAATCTGACCAGAACGTTGCTGCCTCATTTCCTCGTCATATTCGATAGGTTCTGGTGTAGTGCTCGTGGGACGAAAACTCAGAACAGTTTTGGATTTGATTTTTAGGAGTTGCTGGGTACGAAGATGTCGCAGCCAGATGCCCCTATGAGCGAGAAAAATAACAACGGCGATGGTTACAATGAACACAGCGGCAATCGTGGCCCCGATGGCTCCAGGGATGTTCTTTTTCGGTGGTGGCGTCGGAGTCGGCGAGGGAACATCATACCAAAGAGCAGACACTGACGTCCCTCGACGATGAAGGGGATTGTCCTGATTCTTTGTTGCAATGTTCGATGTTGAATCGGGGTTTTCGGCTTGTTTGTCGAACTGTCTTGGCGGAACAGCCCACGCAGCGGAGAAGACCGTCGCCGCGATGAAGAAGACAGCTGCCCGCATAACTTCCCCAGAAATGCCGTGGTGCGCTAGCAGCGTGCTCAGATGGTCAAGAGGTGGGCTTCCGTTTCCTCCTCTTACTTATGATTCCAACCCCCTTTGCTACGACAAGTGTATCGAGAGAGTAGTTTTTAATAACGTCGTGCAACATATCCGTATTCCTTTTCCAACTGGTAGGCGGCCATGGTACTCTGTACGGACTTTTGCAGATTTCCTTCGTGGTAATGGTAATATAATTAACAGGACGGCTGAAGTTTTTGTTCTGGGAACGATCTGCTAGGACTCCTTTCTCCTGCTCTCAGTCAGATCGTCAACCTCGCATGTAAGATAGGAAAACTATAGCTTATTTTATTACATTAAGAATAAAAAATGGAACCCGGAGATATTTAAAGTCGTTGATCGTTAATCAATTACATTTCGCCTACCCACCAAAGTGTAAAGGGAAAGGGAAAAAAAAAAAAAAAAGTATGTGCTCAAATCGAACAACGATGTCGAATACAAGCAAGACAAGCACGGCCATGGCAGGAAGGACAACCCTGGGCAACAGCCATGCTTGCTTGTCCGAGTTAAAGGCAGCCTACAAAATGTGCTAGGAAAAGCATGGTATCCAGCGTCTGCCCCAAATGACGGAGTATACTAGTATGGACCACGCCGTCGGAAAGTTCAAGCTTACCTGCGGTTGTCTGCACTGTTTGACACGAAGTCCCATAACACCATCGTATCGTAGATTGTTTGGCTTGATTGTGACTAAAAGGAACCAAGGGAACGAATGAAAAAGAAGTAAAGAATTCCTCGGTCTCGTTCGGATGAAGCGAAAGTCGCTGGTTGCCTAACGAATGACGCTAGCTAGCCATCTCTTGGGATCGCTTATGGGGCAAAGAGAGCCCACTAGGGGATGCTAGACTGTTAACGTTATTTCTTCCGCTCGCAGAATCGGGCAAATCCACCGAATCAATGGAGCTTTCTTCAGATCGTGATGACAGGCCTCTGTACCAAAAAAGGCAGTCCATAAGTTCAACGTTGTAACAGCCCCGCCCATTAGTATACAGAAGCATATATATCCTGGCCCGTACGTCTTGGGGGCAGGGCCGGACTCGTCTGGAAAACTTACGGGTGGATCCATGTTGTTTCTTCTTACTCCATAGAAACAGGAATCCTCTCGTCGGTTGAAAATTTCCCCTTGAGCTTGTCGACGTGACTTTCAGAGCACCCTAGACATCGTAAGCTGGTGGACCCACGGAGGCGTGAGCATGAGCATTCCAGGACAAGGCGGTTGGGACACAAGGCGACAACGCAAACAGGGTTAAAAAGACTTTACGTCAAACACAAATGCCTCCTGAAATCGTATAGTGGATTAGGCAGGATGTTCCATATAGCTCGCAATTACTATTGAAGTCTGTCGCAATATCGAGATTGTAAAGTTGTATCGAAAAGTCAGGGAGCATGATTCGAATCTTAAGATCTTGCAAATAACTATAAATTAAAACCAACATGTGATCTCACGCCGCAGTTATTCTAAAACATTGTGATCCGCGGGTTGCGTCTACAAATGCGGCACCGTGCCGGATGGCATGATTCTTGTGATATCAATGCAATGGGCTCTTATCATTAGCGGATCGGCAAATAAGAATTTGGTCGTTTCACATATTTAGTATCCTTTTACTTGGTGAGTGAATGCGCACTAGACTTTGATGAGAAACTGCAACTGCCAAAAGGGCTCCTCACTCCCAGTTAGCGTCCGGTCGAGAGGGCAAACGGAGAGACCAGCTGGGTCGGAATAACGGCACTTCAGACCATGGTACCGTTGCGGCATACCAAATCTTCCACCAATTCGGGATCCAGACTTCAATGCAAGTCAATTTGAATTCACATACGTACACAACTATGCTGAGCTATCACTGTATTGGACATGCAAAAATTAACACGGCTCAGCTGCGTATAACCAATCTCGCCTTTATTTAGAACAAGACCGATCCAGGCCCCTCTCAAGCCAACACAGGGACAGATCTGCTGGATTTAATTGACCTCAAGATCGAATGGGGATAGAAAATGCAGCCGCACGTGGGCCGATTCTGGATCGACTCATGAATCGTTAGGTTCTAATCAAGCTCATGTGCCAAGACGGCAGCGCGGTATATCACTCTGTTCGGCCGAAACCCAGATGTTGCATTTTCAAGTCAGGGGAGAACTATCTGTGTTGTTCCAGTTTTCTCCAGCTGTCTGAAATTCAGGGCAAGATATCGAACCGGCATTCATATTTGGCTTGTTACATAATGGACCTCATCGCTATAGTTCTTTCAACTATTTATATCTGACTAAATCAGCGCGTATTTAGGCCTCGGAATCATGAAACTTAATGCTTTCCGAGGAATATCAATTAAAGTGATATATGTCATGTGAAGTGACGTATACTAATTGTTTCTTCGGCGAGATATCTAAATTATATACAATATATAAGTACTCATTATTGATACCCTTCCTTACCCCTTTAGGATAGCCTAGCGGGTTTAGTAGCTTCAGATATCAATATAGGTGTGAACAGGTTGCTACACTGTCTCACAAACTAGCGGTCTTAGAGCTACTCGCCGAATCTTCGGAGTTTTACTAAGAGTTGTTGGCCACCTGTATACATGTAGGCTTTGTACCCAGCTAGAAATTTCCACGCAGAGCTCGCTATCTAGATTCGTATTACTTTTTCTAATGTGAATCAAAGGTCTACAAGGTACACAAGGCAGCATCAAGGTATTATACGTAGCAGTAGCCCCTCATCGGCCCACCGCCGGCAGTACAACTCTGCGTGCTCGCTAGCATTGGATAAGCTTATTAGGACCCACACATACCGATTACATCGCATGATCTCTTCACCTACCGTTTACCTCTTTTGCCCCGAATATAGCTTCTCAATATACGAACTTGTTTCGCCCCGAAACATTACGTGCTCTCTCTCTAGTCTTCTTTCACCATGAAACGATTTTAACCACGCCCATGACTAATCAAATTTTGATTTATGAATAGGATTTTTACATGTACATACCTATATAGCATAGATACCATTGGGTCTTACTGTATTTCGTTAAGTAACTCACCAGTACGGCTGTTGAGCTTAATTTATATAGAATATTAGAGAATACTTCCTGGACATATATAATTTGTCGAGTATTTCGATTCTAGTTTATCTAAGTCTGGCTATCAGGCACTTTCAAATATATATTAAATCTGGATTTTCATAAAGCTTGCAATCCCGCCACGTTATATAGAACGGTTATTCGCACACTATCCGGATCTTTGTGAATTCATAAAGTCTCAACTAAAGTGGGCACATAGTTCATATCTAGTTCTTGTAACTTTCTCATACCAAAGTTGTCATAGTTCGGCTTCGTCATGGATACGGTGTTGTTCTCAAAGCTGATGAGAATAGGCCGGCCATAGGCCATTCACTTGGAGATAGTATCATGCTCGCAAAGCAGCATTTGTTTTTGCGAGAAAATGAATCAAGAGAATTTACCCGCGAATCCTTAATAGCACTACCCACTATAGTAACGTTATAATTGCAGGTGGAAGACGGTGATATTGTGCTAGCCTAAGAACATACGGTCCCCAGTACCTTCTTTTCTTGGCTAGATACGGGACTTTCGCATTTATAGTACAATAACGGCCATCCTTTCGATCAATATCGCCTCGTTTCGAAGCGCTTAAGCAGAGCTCCTGTGGTGTCGACCTGAAGCCCTCGAGATCTATAAGCTAAGATACATTGTCATTTGATCATGCGTATCTAAAGTGTGGACGCTTAGACCTATTAAAGGGCCAGTCGCCCCGAAATCCCGCTAAGTCTCAGCAGATCTTATGCATATCGGTGTAGCGGTATTCAAATATGGATCCATCAATCCGTCCAATGATGTTTTGCGCATACATATGTATGTCCATATGTGTTGACTCGGTGCCCTAACGCTATCAGGCCGCTAAATCCTGTCACCTTCTCTTTTAAACCCGCAACATATCGACAAGCCACCCGGAACCTCGATAAGCTTAATTAATTAAAATCTGTACGACCCGATCAGCCGGCTGGTTAGCCTGCACTTTTGAAGTTTCGTAGCACGGTGGTGGACAAAAACGATAGCCGTCCAATATAATAATCAGTATGTAATCTCCCGCCAAGCGAATCATCGACCATCATAAGCCGTGTGCAGGCAGCTGATTCGCATCATATCCTAGCTGCCTTGTATATCTGAGTTTTTAACACTTGCCTCTTTCAGCCACCATGGTTTTTGTGCAGGTACCACAACTCCACATTCACAGACTTCATTCCATTCAACTACGATTATTCATGTTGAAATGTCAAAATGGAAATATTTTTAAGACTTTTTTTAATAGTACACTACGCCGAGGCTGGGATCGTTGGTCCTGCGCCATGTGTTAACATTTGTGAAAATTTTCAATTAAACTTGCCCGTCAACATTTTATTAGGGAAACGAAACCGAGAAAACCAGCCCTTAGTTGATTGGGGTGCAGGCTAGCCTATCCAGGTGAGCTTGTGAACACAATCTAGGAGTACTACGGAATTTTTGTCCCTAGATGAAAACTTGGTAAAGGGATCTTGAGTAAAGCTAACAATATCTACGTTGCTAAATGGTAGGGGGTGGTGTACAACGAAGTCGTAAGTTACAGTTGGTTCCATGGACGACGATCTACCTCAAGTTAGGCTTATCTTATCGTGTCTACGGTATACGGTATCAACGACCTTGTGAGATTCCGAAAATAACCGAGGCGGTTCTGTGCCATATTAATGAGCTTGGACACCCGGTAACAGCTTGACTGAACATAAACATGGGATACTGCAACTTTAACACCTTAAGGCCCATTGAATGAACACACATGGTATACCTCGCAGAGAAAATGGCAAATTGGTTTGGAAACGGGTTTTTGGAAACGGTCTCGTTCATGACTACTTTAGATGTAAAAATACCGGCGATTTCCATATTTCCGGATTGACAAGGGTTTATTTT